GTGGTAGTGGCCGGAACGTTCTAACGCGACCAGTTGCTTGTTGAAGAGTTCTAGAGCTGTCGAGCTGAAATTGCAGCGAAATACATGTCACGGCTTACTTAGATCCCGTCTCTCAGCTCTCCTGACAAGCCACAGGGTTTCCGCACGGGGGCTTTAGAGCCCTTGCGTCCGGTCATCCCGGGGGCTTTCGGCTGTTCGCGTGCCAGGGCGCCGATTTATTAGGTGAGGCGCTTTCACAAAGGACCAGGTACACAAACTCTATTCACAATTCAGTGGCTAACTAGCAACTTTGAGCCAAAGAAGAAAAAGCGGATGCCGGCGGCTGACATTCCCACTACCGAAATAACGTTTCTTTTTCACTGCCACGATACCTGACTACTGATGGTTGCGAGAATACTTTGCATATGCGACCACGGCGACCTGGCTGCCTATATTGTGCAGGTCCATGATGGCGATGCCAATTCTACGGCATCTCCCCAATTGACGTAGCGTGGCCGGAAGCATGGGAGACCGGCAAGTTTAATAAGCCACGCTGTAAAAAAGCAGACCTCAAGCTGCTACAGGGGGTCAGAGCCAATGTCAATGTCAATCCGGACTTCCACAGACCTGGCTGGAAAGTCCAGCTGACCACTCTCCACTTCCCTGTAATTTTGATGAGGTTCATCTCTGCACATTGTTCGGGACAACCACATGTGCGGGCACCGAGGATTGTCAATAATTATGTCCTGGCGGCACAAGTATTACATTCTTAGAATAGTCGGGTAACGCAGCAGGGACGAGGCTCGGAGACAGTGTACGGCCTTCATCAAACTTTTTTTTTTTTTCTTCCTGCCCACATGGTGCAATCTCTGATGAGGCAGCCGAGGCATTAGGCGAACCGTCTCCCGCACCCAAGTGCACGACAATGCATCATCGTCAACGCAAGGAACTGTCTCGTGAAAATGAGCACCGGCCCACTTTCTCCTTTGATGGAGCCATGCTGGCTTGATTGGAAATGCCCAATGTCCCGTTCTGCACAAAATTTTTCTAGTGCTTGGTCGAGCTGTCTGGGGTTATGGTGGATACCTAATTGTTCTATGAGTCTTCCACGAAGTAGTGGAGTATCTCATTCCAATGCTCCCAGTGGCATCCTGGCCTTGCGCCCCGGGCTGCTCATCACTGAGTGGGCGGTGCCTGGTTCTGCGACCGCTATTTTGGGGTCGCATCTTTTCAGATTTCAGCTTTGCGCTGTAGTGGCCAGCAAAGTCGCTGTACTTCGGCCGTCTGACAGGGGTTGCAGACGACGGACAGACAGGGATACAGGGGTCTCTGCTCGTTTCATTTTTTCCTCGACTAGATGTGGCACACCCGACTTTCCCTGCTCTGACTTGGCTGCGTCACTCTGGCCTCGGACGGGGGGTACTTATTTTTGTACGGCACCGAGCTGGCGCTACATGGGTGCTGCTCACTCAACGCCCGTATTTAATATTATGGGCGCTAGCGTGGGCATGTACCTCTCATCAGCTTCAGGTTTGGCGGTGTACGTACTGACGCACCCTGTGCCATGACCTACCTAGAGCCAGGCTAGCTGTGTACAACCAGGGAAGTATCTCGCTCATCCCATTTTCATCAAATGTGGACAAACGGGATGTCTATCACTGCTGGCCTCCTACATAAGGCTCCCTCCTCCCTTCACCAAGGGTCTTTGCTCGCTCTAGTTCATCAGACTATCAATCACCAGACCACGAGCAAGACGCAAGACCTGTCTATACTCCTCCTACTTACAACAACTACTATCAACTACAACTAACAAGACCTCGTGTCTTCTTGCAACTCTACGCCTTACAAGCTTGCTGCCGAGTCTAACCCACTCCTATACCAACAACTCGTAACAACGGCTTATAGCCACACAACCGTCAAACTGGCTTCCCACGCTTCTTCAGAATTCACCATGCCTTCTCAAAGACCATCGCAACTGCCCCCTTGCCCGGGCCCGCCACCGAGTCGACCACTGCCTCCTCTGCCCAAGAGAGGTTAAGCCATCACCATGTTTGGGGGTACAACAACAACAACAACAACCCCCCACTCAGATCAACCTCTTGTCTGACAAGCTCGAAACATGGCGACGACCAACCGGATATGCGAAATGGACAGCACGGCAACTGGAATGCGAACGATGATCGCGCCACCATCATCCGAGCGCAGTGCCAGAGCCGTGTGTAATGACTCTGCCTCCCTCCCAGCACCTTACTGCCGAGGCGCACCTGAACATGCATGACTTGCTTGCGCATGCATATCGAGTAACACCACCATTCTAAACGCCGCACGCGCGGATTGGCGGACGGTTACGCGAACCTCCAACTATCAACAAGCAACATGACCTCAACGGCCAGTTGCAGCAACGACATCGCAACAATCACTGGCTCTCAACACAGCTGGTTCTCAGCGACATTCCGAGAGCTGCGCTCAGTGGAAATCGATCTCTACTTCATGATTCAGGGCCCCAGCTCTCGATCAGCTGTACTATTACACGAATATGGGAATTTTAATATTGGGTTGTGGCATCTACACCCTTGCATGGGACAGGTGCTTTTGGGATATACACGTTATGATTTGGTGCCAGCTTGGCTTTTTCATTTGCAACGAAAGGTGTTTTTGGGAATCTTCATCGACACATGTACCTATAGAAGCATTGCCAGGGCGTCTTTCTGCGAAGAAGTGGCACGCGTGCGCCGGATACCCCCGATGGAAGAGAAGAATCATGATTACAGGAATGTTACAGAGGAACACAGGGCATAGTGCGGAATACTTGCATGGCGACTCACTCTCCGTGTAGCCGACCAACCTCAGAGAATTGAAATGGCTTTAAACCACTTACATACAACTGTCCCCCTCGCTGAATTGGAAGGAGTGACTTATGCACATGCTATCCAAACAGGTACGCCTATAGCCGCTGTCCCGGATTACGTGCCAACATCCTCGTGCGCATATACTTGGCATGTGCAGATGCATGCAGCAGCAGCAGCAGCAGTAGGCATCGACGATATCGACTGGTCACGTCTAGGCAAAAAGATGCCCCGCTGCCAACGCAGCAACAGATGCTGGTCCCCCTGCCGCAGATGAAGCGCATTCGACTTCAAACCCGTTCAACCCCTCACATACCGTCTCCCCTTACTTTGGTGGGGAAATGTCGTTACCACTTGCATGAAGTAGAAAGCTGTGGGTTTTGGGATGGAATCATTAAGCGAAATGCCCTATTCGAGGCGTATGCGACGGTGTTCCGCACTCTCTGTCCTCTTGAGTCTTCAGACCCATTAAGGGGAGCGGGCCCCCCAGCATCGCTAACCGCTTCATCGGAAATGGCGACGGTCCTGGGTCTCCACCTAGGGCGCCCGTTTGAGAGAAGAGTGGAGGCTTGCGGCGAGTCGTTACTTTCAATTTACATCATATCGACTCTGACACGACGCACCTAATTTAGCGGACCTGTCTTTCAACCCCATGCAGGATACGGAGGTACACGGCCGACAGATATGTACCAGGTTTTCCAGGCCCGGGAACATGCAAATCTACCTGCCTACACACAGGGAAAAAAGGGCGGTATAACCTTGGAAGTCGAATGGAGCCCAATGAGCCCTGCATCTTCTTTTGTGGTTTCGAAATGCGGGCGAGCTAGACAGATCCGCCCGCATGACCTGCACGATGTCTGATGACCTGCCATACCTGCATGAAACTATACCTCCCTAGAGTTCCTGCCAACCTGCCCAGTCTGCCCAACGTTGTCGCTTCGGCCAAGAGATGCGAGACTATGTATGCGGCCCCCCATGGTCTCGTACGGCTTTCTGGCACGATCTGGTCAGCCCGATCGCCGAACCGAGCACAAATCGCATCTTCTGAGGCGGACTCGCGACTCGTGTTGCGTCTGAAAGGTGTAGCCACCGAGGCACTTTAGGCCCGTAGCTAGTCTCTCTCCAGGACTAATTGTCCGCTTCAGCCCGTCGCTCGACTATGTCTCTATTCTTGGAACTTGGTCGGACTCTTGTGCCTGCATCTGACTCTTGAGCTTGAGCTTGGACTTGCCTGGAGGTGGGAGGTGTGATAGGATCCGGCACATCAGGCCGAGGGAGGGGGCAATATTCTCCGCGCTCGCGGGCCACAACGTGCGTTTTGTGTGCCGCTGGCTTGCACTTCATGCGAGTTTGTTTGCTGGCTTGGCGAATAGAGCGAGCACGGTTGAAAGTCAACAAACTCACGGATGGAGTCAAAATCTATTTGACACTTGCGCGCCTGCCAACTATCTACATTATCAGAGAGTCAAGAATTGCTCTTGTCTCAATCCCTCGGTCTGTCTCTGACGGAGGACTCTTTCTTCTTGCTAGTAGCCGGTCGTCGTCGCTCAAGTCTCCACACCGAGAAGCCTGTCTCTAGGTAGCTGTCCGGATGTGCTTACGAGTGCTTCCCACATGGACACAACCTATATCGACTGTGGTAGGCAAGCAACCGACCTGATGTAGCGTCATCGTGAGCACGGCGGGCGATCGTCCAACACTACGGCACGCACGTTTGCATGCGGAACGAATTCCAGCTCGGCTAATAGAGCCCATATCATTGTTTTAGAGTTCTGGCCATGTGAAACTACCACACACCAACGTAGCTGAACGGTGTACTATGGTAGGGCCATGATCTTCAGCGTCTAACCGAACCTCATTGGCGCAGCCTTGCAAACGCTGGCGTTGCGCTACGAGCAACTTACTTAACCACTACTTGCACACTGAGGTAATCTGCCGGATCGCCACCCCCTGATCTTCAGGAACAGTTGCGACCACCTGGTGGCAAATAGGTACTTGGCAATGTTTGTCGTCTGGTATACTGGTTCACTGTGAATGGCGGGCTGGGAAACCTTGAAACGCACCGGCCCTTCGATGTGACGTCGACGTGCTGCTGCGGCCACGTGCCGATAAGTAGCCCCGAAACAGCATGCATATTTTTTTTCTGCGAGCCGGGGTCGCGACGGCGCGATAACGATGTCCGGTAGTGATCCTCACGGCGGCGGCTTTCCAGCGGCGCGGAAACAGGCTCTTCTCTTCATCCGAACGTGACCCAGTCGGAGGATCGTCCTTCGACTCGACATTTGTGGGAACCCGAAGCGCCCAACCGGGCAAGAGTCATCGCGAGTTCCTTGTCGAAACACGGCCACGCATCTCGGTTACGGATCTCGTGACAAGCGTGAAGCCAACCAAACCAACCAGCCTGCCTGCCAGCCAGGCCGACAACTATATTCCCTACCTGGCTTCTGACTCCTTCTTGGGCCCTCCTTCACCTGCCGCGCCGTTGGGAGCCTTGCCTGCTTCGGATAACCGTTTTCGTCAAAAGTTTAACGGCTCGGAAACGTCCTGCCCGCCATCACGATTCCGCCCTCGCAGCGTTCCCGCCATTCCACGTGCCTCTTATCCCCGGCGGAATAGCAGCCTTCCCATCCCCTACGAGTCTGCTACCCCATCGTCGGCCATGGTGTTCGAACTTCACGTCTGGGGACAGGCCTTCGGGTTGCCCTCCATCGAACCCGAATGCCTCGCAGCCCTCTCGTATCTCGGCTTTGCCGTCCCCCGTGGTGATTGGACCCTGATCGCCAGCAATGACGTCTCCGTCACCCCTGATCGTAGGTTCATCTGCCTCTTTCTTATCTAGATCCGGCCCACCCAGCCCGCGATCCCCAGCTTTTCCAAGGCATCAATCAAATCTTCACACCGCTGATCAACGGGCTGACCTGGATGTAGACATCCTTCCTGCACTTCATCACAATGGTACTTGGACTTCGGGGTACCTGAACATAGTATCATATCTCGCTCAGCATCATGGGATTTCGATCGGCGAGAATGTCTCTTCGACCCAGCAGGCTGATACACTAGCCTACGCCTCTTACCTATCCTCGCGAGGGGCAGCACTCGTCGCATTCTCGCTTTATGTTTCACCGAGCGCTTGGGCGGACTTGACCCGGCCTGCATACTCGTCTATCCTTCCATTCCCACTGACGTGGACGGTACCGCTCAAGATCCGCGCATCCGCCATCGCCAAGACGGAGCATCTGGGCCTTGACCACCTGGCTGCCGATGTCGACCCCGAGGATGGGTCCTCGGAGTCCAAGACGACGGCTCCGGTCACTGCTACGGGGTTCCTCCGGCTGCCGCTCAGGCCCACAGTAAGTAGCACAATGCAGCCGGAGCAGGTCGCCGCTATACGACTCCAGAGCCTGACTGAGGATTTCCTCTCGGTCCTTGACGAGTTGCGTGGCTCGCGCCACTATTTCTTTGGAGACAAGCCGTCAGCCCTTGACTTCCTAGCCTACGGTTATCTACGGTTATTACGTGTCCGCACCCCTCATCCTTTCATGGAGAAGTGCATGAAGAGAAGCCAAGCAGGACAACGTCTGCTGCAGTTCCTGGACCTGATGCACAATACTCAGGTAATTCGGTGGCAGGAAGAGAACCTCGCTGAGACCTTGCCATGGGCAGAGCCAGCTCCCCGGGGCGTGGTTGGTACGCTGGGACAATTTACGAATGACGTCCTGGAGAATACTCCGGGCGTGGGCGACACCTGGAAGACGTGGTGTGGCGAGGGCGTCAAGAGTGAGGACCAGGGACGCGACCCAATGCAGGTTGCCATTGCGGTGGGCGGGGCGGTAGTAGCCCTCGTCGCCGTTGGAGGCGCCTTGGTCTTCCGCTCCCTCCCACCGTTTGGTGCGACTACACAGTACTTTGAAGCACCGCGTCGAAAGACCGGCCTGCATCAGTTCGGCGCCATCGGGGCCATGTTTGATGACCTTCCTGGCTTTGACGCCACCCCGCGCCCATCCCATGGCCAGAGGGATACAGTGTACCAGGGCGATCACGTAGAAGTAGCGGTCGACGTCGAGCCTGAGGGCTCTGGCATCGAGCCGCCTCACGACGGGAACATTGCCGAGGTTGGTGTTGGCATGCAGGCAGGCGATAAGTCAGGGCGGGTGTGATTTCAGGGCCTCCTCCGCTGTGCAGCTGTGCGCCATCCAGACTAAATGGCCGCAACGAAGGCCTTGCCTTGGAGAGGCCGCACTTGTAAAATACTGTATGGATAAAATTGTGGTGTATGGCGTGCGAAATGATACCACTCTCGAATGACTTTCATTCATAGCATATGTCTATATTCAGGCAATGCTGGCAATCGCATTGCACGGCATGAGCTGGATATGGTAATGATCTTTTTATTGGGAATTTATTGCATTGTCTGAGGCTGTGTGACCATTAGAATGAGTGCCTGTGCACTTGAGTAGGGACAACTTGCTATGGATTCTTCTCCTATCCCTACATGATGTTTCTCATTTGTGCTGGTTTGTCTTGCTTAGTACGTTCTGCTGCGGTTGGTTTACCATTACGCGTCTCCAAATTTGGCTTCTCATGAGAAGGACGTCAGGTCTTCCCTCGAGTCTTCTTGTGGACTTCATAGCAACCCCAAGGAGCTTGGTCTCATTCATTCTCCAGCACTCTGACCGATGTCACCGGACTAAATTGACCCAACGTGCCTAGGCGATGGGCATTAGGGGTATCGAATCTTCATTCCATCGAGAACCATGTGCCATAAGCCCCCGGTGCAGTCGTCTATAGTACCAAGCAGGAGATATACATCATAGCAAAGAGATTAGCAATAGTGCTACCCGCGATGAACGAGGCAGCAAGGCTGGCCACCATGAAGCGAGTCTCCAACTTGCTAGTCTTGCGCCTCGTGACAGGCTCCTAGATCTGCCTGATCTGCTTGCCCTTCATCTCGGGCCGTTCAACCTCCCACTCGTCTCGGAGGGCGGCAAACGCCAGATCGCTCACGAGAAGGCTCTGGCCGAGACTCCAAACCAAGGTGATGGCGTAGAAGAAGTTGGCGTTTCCACTGCCGGCATAGATCCACAGGTGGTAGAAGGCGGGGCCGAGGAAGGTGGCATAGAGAACGACGGAAGCGCTCAGGAAGCTGTACCGCAGGAGCGGGAAGATGTATCGGAAGCAGGGGACCAGGGCCAAGAAGAGGGAGGTGTCGGCGACGCTGGGGTACGGCTTGAAGATGGCGAAGACGCCAAGAAGAAGTGTCACAACCATGAGCGGCTGGTGCCGTATCCTGATACACAAGGCGGGCGCATAGGACGAGAGATGCAGCCAGAAGACGCCGAGAAAGAAGGAGCGGAAGCTGTCAAACATCTCAACGAAGAAGTACCACCAGAGACCAACATTCGGAGTTAGGTCCGTGAGAGTGAGCTGAATGCCGTACGTCGAGTCGAGGAACTCCCAGGACCCAGTGAGGGCGTAAGACGACAAGCCGAATAATAGCATTGCCACGACGGCGGCAGCGGTGCTCTTCCCGGCAAACAGGAGGAGCGATTGACTCTTGGCGCCATGTGTTCGGTCATATGCCAATAGGATCAGGGGCGGAAACAACAGCAGCGGGTACATGGACAGATAGGCCGCCATAGACAACGACAGGACGGCGGTGAAGGTGCTGCCCGCGATGGCCTTGGCGACGGCGTGCAGTATGGCGCAGTTGGTAAAGACGGTGGTCGGGCGGGCCAGGCATGTCGCTATGGTAAAGGGGTTGAGGAGGAACAAGGCGGCGACGGCATAGCCACTCCATTTCTTGTCGCGACGCGGGGACTTGAACAGCCTCGAGGCGCCCGCCTCTCCGGACTCGGCGATCTGGTACAGGGCGTGGGCGCTGAGCAGGTCGACCGCTATGTAGAGGACATACGTAAAGATGGGATACGCCGCGGGGTCGGGGAGCAGCGAGAACAGAGGCAGCAGCAAAGGCGCCTGGTGGTAGACGCCGCCATCGTAAGGGGAAACGTTGTGGTTGTACAGAAAGAGGCCCTCCTGCACTACAACGAACATCCACTTGTCAGTCTACAGTTCCATTTCAAGTTCAAGGCCAACTTCAGCCGAAGTCGAGGCAGACAGCAAGCAAACGGAAAGGGAAAGGCAAGGGCGTACGTCTCTTGAAGCTGTCGACGGGGGTGGACAGCTCGACACGGCCGGTCAGCAGGTCGGGCAGGCCAGGGAAGCCGGCGAACAGCAGCAGGCGCAGGGCGGCGGCGGCGAGATAGAGACCGGCTGTGCGGTTCAGCGCCGGGGTGGTCATCTTATCTTGGCCCATATCGCAGGTCCATCGTCGTGCCGCGGCGTGCCTCGGGGGGGGTGTTCAGGTCGTGTCGTGGGCTTGGGGGTTCGTCCGGCCTCTCGGTGCGGGCATGGAGGTTGGACTTGGGCTTGCGAGAGGTGTCAACTCCAGGCGCCCCAGGGCCCTCGACAGGCCCCCGGGACCCCTGTCGAGTCGGCTCGGCGCCGTGTTTGCGCTGGGCCACCCACTGGCCGCCCACTGGCCGCCCTGGAGCTAGCCAAGCCCGCTAAGCCGCTTGGAGTCTACCCCAGAACGGGGCGGCTCGGGCGGTCAGCACAATCGATAACGGCAGAAAAAGATTCGAGCTGCAGCGACGGAGGGAGAAGGAAAAAAAAAAAAAGTTCCTGGCTGCCAGTGCAGATAGATTTGGCGGGGCCTGGTCGAAGAAAAAAAACCCGTCGACGGCACAACCGCTCAACCACCACCACCAACCACCACCGAGACCAGATCTCGCACACCGTCAACCATGGGTCGGATCAAGAAGAAGGGCGAGTCCGGTGCGGCCAAGAACTACATCACCCGCACCCAGGCCGTCAAGAAGCTCCAGATCAGCCTCCCGGACTTCCGCAAGCTGTGCATCTGGAAGGGCATCTTCCCCCGTGAGCCCAACAACCGCCGCAAGGCCAGCAAGAGCGCCACCGCCTCCACCACCTTCTACTACGCCAAGGACATCCAGTACCTGCTGCACGAGCCCCTGCTGCAGAAGTTCCGCGACCAGAAGGTCCTCGAGAAGAAGATCTCCAAGGCCCTCGGCCGCGGCGACGTCAGCGATGCCGCCAGGCTCGAGCGCAATGCCTCGCGGCCCGAGAAGACCGGCAAGCCCGCCTACACCCTCGACCACCTCATCCGCGAGCGCTACCCGACCTTTGTCGATGCCCTGAGGGACTTGGACGACGCCCTCTCCATGCTCTTCCTCTTTGCCAACCTCCCCTCCACCTCCAGCGTGCCCGCCAAGATGATTGCCCGCTGCGAGCGCCTGTGCCTCGAGTTCCAGCACTACATGATCGTCTCGCAGAGCTTGCGCAAGTCCTTCCTGTCCATCAAGGGCATCTACTACCAGGCCACCATCCAGGGCGAGGACATCCTGTGGCTCGTCCCCTACAAGTTCAACCAGCGCGTCGTGGGCGACATCGATTTCCGCATCATGGGCACTTTCGTGCAGTTCTACATGACCCTGCTCAAGTTCGTCAACTTCAGGCTCTACAGCTCCATCGGCCTGGTCTACCCGCCCAAGTTTGACCAGAAGAAGGACGACTCCGCTGCAGAGCTCGGCGCCTTCACCATCGAGGGCAACCACGCTACCGCTATCCAAGAGGCCCCAGCCCACGCGCCAGCGACCGGTGGCGAGACGGAGAAGGCCACAGACCCCGCCACACAGGCAGCCGTCAACAAGCTCATCAAGCAGATGAAGGACACAGAGGTCGAGGCCAAGTCCACCGAGGCGGACGCGGCCTCCGCCGAGAAGGAGGACGAGGCTACCAACAGCATTGACAAGTTTGAGCCTGCCGCACCTGGCGGTGACGTACTCCCGCAACCCACACACTCCGGAAGCGACCCTTCCTCTCTGTTCGCCAACTGCACATTCTACCTATCGCGTGAGACCCCGAGGCAACCGTTGGAATTCATCCTCAAGGCTTTCGGGTGCAAGCGTGTTGGCTGGGACGCTGTCCTAGGCGAGGGTGCGTACACCACAAACGAGCGCGACCCCTCCATTACCCATCAGATCGTGGACCGTCCTGTGGTCCAGGCTGTCGCAGAGGAAGGCAATGGCGAAGACAACCAGACTTCTCAGAAGCTTGAGCCGAACCAGAGAATGCCCGGCCGAGTCTATGTCCAGCCACAGTGGGTGTGGGATAGTGTCAACGACGAAGAGCTAAAGCGGCCTGACCTCTATGCCCCTGGTGCCCAATTACCGCCGCATTTGAGTCCCTTTGTTCAGAGTACTCACGGTGGCTATGACCCGACTATTCCCCTTGAAGACCAACAACCCGAGGAGGAAGCGTTGGCGGACAGCGACGAAGAGGAAGAGGAGGATGAAGAGGAGGATGAGGAGGATGCAGATGACCTTGCTGTCAAGGCCCCCGAGCCAGCTGCTGATGGAATGGACATTGCCAAGTCTGATGATGAAGACGAGAACGAGGCAGCTTCTTTTGGTGGCTTCTCAGAGGCGGAAGATGCCGACGAAGCCGAAGAGGACGATGCCGAGGAAGAAGAGGACAATGAGGAGGACGCCGAGTTACAACGCCAGCGCGAGCTGATCGCGGAGATGACTGGGCAGCCAGTTCCACAGAAGGCCGCTCAGAACCCGCGAGCCAAGGCCAAGGCTGATGCAAGGAAGAAGCTAGCGGCTCAAGCCAAGGAAGAGGCCGAGGATTTGGAGCGTGCCCGTGGCATGCTTAGCAAGAAGAAGCGCAAGTTGCATGATCAGATGATGTACACCAATAACAAGAAGAGCGCCGAGGACCAGAAGCTAAGAGAGAAGAGGAGAAAGCTGGAAAAGCAAAAGGCAAGGAAGCCGCCGGCGTAGACATGATCATATAGAGACGGATATCTTGCTTCATAATACCAAGAGGAGTTCACATGGTTGACTATCAGCGAGCACTGTATCTTATGGTGCAATTTTGTACGACCTGCCTGAGCTGTGATTCAAACCTTGATATTCGCCGTAATTCGATATTTGAAAGTTACAGCAGTTCGAGTCCCTGCAGTACTGTTGTGTTCTGAACATCATCGGGGGACGATATGCAAATATGCGGTGGCTAGTTTACGAAGGAGCCCGCCCCACTAATAGCATTTTCAAGCGGCTAACTCGATTACTGAGTCGTTCTACCTTGTAAACTCACCACTCAAAAGTGACACTTACAGCGACGACTCAACTCATCATAATGTGAGTGCTGACCGGCACTATGGCTGCTGCAGAATCAGATGACGATTTCGAGACCTCTTCGAGCTTCTCAGGCTCAGATACGGAGCGGCCCAACCGCTGGGAAGGTCCATCGTCGACATGGCAGGATTTGAACCGCGAGGAAATCAACACGCTGACGGCACTGAACGAAATCAGAAATCGCGATCTTGCGGTTCACCTGTATAATGCATTTGCACTGAAACAACGCCACCGAGTACCAGGTCCGGATAGGGGGCCGTTACCAGACCAGGTATGAGCTCTGTCTCTGTGTTGGAACTTCAAAGACGAACTACGGTAGGATTGACACTCCCTATAGGATATCAATGCTACCACGGGCCAGAAGGTGCAGTCAGATGACTGGCTCCCGCAACGCTCATGGACGGCGTGGCCAATGTGCCGGGAGAGGGTGCCGCCAGATGAGTTCATGCGCCGCGTAGAGAATGACGAGGACGAGAGATTCAACATCGAGAAACCAATCAGACTTGCGACTAGCGCAGCGCTAGAGGACGCTGTAGGTGCTGCGGTCCTTCGCTTCGCAAAGGAGAGGTTCGAAGCCCGGTTGCCAGAGGATGCGGACATCTTGGATGAGCTGGAGTATGACCTGGACGAAGAAGACGTCGACTTCAGTGACCCGCCGTCGCCGCCGAGCATAGATGGAGCGGTTTCAGAAACGTCAAGATCTAGGTCTAGGTCAAAATCACGGTCACGCAAAAGGTCAATCAAGCCCAAGGATGAGAACCGAAGCCTGGGGAATGCAGACATACCCATGGACACCGACAGCGACGGGCCTGAGGTTGATGTTCAAAGCCGCACGTCCCACGGTAAACCAGGAGATATTGTGCCCGTCGTGGCCACTGATGATCAGCTGTCCTACCATCTTATGCGACCTGCTGTCAGAAGCATCCTCGAAAAGTTGGATGCCACACTGATGGTGCTACATAACTCTCGAGACGCAGCAGTGGGCTATCTTTCCGACTCTACGGACGATTCAGACGCATCCGAGACAGTAGAAACCCCAGGGCGGTCTCGAAGCAAGGAATCAGCACCTCCCGTAAAGAAAAGGAGAGGGAGGCCCCCAAAAGCGAATTTGGCAGTCAGACTGCGGACCCCGCCCCCTCCTGCGAGAGACAATGTTTCCACGGGTGCTTCACGTCAAGAATCTGGCCCGCCAGGTAACTCGGAGACAGCCTCCACCGTCCAGGAAACCACGGAGAAGAAGAAAAGAGGCCGGCCACGGAAAGTGTATCCTCGCCTTGAGGGTGAAACTGACCAGGAATGGCATATCAGAGTGGCAAAACTACGCAAAGAACGCACTCCGTTCTTCAAGGACGACTTGGACTCGGATGGCCCCAAGAGCAGTAACTCAGAAGCCCAAGCAACAACGACAGGACATAGAACGAAGCGCAGGACCGGAAAATCTCGCGAAGCATCCCCTGGTGACTCGGAGGAGAGACAGGCCGGGAGAAGGAGCAATGCATGGCGCCTCGGTCTTCGTGACTGGAAGGATATCCTGGGTGCCGCTGCGTTAGCTGGCTTTCCGCAGGCGGCTGTGGACAGGGCGGCGCGGAGGTGCGCAGACCTTTTTGGACAGAGCATGGAGATGCGTACAATGATGGAGGGGCCCGTCGCACATGCAGGGCACGACAGGATTGTGCAGTACCATCCGGGGATGATACCGGATATAACGCCTGATTCGGAGGGAGAGGATGATAGTAGCGACGAGAAACGCTCGCAAACCCAGCGTCATATTCGGTCTTCGAGTGTTGCGCCTGAGGATTCGCGCGGCCGGTCGAGGAGCCGGTCCCAATCGAGAGGCCGGACAAGGTCTCGCTCCGCCTCGGTGGCTTGCTCGCACTTCTGCCGCGTCAGGGGTTGTTCACGGGAGGCGGACGGCTTCTCACGAAAGTCCAACCTTCTCAGGCACATGAAGCTCGTGCACAACATGGAAGATCAGGATATCGCTACCGATGTCGACAGTGAAGACGAAATGCACGGCGCCGTACATGTCGATGGGTTCTTGAAGCCGATCAAGATCAGGAGAGGCTGGAGGGGTGCTGATGAAGTTCGTGCCGATAGTTCGTCTAAGAGACGACCTACAGCACGTCACAGAAGGGCCCGATCTGGTAGCGCAGTGGATGCTGGTGATGGTGGGGGTAGTGATGTTGTGATGGCGGACGACTAACGCATTTCTACACGAGTTCACGCTCTATTGGGCTGCACGCCTTGCTATGCTATTAGGCCCGAGCCATCCAGATGAGATATACATATTGTCAAAATCGGCAACAGCTTCTTGTTTTTTTGCGTCCTAGCAAGCTCACAGTCGTACAGACTGTCAATGATATGCATTTGGGTCCAGAACCTCCCGCCATGGACCTGAACACGCCACGGCAGGGACTCTCTCAGGTTTCACTGGCCCTTTGCCTTGAACTGTCTGTCAACCTCGTCGGCAAACTCTCCAAGCGTAGCAAACTTCCACTCGTACGCAACACGCCCTTGGAATTTCTCAAGCTCCTGGTCGCCGCCCCTACTGATCCACACGCTCCTCAGCCCCAGCTCCTTCGCGGGCACGTGGTCCAACTCTAAGCTCTTCGCCACATGGAGCAGCTCTCCCTTGTCCGGGTCCACGCCCAGCTCCTTGCGGCAGTGGCCGAAGAGGTACTCAAAGTTCTTGCGGTCGGGCTTGTACGACCCGATGTCCTGCGCCGTGCAGACGGCGTCAAAGCGCACGCCGGCGAGCTGGCGCTCCTGGGTGCTGCGCCAGTTGGCGTTGTCGACGTTGCTCAGCACGGCGAGGCGGAAGCGGGCGCCCAGCCGCCGCAGCGCGTCCACCGTGTCCGGGAACGGCGCCCAGGTGCCGGGGGCGTTGCCGAACGGCTCCGCGACGCTGTCGGACAGGCTCACGCCCAGCTCGTGCGCCAGCGCCACCGCGCTCATGGCCTGGTTCTCGTTGAACAGCAGCGTCGGCTCGCGCGCCTCCAGCGCCAGCACCTGCTCCCGGAACCGCGCCAGCGCCTGGACCGGCGGCTCCTCGTTCAGCGCGTGGTCCGCCGGCAGCTGCGAGGTGATGGCGCTCAGCGATTTGAGAAGCCCCGCGTTCTGGTCTATCAGTGTGCCGTATACGTCGAAGCTCAGGGCCTTGAAGGAAGTGAGATCTGGATGTTTGGATTCGGCCATGCCGGTGCTGTTCTCTGACTGTAGACGTATATAAGCGCTTGTGGTAGGAGCGATACCCGGGCGAATATGCTGTATCAAGATGAGATTTGGTCCTGCGTCGGAGGTTCACCTGCAACTAATGAGTCGTTCGTTCATCTACAACTTCTTTTACAGATCCAGAGAGAGGAATATGCAACCTACGTCACGGGATCGGCTTACACGCCCTTTATGCGACTTGCAGGTTGGAGCAACGTTCTGACATCACAACCCCTCATTCCTAAACTGCGACTGTCCTCACTAAACTCTATAGCAACACGACCATAGCCTGGGGGTCACTAAACGTGATAGAAACGCGACAGATAGGGATGTCCCATAATAGGATTGCACAAATTTGGATTCATCACTATGGTTACTGTCAAAGGTTTCTGCTGTTTAGAGAATGAGTGAGCAACTCGCACGCAACAACAAATGCTCCTATACTGCTTCAGTAGAGCCATATACGTACTTATCAATGAGCTTGTGTCATCTTGAAAGCTTCTACGAAGATCAACGCTCAGTTCTGAGTAGGTACTGCATGAGTGTAGACCAACCGTTAGATTCCTCGGGGTTAGAAATGAAATAGACAAGTGTGCCTGCCCCAAGTTGGCCTATTGCAACTGCCTTAAAGCTGGAGGCACACAGCCTGTCAACATGCCTCTGCCACTCAGTGCGCCACAGTGCAGATCAATGGATACACCATAAGGCGATCCCATGTTATCGATTGTGCATTGCACTTGTGAATGTAGCCAACTGAGAGAACAACCAAAGACAGTTCAAGTCACTTCACGGTGCATGTATAGTGAATGTGCACCTACTCATTTTCTCGTTGGAATTCACGCATGCAGGATAGATGGCATAGGCATATTCGGCATTCACTTCCTCGATCATGAATTTCCTGTCGGAATACAGCATGGGTGAAGAAAGGGGATTCACCTAGGGCAACCCAGGTGAGAGAATCTCATACGGGAAGGTAGTCATTTCATATATGGGGTGCAGACAATGGTAGGTGACCCATCACAACTCTTGACATACGACGGACAACTTGCAGTACCCACAGAGTTGTGCATGCACTAAGTAATACTCATACAATTGAATTTTATACTCCCATGCTCACTGTTATTTGATATCGATTGTGAGTCATTCAAGGTGTTTAAAAAACTGGGTTGTCGATTACTTCTTCCGTGCAATGCTTGAGGACTTGGGACTTATCTACTGTCATCACTTAAGATCATCTTGCCATGGCTTCAACTATTCTCTGATGGTGTATTAATCGGCAGTACTGCCTCCAATCTCGCCCAGCGACCCCATTCGCCTCAACTTTGCGTACGAGAGTTCTCGACCTACCCGTACAATTTTTCGCCATATGACCATCCGAACTTTGATCGCCTGACATTTCCCCGCGAGCTTAATGGCAGAATGACCTTCAGGTCTCGAGTTGACGATGGCCAGGAATTGGAGCCAGTCGAGCTCGTTTTCAACCTAAAAGCCTCAGAGACCAACTAAAAGACATCTACTCACATGAAATAGAGCTGTCACAACACAAGTAATTCGTCTGACCGGTAAGTATTCACGATGCTATGTTTCCTGAAAGGTCAATTGCTAAGATTCACTTAGTTGAGCCTCGATTCACCAATGAGGGGCTCTTTAAAAATTACAAATGCCCTCGTGGTTCTGCTCCAACTTAGCCACCAACGTCCCTTCATCACTATCACCACCGCCACGACCACACGCCAAGTGTAACATATTCCCTTCTATCACCAAGGATCGCTCTTGAACTCACTAGGCATCAAGGACCTGACTTCGTGAGTAACCCATCGACAGACATCAACTATCACCAAGCACATCGGCGCACCGCGTTCCTGCCTTACTACCCCCACACAAGCATCCAAAGAACCATCCATCTTTCTTTCATGGTACTGCCATAACATCTATCACTGAGTCAAAACGAGGCATCTACTGACAAAATATGAGATGGTCGGCGGTCGCAAATACGCTAATAAGCAAATCGAGTGGCTTCTTGGCAAGATCGCCAAGGGAGAGCCCCAAGATCAAATCATCGCCGCTTTTCGCGAGAAGTGGGACTGTCCTACGTTTGGAAAGGCGCAGTACAAGTACTTGAAGGGCATGTACGGCGCTGACCCGGAGTTTGGGTGAGTCCTCACCTTGCCTGTCCCCCCGAGACACATTGGAGACTAACATTCCTCAGACTGCCCCTGGTCAACAGGGGCGTCATCACATCGGCGACCTTGGCAAGGACTTCGAATCGTAGAACGAAATCGAAGTCTACTTCTGCGAGCTCACCCGCCCAGAGTGCGCAGGATGCCCTTGCGCATGCAGACTCTGGAGAAGGTCACCTTTCTCCAGACCACCCGTTATCACAGCAGGTGCCATTCCCAGCTTTGAATGGCGGTTCGACCTTTGGCGACCATCTTCCTCATGGGCAGCCAGAGAGTCTCTACCCCAGTCCCTAGAATGGACAGGGAGACTCTCAGGCTCAGCAACGTGAACAGAAGGCACCAGGTGACTACGTCACAAGCGCAGTGCCAGCAGCAGCAGTGACACAACCACCGTACAACTACAATGTGAATTATGCACATATTTATAAACGAACATATACACTAACTTCATCAATAGACGGTTATGATCAATGGCCTCCCTTACGACGCCACCCACGGCTATGACTTGTCGACTTTCAGCCGAGAGAACGACTTGGATTTCGGAGCAGTTCACCACCAAAGCCAAGGTCCGGCTTTTAACAGTCAAAACCCGGCCGGTCAGCTGTTCGGCGACGTGGGTTCACTAGAAGATACCGGCAGCAACTTTGGGTTTTTCGATGGCACCTTTACCGGCGACAGAGACTTTGGCATACGTCCTGGGAGCGGGCAAGTTTACGAGCCAGTTTTCGACACGAGATCGAATATAGCTGCCAGCACGACTGCAGCTACGGGCGCAGCTCCGACGACCTCGGCGGCGTCAGACACTAGATGGTTTCCGAATATTACCACGGATCTTAGTACGAATACGATTCCGGATGCTGCTACGGTTGTGGATCCTGCTTTGGCATGGTTTTCGACTACGACCACGACTCCGGCTACGACGACGATTCCGGCTACGACTACGGCAAGGACTACGACGACGAGTCCGGTCTTCGGTACGGCCCCGGCTGCGATGATGACTCCCAATACAACAATGCTTTCGCCGACAGTATCGAGTCTGCCTGCGGGAGTCTCTCCGGGTCCGGGTCCGGCTCCGGTGCCAATCGTAAGACCGGGTAGAAACGCGGTTCCTACACCAACACCACACACCGTTCTGGCACCAGAGATGTTCCCACCGTCGACCCACGCATACGCGTTTAACCAAGAAGGCACTCTGCCACCACGGCCAGAGGGCTGCATGCCGGAGGCGCGCACCGGATGGGACATGGTGGGTTGGTACTACGCCGGGCAGCACGATAGGTGCCCGATTCCCATCATTCACCGACATACGCAAGGAGGCCAGGTCCAGTTCGACTCGGTCTACGACGTGGCATGCATGTTAACAGGTCGGCCGTTGGAAGCAGTCTCACAACCAAGTACGGACTGTGCAAGCATTGTCGCTTCCTCTCCTCACGTCGGCGACGGTGCCAGTACTGATACGGAGATGAAGACCGACCCTTAAGCATCATTCCATTGCGACGCCAAACTAAAAGTTCGGCAATGTGACTGGTAAAGAAACGGCGGGAGAACATCGTAATGGGTGGATTACGGCACCCAAAACAAGAATCAGTTATTCTTCTTTACTGGTTTTTTTTTTAATATTACATGTGTAACACAAGTCCGAAGATAGCTTAAATAATTTCGATTTTTAATTTTAAATTAAATATACGTTATTTTTATTAAAATAAAGTACGGTTATTATAATATTATTTTAATAATCATTTTTTTCACTTTAATTTTAATATTTAAAACACTTTAAATATTATAACTTAAGATTTAACGTATATTTCATTTTGAGTTTTAATGCGAAACGGCTTAAAAATAAGTGAGCATTTTGGTAAAGGGAGTATTTAAGTAATTTAGTAATGAATCTGTCTTGTCACTGTCGTTTCACGGTTTCCGGCTTCCTCGCGCTGCACGACGGGGAACTCGGAAAATTTATCGAGGAACCTGACCATTTCCTCGCGGAGAGATTCGGTCGTCGGCGAGGTTGTTAGTTTGATAGTCGAAGGTCTCGTCGTCGCACAGCGACGGCCCCGACGAACTCCACCTCTGAGCTTTTTGACTTGTAAGAGTATGCAGATGATGTTGCGGATGATAGCTTAGGAGTGCGGGCGGCAGAATCGTCGTTTAGAGAGCCGGGCCCCTGGAATGCGGATTTCATTTCCGAGAATAGCCTGGAATGAGTGCGATTACCGAGGAGCCTGGACAGCATTGACAGCCTCATTTTTCTGCAGCTACTTCAACGCGATGCCACACACTGGCTAGCACCAAGTGGTGTGCACTCGCCGTGTTGTAACGAAGACCTGGTAGGCAAGACCTGGCATTACTTTCCGTCAGCTTACCGGGAGTTTCAGGATGCCTTTAGTCAACGGTACGATGATCAGCATCCTCTGAGGCGTTCTCAGCCTGATTATCACATTTCAAAATAAGATCTGTAGTCTCGAGACAAGTAACGTCGGGCTTATTGATACGGCTGTCTGTCGCGGCAAGATAGTCGAGCGTCTTGTAAAGCATACTAATCGACAACGAAGATGTAGTTTAATAAGTCTATTGTGGTGATAGTCGCAACACGACCGGTGCAGTACATGTTGAAAGTCGTGGGGATGTAGATAGATATAGGCTATGCAAAGTACCGAACCCGATTTTACCAAGTGCGCCATCCAGAAAGGGTATCTCGAGCAGGGGCAGAAATGAACAAAGAGAACTAAATGGATCGCTGTACCTCCCACAAAGCAGCAGAGCGTGGACGGAAGTGCTTGCCGTCTGCCCTACTTGCTCAAACAACAATGCTAATATTCTTTCGCGTGTCGGCCTCTTCCATCTGGAACCCGAACACGAGCTTGAATAGCTCTCTCAAGAAGCCGTACTGGCTTGATCGATGTGTCATCCATGTCACACTCTTGGCCATGTCGGTAGCTAGTACGCGTTTGCCCCGGCTTGGAAGCGAAGACGAATGTCGGAACGACGAGTCCGCGACGATCAAGTTCTTATAGCTTTGAAGGAGCGTAGCATGTGTTGGGAGCGAACCGAAGGAGCCTGTTGGCAAGGACTTGACGAACGATTGCAGTGAGGCCGTGCCCCCGTGACCACTAGAAACATCGTCCCGCGAGAAGCCCACATTCATGGCGGCCTTCAGAATTAGTGTCTTGATGCGGGTGATATTGATGTCCTCGGCCGAGGTAGCTGTAGTAGCCGTGCTCGAGGTTCTCTGGCTGCTTTGTGAGTAACCCGACAAATTCGACGCACTGCTGGACCATCGTCCTCCTTTGTTGCTTTCTGTGCCAAACACCATAATGTTAGGCGCTTGAGGCGAGTGGCTTTCTGGAGAGACAGGCGTGTCCTCAAACTCCGTCACCGGTGTCTCTGGGACTGGCGGCGGCTTCTTTGTTTTCTCTTGTGACATATTCTTCAGACTCTCGCGCTTGGACCTGTTCGATGCGCGGCTGGCACGACCATCCTGATCTACTTGATCCCGTTGATAGGTGAAAAAGTTGGTTTGGCTCGGCCTTGGAGTGCCTCTGTCCGGTCTTATCTGAGTCCATCCTTCCCTGAAGATGTCGCATAGTTCCCAACAAGCCTGAACGGCGGATCCAAGGAGTTCTTCGTCTGGGCCCTTGCCCTCTCTTTTGTTCTGCCTGAGACTGAATAACATTTCCGCTAGCGACCAGCAGGCCCGGAGGAGAGAGTCAGTCTCCTCAGCGAGCTCGTTGCGTTGCTTCATGAGCCGATGGCATAACGTGATATAAAAATCCAGAGTGCGCTCCCGGAACGCTTCTGGCAAGTTTCTGTTGTCTTGAGCGCTGTATAAACTGGAAAAGCTAGTTAGCAGGCGTTGCAGAGGCGACTCGCATTGACTTACTGGTTGTTCAGTTCAAAGCTGACGCGTAGGACCGAGTCTGCTATCTCGTCCTTCTTCGTTCTGACATCAAACAAAGACTGACAGAAATCCCGACAAAGGTCCAGATTCATTTTAACGTTGAAGTACTGGTCGTCCTCGTCGCGGTTATCATACAGGCGCTGGCACAACTTCCAGCACGCCTTCCAAGCCTTTTCATGCGCATCGGGAGTTCCAGATGTGTTGAAAACCCTTTCGCGGTGGTGGGTGCTGAGAGTAGCCAAGGTATTGCACAAGGTCCAGCACTCCCCAAGTGCTGTCTTCAGAGATCTGATCTCCATGTCCTCTCCACCGGAAGGCGTAACAAATTCCTCTTCGTCGTCAGCTTCCGGATCAGGCTCAGCATCAGTCTCAGGCTCCCTCGATTCAGGGATTACTAAGTAAGAGATCAGTATGTCGACAAAAGACAAAAACGGAGCTTGGCGACTACCATACATTCAAGACTGCTTGCACTACTAGACCGTATCCTTGCCGATTCACTCAAAAGACCTTGCACTTCTTGTAGATTCTGCGCACGCGGTGTAGCACTGTCGAGGCTGAACCGAATCGGCTTAACGTCTGTAGATATGGGTGGAGGTGTGGGCAATCCCGGAGAACGAGCCTGCTCCTTCGTCAGTATAACATTCAGTTCCAGAACCCATCAAGAGAGGTACCTTTGAAGCATGACCCGGTACTCTGATTTCATTAGGTTTTGGGGATGTCTTTGGCGATGATTTCTTGGCCGACTCTTCCGAAGCAGGTTCAACAGTGGAGTCCGAAGAAGTCTATGGACTATGGTCAGAACAAATCACCAGCTTGACTCCAACTCCAACTTACCCAGCTTTGGAAACTTTCAGGAGCATGGATGACCGAAACAGCCTCGTCACTAGTTGACTGGCGCACTTGGTCTGGTAAGTTTGTTCTAAGCATCAGGAGCTAGTGCCACATTAGCTCTCTGTCGGCCAGGCGGCTGTGCAACTACCTACCTGCGGTTGCGAAGAGGATTCTGAGCTGGGAGACAGCAGCCTGGCATCATCCGAAGCCTCGTCCTCGATCTCTGTGACCTCCGTCCCTACCGAAGTCACCGGCGACGGGCCGACAATATCACTGGGACTCATCAGGTAGTTGTTCATCGACGACGATCGAGCAGCAGCGGCGGATGAAGGACGAAGGGAGCTCGACTCCACGGAGCCAGCAGAGGACCTGAAAAGGTTCTAGTAAGCAGGCGAACATCAATGGGCATAAACGTTGTCGAGTACGAACTTTGGGCGGAAGTGCGCATGAGGCGCTGGCGACTCCGGCGAGGAGACAGCCATATCTGTATGGGGCGAGAAGGTAGATATAGCACTGCCGGTGGACGACCTCAACGGAGCTTCGAGTGCCATGGTTGCACACAGGGGGGGTTTCGCGGGCGATGGCGAGGCCGGCTTTGTTGCAAGTCGAAGTCTGAAGCCACCGGGTGATTGACAGGTCGCGTTGCTTGGAGCCAGACACAGCGTCGGCAACCCCACACAGCGCGCTTATAAGTGAGTCGCGTTATGGCAACAGACAGGACCCTGACGCAGGTCGTCACGGCGCGGTAGAGAATACGCCTCGAGGTGGCCGTACGAAGGAGGGCCAGCGAAGTCCAGCTTCAAGGAAAAAAGCCCAGCTCAGAGGCGCAACGAGACTTGGGTGGGAACTGCCCGCGTTAAAAGCGACCCAGGTCCAAGGGTACCGGGCCCAAGGCAATAGTCGACCAGGCTGTGCCGCAGTGAAGGGGCCGCGGCTCCGGGCCGAAGACTGATGGTATATGGGAACGTTGGTGGAACTGGTCAGTAGACAGGCTCGATGAGACGCAATTGGTCGAAGCTGTACTCATCCGCTAAGGAGAGATAGAAGAAGCGCGTTAGGACTGTGACCAGTTGTTCGATTCATCGCCGGGCGAGGAGGGGTTGGTTGATCCACTGCCAGGTTGACACCAGCTCTATCCAAGAAGCTCCACTAAGCCTCAAGTGGATGGAAGTGCTTCGGCAGGTCTGTAGGCTGCGTGTAAGGACCGTGGTGCGCATGTAGAGAGTAACCCCCGGTCGTTGGGTGATTGGGGGGTCGGGTCCGTAGTGGGAGGAAGACAAGAACAGGCGTACAGAGACAGCAGAACCAGCAACCCCCGTATACAGCCCAGTCCTCTATCTGCCCGGGACTGATCTTTCTGGAGCTCGGGTAATCTGTAGGGACCAGGTGGGTTTCCCACGCAGAGACAGCAATGACACTTGGCCGGTGGCCTTGTTGGCTTACTTTGCGCCTCCTGGTGTTCAGCAGCAAGATGCAATGCAGGTATCTCGCGCTGCACCGTACCAATCTAGCCCGCGAATGCGCGTCTTGACCAGTCGTGAGGATCTTGACCAGTCAGATGCCGCCGAAGTGATGGTTCGGAGGATGGGGCATCTCCTCTGAAGGGTGGGCTTGCATGAAGCAGACAGGGGTCTCGGCGCTTAATAGCGGTGGCTCGCTTCAACCGACGAGTCACAGGAACCTATGTCGAGACCAACCCCAGTCGCGAACCAGGGGGCGGCCGCTGGTTCTAGGAATTAACCCAGTCAACCACCATGGCGGGGCGACGAGATCGTGGTCCATGGGCACTTAGATGGCGGGGAGTCCAAGATCCCCTGCTGGAAAGAAAGCATATGAAGATGGGTATCAATATCTACCGCCTATGAAGCGGTGAAACAGCCGGATGTGAGCGGATATGCCCGCTTGAACTCTTTTGCCGGCTGTTGGGACATACACGGTACCAAGCACCTTGGGAGAACGTTTTGTGCTCTTTCTCCACGCCCATGAATACGGCGAGAAGAGATGGCAAACTGTTTTGAAGTTGACACGACCAAAGACTTGTCTGTCTGGTAGTATACTAGCCAGCGTGGCCAGCAAAAGGTGCCCACTAGCTTGCCTGAAATGGACGCAAAAGTCGAGATAACAACCCGGCACCATGCAGTAAGTGCTATGCAAGGGAACTTTGTCGCACTCGCTGATCCCCGAAGTTAAATGGCGTTTTTGCCCGCTTTCCTGTTTCCGACGATCTGGTTCGCCTTTTAATAGAATACGCACTAGTGAGGTGCCTCCCGTACATAGTACAGGGTCGCCTAGGCCCTGGAGGGGAACAAAGTGATGTGCTAACCTAGACCTAGAGATCAGCACTCTTAGCATCATGCAGCCAGAAAACACTGTGATGTTTCGCAACAGCTGTGATGTGTCTGCACAACATTGGGCATGAAGACAACAGTGATAGGAGACAGGAGCCAATGCTTGCTTTTCATCACGGACGTGCGCAGAAAGAACCAGTGGGAGAGGTCTACGAGACTGGAGGTGGGGGCCGAGTTTTGCAGGAGACGAAGATGCACACATGCAAGTCCATGATTGCTTCGGGCCTCGGGTTGTGCTTCCCTTGAGCTCGTACTTTTGTCGTATCACCTTCAAGTCCTTGTCAGAAGCAGTTTTGAGCTTTGTAGGCCTCGCCGAGAGCCCAGCTATTGCCGAATGGTACTTTGTTACAAATTGTGGCGTGCCGGGTGTATTTGTGCCTCCATCCTACGGCGCCGTCGAGAGCGAAGGCTGGCAATTCCCTGTCTATCACTGCACCTGCCAGCTTCTGGAAAACTGCCCCCAATCGCATCTGGGCTGGCTGTCTCCGGCCCTGCGAACTGTTCATGGGTGCTTGCATCCAGCCTAGGGCTTGTCATGTTGCCCCGTCGGATATCACCGTCCGACGCTTGCAACTCTGACAGACATTGAGACAGATTTGTTCCTTCTGGTCCCCCGACTCTACGAGCCTCTGCTGACTCGGCTGACGTCCGTCTTCGCAAATTCTGCAGCCATTCTTCGGCGACTGCCTCGTCATCTGGTTGGCTTTCGCAAGTCAATTGCCGTGCTGAACGCTAGCCTTACAGACAGCGGCCGGAAAAGCTTGGACAGCTTCTCACGTCTGACTGGTTGGTCTCAAGCCGGGACTTCCTGGCTTTCCTCACTGTCGGTGTACACTAGACACCAACGCAGGCACTGAGTGTCAGCCAATAATTGCAGAGAGCAACGAGTGGGGCATTATAGCACAGGTCATCAGTAGCGGTCCTACAATTCGAAGGGGATGCAGTCCCCGCCTTATGGGGGTCATGCGAGGGGTCAAATTCCTCGTGGTGATCTCGAGACAATGTCCGACCACAAGATGGATCATTTCAGTCTCGATTCCGATAGAACGTAGGATTGCATACAAAAAGGAATAGCAAGCCGGTAGCTGCATAGGCGCCATACTGCCCAAGCTAAGCTAAGCTCGCCAGGTCGCTAATAAAAACGGTTGGCCGCGAGAGAACGGCACAGACGCGATGGTGGGGAATTTGTATACTTTGGCAACATCCCTGGGCTGGCACGCCGGGGGGAGAGATGTTGGAAGCCCCTTCGCTGAGTGCTGCTTGAATGTGTAGGCACCTTTCACCTAAAGTGGTAACGTTATTTGACAAGCACAAGCGGATTGTCCCCTGCCAAAATCACACCACCTCGCGGACGTGATGTGCACGGTTGCGGCGAGGCCATCTCTCGTGAGCAATGTTCAATGTGATAAATCAGAGCCGCAATGCCGACGATCAGAAATCCTCCGACGCCATGCAACTCTGTGGGACCCAGTTGGCCGGTTGGGCAACCTCACATTGCCCACATGGCGAATCCTGGTGTGGTTCGTCGAGCGGACATCTTGGAACTGCCCTGATGCATTGACAACGCATCCCTTAAACGCCCTCCATAATTGGACTAGGCGTAATTCACACAAGGTCCAGGAGTGTGCTTGTCCAGGAGTGTTCTTCGCACCTGGAGAATCAAATCTCTCTACAGCTCACGGGTCATGGCCATGGCTTGTGATGCAATCGATATTGGCAATCCTGGTTGTCACATTTCCCGAATCCTCTTGATCACATGATTCGCTATTTATGCTAAGCGGTCATTGTTGGCCACTGTCTTGGATGCTGCCGTCGACCCCTGTACGCTCGCAGCAAGGGCGGCTATATTGCTCGGTAAGCGCGATTGAGATCCAACAAACAATGGCAATAGACGCCCCAGCTAGTATCCGTCTGAGGATCTCGCCTCGCACAGCCTTTGCTGCGGCCACGGCCACGACCTGGTCGAGGAAAGAGGAACGGGACTGCCCCATATCCAATGCAGGTGGCACTACGCCTCCAAAAAGACCAAGAGCTCAAGGCAGATTTTTGACGCGTTCGGGGATACCGTCACCAATGGCCATGACTTGAGTGCTCTGCGAGCTTGTGTTCTCTCCCTCTAGGTGTTCCTAATATCCCAAATCAAGTGCAGAATCGCTTTTCCCCAACGCCGTAGAATGCAGTTTTGCGGATTCAAAGAATCCTACCGATCGCCTAACACAGTCGAGTACCGCGTTGCGCTCTAGCCTCGGTGCAGAGTGACCTTCTTCTCGTGGCGACCATCGGGAGTGTACCTTAAACCTGTGATTAGCCTCCACGTCCGGATCAACCGATGGAAACCAAACTTCCTCCTTCTGGGGTGGCGGTTGAGGGGCAATATGACATACTTGAGCAGCTTCTCGATAAGGTCGACGTGTGTCATGATCATACGGCGGCAGCAGTAGCGCTTGAGACCGAGCTGGTCCATGGCCTCACTGTCGGTAGGCGTTAGCAGAGGTAACGGTAGATTTGGAGGGACGGTTACTGACCCATCGGTAGCACCATCGTCAACAAGCTTGAGGTAGCGCTCCCAGAGATCTCCAGTGACCTGTTTGTTGCGTTAGCATTCCAGGCCGCGGGTGGTTGGCAGGCAAGGCGGCGCGGAGGCCCGGAGCGTGCGTACCTTGCCACAAGAGAAGCAGCGAATGGGGATAATCATCTTGACTTTGATCGGAGGTGGTGTCTGACGGGGTTGCGTGCAGGCGTGGAGGAAGCGCTTGGTACGGGAGCGGGTTGCGACAAAGACGGGCGCTGCTGGATTGGAATGAGGCTCTACAAAATTTGAGACTCGCTGCAGCCTTCCGGCTCACTAAAGTTGGGGCGTCGGCACAAGCCAATCAGCGCCCGATCGCGTCCAGAACAACTTTGCCGGGGATTTGCCAGCTGGTACCGTTGATCTTAGACAGTGGACTCGAGTACGCTTCTAGAAAGCTCAGAGCTTGGCAAAAGCTGCTTCACCCGTAGAATTCGTCATGTCTCTTGACACGACTACTTTGTCATTCCCAAAGACGATCTGGTCAGCGGCTGTTCTCGTTGGACTTGTGCTCCGAGGCTTGTAGAATGGATGTACCACCCGGGGCGGCCTTATCGCGGTTCGAGTGTGGGGCTTATCGTGCTAGTTCCTGGAACTTTTTTTCTGAAATCCAATCCGCCGCCTGTCTGCAGCTTCAGGTCGAGCAAAGGCCGGGTCCAAAGTTTTTGACCGTGAACGTGACACGACAACCCGCCGTCACAGCATCCTTCTTGACAGCCAACAGCCCATCATGGCGCCCAGCACGACGATCGATGTAGGTGCAGCCAGTCCCAAAATCAGGGCACCCTCCCGGTAACTGACCTTCTCGCAGGAGGCCAAGGCTGCGAGCAAGCGCAAGCGGGACGCCGAAGAACTCGGCAGGAGTAAACGAGCGAAGCGAGACAAGCAGAAGTTGAAGAACAGGGAGTCGACTGGCTCACACCGCGAGAGCTCTCCCCAGCCTGAGCCCCTGGACTACCAGGAAGCCGCTCCAGGGACCCCTCTAGTCGAAACCCGGATCCTCGAAGTCAAGTCAGAGCAGCGGAAGAAGGCAAAGAAGCAGACCAAGAGCCAAGATGCCTCCCCGTGGACGCTGTCCCAACCCATGGGAGGAAGAATGCTGGATATTGACCCCATCCTTACCAGCAACGACAAGTATCTGATTCTCGCATACACCACCTCTGTCCAAGTATACTCTGCTGCCGACTCTCTTCTTATCCGCAAGATACCACTGCCGCTAGTCGCCAAGAACACCGAGAACATCGTCGGTTTCTCTCTGTCCCCGACCTCGCCAGATCTCCTCTGGATCGCCTCATCCACTGGCCGACTGTGGCAGGGCAACTGGACCACCGGCCAGGGCTTTGACGCACCTGTTCAGCTCGACTGCTCAATGCTCAAGGATTTTACTGTGCAGTCCGTGGTGATCAACAAGCGACCTACGGATGTGCCTTTCGTCTCCGGCCTCGCGAACGACACCTGGCATATCTGGGCTTGCCATGTTCAGGACAAGGAGCTGAAGAAGCAGAGACCGCTGCTCTCTCGCGAGGACGTTATTGAAAACCTGCGCTCCATCGACAACGGCCGAGCTCTCGCCGCTTCTTCGAGGAGAGACATCATTCTCGGCTCGCTTCAGACGACCTTCTGTGGCTCCATCAAGGACCTTGCTTACGAGTTCTTCATACTCGATTGCGCCGACGAAATAACCTCCCTCGACCTACGCGGCGCTGAGCGTGTCCACCTGAACCGCAAGTCACAACTTCGCGCTGGTGATGAGGCTGTACTCGATCTCGTGGTCGGATGCGCACGCGGAGCAATCTACTTCTACAATGACCTTTTGCCTCAGTTGCAATATCTGCAGAAGGCTGGTGGCAAGAACTACACCTTACAGCCTAGGAAATACCACTGGCACCGCAAGGCTGTGCACGCCGTCAAGTGGTCGCAAGATGGTGAGCCTCACTGTGAACTCTTGAGGAACGACGTGCTGACTTTCTAGGTAACTACATCATCTCCGGTGGCTCCGAATCGGTTTTGGTTTCGTGGCAATTGGATACAGGGAAGATCGACGTGCTTCCTCATTTGACCGCCACTATTGAGAACATTGTCATCTCTAGCCGCGGTTCTAATTATGTCATTCATCTGGACGATAATTCGACCATGATTATGTCTACAGCGGAGATGAAGCCTACCACTTATGTCTCTGGCATCCAGTCACTTGTTGCCCCGCCGCCGCCATCGAAGGACAATTTTGTCAAAAGAATCGGTCAAGTCCAAGACCGAACCATACTCTCAAAGATTCCTGCAGCTATCGACCCAAAGAATGCTACGCGCTTACAGGTATGCGTCGGCAATGGACAGCAGACTAGCCATTCTGGAGATGCAGCATCTACACCACTGCTGCAGACTCTAGATCTCAGCACCGTTCAAGGTATTGCGAAACAGGCGATGACTCGAACGCATCCCACCGACGTCAACGCAACATCAAAGGGCTACCCAATCACAGAGCCCAGGGTGACCCACATGGCATATTCACATGATGCGAAGTGGTTTGCTACTGTGGACGAGTGGCAGCCTCCTGCGCGGGACACTGAGGTCTTGGACTCATCCGCGGATAGGCGCGAGGTATACCTAAAATTCTGGACCACCCCAAGCGAAGGCCAGACGTTGGAGCTCGTGTCCCGCGTCAACGCCCCCCACTACACCGGTCGGGATGAACGTGTCCTTGATCTGGCCGCCGATCCAACGTCTCATACCTTTGCCACCATCGGCGAGGATGGTGTGGTGAGATTATGGAAACCCGCCATCAGGCAGCGTGATGGCATCGTTGTCAAGAGCAGAACGGGCAAGGCAATGGAGAGCTGGGCCTGTGTTTCTGCGATCCATCTTCAGGAGAACAAAGCCCTCGCGGACTCGCAAGTCGTATTGGGCAGATCTTCACCCCAGCGGAGTGGTGCATTGTCGTTTTCCGAAGACGGCTCTATGCTAGCCTGCGCTTTCCAGAACGGCCCCGAGTCTGCGACCTACCTTGTCGATGTTGAGTCTGGTAGCGTTGTGGATTCGCTCGATGGTCTTATCAGCGGATCAGTCCAGAGTCTTCGGGTACTGTCGACGCAAGTCATCGTCTTGTCTCAGGTGCTCGTTGTATACAACATTGTTCAAGACGAGTTGACGTACGGTATCAACCTGAGTCCGGATGGTGCGGCGGCAGCGATTCAATCTCTGTCGCAGCTTGAGGTGGACTACCCATCGCGTAGCTTTGCGATCACTGTTTCGCGCGCCAACAGGCATGAGGTGGTCAAGTCCGAGGTGGCCGTATTCAACTTCGACGGTTGTGAGCCGGAATTTGTTCATCAATTCTCACACCCCGTGGTATCATTGATTACTTCCCCTGGTTCCAGCGGATATCTTGTCCTGGATTCCTCGGCCCAGGTCTGGTCCCTCAGCCAGAGCGCAGATACAAACTCTGTGGCCGTAGCTCAACCTTTGGCTGATATCAACCTTGACAAAGAGCCCGCGAATGCCATTGAAAATGGTGTTCTCGCCTTCGTCAACGAGACAGACGAGGTTGCCAGCGATGATGAGATGGAGGTGGATGCTCCAGAAGATGTAGCAATGGAGGGTGAAGAATACCCTGTCGTGGTTCCCCCTCAAAAGCTCGCAGAACTATTCGACTCGGCACCGCCATTCGCCATGCCACCCATCGAAGACATGTTCTACCAAGTCACCAAGCTCTTCACCTCAAAGTCCAGCCCGGCTGAGGCGGCGTGAGTCTAGTGTCGTCTATATCCTTAATCAGGGGTCAAGAGCGCATGCACGGAGTGTGAATGATGAATCCGGGTTAACCTATAGCAGCCTCGATAAGTTAATCTCTGGATCCTGCTTGAGCCGATGATGCATGCACGCGCGACCTAGGCATAAACATGCGCATCTTTCAGTGCTCTTGGCTCGCGATAGTCGGCAGTCCGCGCCGCTCTTCCAGAACGAGAGTCTCGCGGCAGGATCTTTTCAGGCGTTCAACGGTGCACCCGAGGTTAAGGGGGTAAAAAGCAGTCCAGGTCATCTCAAGATTCAATGGCAGTGTTTCGGCCCTTTGAAGGACGGTCCACATTTCCATGAAGCGTGTTGTGGGGTAGCGGATGCATAGGCCGGCCGATCTAGGAATTACGCCATCGGTACTGAGGTTCGACGGAGAGTAGAGTAGAACATCCATTGCAGCCTTTGACTTGATACCTAATAGAAGTCATAAAATCTGACACAACAATCAAGAAGATAATCTTCATCACCACCATCTTGAGGTAGCCCGTGATACTACACTGAATAAGTATTTACCAACTTATTGAACTTATCGTATCGGTCGACTAACCCTGTGGCCAGAAGCTTGACTGAGATCAGTCATCGTCCCATCTTATCGTCTTTGCAATGGCTTTCAGCGAAGTCCCGATTCTAGACCTAGCCTTGGCCAGTGATCCAGCTACGAAGCCAGCCTTCCTCGCGGACTTACGGCATGCCCTGATGGAAGTCGGGTTCCTCTATCTCAAGAACGTGGGCATCCCAGATGAGCTCTTCGCGGATGTCATCAGAGAAGGCAAGGCGTTCTTCGATATCCCACTAGAAGAGAAGTCAGTGTTGACACCCTTATCCCCGTCTTCTCTCTCTTTCTACGCCCAGTTTCATTCCTATACGGCCCCAGATCCTTTAGAACCTTGTCCAGATGACTTTGCATCAGAAGAACTACTTTCTCCTTTTGTCTTCCCCTTTACTCCTCGTGCTTGGGTTCCAAATTCCTACCACTAACACACAAGAGGGTGAGTCGAACAGACTCAAAATCGAAATGAAGAACGCGCCCTCCTTCCTGGGCTACTCGCAGCTGTCGGCCGAGATCACGGCCGGCGCCGTCGACCACCGCGAGCAGATCGACCTATCGACGGAGCACCCGGTGCCGGGGCCCGGGGCCCCGGCGCACCACAACCTGCTGGCGCCGAACCAGTGGCCGTCGGGCGACGTGCTGCCGCGGTTCCGGCCCGTGTTTACCGAGTACATGCGCCGCATGGGCGCCGTCTCGATCCGCTTCACGTCGCTGATCGCCGAGGCCGTCGGCCTGCCGCCCTCGGCCTTCGACAAGTACTTTGACGAGGGCCCCCGCCAGCAGCACAAGCTCAAGGTCGTCAAGTACCCGGACGTGGCGGAGCTGGGCCTCGGAGCGGCCGCCGCGGGCCACGGCCAGGGCGTCGGCCCGCACAAGGACAGCATGCTGACGTCGTACCTGCTGCAGGCGAGCGCGCACCGCGGGCTGCAGGTGCAGAACATGCGCGGCGAGTGGATCGACTGCCCGCCCGTCGCCGGCACGCTGGTGGTCGCCATCGGGCAGGGGCTCGAGGCGCTGACGCAGGGCGTCTGCTGCAGCACGACGCACCGGGTGCTGAGCCCGGCGGCGGGCGAGGGCGCGCGCTTCAGCATCCCCTTCTTCCAGGGGGTGCGCGGGGACGCGACCTTCGAGGACCTCGAGACGGTCGGCGTGGGCGAGGTGCCGGCCGCGGTCCGGGCGCAGCGGGCTGCCGTGCTGGAGCGCAACGGCGGCCGCCTGGACGACGTCGAGTTCACCTTCCGCAAGGGCGGCGTGGCCAAGACGCTGGGCGAGGCGACCCTGCGGAACCGTGTCAAGAGCCACCCGGACGTGGGCGAGCGCTGGTACCCGGACATCCTGAGGGACATCAGGGAGCAGCAGGCGCGGGAGGCAAGGGAGAAGGAGAGGATGAGCAAGGCTGGTGACAGTGGCAGCGCCGGCGGCACCAATGGTACGCAACCGGCGGCTGTGGAAGCACATTAAGGGGATTGCATGACACAGGCAGCAGCAGCAGCATCAATGAGAGCGGTTGTGTGGTCTTTGTTTTTTTTTTACTTAGTATATCCCAAAGCATGAATATCATTTACTCGTAAGACTCGTAAGACACGTCTTCCCGTCTTGCTTCCAGTGTACGCCTTCGCTATGTCCAGTGGCCCCCTTTACTATCGGCTCTCTGTCCACCCGTCCGGACCGGATTGCGAACCGGATTGCGAACCGGGAATCCAACATCCCTGGCCCGAGGCCGCGGGTGATGGCATGGCAGGGCTCTATTTGACCTCGTAGGTAGGGAAGCACTCGGGGAGAGTCTTGCTGTGCTTGTTGACAGCGTGCTCGGTGAGCCTTTGATTCTTGTTAGTCACGGCCAGGTTCCCTCATTCCGGTCTCGTAATTGCACGTACTGAGGAGCACGGGTCGTCTTCAAGAAGGTCGACTTGCAGATGTTGCACTGGATGTCCATAGCCTGGACGTTCTGCGAGCGGATTCGTTAGCTGGGTGCTCTTCTGGGGAACCGCTTTGCACAGGCGATAAGATAGTTCTTTGCCTGGTAGGATCTTGGCAGGAATCGGATGCACATACGCTCTTCAGCTGTGACTTGGCGACCTTGCCGTCCTTTGCGTTGCGCTCGCGCTTCTGCTGTGCCTTGGCTCCCTGTGGATGAAGAATGTCAGCTGAGGCGGTACTATTTTGAAACTTTGGGCATCGTATTTGCGCCGGATAGCGGGAGGCAGACTTACGTTACCCATTTTGACGGTTGAAATAGTCGCTGGATCGCAGGGGATCGAAATCACTTGTCGCAAGGTGTTTCAAAGGGTTCGGAGAGATGGTGAGGTTGCCGGCGCGGGAAAAGGGGACGTCGTATTTTTTTCTCGGGATCAGCGCATGGGAAGAGGAAGAAGTCCCTTAAATTCGTTCGCCCCGCCGGCCTTGACCGGAATTATGGAGACACTGAGAGTCTGGAACAGGTGGGGGTGCACTGGAAGGGAGGCCTGGGCACGGATCACCAGGCGGCAAAAGTCGCCGGCCTGGGGGGCACTATACTAATGGGATCGGGTGCGCACCCGGGAGCGAAAGCTGGCATCCGGTTCATGTCCATTTCTACCCACGCACCAGTACCTAAGTACTCTCTCAGCAGTATCGTGGTGCAAGCCGGAGGGTTATTTTCCTCCGCGCTCTGGTCGATATAGCCTGCTGTCCATCATCGTCCTAGTGCATGTTCGAGCCATAAACAATGGCACCACAAGCTCTGCTACCCGAGAGCATCACTCTCGATGAGTTTAACGAGGTGCTGAAGCAATATCCGTCCTTGATCGATGACATCTCAAGCAGCAAGAACTGCAGGTTACCACTCGCCCGGTGAAGCACCTCATTATTGACCATTTATTACAGCTAAGCCCGGCCAGAAAACTCTCGCAGAACTAGACGAGTTCCGATATGGCGAGGCTGTTGGCTCGTTCAGCTCTCAGAAACCGAAACGGACCATGAACCACGAGGATGTCAAAACCTTGGTTGATTGGAAACTGTACGTTTCTGTAAACTATTTCTCTTATATTGTCCCATGCGCAACCGATACGCGGTCATAAGTCCTCATGATCACCTTGCCAGGTGTAGATCGATCCTGTTATCCCTTCCTGTCTCAGACAGTGAGCTACAATTGTCATATCTCTCTAACTCATCGCAGCCGTCATGGAAAGTTTCGCCCAACGCTCATGAAACTAGTTTCGTCAAACGATGCCGACTCGGTACAGGAAACCGTCAGTGGCGCCATCAAATCATACTGGGCAGACCCAAACCCCTCCAAAGCTCTGGATGGCATCTGTAAGCTCAAGGGCGTTGGTCCTGCAACAGCATCTTTGCTTCTCTCGGTACACGATCCTGAGAGGGTAATTTTCTTCTCTGATGAGGCATTCTACTGGCTCTGCTGCAAGGGCCAGAAATCTCCCATCAAGTACAATGCCAAGGAGTACCAAGAGCTGAACAAAGTTGCCCAAGCCGTAGTCAAGCGTCTGGGTGTCAGCGCAACCGATGTCGAAAAGGTGGCTTATGTGATGATGAAGCAAGGCGATGGTCATTCTCTATCCTCCAAACGAGAGAAGGATTTGCCCACAGATGTGCAGCCGACTGAAGCCTCAAGGTTGGGAAAACCATCCAAGAGGAAAGAGAAGCCGGAAAGACAAGACACCTCAGACTCATCTCTGAGACGATCAAAACGTAATAAAGCCTGACGACCCATTTCTTAATAGAATTCATCCAAAGCATCCACACAAGAGTCTGGCCCAGACGTTGGCCTATACTCTACTGTCAACCGACGAGGAGCCAGTGTTTGGAAGATGAACAACAGCGTTTGGTGTAAGGCTGTCGTCAACAACTCAAAGTGCCAGATGGAGGCCCAGTATCCGGATCCCGTCACATTCTGCCGTCCCGAGTAGGAGGTTGTGCCTGGAGCTTACGCGCCAGTCGGCGACGCCTGTTATTGGATGCATCTATCATCATCTGATCTAACCGTTGGCGTGGGAACATGGGCAAAATTTCGACGGTGCACCGGCAGTAGCTATAGCTGGGGCTACGGCCGAAGAGCTGGGGGTCGACGCTTGCGGTTATGTATCTTCGTTCACGTGACGGTGGCTGCCTACATGCTCTGTACCAGTCGCTGTTGGGGTGCGGTTCTTGGCCTAGTCGGAAGCAGAATTTATTTGTAGATGGTTGAAGATCAGCGCGTTGTAGATTGATGTGTAAGCACCCGGAGGGGACCCGCTCTGCCTGCTCCAGTAATCCGTGACGCACCATAGTCCCCATCGTTGAATGACGAAAGCGGAAAATCTGAAGTGTGAAGCGGTGTTGTCCTAATGCCCTATACCGACTTTGCCGGTTCACCCGGAGCAGTGGTGAGACCCGTGCCTTTCTTAGCACCACGCGTAGACTCCTCGTGCAGTACTCAATTTTTCGCTGCCCATGCTCAAGATCGAGAGCCGCATCCCAGATGAGCAGCTGCAGTTCCATAGGGAGGCCAACGAAGAGAGGGAACATGGTGGGCATAGCCAGAGGGCTGATGCTGAGTATGGGTAGCTTGGTGGTATTGCGAGAAGAGATGTAATGGCTCCTATTTCTGTTCTTATAGAGATGAACGCGAGGGGTGGCAACCTAAGGCGGTTTCTCTGCCTGAACCTTGTGCTCTACTATGTACTTCCTCGCAGAAGGCCGTATACATGATGGCTGAGTTTCGAGATATACCTTAGGTTTCCAGCATTGCCTTGTCAACATACCTACATAGATTAGGTAATAAAAATACTGCTGGTATGCTTAAATTCTATGAGCATAAGGTTGACCATCCAGCTACATAGACATAGCAGACTACTTCAGATGAGAGGATAAGTTCAGTAGTATCGCACATCCATAGGCTCTGACTATACAGTGGTCGCCGTGGAGCTTGAGCCTATAACCCCTGAGTAGCGTGATCGACCCTCAACCGCCGTGGGAAGTCATGAATGTTTGGGGAAAGGCACGAACGTGGGAAGAATACCAAAGTTGGTGTAATAAGATGGTGTCGCCCCGAATAGGAGACAAGACTGCCGGAAATCTGGTGAAGGGCAGAGACCATCAAATGAGTGTTTGGCAGCAGTGCAACATACTTCAAGCAACTTCCGGTCAAATAGTAGGTCTACCGCCTTTCTGGCTCTGCTACTGTGACATTATGAAGCAAGGCTGCCTACCCGAGGTACATACTCCACAGGGCATGCATTTTCAAGAACTGCCTTCTGATTCTCCGGTATATGTATTTGATGATCTCTCCTAAAACCCCCAGGCCCGTGATCGAGCACCATCTAAACCAGAGAACTATATGAATGAAAAAGGGGAAAACGTTGAATGAGTCACTCGGTCGTGTACCGGGGTTGTTACGACCCCGGCATGGAACTCTGTCCGGTACTAGGGGCGACCTTGATTTGCAGAAAGCTATTGGATAATTACACCTGTCGATGAACATTGAACAGAATTGGGCAGATGAGTCTCTGGTATTGTAAAACGAAGTATGGCCAGGCCTGCTTTATATATTACAACCGAGCTTGGAGCTGACAAGGCCCCATGCCCCAAATCGAAAACACAACCGAGTACGCCTGTCGATGTAATAAACCATCACTTTTCGTTCGTAAACTCAGAACACCGCTTTATCGAAGTTCGCTGATTTCCTGCAATACGTCTATTGCCTGCCCTTGGTCTGTGCTGTCTTTCTTGATACCCAGCCCGGAAGCAAAACCCTGGAAATTGTTCCGCAGTGCAGTCGCGGTAGGGTTCTGAACCCGGCAGTTTCAAGGATCTCGAGACGTCTATTTCTCCTTGCGGCTGCCAGCCGGGGTCTGGGTGGCACCATACTTCTCCGTAAGATCGTGATACTCCCTCTGCAGGCCCTCGGACTGCTTCTTGAGTGTCTCAATGTCGGTGTCCTTCTTCTTGAGCTCCTTCTTCAAGCGGGCAATCTCGCCGGGCTCGCCGGCAACAGCCAGCTTCTCGCTCTGCTTGGTGTTCTTGTCCGTGCCCTCGTACTGCTTGAGCTTCTCCTCGAGGCGGAGGACTTCGAGGATCATGATGTAGGTGCGGTTCAGAATCAGGGAGAGGAACAGGGTGAAACCGCAGAGGTACATGTTTCGCTGGGAGTAGAACTTGCGTGCCTGGACCTCGAGGCGTTCGTGGCCCATGATTGCGCTGCGGGTCTGTTAGCTGCGATTCCGGCTTGTTGAGGACGAGCCTTGCCACTTACGCGCTGCCCTTGGAACCATCAGTGGCATTTGCCAACTCCACTTGCACCCGGTAGACGCGGTTAACGCTGTCGATGAAGAGGATGAGAATGAAGATGAAGGTGATCTTCAAGCCATACTGTAGCTTCGCTATGATGGGATTCTCGGAGATGAAGCTAGACACGCCGGGTTAGCTGCCATTTCGGGCTCTGACGGAGGGGGTTTGCCAGCCGGAAGCAGCGGACGTACGTGAAGATCCTTCGGCGGAGCCCAAAGGGCATGGGGATGACGAGCAGCATAAAGAGCGCCATCTCCGCCACAAGCAGGAGGAAGACCTGGTTGAAGACGATCAGCAAGTCCATCGTCGTGCGTGATCAGTGGGACAAGGTGGGCTCACGAGGGAGTAGTAGAGCGTCATCTTGGCGACGGTGCAATTGATGAGCTGGGGGGGTTAGCTTGTGCTGTTTCGGATGCTGTCCTGAAAGACGTGTATTGTGATGCAAGATGTCGCGTGCGAGACAAAGAAGCTGGGGTTTCGGGTGCCGAGGGCCTTTTTATGAGAGAAGAGGAAAAGGGCCAAAGGTGTCCAGTTGCAGAGCTGCCTAGGGTAGGGTCGGGAAGAGGTGACAACAGGCTACGTAACGTCGTCGCGAAGTGGGCTGGACCTGTGAACCCGGAGCTGGGAAGTCGACAACGTCATACGTGGCTGGAGCTGTCGTCCCACACTTCCAGCTTAGCACCAAATGCGTCCAGTTGTGGCGCTTGGTTCCGCGGGTGTCGGGCGGCCTTCAGCTTCCCCCCAGCCAGGTTCCAGTCAACCAGTCTCCAAGGTCCATCCGTGGCTCACATGCTACACCTGGACAGTATGTAGAACGAAAATTTGTCCCATGGTGCCCTTTATCCCTGTCTGCATCATATCTACCAGATTCCCCTGACGATGGGCGGCCAATGCTCGAATTATTGTCGCGCCCATGCCGTCTTGCCGGGGTGAATGGTACGTGGTGCATCCAATGCCTGCGCCCCACCGGTCAGTGAAACTAAGGCTATTCGGAGCTCTAGCTGACTCCGCGCATTCCTCCACGATGACGGAGCCTGCCTGCATGCATGGTTTTTTGTATGTCTGCTGTCTGATGCCATTGAGAGACACCCCAAAAAGCCGAAGTCTGCAATCCCTGGCAATGTCTTGCCCAATGTCCTACTGCTCCACATCCTAGGCCAGGCTTCGGGCCCTACCCTCCATTGTTCCGTCCCGCCAACTTCCGTGTTAAGGAGTTTACCCAGTTTATTAGGGAGTGTACCTGAGAGCCAAGCTTGGTGCTCTGTCGATCACCTTTGATTGTCAGCCTCTAATGATACAGATAGCTATGGGCATAGTCAAACCATGTACTCCTACTTCCCGTTGCTTGACTTAATTACATACCTAGATGTGCACCTGTTTGACCAGATTTCTCCTTGTAAACTTGAGCCGATCTCGTCCCCCGGACTCCAAGGAAGACTTCATTCGTCCTTCAACAACTATGCAGCTCTGGTGCTCTGATATGAAGTGCACAATATCAGACAATTGACCTTTGCACTGCAACCATGTACCTCAGTAGACTGCATAGTACTGCATCCATGCGTAGAATCTGTATCCACCCCCAGGTGTGCGTTGTGATCACCAAGTTCTCTCGCAAATGCAACAATTGCTAAGGTCCGGAGCTTTTGCATGTATAAGCAATTGACAGGGGTAGGCCTGGATTGAGCACCAGCGTTAAGATACTTATCTGAACCCAGAATTCCTGCAGCGTCGGTTCAATCAGTGCCAAATCTGGCATTTCTTCTTCGACTGACCGTACACCTGGCGTCCGCCATGTCTGATTCATTCGTGACCACGGAAGAGGAAAACTGGCGGCTTGAGCAACAATCCAAGATCATCCGGTTCTACCAAGACGGCAAGCTGTTGCTGTGCCCTTTCGACTTGTCCCGTAGCAACCTCCGAATTCTCGACAGCGCCTCAAGCGACGGTAAGTCGTCTGCTTCCGTCACCGCTGCCGTGTTCTATCGGGCGTCTTACGTTGGTTGATACCGAGATAGGTTATTGGCTTTCTCAACTTCAAGCCAACCTCAAAGATCCCGGATCATGTACCCTCATCGGGACTGACATCCAGGACCGTCACTTGAGGGCACTTCCTCCCGGAATCAGCTTTCAAATACAAGACATTTTACAGCCCTGGCCTGAGTCTTGGAAATCCAGCTTTGACCTTGTTCACCAGACCCTGGTGCTCACTGTCGCCGGCCCACGGCAGCGCGAGGCGGTCAATGCCGTGCTTGAACTGGTGAAGCCTGGCGGCTGGGTCGAGCTCATGGAGCCGGATGGGGAAGCTGGTGACGACGACGGGCCCGCTCACCAGCAATTCGTCGCCATGATGAACGAGATCGGGGTCTGGCTCGGGGCACCGAAGGGATTTTCGAAGGACCTCGAGGGATACCTCCTAGATGCCGGTTTCTTGGACGTCAAAACCGTAGTGCTACCCGGTGGCACCGGTCCCAAACTACCTGACTCGGGAATGCGGGAAGCCAGCATCCAGTCAGCCGTGATATCGGGGAAGAATGTCATTGCGACAGGAAAGCGTAAGACGCCTGCTTCCTACCCTCAAAGAAATGCTGCTAACAGCATCTCAACCCAGGGACACCAGGAGGTTTGAGGTGCATATCGCTAGCGGACTTTGAAACGTGGCTCGTACGATGGGAGGCCGAGTTAAGAATGAGAGGTGGCAGTTATCCTCTCAGAGTTGTATACGGTAGGAAACCGGACACATGATATGCGACTTACTACTAGAAAGCCATGTCATGCTGCCTTTTTTCATTTCCTCCTTGCTGATATTGCGAGTCATCATGTGTTAGCAGACATTTTCTTTTCCATCGGACATGTCCATGTAATTCCATCCACTTCCAGAGACCTTCGCAATATACTCAAGCAGCAGTTGCAATTCGACAGGATTTGTGTCTTCCTTACAGCTTAGAACCAACATTTGAGTGGAGCTTGAAAATCCACACCACGTCTCGCATCTCCCTTGTTCATACCCTAGTCAAGAGCATGGCTTGGTTAGCCTTATAGATTTGATACGTATTACAATGGGGCTGTTCTACATGCCACAGGTCTTTGTCTTCACCATGGTGTTCTAGTCAATTTTTGCGTCGCTGCCTGATACGCACAAACACACCCTTTGCCATAGCACGGGGCCAGTCCCTATAAAACACCAGTCAGAAGACTGAGAAGAGATGGCAACTCAAGCGGCCAGGCGTGTCCCTTGAAAGCAGTTCTAGTTGGAAACTCGTACAACCTTCCACCACTATATCCAGCATTAAAGAGAGCAATGGCTCCACCATCAGGGGTCTCCACCGACTCTACAAAATGTTGCAATCCTCTTGAAGAAGACACAGGGAGCGAGCAATGCAGGGATTTCAAGAGGTGCAGGCTTTTCTTGCAGGATGTGCAGTATGTGGCTCATCATAAACGCAATTACTTCGGTGACCCACCTCAGCGTAACAGCAACGAGGCCTTGCAGTGTATTGTGTGCACCGCTGCTTTTGCGGTTGGATGCCTAGCAGCCTATGCACTACACTGGGGCTTGGTGAAGCTTTCCAATGCCTAGTGATGAGTCTTTTTAGACGGGTGTCCGTGGAACCAACTGCTTATTAGACTTTGTTTCTCTTTGTTGAGTGAAATTCTTCTCTATCTCCTGGTTTCATTCCTAGCTACCTAGAATCACGGCCATTCAGGTTGTTGGAAAGACTGATTTGGACGGGCCGCCTCTTTCTGAGCTCACGAAATGGCGATCGAATTCTACTGTCAGTTGCTATGGCCTATGAGGCCCTTGCAATAATGAACTGGCCTGCCCTAGGTAGATAGATTCACGAAAGAGCAATGAAAGGTCCGAAACCTCAATGATCTGCCCAGAACCGTTGAACCCTTCTATTCCCCAGTGAAGCCATAGCTCTTGACCCGACTGAAGTAGTATGCCTTATCATTCTTCAGGCCAAACTCGCCCCAGTCGTCCGTCAGCTTGTTATAGCACCAGTATCCCTTCCAACTCAACTTGTTGTTCCGGGCCTTGGTGCCAGCACTCTTCATCGATAACTCCATACGGGTAGAATACTTGGCGCTCACGCCTTCGGTCTCCACGAAGAGATCGCCTTCGGCATCGGCCAGGCTGGCGTCCGGGTTATCGATGGAGGAGGACAGCCGCCAACGGCCCTTGACAGCCTGCGACATGACCGCGGTGGGCAGGTGCGAAGCAACGCCCTTCTCGTGCTGCCGCAGCAGGGCCTTGGTCATGTGGTGCACCACGTCTGCGGGCTCGTTGGTGGTGAGGAGGCTGATGGCGGTTCCGTCGCGGAAGAAGCGGAGGTACCGATAGTACGTGACTATGTGCACCGGCGAGTTCCAGGTGATGTGATTGCCCGACGCGTGGCCGGTGCGGATATAGTTCACAGTGCTGATGTAGCAGCCGTTGAACCGCAGCCTCGGCCGTTGGCGGAACATGCGCTGCCAAGACGGGTACACGGTGGCGGCCAAGGCGTGCGTCGTGGCCTCACTCTCATCGGCGCGCCGCTGCTGCAGCTCCTCCATGGTGAACGTTTCCTCGTCCAGCTCGTGCTCCGGGTTCAGCTCCTCCCACGAGATGCCGCGCTGCCAGTGGTAGACCATGCCGGCGAAGCCAAACTCGGGTCCGAGGCACACCCGTCGCCAGATGCGGTCGTCCGTTGCCGCCAGGTAGGCGAACCGCTTGCAAACCTGGGAGAGCCGCACAAAGTCCCCGACGTCCAGGACGGCAACATCTCCGAGGATGTGCAGCAGGATCTCATCGGGCAGGCCCGCGATGGGACACGGGGGCGCCGGCATGCCCTCCACGGGCGGCGGAGCCCCCTGGACGCTAAGGCCGGCGAAACTGGCGATGAGGTCCGGGAGAGACAACGGTGCGGGGCCTTCGGATGAGGGGTGGGCCGCACCCGGAGCCGTCGCGGCGGGGTGCGAGAGGGTCGGCTGGGCTGCCGCTGCTTGAGTCCCGGCAGGCTTCTTCTTCCAGATGCCAGGGTAGTGCTTTTCCCTGTACGCCCGATCGACTCGATTATCTAACCGGTAGGCCTTTCGGTAGAGATGGAGACTATCTCCGAGCTTGCCGTCGGTCTCTTTGTCGACCGCCTTCTCGTAGTATTCCAAAGCCGTTTCCGGCTCCTTGTCCTCAGTCTCCGCTGGCGCATGGGAGCTGACGGTCTTGGCCTTGCCAGGTTCATCGTCGAAATTCTGAGTACGGACATACTCTTCCTCATCGTCGATGTGTTGAACTGTCCGGGACGGATTTCTCCTGTGGGAAGCTTCTAGTTTTCTTGGAGGGCCCCTGGATGAGGATGGCGCCGCAGAGCCCGACGGCGCTGTCTGGCCCTGACGCTGCGAACCTCCGGCTGTGTTTCTGGTTCGTGCCGAGACCTCAGCACGCCATCGCTCCCTGAATTTCTCCAGCTCCGACTGTATCTGCTCTGGCGGTTGCTCCATGGCCTTGAGCTTGAATGGGGACTCTGAAAAGAGTCTGCAGGCCGCTGTGCAATGATGTCAGTCTGATATTAAAGTCTACATACATGTATTTGGGGTCTGGATGGGAGACAGTTTACAGATAAGGTAGTTCGGACGATATCACGGGTGCTGACTTTGGCTTGATGCAGGTCGCACGTCAAGAGCACCCCAACTTGACTTAGTAGGTTTCTGGCAGCTAGCTAGGTAAGTACAATAGTTGACTGGGGGAGACGGTTTAGTTATCAAAGAGCCCACTGCAAGGGAAGAGGCTCCGATTGGCTGGAGGGCATCATCGCCAGAGAAAGCGAGCAGAGCGAGCAGAGCGAGTTGGTGTGCGACCAATGGCGGTGTTGTTCAGCAGCTCCCAGGGTGCCCAGGGTGCCAGGGGTGCCAGGCCGGCTCGGGGTGTGGCCGGCTAAGTCCGGGCCAAAAATACTATGGAGCTCCAGCCAGCTCCGATTATGTGAATGACGCGCAGAATGATCCAGAGCCCGCCCGTCCGCGATCGCAGCAAAAATTAGTCCCAGTTCGCCATGAGCGTTCGCCCCCCTGGTAGCACCGTGACAGAGACGTCAACCAGACACAGACACACCTGAGCCGATTCCCCAAGAATCGTAATCCATCCACCATCTACCTGCGTGCCCTCCCACTGTTGAAGTCGTCACTGTTTCTCCCATCACCGACTGACCTGCGACTGCGCAACGGGCCTTCCCGGATACCCGGGGATCGCCCAGACAATGAACGCCACCACCGGGGGCTACAGTGGTCAGGACCACGACAGACTGGCCGCCACCGAGGATGCCTTTGCCAACATGACCATGCTCTCGTCGAAAGACGACGGCGGCGACGGCATCATGGACATTACCGCCGGCCAGAAGATGCTGTCGGCCATCTCTGGCAGCCTATTGACATCGGTGCTTGGTGAGTCGCCTCGGCCCCGTCCCCAGCCCAGAGAGAGAAGCTTGCGCTAATCGTGTTTCCCCTCAACAGTCACGCCTCTTGACGTCGTTCGCGTCAGGTTGCAATCGCAAACCCCTCCGCAAGCCCACACAGCCGATCTCCAGAAGCTGGCCATTTCCTCGCCAAACGCCTTTCGCCCGTCCAACCTGGGGGTCACAGCATGCTGTCGCGAGGTCTTCTTCATGAACAACAATGCCGAGCTGTGCGTTGCCGGCCCGAGGATCGAGGCGCTGGGAGGGTCGACCGCGGCCGGCGACTGTGCAGTGGAGCAGACGCAAAAGAGGGCCTTCAACTCGACGTTCGATGGCATACGGAAGATTGCCCGCAACGAGGGCATCACAACCCTGTGGCGCGGCCTGTCGCCCACGCTCGTCATGGCTGTCCCTGCCAACATCATCTACTTCACGGGCTACGAGTGGCTAAGATACAACGAGGCGAGTCCGATCGCTAGGTTGAAGTCGGATGTCTATATCCCGCTGGTCGGCGGTGCTCTTGCACGGATTCTGGCCGCCACTGCTATCGGCCCCATCGAGCTCTTCAGGACCCGCCTACAAGCTACGAGAGGGACCACCACCACGGGCCACCTAGCCAACACGTTCAACAGCATGAAGGAGATGGTGGCGGAAAGTGGGTATCGGTCACTGTGGCGTGGCTTGACCCTGACTCTCTGGCGCGACGTGCCCTTTTCAGGCATGTACTGGTGGGGATACGAGACCATCCGTGGTAAACTCACGGATCTACGAGAGGAGCGCCGGGGTAGGTCTCTATCACAGGAGAGTGGCTCCCGCAGGCGGGCGCGAACCCGCTCGCAGAGCAGAGAGAACCACACTTCGACGTTCGTCGACAGCTTCGCTGCAGGTGCCCTGTCCGGGTCTTTTGCGTCGCTTGTGACGACACCATTTGATGTGGGCAAGACGAGGACCCAGGTCTTCCGGGAAACTGGGAAGAAGGCTGCAAACAGCGTCGAGAAGGCAGCCGTGGCCCCGGAGGAACAGTCCATGATCCGGCTCCTCTGGCATGTGTTCACCACGGAAGGCGTATCGGGTCTGTGGAGAGGTTGGATCCCCAGAACCCTGAAGGTTGCGCCCAGCTGTGCCATCATGATCAGCAGCTACGAGGTCGGCAAGCGAGCATTCAGGGGTGTGAATGAGCGAGCGGCTTTGAAGAAGCAGGATACCGACGCAGGCGAGCCATGACGGGTTGGCATATTTCTCCACTCTTTGATTGTCTTTTTTTAAGCATTGGCGGGCGTTGTTGCTTGTATATGATACCTCCTTTCGGCAAAGGCATGCGGCCGGAAAAGTTCAGTTTCAGCGTGCAATAGATGGCAAGTGGGCATCATGGGGACATGGACGTGGACATCACGATAGACAGGCGGGTGGCGCATCTCAACAAGCTCAGGCCCTGTACTATTACTGTATTGTCATAATTATTGCTATACTAGAGAGACGTGAAAAGGTGATATGGGTTGCAGAACCTTCTCCCACATAGTAATTGCAAGAAAGAAAGAAAAAGAAGAAAATTCTATTAATGAAGCCATGTATCGTTCCCTGGTTCAATAAAGTCGCGACCTAGGCGTGTAATTCGCAGTGGTGTTCCAATGAGCTGAGCGTCCAGTCCAATGCAAGCCACCGCCTCATGACTCCCACCGTTCTCCAAAGAAAAAAAGCATGCGTGCCTATTTCGCGTAAAGAGGTTAGCTCGTGTCGCGTCACAGCGACGCGGTCGCGGGAGTTGAACTTGCATGTCTTAGCCCATCTGAGGTCAACCATCCCTGCTTTTCTACTACCCTACTACCCTACTACCCTAACTACTCGTACCAGCCTACCGCCTGTTAACTAGCCCCCAGTTGCCAGGCATGGACTCAAGGCTGTGACCAGACTAATAAAAGAGGCACGAGTTGGACGACAAACCCTCCCAGCCTTTCGAGAAATCGTGAACAGCGGCGTTTGTTTATTGTGTTCCCTCGCCAATTGCCATTGCAGCCAAGATTCCACGGCCTAATTCCATCGTCGGCAATAGTTTGTTTTTCGAGATTGCGTCCTCACGAGCCTTCCAGCGACCTTGGCCTCCCGTGCGTTGCTGTTGTACGTTATCTGCCGTCGTTCGGTTCCACACGACGTCCACAATCCCCTCGGCTGCATCTGCTGTATTATACACATCCCGACTGCACTCCACCATGTCGTCCAACCTCAAACGCAAGGCGCAGGCCTCGGCCGACGCCAGCAAAAAGCCCAAGACCAACGCGAGCATCACATCCTTCTTCGGCGCCCCCAAGGTCGTCAGCTCGTCCACCCACGGCTCCTCGCCCGTCCCCGAGGCGCCCGCCCCCAAGTTCGACAAGCAGAAATGGGTCGCCGGCTTGACCGACGAGCAGAGGAAGCTCCTGCAGCTCGAGATCAACACCCTGGACGACAGCTGGCTGGCTCATCTGAAGGACGAGGTCACGAGCAAGGAGTTCCTGGAGCTCAAGCGCTTCGTGGGTAGAGAGATGGCCGGCCCGACAAAGGTGTTCCCGCCGCCGCAGGATATCTACTCTTGGTACGTCTAGACCATTGGCCTCGTTTCCCTACTCCTGGTGGTGGTGGTGGTGGTGGAAAACTGTGGTCTCGTCCGTGGTTGCCATTATTATTCGACACTCTGCTGACGGATCATGCTCTTCAGGTCCCGTCACACTCCCTTCCACACCGTCAAGGTCGTCATCCTCGGCCAGGACCCCTACCACAACGTGAACCAGGCCCACGGGCTGGCCTTCTCGGTCCGGCCGCCGACGCCTGCACCGCCCTCGCTCCGCAACATGTACATAGCGCTGAAGAAGGACTACCCGTCGTTCATCCCGCCGCCCAAGAATGGCGGGCTGCTGACGCCGTGGGCGGACCGCGGCGTGCTGCTGCTCAACACGTGCCTGACGGTGCGGGCGCACGAGGCCAACTCGCACGCCAACCGCGGCTGGGAGAAGTTCACGCAGCGCGTCATCGACCTGGTCGCCCAGAAGCGCACCCGCGGCGTCGTCTTCATGGCCTGGGGCACCCCGGCCGGCAAGCGCGTCGTCAAGGTCGACAAGAAGCGCCACCTCGTCCTCAACGCCGTCCACCCCAGCCCCCTGAGCGCCCACCGCGGCTTCTTCGACTGCGGCCACTTCCGCAAGGCCAACGACTGGCTCGTCACCCGCTACGGCGACGGCAGCGAGGTCGACTGGGACCTCATCCCCAAGGAGAAGGACCACAAGCCCGCGGGGCAGGCGGCCGAGGCCGTAGGCGAGGGCAAGAAGCAGAACGGCGTGAGCGATAAGAAGGACGACGAGAAGGAGGCGGCCGAGGACAAGATGCCCCCGCCGCCCGTTGTGGTCGTGGGTGAGGTCGAAGAGCAGAACGGCGAGGGCGTGCAGGAGAAGAGTAAGGTGCTAGAGAACAAGGGTGAGGCGGCCACGGCGGTCGTAGATGGCGAGGAGAAGTGATGGGCCTTCTCTGGCTCACGCACAGCTTGGAGTGTATAGGATCGTCACGGAAATGTGAGTTTTACGCAAAGGGAGCCATGTTGGCTGCAGTTCAGGAGGGCAATTGGCGTTTGTATAAAGGAGAGCGGCGTACTCGGCTTCCCTCCATAATCTTGTTGCTGTATAGCATAGATAGTTATTCGTGGCAATGTCAGGTGTGCTTTGTTGCGAGAGAATGCACTCTCGCCTTGTATCTTCACAATTATCACAGAGACATATGGGTGATCAGACAGTGATCGCCTTTTCTGCCCTCGGGTATTGGCTACGCTTCTTAGTATCATGCTCGCTCGGGCTGCATGTCGAAGGTTTAGAGCTTTGGCCAATCGCGTTTTCATTTCATACATGATCCCTTATTGAAACAGTAGTTGACTTGTCTACGAAAAAAAAAAAAAAAGGGTTAGTAGAATATTTAAAAACGCAGTGTTGTATACTTGATTGACTGTCTGTCTGTAGGTGCAGATGCGATAAACTCGGGTTACCGGGATGCAACAGGGTAAGCCAATAACGAAGAACTGTGATAAATCTATGTTTTGGCCGAGGGAGCGAGGTTCCTCAGTGCTGACTGGTCATCTCCGACCAAGTATAATGCTGTTTGAGCGTGATTTGATTCAGGGGCACCCCATCGTTGCTCATGCCATGTGGGTGACCGCCAGCGTCGATGGTCGTTCTCTGTCTATCACTGTAGTTTCGCGGCGTCAAGTTGAGATTCATCCTAGATTCTTCGTCGACTGCATCCTCGACCTTTGTGAAGTTCTTGTTTCTGTTCGACAGTTTGCCAATGGTAACCAGACTATAGCTACCATGTGTCGGTTCCCACTCGGCTCGGTGCTGATATTTGACATTCGTGCCTCGTCGGCAGAGTGCGCGGTAGGCCGGGGCACATGTAGGTAGGCATGCTACAATGATCGCTACGCAGACCTCGATCAGGGTTGCGACGATCGGAGTCCCAAACTGAACTATCACACGTCGTTAGAATAGAGATCTCTCTTCTTGCCACGGCCCGTGTCTTGACATACGAGACAAGTCCGAGACTCCTCTCCGAGTCAGAGCTGCTGTTGAAACTAAGCGGACACCGCTTGCCACTACGACACTGTAAGATTTCACTAACGTCAGCCCCTTCTGATCCTCTTGGGAGAAAGCAACTTACGCTGTGCCGAGTGCAAAGACACCTACTACCGCCCATTTGCGGGTCCTTGACATGTTAAGGTGTAAAATCTCGGGTACGGGCAAGATCAATATCGCTAGATCAAGCACAAAGTTCGCTGCCGAGTTGCCAGTGTAGAAGTGCAAGCTATTGATGCATCGCTCCCCTGTCGGATCAAGGGTTTTGTCCCAGGCTGCCGGTATGGGGCTGCATTGGAATATGGTGACCAATTCAACAGCAACGAACCAGGCGACGCACATGCCCCCGATAACATATATTCCTGTCCGTATGAACCGGGTTGGGAAGATCCGCCACAGCAGCGCGAGAACAGTGAGTTTCACCGCAGGCGAAGCGAGGCCGTATGTGATACATATCGCGAAGATGCACTGATGCTTCGTCAGAGGGCCATGTTATTTTCAAGTCAACGACAGATACCTAACCTCCATGATGACCAAAAAAAATCCTCTGTCACCTTGCTCAGACAGTACGGTCGTTCGATCCCGGCCCAGACCGCCGTGAACAATTGCTTGGTGTCTAGTCAGCAACCATATACTTTTCCAAGCGTAAAGTTCCCACCAAAGAGTGTCTCTGTTACCAGTGCCAGTTGGAGGACCTAACAAATGGTCAGTTTGGGAGAGCCCGTCGTTTGGTACAGAGATTTTGTTACCAGTGACGCAACCGCCAACCAGTCATCGGCCCATAAGGCGATACGGCTGTATCGTCTACACCAGATACGCATTGCGACCGCGCCTGTGGCTACGAATGTGAACGTAACAATAGGAACAGCCACAGCGACTCTGACATCTACATGGCCTTCTGATGCCATGGCGATGGAGGACGTTTCACTGTAATAGTCGTATCCACACAATAATCTGTAAGAGAAGTGTATTGATTCTGGAGAATTGCGGCCACAAAACTGGTCAAGTTTATGCAAGGAGACATATGAATCCTGCCAGTATATGACATGACTATGAGCCAAATGTTTGCTTCGAGCTTTCCCGAATAGTTTGACCGACGTCACCTCTTCACACAGGCTCGATGATCCCATAACATATTCCGGAGAAATTTTATTGTATCAACAACCGTTCGATGTAGCCGGTCTGAGATCCACTGGAAGACATTACAACAGGGGCCAGCAATTTGGATCTTCTGCAGTTTGTCTCTATTCAAACTGCAATGTCTAAGGGATGCAAGGATAATCGGAACCAACCAATGACAAATCATGCCGTACCACCGGACCGTAATACAATCGCCTGAAACTGGATGCGTACCTTGTCTCCTATTCCCTCGCTTCAATGGTAAGGGGGCAGCGCGGTGATGTTGTGGTTTGTGTAGCAAACATATCAAATTATACTTCAAAATTGTTACCGAGTCACGTATCCTGTCATGAACTGTGCGTTTGCCAGAAACACCGGCGTACTTTATCTGCTCTTGTTTTTCAGGACAAGGAAGTTGTAGATCAGCTGTGCATGGCCGACCAGGTGGATGATTGCTTTGGAAATTTGACGTGCATCGAGGGGCAAATGCAGTATCCTGGCAACTTGCATATACTCACCCCATGTTAGCCATGCTGTTTGTCTGGATCCGACCAGATGCACAGAAAAGCTGCGGCGAGTCGGCCCCGGGGGGAATACTAAAGTCCCTAGGTCCGAACGTGTCTTGACTTCCGGCCCGCACTTTGTCCAACGCCTGAACTTCTAGAGCACAGGCTACACGGGCTTACCTGTTCTGTCGAAATCCTCATCATGGCTGCTTCTAAGCCTACCATTGTCCTGATACCTGGCGTCTGCCACCTGGCGTCTGCCACCCGGCATCATACTTCGATGACGTGAAAGCAAGATTCGAGGCACTCTCTTACGAAGTATTCATCCGCACTCTTCCTAGCATTGGTCAAGCAGGCGCTTCCTGGGCCGATGACCGAGACGCGGTGATTGAGATGATCGAGCCCCACATGGATCATGGCACAGAATTTGTGGTCATTGGGCATTCATACGGGGGTATGCCGGCTGTGGGAGTCTGTGAGGACAGGAGCATAGCAGAGAGACAGGCTGCCGGCAAAAGAGGCGGTATCCGCGCCGTAATCTTTGTCGGGTCGGCTCTAGTCCTTGATAGGGGTCAGACCGCCCTTGATGCATTCGGCGGTGTGTATCCGCCATGGCTTCCCTTTGAAAATGACGGAAAGGTATGATAACTGTTGACCAACTCACGGTCTTGTGTTTTTACCCAATTCCCCATTCCATGTCCACAATCGATAGGATGTTCCGTTGACCTAATCTTCGTTGAATTCAGGACGGGCTGCTACACCCGAAGATTGATCTAGCCAAGGAGGCATTGTACAACGACCTAGACGATGTGGTGGCATCGAGGCTTGCGGGTGGCCTTCTGCCGCACTCGGTGGCGTCATTGACTTCGATCCAAACATATGCCGGGGAGAATCTGCAGATCCCCGCATTCTATATGGTCTGTGAAGAGGACAATACCGTTCCGCCGTGGCTGCAGCATTCCATATGCGACGGCGGCAGGGTCCGTGGGATGCGGAAGCTTACGTGCGCCACGGGCCACTGTCCCATGTTCAAAAATCCCAAGGGTTTTGTGAAGCAGATTGATGAGTGTGTCCGCGGTGATATTTGACTCTGTTGCTGCTCAGCGTCATGACACAAAGACCCATGGTAGAGACGGGAATCGGTAGAGATATATGTGGTCGTTCTGGCTTGGTGCTGTATGCAAACGGCAAACACACATCGTAGCTATAACATCATAGTCATAACAAGTCTACATGATTCAATTATTCAGGCCAATTCTTCGTTGGAAAGAGGCGAATAAGAAAGATATGTTTTTGTGTCAGTCAATCTAGTAAACTAAAAAGTAGTATAAAAAAGCAATGGGACTTTGTTTTCTGGAGTGACTACGGAAGTGTATCGGCGGTTCGGCCCAAGGAATGATGGGACGCGTCTCCGAACCGGGCTTTCCGGCCCTGCTGCCCCACCGCGCCGGACGGCCGTCGGATCGAGTTTGCCGAAGGCGTCGTCTCGGGCGGAGCTGACACGTCCAGAGTTGTATGTATATATAGATGGACAAGTCACAGGGACGGTGGAGGCTCCGATGCCTGAGAAAGGGTCTCGTGGCGAGGGTCCCTCCTGCTTGGGTTCAACTGCGATGACGATCACGCGATGTAGTCGAAGGCAGCTTTCGGCAGCAGTGACTATTGCCTTTGGGACACAACGAGCGTCGATAGAGTGTGCTTGTGTTACATACCAGATGACTCTACTCAGGCAGTGAAATATCAGCCCCCTCCCACAGCTGCGGAATCTGGTACGTTCCAAGGGAATTCGCGGAAGAAGATTGGTAAGGAAACATTTACTTCGACGTAGAGAACTATATTGCTGTAAGTCACCGAGCGGCTCAGCGAGAAGCCGGAAGTCATTCTACAATGTCCGCCATCTCTCGACAGGAGCCGCAAATGTGACTCCGCATGATGCGTAGAAGGAGAAGGGCGGACAGTGTAGCCCAGCCTCAACGAGGCAGGCGAGAAGATCCATATGGATTGGTGGACTTTGATAGGCGAATAAGACCCTGTCTATTTGCCATTAGGCGTTCCATATTAGTGTGACACACACCGACATCCCAAGGGACGGGGCAGAACACGGTTATAGTAGAACATCCTTCGTATCCCGGTTCGCCTATGCACACTTGCAAGCCGCCCGTTGCGCATGTTTTTGTTTGGAAGTATCCCGGCGGCCGGATCTGCCATATAACCCATGGAGACGCGGCACGGCACGAAAGATGTACATGCATGGTTGTGGAAAAGACGTTTGCGAGCTGCAAATCATTTCTCTGGGTGCTTCCAACGTGCAGTTATGCAGATACGTGTGAAACTGCGCTGTGTATCCTTCCAACACGAACTATCTTGCATGTGGCGCTTTAATGACCCCATGGATTTGATCATGTCTCAAAGAGACCATCTCAAGATTGAAGTGTCCCAGAAGAGCTTGATGGATGCCGATCTACTGAGCCTGATCTCAGATCGAAAGGTCTCGCTCTTCACAATCATGTCGAGCCGCAATGAAAAACCTCAAAGCTCCTTTCCGAATGCAAGTCCAATTCTTTCTGTTGTGTGTGATTGCCTAGTCCTTATCAGTTTGTGCTAGGTGTGTTTGTTCCAAACGAAGACGTTACTAATGGTGAAATGATGCCTGTTTATCAAGATGGGCTCAATCATACTACAGCATAGTCAGCACAGTAGAACAACTGCTGTTTGTCCATATATGCACACAGCGGTTGACAGTTGTCAACTCAAGAGCTCCGCTAATCGCGAGTTTGACCCGAGGCACATTCTTCTCGTAGGGAATGACACACAAACGCCTGCCATTGGATAGTCAAAATGGGTTGTAGATCGAGCCCCGAGCTTAGCGTCCATCCAGAAACATGCTTCGAAGCCGGAACTTCCGGTGCGAATTTCTCATGCTTAAAATATGACCCCCTTCTACGTTGCCACTCTTCAGATGTAAGAGCCTGGACATCGGAGAAATTGTAGGTAATATAGACTGCTAGGGTAGAGTCCCATCACAGTTGCCACCTGATGCGAGATCTGTGGGCTTAATCTATAGAAACAGGGGGATATTGATGGGTAGATACTATACGGCAGAACTTCCCGGGCCAATCATTTCGAGCACCCGAGCTGCTTATCTTGAACCAGCCTGATATTCATTGAGATGATCTCGATCCAGCGTACATCGTGAATAGACCCGAAAAAGCTGTGACGACGAATTCAGAGTAGGATCAAGGTATATGACATTCGCGGAAACACAAGGATGGATCTGCATCGGGGCATTTGAACGAGAAAGTGATGATGACAGGGGTGCGGCCGAGACGACGGATCGACGGCGCTGCTTGACAAGGTGCGTCGTCTCAATGCCGGGCTGGGAAATCTTCCGACTGCATAGAGTAGCATATGAGGCTCTTGCAGTACAATGCTACAGCGCATTGACCCCTGCTTGGGTATGGCTAAGACGAGGCAAAAGCTGCAACCATTTCAGAATAGATTTGCATAGCATTAGCACCCAGCTTGCTATAAGACCTTGATACAAGAGGCACCTGCCAGATATAAAATCGATCACTATACCAGCACGGCAAGGCAAAAATCGACGGTAAGAGAAAGAGAAGAAAGTCATTCGCGAAGAAAATAACCGCCGCATGCCGCCTATGTGAAGAGCAATGTCATTGCAAAACATGCCTGATTCATAAGTGTACTTCACAGGATCCGTTCGTTATAGGTAGTGCTACTCTGGGTCCGGCATAAACAAACAAAACAGTGTGCAACTGTGAATGTGGAGTGGCCGCTTTCGAGCACATACAGGAAAGGCGCATGAGCCCGAGATTGCAACTCTGGTCGACGGGTATATGTGCTCTTCGTAGTTCTTCACTAGAAATCTCATGGATCATTACAGCGGTGCAGCTTAGAAGAAAGGAAGGAAGTATTGAGGAGAGATGAAAGTACCACATTGGAATGCATTAGGCTTGACAGGGATAAAACATCTCTGTTGTCCATCAACTTATGCTCAATCGTCGGAAGCGATCCGAGGTACTCAGAAGTCGGTGGAGGTTGATAATAACGTTCTGCAATGTTCGATTTAGGTTTGCGTCGATGCAACGCCAAGTTGCGGTAACATATGCATGACATTTACAAATGCAGATGGGCCAGGAAACCGAGTCGTGGACTTTCCCTCGAGCTAATGCCCGTCACTGGATTTCCTGGTGCAATAGGTTCCTTTGCATCTTGAAGAAAGGTAGGCTGCGCTGCAGCTATGCTGGAGGCTTGATCCGACAAGCAGGTTCGGCCGCGTTTGCTAGGGTTAGCCCATGCCTGGGTTATCCAGGGCTGGGTAGCGAGGTGGAGTGAACATGGCGACTTAACCAGCTTCTGTTGGTCATGATCCTAGCCCCAAGTTGTTGGGCATTCCAGAAGCGGACAGGCGTGCCACGCTCCGAGGTTGATGTTTCATCAACCAAAGCCGAGGGGCATGCATGTGGGACCTTTCAAGGCTGAGTCCCAAGTCCCAATACAAGGGTTCTGGTTCACGGAAAGCAAAATGCCGTACGGAAGAGAGCTAATGCTACCCGCTATCTCATGTAGATTGGGCAAGTAGCACAGCTGCATGATGTCAACGGTCTGGAATGAAGATCGTCTTCCAGAAGACGGCATCTGATTATGTAAGTCGGGCGGTGTACGGATGAACACCGTTGCTGGTGGTTGAAGAGAGCCAGCGAAAATACATTGGGCCGTCAATTGTCCATGACGGAGGATTCATGGCGCAAGAGCGAGGCGTATATTGCGTAGAGGTCACATGCAGGGCACGACGTATAGTGCCAAAGTTTGTCGGGGCGAGAGACAACCAGAGATCAATCTTGCTCGTAACGCTGCTTCACGGGTGCACCGTATGCGAGATTGTTGCTGTCCAATACACAAGCTGTTCTCCAATTTTGCTGATATTGTCGGCCCGCATAGCCGCTTGTTCCTTGAGGACCCACCGGCTTTTTCGACACCTACGCTAGACGACCGCGTTTTCGACGTTGCCCATGTACCGCATTGTTCAACTCCCGTTTCTCACCCGTCAATTTATGTTGCTCAGGTGATCCGGCTCCGCGAAACTTGTCTGGCATGCTAGTCTTCGCGATCGCACGCTGAGCCCAACCGGCAACCACCCAGGTGGCAGGTGGTTTTCGGCCATGGCGTTGCTCTGTAACGGCGACTATCGACTATACCCAGCGTGGGGCGACAACCCACATGTCGATACACTTAGACATGGGCATTCAAAAGCTCCATGTTTTCTAGCTTGCAACCCACAATCGAACACAAGCACCAGACCCCTTGCATGAGCTCCTGGCCAGGAATGAACGGACTGCGAACTTACCACCCATGTACCGTGTAACGGAGTAGTAGGACCAAGGGAAACATGACCGTTCGAATTGTTCTCCACATGGCTTAGCGCATGGACGACGGGGATCTGTGTATCAAGCCGGTTCGCCGTAAAAACGCCCCGAATCCCCAATCGCTAACTATATCGGTTTCATGGATTAGGTGGCTGCCGCCGACACACCCCACATTGAGTCTCTTATCAAGTACCATGTACAGCAGCTTACAGGCTATCAGTATTCGCCTCACGCAATATCAGCAAGCGATCCGTTTTCGTTTCCTCGGATTGGTATCTGTGAATACCGCACGTGCGGTCCGTCCCTACCGATGTGGCCATCTCGTCCCAGAGTCGAGATGAATCTTAAGGGTTCCATGAATGACCAGGTCCAGTGACACCTCAGACGGACGCTGACCTGAAAGTGCGCCGCTTTCATGCGTCCCCAGGCCTCGGCGGCATCGCGGCATCTGATGGTAACAAACACGCGAGCCTTGGGGGGTGCCCGTACCTCACCGTCGGTAAAAGCCAATAGTTGATTCGAGTAGCCCATACGAAGACGTATATCTTCTTTTTGGCAATCAATCAATTTCACCCTGACTTCCAAGAAAGCGTTAGACGATGACTTATTGGAACCCCCGCTAGGTAGGTACCTTTTTTCCTGGCCGCATCTGTGGGTCCTTCCTTCGTTCTATTCCAATATATATTCATATCTTACCGTTGCTCTTCCAAAGTCGGTTCACTATCGGCACGCATGGTCACGCGTTGTTGGCTGAACTTTCGTATCTTCCATGCTTATATAAGGGCTTGGTCACTTATGTCGTGACTGATGAACAACTGACGATTCAACCTTCTGCCACTTCCACTCGTCTTGTTGTCAGCTCTCGATCGCTCTGTCCCTTCTACACTATCGCTATTACTGGCTTTCAACTTATTCGAAGACCCACGAGCGTCGTATCACTCAAGTTGGGCCCTATAAGATCACGAATTAAAGACTGCGTCCTCGATTCCAACCGGGAACACTGCCAGTGGGCCCAAGAGATCAACAATGGAGTCGACACTAGAGCGCCATTTGGCCGACAGCATAGACCCAAATGCATCGCCTTTAGAAAGCGTTGATACTGCCACAACACCTGGCACAGAGTTTTCACCGCCAGAGAGCCCATTCCAGAAGCAAGCCATCCCCAAGGACAGTCGGCAAACAGCACGCGAGAAATTAGCGGCCTTGGACCTAGAAGAGAAGGTTGTCGTTTATTCCTGCGGTTATCAATACTTGCTTTGTTGAGACTGGACTAACAGACCTTAGGTCTCCCTCCTCACTGCAGCTGACTTCTGGCGGACAAAATCGATCCCGGAGAAAGGCATCCCTGCGATTAAGACAAGTGATGGACCGAATGGCGCTCGAGGTGGAATCTTCGTGGGGGGAACCAAGGTACGAACCTGTAAAGTGCAGGTCACTCTATCCAAATGAAGGGGCTAACGCACTGGAAGGCTGCCCTTTTCCCTTGCGGTATCTCCTTGGCTGCCACATGGAACAAAAGTCTACTGTATAAAGTTGGTCAGCATCTAGCAGATGAGACTAAGGCCAGGTCGGCCAACCTGTTGCTGGCACCGACTGTTTGCATGCACAGACATCCCCTAGGAGGCAGAAATTTCGAGTCCTTCTCAGAGGACCCTCTACTCACTGGAAAGCTTGCATCCCAATACATTCAGGGCCTCCAGTCGAAAGGCGTCGGTGCTGCTATCAAACGTTTGTTGCCCTCACTATAGCTGCTTCTGCCAACATGAGCTGACCCGGGAACAGATTTCGTCGCCAACGAACAGGAGACATTCAGAATGACCATAGACTCGATCATGATGGAGCGGCCACTCCGAGAACTTTACTTGCGACCTTTCGAGATCGCAATTCGGGAGGCCAACCCATGGGCTGTAATGTCTTCGTACAATTTGATCAATGGCGTCCACGCAGATGAGAATATTCACACGTTAAAGGACATTCTCAGGGGAGAGTGGGGATATGATGGGTTGGTGACTTCCTCTTATCACATAATCCACGATTGCTAATCATATATAGGGCTGTCATTTCTGATTGGGGTGGAACCAACTCTACAGCAGAATCCTTGAAGGCAGGATGTGACATCGAATTTCCCTTTTCAACCAAGTGGAGGTTCGAAAAGGTCCTTCAAGCGCTTCACGACGGCAAACTCCTAAAGGAAGATATCGACCGGGCCGCTGAGAATGTTCTCACCTTGGTGGACCGTACAAAGGGAAATGACATGTCCGAAGAAGCGGCAGAGAGGGAGGACAACCGCGAAGAAACGAGGTTGCTGATTCGCCAAGCTGGCGCTGAGGGACTCACGCTTCTGAAGAACGAAGGGAATATCCTGCCTATCAACCCCAAGACAGCAAGAGTGGCTGTCATTGGCCCAAATGCCAACAGAGCCATCGCTGGTGGCGGGGGCAGTGCCAGTCTAAACCCATACTACAATACTCTACCCCTTGACAGCATTCGAGCAGCCGCCCAGAATGAGGTCACCTACGCGCAGGGCTGCCACATCTACAAATGGCTACCAGTCGCTTCACGTTACTGCACGGACAAGTCTGGGAAACCCGGTGTCACTCTCGAATGGTTCAGCGGGGACAAATTTCAAGGCGACGTCGTCGTTCAACAGCGACGCACTAACACCGACCTCTTCTTGTGGGACTCTGCACCACTCGCTGAGCTTGGCCCACAATGGTCGGCCGTCGCAACGACGTATCTGACTCCAACCCAGACAGGAAAACACACTATAAGTTACATGACAGTGGGCCCCGGAAGATTGTTCGTTGATGGAAAGTTGGCACTTGACCTCTGGGACTGGACGGAGGAAGGAGAAGCCATGTTCGATGGTTCCATTGATTACATGGTGGAAGTCGACATGCAGGCCGGGAAGCCTGTGGAACTTCGTGTTGAGATGACGAACGAACTTCGACCCATTGCCAAGCAGAAGGTGTTCAACATGACGCACAGGTACGGTGGCTGCCGCATCGGTTTCAAGCAGGAGGATGCCGTCGACTACCTACAGGAGGCCATTGATGCCGCAAAGGCAGCAGATGTGGCTGTTGTTGTTATCGGTCTCGATGCCGAGTGGGAGTCAGAAGGCTACGATCGCAAGACGATGGATCTGCCTTCGGATGGCAGCCAGGACCGGTTGGTCGAAGCCATCGTCAAAGCTAACCCTCGGACCGTGGTAGTGAATCAGTCTGGCTCGCCAGTCACCATGCCCTGGGCCGACAAAGTTCCGACAATACTTCAAGCCTGGTACCAAGGCCAAGAAGCCGGCAATGCGCTGGCAGACGTTTTGTTCGGCTTCAAGAACCCGAGTGGGAAATTACCGGTATGTATTCCCCCGTCTGTACTTGAGCTGTATGCTGATGGTCACAGTGCACTTTCCCCAGAAGAATTGAGGATACACCAGCCTACCACAACTGGCCTGGGGAGAACCTTCGTGTACTGTACGGTGAGGGTTTGTATATTGGCTACAGACACTATGATCGTGCACAAATCGCACCATTGTTTGCCTTTGGCCATGGTCTATCATACACCACGTTTGAGTACGGCCGGGTGTCGGTCAGCCAGAAGACACTCGGCGCGGACGCCCCTATTCACATGATCATGGCGGTCACCAACACGGGTTCGGTTGCTGGCAGTGAGACGATTCAGATCTACGCGAGAGACGAAAAATCCAAACTCCCGAGGCCGGAGAAGGAGCTAGTCGCTTTTGAAAAGGTATCTCTGGAGCCCGATGAGACGAAGCACATCACCATCCCCCTGGACAAGTATGCCGTTGGCTACTACGACGATTCCCTGAGGACCTGGATTGCAGAGGAGGGCACGTTCAAGATTCTGGTCGGAGCGTCGGCGGCTGATATCAGGTATGTTGCGTTCAACAATGTTCCCCATCCGTTGACTCCAAATACTAATTTTCGATAACAGGCAATCGGCTTCGTTTGTAGTTGAGGAGTCGTTCACGTGGATCAAGTAAGAAGGCCACTTGCGCGCAGTCTCACCCTACTTTCGAGGGTGGTTACTATATACGGAGATAGATGAACCGGTGCTTTGCATGCATTATGACACCTGACCAACAGGAGGTTGCAGCAAACGGAAGGGAACTGTCAAAGTACCTTGGGGACCTTGATTGGCAAGTTATACGTGCGGAAGGTCACTCCGTGGGAGAAAAAGAATGGTCCGGGTGGCGCGATACCAGCCTCTGACGAGTTCGTGACGAAACTAATAACGCTCCTTGCACTATAAATAATGAGCCTATGGAAACATCGGTACAACTTTCTTGTAATGTGAGCCACGGAGAGCCTGGCCAAGGTCGTTGTCACGTTATCATACTCCAATATGCGTGGCCTATAATAATAGCTCTACCAACAAGGCCCCGAGCCCATCGTTTGGGATGCACTACAATTACCCTAGGAAATATAGCACGTGCCGACCACGCCGCAATCAAGTCAAGGAGTGGAGATGTCACCTTGTTATCCGTATCTGTTCCGTGGAACCTCTTTCGGACAGCTAGAGGCAGCAGTCAAGGGCCCCCACGTCTGTCTAGAAACGTGGATCGGATTTATAGGGACAAGCAGCGCCTTGGCATAGACAGGGTGTGTCTTCGGAATACGTTGCCTTGTCGTGACTATATATATTAAGATTCGGTGCTGCAGCCGACTACAAGGGTTAGGCTTCAGACCGTCAGGTGATCCGAAAAGCCATCAGAGCAACGGTGCGATGTGTGCTGGGGTATTTGGTTTGTTACGGAGACTGATTTCATGTTCTTATTGTGAAAGACTAGGTGTGAGATTTCGAGTGCATGTAGACGAGCATGGCGAGAGAAATTTTCAGTTTGCCGCAATATGCTCGAGCCGACAATCACGACCTACAGTCATCAAACATCATTGCCAGTGGTGGATAGGAAGGCCATTTTCCTCGGCGTAACGTGTATTGCAAGCAAGCTGTTTGCTTCAGTGGCTGCATGCTCATACCCCCGAAATTCGTTGTGTTCTTATATTCCAGCACTTCAACAAGGTCGTTACATGTGGCTATGTTAAGGCTGTAAGTGAGTTCTCTTAATCTAGCTGGTACCTGTATATACAGTAAGTTGACGGGAGGTTGAATTGGATGCTCATCCATTTGCTGTCGGGTCCTTAGCGGGTTCGTCTGTGCCTCCACAGGGGACCCCATCGGGCCCCATCTACATGCGGATCTGCAGGGGGGCGGGCCCCTTTGGCTTGGGCCTTGGGCCGTCGCCTTGTCAGAATGAACCGTGGTCCGATCTAGCCGCGCAAAGGATCGCCGCCCGTCGAGGAACACGCTGTGAAGGACGTCCACGACGGAGGATCACGCCTCACTCTCGCAAGTTTGCGTTTGCCATAGGCTTCGCTGTTGGAACATACGACCTCTTTTAGAGCGAGTCTCAACTGATCATGGTGGTTTCGACTTGCCAAGTAAGCGGGCCATCGTCTTGTCCAGGTCGATATGTTTGCTTGCTACGACAGACGTGTCTGGTGGGCCAGGCCACCTGCAGCTTTGATTGTCCTTAGCGTCCGATTACCCCTGTAACGCACCGCCGCCCTGCCAGCGGGCTGCCTGCCGTTCCACGACGCCGCCGGCGCAAAGCCTAGGTCCCTGGTCGAACTGCATACATAGCCCCGACGACAGGTAAAGTACACTTGGAGCTCAAAGTTCACCCGAGTTACAACAGCGACCGTCTCTATCCCCGATCCACACCACACGTCTTGAACCCGCCCCCTACCTAGGTACGGAACCAAAGCCCAACCCCAAGGTCGCGGGTAACGGCACACGCGTCCTCTGGTCAGATTTCCTCTTCCATGGGTCTATGAGCGGACGCCCGAAGCCGAGGGCTCCCATTGCCCGTCAACCACACCATGGCGCCTAACTATGCCAATGGCAACGCCTACGGTCTGCCGACCTCTTCCTACAACAACCGCGCCGCGAGCACATCCCTTGCCGAAAGCCTCCTGTCAGCCCTGCAGAACCTTCTGAGGCGGGGACGGAGATACTGGAACGGACGCGGCCGCATCGTTGCTGGGAACTTGGCCATGCAGGGTGCTCACCACGTCTCGAGGAACCTGGTGTCTCGTCGCCTCCTGAGCTTCCCGCACCTGCTGGTGGCCCTGTGGATGCTGGTCATGCTATACGGGGAGCGGTGGATCTTCATGAGCAAGGTGCAGAGCTGCGACTGGGACCACTGGGAGAAATGGGTGAGTAGACACTCTCCGACACCACACGAGCGCACCCAGCAAGCTGACCCCATGCGTACAGCCGGCAGGAGCGACGCCGCACCGCTTGATCTTTGTTGCCGACCCCCAGCTCATCGACCCTCATTCATACCCAGGCCGCCCGTGGCCTTTGAACCCCTTGACCTATACGATAACAGACAACTACATGCGAAGGTCATACAGGGCGCTTCAGAAGGAGCTACAGCCAGACACAGTCATGTTTCTTGGAGACCTGTTCGACGGTGGGAGAGAGTGGTCAACCGCACATGGAGGCTTCGAAGAACCCGAGTGGATGAAGGGGGAGCGACCTGCCGACGAGGCGAAATACGCAAAACAGTGGAGTAAGAAATACGGCGAAGACTTCTGGCTGCAAGAGTATGCCAGGTTCGGCGGCCTGTTCTACGACAACTGGCGATTGGGCGGCCTGTTCCCTGGAAGGTGGCAGCGGGGCAAGAAGATCATCCCCAGTTTGCCTGGGAACCATGATCTCGGTTTCGGGCCCGGGGTAAAACCCATGGTGAGGAAACGTTTCAGCGCGTATTTTGGAGAGACGAATCGGGTCGACGTCATTGGGAACCATACCTTCGTGTCTGTTGATGCCCTGTCACTGAGCGCCGGCACCCACCAGAAGATGGAACGGGCCGACTTGAGCGAGATCTACAAACCCGTACACGACTTCCTCGACGAGGTCAAGGGGACCAAACGGAGGTTGGCAGCCAAGGAGGTGAGGTTCTGGCGTGGGGAGAGTGAAGATCTAAGCTACAACCATAAAGTCGAGGACGTCAGCGATGCTTCCTTCAAAAACCTGCCATCGTTGGACCAAGGAGAGGACGGGCCTGACTTCCCGACAATTCTCCTGTCCCACGTGCCCCTATACCGGGAACCTGGGACGCCGTGTGGTCCGCTGAGGGAACATTGGCCGCCCGCAAAACCGCCGGAAGGCCAGACAACACCTGTCAAACCCGACATGCGCAACGCCCTCCACATATCAGCAGGCTACCAGTACCAAAACACGCTCACCGAAGAGGACTCGGTGAGACTTGTGAAGAGCATCGGAAACGTGGTCCACGCCTTTTCGGGGGACGATCACGACTATTGCGAGGTGGTCCACTCGAGTTCGAAGGATAACGTTCGAGAGATCACGGTCAAGAGTCTGAGCATGGCCATGGGTGTGCCGACCCCGGGATTCCAAATGGTCTCGTTATATAACCCCATCGACGAGAACGGGAAGTCGCTATCGAGGGATACAAAACCCACCTTGCAGACACATCTCTGCTTGCTTCCCCAGCAGCTCTCCACTTTTGCGACATATGCCGTCCTCGGCATACTCACCGTCGTGATTCTTGTCATTCGCGCCTTCTTGGTACCCGTGCTGAACCTGCAGCCATTTGCCCTGGACGGCCTCCCCCTATCGAATGGCGCGGTCCTGCCGACGCACGTCAAGGCCAAGTTCGAGGCCGACCCGGAAGAAGGGTACGGCCTGCCGACCTCGGGCCACTCGACCTCCAAGTTCCTCTCGGCGCGCACGCGCGGCCGTGGCGCGTCCATCACCAACGGCGCCGCGCGCGGCAACTCGCCCAACACGAAGAGCGGCAAGTGGGGCTGGGGCGAGACCCGCGGCCCGCGGATCGAGATCAGGCGAGACGTCTGGGATGGCGGACGGTCAGACGGCACCCTGTGGCAGGCCGCCCGGCGTCCCACCTGGCGGTCGGCGCTGCAGTCACAGACGGCGCTCGTGGGCCGCGAGATCTGGACCACGACCTGGAGGGTCGCCTGGATGGCGCTCGGGTTCTACGCCTATCTCACATACAAGGGCTAGGACTAGAGGGAGTAAGTCGGATAGAGAAACAGAGACGGAGCGGGGGAGGGAGAGCGCGCAAGAGCGATGCAGCTGTACTATAGGATATGAATTATTAGCTGGTGTTGGCGGCCTTCACATTGGAATACAAGGCTGTGGGGATTTGCAGATAGAAGGGGGCTGTATGTTTGTAATTGGCGAGCTCTGCCTGGACTTGGCATAAAAATCGAAAATGTCCGTGTTGATAGCAACAAAAGACTTCTCTGGCCGTCTGTCTATCCCAAGACTGCACTTGCTTTATTCATAGTAAAATATCCTTTGGTATGTAGATCAAGACTCGTCGTCCAACCCACGGAGCGTTTTACTCCCCTTGAATATCGTGACTATGCTATAGAGCGGCATGATCTCCAACAGCATGGCCCCCTTGGGGAGATGCCCACTCCATTCCAATTCTACAAATGTATGTATTGCCAAGACGGATTTCGTTGAATGCCCATAGTGCCAGAAGCGAAAATCGAAGTTGTATATACATTACTCAAAACCCAATCGAAGGGAACGGCCGCAAGCCAGCGACCATATCACGACCTTGATGACACAAGATGACGTTCCACTACGTCAGTCCGACCAACATATCAGTTGGATAGGCGGGGGTTAAGGGCGAGGTCATCACAAGCTGGTGGTTGCCTACCACATTTCTAGGGCCGACACGGTTGAAGGGGCGAGAAGCTCGTTATTAAAAAAGCATCAATATCATACTGATATTTATGATGGCTAGAGAGCATTTGCTACTCGCTATATAGGACACCGCTGCTCCCAGACCATCTAATGACTCCACTGCATAGATACATGAGAGAGCTGTAGGAATGGTGGTGGCGGTGGTTTATACCTTGAAATGGTATCCTCTGCAGTGTCAAGAGCACTGCGAACCCATATGATTGCGAGTCTGGCAGGAAAATGTTCAAGGCGGCTCCCTTTCCGCAAATCTGGGGGGTGGTACCCATCAAAAACGTCGTACCCTGGGTTGGTAATTGCACCTGTAGCGCCCAAATTGATTCCTGACTTTGAAATTCCATTTGTGATCGCCCACCTGACCCAAGACCCAATTCCCTAAAACAAAGATCCAGAATGTTGTGACTGATGACCAGTCCCTTGGCCCGTTTCCGATGAACTCCAATACGTCAAACTCCGGCGCTGGTATCCGATGTGGTTTTAAAAATAACAATCGCGAACAATGAAGGCCGTAGAGAAGGCAATGACAAAACAGCCGTATCAAAAAGGGGTATAAACAACGCCGGCCGACGATGGGCTCAAGGCCATCAGTAACTGAACTCGACGTTGCCTAGTCCCATCTGCTGTATTATCTTATCTTCCTCGGATCTATTATCGCCGTGGGCGGAGTCAGTGTGAATCGTCTGAATGCTCTCCGTGGCGCTGGATCCGGTGACCGAGGGTTGAAGCTCGTGTTCAGCCGGTGGGATGCCACTGTCGGCGAATCCTTCGTCGCGAAGCTGCTGGAAACTCCAGCTGGGCTCGAATTTTTTACTGTTCCATGCGTAGTCGACACGCTCGTACATCTCATCAATCTGCTCCAGGCTGATCTTGCTCGTCTCGTAGACCATGCAATACACGAACAAGCCGGCTAGCAAGCAAAAAGCGCCCCAAACGTAAAAGACTCTCGATCCCATATCGGCATAGCCTGCGCCGGGGGACACCATGTATGGGGTACCGTACGCAATGCCAAAGTTCAAGAGCCAGTTGGATGCGGTGGAGACAGACATGGCCTTGGCCCTGACCTTCAGAGGAAATATCTCGGCGGTGACGACCCAACAGACAGGACCCCATGAGGCGGCATAGAAGAAGATGAAGAATGAGAGGAAGATGATTAGTATCTTGCTCGCAATTTCTCCCTCGCTATTGCGGACTACACTCGCGAAGATGGCAATGGTCAGCTGGCAGATGGCCATGCCAGCGGCACCGATCATCAACAGGTTCCGTCGACCCCATGTTTCAACAACGAACAGTCCCGGGATTGTGGAGAAGACGTTGATGATGTTGGTGATGAGCGATATAAGAAAAGGACTGTCAACGTTGGCGCCGTGGAAAAAAGTGGTGCCGTAGTACATGATGAAGTTGATGCCGGTCAGTTGCTGGAGCATCTGCAGGCCGCAACCGGTCAGTGTTCGACGTCCGAGGTGTGGTTCTCCGAGGAAGATGTCGCGATATGACTCGGGCCCAAGGCTCATCTCGTAGTCGTGATTAGCCTGTATCTCGGCTAGCTCCTCGAGGAGTGCCGGGTGCGTGATATCCAAGCGCCTGAGGCGACTCAAGGACAAGGCAGCTGCATCATTCTGTCCTCGTTTGATAAGATATCGTGGGGTTTCGGGAAGGACCAGAATGCCGAGGGCGAGAACGACGGCCCAGCTGAACTGGAGGCCGATGGGTATTCGATAAGCCGAGGCGTTGCTAATATCCTTGACGCCAATGTTGACAGCAGATGCCGTAAGAAGGCCGATGGTAATCGATAACTGGTACGCGCACACAAGAGTTCCTCGAATCCATTTCGGGGCCATTTCAGACTGGTACAGAGGTACCAGAAGGGAAACAGCACCAACGCCGACTCCGGCAAAGAAGCTGGATCCGATTAGCATGACACAACCTCAGGCGAGCAAACTGGACGCGCAAAAACATACCGGCCGACGAGCAGCATGGGAATGGCATCGGCGCAGATCTGGAATATGACGCCGAAGCAGAAGACGCCGATTGCGATGACGAGGGATATGCGACGCCCGAGCGTGTCGGCGGCAGGGGCGCCGAGCAGAGCCCCAACGGCGGTTCCGGCACTTAATATGGCGACAATAATGGCAGTCTGTGAAGGGGCGATGGCGCGCGTCTGGCTTGTGGTGTCGACGTATCCGGTGTTGAACTGGTCTATAAAGGCAGGCATGGAGAGAATGCCGTTGATGGTCCTGTTTTGCCGTCGGTTAGCAGCAACATCAAACACGTTTGCATTCGCAGTCGGCCTCCATCGTCACCCTCGTCATGGACACATCGCATCATATCGTGTCGTATCGAGATGAGAGGCGGGTCGAGGGAGATGAGCGACGGGTGCTGATGATGATGATGCTGATGCTGGGGGTTTGGCTCACCCCGTGTCATATCCAAAGAGAAGGCCACCGGTGGCGACGAACAGGCCGACCATGATGGCCGGGGCGGAGGAACCGGCGACATTGTCGGGTTTGTGCCAGCCCATGGCAATCGCCATGGTGAAGGAGGTTGCTTCGTCAATCCAGCGTTGGCGGTCGGTCGGACGGATCGTGGTCGAGCGATGGAAGAGGTCGTCAACGTCCGATTTTGCGGGTTCCCATCGGGAGAGACGGTAGTGGGTAATAATAGAGTGAGTAGAGTTCCCAGAGTGGAGAAGGGGGTCGGCGAAGGGGGGGAAAAGGCGGGAGAACAGGACTCGGGACTCTGGACTCTGGACTCTGGACTCTGGGCGAGAGAGAGAAGAAGAAGAAGGGCAGGATCAGCGCCGCCGGCCGCCGAGGGCTTGTCTGCGGGTGGGTGGTCCAATCGCGGGTTGGGTGCTGGCTGGGTTTGGAGGGTGGTCTGGTCTGGCAGACTGACAATAGCGGTACCTAAGTTAGATACCATAGTACCTAACCACCCGAAGTACTGCAGGTAAAAAGAGAGAGAGAGAGAGAGAGAGGGACAGAGAGGGTGCAGGTGGGCGAGCGGGTCTCACGGGCTGTCGGGAAGCACGAGGGCCAGCGAAGTCCCAGAGGACCCAGCGAGACCCCCAAGAGCACCCCAAGGGACTCAACTTGCAAGGGCCGCTGGCTCCAGCCGTGGACTCGTGGCCTGCGCGAACGGTTTGCGCACCCTGGGCCTGCCTGGCCCCTTGGGTACCTCAGTGACCACTGACCACTGACCACCTGCAGGCCGAGCTTGCAGGCCCTACCTGCTGTCCAGCTAAGTGCCAAGGTCGGCGGGCGGCCCTCATTGGCCTGGCGCCCTGGGGGTGGGTGCGCCCTAAGCGACCTGCAGCGACCAGACACGAAAGCAGACAAGCGCGCTGGCGAACGCCCTCCACTGCTGCCACCGATCCTGCCCGTCCACTCACAGCCCGCCTGGGCCATCTGCTCGCAGCCCTCACGAGACCTGGGGCGCCACGCTGCCAACCAGAGCCAACGCCGCCCACAGTCTTCGCGAGTCACGCCTGATGGGCTGATTCACAAACCCAATATTACTTCTGGGCGCCGCGTGGTGGAAATGGCCGTGGCTCTTTTTCGGGGGGCTTTTTTTCGGTGGCATCAGCATTCCAATGCCGCCCTGGCCAGACGTCCATACGTCCCCGGTTCTCCCCCGGTTCTCGGGCTTCCTGGCGGGTGGCAGCAATCCCGATGGCAAGCCTCCAAGACTTCACTCCATCATGGTTATATCACTGCAAGGATGATCTCCAACGGCGGCAGGAATCCTTCATGTGTGCTGCCGTAAATCGGTATCGATCAACAAGTTTCCCGCTACCGTCTGGGAGATCTGTATACTACTTAGTGCATTCTCGTTATGGACCAGGCATAGTGAACCGAAGAGACCATTCAAAGACGACCTTGTCCAGCAGCTGACCAGCGCAGACCAACTCCACATCGACCCAGAGCACTTGGGTAGCCTAGCAAGCCTGAGTAGGTACATGGATGCTGCTGGATGCGCCCGTTTCCCCAAAGTGAGCCTGTACTCTCAGAGACACCTGCTTGAACTAACAACTGGGTATATCTATATGTGCTTTCACGGCGCAGCAGAGTAGTTGTTGTTGGTAAGGTATCGACTCGTACTGTACCTCTGTAACACCTCAAGTCATCTGTCTACGTACAGTAGGATGAGGTGAGTTTCTACCTAGAGTATCACGCATCTCATCTACGCCAAGAAACGGCTGTCGTCTCGAGCGAGAAACTATGGGCCGCGGATGTCGCGAAAGAAAATTTGCAGGGAAAAGGGTCCTTGCATTCCTCCTCCCTGCGCAACTTGCAGGCAGTAAACAGTGCTTGACCAAGAGATGTTCCAGGAGACGACGAGGTCTCTTGAAAAGCCATGGACATATCGAATTCCTCGTCCCCCAAGCCTTGGGACTAGCGCAGGTCGCTAGCCACCTCTCCCCGTTCCAGCTGCTCGAAAAGGCCGAGAGACCGGTATCCATACGGATGAGTCGGGCCTTTGACTCCAGATCAAGGAGTTTTAGAGTTGCCCAAAACCTCGATTTCCTCCCAAGTTTTGCGGGGAAAAGGCGCCTAGAACCCCGGGACGGTGGGTCTCTGTCACCTGCGAGTTCCACTGATGGGAGCAGGCATTCCATATCCCCGGGAACTTGGTCAATCGGCCCTACGAGTTGAGTTTCATGACACTCACTCTGAGCAGCCTCGTTACGAGTCCTCTGGGTGCGCTGAAGACATAGAGGCCGTGCTGAATTCGCTCAACCAAACCACAAAATCGACGGCCGGAGCACCTAACATCAAGGTGCTGGCCGGGTTCGATGCTATACAGCTAGCCCCAAAACTGTATGGATTTGGTGAGAAGCGGTGCAAGTGCCGTGACTCGCTTATTGCCAACCCCGTACCAGAAGCCATTGTCCCAAGCCTGGGCGCTCTAGCATGCACAGAGAAACGCAAAAGCAAGGCTGGTGTCAGCAGGCGTTCTCGGCATTCAGTGGCATGCAGAGTCGTTAGTTCGCGGTTGCCGCAGTCCCTCAAATGTATCGCTTGTTTTCCCTCGGGCAGTCCAACACCATGGCTATCCAACGCGACTTTCTTCCCGTCTCTCCACCTGGGTTCGTCAAATGCGGCCCTTGGCAGGGCTCTAGGCTATAGATATGAGTATAGAAATCTCCTAATTCGGATTTCGTTGATGAGCATGGTATCCCAACTGTTATAGCTGGTGGTTGTGAGGCGCTCGGAACCGGATATCTCGGGAGATTGGGCTCACGTACTAAGCTGGGCCTATGCCACCGCCGATTCCAACCAAGCATTGGCGCAATATAACTATGGCTTTTTGGCTAGCATGCTTGTATGCTCAAATTTCTCTTTACTATTAATGAAGCATGCTTCCGTAAGATGGCCGCGCTACAGCATGCCAAACCCTCCGCTTCCGGCTAATAGAAGCGTCGTGGAAAGGAATGAATTGCTTGGTAGGCAACCTCGCTGCATCGGTGGACTGTCCTCTCTGCCAGCTTTCGTTGTCCCGAGTTCTCGGGACAGCGAGCTTGACGACGAGGAATCCGGTCAATGCCAATCGCCTAACTTGGAGACCTTGGACGTCGCCTGTCACTGAAATAAACGCAGGGCCCAGGACAAACCCCAGAAATAGGTACTTCAACGTCTAACGTTACTATTGTACTGCCTTCTGTTCGGCCAGGGGGCTGAACTCTAATGTGACAAATACGATTTGCAGCTCGCTCACTTGCATCCTCCCACGGCACCATGCGCGGTCGCCTGCACGTCTGCCGAGACGACGTCTGCCCATCGCCTATCCTGCCTTGCAGCGGTGCATCGTCCATCCAGTCTCGAGTAAGCTTGCCCGAGGAGAACCGACAGCGTGGTTTCAAAAGTAGCAATGTCAAAGAAATACCGACACGGGACCTTCTCCAAAAAGCTGCATCCTCACGCCACCCATCCTAGCCTCGTCGCCTGCTCAGCCCCCAACGATAGATGTAAATGCCCTTGCAGGGTACGTTTACGACCGTGATACAAGGGGTGAGGGCGGTGGTGTTGGAGGAGGAGCGGCGCCCGGGGGGCATCCTCGCTGTGTCCTTCAGCCCATGCAGTGATTATGCGGGCTGATCCTTTCCCTTCACCGTCGCTCACTCCGATAATGACACATTCCTCTCCATGTATATCCATACATACATGCATGCATGCAAGGCCTGACTGCCTGCATTGGGGAAACTTTGATCATGGAGAAGCCCTGGCTTCCGTCAGACGACAAACGTGTGAAGGAAAAGCCTGTGCTGATTCCTCCCTCGTTGCTCGGTCGTGAGGACGGCGTTTCGTGTGATACCCAAGACGTCGAGTTGGCGGGAGTCGACACGTATACAAGTAACCGGACCCTACCAAGTCTGGAGCCGCTCCGTTTCATAGAAACATGTGCGTGGCTATTCAGGATGCCAACGATTGTGCCCAGTTCGCCCCTGACTAGGTCTCGGAATCGCAGGTCGAGAAGACCTGACATTTCAGCCCCAAACTCTGACATGAATCTTGACCCCCCACCATCATCCACAGAGTTTCTCAGCCTCAGGGGCCCAATGTAGTAGGTGTGACAGCATATATGTAGGACTTCACCGTACCGGCAATTCTTTGTTTGCCTTTGGGCTTCTGTATTATGGAAGCAGCAGCTACCTCTCGCCGAGCTGGGAGACCACGTCGCCATTCAGGGAAGGGAAGGGCCTGGATGCGGGCAGTCTATTCGTGTAACTGGAGAGTTGTGTCGTGCCAGTAGAATCAGTCGAGAGATTCTATACAGCACGGATTAACACGCACGCAGGCACGATCACACAGTCTCGGGGCATATAGAAGTTGAGGTAGAGTATCCAAATATTTGTATCATCACTGCATCCACAAAATATACTATCAATACAGAATAACGAGTTGACGCCCAGGTATTTTTAACGAAGACCCAAACTAGCCTTCAGGCTCTTGTCAACAAACAAGGCGGACCTCGGGCTGCGCTGATTCCCAAACTTTGACCGTTTACGCCGCAAGCAATGAACGATGTTTTCAGTCCTAGATCTCCAGAGTGACCTTTTGGCCCTTGACGCGTCCTATCACCTGCTGGGGTGCGTACTTGGGAATGACCTCATCATCGTGCAACATCTCAAACTCCTCGGTGGCATCTCGGCCCATGAAGTTCATGATGGCCTGAGGACCACCAGGGTGCTCCTCCAGCCAGTTGGTCAGGTCCATCACAACGCCCTTGACAACGACCCACAGGTCCTCTTTCTTGTTGTGCTTGGCGACCTCCTCCAAGGTGTACTCCTTCTCGGGAATTTCAAACTTCTTGGGGCTCTGAGGTTTGGAAGCATTCTCGGAAGACTTGCCGGCATCGGCCTTGGGGGTAGGGCCGGTAGCGCTGGTGTTACCCAGAGATGCCGACGAGCCAGAGCCATCGCTTCCCCACTCAACAGACACCTTGCCAGGCTGCGAAGGGTCGATGTGCAGAGAGATCTGGCCAACGCGAGCGGCGGCACCTGCAGCGGTGCCAGATAGGGCCTGCTGGAAGAGGTAGTTGCTTGCTGTGTCACCAGCAACACGGCCGTAGACAACACATCCAAGCAAAGACGAACCACCCAGTCGGTTGGCACCGTGGACACCACCAGCCAGTTCACCACAGGCGAACAGACCGTCGAAGGGCTTCTGTTCCTTGTTGAGTACCTGGGCCTTGTCGTTGATCTCAATACCACCCATGGTGAAGTGGAGGACGGGCTCCATCACTGCAACGTGGAAAGTGTCATTGACGTCGAGGGGCATGTTGTGGAAAAACTTCTTGCCCCAGGGGTCTTTTTGCTTGCCCTCGGCAATGGCGTTGTAGGTGGTGAAGGTCTTTTGAAGGTGGTCAGGGGAGCAGCCGATCTCCTTGGCGAGCTCCTGGCCGCTCATCTTCTTCATCAGACCACGGCCCGAGTAGTGGCGGGTGTGGAAGTCTAGGGTGTTGGAAGCCTTGGAGTTCAAGACGAGGCGGATGGGGAATTTGTTCTTCTCCTTCTCCTTCCACATCATGCCAGAGACGTAATCTCTGTGGCCGAGCTCATCGCAGAATCGGTCGCCATCTGCATTCAGAAGAAGACCACCCTCTCCACGCAGAGCCTCGGCTGCCAGGAACTTCCACTTGGATCCAGGATCCTTGGGGTCAACGAGACCTGTAGGGTGAACCTGAACCTTGTCCATGTCGATGCCGTTTCCGCCAATGGCCATCACCATCTTCTGACCATCACCAGTGGCGTGAGAGCCGTTGGTGGTAGCAAGGCCGAATGTATCAGGTCTGTGTTGCTTCAGGAGAGAGCCCTCGCCAAAGTCTGCGGCGTAGCCACCAGTAGCTAGAATAACTGGGCCCTCCACAGAGGCGCTCTCGCCATTGTACTCGTATGTGACACCGGTGACCTTGTTGCCCTCCTTGTTCAGACCGGTAACGCGGGCCTTCTTGATGATTTGAACCCGCTCCGGCTCGTTCTCGGCCAGGTCTTCCAGGCGTTGCATGAGGGCGTATGTGATGGCCATACCAGGGAACTTGGCGTCGTGACCTCTGTGCGTTCTCGGCTGAGAGTGACCACTAGCGAGCTTGTTAGAGTCTAACCTGATTTTAAGAAGGGCAATGGGATCGCTGAGCTACTTACCCAAGTCGAGAAACCAATGTGAGATCCAGGTTGAAGACATCCTGCAGCCACTCAACGGCAGCCGCGGACTTGTAGGTCAGGACTTTGATGAGATCGGGCCTCGCCTTGTCACGGGCAGACTTCAAAGTGTCATCATAGAACTGCTTTACACTGTCTGCGATTTTGTGGTCGACCTGCGTCCGGGTCAGGGCACCGTTGATACCCGAGGTTGCTTTTGTGGAGTTTCCTCCGAAGAAACCTGGGCAGGTCAGTACAGTTGCATCCTCTGTGGAAAAGGGTTCACAGGATGAGCTGGATCTCCACATACCCTGCTTATCGAGAACGACGACATTTCCACCGGCAAGGTAGACTGTATGTGCGGCACTGAGACCGGACACTGCGGGCAAGTCAGCTTTCATGTGACGGCAACGACGTAACGCAGGTGGCGTGAACTCGGCACGCGGGGACGGCAGGGAAGCTTACATCCGCCACCGACGACGATTACACGTGGTGCCATCTTGGAGGGCTGCAAAGGACAAGAAATGCGACAGAGACAGGAGACGGGGTCTGGCGACTGTCTATTGATGGCAAGAGAGAGAATGAAGAAAGAGAGAAGGGGGATGTCGGCAGACGGCTGCGATGGAGGAATGTGAGCACTTGATAATGGATTCGCGGGCGTTGCTATGGACCGAACCTAAGACGACCTTCTTTGAATTACTGGCTCGCTGATTCGTGAGCCGAGGTCTACTGGGGCCGCCTAGCAGGGGACCCGTCAGCCCATCCGAGCTCTGGGGGCTCCAGCTTTCAGAGGAGGCACAAGCACTAACCTGGCCCGAGGCGTCGCATCGGTCCCCACCACCGTCAGACTTTCAAACCTACTCGACCCGTCGAGTCGAACAATGCATTGTTCTGCCGCCCCCTTTGCATGTCGAGAACTGGCCAACTCAGGGCCTCTACGATGGGTCGAAATTGTGGCCACGATACAGTGTAGAGATATAGGTCAGAAACCCGTCTCTGCGTGGCGTGGCCCGTCTTTGTTCGTGGCTCACTTTCGCGACAACATTGCGACCAAACCTCGCCCCCATTTGGACCGAGCAGCCATGAGATCATACTACTCTACACTGCTGCTGGGGATTCTAGGGGTTAGACTGCGGGCGGATGAGTTGCCCCTAAACCTAAATAGACTAGACAATGCTTCAAATACTGGGGCTCTCACAGGGCCATCTGGAAGGCAGTATGCCACGCTTCAGGACATATTCCCGAACGCAGCGAGAAGACCAGTGTCGTGGAATCATCGCATTGTTGATGAACTGTCCGTATCTCCATGTGTTACTCCTCCCGATTGGGGTTGTTCGTTGCTGGTAAGGTGTTCGCAGGGGGCCCCTTTCGAGGCCGAGTTCTCGGACACGTTCGGCTACAATGCCGAGGCCTGGCACCGTTGGTGTCGAGACGCAGACCTCCCACGCACGCCCAGGCCGTCATGTGGAGGCGGCGAATTTCGCCGGTTTTGGTCGTGTCCAGTGCCGCCGCAGGGCGCTTCCCCCACAGAACCAACAATGGCGTCGATAGGAATCTGGGGGATGCGTCTGGGGTCCAACAGGTGCAATAGCAACTTTTTCTTTTCTTGCCCTCTGTGACAGCGCGCTTCATTCTTCTGTTTCCAGCGCGTGATCGCTTGTTGTAGCGTGTTTGTCGCAGATGTCTCATCTGCACCAATGAGTGATCGACCTTGCTGCCAGCCTACGCTGACATGTGAAAGACGGCGAACCCCAGATCTAAGTCGTCCCAAATAATGTCACGCGGGGATATGGTTGGTTTCGCGGTGTCCCCCACAACGCTGCGTGTCAGATGACCGGCCGCGAGTGCACATTCGATTCAAAGTTTTTTGTGTTTTGCATGTGAAAGCTGCCAGCATTGCCTCCTAGTCCACAGAGTCAGGGTCCGACTTGAGCAATGAATCGGGCACTAGTCATGACTTCATACTTCGTTCCTGTCGGATAGGGATAGGAATAGCATCGAAAACAACGCCACGCAACTCTTCTTAAACTGCCATTTACCCTTATACGCACCATGACTCTTGATCTAAGGTTTCAGTCTTCCATAGACTGGAGATCAACCTGCAGGCTCCCAGTTATAACCAAAGCGAGACTGACAAGCAGAAAGCGAAAGATTGACGACCTATAAACTCTTCAAGCCGAGACCGACCAGAGTTTGTCTCGAAATCACACCAATGTGTGCAGCGGCGCGATCGAACACACCACGGCGAACACCACCAGTTGACCTCTAACAAACCTACAATGAAGGTTGGGAAGACTGTACTGGACATATACATCAATTCATGGGAAGTGCACCATAGTTGCGCTTTAGAATCACACTTATAGAAGGACTAGCTGAAAACATCTGCCACTTGGACCTATACAGTGTTCATCGTAAAATAACGCCTGTGATTGATACGCAAGTAACCTACATCTATGGTAAGGACTTGGAGTCCATTGAAGCATTCATTCAGCTGAACTCAGTCTACATTCACCAGTGGGCGTTCCAAGATTTTAGAAATCAGTATCTTGCCAAGAAGTATCGACTAACTCACGGGTGGCAGTCGCACTGGTGCACCTCATATTCGGTTTCTACTAGGGTAATTAAAGGCATCTATAGTATAGCGAAAAGTATCAACTCTGTAGCGGAAGTGTTCTTTATAGCCTGGTATGTAGGCACCGGAACATCTCCAATTATTTACTGGTGGCAGTTGCGCGCGCGCACACAACAGTAGCTCCCGTGATTGTACTCTGACTAACGCGCCGATTGGTGAGACTTATGACGTCAAATCCGCCAGTAACCATCATGCAGTACGAACCACTCTGCAAGCGATAAGTCCAACCTTAGTATGAATGTTCCAAGAGCATAATTTCACATCGCAATATGAAACTGAATTATTTTGCCTGCTTCTCTACCCTAGCTGCGACAGTCTCGTCACAACTCCTCGTTCTGCCCTTCGGCCGCCACCCCGCGTCTGACGAACGACCGCTCAAGATGGATCCAGTAGGCCCAGGAGGCCCGTCGGCGCCATCGGCGCAGGGAGGCGTGATACTGTCCGATGTCATGGGCAAGGAACGGAGCGTCAACATTTTTGCGGGCTTCACACGCGATGTCGTGTCGATATCGCATCGTCTGGACGACTCGTCCCAGAACTCGACCATTCTCGCCCCGCTGAACTCAGCCATCGAGAAGCTGCCGCGCAAGCCGTGGGAGGATGCCCGAGACTACGAAACCCTAGGCACCAATGCCTATGAAGGGGGAGATGGACAAGAGAGGGCACAGCGAAACATCCGCAGGTTTGTCGAGGCGCACGTGGTCCCGAGCAGCCCGTGGCAGGAGAGGGAGAAGGTCAAGACGTTGCTGGGCGACAGGGAGGTATGGTGGGAGAGTAAAGATGGGAAGAAGCTGGTATGTGCAAGTTCCATATGGATGTATGACCGTACCTCCTGCTAACAGTGTCTGTCAGATACAACCGGATAACATCGAGGTCGACAGCGTTGCAAGTCAAGTTGGCAATGGCGAGGTCTGGATCATTCGTGGGGTTCGAAACTACTCATAGGGAACACAAGAGTCTTAAGACTGATGGTCCGATACTTCATACACCTCCAAACAAAACAAGCCAGCTCTGTGGGTATAGCTCGATCCTTGACCTACGCCGCCGATCGTTCCACCTACGCATGCACTGCCTTTCAGCACGGCACTTCCTGACATTTCGTGGAGCTGTCAAAGCTTCAAAGTTTGCCGACATAGTGCCGATTACATGTTCAACATCACGGCTATCTGTATATTCAACTAGAAGTTTATAACTAACTGGACGGCGAACCTCGAATCTGGCTCGAGCGGGCTTTCAGTGCTGACTAACTCGGGTTCATCATGGCAAAGGAGTGTAATAGTTCAGGATTCATGTTTGGCAATTCTTTAACATACTGTCAATGGGCCTATAGTGTATCTATTATGTATGGGCCTGCTGCGACAATCTCACACTATCAAGTTCCCATCTACGACTCTTCCGCCTTTACGTCCTGTGTGACAAAGATGTGACATGGCCGTGTGGACTTCAACACGTATGCGAGATCTAGGCAGCTCTCATTTAGCTGCTCAGGGATGACTAGATAATAAAGCATGATATAGAACAAGGCTGGAAATTCGCCAACAAGTTTGTGCAGAGACAAAGCAGCAGGCACAGGTTGTCATTTCTAATCTTAGCGGTGGTCACGTCCCCCAGCTGTCTGACCAAACACACAGGAGTGTCCTTGAGTAAGACTAAGGGCGGATCCAGCCTTGACACTGGCGATAACCACGATATAGCCGAAGGAGTGCGGTGCTCACGAGGGCGCAGAGACAAAGACGTGTTACATGCTCCGTCGTAACTTGCAGGCCGTAAGCGGTTAGTGAACCTTGGAACCCTCTTGCTCCCAGCCCCAGCAAGTGCGGGGTCGCTCCCGAAACGGGGTTGGCCAGCAAGGCTGGAGGTGCGCTAAGATAGGGAGCCGGAGGATAGATGATGCGGGCTTATCGCGCGCGGCTGGGATGGTGCCTGGCCCGCCGATAGAGATCGCGTCAAGACCTTGCGACAGCTTTGTGCCCCTACAATTGACCAGCTCGTCCCACCCCCATCAACTCGTTGTCTGCCCTTTCAGCGCTCCTAGAATGAAGAGCTGATGTGATGTAGAAGGCAAGTCAACCCACAACGCAAGTCTTTTCCTCCCTCGTCTGGCCTCTGCCCACTGCGAAGCTCCTGAAAAGAGCTGCCGCACACGAGACGGAGTTGCAGCGTCATCCTGGCCCAGGGACTTCTCCTGATCCAGGTGGCCTGCGTCCGCCATCAACGTCCCCAAGCCCGCCCGCGTCTGCCGATGGCCGTCACTAACTCGCTGTGCAGTAGCCAGTGCACACAACTTGAAGGCCATGAATTCGCATCCATCAGACGACATGGCGCATCGAGATCGCGACTCCGCCGAGCGACACCACCGAGACAGCCAGTACCCTGCGCCCACGGGGACACCACACCACAGCAACGCTGCCTCTTTGCCCATCCACCAGCCCGTCGCCTCGAGGCTCCCGGGCGCCATCCACAGCCCCGGCGGCCTCCTGGCGAGCCACGGCTCTGCCCCGATTCCGCTCGGCGCACCTCCAGGCGCATCCTTCCCTGGCGGTCCCGGCCCCGGCCCAGCCGAGTCGAACCGAGCCCCCCAACATAACGCCCAGAATGCGTCGAGCCAGATGTTCACGGCCATCAGCGGCCCTGGTCCGAATGCAGGCCCGCCAACTTCGTCGGCCGGATCCGCGCTCGCTCTAGGTCCTCCGTTGCAACAGGATGCTCGCCCTCCGGCCGCCCAGACGATTCCATTTAGTGGTGGCAGCGCCGGCGGTCCTGCAGGTCCCCCTGTGCCGCCCGGTGGTGGCGCACTGCAACAAGGTCAACAGCCTATTTTGAATGTAAGTCTGCGTCCAAGATCGCCTTCATCTGTTGTGCCTTGTTGCGTTACGGAAAGGAGTGGCGCGTAACGATCTCTGCATTGCACAGGATCCCCGCGATGCTCTCATGTGTTTGCGGTAACCTGTGTCAATGTGACCGTGGTCGAATTCACTTCCCGTCGTTGAATTCACGCGAGAAGTGCCACTTGCTTTCTGGCAAATACTTGATTGTCTCATTGCGAGTGTGAATGCTCTTGATTAACGAGCTCCACCTTCACTTCTGCCTCACACCTTCACAAAACTCTACACGAACCTTGACAGCGAGTCTTGCACTGCTGCAATTGCCAATTCTCTCTTCTCCTTCCACTTGCTTCCCCTTCTGTTCTTTGCTATGGCCGTCATCAGATTTACTGGGAGGCCAGATCATCCTGCCTATAATCTCTCGTATTTTGAGAAGAGCCTGATATTCAAGTTTGGGCCAGATGACAATCGCCAAGTAATTTTTTTTTTTTTTTGCAGATGCTCTTGCTCATTGTTTGTTCAAAACGCTGACCGATTGTTCTCTACAGGATGCTCTCAGCTATCTCGATCAGGTCAAGGTCCAGTTTGCAGATCAACCAGATGTCTACAATAGGTTCCTCGATATTATGAAAGATTTCAAGAGCCAGACGTAAGTCCGCACCACACGCGTCGTTCAAGCAGTCTGAGATTGTCCTGACACTTTCTGTAGAATCGACACCCCAGGAGTAATCAAGCGTGTCTCCGAGCTCTTCGCGGGCCATCCCAACCTGATCCAAGGTTTCAACACGTTCCTGCCACCCGGATACAGGATTGAGTGTGGTGAAGGCAACCCCAGCCACATTCGCGTTACTACACCGATGGGCACCACCCTACAGCCAATCACGGCAGGGAAGTTCAACTTCGTCGACGGGAGTCAGAACCAGCCGGCATCGGGAGCCAACTTCTTCAACAACCGCACCAGCAACTGGCAACAACAGCAATCGCAGCCGCAGACCAGCATCGAAAGCCCCGAGGCCCAGTTCAGTGCGCCTGCCACAAGTGGTGCTGGCATCTTTAGCCAAGGTCAAGGTGCTGCCCAGAACGCTCCGTTTGACGGTCCTGGTTCTGCTCAGCAACAACGGGGAACTTCGCAGGTTCCCAATTCGACGACGCCAAACGCTGCAGGTACACGCAACGCCCTTACCCCCACGCCCGGCGCTCAGGGTGCTGCGAACGGTGCCAACGTCCAGAACGCCGGCATGGAGAAACGTGGCCCGGTCGAGTTCAACCATGCTATTAGCTATGTGAACAAGATAAAGGTGAGATCCCGCATGCAGAATGTGCAAACCCTTCAACAGCACTTGGCACATTACCGCTCCCATTGACTGTCGAAGCCGGGGCGCATTGGCTTGATTGTGGTCCGGAACTTGTTGGGAAGAGCAGCGCGCTAACGTCTACACGGTGCAGAATCGATTCCAGGACAAGCCCGAGATATACAAACAGTTCTTAGAAATACTGCAGACATACCAACGAGAGCAGAAACCCATCCAAGACGTCTATGCTCAGGTTACGAGCCTGTTCAACGCTGCTCCCGACCTTCTCGAAGACTTCAAGCAGTTCCTCCCCGAATCGGCAGCATCAAATAACAAGAGCGGGCCGCCGCGACCTGAAGACGCCGTGGGTTTGAATAGTCTCGTACAGTCCACGCCGCAGCCTAGCCACACGGTGAGGGACGGTCAGAAGATGCCTCCAGTGGGTAACTTTGCTCCGCCCAGTGCCACCAAAGATACCAAGAAGCGCCCTCGCAATGAGAAGGCTACGCCGGTAGCAGCACCTATCATGGCAGACAGCCTTGGACCTGGTGGACAACGCGCCATCCCTGGGGTCTCCAGTACCAGCAAGAGACCAAAGCTCGCGCATAAGCCGTTGGCAGCAGACGTACCATCAATTGAGCCAACCTTGACGCCAGTGATGCCTGAACCTCTTCCTCCGGCCCCAGATAACCAGTGCTCCTCCGAGGAGCTGGGCTTCTTCGAGAAGGTCAAGAAGCACATCGGTAACAGAGCAACCATGGTGGAGTTCCTTAAGCTCTGCAACATGTACTCGCAAAACCTCATCGATAGGGACAGTGTGGTTCACAAGGCAAGCCAGTTCATTGGTGGTAACCCTGAGCTACTGAAATGGTTCAAGGAGTTCATGGGCTACGAAGGCTACGACGAAAACATTGAGAACCGACCCCGGCCTCCGAGCGAGAAGGTATCGCTGAGCAATTGCCGCAGTGTTGGGCCTAGCTACCGTCTTCTGCCGAGAAAGGTGTGTAATAATCCCAAGGTGAATATCAAATGACGAGAATTGACATCCAGAAACAGGAGAAGTTGAAGCCTTGCAGTGGTCGCGACGAGATGTGCAACGCTGTGCTCAACGACGAATGGGCTTCGCATCCGACCTGGGCTTCCGAAGACTCGGGCTTTGTAGCACATCGCAAGAACGCCTTCGAAGAAGGTCTCCATCGAATCGAGGAAGAGCGCCATGACTACGACTTTAATATCGAGGCCAATGTTAAGTGCATTCAGCTGCTGGAACCCATCGCACAGCAGATGCTCAATATGACAGCTCAGGAGCGTGATTCCTTTGTGATGCCTCCGGGTTTGGGTGGTCCGAGCACCTCGATTTATAGACGGGTCCTGAAGAAGATTTACGGTATCGAGAAGGGTGCTGAAGTGGTCAACGACATGTTTGAGCACCCCTTCGCTGTTGTGCCTGTGGTTCTTGCTCGTCTGAAGCAGAAGGATGAGGAATGGCGATTTACGCAACGCGAGTGGGAGAAGGTCTGGCAAGCCCAGACCGAAATCATGCACCTGAAGAGTCTGGATCACATGGGCATCCAGGTCAAGCAGAACGACAAGAGGAACCTCTCGGCAAAGCACTTGATCGATGTTATCAAGACCAAGCACGAGGAGCAGCGACGTATGCGCTCCGTCAAGGCCAAGGTGCCCCGCTTCCAGTTCTCGCATGAACTCGGTGACCAAGAGGTCATTCTGGACCTACTCCGCTTCATGGTACTCTATGGCATGAACAACGGCCATCACAGTACATCTGAGAAGGAAAGGATTGTCGACTTCTTCGAAACCTTCATTCCTCAGTTCTTCGAGCTTCCTGAGGACAAGGTCCAAGACCGCCTTCGTGACATTGACAGAGAGTCTGCGGAAGAGGACGTCGAGGAGCAGCTCCCGGCCGAGTTGACTAATGGCCGCTCTCGCCGCAATGGCAAGAAGTCCGACCTTCTGCGAGGCGTTCTTGATCCTGGCCGCAATGGCACCAAGAGTCGTAAGGAGAAGGAAGGCAGCACTGCCTCTGGTAGCAAGGAGAGCACGCCTGACACCGGTTCCGGCAACGAGGAAGAGATGGCCGATGCTCCCGATGAGCCAGTCGCCTCCGAGACGTCCAATGAACGTTGGCTTCCCATCGTGCCTCGCGCGACGGTAGTGAAGGGAGCTAACCCCTTACTGGACTCTGAGGGCGAGTTGAAGGCGGATGGCTTCTTCCCTCGTCCTTGGTACCACTTCTTCTGCAACCAGACCATTTACGTGTTCTTCACCATTTTCTCAACCCTCTACAAGCGTCTCAAAGCAGCGAAAGAGAGCCAAGACAGTGTTTTGGAACAGATTATACGGTCTGAGAACAAGAAGCCTGCCAAGCAACTCGGCATTGCCATCAACGAGATCAACTACTTCGATAAGAACGACACCGCTTCGTTCTGGCCCAAGACAGTTGAGCTCATCGAAGACTATATCATGGGCGAGATCGACGACAACCGTTACCAAGAAGTCCTACGTCACTACTACCTCAAGAAGGGATGGACGCTATACACTGTCCAGGACCTCCTCAAGACGCTCTGCCGGCTGTCACTTGTCTGCACGAGTACCGACTCCAAGGAGAAGACGCCAGACTTGATCAGCCAATTCCTGAACAGCCGGGCTCAAGAGGAGACGAGCTACCAGACTGAGATTAGTGCACGCACTTTTGCACAGAAGTGCGTCAAAGATGGCGACATGTTCTTGATCTGCTGGGTAAGTGACACGCGGGTTCAATTTATTGCAAATCTTGCTGACCTTTACTTTACACAGTTCCCCAACAAGAGCGAGGCAACTGTTCGCTGGTTGCAACGTGATGAGACTACCTTCCACATGGATGAGATGGAGCTCCGTGAACGATGGCAATACTACATCTCTTCCTTCATGCGCGTGGAACCTACGGAAGGAGTTCCCCGTTCACGCCTCCAGAAGTCGGTTCTGGCTCGCAATCTCCCATCCAGCGACGTTGATTCGGACGACGGCAATGTTCCCAAACCGCTGCAATTCGAGGAGAATCTGGTCTTGAGGATATGCCTGAATTCGAACAAGATCGTCTGGGAGGAGGGCACTTCAGAGTATTTCATATACAACACTGTACCTGAACTCCCCGAGGAGAAGGCGGCTGCCGACGAACGCATGTCCGCTCTCCATGAGCACCGCGACCAACGATTCAAGGAGAAGTTCGTTATGAACAGCCCTTGGATGCGCAACGTCAACCAGGACGAGGTGCAGAAGGCCAATGAGAAATACCAGAATTGGCTCAAGGACGGAGTGGCGCCGACGTCGAGCGTCCGGGATGACGAGATGGAGGATGTCGAGTAGATGTCTAGTGCGTCTCACTCCTTCTCGCTGTTTTGGTTCCGCATAGGCTTTAGTTGATTTCTTCTCGTCTTTCAGTTGCGTACCACAACAGTAGCCCTGTATGTGGGAAATTGGTAGAAAGGCATTGCGTACGGAGTTGGTGGCGTCACATGAAGGTGGAAAAGTCCCTGTACGTCATTGTACAAGGAGCAGGAGGGGGTTTCTTCGGTCCTCGGGGGCACGATGGAATGTCTGTTGCTTAGACGCCCATGTCTTCTCAAGGAGGGGAGGATTTCTTTCCCATTTGATCATGTTTTCCTTTTTGTTTCTAGCTGTCGACTGCTCGAGCGGGACGAGGTGGCATAATCACGCGGTTGCACTCTGTGGATCACCGTGCTTCTATGATGGCAGGGGGAGGCGCAGCACAGCAACAGGGCGCTTTATTTGATATTTCACTATTGCATGTACAGATAGGCAAACATCAGACACGATTCCAGACTCATTTTCTTCGCAGTCGTGTACGCTTTTCTTCGGCAGCTGATGTCCAGGTCGTGACGATTTTCCTTTATCAATGTAACCCCCTAGGAATAGTTGAGAATTTCGGCACACCGAGTGTATTGACTTGTCCCGTGTAGACAGCCTTGGTATGGAAGTTCCCAAGTCAATGGAACAGAAGTAGCCACCTCACCGCCAATTCCTACTATGATGTACAGCTACTCTCGCAACATTAGCCGTACTATATATTGGTCACACTAGTTTTTGAGAAGCCGGCACGGTGCTGGTGCCATCGGATTAATCTGCAGGGGACCAGTGCCAGGCGCATCTGGGACAATATTCACAAAGTTTTAAAGAAATAAGGGAAGCCAATAGGTAGTTAGTTTATAGTCTTCGAATTATTAGGTACGCTCTTATCTGGAGCAAAACTAGCCTGGTTTGTGTGGTTCATGTGTAGTCGTAACTCGCTTTATCATGTCAAACGCCGTCACTCTTTTTGTATTCCCCAGCCAAGTGGTCTAGCGGTCTCGGATTCTACGGGCATGTGCTGCCCCGTCCCGTCCCGTCTTGTCGGTTCTCGTGCTTCGTCTAGAGTCTTGCACCGCCGCCATGGAGCTATTGCAGGCTCTCGATGACGATGGCGCTGGCGCCGCCACCGCCGTTGCAGATACCGGCGACGCCGATCTTGGCCTTCTTCTCGCGCAGCACCGTCGTCAGGGTGGTGACGATACGGGCGCCAGAGCAGCCGAGCGGGTGGCCGATGGCGACCGAGCCGCCAAAGACGTTGACGACGTCCGAGGACAGGTTCAGCAGCTTCATGTTGGCGAGGGCGACGACGGAGAACGCCTCGTTGATCTCGTAGAAGTCGACGTCCTTCTCAGTGATGCCGGCGTGCTTGATGGCCTTGGGGATGGCCAGGGCGGGCGCCGTGGTGAAGCGCTCGGGCTCGCGGGCGGCGTCGCCCCAGCCCAGGATCTTGGCGATGGGCTTGACGCCCAGCTCCTTGACCTTGGCCTCGGACATGAGCACGACGGCCGAGGCACCGTCGTTCAGGGGCGCGGCGTTGGCGGCGGTGACGGTGCCGTTCTGGGGCTTGAAGACGGGGCGAACCGTCTTGAGCTTCTCCGCGTTCAGGTTCTTGGCCTCCTCGTCGGTGGTGATCTTGACGGCGGGCTTGCCGCGGCCGCCGCTGACCTCGACGGGGACGATCTCGGTGTTGAAGATGCCGGCCTCGGTGGCCTTCTGGGCGCGGGTGTAGGTCTCGATGGCGTAGGCGTCCTGGGCGGCACGGTCGATGCCGTGGTCGTCGGAGCAGAGCTCGGCGGCCAGGCCCATGTGCTCCTTCTTGTAGGCGTCGGTCAGGCCGTCCTTCAGCATGCCGTCGACGATGGTCTGGTCGCCGAACTTGGCGCCGGACCGCATGGTGGGCAGGTAGTGGGGGGCGTTGGACATGGACTCGGTGCCGCCGGCGACGACAATGGAGGCGTTTCCGGTGATGATGGTCTGGGCGCCCAGGATGATGGCCTTCATGCCCGAGGCGCAGACCTTGTTGACGCCGGTGCAGACGACAGTGTCCTTGAGGCCGGCGCCGATGGCACACTGGCGGGCAGGGGCTTGACCCAGGCTGGAGACCGGGGGGTGGTATAAGTCAGTCGCTGGAGCAAGGAGACTAATGCGACGGCCGTGGTTGATGGCACCTACTTTGCGGAGAGGACATTGCCGTAGAAGACCTCCTCGACATCCTCGGGCTTGATCTCGGGCACACGCTCAACGGCAGCTGCATGATGGGCTGTATGTCAGTCGCTGGTCCGGTTTCCACAGGCGCGAATCCGGTGCTGATGACATGCACGTACCCTTGATGGCGGTAGAACCCAGCTGGATGGCGCTGAGGCTGGAGAGCGAACTGGGGCAGATATGTTAGCGACGCGGCGGGCACGACCAGCGAGGCCTCAAGTCCATGGTGAGGAGCCTCGTCCCGGGGGAGAGCAGGCAACGTACCCCAGGAAGGAGCCGACAGGCGTCCGGGCAGCGGAGACGATATAGACGGGGGGAAGACCAGACATGTTGGCGGTAGACAGGCGATCAGGTTCGATGGAGGTGGGAGACCGCACTATACAGGTGTGGAAAGTAAAGGGAAGGGCAGTCGCCGGTCGGAAAAATGACTTGCTCGATATTGTTGAGTCGGGCTCCAAGGTCGGATCCCCTATTTCACCAACTAGTAGTAATGAGAATAAAATATCGGCTGCCCCTCTATCTGGGCTCGTCTGCTTTGCGGGCTGCCCCTCACCTCACCGCCCCCCCTGGCGCCCGTGGACCAAAGCAGCAGAAGAGCTAGCTTAGCTTATCCATCCATCCATCCTCGGGCTACCATCCACCACCATCCCTAGGTACAGTACCAACGAACGTACTGAACGTACCATGCAAACTTCGAGGTACCCGTAAGCTGACGGGGGGTTCCAGGCGATATGGCTGGCCAGTCGGTCAGTTTTGAAGTAATTGCCCGTCTGATCCTCGAACCCGTCTACACACGAAGTGGCCGACGGGGACTCGGTATTCCCATCGCGGCACGCAATTGGGTGTCCGCAACCGAGACCCAGCTCTCAGTCCCTGCCTGCATGCCCGTTCATCTCTTGATGCCCCATTCCATGTGTGCAGAGGCTGCAGAGGGAGACGCTCCCGGTGCCGCGGGTGGAAGCCCTCAGGCCATCCATGTCGGCGACTTTATCCACCTGGATGCCTGCATTAGCGGTGCGCATTTTATGGAGGTCTCGCAGTAGCACAGGGTTGACAGGCGTGTAAACGCAGGTTGGTTGGCACCCAGGTAGGGGTCCGGGAGGTTTCCATGGCGGTGGGCGGGGGACTGGCGCGCTGGCGGGCTACAGTAGGTACCACCGGGGCATGGTGGGGCTTATCGCACCGCCGCAGCCGTTGATCGGACAGTGTCCAGGCACCGCCAGCCTCGCTTCCAGGGGCCCAATTATCGGCCCCCATTCGGGCCACCGCCACAGCCTCCAGCCACGAGCCAGCTGCAGCCTTGTCGCAGCTTTGGCAACTTTTTTGAGAGCTTCGCTCTAGTCGCGTCGCCCGCTGTACGACAAGCAGCAGCGCATCTGCTGCCTCGAGTTCAAACCCACCTCCGACTCAGCGATACCCTCGACACCAGCAGCCATGGATGACCTCTATGATGAGTAAGTTGGAGTCTGTCCCGTCATGAGAAACCAGAGGGGAACAGATATTGGTAAGGCGAAGAACAAGTAGGCTGACGTCGCAACTCTTCCTCCAAACAGGTTCGGCAATTTTATTGGCGAGGAGGCCGACGCATCTGAGGAAGAGTCCGAGCATGGCCTGGACGCCGGCGCCTACGTCTACGATGACGACCAGTCCGAGGCGGCCCACGAGGCCACCGGCCAGGAGCTGATGGAGGTCGACGAGGACGGGCCCTCCAACGCCGTCATCCTGCACGAGGACAAGCAGTACTACCCGACCGCCCAGCAGGTCTACGGCGAGGATGTCGAGACCATGGTGCAGGAGGAGGATGCCCAGCCGCTCACGCAGCCCATCATCGCCCCGCCCGACACGCGCAAGTTCACCATCCAGGAGGCCGACCTGCCCCCCGTCTTCTACGACCGCGGCTTCATGACCGACCTCATGAACTACCCCGACCAGATTCGCAACATCGCCTTCGCCGGCCACCTGCACCACGGCAAGACCTCCTTCATGGACATGCTGGTCATGGAGACCCACGACATCGCAGAGAGGCTGGAGAAGCGCACCGGAAAGAAGCGGGACCAGCAGTTGCGCTACACCGATGTGTCCTTCCTCGAGCGCGAGAGGGGCGTCTCCGTCAAGACCGCCCCCATGAGCCTGGTGCTGCAGAGCACAAAGGGGAAGTCGCACTTGTTCAACATCCTCGACACTCCCGGCCACGTCAACTTTGTCGACGAGGTAGCCGCGTCCTTGCGCCTGGTCGACGGTGTGGCGCTGGTCGTGGATGTCGTCGAGGGTGTGCAGGTCAACACCGAGCAGATCATCAAGCACGCCGTACTCGAGGACATCCCCCTGACCCTCATCGTCAACAAGCTGGACCGCTTAATACTGGAGCTGCGCCTGCCGCCCAACGATGCCTACTTCAAGCTCAAGCACGTCATTGAGGAGGTAAACACCATCATCGAAAACACCGTTCCAGGCTCCGGGGAGAAGAGGCGGTTGAGCCCCGAAAAGGGCAACGTCCTCTTTGCGTGTACCGAGATGGGCTGGTGCTTCACCCTTCAGTCCTTTGCCAAGATGTACGCCGACAGCTTCCCCGGCGTGAACACGGATGAGTTTGCCAAGCGTCTATGGGGTGACGTATATTTCAACCCCGGAAAGCGAACGTTTAGCCGGAAGCCTCTGCCTGGCGAAGACCGCGCGAAGCGATCTTTTGTCAACTTCATCATGGAGCCCATCTACAAAGTCTTCTCACACTCGATCAGCCAGAGTCCCGAGGACCTGAAGGAGACGTTGGCGACTCTCGGCATCACCCTCAAGCCGTCTCAGTACAAGACCGACGCAAAGGTAATATTGAAACTGGTCTGCGAACAATTCTTTGGTCCCTCTTCCGGTTTCGTAGACATGATCATTCAGCACATACCCTCGCCAGTCGAGGGCGCTCAGCACAAGCTGGAGCACTACTATACCGGCCCGCTCGACACAAAGGTGGCAGAGGCCATGAAGAATTGCGACCAAGAGGGACCGCTGGTCGTTCACGTTACCAAGTTGTTCAGCGCCGCGGACGGCAAGAGTTTCTCCTCGTTCGGCAGGGTCATGAGTGGCATTGCGCGACCAGGCATGCAAGTTCGAGTCCTTGGCGAGGGTTATTCTATCGACGACGAAGAGGACATGGTCATGGCCACCATCTCGGGAGTCAGCGTTGCGGAAACGAGATACAGCATACCAACAGATGGTATACCAGCTGGAAATTGGGCTCTCCTCGCCGGCATTGATAATTCAATAGTCAAGACTGCGACCATTATGCCGCCTAAACTCGAGGACGACGAGGATGCATACATCTTCCAGCCAATAGCACATTTCACCGAGTCGGTTCTAAAAGTGGCTGTCGAGCCCATAAATCCGTCCGAGTTACCCAAGATGCTCGATGGCTTACGAAAGGTCAACAAGAGCTACCCCTTAATCACTACAAAGGTCGAAGAATCAGGCGAGCACATCATGTTGGGCACGGGCGAGCTCTACATGGACTGTGTTCTACACGACCTACGGAGGGTGTTTGCAGACATGGAGATCAAAGTGTCCGATCCCGTTACCCGGTTTTGCGAGACGGTCGACGAAGTGTCGGCTACCAAGTGCTACGCCATCACGCCCAACAAGAAGAACAAGCTCACCATGGTGGCTGAGCCACTGGATGATGGCATTGCGGAGGATATCGAGAGCGGCCGAGTCAAGATGCGAGACGGCACGCGAAAAGTCGCCAAGTTCTTTGAGGACAAGTACGGATGGGATCTACTCGCTGCAAGAAGCATCTGGGCGTTCGGACCAGATGAGATGGGCCCCAACATACTGCAGGACGACACACTTCCATCAGAGGTACGTTTGAGACCACTGCACATCTCTCACTTTCATCATCATCATCCCAGCATACCTAACTCCGCTCCCTCCCTACCCCCCTCCCTCCCGCTGCGTGTTTCAAGAACTTCTATATACCTGAGTGGCAGCTCTCATTGTTTGACGGCGTGAAGATCTCCGAGCGCGTGGCAACATGTGACCTGATGCGGCAACTGTTCCGTTGCCGGCTCGGTATTGTTTTCAGCCTCACAAGCTATCATCGCAACTCATTTTGGTGGTGTACTATACTAGGCGGTGGGACCTAACGCGTTTGGCAGGTCGATAAGAGCCTTCTCAAGACGGTTCGAGAGACTATACGCCAAGGATTCAGCTGGGCAGCCCGCGAAGGCCCATTATGCGAAGAGCGTAAGTGCATTTTCTACCTGTTTTATTTTCCCCAACAATTCTCTCGGGTTCGTCATCATCACCTGCCTTGCCATGGCCCCCGGCACGTCACTTTGCTTTGTCATGTCCCTCATCTAGCACTTTATTCCCTTCCTACTTCCGTGGTGCCTTGATAGTCAAGGTTGCCTGTCGCCCCGTTTGAGAGTTATCTGGACTATCTGAGAGAATCGGCCGAGAGGGTTGTGGGTGAGCCTTCCCCGGCACCCAAACCCACCAGAAGCGCCAATGTAACTCGAGATTGCGTCTTGATATCGCCTTCTTACAGGGCAGCCTGGAGGAGAGACAGGGGCCTCGGCAAGACCACGACACCCATGCCCTCAAGTCATGACCAGGCTATAATCCATGCTCGAACACCAGCACATGCCCCAGTGCAGTGGAGACCACCTGCCCCTCCCTCCCTCTGGCACGCGCGACAGTCTTCACTCCTGCATATCATTGCCATGTGGCTATCTTTGCATTGTCTGGTCTGGACGTACTCTCGTCACGGTAAGTACCGTGAGGAATAACGGTACGGCTCTCACTACAATCACCGGGCTATGGTGTCATGGTTTGACCACCGGCACATGCTGGGGCAAGGCTGGCGCGTAAATCTCCCCAAGCTCCACGTTCCCGAATCCCCCTGCTGCCATTGGATACGTAACCCTGGTCCCGAAGTTCACGGTATCGAACACCCTGAGTCTCGCCCAACAGTAAAATCCGCTGAGTGTTCGGCAAGCGGGCCTAGGAGTTCGTCCGGCCCAGTCTTGGCGTTGTGGCATCTGCTTCCCTACCGCGACGTCAACTTTACCTGTTTGCCTGTTTGGGAACCATCTGCATCAGCAAGCTCGCACCAGTTTCGATGAGCAGAAGCAAGCACAGTCATACGGATCTGTTGCTTCAGATGTCATGGCGAGACTACGTCGCTTGTAGCTTCATTTCCCATATCGCAATCGTCGTCATCGTTCCACTTGCTGCCTACACGAGCCTACGGGCCACGCATCATGCATTATACTACGAACACCTACTGCGTCATGCCTGTATAGCTTGTATGCACTGAGATAAAAGCATTGTACTGACATGTACCTACTACAGCCATCCGCAATACCAAGTTCCGCATCATGGATGCCAGTCTAGCCAACGAGGCCATTTTCCGTGGCGGTGGGCAGATCATTCCCACGGCCCGCCGCACGTGCTATAGCTCGTTCCTGATGGCGTCCCCTCGCCTCATGGAACCCCTCTATTCTTGCTCCATGACAGGACCTCAGGACGCGGTTCCGGTTCTGTACAACGTCCTCTCCCGTCGCCGTGGCCACGTGCTCCTCGACGGCCCGGTGGCTGGCACGCCGTTGTACCGCGTACAAGGCCTGCTACCCGTGATTGACTCATTCGGCTTCGAGACTGATGTACGGATACAGACCCAGGGGCAGGCAAGTGTAAGTCTGGTCTTCGACAAGTGGCAGAAGGTCCCTGGCGACCCACTGGACAAAGACGTGATCTTACGGCCTCTCCAAGCTGCTGACGCGCAAGCTACGGCACGTGACTTCGTCCTCAAGACCAGGCGGAGAAAAGGACTGAGCGAGGATGTAAGCGTGGCAAAGTTCCTGGAGCCCGAATTCTATCAGAGCCTGATCGAAAGCGGTGCTCTGGAGACGTAGTGCAGCATGTAATTAGGGTTTACTTGTGTGGACATAGGGGTCCGAGGAGTTCTGAGGGGCCTGCTACAAAATCATCCGGCGTAATGGGCTCTAGAGAGCACTGTCTGGCGTACAAGGCTGTTCAAACGAGCACATATATGTGCACTGCTATAAGTGTGGGAAACGATAATTTCTACATCTCGCCTGTCTTGATTTGTCCGCATGCGAGATAGATTCGCGGTCACACCAACGATCGGCCCGCGAGGCGGGAAATCGGGTAGCCCATCCGCCATTCGCGTCATGTATGTATGTACAGTAGTGTGATCTGACATGGTGGTGAGGGGGAAATCCTCATTATGATTCACAGACTTGGATATGAGGTGAGAGCGCCCCCAGGCCCAGGTCATGTGAAGATCGTATCCAGCGACCAACGAACTGCATGCATTCACTCACCGAGCCATTCTAAGTTACAACATGGCGCCGAGTATGATATGACTGAGGATGTTGTTGGCATGGCCCACATACATGGACGCATCGTGGCAAGTCTATAACCCAACCTCCCTACCGGCCCCGGTCTCCGTCGGTCACCGGTGACCCATAACCGAGCTGTAAGCCACAAGGTCTGGGGAGACTGAAGGTCATACTATCAGGGGTGCATCGTCAAGGCCTAGGGAACGCCATCGGCGTTACGGCGGCCGGCAGAGGGAAAGTGGTGGTCGCCCAGGCCTTACGGTACTTACGATATGTGGGAGCGGAAGTGGCTGACGACTTGACGACCTCTACGTGCGTACGGCGGCGGGCCGGTTCTAGAACGTGATGTTGTGCTTTCTCTACCATGTGGGATACCAGCGGGCTCGAACAGTCGCTGCAGTGGTGCCTTTCCCGTCCTTCGAAGGACGCTGGGCGCGTCTCGCCCGCCCTATAGAGTTGACGGGCATGCCAGGCCTGGTCTCAGCGGGTGGATAGATCCTGAACAGCACTCTGGCATCTCACCATCGGCTCCATTCCGCACTCGCAGGGCCAGTCTTCCAGAATAAGACGATCGGCGACGGCGAAAACCTTCTTGTTCACAAATCGTGAAAAAGTGTATGCCCTCCGCCCCAATCCCTCGGCGTTCCAAGTACAATGCCACGAGGGTCAGCTGCGAGGAACAGCCAGGTAATATACGCTAGTCCGCGAGCCGTTGCGCCTGCATGGCCAGCTTCTGGGCACACTCCTGCTTTTCCCCATCACCTCATAAATGCTATACCTACATGCCGGCCACGAGGTGGGGGGGAGCTTCAATGCTCTCTACGTGCACTGAGTCAGACTTCCAAGTACTCGCATGTACGCAGCCACAATAAAGGTTTTTGGATAATCATGCTTTGACGAAACTCCACCACGAGGGACAATGCCCTGCCGATCTGCATGCTATACATACAGCACGGTCTGCATTTTGCCTGGTTATGCACCGCCGGTAGCAGTCAGCTTTGTCAGCCTTGCCCAACAACGGCAGTCACTTCGCAGTACCTTATAAATTCGCTGTTCTTTCTTTTTCCGGGACCCTAGGCACGCCCCCAGGGTGATAGCAAGCGGTAGGGCCAGTGCCGTAGATCTGTGACAGGGGTTTTTCTTTTCACCCCTCTCCAACCCCCCTTGCCAGCCCTGGCTTCAAGGCAAGGGCACGCTCGGACGTTGTGCCCAGCAGTCAGAGGCAGGTTCCGCTTCGTCGTGCAGGTACTTGCCTGGGCAATCGGTCGTGTGACGGTGCGGATTGCGATGGGGTACACAGAAGATATCACAAGGGCCGCAGAGAGAAATACAGAGTGTAAGGAAACACAACAGTCCGGGGATAGAGTCCTGGGCAAGGCGAGTTTAAAGGCCCGAGTTCCGAGGCTCCGATTTTTTCGACCGTGACAGGTGGATCGGGTGCCAGAGGTATACATCCGAGTACCGTACCCGTCAACCACACTCTCCATGCGGCAGGCGGAATATTTTACGGGTTTAACGCGCCTAGCGATAATGTAATACACCAAGGGCAAACCACATATGGCACCGCCCCCTGGCCATCCTTTGACGTGTCGGTCATTGCTGAAGCTCGATATGCTTTTACTGCAGATCAGGATACGTTTCAGGGCAGTGTCTAGAAACTGGGGAGGGCGGTGGTCTGATGACGGTTCTGTGCATTTTGCGTGCATCTGTCTCAAGGACTGCCTGTTCTCTTGTGCGTCCGGGGGCATCCGGCTGGGCTGGGCAAACAGGTATGCGACTAAGAATGAAGGGAGAAAAAGGCCGAGAAGGCAATGCAAAGAAGAACCTTATGCCACTTTTTCGTCTCATGTTTGGTACATGCGCTTTTCCGTTGCCGTGCATTGCATACGAAGTTGACAAAAGTGTGAGTGGCCCCAGCATGATGTGGACTCCAGGACAACCTGACAGGATTCTCTTGTCATAATCAGCGGCTATTGCCGTGTTCGCCCCACGTTGAGAAGTAGACATTGCTGGTACCTTGATCTTTCCATAGCAATGCAGCAATGACCCAGCACTAGAAGTGGAGGTAATGATGAGCTGTGTGATAACGCAAGCTCAAGAATACAGGGCATCGTCAACTTCTGATTGGGTGACATATAGTATTTTCAACTGGATGGAACATGTGAAGCACGGATCCTCTTTGTCGGCGTAACTCGCTGTGCCTATCTTTGAGACATGCCCTTTTGAAGGCTCGAGCTGGTGTGTAAATGAGCTATTCTCAACCCAAACCCCAGCATAACAATAGTTAAAGCAAGTCCCGACGTGCCTTGGTCTCCTCAAAGCACTCATATTACACGGCTCCTCACCGCCACGATGGACTCTGAACAAGGCAAGGGCAGTAGAAGATCCAACAGGGGTATGATCATCAAGCCCTCACCTAAGCTTATTCAAGATAGACTGAGCAAGGTCCAAGCCAGTGGAGGTTACTAACTTAGTTGAGCACGGTGCTTCAGATGGTTCCTTGCAGCGACTTTGGGAGGAATACTAGCTGAACCGATTTGGACCACAAAGTCATGCCACACTTCCTGAAGTTTCAAGTAGAACTTCTTGGGACGACCATTGACGTGTCCATTTCTTACTGCTTCTGGTCGGCTAACACGGGTATCCCGCTTAGACGTAGAGTAATGCTGATCGCCGTGGATTATTAAGATAGAATATTTCACTGGCCGTTTAAGCCTTCAAACCAGCACCTGCGTTGGGGCAATATATAAAACGCATCAGGGGCTAGAATCACCCGGAGGGTTGGCTTGGTGTTGCTGTGGCGGCGTGACTGTAGCTGGCTTGCCATTATATGTTGGAGTGTGTACGTCAGGACCATTGGGCATGGGTTTTTTGAAGCTGAGGTTGAATATGCCAATTACTAGGTCTAAACACAAGAAAAGGCAAGCCTGAGTTAAGCATATGTCGGGTTCTCACCTGGAAGAAGGAAGGTTGAGATCGATAGTCAAAATTGATTAGATGATTTGTCATCAGTGTAATAGTATGTTGCCGTAGGTAATGAGAACGATATCAAAATTACCGAAGCAAGCTGAAATTTGTCTCCATTGCGCACCCTTGCCAGAACATAGCTCGCTGACAATGTTGAGAAGTGGTTGGCACAGGCACCAAGTTCAGGGCTTAGTTGGGTGCATTTCCATACTGGCGGAGTTTCCAAACACTTCTGATTGTGAAGAAAATCAAGGATGTTGTCGCCTATGGACCAACCCGAAGTCCACATCTCGCGGAAGCTGCATCTTGATGTGGGGGTCAACACATGTGAGGGTCGTACACGTGCTGTATCCCCTGGTTCATATGCATGGTACCCCAACAGATGCTATTGCACACTCGGAAAATCGACGTTCCTTAGAAATCGTGACTACAATCGAGAAAGTTGTCTCTGCCTAAGATCACGAAGCTTTTCCCGAAGCGATCCGAAGTGCTGGCCTGATGTGTGGCATGCTGGTGTATTCTTTTCAAAGGCAGGTCTCAAGCATTTTGTCAAGCACACCCTTCAACGTATCGTTCTCCAAGGCTGCAGCGACTCTTTCCTTGTCTGCCAGTTGCTTGTTGACCTGGTCGTCTTGGCTGTGTGTCCCTTCCTTTATCATGATGTCCACACGATAATTGGGCGGTAGTGCCTGTTCCAGGCGAACTCTCACTCCAAGCCCGATGACAGTCGCCAAAGAACAATGGGTAATTGTGGGAGTAATCTTGACCAGTACCCTGGTCAGGGTATTTGCTTCCATCATGGCCGAAGGAGTTGGGGTAATCTGGATATCAGGTAGATTGACCACGGCCAGTTGGCCAAGTGAAATGGGATGTTCTGGGTCGGAAATGTTGGATATCAGATCTGTCAAACATCAGCTGTCTGATGCGCGCTGGGCAAGATAAGAATAGAAGGGTCGGGAATTTCTGCACGACAGAAGGATAGCGATGTAACCTGAACGACGAACTAGTCGCGGATCATGTTTCCATATAGTACGCTGGCATATACCTTGCCGATTCATTGGATCCGGGGCCTATGGCGGCACATTTGCACACAGCAGCCCTCACGTCTGGGGACAACATGAAACGTGCTGCTACAAGACAGCCTGACAGCTAGGCATTTCCGGGGCCATCACGACAAGACAACAGTCCGAGCTTTGAGGGGCTACCTGCAGAAAGTAAATGAAAGAAACAAGGGAAAATGAGCTCACCGTAAATCTCCTGCTCGTCGATGGGCTCATCAGTGAAGTCATCGTCACTGTCTGCATCATCCGACCAGGGTGTGTCGCAGAACGGCCCTGACAGGAACGATACTTTGGGCGAGATGTTTGCTAGGAATCCACCCTTGAGACCGTCGGATGATGTCTTCCTTTTCTTCTGCTGTCTAGTAGGCAATTGCGAGGCAGTCAGAATGGTGGGGTTTGCGTTGTCCTTATCCATGGTGGGGGGGTTTGTTCCTAGGAGCGTTGGTGTGCGAATGTCTGCGTTGGGCAAAATGCGGGATAGCGGACTGGCGATGCAGCCCAGAGTGGGCTGGATGTCTTAAGCTGAACCTGAGTGCCTTTGTCTCAGAAAGGGGAGCGAGGACTGAGAAGAGTTCGTCACGACGCATGAGTGGTTTGGCAGTAGAGTGTCTTTCGCCACGGCCTGCGCCATGAAGTCAAGTAATGGGGCATCACCGGCGACCGGAGCTTATCGATAGGAAGATCTTGGGTAGGCGGGCTGATGATTATCCGCTCTGGGTGTTTTCAGGTCACAACTTCCGACGTTAACTAGTTAGTTGATGAACCACCAGATGTTAGTTTGTTCTTATTGTTGAGGCTCTGCTACACAGACACATTTTCAGTTGGTACAATTCGTGGCGATCTAATTTGGGATATCTTCGGCATCCGTTGATGGCTTATTAGTCTTGGTATTTCGTTCTTGTGTAACTACCCGTCACGTGTTTCGAAGTCTCAACGGTCGTCCCATGTATGCAAGCCAAGTGCGGGACGACACGAGGAGACAATTTCGGTCCTGTCGCCACTCTCGAGTCACGAAAAACGTGAAAGAATAGATCTATTATTAGTACCATAGGAGGTAGTTATGGAGACTGTAGGTTGATGATTGACGTTGCGCGATCTTTCGTCCGTTATGCGCGTATCCCCAGTCAGTCGGTGCCGAGTTAGGTCTTCGAGCACCTAAGGGTCCCAAGGAGCTGGATACAGGATCCTAGTGTCATATCCGAGCATCTTTTGACATTACCCACACAATCCCGAACCGGTCTGGCTTGCGGACTGCCTGAGTCCTCGTGTTACTCTCAGCTGGGATTCGTAGATCATCTGCGTCATTTGGGCGATTCATGCGACTACGACATGCATCAATTAGGTCAATTAAGACGGCTGGGCCGGGGTTCTCCTCATTGGCACTGCCCGTTTTGACCAGACGTTGCCAGAAGAGTGAATGAAATGGGACGAGACCCCGGGTGGAGTCGTTCCGGATTGTCGACCGAAGCGTAAATCACTGCCCGGCCCCCCTAATGTTGAAGTTTGAAGTCCGTTTGATGGCTGTGACCTTGGCCAGATTAGATTGAATGCATTGAGCGCATGAAGTGCTGAGAAATTGCCATCCCTGCATGGAAGACTGGTGGAAGGGCTGAAGAAGCCGCTGGCCGACGCATGCACCGTTACGGATCAGCCTTGGTTCTCCGCTCCCGCCCTCGGCTCCAGCCCAAAGGGTCGGTGATGGACAGGCACCAGGCCAGGCTCACGGGCACGCCACCCCAGATTGCGCGCATCGCCGGGCACAATTGCTGAAAGGGGTCAAAAGGGATCTGGTATCTGGTCCATCGTGCGGCTTCTCCATTACGTGCATCGGTCGTCCGCCTAGTCGCCCAGTTACCGTCGCGGCTCAACAGAGAGAGAGTGTGAGAGAGCGAGAGGGCTTTGATCCATGTCTTTCGCTTTCGGGTGCCGGCCCTCGCATATACTACCGTACAGTACCTACTAGCGAAGGCCCCGCGCGAGTGACAGTCGCTATTAGCGGTGACCACTGCAAACGAGGCCTCGACCCTGCACGCGTCTTTCATAACCACGCGACACCTTAAATTCGACCAAGGCTCAGCCTGTGACTGCGGCGTCAATGCTCCTTTCCATTTCAGACCCGCAATACACTGCGTCCGAGAAAGATGATTGCACCCTGGCAGTGAACCAAGGTAACTTGACTCCTGCTCGGGGCCGAGTTCCAGAGCATTTCAGCTCGATGTCAAGCAGGCTGGGTTGAATAAGGAATGCAGCTCATCATCGAATGATGCCAACCACAGTAGGGAATAGCCTAGACTCACCCAGGCGCCTGGGTGACAAACAAGTTAGCCTGCAGAGCGGCGCCACGCCATGCAGGAATGCCAGCCGTGGGGTTGGGACCTCTTGCATTTGCATGTGACTGTCAGAATTAGATGAACGAAAACGCGTCTCACAGCCTACGCGCGCTCAAGAACCTACCATCCACCCGTGGACATAGGTCATGCTGCTTGTTCCTCACATCCATCTCTTTCACCGTGAGGTGGCAATGGACAAAATATCTGCCTCCCAACAGAACGGCGCCTCAGGGGTAGCTAAAGTGCGATTTACGAGGGAAAAGTGCATGATCGTCGCCTTATTTGCCTAGTGCTTGCAAAGGCCCGCAAAATACAACCTGTATTGCTGCCGTCGGCAACGTCGGCCGGAATCACTTTCATCAGAGATGCTTGGGTTTGAGGTATCTTCATCAGTAGGCTTTCGTGTACTTTTGGTTGAATGCATACGTGCCTTGTCCCTTGGACAGGCCGGGGTACCTGCATCTGCTTCTTGCCGCCGTTTACAGAAGGGGTTACAGTATGGGTGGCCCTAGGGCGTCAGCACTATACAGTCAATCCTACCTTGACCATGTATACCTGGCCAACCCTCATCTTATGACCCGGGATCCTTCCAATTAACTGTTGACCCTGATGGAAGGGAGCGAACCTTTCTGTTAGCGACGGAAGGATGGTTTGTAGTAGTACAGTTCCCGAGGTGTACGAGTTATTGGCAGCCGTAATGAGCTTTGCGCCTCTTGTCCTTTCGGGATATGAAGTCAGGGTCCGTCGCTATGCCAAGTGCAATACTTTGATTCAAGAGAGACAAAATCATCTGCAAAGTAATAATCATTGTGATAATTCATAGTTGCAAGGGGCAGAGGGGTCAACCGACGGAGATCGCGGATGTCTGTGGTCGGTTCAGTACCCTTCTTATTGGAGAGTGTGGGAAAACTGCTTCTCAGCTCCAAGGGCAGGACATTGTGCACTACTGCCCTCCTCCACATTGCGCCATGCCTTATTTATTAACTAATCATTGATTATTGAGTGCGCTGACGCAAGTTCCGTCACCATGGCTAGTCGCATAGTAGCCGCCTCACGGGCCACGAGTGTATCAGGGCAAGCTCGCTTGATGTTCTTCCTAGCAATCATCTTGCATCTGACAGCAGGGCTTTTCCGCATCTTGGGATCGGACCGCACTGACCGCCGCTTGAGCTGTTCACATCGATGCGCAAGGATTGAGAACCGGTCGGTACCTGACCAGAGCCGAATACAACCTTACAACCTGACACCCTAGGCTAACTAGCAGAAAAAGGTGGTGGACGACGACGATGTTGGTTCGGTATGTCGACTCGAGATCGCCAGGCTAAATACCTGGAAAAACGTACAGCGAGGCGCTAGCTATTCAGGAAGGAGACAATTCGACCTTCCCCAATATTATGGTCAAGCCACTGCCCACTGGAGAAACACGAGGCTGCATCTACCATTAGTCAGAAATGATGGCAACAAGCTTATCTCTGTACACCGTTGAAACCATAAAGTCAAGACAATTCGTACTAAGTTAGTTGTTCTGAAATTAATGAGACGAGTAGCTGAGAGCTCCACGGCTGGCCTCACAAGTGGATCGCTGCGTGCCCACCTGATCTGGCTTTCAGGAGAAGGGGAGGCGAACGGGCGCCACCGACCGCAGGCTAGATTACCAATATAGCAGCGGGTCGCAGGCCAAGTGCTGTGAGGACCTGTGTGCTTGTATGTATCCTCAGCGTGCATCGCGCATGAGATTTGGGTATCTCTGGTGGATTAGACTCCCAAGGACCCGGGCCTTCGATGCGGGAAGCGAAGAAACATACCAAGGAGGGAGAGAAGAGAGGGCTTGTTCGCTCTAAGGAGGGATCGTCCCTGGTAGAGAAACGGCTAGACGACTGACTAGCAAGCGGCTACTCGTCTGCCGGTGGCGGTCTGCGATCGCCTGCTCGTCATCATAATACCTACCTACCCAAGGTAGTGTGAGTGAGGTATTGGGGCGATGGGAAATCCCGAGACCTAATCCTCAGCAAAGCGACGGCCCAGAAAGCAGCTGCAACCTCAAGAGAGCTGCCCTGGGTGCCTGGGCGTCTGCTCGGCTGGCAGTGCGGATAGTTTGAACTCCCGACCAAGACGCTAATCCCAAAGTTTAAAATGCACTAAAAACCGATGGCCACCTCCTGAAGAGGCACCAAAAATAAAATGGAACAGGCCTAGCGGGCTTCTACTGTTCCAGCTTTCCATCGAACGGTTCGCCCGCCGACTAGCCAGCACATTGGGGAATTGGACTCATCTTTGACGGGCAAGGCGGGTGCAGCTGATCCCTCTAGCTGCTATTCTTTCGATTACGACACGACGTTCGTGGGGCCGAGCTTGTCAGAATAGCCGCTGCCCGTCCATTTTCCTTGACCAACTCGACCATGGATGCGGCGCCCTAGAGAGTTAGCCACGCAGCCTACTGATGCAAGCCTTCCATGCTTGACGAAGACCCCTGGAGCGCCAGCGCTTGCATGGCGACATGGTCCTCGACAGAGCTCGCGACGTAGTACACTTCGCCAGAGTCAGGGGTTTGTGCGAGAAGCCGCAGGCTGCCTGGCTCGCCCGGGGCCTGGCTACTTGCCAGAGTAATAGTAGTAATACGACCATACCTAGTACTCCCATCATAACGGTCCTGTCCAGTCTCGTGCAGTTCCCCAAATCATGAATGTGGCGCAAGCACGCTCGAATCTGATGCGTGGTCAGGATTGCCTCCACACTCCCATCCCACTTCCTGCTCTCCTTGTCGGGCCCCCTGCTGCATCTCGGTTCGAACCACACCCCCTCGGCCGGGCCCCTTCTCCCCTCACGCAGGTTTGCTTGATTCGTCTGTGGCGCTGGTGGTGAAGGGAAGTACCGCCATGTACATCTGCGCGAGCCCCAGCATACATACACCAAGACACCCCACAATACGTTGCCGCTGTCCAAGTATTGGCGGCGCCGTCTCCCAGGTTTCCCAGCCAAGCCAGCAGAACTGCAGTTTCTAGCTAGTGTCTTTTCCAAAGTCTCAATCTGTCGTGGGTGGAATTGTAGCTTTCTTTGAGTGCGCACCCTGATCTTCATATGGGTTGTTTCACTCTATAACAGAGGTATTAACGATCCACGCATCTTTATGCTGGCCTGCTGGCCAGTGTCATGTTCTACAAGGGTCGACGACAAGCTCATGTCCTCCTCCTGAACTTGCCAGAGTCCAAGCACGACTGACTGCGCGCGTCTTATTACGGGTTCTGACCAGAGATGATAACAGCTGCTCGATATTAAAGGAACGTAACCGGCCCTTAATACCACACTTTAACACCTGGTTGCACAACTTCTCTTGTCCCAGGGAATCCAGGTTGTCGACCAGCAGCTGCCACATCTGTAAGGATTGTCGGTGGGCTCTTACAACGCTCTGCGTACTACACTCTTTTCTGATAGTGCTCTCTGCCAACGCTCTTTATCTCTTCTTGGACTTCCTCAACCAGCACAGCTGGTTTAACCTTGGCCACACACGATCCCACGCGACTGTGCCCTCCTCTGCATCCTACTGCTCGACGCTATCTGCGAGCATTGGGACAAGAAACAAGGGTTCCGCCGGGCTTTGACCTTCTGATCTCGTCAATCGCAGCTAACAGCAGCCAAACAACTCAACCTGCGACTCGAAAGGCCATCACAAGCCATTGGTACCTCATCTGCGCATTCTTGGTACCAGCCTCAGACCTGTGTGGGAAGAGAGCCTAGCAGTAATCTTGCTCCACCGCGCCTGACTCCCTGGCTGATGAGTTCGGGATTAACATTGGGACCTCTGAGCCAGGACAATCCTTGACATTAGCCCCTTGTCAGCTAGCCCGACTCCCCATTTCTTGGTCCATTCATAATAAGGGACCGTTATCCCCTCAATCAACCTAAACATCGGCTCCTCTCGACCAAAAAGGGCACCAGGATCAGCCAATTTGGTCTGACGTCCGTCCGGTTCCCCCTCCAGAGCTACGAACTTCTGCAAAGTCTAGTGCGCCGCGCCGAGCACTGCAACCCGGATCTTACTTTGCTTTTGCTCCCCAGTTCGAGCTCTTACTTGCACCCCCAGGACCACGGCAGAGGGATCTCAATCCAGTCAAGATTGGACCCAGCAGCCGCGATCAGGGCTACGGTACTATCGCCAGTCTCACATGAGGGATCACCGGATTTGCTCGTATTGAAGGGTTGGTCTCGTAAGGAAATCGCGGCATCATGTCGAACGATCCGTCCGTTCGGAGGCTCTTGCCTCAAAACTCGCACTTGGGGCAGTTCTCCTATGCGCAGCCCGCATATCAACAGCCTCGGGAAACCCAGAAGAGTGCGTGCCAGTGCCCAATAGTAATTAGAGACTTTGGCCAATTTTCTGACCTGACTACGTAGACTATGTGTTTGTAGATGAGCACAACCGGCATAAGCGGCTGAAAGGTGAGTGCGGCAATCTGTAACCCGAGGCTTACTGTCAGCTAATCTTTCTTGTAGTGATGAGGTACGCAAATAGAAGACTCTACCCAATCACCGGGATACTAATGCAGCGTCCAGGGCTTGTGAAGGATGCAGAAGGAGGAAGATTAAGTGCGATGCTGCCACGACGAATACATGGCCTTGCTCAGCATGCATCCGGCTGAAGCTGCACTGCGTACGACCAAACGGACAGTACGACGGGTCTGCCGATTCCCAACCCTACGAAACACCCCGATCCGATTACGAGACGGGCCCAATGCCGGATGAGTTCAGGCAGATGTCCTCGCCGTCGCAGCCAATGATGGGTGGTCAACCGAAGGGTAGTCTTTATGGGGCTCAAGGGCCATACTCAGACGGTCACGGCGTATACCAGACCGTCCACTATGGAGCTCCGCAGTCTGCCCAGCACAATATGCATTACACGACAATCCCACCTGTCGGAGTTATCGATCATTCATACGCACCGGCCAACGTCTTTCCGACGCCTCCAATGCATCACCAACAAGCACCGCACTCCGAATCTTCACCTGAGTCTTATACACAAGATCATTTTGCGTCAACCAGTGAGCTGGCCGACCTCCTTGGCACCCTCAAAATGGATGCAAGGGGCACTGGTAAGTTCCCATTATATGATCTAGCTACCCGACAAACAGGCACTGACAATACCAAGCGCCGTATCTTGACAAAAAGGCCGCCCTGAGGAACGTGGAGGAAGAGGATCCGGTCACTGAAGACGCTGATGATTTCAGAGTCTCTTTACCCCCAATGACTGCCGGTCCTGGTTCAAAGATTCGCATCCCTCCGGAACTCATGCCCGACGAGGAAACTATACTCCATTATTTCGACTTGTACTTTGCAAACGTGCACCCTTACGTTCCGGTTCTCAACAAGGCTCAGTTCTATCAGCAATGGCATACCAATAGGGAATCCATCTCTCCGCTGATATTGGAGGCAATATTTGCTGTCGCTGGACGTTTAGCTGATGAGCCAGCTTTGGGACAGCAGTGGATTGCCATGGCGTCGAGTAAGTTGAAATGAAATCCAACCCTGTACTGCCCCTGAGCGTATCACTCACAGACAACAGAGCACGCGGATGCTTTCATGGATGTGCCGAGGATCAGCACACTCCAAGCTCTGTTGATCATCCTGAAAGCGCGCGAGGCATCGCCCAAGAAAGGTTATTACTACCGTTCATGGATGTCAATCGTCAACTGCATAGCAATGGCCAAGGATCTTGGCCTTGATGAGCATTTCGAGGACCACAAAGCTGGAAAGCCATGTGGATCTAGTGCTGTCGACTGTTTGACCAAGAACCGTATCTGGCAAACCCTCTTCATCTGCGAGCTGATGATCGGAAGCCCTCAAGGTAAGCATGTCTTTAGCAAAACCGTGGACAACTAGCTAATTGTCTCTAGGCCGTGACGATCTTCAAGTTGACCTAGAGTCCCTGGACTTCAGTGTTCCAAGGCCGATGCCAGGCGGTGATGATGCCGAGTATCATGTCACTCGAAACTTCACCTACTTTGCTCGGTCCGTCCGCAGTGTCAGACGGATGAATAACGTTTACGCGAGAATAAAGAGGAGAAAGGACTGGGGCATCGACCCGGAGTTCGTCCAACTCAACCCCTCGATGAATTCCTGGCTAAGTGATCTACCTGCTGATCTTTCCGTTACGTTCCCTCCGGACGGCTCGCCTCCCTGGCTTCCATCGCACTTCATCGGAAACCTACACTCATACTACTACCTGGCCGTAATAATGCTTCACCGGCCTCAGCTCACATTCCTGGACCCTGCAAGTCAAGACGGGCAATGGAAATCGCACATGATCCTATGCTTGTCATCTGCAAAGCTCTTGTGCAGGCTTGAAGAGGCGATGCTGCAGTCATTTGGTTTAAGCGGACTGCAATGTATGCAGAGGGGTATCAGCTTCACCATCTACGCGATTCTCACCTGCATCCCGCTCTACCTTGTGCGTTTATTGGTCTCTCCGTTGTGCTAGCTCTTTACTGACAGACTATTAGGTTGCCATGACATCTCCAGATCCGGACCTGAACTCGGACGCCCGGGAATACTTTACACGCCACATGCGCATTTTGGAGAAAACTATGGGATCCTGGCCAATGCCGGAGATGGTCAAACAGATCGACGCCGTCCGCGAAGCCTTCTCTGCCGACCTGAGGAAGCCGTTTGCTCTGAAGCCGAGTTTCCCTTATGGAAGCCCTGCCCAAGGCCACTCGACACCGCCCAGGGGCAACGGTCTGAAGCCTCCCATGCTCCGGACGAACTCAATGGATCAAGTCAGTTATACCAGTCATCCCATCACTCCGCCTATATCAGCGGGTCCTGTGGACAACAAAAGTGACTCCTCTCCTGCTATACAGTCGCTCGTCATGATGGCTTCCGGCCAGTCTCAGGCCCCCTCCATGGCGCATGGACTATCGATGGCCGACCCTCCGTCCTGGAATCCATCGCGCATTTTTGAGTATGCCTGGCCCTAATGAATTTCTCCGTCCATTCTTGCTAATCAATCTGCAGTCAGTGGAATTCTACTTTTGGTACGCCCCAGCCAAGCACAGTACCCCCTCAGTCCAGTCCCCTAAGTGTTCCTCCCTCTTCAGGTACCCCGGAAGTCCCGTCCGTCCAGGCCATGCATGGTGCAAACGCTCCGCTCCCGTCCGGTCAGGCCATGCCTCCCCAACAGTACTCGGCTGCTCCGGTTCAAACCTTCGTGACGCCAGCAATGTGGCAGGAATCTGTGGCTAGTGTTTACGAAGGCGGCTTGAAGAGGCAGTGGGATTCTCGGTAGTTACGACAACGGCCAGGAGCAATTGATTGCGAAGGAGGATTCTGATGGCGACCGATACGACGACCCACATGAACGATGACCCGATCTACGACTGCCACACGAAACCCTCGTTTCTCCCAATCTGTTACTCTGCTTTTGCAAAGTTTAGCTTGGTCGTGGTCCAACAGTGTTTTTCGATTGGAAACTGCTGCTATTTGTTTCGACTTCTTTCACATATACTGCGTTACCCATGTACAACAAGCATTGCCCGAGCGACAAAACAAGGAAGCGGTCCGGTTGGAATTTACGATCGACACGATTTGTATTGAGTTAATGAAGAGAGCACGCGAGATATCCAAAGGACCAAATTGTGACTAGTTGGGGATGTTTTGGTCTCATGCTTTGCTTCTGCCTGGCGTTAGGGGATGTGCATCACAGGCAAAGAGGTTTCAAGTTCAACGCCTGCCTTTGGGCGGTGCAAACTTGCATGAAGGGTGTGGCATGCACAGTTGTCATGAAATGTATTTCTACAGTACACAATTATACTTGGCTGGGTTTCCTTGAGTCTGAGTGAGATCGTGGAGTCTCGACGAATACTACGATATTGACGAGTGGAAGTGGTTCCAATAAGGCAAATGAAAGACGCCCTGGGGGCTACTCTAGGCTTCAACCTGTTTTAACCACACGTGATCATTGCATCATGATTCTTCAACGTTTGAGTTGAAGTGACATTCATAAATCTCAAGGTTTGGCGATAGCCAGCTGCCCTTTGAAATACAGTGAAAGCAAGCAAACCCGAAGTTTATAATTGCCACGGGAGAAGGTAATGTCCAAAATCATACTACGTACGGAAAAGCGCAACAGCTTCCTTGAATGAAGAGGATTAAATGAGCATTCGTATGAATTTAACATATCATAGTGAGTATAGCATAAGGCTCTGGAACTCAGGCCCATTTCACCAAGTCCTTGAGAGGAGAAAAGGTGCTTTAATGAACTACACAGCCTACAAGTAGGGTTGAAGAATTTCTTGAGTATGGTCCCAGATCTTTCCCAGCGCATTCTTTCGAAGCAAGGGCATGGCCTTTGCATTCGGAGTACAGTCGCACTTATAGTTGACAAGAAACAACCCGTTTAACGGCTCCAGCAACGAATTTATGCCTGGCTTGCCCTTCCATGGTACGCCACGGCCGCCAAAAGCAGCGCTAGTACTTTGGAACAAGTGCCTCTGTCCGGACTCCTCGTCGTTGAACGAAAATAGGGCGATAAGTGGCTCAAGAAAAAGCCAGGCGAACCAGGCCATAACCGAGTTCGGCTCTGAACCCCTTCTTACGTTTCCTGTGTTGACCCACCCTGGCCAGGAGTGGACGAAAGTCACTTGGGGATTGTCGTTGGCCAGCTTCTCCAATGCCATCGAGTTCATAGCCACGTACTGCGTCTGAGCCTTCATCGGGCCAAAATTTCCCGGCTTCTTCAGGTCCATGTCATCCAGGTCGACATTTGCCCACTCCAGCCCGCCGCCCAGAACACTGACGACCCTGGGTGCCTCCGCTTCACGCAGGAGTGGGAGAAGATGTAGGACGAATAACATTCGCGAGTAGTATTCCAGGCTCTGAGTGACCTCTATGCCCTCGGCAGTCTCCGCTCGTCTGCCAAATGGGGCGTAGCCCGCGGTTAGGAACAATAAGTCGATGCGTGACTCCTTGCTCTTGATGACATCGCATACTCTCTTGGTCTCTTGGAGGAGAGCAATCTCGCCTTCGGTCCAGACGACTTCCGCCTTTGGGTTGATGGAGTGCAACTCCTGGATGAAAATACGCATGCGCTCCTCAGCACTCTTGCGCCCGACTAGGTAGATTCTCACGCTCGTACCCGTAGCAACAAGCGCCTTGATCGTGAGCTTCCCGATGCCTGATGTGCCGCCGGCAAAGACTGCGACGCGCGGGGCTGTTGCATCATTAATGAGCGCATTAGATGCTTGAATTTCTTTATAAGACACCATTAGTAACGAAGAAGAGGTATTTTCAGATCTTGCTTATTTTTCGACCTCTGGCTTGAAAACAATTCTAAGAAGTGATACATATAGGAAGACCGACTGTATCAGCAAGCTGACTTGGACAGGATTCAGCTAACTAGGCATCAACACAGACGAATACGCACTATGAACCATGCTTCGGGCTACGGATTTCGGATCATCGGGCTTTCCTCAACTCCTAAGATAGATGATGCATTCCAAGGACCATCCGGCGACATTTTATTCCAGTGGAGGGGAGCCACAAACGTTGGGTGAAGAAATTGGAAACTCAGCAAATCGATTTTCTTGAGGCAGAACAGCTCTGCTGTTGATGAACCGAAGAACTTAAAGACTTCACTTAAACTATCTTAACTATGCAGCCAGTCACCCATACGTCGCGACTCCTCGAAAGAGAGGTCAAGTACTAGGGAAACGTTGTGCTTACTTCGGATTGACTTGATGTTGTCGGTCGAAGGACAAGTCTTCAGAAATGGAGAGTGAGCTTGCACTCTGGGCAATGGCGCCGTCGGGCTGTCGGGCCCCACCATTTGGCCCCAAACCGCCGTCGCACTGTTTTATCATAGGGATCCATAACGGGGCAGCACTCAACAAGATCTCGATTAGTATAGTGGTCAGTATGCCAGCTTGTCATTGAATCTCAATTTCAAGTCGCTGGAGACCGGGGTTCAATTCCCCGATCGAGAGCTTTTTGACTTCTCTCTGTCAGAGCATATATTGTTTTTTTGACCCATTGTCTCATCCAACTAACGGTCTCTTATTCATTTTTTGGATGTATTTTCTGCATGCAACCTGGGATAGGCGAATTGGTACTGTAGGTTTCGGTGCCATTGATCCCGGCTGAGTCCAGTTGAGGCTAAGTGCCGACTTGCCGATGCCGCTCATGCCCTGAAACTCCAAGCTGCCCTGGTGTTCTTGCCCTCTCTTGGCCGCTTCCCATGGGGATCCTTTTATCTTAAGGATTGCCGCCGAGACTCTTGACATGTCGGGACGTTATAGTCCCCATGAGCTCATCTGACTCTGGTTCTGCTTAAACTACGCGCCGCCAAGATCGATCTCAACTGTATCTATGGGAGAAATAGCGCCCAGCGCTGGACCACGCCGAGCTGTGGTCGTTCGATCTGTTCATCCGATCCACAACGCCAAGAAATCCTCGGATACCATTTTGAAACACAGTCTGCCGTAATCACCTCGTCGTCAACGACGAATTCCTAAACGCGACGGATCGCAGAGCCTCATCAGTATCATCGGTCTTTCGGCCTTTGACCTTCTTCAGCCCGCATTCGCGGTCTAGGTGCCTGATCTAAGCTGCTCACAAGCTCCCGCTGCTTGGTTGCGATCTGTCTCTCGGGGAGCCAAAGCTTGGTGTAGCGTACGTACGTCGCCTTTACATAGCGCGTCTGAATCAACTTCCTGCAGGTAGAGCATGGCTATATGCAGTTGTCTTATCTTCTTCAGCGCCCTTAATTATACGATGTTTCTTCTTTTAGAATGTTGCTTGCAGCCTAGCCGACCCCAAGAAGCACTGCGATTGGACTTTTATGACTGGGGCTGGATAGCTGTTCTGTGATGAGGTTTCGTCTCGACCCTGACCTCAAACACCCCTCGTCAGGGGCCCGTCTCAAGCCCCCTCCACCACGACCTCCGACCCCTGCCCCCATGAGGCGGCTCAGGCGATTCTATCAGAGTCTGGTCGCAAAGCTGTCAGAGCCGCATGGGCTCTTGCACTACAAGCTTCTTGGTACCCCTGAGGCTCAAGGCCGGCTCATTGGCCAGGTCAGTTTAAGGTAGGCTGTCATGAGTCTTGACTTGCATCAGGGTGCATCAAAGAATCCGCGAGTTTCCAGCCCTCGAGATGGACGACCCCGGTCGAAACGACGTCCAGACTCGTCGGCCCACGTCCTCTAGCAAGAGATGCTGCGTTCCTCCGTATCTTTCCACTTTTCATCCCATTTCGATTCTTTGACCATTCCTTGCGGTGGACGTGTTTCTTTCGCAAAAGCCCCTCGTTAGTATGACCGGCTTCTCTTCTTCCCTGTGATGCCCGTGCAAGACTAGACGAGGATCCCTCGACTTTGTGCCTGCCTTTCTTTCCGATAATACCGAGTGTGCTTGGCCGTCCTATGTTCGTCTCCGTCTTGGCTTGTCCTCTCCTTTGGTGATCCTCAGGACACAAGAGTCAAGATTCGGACCCTTCCGCCACTCATTATATTCTTCTATACGGGTTGATCCCATTTAATCACAAAGAAACGGCTGGTCTGTTGCGTCACTCCTTTCGAGACAAGGCAATTCGATTTCGTGTTGGACTACGATAATACGCGGCTGGACGGGACCGGTCGCCCAGAATCCGATTCAGGATGAGGGCGCGATTCGATATACTGTCGTTTGCGGTGCTGGGGCTCCTGTCGTTCGCTCAGGTAGGTGCTGTACTGGCTTGCAGCAGCGACATTGGGAACACAGAAGCTGATGGGCTTACAGGCGGATACCTACCACTACTACGATGCGCCAGCCAAGCGAGGAATCTTGGGGGATATTCTAGGGGCGCTCAACGGTGAGGGCAACGGAAACGCAAAGCAGAATGGACAGAAGACCGTCACCGAGACTGTGCGACAAACGATCACTGTCGGAGCACAGGCAGCGGGAGCGCTGAACCAGACCAATGTTGGCGTGAAGACCGAAACAGTCACCGTCACGGCGTCTGCGGCATCAGGAAACGGCACTGCCCGCCAGGGCGGGAATGCGGGAGGAAAAGAGGCAGGGTGAGTTGGACGGGATGTGACAGAGTTCATTGCGATAATGGTATATTGACGGAGGCGAATAGGGCTCAACTCTCGTTCGTGACGACTACCGTTTTCGGAAACGGCGCAGCACCGACTGTCACGATCTCAGCTCTCGCTTCGACTGTAACGCAGCAGGTCACCATGACGATGGTCCAGATGATCGCCTGTGGAACGACTCTCGGGTCGGCCGTGCCAGCCTCGCAAGCTTCCGCTGTTGCCTCCTCGGCCGCCGCCGTCGTATCGTCGAATGCCAAAACATCGACGGCTGCTGCGGGCGTCTCTTCAGCCCCGGCGGCGAGCGCCGTTGTCTCTAGCGCTTCATCTGCGGCCCAAGTCGGCTCAGTCTTCACGTCAGGGGCTGCTGAGTTGGCATCGACTGCAATACCGGCCTCTGGTCAGGGGGCGGCTCCGGCTGCCTCCGTTGCGACGACGACATCAGCAGGTAAGAAAGCATGAGCCCTTTTTACTTTGATAGTGGCTAACGAATTGTCGAGGTCTTGCGGCTGTCGGTCTACCCGACGGCATGGTCAAAGGTATCGGGTTCCTGAATGAGGCCGGAGCATGTATCTGCCAGGTCACCTGCACGAACCCGTCCTTCGACCAAGCCGTCGGGATGATCCCAGCCGGCCTCGCTTCTCTTCCAGCCGCTCAACTTCCTGCTTCAACGTCTTCAGCTATAGCTTCCGTTGCAACTACGGCATCTGCAACGAGCGCAGCAGCCGCGGCCCCGGCGAAAACCCAAGCCACCGCACTGCCGGCCGCAGCGTCCTCACTCGCTCTCCCCGTCGGCGCCGGGGCCCAGGTTGCCGCACCCATTGTCACGGCGTCGACCATGGATCCCGCCAACATCCAGGGAGTCAACCAGGGGCCGACGATCAACCTGAGTGGCGTCTCGCTGAACAGCGTCGTCAACCTCGGCGCCCTCGTTCAGCAGCCCACGGCCGCTTAGGTCAAGCCAACTGATCTAGACACGAATACCCCCCCTTTTTTTTCCTTTTCCACTGGCGTACACTGTTTTCAGCAATTGAATTGCTTGTTTCATTATATACTGGTTGTACTAAGGCCTGAGATTATACCAAAATCAGGCGAATAGAGGAGCAGAAACAGTGCGGACGAGCTTACCGCTCCACGCAGCTGAGCTGTTTAGGGGGTTGGGCGAGGGAGCACATTGTATATAATTCATTCAATTCTCTAAAACAGAATACCAGTCACAAGACAATCTAGAGCTAGCCTCGGCACCTGTCAAGTAATTAGCGGATTGGCGGGATTGCCTATTTTCCTTCTCAAATGACTATACGAAGCATGGACGCCTATGTATAATCCAAAGACACGCTTCGTCTGATGCCTACGAAAGTATCGTCACGATAAATCATTCTATTCCGGGTATCTTGCCAAATAAAAAAACGCCAGACCCTATGCAGCCCAGTCTATCCAATGATAACTCATGCCTTGCTCTCGGCCGGGTTTCCTTCCAGCACAGCAAGCTTCTTCAGCTTCTTAGCCTGCCGTCTACTGATGGGAGCGTCGCCTTGACCGCTTCCTTCGTTCCCCTTGCGCTTCTGTCCGTTGTTTCCAACTCCCTCATCATCGCCCTTTTTCTGGTTCTTCTCCTTGGGCGCAGTGACCGCTTGCTGCTCCACGCCTTCCATCTTGTCGCCTGTTCGATCTTCCCGCCCCGCGACCTGCACGATGTCCACGACGCCCCGGAACGCGCTCCTCTTGATCCCCTCGTTGACCACGACGCCCCTGGGGTTGACGCCCAGCGCCTCCTTGCCCTTCTCGGCCGGCAGCCCCCACACGGCCAGCAGGTTCACGACGTCGGCGGGGCCGCGGAGCGCGACGACGCTGCGGGCCTCGCTGCTGACGACGATGCCGCGGCCGCGGGTGGCGCGCACGAGCTGCATGAGGTTGCCGATGAAGGCGGCGCGGGCGCGGGCGTCGCCACCGGCGCCCAGCACCTGGGCGTAGCAGACCTCGAAGCGCATGCCGCGCTTGACGGCGGCCATGCACTGCGTGGGCCGGAAGTGGAAGTCGAGCTGCTGGGCCAGGTCCAGCGAGATCAGCGACGCGTGCTCGAGGGCGACGCTCAGGCAGGCCGCCTGGAAGGCCTTCTCGTTGGTCGGGCGCACCGCGACCACGTCGTACTGAGCCGCAATCTGCGGCAGCCGGTGGCCGACCGAGGTGTCGTGCAGCGGCACCGTGGCGCGGCGGAGGACCGTGGGGAGCGAGGGGGCGTCATCTTGTTGTTGATGCTGCCGGGAGGAGGATGTGGTGGTCGACGGGCCACTGGAAGGGCCGGGAGGAAACTTGGGCAGGGGATTCGTCGGGGTGCCGGAGATGGGCACGGTGAGGGTGTGGTTGAGGGCCACGACGTTGTAGCCCAGGCTGGCGCTGAACTTGAGGATGCGTGTGAGCTCGGCGCTGCTGGTCGAGGGCGACCAGGCGATGTTGAGGTCGTACAGCATCGTGACTAGGACATGGCCGTGGTGCCCGGAACTTGGAGTGTTGTCGTGTGCAGCCCTGACGACCGGTGACTTGAATCTTTGGTGGTAGCGAAATAATAATTTTCTGGCCCAGAGCAGCTCCCCGGGCTCCCAGTGGGACGTCACAGCGTCGCGGGGCAGCTAGCCCCCCTGTAGCGGAAGCAGCTAGGCCTGGCTGGGCTGTCGGCACCGCTGAGTTGCAGTGGACCAGTGCCGCCAATTGGCTCGGGTAGCTTCCAGACGTGCCGGGACCGCCTGCGTGGAAGCTCCCCCGTTTTTTGCCTGCGGACTTCTTGGCCGTTAGACACAGCCACCGTGGTGACGAGCGACGAAGGCAAACCCATCTTGGCTCTGGACGGCGCATGACGACTCTCCAGCATTCCCTCAATTTTCTCCTCTCGTAGCGGTCGGAGGCTCTATCAACCCTCTCGCAACCTACCTTCTTTCCACGAGCCCAGGTCTTCTTCGATTGCCGCCTTTAGAAACCCGAGCGATCAACGACGGCCTGTCGCGTCACTTACACCAGACCAAACTCCCTGAGCGACCCGACCCAGACGTTCCAGCACAAAGAAACCGCCAGCCATGTGTCTCATCTTCACGTGCGGCGAGCACACCTTCCGCAAGGAGGTCGAGGGATACCAGGGCGTGCTCTGCCAGTGTCACAACTGCGGCAATTGGAGTGGGCGCGTCATCAAGTCGCATCCGTGGTTCACATTCTGCTTCGTGGTATGTATCTGTCGCCCCTGACTACGGCTTGTCTGCGCCGACAACAGTCCACTTTTACTAACTGTCCTGTCTGTCAATGTAGCCCGTCCTGCCGCTGTCCTTCCACGGCTACGAGGAGATTACCTGCCACATCTGCAACTTCGCCCAGGCGCTCGAGAACAGACCCGACGTCCAGCAGATGAAGGGCGGTGGGGGCCAGGGGATTCCTATGAATAACCAAGGGCCGCAGCAAGGCTGGGGACCACAAGGTCAAGGCGGTGGACCAGGCGGGCCGCCGCAAGGACAGCAGCTCATGAGGTACGGATAACGTCAATGAGGGAGGAGGAGGCATATACGTTCTGCGTCGAACGGATCACTTTAGGAGGCGGTATAGGCTGGTGCGGGACAATGATACCTTTGGTGGCGGTGGATGGTTGGATGGGCGATACGTGTACCTTGGTGTGGTACTCGTCTCATCGTCGGTGGTGTTGGCGTTCTTTCCCAGTTTCTCCTGTCTACAGCTTCTGTGCTGGAACAGTAATCCAGTAGTAATGAGATACCACAAGCATTCTTCGATTCCGCAGGCTGAAGCTCGACAATCGTTGGAGAGTCACTTTTTCAGGTATCCGACTGATGAGTTTCAGTAATAACGAGAACCGGGGCTGTATCGGTTGGTCGAGGTAGACAGGCCGTCGTCAACACTGGCTTCGCAGTGATAGGAAGTAGCATGGGCAAGAATGACTGGAACCCCCCGAACTGCCATTGACACTGTATTTCGCCGGTTGCTCATAGTACGTATCACGGTTCACTGGATTGTATGCAAGGGCAACGATAGTCAGTTCGTTGTCGCTGGGAAAGGGGTATCAAGCCTCGCTTAATTTAGCACAGCTTGCCAGCCTTTCCGCTTCACAAAGCCAACTACTCCCTCGTCCCGGAGGACATCAGCCCCTCGCCTACCCGTGACAACGCTCCGCTCAACCTCAGCTCCTCGGACGTAGAAGGGGAAGGATAGCCTCTCGTCAGCCCCGTCATTGGTCTCGGGTGGCGGGTCGTCCTTCTCCCGTTCCCAGACGGTCCTGCCCCCTTGCTTCCGCTTGACGAACCCACATGCCTCACGATCAAGAGATAGGAACCATTTGCGCTGGTGCACGCTGTCTATGGTGTTGCTCGCCCCCGTGTACGCATTCGTCCGGCGGACCTCCGCGTCCTCCAGCTCCCGGATCTCGCGCTCCATCGCCGAGAGGCCTTCCTGGTCCGCCTCGACCGGCGCGTTGACCGTCTCATCATCGCCATCGACGCCACCCACTGTGCCCGTATCTGATCCTACATCCGAATCCGAACTTGTCATCGGCTCTGGTGCCCGGGCTCTCGTCCGCATCCCTCCCCGTCTGCGCCGAGTCTTCGGCTTTCTGCCGCTTTTAGCACGTCCCGCGATGTCTTCGTCCCTCGTAAGCCGTAGATTCAACACGTAGTCCCGTGGAAGCCGTGCCCCATTCAACCTGATTCGGATCTTCCGTGCCTGAAAAGCACGATGCAGTCTCTCCTGTTGAGTCGGCTGTTCTGCTGACTCCTGGGACGACAATGGCTGCGAGTCTGGGTCCTCAGTTGGGTTACGTCTGCCAGCGGCATGCGGCAGCACTTCGTATGTTCCCGTGTCCCAGATGAGCAGCGAACCTGTCGAGCCCGAGGCCGTTTCGACCAGGTGGTTCCAGAGGCAGTGCACACGCGTCTCGGTGGCGTTCCGGTTCAGCCGGACGCTGTTGGGGTCACCTGGCAGGCCGTACATGATGGCCCACGATGCGCTGCTTGAAGGGTTTATCTGTAGCCGCAGGTCATAGTGCGTCCCTGCGATCGGGTGGTCGTGCTGATGCACTATGAAGTGTGCGCCACAAGGGTCTCCGAAGTTAGACTCGTAGAGCTGGCGGTAGGCTGGGATGGAAAGATGTGGCATATGCTCAGGAAACGGCGATAGTGTTGCCTTGCATAGGAGATCGCTGAAATATTTCAGGTGATCGTCAACCTGTGCCTCACCAGCTTCTATGGCTGCTGCCCGTGGTGGCTTGTCCTCACCTGGCGCATCAGGCTTAGGTTCGTGGGCATCCTCGTCCGCGTTGCTGCTATCCGTCTCAGCGTCCAGAGATGATCCAGTGAGCTCGAGACTCCATTCAAGGTTGCGCTTCTTGATGAACGGATTCGCAATGAGTTCAGGGGTATGCGCTCGCTTGGAAGCCATGAGGTCTCCAGGAGGTCAATATTCAAAGTGGCCCTAAGCCCCCAAGTAGCGACGAATGAAAATCGTTAAACAGTTGACCTTCCGAACTGCTTGGATTAAAACCTGAGAGCGGTAATGCGTCAGTATGTGGAATGGAAACCAATTGTACTGGTGTGAAGAGCGTCCTTGATAGAATACTCCGATCTTTATCGGGGGAGACACCCATTAACGGGAGGGATGGTAGCTGGAAACTTTCGAGTACTTCAACATAAAAATCCAACAAGCTGTTCCCATCGCAGCGCACACTGCCATTTTCAGAATTGCGCTTGCTCAAAGTGTACATAGAGAAGTGTGATTGAGAGTATTATATCTTCCGCTGACGGCTGAAGTAAAGCATTGCCCTGCAACCTTGTGGTTAAGCTGCTATTCAGCTGGTTATTACTGCTGCACCGCCTTAGCTGTCCCTGAGATACTAGGCAATCACTCGCCTCTGTTGCACCATCAATTGAACTTCACATATAGAGAGGAGTCAGAGAGTCCTATCACTAATCACGCAATGCGAAACCTCGAACAAATTACCTTCTGGTTCACACCAACGGGGCTTCACTGTTCAGAACGTGCCTAGATGGGAGACGAGCACCAGTTGGGTTCGTCGCTCGGAACGTTTGCGTAGCCGTGCCTAAGTTGTAGGATGCTGCGGCCGATATATCTCTAAAGAACCCTTACATCAAGCCAACCGGTTTCTAAACTAAGACCTTCGACATCTTTTATGAAGACCCAGAAGGCTATTCCAGTGCCAGGTTCCCACTGCAAAATGATCACATTAGTCTAGACCAAAAATATGGTATAAAAACATCAAAAATGATGATGTTGATGAGAGTGGGACTCGAACCCACGCGGATTGCTCCACTGCGAAGTTATGATCAGGTAACCTGAACGCAGCGCCATAACCTATTGTTGGTGTTAGTCTGCTGTGCAAGCAGGTGAATCTGAATGTGGGGGACTTGCCACTCGGCCATCTCACCAGGCCATTTCGCCAGGGGCTGGCGTTGGAAACAGTGCGGTTTAATACAGACTATGATCATTTGTAGGGCTTTGCTAGCGAAACCCTTAACTCAATTTGGGGGTTGTGTTGTTGGTCGCTTATCTAGGGAATTGACTATTATTGAGCAAGACGCAACTACTAAACTTGATTTGGTAGATTATTTACGGAGATGTATTTGAATCGTCCAAACTTATGTCCACTACGAAATGAAACCGATGTAGAAGCGTAAACATCAAGCCAAGCCGGGCGGTATACATCAATCAGATTTTGCAGTATCTAAAAGTGAACATAGCAGCCTCCTTATATATGCCTAGTCGATTATAAAATTTCTGTTTTCAGGCCGTTTAAAGAAGGAAAGGAATTGCCGCTTACGTGACAAAGCATCGCTAATAATGTTACAATTTCGGATCCCGTGTGTCCTGCCGTGGCTGGTCACAAGTCTAAGCACCACGAAACCAAGTAGTATCCGTGATATCTGTATTCGCTGTCTCGGCTCCGTTCACTATCGTGGTTTTGTGGAAGTAGCCACTTTCCCACTTTCAATCCCTAAGGCCCAATTGAACAATAATTTCAAACTGTGAGCTAGACTCAAATTTGTGCGAAGGGACTCATAGCCGCCAGCGAGATCCTGAATGTTCAGCTATCCAAGTGCCCTGAAGCATTATCAAGTGTATCGGATGGCACTTGGGAAGCACCGAAAGACACTAACGAGCACCCCGCTAAGTGGCAGTTGACCCCCGCGGCGGTAGTGGCGCGCGCAAACATCTCCGATAGAGCTGAGGTCCGCTGCGGGGAAGTCGCTGTATCACTCGGTGCCTGGTGTTGGGAAGTCGCCTTGTGTAGCCTCGCCTTGGCCTTGCAAACCCCGGCCCGGCAAATCAGTATGCTCCTCTCAGTCCCTGCAGACGGATTCAGTTTGCGTGTCGTGACCTTTATGGCCGCTTTTTTGGAAGCCATCTGCTATCGATAACCCTTACCGGAGGTGATAAGTCGGCCGGAGAGAATTCCGATCATGCCATGATTACCAGGCCTTCGATTCCCTACATCGGCAAGATTGTTCGCCATATTCTACCCGCGGAATCCCAAGCCGTCTCTCCATCTGTGGGCCTGCTTCGTTGCAGGGTCTTCGAGAGACCATGGCCGACTCGTCGACGTTCGAGTCTCTCCCCAATGAGTTGATCTTATTGATCCTGTCCTGTGAGCCGCCCAACCGCCTACCGTACAGCATGCAGCAGACACTGACCAGGGGCACAAATGCAGACCTCGAGCCGAGCCACATCGCCACGCTACAGCTCCTCTCGAAGAGGCTGCTGCGCATATGCCGTGATAACCTCTTCTGGCGAGGGCGATGCCACCTCGAGTCTTCTTTCCTCGAAGGCGTCAACCTCCGGCGAGGTCTCCGATTCTCGGACGAGGATGAACCCATCGTCAACACCGTGTTAGGCATCCGGAGCCCCGAGCCGGGGACTGCGCAATGGAGCTCAGCAAGTACTGTCAAGCAGGAACGCATTCGGATCGCGGCGAATTGGGACCCTACATTTCCGGGCGAGAAGGTGAATTGGTACGACGAGTACATACATCGGAACGGCCCCATTGCTGTCAATTGGTTAGAGCAGCCTCAGGTCAGCGATGGAGATATGAGGGACATCATTGAAGTCAAGGGTGCAGCTCTATATCAACCAAGCCAAGGAGGACAGGAGCTTTTCGCAGTGGCTCCTTTGGACGACGGTTCGGTATGCTTGTGGGATGTCAAAGGCACCCGCTCCAGCAAAGGATCCCTTGTTTCGAAGAGCGAGGAAGGGCTGCTACGTCTTGACAACCCAATCCTTTCTTCTAGATCAAGAATGGCAAGCATCGGGGTAACAGAATGTGTCAGCGTCGATAGCAGCCGAAACAGGGCGTTCTTTGCTGTTCAAAGTCGTGAGTATTTCCTCCCCCCCTCCCCTTTGCACCCTGCCGACTGCGCAACTGTGTACCGAATGGTAAACTGAGTGCTTGCAGATCTTATGGAGGTTGATTTACAGACGTTGCAAATCGTAAGCCACCAGCCGTACGAGTGGACTATCACTACACTATCTGCTGTTCAACCTGGCGTGCCGTTGACAGTCGGCACATTTCATGGGATACATCTCTTTGATTCGAGAAGCAGCCGTGAGATCAAGCGAGATCGTCAAGAGCGCATTGATGAGTTCGACCGCTTCGGACTTCGGGACCTTGCCAGGGCATTAGATCCGAGTCCCCTTCCCCCGTACGCCCCACTGGCGCAAAACGGACCCGAAAGTATACTTCATCTAGAGCGTCCCGGCTGCAAAGGACTCATATCCGATGACATCTTCGTGGCTGGCAGATTCTCAAGTATACTACACTACGACCGCCGAATGTTTCCCACCATCAAAGGGTCAATCCATTCGGGGGCAAGATTATGTAGCTTGGCATCATTGCCTTACCCCTTTTCATGCGTCGACAGTGAACTTCGTCGACGTGGAGAACTCTCCATCGATCAACTTGAGTCCTCCAAGAGCGTCCCTGGAGGTCGGGCCCTGATTGCTGCTGGAGAGTATAACACGAAAGGATCATTGGAAATCTACGGGTTAACACCGTCACCAAGTCAAGCGGATGGGAGCCACGCCCTGTTCCAAAATTCAACAATGAAAAATCGTCAGACGGCGTCCAAGGCCAAGCTTTTGTCTGTGATCAACCACGGCACACGCATCGTGTTCTCGGATGGCGATGGTTTCCTCAAGTGGGTTGAGAGGGATGGTTTCACTGAAGTTCGCCGTCATAAGATTGGACATGGCGAGAAGGTAGCCCAGCGGTCTCTCTTCGCCTCCATGCCCGGGTCTGACGAGATTGCGCGGAAGATACTATCGACCCAGACCGCCGGAAGCGGCGGGGGTGACACCGTCAACAACGATGACATTCTTTTCTGGACGGGCGAGAAACTAGGCCTCGTTAATTTCACCCTGAAGCCTGGTTTCAGTGCAGAAGACTTTGAACATGACAGCAGAACGCCTGAAGAGATTGCTGCCGAAAAAGAGGAGCAGCTGTTCAGCGACAGGATGAGGCGTGCTCTTGAGCGGCAGGCTAACGACGTTAAGTTCGTTCGATACCTTGGGGCTGGTATTCGCCCCGGGATGTAAAGCGAATGCGCTGGCGGAAATTGTGCACACCAAATATGCAGTGACAGTTAGCTCCGTACAGGAGCCAAGAAGAATCGGATACCACATAGCGTTGCATTATATCTTGAATACCAAACTCTTCAATGTTGAAGCCAATAGAACAGCCCACTTCGTCGTTATATTTCCAGTGTAATATCAGTTTACATATACTGCAGTTTTACACAATCTCAACACAAAACAAAGATGGGTCAAACAAGCCACGGATTTAAGTAAGGACGCGATAATGATTACACTTGAGCCCCTTCGATGGCAGTTTTCAGCCTGACTCACATCGACGCTTCCACTTGATCTCGGGATATTACTGGACATGATGTGGATTCAGGCTTGTGTACGCGTGTGCGACTTTCATGCGGATGTGGATGCCTGAAAGGCCACTGGATGTATGCCAGGGGATCAGATAGGCCAGACCAGATGTTGGATGTATGAGCCCCACGAGATCATGCACCCAGCCCTTCGCAAACCGGAGAACCCTCAAACAAGCCAATAGGGCAATAGCCAGTTGACTCATCAAGATTTCAGCGCGATCCGCTTTCTGAGGAGAAAGGTATTAGTTGCAGATATAGACGTGCCTTTCCCTTGTCATTGCATCAGCTGTGGATGCGGCTTTGGAATCGCAGCTGCTTACTCTTGAGAGCCCTTCAGTAAGACCAAGTCGTGTGCGACAAGATCATCTCAAATAGTACAACTTATAAGATCAGAGTAATAGATCAAGGATCCCGACAGCCTCGAGAAATTGTTTGGTGCCACCCAAAAGGAAAGAAAAGATGAGGCAGCCAATTAGACACAGCCATGTTGAGCCAGCACGGATGGGGCCAATCACTGCCGGCGGCAGAGCCGGGATAGAGGGGCCCAAGCCTATGGGATCACGACGGCTACGTCCCAGTAGATGGATGACCCAGTCTTTCGCCTCCTCCGAAAGGACATTTCTGTAACTCTATTCTTCTGTCCCAGATCTGGTGGTTTCCGGGTGCCTGTCGAGCCCGGTTTTTTTTTTCTCTTTGAGTCTACAGGCATCACGGGTATGTCCTTTACCACACGATAATCTCGGAGGCCGGCGACATTCATGTGTTGTCCAACCTCCTGCTATGCAACGTTTGTAAATAGCCAACCAAGCTGCTGCATCATGCATCGGAATGGATCGCTGCACCGATCGCCAACAGCCCAGAACCTTGAATGGCATTTTCTCTAGTTTTCACCGCTCCTCACCAATTCGTATCGACCATTGTCCCGTCAGAGAGGTCCTTAGGATATGTGGCCCTGCTATTCCCCACTTGCTCCTCTCCAATGAACATCCAGGATGCACTGGAAACTGATCCGCTACCATGATCTCGGCAGACATTGCACCCGCAGCTGAGGAGGAGACGCACGCACTGGGACGCGAAGCCGCCAGCTTGGCCGGCTCTGAAGATCATGCATCACCATGTGGGCGTCCACTTTCTCTCCTCCCGCCTCCAGCTTGACTCCTACATACAGTAGGACACCCACCTCTAATAAAGGATCGGTTTCCGCATAGCGCCAACTCTTCAAGTGAGGCTAGGCTAGCTTCCGCGTCCGATTTGTCCTTCGGGACGGTGGACAACTCTCTTCATTAGCGTTTCGATACAAGGAAACCCGTGCTTCCTCATCTCCAGTCGCCCCCCTCGGCGTCACTGACCAGACCGCATTTGTTTCTTTCTCCCATTCATCGCCGAACGTCCTACATCATGATCATGCCCACAGAGTCTTCTTGGCTATTCTGAACTTAATCAATCGTGACATTCCTTTATATTGTTTTATTACCACTGCACTCGGGGTGGTTGGAAGCCAATCATGTGCAGCGAGTGGCACGGCGCAGGCACGCCAATGTCTCGGTCATCGAGCGCCTCTTCTGTGCCCGACGAAAGATATCATTACGGCAATCAGATTTACGTTGAGCGGGGGAAGCGGCCTTTTGTCAACTTCGAATACGTGGAGCTGCCGGACGAAACCGGCTTCTTTCCTCAACCAAAGCGCCCGCGATATATCAACGCTGCTGCCCATGAAAGAGCCCGTGAGCCGCCATTCTTCATCCTCAGAGAGGCAGGCCAGTCAAGCTCGTCTTCCGAGTTTGCCTTTGACGATGCAGACCAAGTTGCTAGGACGCCCTCGCCTGCGCTGTCCGCCAGGGTTTCCGACAATGAGGCACAGGCACACCGCCATTTCCGCGCGGACCTGCGTCCGACTTCCATGGAAAGGACCTCGTCAGGCTTATCGATTGCGTCTGACGGCAAGGAGCGCGAAAGCCGCTCCAACTACTCCGATATGCGGAAGGATGAGCAAGCTGCCAGCAGGGTGGAACGGCACTTTGCCCATTACCATTCGCGGGCCCGAGACTCCAAAGCTGAACGCATCCTGAAGAGCCTCATCTCCCCGAGGTCAACGCCCGGGGACGAGTTTGAGATCGACAACGCGGCCCTGCAAAGCATCTTCAGCGCTGCAAATGAGGTTTTCTTCCACGGATCCCTAAAGAATCGGGTGAGATGGGACTGGTCCGATGGCTCCAACATGAGTTATCACACTCAGATCATCGGCACAACAGCCCTACGAGTGGCTCAAGATGGGGGATTCGAGACACTGATCGTATTGTCGAGTCGCTATCTCAAGGACAGACGATATAACCGGCGGCTGCTCATATCGACGTTTTTACATGAATTGATTCACAGCTACCTCTTCATCCGCTGTGGCTTCAAAGCGAAGCGCTTCGGGGGACACACCTCCGGCTTCCACCGGATTGCCAGGCTGATCGACGAGTGGGCCGGTCCGGATACTCTCTTCCTAAGCAACATGGAAGCCGATCTCGACGACTTCCGGCTTGCGAGCGGGAATCTATCCTGCGACGACATCCCCAGGAACTGTGGCATGCAGTGCTCGGAAGATGTCAACGGCCATCGGCCGGCCAGCGCGCCGATCCGATGGCCTGATCTACGTTCATCGGACCAAAGATATTACGGAAATACTTCTGGTCCGATATAGTTCGCTTCGATATAAGAAGCATTTTATCACGTTCAAAAGTTGGCCAAACTTTCATGGTCTCTCCTTTATCAAGCATGGCGAGGGCGTCTGGTATCAAAGGGGGTTGTTGCGATTCATGACCTAGGATATGTATGGAGTATAGGTTTGGTGGCTCATGCGGATGTGTTTCTCTAGCCTATAGACTTTATGATGACCATGTAGCCTTGCTTTCTATCTTATTGTAGTAAGGACTCAAGACGGTTGTGCGAACAAAGTCTAGTTACTTATGAATAGCCGGCGGCTGTCTGGTGTGAATAGATATAAAATGGAAACTCATAGAGTAGAGAAAGATCTCAGTACGTATGCCTTTCAATCGATTTCGCATAGTGTATAGCCCCATGCGCTACACCCTTCACTCGAAACACTCAGCACACAGCATAATAGCTGAGAGGTCAGGCCACATCCTCGTACTTGAATGGGTTATAGGGTGCTGCGAACCAGTCTCTGTGGCTCTTAGTAGGTTGAAATCATCTTGGCTCTCAACCTGGCGCCATATAGCCAAATAAGCAGAGGTGCCGGGAGCCCGATAACGAGGCTCATAAAAGCCAACTAAAGAGGTGCACAAGAAGTCAGCAACACAGTCCGTTATCATTCATAGAAAGAAAGGCAAGTTTCCGTCAAGTATTTGGATTTGTCTCCAAGATGCGGATTCGGCGTTGCCGTTGATGAACATTGTACCAAATCAAAGAAGAAGAAAAAAAAAAAGGGTTGACCACACTCCATACTTACAGTGCTATTGCCCCAGCCATACCCTAGAGCACTATACATGCTGGGGACAAATAAAGGGAACAGGAAAGCTGTCAAGCTACTCAAGAATTGATTTGCAGCCATGGCGCTGCTCGTGTGCTCCGGGAACGAGTCAATGACATAGGCCTGTAAAGGCATGCCTTTGATCTGGAAACCAAAAGTGCTGACAAAAATGGCAATGTCGACGACGATCCAGTGTACAGTGTACTGAGCCGTCCAGCCGTATACGAACAACCCCAGCGTGCCCAACAACACGGCAGGGAACACGAGAGGGATACGATACTCGGGCATATGCTCATCAGTGCCGGCGCGTTTGAGCATATACTTGAAGAGGCAGTCCATTACTGGGCCTCCGAGTTGTGATCCGAGGATTTCTCCAAGAGCAATCGCAAGATAATGCAGGCCGCTGATCTCGACGGATTGGTGGTATTGGTCGGTCCAAAGTGCCGAAAAGCTAGACAGCACGATGTAGAGGATACCATAGTAGAAACCCGATATCACCGAAGTCAGCTGCGTTATTTGGTTGAACGCTAGAAGGCGAATGGGGCGTGTCAGAGCTCGCCCCAAGATGGAGACAACTGATTTCTCCTCTTCAAGTCGCTCATACACCGTGCGGTATTGCTGGTTTCCCGTTTCCCGACGCAGACGCTGCGCTCTCCTCTTAAGGATAAGGGGAGCGAAAGTTTCCCGAAACGTGGTGAAAGAGACGGCTATCATAACCGCCTGAAAGATGGACGTAGACCAGAACATCCACCGCCAGGTCGTGCGAGCCGCCATGAATCCTCCAATAATTGGTCCTGGCATAAATTCAGCACAAGAACAAGTTTTTTCCTAAGATGAAGCTTACCAACAGCAGCGCCCAGCAGCGGGATCAGAAGATAGATGCTCAGTGAGCGGCCACGCTCCTCAGGCCGCCATACATCTCCAAGCACGCCTCCTGCGAGGGCGTAGATTGAGCTGGCGCCAAAGCCAGCCAAGAAACGAGAGGCAATCAGTAGCTCTTTAGTATTCGTGAAGCCACAAGCAATGTTCCAGACCAGGAACCAAATATTGGATGCATGCAGGACCCTCTCCCTACCGTAGATCTCGGACAACGGCCCAATGACCAGCGGGCCAAATGCAGTCGCAAGGATGTAGATGGACAGTGCCATAACCGACTCAACTGTGGTCATGCTCAACTCAGACGCGATCAGCGGAAGGGCCGGCGCCATGATGGTCGAAACCATGATACGGTTGAATCCGGTCGCGGAGAGTACGTCGGTCACAGCCCATTTGCGACCCTTCGGCCAGTGCTTAGGATTGTCGGCATCAAAGGGCTCGTCAAATGCGACGAGGTATGGATCATCATCCCGCTTGGCCTCGGCTGGTGCTGGGACGGGCGCCAATTCGACATCCGCGCCGCCAGGAGGTACTATATCATCGGTTGTCATCTTCTTCTGGTTGTTGGGTATCATTGTGCTTCTTGGGCCTGAAAACTTTGAGTTGAGGGTAAGGCTGAGTTTTAGTAAAAGTTCAGAACGTAATTACCATCCGTCTTTTCCGCGCTTTATATAGGTGAGGTTGATGTATGGATTGTATACTTTGGATGCCAAGCAATCTTATCTGATCCTGAGATAATCAGTAACCCCTGCGGAAACCGGGGATATCACCAATAGAGCCATCCTTCGGCTCCAGGTTCAGGCAGCCGTTGGCGCTAAGCGGGTTTGTTGATGGGTGTGCCTGGTCTCAATACTAGGGTAGCGGGGAAACGTGCCGGATAGAAATACCTCGCAGCTTAACTACTGGCCGGTTTTGTAGGCTCATCCATGCGATCAAGTATCCACCATGAGTCATTGATAGACGTTCGTTTGGCAATGCTGACAGTGTTCTGATCTCCGAGCCGAACGAGATTTTGCGAGCCGACGTAGTGTCATGGCTTATGGAATCATGAAGGCTTGGGGGCCTGCTGAATGTGCTGGGGGTGAGCGGCAGTATACATTAGTCTTTGAGAAGGCGATACGGATAGCTCAATTGCGAACTTGAGTAATAGGTGATTCATGGCATTGTTGCTTGTCTCGAGTTGCAGGGTTGGTATGAAGGGATGTCTATCGCTTCATGAGATGAAAATTCCTCTCTAGTTATTGCCAGCCAGACGTCACAATGTTGACTGCATGGCTTTTGGACTGTCTGGTTCTATAAAGAACAAGATTTCTGCTGAGGCAAATAAAGTATTGTCTGAAGATTACTGATGACCAAATGTTTGGTAAGGTCAGGGATATTTCTCGCGTATCGCCAGCTCTGGTTCATATCACGCAAATGTTGGCGGTGTATCTGAGCATCATGAAAGACTCCGACATCTATACCGTTCTAGACGTAATTGGTGGTTTGAGTTGATAAGAAACATGGCCAGTCTCACAAAAAGTCATCAAGCTGTCTTGTTAGACATGCCTCAAGAATATTCTCGACCTGCGAACACCTGAGATTGTTGAGAGACACCGTGCCTATAAGATGACCGTGAAAGCCCCCAGAAGTGTGTAGTGATCTAGCCATCAGAGACATCTCGCTGACCAAACAAAAACTGAAAATGGCACCAAGAAAAGGCAACAAGAAAGTACTGCGGTTCCCTCAACACAAGAGAGACACACCGACTTGCCTCCATCTCGAAACAGTATCATATTCTGCGACTGACCTCTGTATAGGAACTATCAGTATATTTCGATGAGACGACAGCCGACTCAGCACCACACAAGGTCTCACCAGAGGAGCTCTTGCCGCCGAGTTCGGTGAGAATGGGTTGGTGTACAGATTCAGGACATTGACGCTCAAGGAGGTCAACACAGAGATCCGCAGGCTGGCAAAATTGGTCGACGAGTTTTCTTTCGTAGCTCCCTCATGAGGCCTGAAAAATGCTACCTCAAAAGACCTCACCTTCTATGCAAATGAGCAAGCCGCCGATGCAGATTCTCCAGGGGACTAGACCAAGTTATGGGGCCGGGAATGGACCACAGGCGCAAGCCAGGAGATGAAAAGCCATATTGGAATCTTGGGCTCATCCCACGGTGTGCGGCGCGAACTGTTCGGCATATTTGAAACCCTCGTACATGAGCTTGTGCACAGTTGGTATGGAATTCACCTAGTAGAGGAAGAAAACCTTGAAGGGCACGGGGAATATTGGCATGATCTGTTTGGCGCCACTGCCATGACTATCAAGGAGTGGCACCCCAGCTTAAAGAGCGCTGGGGATGACGATGGAACTTGGAGACCACCCCTCCAGTATCTTCTCAGAGTCAGGCGAGGGGATTCAGCCTTCCATGAAGCCAGGAAAGTGCAGGGCGCTGCGCGTAAAGCTGTTTTCTGGAAGGCATTGTCGCGGAACCTCCCACCAGACATTGGCATGTATCCCCTACCGTCAAACTGAATCCGGTCACTTTGGCCGATGAGGATGAAGTTGGGAAAACAACCTCACGTAGGACGTGTCTGGTCAGAAGGAAGTGGCTCCGGAGCTTGATTGTATCAATGACGATGGAGACCGGATGAGGGTGGTAGTGCGAGTTCCGCTTCTTCGAACCGCTGCAGGGTTTCTTACCTAGATAGAACAGCGGGGCATTTATAGACAATAGGCCATCTAGCGCAAAGCAATCGGTTGAGTATTTCTCATTATTACAAACAAACGTTATGTCTGGGTATGGGCTGCCATGTAGGGTATCCCCGTCCTCGTGCCCAAGCCACGAGTATGCCATGCCAATTATATGCAAATAATGCCAAGTGATGCAAGCTCTATATGCTTCCTGGGCCCTTTCCCCTCCATCGTCTATTGCTCCTGGGCAATTCTAAGAACCGGGTTTATAAACGCCGTCCTTGCAAAGCAACACTACATTCTTGAAGAACCGCCTCCATTCCAGAGGGTCGCCCTTCACCTTCACGAACCGCACCTCCAAAAGCTCCTGTGCCTCCGGCAGGTGATACTTGTCTACAACAATCTCGCCGTGTAATCCCTGTCGTCGGCCGTCCACTGTCTTGACCTTCAACGTTGTTACGTGGTCACCCTGCCCAATGTATGGAGCCGCCGACGCGAGAGGGACGTTTAGGTTGTGAAGAGCGCCACTAAGCATCTGTACAAGAAGCTGGGGCGGCATATGCGAGAAGAAGCGCGTGAACGCGTGTGCCGGGACAATGTCGCGGAACCGCTGGGCGCGCTGCGTGAGCGTCATAGGCACACCTGGATTCTGGGAGAATTGCGACATGGAGGGTTCGTCGGCTAGAGCTTCAAAGAAGCCCCCGCCCTGCGTCTGAGGATAGGTGACGGCATCTGTGCGAGCAGCAGGCTGGGTAGACGACATGGCAGACACACCCATAGACCGTAGAGTTGGTCTCTCCCAGTCGAACATGGCATCGTTGATGGGTGTCTCTGGCTGCGTAGCCGAGATTTGGAAGTCACTTGCAGGGCCGGAATCTACATCCATCGATTCAGGTTGCGATTGCCGCTGAGATGATGAGGGCTTCTGATTAAAGTCAATGTGAAGGTTCTCCAGCATCTGGGTTGCCAGATTCAGGGGGTCTGCGATTTGACCGTCTGCTGCCAGATGCTTGTTGTGCCGCGTGAACCAGGGATGCTGGCGGATCTGGGCAAATGAAAACCGCTTGGATGCGTCCACGTTCATCATGCCTCGTAGCAAGGATAGGGCATCCGCTGGTATCCTCTGCCATAGGCCGTCGGAGCTTCGGCCATTGGTTCGAACGTACTCCTGAAACTCCCAGCTTGACGAGGTTGGTTCGTCCCACGGTGTGTTGCCAACCAGCAGCACGAACAGGATGACGCCACAAGACCACATGTCAACCGAGTCCGGCAGGTATTTGATCACCTCACCGGATTTCTTATCCGGCCGGCCTGCTTTCAAGACCTCGGGGGCAATGTAAGGGGGGCTGCCGCACATAGTGGAGCTCTGCTTCCGTTGGCCCTTGTACTCGAACATGGTGGCCATGCCGAAGTCTGCGAGCTTCAGGTTGCCGCTGTCGGACATGAGGATGTTCTCGGGCTTGAGATCGCGGTGTGCCACCCCCTTGCTGTGCATGAAGCTCACACCGCTGATCAGCTGCAGGAAGTACAGATGGGCAATATCCTCTGTGACGCCCACATCGGCCTCGATCTTGTCAAAGAGATCGCCGCCCTCGGCGTACTCCATGGCTATCCAGCGCCAGACTTGGTCCTCGCCCGTGGCAAACCACTCGATCACGTTGGGGTGCTGGCCGATGTGCGAGTGCAGCGACACCTCCATGGCGATCTGCTTGGCGGAGATGCGGCCATGTTTGACGGCGTAGCCCTTGTGAATGAGCTTGACGGCAAAGACGGGTGTAGTCGAATCCAGAGGGATTGCCTTCTTTATTCTGGGGATCGTGTTAGTAATAGTCCCCACTAAGGCGGCGGAGGGGCCATCTTCTTACGATGCGTAGGCTCCCCTTCCAATGGTCTTGGAGACTATGCGGAAGGGGAGGTCATCCGGCAGAGGATCCAACTGAGACTGTTGCATCGTGGTCAGTCCGAGTGCTCATGTATTCCCACTTTGGTGTATATCGAGATCAGTAGGTGCGGTACACGACACTCCATCAAAGTCCACGCACAGTGGTCAGAGAGGTGCCGGTCATGAACATCCGGGATCACTGAGTCTAGGGTAGTGCAGGCCCGAGCGCTGAGTCTAGGGACCAGACAGTAGTCGGCGAGCTCTCATCTCGCTTCCCGTTGGTGATGCTATGCTTTCAGTTGGGGGAGAAAAACGCGAAAACTCACCATGGTGATTCATGGCACGCGTCGAGCCGCGACGGTCAATTAAAGTCTGCCGGCACTCGTGTTTTGTTTGGAGAGGTGCGGCAACAGTCCCAAACGATTGGCTGAGCGGGGGGCCTGGAAGGGTGCCGTACAGGGGTGGCCTCGCCTGGAGAGCTGCCTGAAGCGCCTGGAGCTGGAGGCAGGGTCCCTGTCAAGCGGGGGGTTAGGGAACTAAAGGTAGGGGGGGCCACCGCCCACAGGGTCGCAACCATCTTATCGCCGTTGCCATAGGCCACTCGTTGTTGACAAGCGATTTCAACCCGAGAGACCGACGACGACCAAGCGGCTTCGTCGCTTTCCAACCCAACCTCCACTGCCGTTTTTCTTTACGTTGGTGCAGCTTCCTGTTTGACAGCCACGAGCAGTTTCTGGACCCCGTTCCGGTTGATACCCTTTGACTTTCCATCTTCACATTCCCTAAGAAACACAGCTTCCCAAGGTTCGTACGTTCCACACTACTCCAAGACAGGCTGCATGATATTCCGAATAGGAGGAGGCTGTGACACTGCCTTTCGCTGATAGAGCCACTGTGATTACAACCACAGCAGTGTCTCATGGTTTCCTCTGTATCATCAATTGATCCATCTCAGTTTCACAAAGCTAACCGCACAATTGACATTCCAGAAGGGCTTTCCGTTCCAGTTTTCTCATTCGTTTCCCGCCTTGTCCCAACCAGCCACCAACCCGAATCCAAGACCTTTGTCTGGATTCTTGCGACCAGCCCCATTCAAGGTTCACAAGGCCACTATAGTCCTCACATCCCCCCCGGTTGTGGAGAGGCATACTGTCAACATGGATTTCTCTACGGAAAACAGCCAGAACTCGGCTCCTGGCAGCGTCCAGGCCGCTAAGCTTGGCGGCTCGCGCAAAGGACCTGATGCTCAGAGCGTGACGAAGCGGTATGTCGGCGACCTTTGTCCAGGTCCCTCGAGGGCTTCTCGCTAACGGAAACCTCCCCAGGTTGCAACCAGAGCTTATGCAACTCATGACTTCGCCCGCCCCGGGCGTGTCAGCGTTCCCCGGTGCCGACGGCAACCTGATGACATGGGCGGCCACCATCGAGGGGCCCGACGACACGCCGTACTCGGGCCTGACCTTCAAGCTGTCGTTCGCCTTCCCCAACAACTACCCCTACGCGCCGCCCACGGTGCTCTTCAAGACGCCCATCTACCACCCCAACGTCGACTTCTCGGGCCGCATCTGCCTCGACATCCTCAAGGACAAGTGGACGGCGGCCTACAACATCCAGACCGTGCTCCTCAGTCTGCAGAGTCTGCTGGGAGAGCCGAACAAGTAAGCCCCCCTTAGCCCCCGCTGCCTACTTTTATGCCTTGCACATGTAGCTAACACGCACCCCCCAGCGCATCACCACTGAACGGAGAGGCCGCCGAGTTGTGGGACAAGGACGCCGAGGAGTTCAAGCGGAAGGTCCTCGGCCGCCACCGGGACGTGGATGACGATTGAAGTGTCTCTTCTCTCTCTCGGAGTTGTGTGTGTATAACGAACGGCTCGATCCACTTGGCTGAGTAGCATGTTACTAGGGTTAGGCGGCAGCGGGTGTTGCAGCCAGCATCGGAGAACCGGAGTCAGCCGTGCTTTCATCAAGACGGGGGGAGTGACGGTGGACAGTTGTGAATTGGGTAGTTCCCATCACGCCTCGTCATGTATAGGGTCTCCCGTTGGCTAAGGGGGTATTTTGCATTCATCCGTTCCATTGGTTATCTCTTAGGGCTGGGGGTTAGTATGGTTCTCGGACTCTGGGTATAAAATAACCCTCCCGAGGTAGATAGGAGCCGGCAGCTGGCCTATCAAATCGATGATTGTCATGACAAGGAAATATGACTTTGATGGTCCGCCAGAGATGAGAACTTGACGGCTGTGAGAGCTGGGCCTCGAAGCAGAATCGCAGACCTACGCACGACAATACACAGTGGCCACCAGCCACCTGATGCGAGAAAAGGCCACACCCAACGGCTGAGAGGCCAATTTGCTGTTGCTGTGTTCATTCGTCCATGAGAACATCCAGGACCCCTGCCAATGCCGAAACTGACATGGGAGTCGGTTGGTCTTCACCGCGATGGATTTCCTTCTCGTTCCGGGCTTTGCAATGAAGCGTCACAGGGCACACAAGACGAGAAACCCCGAGATGCCCGGCTTATCACAGTATTATATGGCGTTCACAGCGTCTCATTCATTTCAGACTAGGTGAAGCTAAAAAATCCGTTTGTCATGTATCAAGCCAGGTGGAACTCCGAAACCATGCCCTTCCTTGAGTGACTCTTTCGTGGAATCCATCCGACCACACATGAAGCGTACGCTCAAGTCGAGAGAAGAAACCCAAATTTTTTGCCTCGCCCTTCGCCCCGGAGAAAAAGTGTTCGTCGTACGGGAACACGATTTACTCCTCGACAACCACCGTCACCAGGCCCTTGGGGTTCTTGACGTTGACGGCCTGAACGTAGCTGTACAGCTTCTCCTTGGCATCCTCCTCGTCGTTTCTGCGGCGGCTGATGCGGACGCGGATTCTGTAGGGGACACCCTTGATACCCTGCTCCCACACCTTCTTGTTGAGCTGGGGGTCGATGCGGACATCAGAGGTTTGCTGTGAGGAGGGGTATGGTTAGCATGCGTTGACTCGGCTTCGGCTCATGTGCTCGTGGATGGGCGCGTGTGGCAGGTTAAGAGGGGGTCGAGTCCAGACAGTCGAGACTGCGGACTGCAGACCGGGAACCATCATGCCGGGTCGAGGCTCGGGATGTGGATTTGGGTGGGCAATCGTACCATGGCCTTCTGGGCAAAGTCCTTGATCTCCTTGATGGCACGGGGAGCTCGCTTCTTGAAGGTGACACCGTGCATCTGCAAAAAGAGTGGTATGTATGTCAGCAAGTTGTCCTGTCCCAGTGTGCGCAGACAGCATTTTCGATCTCCTGCCCGCCCTGGGCTCGTCTCCCTCCTCTTTTTCCCCCTTCCTTCTCTCTCTCTCTCTCTCTCTCTCTCTGTCGTGCTGTCCCGCTCGTCGTGGCGCTGGTGGTTGTGGGTGTGGGCAGAATCAAGAACATACCCTCTTGTGCATGTGGATGGTGTACTCGCGAGCGACGACCTGGTCGATGGCCGACTTGCCGGCAGGCTTCTTTCCCTTGGAAGACATCTCTGGAAGCGTAAAAGTCAACAGGGCGTGTCAAGAGGGGCGGAATGGCGGACGAGGCCTTACTGCAGGTGTGGTGATGGCTGTTCTGTTAGTTGTCGAAAAATGCGCCGGGTCGGGTGGTGAGCAAGCAAAAATGAGGAATATCTCAAGAATTGGCTGTGGGAGCTAGAGGGCAGAGGGAAATTTTCGGCAACGCAGCCAATCATGTGGGGTGGCTGCCCCATAGAGCCCTGAGGCTTGGGATTGGATCCTGGCTGGCTGGTCACGCTGGCCAAGCCAGAGCCAGTCAGGCCAGTCTGGAGGGGGGAGGGCCTGTGCTTCGGGATGGAGGCACCCCGGCCCCTCACCTCCTCCGGTGCCCTCTGCCGCGCACTGAGCTTGCCAGCTGGCACAGAGTCCAGCCAGATGCAGCCTGCCACCAGTAGCAGTTCCAAGTATGGATGAGAGTCGGTCCGAGGCTTGCGAGCGGCCTCACAGCAGTAACATTGGAAATCCACACCTCGACTGGAGACAAGCCCACTTATTGGCCAGCCGCAATTACATTGTATCGATTCACGGGGGGAGAGAGAGAGATGGTATGTCTTGATGATATGCTGTCGGCGCGGCTAACAATCCGTCTTGTGCATACTTGGTACATGCATCACGTATTCCGAGATTTCCACGTGATACAGCATCCGATCAGAACAGCAACTTGTACCTAGGTAAGCGTAGACATGCCATAGTTAGAGCTGGTGTGGCTTGTGTGCCTGCGAAAACAGCGCTGGGAGCCCCGGGAGCCCGTGACAACGCCCCATCTGCAGGGGCTTGCCTGTGTCTTGCGCGTTGCCCCAGCCTCACAGCAATCAATCAATCTCCTGCAAGGGGGAACAACCGGGAAGTGCCCATCACGTCTGCACGCCCAGCAAACACGGCACCCGTTCATTTGCCTGGCAGGCTGAGACTGCCTCTGTCCTCCGTTCCCCATCGACGACGTCGCTTGCCAAACCATCCCGCTCGTTTGCCGTCGTCCGACTCCAACTTCGGCGCCGTGCGCATCATTCACTCGCTCTCACCCCTTCTCCGCCGCTATTCACCACCGTCGCCGACGTCAACAGACGACGTCGACACCGAGAGCATTTTCCTTCCGCCATCCTGCTGTCAAGGCAATCCTTCTCCCAACTCAACCATCGTCGACCCCCGTTCCCGGATCCGTCCTATCGAGCCGTAAACTATAAACAGACGCCTCGCGCCCTGACGCGATAAGCCCTTCGCAAAGTTTGGAGATCGAGCCTCCCGCACGGGGAGAGCTAGCTCCCATCCCAGACCCTCGAGTCGAGTTTATTCGCCCTGCCCGACGACGAGAACAAAACCACCCTGTAGCCCACCATGGCCTTCTCAGGACACAATCCGCCTGAGCCGTTGGCGCCCAGTCCAACCCCGGTCCCAGACATGTATCGGAACCGCCTGCCCACGCTGTTCGAGGTCCTGAGTCGCCGCACTCACCCTCCCGTTGATTTGTTCTCCTTCTACATCTACATGCGAGACCAGCAGCGGTCTGTGGACTACCTGGACTTCTGGTACGTTTCCTTTATTTTGGTTATTACAATAAGTCTCGCCGTGGATCTGACATGACGCAGGCTCGACGTCGCCCAGCACATGTCGCTGTGCCGCCATTTTGTACGAGAACTCCGCAGATCTGTATTGGTTGGGACGCCGGACCTTGAGAAGGATGACAAGTCGAAGCGGTCTTCCATGGCCCTGGAAGCCATGGGCGACTTGGGCGGCTCCACGGCCGGCCCCTCGCACTTTGCAACCGAGAAGGAGAGAGACCAGAACGCCCAGATGTCGGCCTACCTCCGCGAGCAGCCTGCGACACCTGGCCTGCACCACGACTCCCCTGCTAGCAGTCAGGAGCGTCGAACCCGTGCCAGCACCCAGCTCAGCACCCCCCGCCACATGACCACCGACTCTAATTCACCCGCCCACGCTGTTGCTAGAGAGGATATCCGGGCGAGCGCCGAGAAGATCCTGTACACCTTCCTGCTGCCCGGTGCTGAACGTGAGATCACCCTGCCAGGCTCGATCACCCAGGACATCACAATTGCCATTGAACAGGATGGACGTGATGACCCTGAGGTGTTTGACGTGGCTAAGGACTATGTCTTCCAGGCGATGGAGCGTGATGCTTTCCCTGGTTTCCTGCGGGCCCGCGCCCTGGGTAACTTGATCCCGCCCACCATCGTCGCTAGGCTGATTGTCGGCCTGATTGCCATGTTTGGAGGCTTCTGGACGGCATTCATTCTCATCTTCCTAGACCGATCAAGAACCACTCGGTGCTGGGTACGTTGGCTTCTGTTCCAAAATCCATCGTTTGTCACCATGAAATCCATGCTAACAGCCTAATAGGTGATATTGCCTTTCACGATTGGCGTTTACCTGCTTGCCTCCTACCAGTACTCCTTGGATCCGATTATGGCTCTCCTCGGCTATACCGAGTACACGACTTTCCACCTCTCACGTATCCGAGAACCGTATGTCCGCAAGCTGCTTATCAAGCGCTCCTTCATGGTCATCGCTGCGACGGTTCTCATCGACGCTGCCTTGTGTGTGCTGTTCATCCTCGTCCCAGGCAAACGACTGTAGCCGCGCCTTGAGACGGCATCGCGATCCTCTTCGCGCTGGGCTCAACTGCCCACACATGCCCTCCAGCTTGGCGGACAGCATTATTACGAAGTCACGACACTTGGTTGATCAAAATTTTTTCGCAACTATCACTGCCTGTATTCTGCGTAACCTGCATTTGTCCCAACCCGATTTGCTTCATTCATCAGCGCTTTAGTCGAGGACACAAAAATGAGGAGTCTTGAGTGCCTGTTCCCTTTGAGCAAGTGGGCTAGCATGGTCTACCTCGAAATTTCGAGATTTTCAGGGCGTTCAAAGGCGTTTTCCTCCCCTCCATACTTTCTGAGGTTTTCATTTCGTTGATATCCCCGTGGAACTCTGATTTACATGCATCGCATCCCTTTCGATACTGAGAAAAGTTCGGTGGTGGAAACGATGGACTGGGGTGGACGTGAGAAGAGAGAAGACAGAGAGCTTTGGCCTAATATCCGTGGAAAGTAGCCGTCGAACACGACGGGGGGTTTCATATGCATCTCTCCTGGTGATGGATGCTGCAATGAGCCCTTAGGATTGCAGAATAGAAACATTTCTCTATGATCCTTGCTCGTTTAGTCTCCCGCGTTTTGCGAACCCAATGGTCTTGACAGTGACCTGACAAGTTTTACCATGTCTCGTCAGTCAGCCCTTTCTGAAGTCGTAGCTGATTTCAGCATCTCGGGATCTGTGACCAAATGATTGGAGGGTAGCTTTCGACTGCAGTAGATAATGCATAATGCAACCGTACACACGGTCGGGTCATTCTTTATTTGTCTATCATCTCTCATACTCATAAGGCCGGTTTTTCTATTCCCAACAGCCTGGCCGGAGGTCAAAGGGCCTCTCAGCTATCAGTAAACGGCGAATGCGCCCGACAGCCAGTGGCGGCGGGGAGTGTGTTGCCCCCCGTGTACAATATCTCACACCTCACACTCGGGCCGTTCAGGCAGTTGGTTGCTACAGCTTCCGCCGGCTTGCCCGCTTCTTACCGGCCACACCGCCGCTGCTGTCGGCCGCTGCCTCGGTCTCGTCCTCGTCATCGACGTCCATGACCTCCTCGTCCGCCGGGTCGTGCTCCTGGCTGCTGGCGCCCCTGTCCCGCTTGCCGTAGCGCTGACGGTTCAGGGCCGCCGTGGCCCGGCTGATGAGGTTGGTCTGATTGCGGCTATGGGCACCCTCCTTGCCCTTGCCCTCCGAGCTCATCTCCTCCGCCACCAGTTTTTCCGTGACCTCGGCCCACGCATTCTTCTCGCTGTGGCGTGCCGCCGCGGCGGCCTTGATGGCGGCGATCTGGCTCTCGAGATCAGCGAGGGTGGAGGTACATCGGCTCGACCAGGCCTGGAGGCTGGCGAGGACCGACGGGATGGAGCCCGGCGCCAGATCGCGCAGGGGCGAGACCGAGGATACGTGGACGGCTTGGTTGCGGGGATCTAGCTGGGCCGAGATCAGATCGGCGTAGATGGCGCTGATGACGAGCTCCTCCACCGCCCGAGAGTCCGACAGGCCGAGCGCCGACTGCAGGGACGAGTAGCTGAGATTGTGGGGGTCCTTGGCGAGGGTCAAGAGGGAGAGCTGGCGCAGCTTGAGGGTCTGCTGCTCGTTGAGGGCGGGGAGGCTTGTGGCTGCCGTGTAGTCCGCGTACGTGCCGTAGGAGAATATCTCGAGCTGAGTGAAGTATGGGGCGTGCTCTGGAGACTGGGCAAGGGCCTGGATCTGTGGCGCCTGAAGCAGCTCTGCAAACACATAGGTGCCCTGTGCCGAGGTGGCCCTGGTGACCAGATCTGCTGCGGCGCGGGTTGAGGTCGCCGACTTGGTGAGCGCAAGGAAGGGCTAGGGAGAGAGCACATATCAGCTCGGCGCGGGAACGGCATCGCTCTCATGGAGGATGGGGGAGACGCTTCCGACGTACCTCTAGTGCGTTCAAGGCCTTGACCTGCTCCATTTTGAATGCTGTATCGTCGTGTGGTCTGTAGGAGGCTCACCTTGGGGCAAGGCTGAAGCTCGAGATGACGGAGGTGGTAGCCTTGAGGTCTCACACAAGCTTTGGGATCTACAGCCTCGTCCCAGCCCGGACTAGCCCTGACTGCCCTTGGCGCAGCTGTCCGGCTGGTCTGACCTGTTTGTCGGGCGGGACAAGATGCTGGAGGGTATTGCAGCCGAGGTGTGTCGGCGGTAAAGCTACAGGGTGCGAGACGGTAGCGTGCGGCGGGCTGTCTCTGGGGTTTGGGGTGAATATGCTATTGTGCTGTTGGTTTGATCTCGGGTATTCTGAGGTGACATGTTGTATCATGAATGTTTGAGCTCCAGGATGATGCGAGGGGCGCTAGTCGCAACGGGCGATGGCGGGATGGCTAGCGGGCTGGCGGGGTGCCCGCGCCATAGTCCTGATAGTACTATGTACTGGCCTGAGGCGACTCCGTACAGTGCCCCAGGACAGTATGCGCCAGACTGGGCGCCAGGGGACTGCAGCCATCTCGAGCGCATTCACGTCTATGCCATCCAGGCCCGAGAGGCCCCGGGCGCCCCAGCTGGGGTGCACTAGCACTATTGAACGGCCGCGGCGGTGCCAGGGCCTCGGATAGGTTCTCAGCACCGACTGAGCAGGTTTGCGGCCCTCCTTGGTCAGCAATATTGTCTGGTCCTCGGCGCAGGGTGAATGACCGGCCGTCGTTATTTCCTGGGCAATGAGAGCGAAAAGGCCACGAAGCCTGGCGGGCATGGTCGGATTGCGAATCCAGACCCAGACCACCTCCCCACCCATGTAGAGGCTGCAGCAGATATCCAATATTTGGCGCAGGAACTGTTTCGATGCCAAGGATGGGATTCAGTCACATTGGTCTCCTGCCAGCCCGAAACGATACTCGCCCACTCAAGTGCGTCGAAACATCATGGGTAAAGTGCCTTCAGAGGCAGGGTGCGATGCGAATCGTCCCGGGGCCCATCGCCCACCTTGCACAACACCCGAATTATTGGCAATGTTGCCCGCTGTCGACTGATCCCGTTTTTTCCAAATGGCGTGCATTAAGGTTTATCAAAAGGTCGGACGAGATACCTAGATCCAGTGGCTAGTCCTCGGCAGATACGTGTGTGAGGTATTCTTGGACGCGAAACGACCCCGGCAACCCTATCCATTCGAGTGTCTACAGTACCTCCGCCAGTGTGAGTGGCAGCTCTGAAGCCTGTGGTCTTCCCGGACTACGTACTACTTACTGTCCATGTGTGCTTTGGCCCGGTGACTTGGCTGATGCTCTGCAGGCCTGGCACGGTGGGCAGTCTTTTGAAAAGTTGAGATGATGGAGAATCATCCTCGCTGGTTCCTGACCGCACCTGGTCGACAAGTTTGACCACCGTGGCCTTGCCATTACGAGGTAACGAAGCGTGGGATCTGGGATCTTTGCCCAGCTTCAGCTTCCCTTGGTGCCCGCCGCTAACGATCCCCCCCAAAGTGGACACTGAGGTCCCTGGAGCACCCCCTAGCCGTCTGGTAGACCCCCGGGCTGGTCCAGGTCCGTGATAGCCGCACAGTCCGCTAGAGCTGCAGCAGGAACCCCCGGGCCCATCGCTGACGAAACCTTGCAAAGATCAGAGTGATCAGCGCTTTTCTGGCGAGCGTCGCCCGTCGCTCGTCGCCATCGAACCACACGCCTGCAGCTTACTTCTGCGGCTTGACCTTTGTCAGCGTCAACCTGGAACCTGTGAATGCCCGCATCCCATATCCTACCAATCTCCCTACTACATACATACATAAGCTGGTCAGCAGCCTCCTTCGCCCCCCCTTTGCCTGTGCCGCAGCTGGTTTTGTGGCAGCAGCTCTCTCTTTCTTCAGCGTTTTCTTTGTCGGGTGTCTGAACTGCGACTGCGTGGGCGACAATACTATCCATCTATCATGCATGTCTTTGTGTGAAGACTCGCTCTCGATATAGTCATCCTCTCCTGCTCCTCCGTTTCGCCAACTTACTCCCTCCTTTCCGAGCGAACTGAACTCCCTCTCACGCCGAGCTATGGCGCCAGCAAATATCAAGGTCCCCCCGAGGGGTCCGACACAGGCGTCACTGCAGACCCCAAGGACTGCGCAGTGGGCCACGACGACTCTGAGAGTCGGCGGCATGACGTGAGTAGCTGATGGAGAAAAATGGACGTTTGACTCTTCTAACAAGCGGGCGTTCAGATGTGGTGCTTGCACCTCGGCCGTTGAAGCGGGCTTCAAGGGTGTCGATGGCGTCGGTAGCGTGTCCGTGAGTCTGGTCATGGAACGGGCCGTGATTATGCACGACCCGCAGAGGATATCGGCCGAGCAAATTCAAGAGATTGTTGAGGACAGAGGATTCGAGGCCGACGTTCTCGCCACGGACCTGCCGTCCCCCGTGGTTCGCGCAAAGGAGAGCCTATTCGATGCCGACGAAGAGTCCGAGCCTCCGACGACGGTGACGACCGTTGCCATCGAAGGCATGACCTGTGGCGCTTGTACGTCCGCGGTAGAAGGGGGGTTCGCCGATGTTCCAGGCGTCAAGCACTTCAGTATATCGCTTCTCTCGGAGAGGGCCGTTGTCGAGCACGATGCCTCGTTACTACCGACAGACAAGATTCTAGAAACGATAGAAGATCGAGGATTTGGTGCCACACTGGTCGACAGCGAAATACAGGAGCCGGTCAAGAGGATCCCTTCAGAAGGCAGTACAAGCCAGCCTTCTGTTGCCACTACAACTGTCGCCATCGAGGGCATGACCTGCGGCGCATGCACATCCGCGGTCGAGGGTGGTTTCAGCGGGCTGGAAGGGGTGTTGAGGTTCAACATCAGCTTGCTGGCTGAGAGAGCCGTTATCACCCACGACACCAGGAAGTTGCCAGCCGAGAAGATCTCCGAAATCATCGATGACCGGGGCTTTGATGCCAAGATTCTTTCGACCGTCTTTGAGTCCGCTGACGGCGGCGCAAACACGAGCACCGCCCACTTCAAGATCTACGGCAACCCAGATCGTGAGGCAGCTGACGCCATCGAAAAAGCCCTGTTGGCTCTTCCTGGCATCAAATCGGCGAAGCTGAGTCTTGCCAGTTCTCGGCTCACTATATCCCACCAACCTGCGGTTGCCGGTCTCCGAGTCGTGGTGGACACGATCGAGGCGGCTGGCTATAATGCGCTTGTCGCCGACAACGACGACAACAGTGCCCAGATAGAATCCCTCGCCAAGACGAGAGAGATTCAGGAATGGCGGAGAGCCTTCAAGGTCTCCCTGTCGTTTGCGATCCCCGTCTTGTTCATTGGCATGATCTTCCCCATGGCCATACCCGCTCTTGATTTCGGAGGCTTGCAGATCCTCCCAGGGCTCTTCCTGGGCGACATCATCTGTTTGTGTCTTACGATACCCATCCAGTTTGGCATTGGCAAGCGGTTCTATACTTCTGCATACAAGTCCGTGAAGCACGGGTCTCCTACCATGGATGTCTTGGTCGTTCTAGGTACCTCGTCTGCCTTTTTCTTTAGCGTCGCGGCCATGATCATCTCATTCCTGTTCCCCCCGCACTCTCGGCCCAGCACTATATTCGACACAAGCACCATGTTGATCACATTTATCACCCTTGGGCGCTTCCTCGAGAACCGCGCTAAGGGACAAACTTCAAAGGCACTTTCCCGCCTCATGTCCTTGGCACCATCCATGGCTACCATCTACGCGGACCCAATCGCGGCCGAGAAGGTTGCCGAAGGCTGGGATTCAGTCAGGGGCTCAGGCGAACCCAAGACACCTGTCCGTGACGGCAATGCCGTCGAAGAAAAAGTTATCCCCACTGAGCTCATTCAGGTCGGTGATATTGTTGTTATCCGACCTGGCGACAAGATCCCTGCCGATGGTCTCATCGTCAGAGGCGAGACTTACGTCGATGAAAGTATGGTCACTGGAGAGGCTATTCCTGTCCAAAAGAAAAAGGGTAGCAACGTCATCGGTGGCACAGTCAACGGTCATGGTCGAGTTGACTTCCGCGTGACTCGGGCTGGTCGCGATACTCAACTGAGCCAGATTGTGAAGCTCGTGCAGGATGCCCAAACCACTAGGGCCCCGATCCAGAGACTAGCGGACACCATCGCAGGGTACTTCGTTCCGATCATCCTCATGCTGGGATTCCTAACCTTCATCGTCTGGATGGTTCTGAGTCACGTCCTCAAGGATCCTCCCAAGATCTTCACGACCGAGGGGAGCGGCGGCAAACTTTTCGTATGTTTCAAGCTATGCATCTCGGTTATTGTCTTCGCATGTCCATGCGCACTAGGTTTGGCCACCCCCACCGCTGTCATGGTCGGCACCGGCGTGGGTGCTGAGAACGGCATCTTGGTCAAGGGCGGCGCAGCCTTGGAGACCACTACCAAGGTCACTCAAGTTGTCCTTGACAAGACAGGCACAATCACCTACGGAAAGATGAGCGTCGCGACTGCCAAGCTCACTTCGGTTTGGCAGGACAATGAGTGGCGTAGGCGCCTTTGGTGGACTATCGTCGGTCTCGCCGAGATGGGCAGCGAGCATCCTGTAGGTAAGGCTGTCCTGGGAGCCGCGCGGGCGGAACTAGGCCTCGATGCCGAAGGCGCCATCGATGGGAGTATCGGCGAGTTTGCTGCAGCTGTTGGCCAAGGCATAAGTGCCACTGTCCAGCCTGCTTCCAGCGCAGACCGTACGCGCTACAACGTCCTTGTTGGCAACGTTCGATTCCTCCGCGAGAACAGTGTTGAGGTGTCAGATGACGACATTGAGGCATCAGAGCAAATCAACTCGAAAGCGAACAAGTCAAAGTCCACATCTGCCGGTACCACAAATATCTTCATTGCCATCGATGGGAGATACGCCGGCCACCTATGCCTTTCCGATACTGTCAAGGAAGGCGCAACCGCTGCGATCAGCGTACTACACCGTATGGGCATCAAGACTGCTATTGTGACAGGCGATCAACGTTCTACGGCTCTGGCCGTCGCTTCGATCGTCGGCATTCCCGAGGAAGACGTCTTTGCTGGTGTCTCGCCCGATCAAAAGCAGGCCATTATCCGTCGGCTGCAAGGAAAAGGCGAGTGTGTTGCAATGGTGGGCGACGGAATCAATGATTCCCCTGCCCTTGCTACCGCTGACGTCGGTATCGCCATGGCCAGCGGTACTGATGTTGCCATGGAAGCTGCAGATGTTGTGCTGATGCGCCCGAACAACCTAATGGACATCCCCGCAGCATTGAACCTGGCGCGCACTATTTTCAGGCGTATCAAGTTCAACCTCGGGTGGGCATGCGCCTACAACCTTGTGGGTCTTCCCTTCGCCATGGGGATTTTCCTCCCGCTCGGGCTACATCTTCACCCCATGGCTGCCGGTGCTGCCATGGCCTGCAGCAGTGTCAGTGTCGTTGTCAGTTCGCTCTTGTTGAAATTCTGGAAGCGGCCACAATGGATGGATGATGCTCTTCTCTCTGAGAAAGGTGGCATCAAGAGACGCGGCCGTGGCTGGGGCCTGGACGGTGTCTTCACCAAGATCCAAGATTTCGTTGGCAAACGGACGAACAAGGACGAAGGATATGTGCCTCTGGACACATTGGAGCGGGGTGACGCCTAGGATAGCCGAATCTCTTGTATATAGTCGGCGCGAGTTGTTGAAAAGAACGGTGTACATGGAGCTGCCTGTGTTACAGGTTGTATATACGTTGTTTGGACATATGGGGGTTTTCTTGCGTTAGCGATCGCACATTTTCCTTGGATATATCCTACTAAGGCCTTTTAGATATGCCGTACATAAATCATTACGAAGAACATTCTCTTTCTTACATTTGTGTAATCAAACAGGACCTACTTATCAATGATATGACGTATTCAGATGAGTTACTATGATGGACGCTGTTTTTCTGGCGTTTGTCTGTTCTGCAAATATCCGTTCGAATACTTAGTAATTTATAGGACGCTTCAACTGGCCATATTATTCACGGCTGATCAGTCTTCATTGGATGTATACGGCATCTTCACTGATTGCTCTTATATGCGATGCTTCCTACGTAGGCTTCTTCATGTCACTCAAAGCGCAAAATTAGTCTTGAAGCATGTAAGTCGGTCGAGTCATGGCTAGCTCTTTAGTTGGACCTCACTTTCACAGCTAGGGATGGAAAGCTAAATGTGGGACAACCAAGACAGCCACCTTGGTCAGTTAATCACTATGCTCCACCGACACGAGAATCTCGACGACAATTCAGGCGCTGACGGACGGGAGATCAACATCATGAGCTTCTAGAAGCTGAGCGAGAACGCGCACACCGCCCCATCTTACCGTCCATGTACCTCCAAGTCACTCCGTGAATCCTTCTGTAGATCCCCTGCACCTGATGCGCAGGCATTGCGATCCCGCTCACAGTCGATTGCCCGCTTCCCTATTGATCCTACCACAACATCCGCTCCCCGCCCCCCAGCTTCGACCTCCGGCCAATAGTGTGGCGTTTTGACCGAGGTCCTATATTCCCCGAGACCTTCCTGTCGCTCGTGCAACCTCAACGACAGGGAAGAAGCAATAACAGCCACGTCAAGGACGTGGCGATTCGCCGACAGTTATGCCATCCCTGCCAATCTCTCCTAGCCATCTGAAGTTCTTGGGCACCCTAGTGCCCGCTGTCGCCGTGCCGCTGATCTACGTGCTGCATCTCAAGCGGCGGTTCAACCTGCTTACTACGACATGTGCCGTGGTGGGCTCCCCAGACACCGTGGTGTTGGCGAACGCTGGCGGCGCCGGACGGAACGTTGCCCGCGGCGTGGGAGACCCCGAGACTCGTGACCGCGAGATCCTACCGGCTGAGGTACGGGATGCACCGCAGCACTGGATCGTGGCGCGCGAGAGCGTGGTCTCTCGCCACGTCCCAGCCACAGACTTGAATCCCCAGTTCCTATGCCCGGAAGGTAACGGCGACGGCGACGGCGAGAGGGGCAAGGCGTTTCACGGCATGGTGGAGGCGTATATCAGCAGAAGCATGCGGCTCTTCAATCACACGCCGCAGGCTTGGTTCATGCGGCGTGCCATCACGGATCACGAGGCACGAGAGACCTTCGACGCTGAGTATCTGGACCAATGCCGTTTCGAAGTCGGCGACCGGGTGTGTGGTGTCTACGTCGTGAGCTCTCGGACCCGCCATGCAGGCGGCGAGACGGTGATCCTGAGCCTCTCGCCCCCAGGGGGGTGGACTGGGCCCGTTGTGCAGGGGAATCTTGTCGTGGGATACGAGCGAGAGGATCGGGAAGCGGTAGGGTATGGTATCAGGATCACGAACGAGACAGTGCTCTGGAGGAGGAAGTCGGAGAAGCCGGTGTTCCTCGAGGCCGCCCTGGGCCGCTGGCTACACGCCTTCATGGTGCAGTGGATGGTTGTAAAGGGGGTCGAGGAGTTGACTAACGGCAATGGTGTCAAGAGCAAGGTTTCTTGACTGTGTGTTTATATTCCCCGTTTTCTTGTTACAGCTTCCCATCTTGTGTGACTCAATTTGAGGACGCCACTCTACTCTTTCATTTACCATAACCATATCAGACAAACCCAGGCTATTCGCCCTATATAACATGGTTGTACTTTAATCAAATACTAAATCTATCTTTTTCTTGTTTTGAGTTGATACTATGCAAGGTGTCGACAAGAGCAACCGACGAGGCGCTTCAAGAGAGGCAGTCTATCGAAGCTAGCTCTCTGTTTGGAAAAGGGGGGGAGGGGCGTAATCATAGCATTGTCGTCTTCCATGGACGATAAATTTTCAATTATGAGAGTCGTACATTCTAAATTAGTTGTTGGCAAGGTAGATTCAATATAGCTTCAGCTCCAAGCCTCTCTCTTGCTTCACTACGATCAAGTGCAACGTTTGCGCAGCCGGAGTAACACAGCGAAATGTAAGTAAAATTAGTACCTTTGCCACTCTTATAATGCTTGTAAGATTTTAACTGCTAACAAGACGAACGGTCGCATTCTCAACACATGCAACCCAAATTCTTACGTGGTAGCGGGCTGGTGATCCTTGCGTTTCGAACCATAAGCCGCCTGATGTATGTCACAGACCACTGTGGTGCCTAGCTGTGGGAATAAAATTGCTCAATGATGGGAGTGATTAATATTATATACTTTTGAGGGGACCGTCTCACTACATCGGTGGCAAGGACAGAGCCTGCTGCCCAACCACTTCTACTGAAGATTCTTTTCCTTGATACAGGTATCGCACGTGGAGTGTCTTTGCAGATCCAGGCACTGGATCCCAGAAGCCTAGTATGTTGCTTTTGTTCACATTGCTGGGAATATGAAGTTGACCGTTGTCAACTAGAGCCCCCACCGCCGTTGTAACGTCGGCCACTTCCTCGAGACCCCAGGATTCACCTGTCTTGATGCCATACTTTGCGCTCAGGATAACCAGGCCGCGATTGGCGCGCTCCACCTCCTGCTTACCCTCAACATTAGCTGACATAAGAATGGTGAGATCGTCGGCCTCCGTGCGCTTCTCTTGCAGAAGGTGGAGTTGATCGCGCTCTTTGCGGTCGATGGCATTTAGTCTTCGGCGATGTGCGATGTAATCCCACACGGCGAAGCTAGCGAACGGTACCAATGTCGTCCAGAACAAAATGCGCGGGCTAACCGAAGGGCCCGATGAAATCAAAAACGGAACGCGGATCCGCTGCCCAAGACGTGACCAGTACAGGGAAAGATACAAGTTGTAAGTGCTGAATCCAACTTCAAACCCAAACTTTGAGAACTGCCCAACCTGCTTCAAGCACCTCAGGGCTATGAATCTAGCCCATATCGAGCTTGACGAAAGCTCAGCCTCGAAGCGTACGCCACGGGACTCTTTTGGCGCAGTCTTGACGGAAGAATTCTTCCTGATTGCGTTTGAGACTACTGACAGAATACTTGAATCAACACTGTATCTCAAAGAGCCGCCCAGGTAGTGTGGTTCTGCGGCGGTCGATACTGTCCACGACCCCAGACTGTGGATTCTGTCTCGTCCCATGCTACGATCCAAGCTAACAAGGCCACGATCCCTGGATCGGTCTGGTATGCATGAAGCCAGCGATCTGGAGGAGCCGCAAGTGTAGTCGAGCTCTACTCTCGGGGCTATGCGGGTGGGGAAGTCGAGGTTGAGAAGTCGTTTGCTCATCCTTGAAAACCGAGTGAAGGCACGGCACGTCTCATCAGGGCCAAATACCCAATCACCACTGTCCATCTTGCACTGAATGAATCCCTGGGATAGCGGTCGCTGCAAAGTAGCGCTGACAGTCGGTATGCCGCGGTGCCATGGACTCACGCTGGTAGCGAGCTGGCATACGCTTGTTGTATCGTCTTTAGGCAGGTTGACCTGCTTCGTTATGCCAACGGAAATCGATGGCTTTGGTAGTATACCGGCTTCGAGTTCTAGGAGAGCGCCAGCCTCATAACCATCTCTAGGCCTTTTGAAGCCATCGCTGCCAGACACCAGGCGTGGCGGAAGCTGATGCTGCAGCTTCACTGCCACTAGAGGGTGTAATTTGCCGTCGAGAAGCTGCAAAGCTCGTTCCCTTGGGGTGTGGGTAGGTATGTTTGGACGGTAGGGATCCGCTACAACAGACTCTGGCAGCGATACAAGATCTTGCAGGAATCCCGCTATGGAGCCTCGTACTGTTAGCAGAGTCCTGCGGGATGCCAGAACGCGTGACTGCAGATGCTTTCCGTCGATTTCAAGTTGCGTCAGATGAGAACCAGGTGAACCAAGCCGAAATAAGCCTGCAGTCTTGGTTACAATGGCATCGATGGAATTTCCCAACCCAGGCAACGAGGTAGATATCGACTGAGTGAGGGCGAAGTCAAGCGGTTGAAGCATAGACCCTTTCAGGCCTGGTCTCGTCGGCAGTTTCGTATTCACGGCGTCCAACCTGATGCCGAGCTCAAGACTGCCATTCTCATTGGCTACCAAATCGTCAATGAGGTACCTGAGAGCTTCGACATGCCATAGACAAAGTGGATCCAATTGAGCCGAACGCTCCAGAGCCACATCCCGACCATTAGATAGATCATGCAGAAGCCGGCGGTCAGGATCGATAAGTGTCTCAAAGGCGGTCTGTACCAGAGTGAAGTAGGCTCTGGCTGCAGTGCGCAGCTTGGGCGGGTGGCTTTCTGGGTACAACAAGACGAACAGTCGGTAATATGCCTTCCGAATGTCTTGAGCGGAAGCATCCAATGGCAAGACTAGGAGATCGTAGTAGTCATGGACCCGTCCTCGGCCCTGTAGGGCTGACGGGTCCAACCCGCCAATCATTGGACCAGCTACGGCAGCATTTGCTTCGTCATATGCACCAACGGCTTCAGATGCAATGGTCATCCGGTCAAAGGTGGATGCGCCATCATCAAAGCCGAACTCGAACTCCTTGGCGGTAGCGGCAAATTGGTCGTTCAGAGAAAAGCGCGAGGCTGTTGAACGAAGCCCATGATTTCCATAACCCTGCGGCTGCATATAGTCGTCGTTGTAGACTGCAGATGACCGGGTGGAGGAATTACGTGAGACACCCCCCGTCTGCCCCTGGCCCTGGCCCTGGTTCTGGTTTCTTCGGACTCGGCTGCTAGCGCCGTTCAGAGTGCGAGCCGACACAGCGTCTGCCATTTCTGCGTATCTCGTCGCTGGTTGAGCTGGCTGTGCTGTAGTAGGTCGTGTGGTATGGTTGTCCCGCGGTATATGATCAGTAATCGGTGGTATCAATTGTGGTCTTTGATAGAGCAGTCAGAGATTCAACTAGGATTGTGCGCCTGTCCTCGTCCATGCAACTGCTCATTCCCAAGAAAATCGTGCAGCAATGATACGACGCAGCCGACACGACGTTGTCACGTTGTTTGCACCGGTCTCTCGTTGTTGTCTGGGTGCGTTAATAGCGCTGGGTGACCGTGATATCCCCGTCTCTGACACCCTATCGGTTGGATAGTCGAGAGCGTGGCCTTGAATGCTGTGCGCCAGCCAGGGCGATAATCTTGCGGGCAACCTTCCTACTCTTAATATGGTCGACGCGATGAATTTTGGATTGAATTGACTCGTTTTTCTTCGCCGAGAAATTTCCATCTGCCCCTCATAAACAGATCGCTTCATCGCGCCGCCTCACTGAGCGCGGTCGCATTAACACATCTGCCAGTTTCATATTAAATGACAGGGATCACAACTACCCCAATCCAGTAGAAGGCCTTCACCAGCACACTTGGGTCCACTTGTCGAACAATCATCCCATCACGTTGCAGTCCAAAGGACGCGTGCCGCTCGTGCGTGAGGCTTTGAAGCCTTCAGGACTACAGTCGAAGGTGCTCACCCGATACACGTCCTCGATCGTAGAGATACCATAGTGTCGGCAGTGAGTTCGGGTTTGAGAACCGAGAAGTGATTCAGAGCCGCCGGAAGTATGCGCTGACACTTGGTGGGCGGCGACCGATGCTGGTAAGCACTAGAGAACTGCGAAAGTCTAGTCTTCGATGTATAGTGATTTCCGTTCACTTGGACTCGGTCATGGCCGAATGATATTGTAGTTGCTGAATCAAGTGCCTTATGTTCTGTGTGGGTAGCCATCTGATGACGTCCAATACATATGCGAATGCCGAGACCAAGCTCGCCCCAGGTCCCAAAGTAGAAGTAATGTGTACCTTGGTATCTGGCTCAGCCGCGTTGCCCAATAGCGCTATTGTTCTTAATGGCCGCTACAGGGCTGGCGAATGGGCGATCTGCCCGGCGGACCTGGATTAGTTACGTTGAACAGTGGCCATGCTTGTGGCTGTATCCGAGCTCCACGTGCCTCTTCAACTCCGCAATTCGCTGAATGAACTGGCGCTGTCCTGGTTGTGTCGTATCAGCCGAGAGGCCGAAACTGCTTTCACAGTAAGTTTGTTGTAGTAATCACCACGAGCCTGGCATCCCCTACATATGAACTGAGTTGAGCATGGCAAACTCCCACGAGGCAGCAAAACCATTAAGCTGGTAAGAAGAGATTACATCTCTTTAATAATCCGGGTCACCTCTGTCAAAAACGACCCAATCCTCTAAGCCTGCAAGGGTCCATGAGACAGAGAGCGCAGCATTTGGCTCTTCTCGGAAACTCAAGGGAAGACAGAGAACCCCTTGGTGGAGACGGAAGCTAAAATGCGGCCGCAAAGTCCGCCTTGGCGACCAAAGTATCTTGCAGCCAGGATTCTAAGTGGTGTACCGTACTGGTCCACTGCCCACCCCATCTTTCACTGCACTGCACGATCCTTTCGAACCCTCGTCGCCCATTGCATTACTTCGCGGTACTTGTGACTTCATCTCTGCCCTACGGACCCAACCTTATGGCCCACGGCTCTTTTCCAGGGTCAAGTATAGACGTGGCTAGGGTTGGATGCAGAGGACTTCGGGCTAGTACAGCAGCTCCTTACCTGCGTATCCATTAAGGTAGGGTATTTACAATGTGGTCAGGGTCCCAAGAACAGAGCATTGTTTTTTTCCCTCCCCTCTGGCGAGACCGCCATTTTTCAGCCCAGTGATCGTCGCAGCCATAGCAGAGCGATGCGGTATACCTACTAGAGTAACGTTTCCACGTCGATCTCAGCATCTTTGTTCGCTCCCAGACCAAACACACTCTGCACTCCTGTCTCCAAGTTCGGAGTGACCAGCACACCGGGCTTCATCAAATTTCTATCGCCACCCCTGAGGCTGCCGTAAGGGTTGAAAGTCCACTGCGTTTTCCTGTCACTTTGACTCAGCATTCTCCTGATCGGCAATCGAACTCTTGTATCCGAGCCTGGCTGTGCACCGTTGTGCTCATGAAGTAACTGCGCCTATGCTTCAGGATAGGCACGCCAAACACATACATATAATAAAATCCCAGCCCGGGCAGGCGGGCCACCTCGGCGTCAAGGGGCATCGGAGTTGTCTATCATATTCTGCCATTGTTTCTTGGATTTTTATACATTAGTAATCAGCATCCTCCGCCATGCCAATCGCAATGGCCTTGTTTCCCCACGATGCTGGCGCTGGCGGAGGCACAGCGGCCGCAAACCTGACAAAGGCAAATCAGGCGTGCTACTCCTGCCGTAAGCAGGTTGGTTGACCCCATTCTACAGACGGCACATACATATGTTCATCAAGCTAATCCACGTGGGATAGAAACGTAGATGTGACAAGGCCCTGCCTGCCTGCTCCCTCTGCACACGGATGGCGCGGCACTGTGACTGTGAGTGACACGCAGTACACAACTTGACGAGGTTTAACTTATTGACTACTGAATTTATAGACTCCGAGGTGCAGCCCGCACCCACTGCAGAAGACTTTGCCGTTCTTCAAGGGAAGTTAGCGGAATTGGAAAGCCGGCTGACCTATTCTGGCGGATCCGATGTCAGTTCCGGCCACCTCAGCCCGCCTAGCCGGTCTGCATCACATTCCGTGGCAACACCACAGCTACTTCATCAGGAGCCGTTATGGCAAGGCGGCCGCAGCAATTTCCCCGCGGCTGTATTCTTAGACTCTCGTATGTTCCAATGGAGCGGCTTTCAGCTACCTAAGCCCACAATGGAGGTTCCTCCTGTAAGTTGGCCCGTTTCCTAGTTTGTGTCTTTACCACTACTAGTATGAGAGAACGATGAACACTTCCAGGCTAGACGCTTCAACCTTCCTTCCTTCTTTCAATTGCCTTTCATGTTCTGAAATTCAACAACATGAGCAGCAAGTACATGAAACCCTTATTTTTATTGATATCGTGAGCTACTTCATGGCCGTCAGTTTCGCTAACAAATGTCTCTTACTAGTATGTATTACAATGTATTGGAAACGCAGAAGACCTGGAGCAAACTTTATCCGACTATTTTGACGATATCCATCCATGGTTCCCCATTGTCTCGCGGAAACGCATGGCTATAGGCTACCAAATATGGGGAGAGACCGGCGGCGACATAGCGCTATTACTCCTGGCCATGAAATTAATAACATCGCAGCCTCAAAGAGGCTTCACTGCGTCCGAAAACTACCTGTACACCGCCGCAAAACAATTCGTCGCATTTTTAGAGAGCGTCGGCACTACGTCACTGGCATATTTACAAGGCATTGTCTTGATAGCACTATATGAATATGGGCAAGGCGTCTACCCGGCCGCTTATATGAGTGTGGGACAAGCTGTTCGGTATGCGGAATACCTGGGATTGCCTTCTTACAAGAATAGCAGCGCTATGCTTGGCCACCCTGTACGTCTGAGCTTCCTTCCATGATTCCGCTTATAGGGCCGGAGGCGAAGTACTAATCCAAGCTATAGATGACATGGGCAGATGCCGAGGAGCGACGCCGCGTTTGGTGGGCTGTATACATAATGGATAAGTTGGTATCGATCGGCGCATATAGGCGGCCGATGTGCCCCGAACCCTCCCCCGACGAGCTCCTGCCCACGAACGACAAGGCATGGGATCTGGGTGACAGTACAAGCGCATATCAACGGCCAGTTTCGTCGCCCTTCTCCGAGCCCCAATCAACATTTGGTCGGCTTTGCCAGTCCGCTCTCCAAGCTGCAACAGCGCTGAGGCACCATACCGCACTGGAACGGCGAAAGATCAACGGCGAACGGTACGATTTCACCGAAGTGGCAGGCATGATGGAGAACGCGCATATCTTGTGTAAAGCTCTGCAGTCGGACTTTACGACAAACCCGGGGGCGTACTTCAGTCTGATCGCCGCAAGGTGTCTGAACTTTACTGCCGTGCTCAAGATCCTCGCGATGTATGCCTCTGGCGAATCACTCAGAGGCGTGGGCTCCGAGTGGAACGAGGAGGAGATGACGCTACAGTTGACTGCCGTAGACGGAACGAAGAAGACGGCGGCATTCGTGCGGGACTTTGCCGCGGACCTCTTCGCATTCATATCCTTGGACGAGGATGTGGTGAAGACGCCGCCAATGGTGTTGGACACCCTCTACCTTGCCTCCATGGTGCACCACAACGCATGGAAAGACACGGGTGATCCGATCGCCGAGTCGAGTCTGGAAACGACACGGAAGTGTCTCGTGCGCCTCAGTGGCAGGTGGAGGCTTGGCAAGGAGCTCCTGGACATGATGGAGTCTCATGAGGCACACTACATTGTAGGCTCCAACTTCTCAAGCAGTAGACTCAGTGGCATTCCGTTAGTTGTCATGAACATGTCCTAACACCAAGCACATCACCTGGCATGTTGACGGCAAACGCTGCAGGGGCCGATTTGCATTGTTTGGCGTTCTGGACAGAGAAAACAGAAGCAAAGTAGGGTAGCAGGGCAATTGGGCATATGTTGACCATATGAAGCCCCATAGAATAATATAAATCTCAAAAGTAAACATTACAAATTTAACGCCTTTTCGACCACTGCTTCCTTTACGGTACAAGTAACCATCCTGATAACTCGTGCGTTACGCGACAGAAATACTTTCCGAGGCCTTTTGGAGAAAGCTCGTAATGTCCGAGGGCCAAGCATAATTACTTATGATAGTAAAGACTTATATACCCTGCGTGGTACATGAGCTTAGTTCTATTGTTTATTCTTCATGTCATGTTCTATGCTCTATCGGGTATCCCCTCTAAATGATCGCTCAACTCTATCCGACGGCGTCTATATGCGGCGTGTGCATAGCGGCAAATCTATAAGGCGACCCAGCCAACTCTAAATAGTCTATACCCGCTCTCATCCCCTCGTCCAATCCCGCGTCGTTTCTCCAGGCTCTCGTTCCCGATGATCTTCAGCACCCGCCCTCCGTCGTCCCGGGGCAGTTCGTCAACGTTGGCAAAGGCGGCTTCGACAGTATCGCTGATGCCTTCGAACTTGCCGTTCTGCCGGACTGTCGCCATCAGCCAGAAGACACCGTTGGGGCCCAGATACTTGGCTACACAGTCGCGCAGCCAGGTTGCGTGCTCCGGGGCGTAGATGACATCTGTGGCGACGATCAGGTCGGCCTTCTTGTCCAGTGGTGCCTCGAAGGAGGGAGCGGACCAGTCCAATAGGCAGGCTTCCATCGGCGTTGAAGTCTCCGCTGCGAAGTTGGATGCAATATTGCCGCGCAAATTGTCGAGCACGGCGGGATGGTAGTCGGTGGCAACGACTCTGGCTCCCGGGAAGCCTAAGCTGGGAAGTAATTTGGCGAGTGTCAGGCCGACAAGTCCCGTCCCGGCGCCCAACTCAAGGATATGTGGCGCGCTGCCAAGGGACCTCAGCCCGAACCGCTCGGGCGAGCCGCAGAGGAGATCCGAGAAGACGATCGACGCACCCCAGCTCTGCAACCCGACATCTGTGTGGTCTGCGCCTGTGCTAATGGGCTTGTCCAGCAGGTGCACCTCGACCACGGCAGGCGGTTCGTCGCCAGATGGAGGGCCCAACTTGAACGAGAACTGACGAATAATGCCGGCGTCCTCCTCGTCCAGTTCCTCTTCCACGGCGGTACTAAAAGAGGCCAGCACATACGATGCCTGCTCGATGGCGCTTTCGCAGGCGTCCTCGGAGCTCCAGAGCGCGAGCCCTTCGGCCCGCGCGATGAAGCCGGTCAGCCAGCGCGTGGCATGGCTGCGCTCGAACGCGTCTGCGCGCAGAGCGGCTAGCGTCTCCTCCCCATCCTCGTCCTCCTCATCGCCGGACACGTAGCCAGAATCAACCAGCGGCGTAGGCGCCTCGCTGCGCGGAGTCTTGGACTTCTCGTGTACCGCGCCAAACCTCAGCGCCGACGAAAGCGGGCAGTACAGCGCATAGAGGCTGCGGAGCGCCGACGAGACGACCTCCTCTGTCAGGTCATCCAGGGAGCGCAGCGCCGGTAAAAAGGCGGTCGGGGCCTGCGGGCGACCACAGATGGAGTTCATTGCGGATTGTGCCGGGCGCGCACGCACGCAGCACGCCGAGCCTGCCTGTGTGCGCAACGGGACGGGCGAATGGCTTGAGGAATCGAGGATCCGGCGGCCGAGGTCTGCCTCCGGCATTTCAAGGGGTCGGCTTTCTTTTTTTTTTTTCCCTCTCCAGAAAAAGTGGGACCCCTAAAGACGGTCTCGGCCGGCCGGAAAACGAAGCTATCGTCAGAATCCGGAAGGAGCCGAGTCAGTCCCACGTGGGCCTGACTCGACCTTTTGACTTGACCGCTTCTCAGAGCTCGGCGGTTGTTATTATTAGAAGCTGACACAGATGACATAGGCATCTCATATATCGTCCAAGGTAAGAAACAATTGACCTTTGATGACGGCTATTTCTTCATGCTGCACCCCTTGGTCGCCACTGTCCCGCTACGCTATAAGTTGACATAAGCACATTTTCCGCTGCAGCTTACAGCTGTTCGATTTCTCAAAGTGTGGCCTCTACACCGTTGAATGTCTGGTATGAGTGATAAATAGCATACAAATCACGCTCATTTAGACGAGAAGAGATAGTTTCATCAACCATTTTGTCAGTCGAACTAACCATCCTCCAATCACACCAATCATCGCGGTTATAATCACACAAGTATCTTGACTGAACTTGTGCAGTACGAAACGTCGTAAGGTCATCATGCGATCCATTCATCAAGAATCTAGTAATGCATTCTCATTTCATCAATTGTCGTTTGTAATGGCCACCATACCCTTCATCATCACGGCTCCTATCGTACATGAAAACATAAGTTTCTGTCAATATGGTGGCATGGCACCCATGTTCCTTCCCAAAAGCTGGCAACGGCATCGGCTCGGATATCTGACTCCAGGACCTTGTCCACATGCGCGCAACAAAACAAATACCTAGCCTCGCTGAGGCTGGCTGCTGAATGCAAAGATAGTGTGCTATAAGCAAATTTTGAGGCCAAAGGGAAAATGCAAGTCTGTGAAGTAAGTGTCTGAACAAAGGAAAGACTAGAAAGGTAATATTCTCAGCGAATGACGTGGGTCAGGCAATTCTCAATCCGCATCACTCATACCATGAGTGCATAGCCCAAGCTCTTCAAAATGCGATCTTCGTCATCAACTCGTTATTTCCCGTGTAGTTTCTCCTTCAGATATACAACGGCAGCATAGCCGGAACAGCACTGCGTCGTCATGCCGTGAGCGCACCACGGACACTTGACCATGGTGGTGATTGCTGCTGATACGCCAAGAAGTTTGTCCTCCACAATCGAATCGGGCTTTGCCATGCATTCGTACACCCTAGAAGGCATATCGTGAAAGAATTTGCAACTGCAACACTCGACAAGCATCTTGGCAATGGGCTCTCCCTTGCGCTCAGGGGACATGGCGTTTTTAGTCTGCGGCAGAGAGTTTTTGTGTGAATAAATAGGGCGAAGGGCCCGCGAGGAGGACGCCTGATGGATCGGTGCCGTTCTACGTGCCTCCTGCAGGTAGGCGGCACCAGGTGAGAGTATTGAGGATTCCTGGCTGCTCGAGCTATTATTCCGCGACGCCTTGAGGGCGGAACGTCGAGGCGCGGGAGCTTCAACCTCCACTTCCAGCTCCGGGGGTGGCGAGCTGGGCAGACTGAACGATGTTGCTCCGGCTTTGTTCGGCTTTGAGTGAAGAGACTGATGCTTCAAAGGCGGCAGGAAGCTTGTGGCAGTGAGATCAATCGCCGAGTGTGCCTTCGGTGGGAGAGTCTGCCGTCGGATTGGTGGCAACTCTTCCTCATCTTCCAACTCCTCCTTCAGTACTTCACCAAAGGTCGCGGATGTCGGAGTGGCGACGAGAGATGGAGTCGAAAGTCCTTCTGGCTTGGGAGAGGTAGTTGCAGTCATGATTGACTGGCTATCCAAATCGATAGGAAGAGCCGTCCGACTCCAGGCATCATTCTGCATTTTCGTATCTCTGCTTGTTGATCGAGACTTGGACTGTCCCGGCAACTCCATGAATTTTGTACGGTGTAGTCTCCTGGAGACTCTCTCATCCCCAGCAAGTACCGAAGAAGATGGGACAGATCTAGGGATATCCGCCGAGGCACCCCGTCGCGATTGCGGTCTTGATATATCTGGAGTCGTTGCAGTTGAGGGAGATGGAGGAACGTCATCACAAGTGGACGACGATGATCTTTCAGATGTGCTTCGGCTAGGTTGGTCATCCTGGAGTATGCTGTGCGGAAATGTCTTGGCCAAGATCTTGGCCGCTGTGGATGGTACTCCCAGGCGCTCAAAGGCCGGTACATCGCTGTCAACCCCCTGCGCGGGCATGACCGGAGAGTCTTGTACCTGCTCTACCCTGACCGTAGAGACTGAGGGGTTGGTTGGTACCTCTGCCGAGGGATTACGGATGCCTGCTGGCAAGCTGCTCGTATTTTGTATCGGCAGCATCGTCCAAGCAGGCTCATCGTCCTCATCTTCTTCCGGTTCCTCATCTATCCTCGGTGAGGTTGGGAACTTGCCTTCAGCAGGCGATCGCAGGTCCAATGTTGGTGGTGCATACGATTCAGAGATGAATGTGAAGTAATCAGCGGGCTTCTCAGCTATTTCTTGAAGTTGCTGCAGATCATTGCTGCCAACAATCTGATCATCGTTATTGGTTGTTCTCGAATCCGAGCCCGAGTCCTGAGATAGTCCCAAAAACCCTTCGATCCCATCGTGGGTGACAGCTCTGCCAATCAAGCTTGGCCTGGGAGATAGACTTGAATTGGTCAAGTTCCTGCTTGTCTCAACTGGGCTGCGCTCAAGTCCCCTTGAGACTGGGCGAATGGTCGAGCTATGGGTCCCGATAGAAGCTTGGTCATCTTCATCATGGGGCGAGTATGTAACACTGAGTCTGTCCACCTCTTCTGTATACTGAGCAGCGTAGTCTTTGTCACTAGAGGGGCTCGCTACCGGCCTAGGTTTGTCGGCTACTGCCACTGGCTGCAACAGCACATCCTTATTTTGTCGATTCAGTCGAGAGGAACTCCGTAGGGGTTCTTGCCCATAATCACCGGGCCTACTGAAATGGTCGTTCCCCGGGCGTGCGCCTTGTGGCATGAATGCCTCTTGGAATTGGTGTCTGGAGTGCTCGACATAGTTCGGCGGACGACGGCGGCCCTCATTAGCTACAGGAACGTAAGAATTTTGTTCTCTGGCCCTATGGGGACGGCTTCGACGATAGCCTGACTCGTCATAATCACTACTGGAGTCTCTCATTTGAGGTTCGTGTGCCTGCGGCTTCCTACCTCGCAGAACGTCTACCTCAGGTTCTTGAACCTGTTGAGTAAGAGTGGTGCCAGTTTGCGGCTGCTCCTGATTACTAGGCGTCGCGGTGCCATTCACCATAAGATCAAGCTGCCCCGAGGTTCCAGGACGTTGATCGAGGTCATCACCTTCTTCCGAGGGCTGTGCGTATAGATACGATGGTCCCTTGAGCCTCGAAAGAAGCGAATTGCTTCGCCCATGTCCAGAGCTCGATGATTTGCGCCCCAATCCCGACCGTCGTTCTTGAGAGGACATGGAATTGCTGGATGTCGACTGAGTAGACTTGATTGACGGTGGTTTACGAGGATTCAGAAAATCCGACTCGCCTCGTACCCCGAGATTTTGCACTGGATATGACGAGCCACTCTTGATAGAGCCGTTGTCGTCCATGCTAGACCGCGTACTCGCTATCATTTTCTGAACTGCAGAGACGTTTCCATGTTGGAGCCGCAGCCCGGCCAAGAATCCTTTGCTCTTGGGCTTTGTGTTCTCGTCCAGTACCACTGGCTTCAGGAGATTCTGATGATGCGCCATGGCATCGGGTGGATAGTGACTTGTTGAGCGGTTCAAGTTCCTCTCTGATAGCTTTTGGCGTTGCTCCAATTCAGGCGCTGATAAGGACCGATCAGCAGTAGTCAGAGCCTTCGGTCTGGCAGCGCTTGGCGGAGCTGCTTTGCTGAGCCTGTTTTTCTTGGGAGCCTTGTTGTCTTTCTCTTGACGCTCTTGCTCCTTTTTCTTCTGTGCCGCCTCCCGTTTCTTCGTCTTCTTTTTGTTCTGGCCGTAGAACTCCCAGGTGGGCGACTGGCAGATAGACGACTGGTCTGACAACTCGGCGTCGTCGCCCTCAGGGTCTGAGAAAGTTACCGTTTTTGTCCGCTCTCGAGGCTCCCTCGGAGGCTCTGCAGATTGTGCGCGTTGGCGAAGCTCGGCATCCAAGCCATCTGCTCTTACAGCCAAGGCCGTGGTTGGAGAAGGTGGGATAGAGATGGAAAGCGAGGGCAGAGCCAGGCTATTGCGCGCAGCTTTCATCATCTGGTGCGGGTTCTGGTGGGTGAGCGGTGGATGAGCACTGGCACGCCGAGCTTTCAATGCCGGATTTGGTTGTGCGGAAGAAAGGGGTCTTGTATGGGAAAGTCCTGGCGGTGTGAGTGGTGGTGCTGAGCCAATGTCTTGAAGTCGCTGCATCTATAAGAGTGAAAGCCGGTGCTATTAGTGGTCGGTAGTATGGGGCTGCCAGCCAATGGGCTTGCGAGTGGGCAGGGTCGCAGCCGGGAGTGACATACCTTGAGCTTCTTCTCCAGCTCCAGCATGCGAGACAGGCTATCCGCTCTCGTTCGTACTTCGGGTCTTGCATTCCTCACCTTCGTCATATTGGCGATTACGCGGCCACTGAGAGCCAGGTGAGTCGGGAATATGTCTCGGCCTGGGGGTGGTGGAAACAAGTATCGCGGGATACTTGCGTGATCTGAGGACGGAGGAATCAAGGGCCGCGACCCCCGTAGAGGCGGTAGTACCTCGTCTGTTGCTATGCCTATGGCGAATGCTGCTTCGCCCGCTGGTATTGGGTGATGACCCCCCGGTACGTCTCAAAAGCGTAAGTGGGTGGTGGACAGGGGTGAATGTAGGAAATCGTCCAGCCCTGGTCCAAAGTGTGCGTCCGTACAGCCGAATGCTTTTTGTGTGTCTGGCTTCTGCCGGGAAGTCCAACCCAGCTTCACTGGGAGGGCAACAGATCTCGCTTCTCCCCCGCAAAATCCAACGAGACGCGGAGAATACCCAAGAGATATTGGCGGGGTGTATCTTGGACGAGGTTGATTGGCTGCGGTGCCGGTGATGAGAACGCGGGAAACAGGAAATTCTCTGATTAGATGTAGGTCATATGGGCGATGAAGCGTGAGGAAGAATCACGGACAGTGACCAACCAGCGCGGTTGGAAGATAATGACGATGGTGACAACAACTCTGGACTGGGTGGCCGAGAGTCAAGGGAAAACCTGGAAACAAGAACACACGCGAGGCAGGAGAAGCGTTTGTCATTCTTCTATGAATAAAAAAGCCAGAAACGCGGCCGTCCATCTTACCACAGGTTGGCAGGCAAGGGGGGAGGGAGAGGAGCTTGGAGCATCCGCGGCCACGACGATCAACGTGGTCCAGCCGGGGATACGCCTGCACAAGCCGATCGATGTGGTCCCAAAAGAAGGCTGGCGGAAGATGGAGAGACGCTCAAATTTCCAGTGGAAAGCGACCACTGCCTTGATTCTGTGGTGCATGGGCTTGATGCGTATCCGCCCTTGGGCTGGGCAAAGCCATCAGCACCACCTTGACTTACCGCTGCGCTTGGGACATTTCAGGTCGCCGCAGGTGTGACCGGGGTAACGGCAACCCGCATCTTCTCAGAAGCAGCCACAATGCAGCATCGGCCCCCGTCTGGAAACTCTAGCATGTACAGTACGATCTGACACCACTGTGTCAACATGGACTTGCGCGAGGCGGCTGCTGGGCTGGGAGACCGAATTCTTTCCAGTATCTGGGCAGCGAGCTACGACAACCTGAACCTGACCCTGGCCACACGTACCTGAACAGGGTGCGCCCCACTGAAGCTTGAACGGGGAACGGGAACTGGGACCCCTTGTTGCCAGTCTAGGCATAGCCTAGCGATTCTCTGGCTGGGGATCCACGATTTCCCGCCAACAGGGTCCAGTTGTAAGCGGCCCTAATGCACCCAAGAAACACCTCCAGCTGGACGTGTGCATCTTCTCGGAAGAGCTCTTGTGGTGGTCAATTGACTACATTTGGCACCGGGTATACTCGTCACGCCCTCAAAGCTATCAACGATGCATCCTTAATCGGAAAATCTAACTTCTACTGACTTTCATATCATGAGGGCCTGCTGTTGTGGCTCGGGCTCCCCGGTGGCGGTAATTGTCTACATGCAGATTTTTGTGAAACAATGCTAGCTGCACTTCCATGTTAGTCAACTCTGCCCAGAAATCCTTCCAGCCCCGCGAGTAGCTTCAAGTAAACTACTGGTTCCCCACGTTGTATGCGGAGGACTTCGTGTTCCCTAACGGCGGCCTTCGTGGCCAAGCCACCTGTGTTGAAAGCTCATTTATTAGCTGCATGCAAGCCGAAGTACGATCTCGGGTTCGATGCCTTTCTCTGCTGGGAGTACATGAGAAAGCTGTGAAATGACGATGGCGGCTTGCACCAGCTTTACCCATTCCTCACGTTTGATCGTCCTATACAATACGGCCGGGGGAGGCTGGGAACTTTGTTGGTAGCACGAACGGTGGATTTGCAACAAAGAATTGTGGAGAGTGTGGCCTTTTCTTGCACTTCCCGCTCGCAGGAGGCTGTTGGACGCTCTCGGACGGTGGCTCGGGCGGCTTAGACGTCAAGGCCTTGTCCCACCATCTGACATGCCTTTCGGGGAGTGCCATTTGACGTTTGATGCTCTGTTCTGCGGCCCCGCCAAGTTATCCGCTTCTAGAAACATTGATCAGCCCACATGGTCGAAGCGGCTCAGGGTAGAACTCGGCGCCGAGCAGCCTGACGCTCAAAATAGTATCGGGATATCTCCAATGGAACTTCGCTACAATGCACGCCACGACAACGCGCCGCTGCCGAGTCTTCCATTACCTGGCTCCTCTGACTAGAATGCAAGTTGGCCAAGATCTTCCTCGGCCATACTTTTGACGCCTGCTTGTAATCTCACAGCCACGCCAGAACGGCTGCATGACAAAAGTGCAGTTGCCACTCCAGCCACCGATTCGACGTCGAGATGAACTCGTACATCCTTGTCGGCTTGTTCCTCACCGCGGGTTCCTGTGCCAGTAGGAGAAGAAGGCGCTTCAGCACGCAGGGGCCACGGCAGACAGAGAAGCACTGCGCAAGCATAGATGGATTCCAGTGCGACAGAGGCTTGACGCCGTGAGGCGGCTAAAGTGGTTAAAATTGAAGAAGCTATTCTCCGGAAAATAGCGTTGCATCGTGGATCGGCTCGAATTGGCGATAGACCCTGAAAACCCGAGAATCCTTGGCGGACCCGGCAATGGCGTCGTGGGTGGGTTGGGTTACAGGGCCCCTGGCCTGATCGGAGCCCGGGATCAGCAAGGTAACCCCAGCCGCTCAGCATGCGAGGCAAGTTGTATATCAGAAAGCCACATGCGAGGCCGAAGTATGTGTCATAATATTGTCTCTAGATATTGCTCAACTCTGCAAAAGAGGACGCAGAGATGCGCATTATACTTCTTCGCAATCAATAGTTGAATTCGAAGCGTGTGCTGCTTCCAATCGCTGTCGATGTGCATGGCAAGGTACAGGTCAATATTGGACGTCAATTTACGGATTTAAGTGATCATTATTTCCACTCTCACTGCGTTTCAAGCAATCTATACAATCTATGACGATGTTGGGCGGATAACCGGCTTACGAGTATAGCTTGCTACATGCGTATAGAGTTGAAGTGCAAGCTGCACCCAAGCCACTGTGACAGGGGGACTCCGTGCACACAGGTCTTTGTTCTTTTCTTAGAAGCGCCTAAGGTCGTACAGTACCGCAGTGTATAAATATCTGGGTGCTAAATCTGCAAAGCGCTCCCGCATACCTAATGTACAATGCGAAGGGGCTCGCTTCCCGCTTCTATCCCCAGAAATCATCTCGTCTCAGGGTATTCCGATGCATCGCTAAGGCATGCTACTCTCCTAGTCCTGTCTGAACGCCATTGAAATATGTATTGTATGAAGCGACGACGCACTGCAACGCTTACGTCTTGCTGCCCGTGCTGCTCTCCCTTCTTGACAGCTCTTCGCTTGGCTCAATGCCATCCTCCACGTTCCCCTTTCTAGGGCTCAGATGCATCCACACCTCGTCACCCAGGCGGCGCGTAATGAGCCCGACGAGTGGCTTTCCTGAAGCATCTCTCGGCGCGTCTGGTGGTTCTGAAACCCTTCGAAGCCAGTTCATCAGACGAAGTCGAAACTCGTGCGGAATTTTGAGGCGAGCTGCCATCCATTTTTCGTCCGGTCTATATTCGTCTAGGATGCCATTTTCGGGCGAGAATACTTCGGTATCCAAGAAATGCTCATCAATCCACGAGTTACCGACCGTCTGTTCTTCCGGTAATACCATTTTTAGAAACTCCAAGGATGAATTTATGGTGATCGCAACAGCCCGCCTGGGATGAATCATGGTCTTCGCGAACCACGACATCCAATTGGGATACAGTATGGCGAAGTCAGTCTGAGATAGGTGAGTAGAACCTTTGATCGTCATCATCCAGCATTTTCCGCCAGCATCTGCGGCGTTCTTGCATAGTTCCGCAATTCCGTCGAAGTTTTCAGGCCAGTGCATGAACGCTTCGGAGCCGATGGCCAGAAGAGGCTTCGTCGTAGGTTTCTGGCAGCTGTCTCCAAGTTTTGGTATAGCTGGACCCCAAGCGTCAAGAGCAATTCCCTGGCCGACCCACGGAAAGCGGCCACCTTCGCGAGTCATCTGGACGGTTGTGGCACCACCGAAAGAGTGCCCCATAACGGTCACCTGGTTGAGATGAAGCCGTCCAAGCCAATCTGACCAGTCAATGTTGTCCAACCCTTTGGAGCTTGAACCGATGTTGCCTTCCTTACGCAAGTTGTTCTTCAAGACCAATTCGCCTTGGCCTTTGTTGATGAGCTCCAGTACTGCGTAGGCTTCTTCGATCTCCGCTAACCTCATTTCAATTTGGGCTGTACGAAGCTCAGTATCCGGGCCACGTTCGTTGTTAGGCGAAGTATCCAGCGGATTGTCCTTTGGAAAGATGTAGTCGACGAGATATGAGTTTTCCGACTTCGTATTGTCCAGAACACGACAATCTGCTAGATTCTGGCTGGGCGGTACGTTGACATAGCTCCTTGCACCACTGCCATCACGATGTTCTAAAGCTACTACGACAAATCCATTGCTTGCCATCTCTCCACAAACGGCGCTACAGCACATCCTAGATCCGCCGAGTCCATGGCTGAAGAGAATTACTGGGAAGACGGGGTTTTGGCCGCTGTCGCCTCCCAAAGTTGCTTGACTATCTTCTTGAAGAGGCGGATTTTGCTCGTGCGGTGGGCCTCCCGCAAGCTTCGCGTTCCGTAATGCTGGCAGTTTGGTGAACATAGTTGTTCCTGCAATGTAGGCAGTGACGGGCAGGCGAGGGATGCTTAGAAACTTGGCGTATCCTTTGCAAGTACGAGCCCGTGGCCGAGGTAACCATGTCGGCTTCGAAGGCGTCTTCCCATTCGATGCGTAAGAGCTGACATCGCAGGGATAGTAGATCGAGAAAAGCACCGTGTCCAGCCTGAGGGCAGGAATGTTGTCTCGTTTGATGCGTGAAAATATTCGGGGTTCTCTGACCGGCAGCTCGATCTCCATGCAGCCGACACTATACGGGCCGGAATAGGCAGGCAGGGTATGGAAAGCATGTTCCCTAAGCTGTCGCGATGGTGCAGGTGCTGGCCGAAGATGAGAAGTCTGGCTTTCCTTTGTTTCGTCCATGTCTGTCACCTTCGCCCCTTGGACCGCAACCTTGGGCTATACAAAGTGCGCAGAACAAGATCTTGAGACATGAAGAATTTTCTCTCTTCCTTAGAAACTGATGCTAGATTGCCTGGTCTCTTGCTAAGTCATCATGGATATTGGATGTAGGAACTTAGCATTAGTCCAGGGCTCCGTAAGGCCCGGAATTAACTTCCGGTGGGGGTGACGTCACTTAGAAACAATGCGAGAAGGAAATTCAAGGCCCGCGTTTCAATGCACCGAGGCAATGCGACAAAACAACGTTGATGAATCGCGATCACTGGAACTAAACCACAATCTGTACACATTCGTGACGTGCAATACTTGCCAGCATGAGGCAACTGCGTGTGTCCTGAAACATGTCACCGCGTACTTAGTTAGATGGTGCCTCATGATTGTATGCAAATCTACGTCTCTCGCCAGCTGCGCCGGATGTTACTATGTTCTTGCGAACAATGAACGCCCGAGGAAGAGCTCCCACTGCTTCATCGATCGCTACTGAGGACAGGCGCGACTCCAACGCAAGGCTACCAAGAGCAAGGAGTACCATGTAATCACCACGAACCTCAGGAGGATATTGTACCAATACGCTCGGGACCTGCGTTTCCTATGATCAGCGCCACGTGCTGGTTGCCAGGCAAGGTTCACTAAGGCGCCTACTGCCAGACACGCTAGATGCGTTCTCTATGGTCTAGCTCTAGATCGGCAATTCTAGCGTTGCGGCACCCTCGGAGTCGGAAACGTCTATTTGCAATGGTAGTCCAACTCTACCGATCGGGACCAACTGCTGTGGAAATGCCTGGTAGAATATTCTGTGGTATATATTCCTGTCGACTTTGGCATTTGAAGCCAGTCCGGCTAAACGCAGCACACTATCTTCGTACCGATACCACTCCGACTGCTACGTAGATATAGTCACCTATCCTCGTGCTCCTACACCATTCAGAAAAGTCATCATTGATGTAATCGTAGTAGGCTATAACGGACCACTACCGATTGCATGCAAGCCGTCACGAAGCATTGCGCGAGATTCTTGCTTGAGAAGCCGCTGCTCTTTACTATGTAAAGATATGGCATTGGCTGATCTGGGGTCATGCCTATCCAGGATTCGAATGCGATGCGAGAGCAATTGCACAAGGCAAACCGACAAACGAACAACTGGCAGTGGTGTTGACAGAGACAAAGCCGAGTGTCAGTCAGTCTGTTGCTCTTTTTCGGCAGGAATAATGGCGCCATGGCATGATCCTGGATGGATGCCATCACGTGATTGGCCGAAGCCCTGGTGGCCGAGTACGTCATGAACTAAATGGAACAGGTCCCTATGTGCCGATCCGATCCCGCCATTGCTTACCAAAGTGCCGTCAAAGTTGCTTCTTCCCCGGACGCAATTGTGCCTTTCCTGCTTCATCGACTCACCTGAGCTCAAGAAATCCAAAAACAGCCACCATGTTCTCCAGGGCAGCATTCAGAGCGGTTCAGCCGCTAAAGCGCGTAAGTCTTTCTCCCATTCCATCGGGATAGCACTGGCTGCTTCTCCACTGGTCCAAGCCCCCAAAGCTCCGACCTCTCAGATGAGAGAAATGGCGAAACATCCCAAGAGCCATTGTGGCTGACGGCGCGCTTCCCAGAACGTGATCTCGCGATCATATGCGACCGAGCCTCCCAAGAGCGGCACGAGCCCCGTCGTCTACGCCGCTGCCGCTGCCGCCGTCGGCGGTGCCGGCTACTACTTTTTCGCTACCCCTCAAGGCAAGAGCGCCGCACAGAAGGCCGAGAGCAAGATCTCGAGCGGCCCGGCCAATAAGGCGTTCACTGGCGGTGACCAGGGCTTCGTTTCCTTGCTCCTCGAGGATGTCGAGATCGTGAACCACAACACCAAGAAGCTCCGCTTCAAGCTGCCCGAAGATGATATGGTCTCGGGCCTGACCATTGCAAGCGCCATCTTGACCAAGTACAAGGATGCAGGTGCTGAGAAGCCTGTCCTCCGGCCGTACACCCCTACCAGCGACGAGGGTAAGCAGCTCTCTCCCACATGTTCCAAATCCAATCATCGTGAGGATGCTAAAATCAACTTTGCTAGACGACAAGGGCTACCTCGAGCTCATCGTCAAGAAGTACCCGAACGGCCCCATGTCGACACACCTTCACGACATGGTAGCGGGACAGCGACTCGAGTTCAAGGGTCCTCTGCCCAAGTACGCCTGGGAAGCCAACAAGCACGAGCACATCGCCCTGATCGCCGGCGGCACCGGCATCACACCCATGTACCAGCTTGCCCGCGCCATCTTCAAGAACCCCGAGGACAAGACCAAGGTCACCCTCGTCTTCGGCAACATTTCCGAGGAGGACATCCTGCTGAAGCGCGAGTTTGAGGACCTCGAGAACACCTACCCTCAGCGCTTCCGTGCCTTCTACGTCCTGGACAACCCGCCCAAGGAGTGGACCGGAGGAAAGGGATTCATCACCAAGGATCTGTTGAAGACCGTGCTTCCCGAGCCCAAGAGCGAGAACATCAAGGTCTTCGTGTGCGGCCCTCCCGGCCTCTACAAGGCCGTCTCCGGCGCCAAGGTCAGCCCCAAGGACCAAGGAGAGCTTACTGGTATCCTGAGCGAGCTTGGCTACTCCAAGGACCAAGTTTACAAGTTTTAAGGTAGAGGTGGGAGACTATCTAAAACCTAGAGCCTGGAGTTGGTGGGGTTTTACTTGTACGTTAGAACTAGACCCAAGCGTTTAGATGGGTTGGAACTTCACCCCAACTGTACCACTATCGCCTGCTTGTTAGATCTGTAAATGAGACTTGGCATGATCACACATTTGAAACTGTAGTCTTGGAGCGATATTCTACGTTAAGACATATAACCTTGACGAGTTTTCCGGGTATGCTTGCGCCTCAACTGCATCTTCATGCGTCCAGAGAATTGTCAACATCACGCCTCTGGGGCATCGGTGTGGATAGATGATAGAATGTATGCCATGTTCCCGCCAACGCCACAGCAATGCTATGAATGATGATGCTACAAACGAAATTAAGAGGAGACCCCTCCCTCGACGAAGAACAGGGTATCGCAAATGAAGCACTTGACGCCATAATTGCCCTATCCCTTTCCAATGCGAAAAACAAACATTGCTCAAATGCCGGCAAACGTGGTGCCCACGTAGTCTGCTCCGCACACGGCTTGTCTCTCCTGCTCGCTCAGGCCGGCACTCCACAGTCTCAATTCTTCCAGGGTCGCATTCGAGATGGCGCCATGCAGTCTCGATCGGAGAATCTCCGCGGCGTGTGCCGAGTTGTTGTTCTCGTTCTTCCCCTTCTCCTTGGACAGGATGGTGAAACGTAGGACGACCTCGGTCACGGTGACAAGGATACTGACGATGATCAGGACAATGACGATCCACGTGATGGCGCTCATCTTTGCATCGGCAACGGAATCCGAGAGGATTTCTGCAAGGTCCAGGAACACCTGGCATCGCTCGTTTAGCACCTTGGTGCGCAGGTCAATATCCAGGTACTCGCGGATAGCTGCGTAGAGTGGATGCAGTGTGGGCTCGGCATCCCAGAAGAAGTTGGGGACGTCGAGAATATTGGAAGCTATTTGGAGTTAGCGGGCATTCTTTTACTTCCTCGCCATGGCGATTGAGTGGTGCGCTTACAGAGATTGATGTCGACGCGACTCTTGAACAAGCGCCCCAGGATCTTGACAATCTCCGTTCGGGTCATGTTCAGTTCCCCGGTTAAAGCCAGCCGCTTCGGCACATGCTGCGCGTCTAGCATGGTCTCGGACATTCTTTCCTCGAAGAAGCACAGCTTGGTACTTTGGGCAATGGCGTGGCTGATGGTCAGCTTGACCATGTGGTCCGACCGCGGCAGCAGCGTGATCATGTCGTTGAAAACTCGGGGTCGCTTGATGTCAGCACTATATTCGAAATGAAATTCCTCGGTCTCAAAGTCGCTCTGGTCGAGGGGGCGTGTGACGAGTGACACCCCTGACTCGTTCTCGGCAAATGCGAGATCAGCCAAAATGTTCTTCTCCTGCGTCTCGGTAAAATTCCAGAAGACCACAACACCGTACGAGTACACAAACATCTCGGCAAAATTCTTCGCGTCGGGGGCCAGGCGATTGACGGGACTTGGGGAATGCGGTTCGTTCTGCTGCGACCTGTTCATGTCGCGACCACGATCGTCCGAGCCACGACGATGACTGCCGTTCTCCTCGCCGTGCACGTCGTAATGGTGGTAGTCGTAACCCATGTGGTCGTCTCTGCGCTCATTTCGCTCAATCTCCAGGTCGAGGATGGTCTTGCCTGTGCCGGGTGTTTTCAATATGGGCCGGCTCCTGACTCTATAGCCGTCGACGCCGGGGAGGATGGGAATGTGGTAGACGCTGTACAGGCAGTCGTCGTAGAGTTTGGTCTTCGCATCGTGTTTTTTGCGCAGGAACTCGGACGTAGACTTCATCTTGTAGGACTGCGCAGTGCAGTAGGCGGTCACTCTGGAAACCTTTTCCGTCCTCTGGCCCTTGGGCAGTCGCTCGGCATAGCTCTTCCCGCGTAGGCCACCTCTTTTCTTGAGGATGTCCATCTCCTCATCGTTTGGAGGCCCTCCATCGTCCTTGGGTGGTTCCTCAGTCTCCTCGTCAGATCCTCCAGCCTTCTCGTCCGTCTCCGGAAGCAGCACTAGCTTCTCGCTGATCTTGGTCGTCCGCGAAGGCATGATGTGTTGGCCCGTCCGTGATGCCAGGTTCGGCAGACCTCCGCCGCTGACCCTGCGCGTGCCCGCAGCTCCGCGTAGACTCTGGCCCGGAGGAAGCCGGGGCTGGCCTGACGGAATCTCCGAGGCGTATTGCAAGACATTGTCGACCGTCATGAAGCGCATAGATGGCATCCGCGAGGGCCCTCCGCCGGCCGTGCCGGGTCTCTGCGGCACTCCCCGCGATGGGGGCCGCTGTCTCGAGTCCGTGACCTGTATACATGACGCACGGATTAGACAAGCTTTCTTTTGCGAACATGTTTTGTAGCTGAAGAAGCAATGCGTACCAGGACCGAGGGGCCACGTTTGGACGAGGCCATTGGGTTTGCACTCGGTCGGGCTTCCCGAGTTCAAATACGCAGCGGCGGCGGTTGCAGCAGCAGCAGCAGATGGCAGCTCAGAGATAAGACGTTACTAGATAACGCTCATGGTCGCGTGCACCTCAGTAACGTTACAACTTGCAGCAGACGCGATGCGTGATGTGCGACCGCGAGCTCGGTAGCTGGCCGAGTGTCTCGTTGCGTTCTGCAACGGCTAAATACGAGCGCCACAGATGACCTCACCAGCCGAAGACGACTCCGTCAGACGCTGCTGTTGAATGTGGCTGCTTGGTGGGGTTGACGCCACAGCCCGAGTGAAGCTACTGGCAACTGACCACTGCCTTGACTGCAATGTTGTATGTCAGGCTGCCGTATCACTCACATTCTCCGTGTCCAAATACCGAGTTGCGTCCAATGCGGTGATGCTCTTGCTTGACCTAGCAAAACAACGTTGCGCGCGACTTCATTTCCCCTTCACATGCCATCGTAAGGCATGTATGGAGGGTCCGCGTCCCACAAGAATGGTGAATTCCTCCCAAAGACCATCGGATTTCCCCAACATGAACTACGTGTACACTTGTAGCTCTCACGTATCTAAACCCAACACAACTAGGGCATCTCTTTGTATTAGACTGGAAAGTTAAGACTCATAGGTCGGAGTTTATGAAGTTCTGTACTTTGATTTCAGTTGGTGGACCAATATGTATACGCCAATGTCTGCCTTCCTCGCGTCACTCGGGCCCAACGTTTCTTATAGCACTGTTGCTATCGTATATTAATGAACGCACCCCTTGCGCTTGAATGAGCATGGCGAATCTTCTGAGCGTTCCTCCATGAACGTTCCTTACATGGCTTGAAGATGAGCAACTTGAGGTCTTTCCAACGAAGAACGGTGCATCCGTAACCGATGTGTCACAATGCAAGGCGAGGTAGATGTTTGCTGCAATAACCCCTATCACACACCACAGTTGTGAGTAAAACTTGGGTCGTAATTGCGGTCACGATTTTCATCACGCAGCCAACGGGTGTCTTGCCCCATGTAATGATTGCGCCTTTGTTAGTTGCAGCTCGAGGCCAAGTACCAAATCACCGCATGCCAGCAAAGTGACCATGGCTTCCCTTCGATTAAAATAAACCACTATCAGCAAATCTATGTTCCTGTAAGCATATTTATCTTCTACCTCCTTGGTATCTTGCAGCACGTCAATATTCGGCACCATGGTTTACCACATGGATAACTATGACGCGGGCCAAAAGAAAGCGTATGTCATATCTGCTACGACTACAGGCTTGGTCTTCTCAACGGTGACATATGGCATGCGGCTGCAGTCAAGGCGACTTGTTACTAAGCGTCTCTATCATGAAGACTGGTGGATGCTTGCTGGATTGCTGTGCAGCTACGGAATTGCTGCCATGACATTCTGGGGTACAATATAGATCTTTTTGTTATTTTTAGAGAAAGATGCAATCAAACTTACAACATGACAGGCTTCGACTTCGGACTGGGGGAACATGAGGCAACTATACTTGCTAGGCCGGATGCGAATGAAATAATCAAAGGAGCTCTGCTGGTAAGAGATAAGCCCTTCCTTATGTATTCTGACACACGCTAACATGAGCCTTGTCAGAGCGTCTGGATTATCCAGGTATGTCGTGCTTCATTACTCTATAAATAAACGTAGTCTGGACTTGAGATAGGCTGACGCTGTCGTTTCACAAAGCGGCTCTATCCCCCGGCTCACCTACTCATCAAAACCTCCATCATTATTTTTTACGTACGCATCTTTCGAACACGATGCTTTCGACGTGTAGCATGGGCTGTATGGGTATATACCTTCCTATGGTCGATCCAAGCGCAGGTAGCATCCCTCCTAGAGTGCCAACCACCGGCATACTTCTATGACAGAAATATAGAGGGTGGATCCTGCGTTCCTGACCCTTTGATCAACATCAGCCTCACGGAAAGCGTGCTCAATACACTCGGAGACCTGGCCATATTCATCATGCCGATGCCGATGTTGAAACACCTGCACGTCAATGAGCGGAAGAGGGCCGCGCTCTACGCAATCTTTGCCGTTGGTCTGTTGTAAGGTATCGTTGATTATAGGGAAATAGGAACTGAACTAACGCCAACTAGTGTAAATATTATAAGCGTAATCCGGTGGGTTTCGCTGCTGGGCACTGCGGAAGACATTACATGTAGGTTTCTCCCTCCTGAAGTGTGGATGCCGCTTGCGAATCTCTGAACAGCCAGCCTCCCTACTGCCTCGGTATGGACATATCTTGAGGTATCAATGGCAATCACATGCGGAAATCTCCCACTTCTCGCTCCTCTTTTCGGTAGTATCTTCAAGCGGCGGAATGGGAGCTCGAACAAGAGATACAAGTACAATCAACATCCGAGCTCCAGGTCACAGCCTAAGGTGGCTCGAAACCCATCCATTCCAGGCCAACAATCAGGGATTATCTATCCCGAGGAATTTGCCCTCAATAATCGGAGCGAAGAAGCACTTGCTCAAACATACGTACACACCAGGCCACGCTCTTCCGACAGCCAACAAATTTTGGTGAGAGACGAGGTCATCGTATCTTACGAGGAGCCTCAGAGAAGTCCTTCTCCCCAGCAGGTTCCAGACCCAGGATCAAGCCGGCCGCATATTTCTACTCCAGCTCCGACATATTCCTCGAGAGCTTGGGCTTGACTGTGCTGCGTTGGAGGCATGTAGTAACTGGTGGACATATTGAATAAGATTGTGACACGGTCTGCCCAGTAGTCTAGTAATGGATTATGCCATCCAATGTACTGCCATATGTACCGCCATATTCTATTTGGAAGAAGAGTTGCTCAATCTGTTTATTCAAAACTCATGACTCCAGGGTAAAGCCGAGCAGCTCGTGTAAGTTTCCCAGTAGCGCAAGGCTCATGGGATGTTCAAGATATCATCAACATTTACCACTTGTCCAGTTGCCATAGACTTGTTGCCAGCGATACCAGTAAGAATGGAAAGCGCACCATCTACATGACTCGCCGCGCGCATATACTCGTCTGTCACAGGCTCGCCAAACAGGTCATTCAGCAGGACGGTGTCGCCGCCTCCATGAGCACCGACGCCGGCGGGAATCTCGATTTCCTGTGGCTTCTCGAACAAGGGCCGAAGCACCAACGAGGTCTTCTCAATGGAACCCTCCTTGGCCTGGTCGCCGCCCGAGTTCACGTAGCTGTTCTCCACCACCTCCAACTCGAGCCGTCCGCCCGTCCCGTTGAAATTGACGCGGAACCCTTCCCAGGGCGCATAGGCCGTCAGCGAATATGTCATGACGGCCCCGTTTTTATAGCGAATAAGCAGGTTCATGGTATCCTCGATACTGATACCATCACCGAACACACTCTGGTCCCTGTAGTATGCATCCTCATGCTCAGCATCGGCATACATCGCCTTCAACTGCTCATTCTCGTCCAGGTGCAGAGCAAAGGGGTCCTGCTTCGCGACGTTGCTCCCTCGGGCGCGGGTGTAGAACTCGGTGACACCGCGGCCCTCGGCATTCTCCCGGCCGTAGAACTTGAGGTCGCCCTGGGCGTAGACGGTGGCCGGGCGGGTCTGCAGCCAGAAGTTGACGAGGTCGAAGTGGTGAGTGCTCTTATGGACGAGCAAGCCGCCGCTGTTGCGCTTGTCGCGGTGCCAGCGGCGGAAGTAGTCGGCGCCGTGCGACGTGTTGAGCAGCCACTCGAAGTGCACACTGGTAACGGTCCCGATGGCGCCGCTGCGCAGCAGCTCGAAGACCTTGGTGTTGTGCGGCGCGTACCGGTAGTTGAAGGTCACGCGCACCTGGTTGCCCGTCCGCTGCACGGCGTCGAAGATGGACACGCACCGCGGCGCATCGATGGTCATCGGTTTCTCCGTGATCACGTTGCAGCCCAGCTCCAGCGCTCGGACGATGTACTGGTTGTGCGTGCGGTCGATGGTCGTGATGATGACCTCGTCCGGCTTGGTCTCAGCGATCATCTTGTCGAAGTCGGAGGCGGGATACGTCGGAACTTTCTCGTGACCCATAGTTTCGAGCTTGGTGTTGGCAAAGTTCATCCGGGTTTGATTTGTGTCGGCTATAGCTACAATACAGGATGTTGCGCTATAATCTTTGGCGATAGCGCTGTAGAAGAAGATGGCGCGACCGCCCGTCCCAATGAGGGCATACTTCTTCTTTGTGCCAGCCATGATGGCAGGCTCGTTGTTTGCAGATAATATGTCTGTGATAGTAGCCGTGTAAGTTGTGTATATCTTCGTGGTGTGTCGATGAAGGAATTCCCCTTTGCTCAGGCAAGGCTTGATTATGGGCGAAAGCAACCAGCTGTGATTCGCATGTGGAAGTTTATCTTGTATAAAGCTCTCCAAATTAGAAACGTCAGAAACAGAGATGTTGATACTCTGCATCGAGCCAAAGAAGTCTCTATGCTTCGGGTTGCTGTATCGGGACAGTTCACCCCGGAATTAGCGAAGTTGGGGTAATCAGTGTGGGGGAGCCTGCTACCTTCCCCGCCTTCCCCAACATTAGCTCAATAGTCCACCCATCCGGTGCTGTCAAGTCTGTTATAGATATTCCGAAATAGCAGGCTGGTATCTAGCAACGTTCAGGCTTAGTCAATACCGAGGCCCTTGACTGCAATCCGACCTCGTAGGCTCGCCAGTGTTGAGCTGCCAAGGCCACCGCCTCACAGCCTGCTTCATCGGCATGAAGTCCGATCTGCGGGAACGACATACCTTGGGTGGGTTGGTGGTAGCCTTGGTATCGGGTAAAGTGCGCCGCAACGTTGCGGCTGATGTGCCGAGACCACATTTTACGCCGTACCTACTTGGCACTTTGGCACAGGTCAGCCAAGTATGACTACCGTTCTAATGGCGTTCAATTATATCGACTTCCCTCAGCAGCACCAGGCGCTATTGCGAAGGCCCACCGAGTCCAAATCATATCGGCTACCAAGCCTTTACAACCGACAGTAGATCACATGCCAACTTAAGCTGGCTGCGTTGAACTTGCTTGCAAACTCGCTCTCTGCCACAACGTTCAAGGGGCTAATGGAGTTGGCCCAAATTGCCCCCCACAGACTTCCCCAGACTCCCCTAGCACAGTTGGGGGTTGGCCCGGTTGAATCTGGGGTTTGCCTGCGGGGTCTCTACGTCCATAGCCGGCTAAATCAACTTGGCATCTCTAGTTTCACCAATCGTAGCTGTTACTGACCTTCCCCCTTGTCGAAACATAGCATGATGCTGTCGATCCTAGGGTGAGCGTCGGCTGACCTCTCCTAACCGTGATTACGTCTCTACCAGAAGCCGAAAACTCCAGGTCGGTCAACTCCCGACGGATCTCTGGTCTCTCTTTGACACGTACTCATGGTCCCCACCCCCGTCCGTAGGCTGGAATCTTCAAGGGCCTGAAGGAAGAGCCTATTGACGGAATCTTGATGTTCCACCAATGAGTCCTTGCGTTGCTAGGTTCTCTGAATGATTTCCTTGGTATCAGTCAACACCTGGCTTTGGTAGCAGCTTGCCATTGTGCTCTGCTGGGATTACGAGGCTATTGTACCACAGTACTGCTAGAGGTAGCGTTCTGACTTGACTGCTCGCCTGTCCCGAACGTTCTCTGTTGGCGTTCCGTGTATCCACAAAACAATTGGCATTGCAACTGAATTATTCAAGTCTGACGTATGTTAGTAGTGGTAGGGATATCTTAGTCCTTTCGGAAGTGCTTGCGCACGCGACTCTGCTCTACACCGATAAGCCGGCTATCTGGTTCCTATAACTTGCCGTGTTACCCCCCACACCTCCCACAGATGGGACGAGCCTCATCCTGTCCTATAGTCTTTCCTCATCAGCGACGTCTCCTGTTTGGCGGTCCCAAGCAACCAAATCCACCATGGCTGACAACAGGTCCGGTGCTGACGTTATCGAGCCTGTCCCGGCAGCCCAGGCTCCTAATGTTCAAGGCGGCGAAAAAGCTGCTCAATTCTTAGCTCAGCATGGTGAAATTACGTTTACCTATGAAGAGGAGAGACATGTGCTCAGGCGGATAGACCTGCGGATTCTCCCCTTAATGCTAGGCGCATACTTTTTTCAACAACTTGACAAAAGCGCACTGTCGTATACCTCCATTTTCGGACTAATTAGTGATGCAAACCTTCAAGGGCCCGAGTATAGTTTGCTCGGTAAGTTCTATCCCTATCAGAATTCCTAATTGACAGTTACATATCCGTAGCCCGGCGCTATTGGCTCAGGAATGCTAATAGGCCTCCTTTCCAGGCTCCATCTTGTACGTCGCTCAGCTCGTCTGTCAGCCATTGGCTGCGTTTCTTCTCGTCAAATTCCCGTATGGAAAAGTGATCGGTATTGCGGTCCTTGGTTGGGGGTCGTGTGCCGCCCTCACAGCTGCTTGTACCAACTTCCGCTCACTAATGGCTCTTCGATTCCTTCTGGGGACCTTTGAGTCCATGATCGCCCCATCTCTGCTCGCTGTCACCCAAATGTGGTGGAGACGCTCTGAGCAAACATTGAGGACATCATACTGGAATGCAATGAATGGAGTCACATTTATTGTCGGTTCCTTGATTACCTATGGTCTGGGGCACATTGAGAGCACCCGCATTTACAAGTACCAGACGATCTTCATCTTCTGTGGGTGCTTGACTGTGCTTTTCGGTCTCGCATTCATCCTCATGATGCCCGATTCTCCAATGGAAGCCAAGTATCTTAGTGAGAGGGAGAAGTTGATCGCAACGGAGCGTGTAAGAGCCAATCAGATGGGGGTTGCCAGTCGCAAATGGCGGTGGGATCACGTCCTTGAGACCCTGACCGACCTCAAGACTTGGATGTGGTTTATATTGATTGTCTCAATCTCGTAAGTACATATAACCGATCTATCAGATAGAGTACTACCGTGAAAGTACGGCTGCTAACTATCAACGAAGAATCCCTAGCGGCGGATTTAGCTCTTTTGGGAGCCTGATTATCAAGGACTTTGGATACCAGAGCTTCGACGCGATTCTCTTTCAGCTCCCCACTGGCGCTGTCCAGATCGTTACGATTACGGGTGCTGCGTGGATAGCCACAAGATACAGCCGAAAGGGGCTTACCATCACCGGCCTCTCTCTTCTGCCTCTAGCAGGTGCAATCATGATGCTGACCGTGCCTCGGTCACAGAAGGGTGTACTCCTTTTTGGATACTATCTCGTTCAGTGTCTTGGTGCCATCACGCCAATGATCTATACCTGGAGCGCGCAAAACACTGCCGGGGACACGAAGAAGAAGACCACTTCTGCGATTATGTTCATGGGTATGTGTACAGGCAATATCATCGGCCCGCTCTTGTATAATGTCAATGATGCGCCGACTTATCGTCCTGGCCTTATCTCTAACCTCATTATGTTCGCCCTTGTTGGAGCTATGGGACTGTAAGTATTATACGCCTGACTCATCTCCCTTCAAGCGCCAATGCTAATTTCTGTAACAGACTCATCCCAATGTACCTGATGTTCTTGAACCGAAAGCACGCGAAAGCGCGCGAGCAACTGGGTAGATCGGCAGATATTGTAGATGAGTCTATGCTGAGGAAGAAGGATGTGGCTGGCGGCAAGCAGGTGGATATCGAACAGAACGAGCATGCCCAACAGCAAAGCCTCGAGGACGATAAAGGCCTGCACGATGTTACAGACCTCAAGAACGAGAACTTCATCTATGTCATCTAGGGTGATTTTCTCGTATTCGGATATGGATCATTGGAATATGTATTGAATCATGATACTGGCATAGGAGAGCACAATTGATCTGATCACGCAAGAATGTCTCAACACTTTATAAGCAAGTTCTTTCGTCGTGGTTTCCTGCGTACTTTTTTTATGGGAAGTCTCGCCCTTGATAATAATTTTGAAAATCATATGGTGAGTCTGTTATCGCGAGGTGCTAATGTTACAAGATAGCATAAGAAACAAATAGCACACCACTGCCGAACTTGTCCCATGAAGCTCTCGATATAATCCTCAAGCTCTTTCTAAGGTTATGTCTGAGCAATTGCGCTGCCTTGCATCAAGGCTGTGACTTCGGAGTTCCCTTCGGACCACGCAGGGATAAATTTCTGCTTCGTGATTCTCCATGGGTTTTCCCCCTTGGCTTCCAACTCTGGTAAGCGCACCAGCTCGTATTCTTGTTTACCCTTTAAGAGAGTCAGTATTAAACAAAGGCTCAATGTGTCTGTGGATGATTGACTTACTCCTGTATGCATATTTGGCCCACCATCGGCAGCCTCCCGCACCATATGGCCGTTGCCATTGGAAATTGCAGTGCATTTATCTGGTCTGCCCCTCGACTTGGCTCCAGGCTGAGGTAACTGCACCAGTATTCCCCTAAACTACTTCAGTACTTATCATTGCAAGTAATGTGCTTGTGTGAGTAAGGTCTGCCTTACGCATTGACGTGTTGGCTCGCGTCGAGAGTCTTGACAATCTTGATTGCCTCGGCAGCCCACTCCTTGTTAGTCGTTTTCAAAGGCTCGCCACCAAACATGACTGTGTAATCAATGATGCACTCTGGAGCATAAACCTCATCTTTCAGGCCTTTCTCATCACGGTGATCATAAAATAGAACCTGGGAAAATGATCAGCTGGAACGTTGGCAGACTAAGGTATCAGCCCTTATCAAGAATAACGCACCTGTTTTAAGAGTACATCCTCAACGTTTGCCCGGTCGAGAAGGTATGTCTGGATGTCGTAGGATGAAGCCATTGTCAAGTGTGATGCGTCAAACTCGTGCTGTTCGGTCTTTGCTTGTTGTTACCATCCGATCCCGGGTCTTGTCAATTGCGTACAGCACATTTATAGCCGCGGGATTTAGAATTAAAGACGCTCAGTAATAGGTATGGGCAAAGTCAATTTTCCTTTCTTAGTCCGTGTCGTCCATGACCATCCGTTTTAACGCCGTGTAAATGCGGGCCCACCGGCAGACCCGCCCCGGCGGCCGTTGGATACTCCGCAGCAAATTCCGGGTGCAAACTCCGGTTTCGAAGGTTCAATTGGCGCAGTCCTGGGCTTAACAATCACTTCGGACTGATCCGTGACCGCAAGAGCCGTGATGAGTTACCTGACGCGGAATTCGGATTCATGACGGAATTTGGTCGGATGGTCGCTTACGAATCATCCAAGCAGCGGGGTTTACGGTGGTCGAGATGCTTCGTTGGCTTGCTTTTTAAGTTGCAACCCCAGCTTCACGCATAACCATAACTTCAAACATAAGTATAACTTGAACGTGAACCATCAGCTCGAAGTCACCCACAACTCACTAAACACTTCGCGCAACTGACTACCATCGAGATGGCCCCTCACGGCACTGTCCTTCTCACCGGCGGTACGGGTAAGGTGGCCCGTTTCATTGCGCCGCTTCTACACGAAGCTTCAATTCCCGTACGCATTGCTACACGCTCAGGCAGCACACTTGATCCTACAAAGTATCAAGGCGTTACTTTCGACTGGTCTGACTCTTCAACATGGGAGCCGGCTTTTGCCAATATCTCAAGTCCGGTTTCTGCAGTATGGATCGTGATACCTGATATGTCTAGCCCGGCACATGTAGCACGAGAATTCGTCGATCTAGCCCGAAAGAAGGGTGTCAATAGATTTGTTCTACTCAGTGCGAGTGCGATCGAAATTGGGGGATTCGGCCCAGGGCATCTACATCAGTACTTGAAAGAACTTGGAGAGAAAGAGAATCTCGAATGGGCAGTGATACGACCAACGTGGTTTCAAGGTTGGTCAACTCACTTTCAACTCCATAACCATAGATACCAGAAGCCACTCAAATTAAGTACAAGTGCTAATCGGAACCCAAGAGAACTTCGTAGAGCATGAAAATCATGTCCGATCCATCAAGGAGGATAACAAGATATACTCAGCAACGGGTCCAGGAAGGGTTCCTTGGGTTTCTTGCCGCGACATAGCTGCTGTGGCATTTCATGCACTTACAGCCAACGAATTACTAGACCGAGACTTGCTAGTTTTAGGAGACAAGCTTTACACTTCTACTGATGTCAGTGGGCTCCTTTGCTCCAAACCTGGTGTTGCTTGCTGACATGCCTGTAGCTCGCCTCCATCTTCACTCAAGTCCTAGGTAGAGAGATTGTGTATCAAGAGCTCTCGACAGATGAGTTAGCGAAACGTCACGAGTCCTTTGGGCAGCCAAAGGAGTTCGCCAAGTTTTTGGGCATTCTGGACACGGGCATTAAAAACGGAGCTGAAGACCGAGTGAACGATGTCATCTTCCGGGTCACAGGTAGGAAGCCCATCAGCTTCTTCGATTTTGTTGAAGAAAACAAAGACACCTGGATGTAGCTTCTCTTATTTCAAACCATGAGATGTTGCGATATCATATGTCTTCATGGTGGTCATCTATCATCGTAGATGTGGTTAGATGCGTTATTTGGCCCGCTGGTCGGAGCGAACAATTAACGTTAATTGATTTGTAAATAACATGAAAAGTTGTCTCCGGTCACGAATGAGACCCAATCCTTAGACTCGGATAAGCCGCGGGCAGATTATTATGCAACTCAAGTAAAATCATCTAACTCACCTCGAGATCTCTGAACATGGAACTCGGCTATGAAAGACGGAGATAATATTACTACCAATGTGTAGACCCGTTAAATGATACGTATTTTGACATGTTTCACCAATGAAATGCACATAGCTGAAGTTCTGCTTTGTAAATTGCTAGTATTCAGATTTCTAAGCATGAAATTACTCCATACTTCTTGAATCTGGTATAGGACGTCCATCGGATCCTTGGAAGATGCTGAGCACATATGTGAGAAAAGTTGAAGGTCAATATGACGGCTTGTGTGTATTACATACTGAACATTCCATCTTCCGGCGAAAGAATACCTCACTACACCACCTTAGGTCACAGCCCGATGAGTCGAGGCGACTCATGCAACCATGACATCGCGTTCAAGAAAGTATTGATCGTCCAGTAACCATATGGCTCAATGTAAGGTTGTATCAACGTTACGGCATAGGGAACCGCAACCGATGAAAGGAAGCTGAGAGACCAAAGACCGACCCAGCCCCAAACTGCCAGGCGACGGAAGCCAGGAAACTTCCAAGTAGAAGCCGGCAGCGCCATAGCTAGGAAAGCAAGCCATGTTCGTCTTTCGATATCTTCTAAGTAGTTTTTCGTATAGTGAAACAGCTTGGATAAGTCCGGAAGGTGTGGAAGGTGAATGTTGTTGTCCGGGGTGAGCCAGAAACCAATGCCAAATACAACCGTAGCCGCCATAGCCGAGAGGAGGCTGATCCAAAACCATGACCAACTGTCGCTAATCCGCTTCAAATTGTGGTGTTTCAACCTGCTCACGAAGGCAAGTAAAGGGAGACCTATGGTGTCTCTAGCCTCCCGGATGGCATTCGGATCCTGGTAAATGATGCCCTGGTAGTACACAACGACGCATTTTCCGATCTCAACAATACGTTGGCCCTCACCCTTCTCAATCTCTTCTTGGGTGACACGATTTCTCCTGTGGCGTCCTACCCGGTCGGCTATGAAGGAGTTGTCACGTACCACCGGCTTGCCAACGTTGACAGGCACGTAACGCGTTACCATGGGCCAGACGGCAAACTTGACCTTGGCCCCGCGAAGTCGGTAGTGTGAGGCGATCCTAAACTCCTTTTTCAGTTCTGCGATGTCCTCCTTGGAGTAACTAGGGTCATGCTCAGCGTCGGCTATCCTCGCTTTCTCTTGTGCCTCCCACACTTTCCCATCAATTTCAGCCTTCTCTTTAGACTCTCTGTACAGCTCATAGTCTGCTTGTCCTTCAATTGGATAGTCCATACGAGCTCCAGGCGTTGCCGACAGTATGTGGTATATAGTTGGTGAACGCCGCATGAAGACGTGGTAGAAGCCAGCATGCGCGAGAATCTTACGAAGCTCTCCGACCATATCGATCGGATTACTTTCTCCTTGGGCTGGATCCATCGTGTGTTGCTGGGTAAGATTAAAGAGTGGCATAAATATATGCGCTGAAGACACGGCTAAAGCATCAATGGCACTCCAAAATCTTCCTGGAAGGGCTTCTGGGTTCCTTGGTGTCTTCTCCAACATCGCATTAATGTATTCTGATCGAGCCTTCGTTCTGGCGTAGCCTATTCATGAAATTCATTAGTCGGTCACAGGAAAGTTCCTAACGCCATGTAGGCTTACCATCAGCCCCAAGTAGCTGCGCATCTTGCTCATCAAGCAGTCTCCTCTGCTCATCAGTCATCCCAAATAGCAACTCTGTGTAGATCTTTTTCTCTATGATCTGAGCCAGAATGCCCACGACGAGCCACTTTCTGTTCCTCTTGTCGTTGAGTATCTGGCTATACCCACCAAACTGGTGGTCCTCATGGACCACGAGGTTTGCGTATTGTACGAATTGCGGACTGAGATCTTGTAGCCATGCCTCATCCTCAATCCTGGTTCTTAGGCCATGCATAGCGAAGTACTTCTCTGCCCATTTCACTGCAAGCTCATAGACTTGTCGATTGTACGTCGCCATGTCGATGTCAGTCATATTCGCGTATGCGCTGGTATCTATTGAGATCCGATTGAGTTGCGAGGGGCCAATTTTGAGTCTCTGGGAGGACCTTGATGATGTCCTTGATCCTGCTGAGCCCGAACTACCTGGCCCGATTGTCTTTTCGATCTTCCCGTGCCGTGCATTTCTCTTGCTGGTATCGGAATCATCCTCGGAATCTCCCTCGTAGTACCAGTTATCCGGGTTGTAGACGTCATGCATCGTTAATGGCTTGACGCCAAGCCTGACGGCTCTCCGTGCATACCAAGGTATCGACCTAGGAGGAAGTGGCCATATGAAATCTTCAATCGCATACCAGTATTTCTGTAACTGATCTGTCCAGGTACTGCCTTCATCCTCGCGGTGTATCTTTCCGCACCGAAGGCAGTGAAGGGTAGTACAGTTGTCGCACCGGAAGTCCGACCTAGCTGGATCCTTCCTGTACTTTTTGTTCCTCCTTTCGGTCAAATCTTTGTGACAACCCCAACACCAGAACTTTGAAGGACATAGCTTCTTTGGAGGCAGATCTGTAGCCCTGTCGCATGTTGAGCAAGGCATGTCGGCTTCAGGTCCTCCACAGGAGATGCAGAGATTAGTCTTGCACTCTTGGCAGATGTAAATCTTCTCCTTCGAGTTTTTCTTGGCCCTTAGAAGTGCCTTGTCCACGGGTGCCGAACATACACCGCATCCGGAAGGGAGGCGGTGGAAAGACTCTCCCACTGACGGCAAAGTTTGCTTGCAGTCCAAGCATGTGCGACACTTTTGGTCAATATCACATTCCGCCGAATCTTTCCCGGATCGACTATTCCATGGTGGAATATGGTTTGGAAAGTGACTGTTAATTTCTGTCCAAAAGGCCCCCGCCTCTGGTGTTTCGGCGAAGTATCGCTCATACTTAGCAATAAGCAAGGCTTCAGGGTCCCCCTGCTGGTGACAATCCAGTTTTCCATCCCTTATCCTCTTTTTGAGCCTACGCCATTCCTCCCAAGCGTCGGACCGTCTCTTCTGTAGCCACTCGAGGTAGTCTTCTTTGGCCGCGCCCTCATTCGCACCAAAGGTGTTGTACACGTCGGTCTTGAGATCTCCCCTATATTCTTGGCGCTTCACCAGGTCACCCCGGCGCTGTGCTTGCCATTCCCCCTGAAGTGTCTCCCAGACATCCCAGTGTGCAAAGCTCCTCTTGGCCATAGTAATGACGGAACTGATTTGCGTGACAGAGTGGGTGGCAGTGAAAAATCAGAAGAAGGACGCACCGCGGAATATCAAAGACTTTTCATTGATATAAATGACGAGAAATATTTTGATGCCTCTAATCTGTCAAGTCATGAAAACGCGGTCATATATGATTTTAACAAAGACGCTCCGTGAATTCCTGGGTGCCCATTGGCCGTTTCCGTCTCGGGATAACGAGTTCGGTGAGACAATGCCGGTGGCGGTGCCTGCACATTCCACAGGTGCAAGCCAAGATTCCACCTTTGCAAACAAAAGAGAACAGGCATCGAAAACGTTGGAAACTAGAACTTGAAACGTTCCGCATTTCTATTATCTTCAGTATAGGACTATCGTACAAAATGCCTCATCATTAGTTGTAAATAAACGTTTTCTTATTAAGTAGTGTAACTGAATACAGGACATCTTTCTTGAATTCCAGTCGAGCACCGCAAGACCAAAGCGATTGCCAGGTATCATTGAACATATAAGCATCCCCATTTAGTAAAGCCCTCCTCTTATCGTTGCGAATTGCGCTTGACACGATGGTGGTCAGTCATCGAGTTTCACTGTGCAGGCGGCTGTACGGAGTGTCCATGTGTTTCGTAGGGTCCCTGACCAGGCACCGGAGGGTGCTGTGCAGTTGTCTGCTGATATGAGTTTCCGGTCGGTTGAGCCGACAGAGGACTAGGCGCCTGCTGAGGGTATTGATGTTGAGCAACACCGTATGCCTGTTGAGGGGGAGTTGGCTGGGCAGCGTAGCCTGACTGGGGCTGCTGCGCATAGCCCTGGGGAGCCGTGTACTGTTGAGGGTATTGTTGCTGAGGCTGGACTTGGGCTTGCGCGTGGACCTTCTCACCAGCCACGGGTGCCGGCACAGGTGCTGCAGATGCATTATGGGCCCCAGAGTGGACAGGCATGCAGTGTAGCCCAGCCTTGCGATGACGATGGAGCATCACGCCGTGAATAGCAAGGGACACGATGAACATGATGCTATCGGAGTTAGATAGTCCATAATCACAGTATCATCTCAGTGAAGTCTTACAATTCTAAACCTCCAACTCCCGCAGCGGCTGCCATGCAGGCGCCATAGATCTTGTCGGCACTGCTGAGACGTACACGGTAGCAGCCATCGGAATAGCAGACGACTCCAGACAGGTAAGGAGCAACTTCGGCAGCCAGCACGGCGAACGAGATAAGCCAGAAGAGGACCAGGAAAATATCCAAAGAGAGGATCGCCCAGTAGTTGTACAAGGAGGGCGCACCGAATACAGCGATCAGGTGGTAGACGAGGGCTATGATGGTTGCTATGGCCTGTATACAGTCAGTAGAGGAATAATCGTTAGTGATCCGTCTTACACACAGTGAAAAGTGTCAAGCAATCTCCTGAGAATACAAGGAAGTAGACCCCGAAGGCGGAGAGACCGAGCACAACGACACCCAGTACTAGTTGGATAATCCGCACTGCGATGAAACCCTTTGGGAAGATCGGGATATGCTCTTTCCCAGCCGCACGCTGGCTGGAGTATTTGGCCGGAGAGGTCATGGCAACAGTCTGCTACTGAAACTTGTCTGGTTGGGCAAGACCTTCAGGACTTCTTTATGGGAACTAGGTATCCAGCAAGACCGTAGCAATGAGAAGGGGACTGAGTAGAAGACTAGGAACCATGTGTGGACGCGAAGCGCGGCGGGTCTTCTGGGGGAAGACATTATACATAAATGCCAGCAAGCGGAAACCGAGCATTGGACGCTAATGTGACTCCATGTACAGGCTCTGAGACCTGACAGAACGCTAGGAGCGACGATCTGCTTCAATACGCGAGGACAAGGCAGACTGAAGCCCTCTTGGCAGGGGTCCAGAAGTGCCGACATCCTTGAGGCGTGTGATGTGTCAGTGCCATATCAGCCCTGACTACATCTTGGACGCAGTCTCCCTGATCCTAGCCAAGACAGACCTAGTATGGGGAGCCACGGGTGAAGCCATAGCTGCCTATTGGCTTCTCTGGGCCTGGAAAGTAATCCACCGAGGACAGCACGGGCCAGAACCGCAGTGAGGCAGGTAGCCATCGGGGACGGAAATCCGCCTTCAAACATCAAAACCTTGAGGCCGAGGGCGGTGATTCGCAGCAGCACGCGAGAGCGCATGGACGCGAGTGCCCAATATTACTTGGTGCGGCGGCAAGCTCAATGTTCATCTTGCTGTTGGTTAGGCACGGTTTGGTTGGCTGCAGGAAATAAAGAGGAGACTCATGGCTCGAAGCGGCTGAAGCTTGGTGAGACTTAGAGTTGAGACCCCCCTGTCAGCTGAATAGTAGCCAGTGGAGTCGACGAAGCAATGTTTCCCATTGGTGTGCTGCTGGGCTCCCGCGATATCTCTTGGCGGAATAACACCGCTTTCTCCAGGGCGTCTTGAGCTCTTCACCATGGTTCTTCGGAACCTCCCGTAGATGTGATAGGTCGAGGATACTCCAATATAAGACAACACCTGTAGAATCAGGCTTATTTGCACTCTCCGAGCAGCCTGCTTGTGGCTTTTGTCTAGACCTCTGGGTCGTGATTTGATCTAGAAAAAGCAGTGACACGGACTCTTCCGCGCCTGGCAATCTGTCATACACGTCAGCTTGTCTGATCACTGGTCTGATAAATTACCAATACTCTCATTCAGGCTTCTCCAGGCAATAAGGAGCGATGATGGGTGTCTAAGCCTAATCCGGAGTTGTGTGCTGGCTCAGGCGGACTAAACTCAGACCTATGGGCACGAGGGAACCGTGATCAGTAGTCTTGTCAAAATGCGGGTTAGTTTCCGCGATGCCTTCGTCCCGGAAGGTGGCTGCATGACTGGTGATCGAATGCATTGCCAAGAGGCACTGCCAAGAGAAGACGTTAGGAGGGCGATGTCGGTAGCGCTGAAGTCTTCAATGAGGATGTGGAGTAAAGCATGTTGAAATAGAGCCAATATCAGGTTTCGCTCTTGGCGCGGCTGTCGGAGCGCCTCTGGATTAAGTGGTTCACTCTTATGTCTTATACGCGATACTTTCAGCCAGGTTACCATCCCGCCCATGCACTCATGAGGTGCTGGGAACACAGCCAACCTCGACAGTTTGAGACTGAGGCTACAAACCGCTTTACAATATGCTTGGTCCTGCCGCTTTGCGGGCGTGATTTCTTCATCGTTCCTCTTACTGACGGAGAAACGACAACGCATGGGCAGGCTCTCATAATTGGGTTGACGAACCCACGCCAAAATTGTACATTCATTTTCCTCATGTTTGAAATTTAACACATCAAATACTGAACACAGACAAGCCACAGTCAGCGCAGGGTCCATTATAGTTCTTACGATTGTCCATTAATCCAGGAATTGTTCATGCCAGGTAATACTACCTGCAGTAAGGGCATGTTTTATGATACATATGCCGTCGTTCATTGTTGTTTCTGTGGCACCATCAAATCCATCTCCGTCGTTCCTACAACCGCCAATGCTCAACTCAGTTCTGGGGGACGAATTCGGAGAGTCCAGCCGGAAAGATGCCATTGGCCACCACATCGCTCTACCTTTCGTCATACCAAAGCAGCTACGCCTTCGCCCATATTTTTGAACCCCAGTCTATTGGCCCAAGGGGTGCAAATTACGTAAAGAGTAGTAGTAGAGAAAGAAATGAAGGCTTTCGCTGCTGAGTGTGCACCATACGCGATCCACGCCGCAGATGAATAACCCTCAGTAGATAATGAACAGAGATTGTCCATTTCAAGCCGAGAGGTGAGAAATAATTGTGTAGTTGTCGGTTTTGCTTGCCCCTTAAGGGTACCGATAATGAAATACTCCACGCAAGAGGGGTATCAAGAGTGTCGCAACTCAAGTTGAAAGAAATCTTTTTGCTTGAAAAAGGCCGTGAACTCGTGAATAGGACATATTAGCAGAGCTGCCATGGCCGGCATGATTAGGAGAAGTCATCTCCGTCATTCATAACCATGCGCCCGATGCGTTCAACCAGGTCCTTGGTCTCACGGGCGATTTCGAAAGCGATGGGAGGCAGTGTCTGCGTCCACATCCGCCACTCTCGGTCGCCAGCACCAAGGCCGCGCGATGCCAGATCTTGACCATGTGCGCCAGCTTCCAGCAGGCGTTGTTGGCAAGAATTGAGACGGCCAACCATATCTCCGCCACTAGAAGTGCCTTCGGTCTCGAGGACTATCTTTCCCACAATCTCTGCGATTTGAGTGATCTCTTCGTTAATCTGTGTGATAGGGGCATCTCCACGTATCGAGGCAACTAAGCCCTGGATGGTTTCGACGAGCTGGTCAGACTGGTTGTCCATGTAGATCTTGAGGTCCTCCATGGTGATGTCAGGGCGCTGGGCACCGTATCCGTTGGGGGCAGGGGGGAGGCTTTTGTCTGTGTAGACCCCATTGGTCGGCATATTGCGCGGCATTGATCTCCTGCTGCTGTACTGGTCCACTGACTCTCGAGGAGAGTTGACCGGGCTATAAGCTGATGACTGCGTACTGTCGCGGGAGCCAAGGCCGTTGAATCGGGGAGGAGGAACGAGGGGAGACTGGTTGTCCTGCGAAAGGGGCGGCGGGTAGGCGTCTTGCTTGCTAGTGCGGTTGGAGAAGAACCCTGTCGAGTCGACAGGTGTTATTGTGCCATCGTCGTCGTCTTCCAACTCGCCAGCAGGCGTGGCACGTATTTTGACGGTTCTTAGCAGCTCAACGAGCGCGGCGACAAGGTGAGAAGCTGCGGCATCGAGCAGAGAAACGGGCGAAATGCCAGCGGCCGAGGCGAAGTTCTTCGAGGCCGTGATAAGATTGTTGGCCGTAGCCGAAACTCGGCTCTTCATCTTCTGCTGCTGCTGAACAGTGTCCTCATCCCGGGGCGCCGATTCGTCGATATCCTTACTGATGCGGCGAACAGCGACCACGACTGCTTTCATAGAGTCAATCACCTTCTCTGGATCTTCGGTTCGCGCCTTCTTCAAAAGCTCGTCAATAGCGATCTGAAACTTGGTGACGTGGACGTCCTTCACGAGACCGTTCTCCTCCGTAAAGCCCTTCTCGCGAACGTATTTGGCGGCATCTTGGTCAATAGTGAGGCCAAGTGAAGAAGCTCGGAGGTTGCGCAACTGCGTCTTGGTTCGAGCATAACGGTTTCTCCAGTCTCGAACCTCCTGTTCGAGCGAATCAACGGTCTTTTGCAGCTCGGCTTGCTTTTCCCAGGCAGGGCTGTGCTGTTGCGAGAGCACCTTCATCTCCTGCAGAAATTGTTGGGCCTCTTGTCGTACCTCGTCGGTAACTCGCTGCTGTTCCTCCAGGGCCATCCGAAGGTCCTCGTTTTCTCGCCGCAGTTCCGGATCTGCTGCTTGATTTCGGCTTGCGTTGCCCAGGTCCCTGCTGGCCTGTTGTGCCTCTTCTATTTGCTGCCGCAGCTGGCGCTCCTCGGCCTCGTGCTCGTCTCGCATCCGGTCAAGCTCATCACGGAGATTGTCGTTCAAGCCTCTCGCTTCAGACAACTGACTCTCCATGTCGGCTCGTAAATCATCCCATTGCTTCCTCTCGGCGTTGTCTGCAGAAGATCGAGATCGCTCCTCGTCCAGTACACGATTCAACTCGTCGTCTTTCTTCCTCATCTGGTCCTCGATGCTCTCGAGCCGCGACTGCAGATCGCGTACCTGAGCTTGAGATTCGTCCAGTTGCCTCTTGTCCGGCTGTTGCAACGTTAGCATGCAATTCAGTACAAAGCAGCGTAGGGTGATCGTAGACTCTGGCACAAACCTCTGATAGAGCCCCGCTCACACCCGTATCTGCACTTCTCTTGCTTACCCGGTTCATGGCATCCGAGTCGTTGCCATCATCGTCCTCCTCGACCATGGTGCTTTTATTGGGTACAATAGTGTTGCTCTGGAATTGCTTCTGCTGGGGCCGGTCAAAGCCATTGGGCGGCATTCCAGGAGACGGGGGGATTGGGTAGTCGCTGAAGCGAGGAGCGTCTGATCGAATGGAGCTGGCGTTGGACGGTCGTCGCATCCCTCTGGGAGGCAACCCGTTCATGCCGTTTACGGGGGTGCCTGCTCTGCTTGGGGCTCTCGCAGATCCAGGACTGCCCATCCGCGGGATATCACCTTTTGCGAAGCCCTCGAAGCGTCGTTCCAACTCACAAAAGACATCTGTTGCCAGGTCCCTGAACCTGGGAGGCCCCAAGGTCGAGAGCTTCTGCCTTGCCTGATTCCGCTTTGGGTGGAAGTTGTCCTCGGGCTGTAGGAAAGGCGGTGGCTTGGGGCCGGGGCCAGGCCGGCTCAGCTTCTCCCGCCGGAGCAGTTCATCGTAGACGTCGGTGGATAGTTCGAGAAATTGCACGGCAGACAGACGCAGAAGCTTGTCGCGCGCTCGGTTTGGCGGGGGATTCGCTCGGCCGTCCTTGGAGGTGGACTGCAGGAACTTCTTAAGAGCTATGTAGTGGACGCCGAGGATGACTTCGTTGTTCTCGTCTCGCATGCTACGCCCGCTTTCGCTCCTGGCATACATGCCCGAGGCAGTGCTGGAGCGGGCGACGGACGGGGGCGGAGAGGGCCCGCCGACGCTCCTTGGGCCGGGAAAGCCATTCATATTCCCGTTGGCTCCGCCCGAGTCGGGTGGGGAGATGAGGCCGCGGTTGTTCGGGTTGTAGGGATCGCCGTTGTCGAGGCTCTGATATTTGCCGACGGAATATTCGCTACCACCTACTGAGACAGGAGAAAGCGGCGCATTTCGAGTATTCATGGTAGAAAATAATGCAGAGCCGTGGTTGGTGATGATAGGGCGGCGTTGGCCGCTCGCTCAACAAAGAATAGGAACCGGCGGCGGGATGTCAAGGGGTGCGGCGGGAGAGTCTTGGTATTGGCCACGAGAGACTCCGTCCCGAGTTTCGCAGCCCGTCTCGTCTTCTGGAATCGGCGACACCCTGGCGGCGAGTCGTCAGATGGGAGGGAGGTCGTTGCGAGTTGCTCCTTCCGGTCGCTGAATGTGCAGGCGGGATGACCAACACCTCGCTCCTTCGCCTGGCTGACGCTGTGGACGAAGAGGCGCAGGGGCGTCGACGGCTCGTGGGGAAAGGGTCTATCGAATTGAGTTTGCGCGGACGCGGTCACGCACGTGTAGGACGGCAAGAGGCCGTGGGGTATGTCGCGGCTCAAGCAGGCGCCCGACGGGTTGGCTCAGATTGAGTTGATGCTGTGCGGTGCGGTGCGGTGCAGTTATGTGGTGTAGTGCCAGCCCGGAGCAATGAGTCGCGGTCGTGGGGGTGGTTGGTGTACGGTGCGATACAGCGGCCACGAGCAATGCAACAAAAATATTAACGAGCCAAGTGTCGGTCGCCCAAAGGTCTCAATCCTCCACAAATTACGTCCCAAAGAGTAAAAGTAAAAGGCTCTACAGCATATGCGGCACAGGGTGCCTGCGCGGGTTGCGTTCGCAGGGAAACAGAATGGATTAAAGAGGGGAGGAGGCGGCAGGACAGAGACGTGGGAGGATCAGAAGCCGAAGTCCAAAGTCCAGTCCAGCAAGAGTTGAGTCTCAGGATTAAACCAGGCGGATGTTCCTGCTGGCCACGGGAGAAGGTCGAAATCCATCCGGCCCAGGAACGCTTCCAAGGTTCCTCTGCCACGATTCCTCATTCAGGAGCACGACCACCCTTGAAACCCGTCAAGAGGAACAGCCGGGGGGTGGCGCCCCAAGTTGCCAAAGGGCCAAGGGCCCGCTGCTCCAAAGCGGAAAGGGGGTGGGCCGCCTAGCACCGCCGAATCTTCATTCGCCCATGCGCCAGAGGCACCGAAATTGTCTAGAAGCCCCAGGAGCGCCCCCCTTCGAACCTTTGGGCCTTCCCGCCGTCAGCGTCAGCGGCCCTCGAGGGCCCTTTGGCCCTGGCCTGCCCGTTGGTCGCTTGGAGATTGCGGCTGTAGGCTGTGCTTTAAGATTATCTCACGGCCGGCTTCACTGCTGTTGTCCACTTTATTACCCACACTTGGCCTTGGGCTGGTTGTTCGGTCGCGTTGGCGTGCTTGTCCGTGGCCTTGAACAAGCTACAGATCTTCACACACACTCTGCACTGTACAGACTTCGGACGGCGGCGGCAGCAGCAGCAGCAATTATCATCACCACGCAGAACCAGATCTCGCTCCGCTGTCAGATGGATGTCTGCTTTTCCGCTGACAAAGACTTGTCGAAGGCAAGGACAATGACAAAGATCGCCCAACCCTGAAGCAGAACCTGGAGTATCGCGATGCGTGGGGTCCCCATACCATACTATGTAGTACTGACTCGACATTCGGGCCGCCCAGGACCTGCACAACTGCGACTCGACAGAGCCTGGCAAATAAGGGTAGGCTCTTTTTTCTTGTTTCCTGGCCCCAGTGTCTTCACTCATTACTGGCGCTTCCACTACTGAGACCTTTGATGGTCCAAGAGCGTCGACGTTGGTCCATCATTGGCCCTTCGTGCTATGTGCACCATCTCCTTTTTTTTTGTCGCGCGCTACCCCGAGCGCAAACCAGCCCAATTGCGAGTCCAGGTTTTTGTGGTAGAGCTGATATCACACGACACACGACCACATGGTATATGTGCGGTGCCCTATGAGCAAGAGATTCCGCATCAGATAGCCCCAGCATACTTAGATTACGTCCTTCCAGGTACCTACCAAGTGTGTACATGCCATGACACTTCGAGGTACTATGGTATAGCCGACGACAGTCAAAATCAGAAGCCCCATACTCCCGCCCTCCCTGCGCCTACGTTGCGGCAAACCCCTGGGACGCGCAGACGTTCCCCCGAGCTGGCCAATAGCAGAGCGCCACCCGCATGAACTCCCATCTCCCATTAACGCTAATTCTCGACATCCCTGCCCAGCCCACGCTTCTCTTCGACAGCCATTTCGCGGGTCCTTGTCTCGAACTTCCACGGTGATGAACTAGCTAGATCTCTGATGCAATCCGCGGTATAGCAATCGGGCATCGTCGCCGCACGTAAGCGCCTGCCCGAGGCTGGTGAGTCCGGTGACGATAGATTCACTCATGCATCTTCAGCTACGGTCTCTCCAGCGCCCGAGCAACTCCTGGCAGTGCGGACCTGTCTAAATGGGATTTGCTGTGGACCGTGGTCTAGCCTTTGCGATCGTCGATATCTCCACCGCCCAATAGCCGGGGATTTATTCGATATTTTAGATCGAAAGGCGGATGCCTCACATGTAAGGTATAGACGCAAGGGTCTCTCACGCCCAGCAACCATCAATGTTTGGCAAGTTGAGAACTTCCAGTTGATGGATGAGCATCGAGGGTCTTTGTGCAAGTTGACGAGAATCGCCCATGGCAGATCCGACTTGCTCGAACGAGCATGACGCCATCCCATCTCCTGCATATCCGACATACTGTATCAAGCGTTTGAGCCTCACACAGCGAATCTGTGCTGTCGCATAACAGCAACTAGTGCTTTCCGTGGGTTATGCGCCCGTGCAAAGCCAGACTACATGTGCATACCGCCGCGACTCCTAAGCGGCCTCCGATCACGAGTTGCCATCCGCGCTGGCACGTCTTCCTTATCAGTTGGCTGTAGCTCGAAAAACGATCCCGGCCGCAGCCAGGTCATATAACCATTCCCAGCACTTTACTTGAGCCGCACCCATCCCTGTTCGGGTGTCCTGAGCTCACGTGCCTCGCAGTGGAGCTTGCATTATTGCCCCTGCGAATTCCACGTTTCACGACCAAGCAGCTTGACGATGACAACAAGCTATTTTGCAGACAGCTGGGAGCGTTTCTCGAATTCAATTGACCTGAATAGAGGCCTTACTACTTCTCTGAAGAAACTTCCTCAACCGACCGTTCCTGCATACCTAGGCAACTTTCCATGAAGAGAGCCCCACAACTTGATAGATATGCTGCACGGAAGTTGAGTGAGTTGCCCCTTGAAATTCCTCGTGTGTAGATGCGCAGACAAGCTTTTCCGGGCGTCGACCTAATAAATATCACATGGTGTGGCGAGAAATGTAATTCGAGGCGTAGTCGACCGAAAATATACACCGTGGGTTGCTTGGTGCTGAGGAGAGAGGGCCTCTGACCGTGAAGAACGGTACTCAAATCCCATCAGCACACCAAGTTCCAACCCTCTATCCCAAGTGCCGCCGGCTCAATGGTCCAACGTCTTGACCGTGGCTCTGGAGTGGAGTGGAGATGTTAGGAGCAAATTCAACCTTTTGTCACTGCTCGATCCCGACACGTGCTTGCACTCAAGGCAGTTGCTGCGGTACTCCTGTGCAGCCCAGCGATGGGAGATGTAAAGGCTGGTAGTGTTGCATCCATTGTCCACATGGAAGCAATGGTGTACCCTTGCGCCGGTACCAGAACGGGCAAAAACAAGTTATGGCAGTACCTTGGTTGCTAAGAAGTGCCCATTTCAGTGAAAGCGCTCCACGAAACAACCTATTGGAAGCGCCAATGACCAACTTACATTCTCTGGGTGACTTGATTTCAAACTGGCTAAGAGTAGGATTGCAAAGTGGATTCCAGGCAATGATTTATGCTACTTATTAGAGGAAAAGAGAATGTGGCTACGTTTCCCTCGAGCACTAAAACCATGAAGTTGCTACTCGCGAACGGGCTGAGTTCTTCGACGTTTCAAAACAGAGTAAAGGTCAGCGCCATGCCTGATGGTACACAAGATGCCGGGCCACGTGGAGAAGCAACGGCCTTGCAGAAAACCTAGGGGCTTCTGAAGTCAGGCATAGTACAGCATCAAAAAACCGAGGCCGAATAGATCGGAAACTGCCAATAGCTATTGACCTAGGAAACCCAGCATAGTGCGGGTCGTATTTCCTGCTTTCTCATTTTCCAGCGCAGACAATCCTGCGCAAGTTGAATGCTCTACAAGCCTGTCTCCTATTTCTGACATCAGGTGGTATTGCGGTACTAGTCATGAGTGAGGGGGGGTTATATTCTGAGTTTGCGCGTCGTCTCGAGATACACTCGCGGGGTTGAGCAATAGGAGAGGTGATGCTAGATGGACAGAGCACGACCACACCTAACACGGGACAAGAGGCGTGAACGGGTGCTGGCAACCCTGAAATCACGCAACATAATATGAAGTCATTTCCCCAGGCACGGCATCGAGCGCTTTCTTCACCGCTATTTATTCAGATTCGATGTTCAATCAGAAGTCTTGTTCATGGCTCGTTCTTTCGACACCTTCTGGGCACGTAGTCAAAGTCGCGACTGTTGCACAGGAATGGAGGCTTTCAAGAGAAACGAGGGCTCTCGTGTTTCTCAACGTGCTTGGCTTCTTTGAGCTTCTGTTCATTCCACATACATAGATTCGTCGTGGCTCCTGGATGATGCTATCCCCATGACGCCGTAGATCGCACTATGCCTTCTTCCCCATAATCCATATCGCTATGCTTGTTCAATCATCCTGCAATCTTACAATCTTGACTTCAACTACCCAGCCGGCGGCACTCCTCCCGCGCGCCTTCAATGTAACTTCGCTTGGGTAGCTAAGCTAGAGTTGGCTGCACCTGACGCATGGTTGTGCATCCAGCATGCCCACCTTTCGGCGCTATGTACCTTACTCTTCTAGATGGCGAAGTGCTATACCACCTATGCCACGTAGATGAAGCGCCGACTCCTCTGTGCGGTGTTCATCGGATACTGCCCGCACCATTAAGCGAACAGCGCGGCACTTTGTCCTTTTCATACTTCCGTGTGCCGGAGTTCATGGCTTCGGTGCCTGTTCAGCCTCATCGCTCCCATCCGAGTCCGATTCTTCCACCGGCGACTGAAGTCGCTTGTCGGGCAGCGTCTCTAGGCCCGGCCCCTTCGCCGAAGTCGAGTCGCTCCGCCTGGGGATGTCTTGACTTCCTCGACTACCTCGACGTCCGAATCCCGGTTCGAAGGATGACTGCACAGTGGGAGTGTTAGCCTGGCTTCCGCCACGTTGGCCATGGTAGTGAACGACCTGCGGAGGAGGCTGTCCAGCCTGAGATCCCAGTAGATGCTGTGGATACGGGTTGAGGTCCTTGCTCGATGTGGAGAAGGTAGACACTACGGGTTGGTGGTAGCCATTGGAGTTGCCGCTGCCCGTGCTGGGGGTAGGCGTGTGGCCAAATTGCGGGCCGTGGTCGGCTTGGGTGGGAGTGCCAACATCGTTCGGAGTCCCCGGGCCCTCGAGTTGACCCGTGAGACTGTTCATACCGCCTTCAATGTCCCGTAACAGGCGGACATACTCCTCGGGCACGAGCCCGCTTTCTTGTGTTTTTGGGTCCTCGGCAACAAGCCACCCTTGCCCATGCCTATAGGATACCCATATGATCTGGCCCTCAACCAGTGGCAGCTCGTTCTCGTTCTCCCTCTGAAAATCAAACAGGGCTACCGCCTTGCCGTGCATCTCCTCGTCTGGCGAAGTAATGGTAAACTGGTAGTCCTTCGAATAGCGAGACTCATCGTAAGCGTTGAAGCTCGGAGAAGAGGCTGGGCTCGAGTGCTCCGACTCGTATCCAGCATCGCGCCCTCCATAGTGCCTCTTCGCTCGGTCGGCTCCGGAGTAGGCGCCTTGCACGGAATGCCGCGCCTCGCCGGGTGGATATGTGACGATATCCCCTCCGGGGCCGTTCGCCTCGCCACCCTGGTTGATATAGTACCGCTCGCTCCCATCCCCGCTTGTACTGACATAGTAGCCCCTATCGGTATCATAGTTTTCGGGGTTCAGTATCGAGGCTCCGCCATGGCCGACATCCTGACCCCGGTGCGCGTCCTGCGAGGCCCGTCCTTTGCTGTGGCCTAGAGCAGCGGATGATGATTTGTGTTTCTTGTGCCGCGAGCTGACGACCGGGCTCTGCAAGTCTTCGTCCTCGCTCCAGGGCGGACCATCGCCGAAGTGGATGGGCGCCAACTCTCCTCCCTTCCCCAAGCCACCATCAGAGGTCCAATCCCAGCCCAACTTGCTCTCCCAAGATGCGGAAGGATCCGACAGTCGTCGCGACTCGCTTGCCGGCGTGGTCATGCCAGAAGGTGGCCTTGAACCCTCGGGCGGCGGGCCATAGTGCATAGGGTGGACAGGCGGGTATGCAAAGTCGCGCACAATCGTGTAAGTGAGGCTAGAATGGAAGATGGGAAAGAGGTAAGAGGGCGGTCGTGACCGGGAGGGGACGGAGCCCGTCGAGTATTGCGACAGGCGGTTCTTGGAAGCGTGCGACATTGGGCGCGGTAGGTTGGTGCGCCGGGCAGGCGGCGACGTTATCAGCGGAGGAAGCGCGGGGTGATTGGGGTTCGCCGAGGATGAAGGCGACGAGACTGCTGGAGGCGAAGTGGCCGGTGATGAGCTGGTGGACATGACTGAGGTCATCGTTTGGTGGTCACGCTGGCCTACCCGGGAGGAGGGGGGGGGGGGGGGGGGGGGGGGGGGGGGGGGGGGGGGGTTATAGATTTACCTGGTGCTGTCGCCGAAGTGAAGCTGAAGCCGTGTCACGGTATGACAGCCCAGGCGTACCAACGCCGCCTTTGAACAAACTTGACCAGCAAGCCGTCCTGCGAGATCCAAGCTTGGGGGGGAGTTGGAAGCGGTTGCGGGCCGGGGTCGAGGGTAACGAAGACGGGTTGGCGGGAGTTGTGCGATGTATATAGAGAGTTGCAGGTCGGGGGTTCACCTCCCCATCTGCGTTGGGGGAGGGCAAGGGCACAAGCACGACGACGCTCAGCCCAGGTGGTCGGCGAGTGCGCTTGGGCGGGTCGGGGAGGCAGTGAGGGTTTGGGAGGGGATGTGGTGCCGGTTGGTCGCAGAGACTGCGTCGATGAGTCGGACGGCGCAATGCGACACTTCTTCCACGGAGATGGGCAGCTGAGCGTGCCGTCGTGAACAGAGCGACAGTAGAGGGAAGAGGTGGGCAGATAGGATCTGGTCCGGGCGGGTGAAGCCACCGGCGAACAAGTGGGCTTAGTCGAGGAACTAAAAGTGAAGAAAGGGCACAGACGAGAGACGACTGGAGACGGGCCTCGAGTTAGTGCTCCTTTAGGCAGGGCAAGAGCAGCAGCAGGACCAGGACCCCAGTTGCGATCCCAGGGAGCCTATTATTGGGGGCCGCCGTGCGATACGGAGCCGACGAGCCTTGGGGAAGAAGACGACGCCGACGACGAGGGGTTCGTGGCTGGCGTGGGGTGGAGTCTTGTCTGGTTGTTGAGATGTCGAAGGCGGATGTCACGACTAAGAGCCTGCACCACAGCAGTACCGCTGTCCCGTTCTGGCTGCTCGTTCGCTCTCGGTCGCCGCGAGAGCGTTGGAAGGGATGGACGGGTTGGATGGGTGTTGGGTGGGAGCGAGTAGGGCGAGCGAATGCCGTCCCTCGACTCTCGAGACCCAACCCTGCCTGCCTTGGTACCTAGGAACGGATTCCCAGCAAGTTAAACTTCTTGCTCCGGTAGGTTAGTTAGTGGCCCATCAGGCCCAGTAGGCCCAGTTCGATCCGGTGCGGCTAGGCACCCAAAGTTAGGCTGGCGCTGGGTTCGATCCAATCCAGTCGGCCGGGGTTGGTGGCCCTGGTCAAGCTGGAGAAAAGCCTTGGAAGCGGAACTTAGTAGAGGAATTTGATGCATGTACTCCTAAGAGTCTATCTAGCTTCCCAGGAGTGGGGAAGGAAATTAAAGTACACCAAGTGCACTAGGTGCACGCCCAGGAGTCCATCTTCTCAGGGACCAACAAAGGTCGCCCCGACCTTCCTCCCTGGAAGGGTGGTTCCCCTGTCGTGTCTTATAATCAAATGTTCAACGCCCCATAATACCCTACACGTCCCTATTGGTTTTGAAGAAGTGAAAAAAAAAAAGTCTTCCCGAGACTGTATGGACGCTTCCCAGAAGCCTTGTGTGAAAGAGGAAAAGAAGGTGAAGAAAAGTTTGGGCTCAATTTCCCCAGAAGTCGATGGGGATGGTTCCCTGGATGCGGCGGTCTTCCCACCGAATCAGCTCCTCGAACCTCGAGGTTTGGCTCCCCTCTTTGCGCGGGGTTTGACGCTAGGCGTCTCTGGTGCTGCCTTTTCTTTGATCGGGGCGGGCTGTTCGGCTCCTGTCTTGGGTCTCTTGGCTGATCTGGTGTTATGCTCCTTCCCGGGGATCGGGTTCTTGCGTTTCTGAGAGACCCCCTCACCAGTGGTCGCGTCCACAGTCGCGAATCCCTCTCCTTCCGACTCTGCTGTTCTCTTGGGAGGGTCATCTGGCCTCTCCTCGACAGCTTCTCTGTCTATCAGCTCAAATCCCTGCTCCTCGGAAGACGCTTCCTCGCTTGCAGCTCTCTCTCTTCCGCCCGCTCTTGCGATCTCAGAAGTCTCCGGTCGCGAGCGCTTCTGCGAGGTCTGTTTTTCCCGTTGGCGACGTCTTCCAGATGAGCTCACCCGGCGAGAATGTGCCATAAAAGAACCTACTCCCCCAGCCTCCGATCTGAGTGGTTGGTCCTTCCCATCGCTGGGGTCCTCCCCCGAGGATTTTCTTCCCGGGTCCTGTTGGTCCGTGGGGCCGGTTCCGGCTGGCTTTCCAGAACTCTCATCCTGGGCCTTTGTAGGCTCCATGGTTTCCGTCTGCTTCGGTCCGACCTCATAGAAGAGTCCCTCCTCATCTTCTCTGGGAGCCTGGTTGTTGTTTGCCGGCACAGCTGGTTCTCCCCCGAGGATACCCTGTTCATCTTCACTTGAGGACTCGATCGAAATGACCTCCCCTGGTATACTCGAGGCATCCTGGGAAGACTGTTCTGAGGATGAGGAATCTTCCACCGGAGGGACAACTTCAGCAGTGGACGTGTCCTGACGCAGATTCTCCTCCAAGTTCTGTCTTCCCGTCGGGTCCCCCACCTTCCCAGCACGTGTCAGCTTTCCTTTCGGTTTTCCCGAGGACTTAGGAACATCACGGAGTCTGGGTTCAACGGTCGAACTGGATTTTCCCCCCTTCCTGGTCGGCGGTTCAGCCTCGGACTGCGTGTGTGGCTTTTCAAATACTTCGCGGAGCTCCGTGTTCTGGCGTGCCGGCACCATTCTGTCCGCTCCAGGGTCATAAATGCCGAAAGCTGTCTCCAGAGCCCCTCCCGGAGCCCAGCTTCGCGCCATCTTGTAGGGTGGGACAACTGTTTCCATGACGGGAGGAGGGATAGTCCAACCTCCAGTTTTCGCTTGCGATCCAACAGCCGCCTTTGGTGAGGGATTCGCCTTTCCCTCCTCCAGATGAGCCCGTTGGAGTGCTGGTGCCTCCCAGTCCTCATCATGCGCCCCATGACTCTGGTGAGCCCCCTCCTGCCTGGGCTCTTCTGCAAATCGGACTGACTTCCCCTTCCGACCGATTTCTTCCTCCTGCTGATTCTGTGCGGGAGCGCTTCCTTGTCCCGTCAGTCCTGGGTGATCTGATGGTTCCGCCGCTCCGAAAGGAGACATTGGTGCTTGTGAGACGGTCATTCTTTCCCGAGTGACACCTTTGATCTCCCGTTCTTCCTTGATGAGTCTCGCCATGCGGTGGGGCTCGAGGTTGCCTCCAGCCTCCTGGTATACTTGATGGTCTGTCTGTGACGGTTCCCAGACCAAGTCCCGAGGCAACGATTTTCTCAGGAAGTTCTGGATCATCAGTGTCCTTCCCAACACCATAGATATCGTCTCCCCACGGTCCATGTCGAAGACTGGCTCGAAGTTCCCAATGGCTGTGCAGATGCCTTCCAGTCTGGCTGTGTGTTCAGCCAGAACTTCTCGGACGAGGGTATCCAGTCCCCTCCTCAGCGAGTCCTCCTGGAATGCCTCCCACATCAGGTCCACCTTCAGCTTCATGGATTCAAGGTCCCTCTCCATTTTCTCGACCTTTGGTGTCAGTGGTTGAAGAGCATCCAGTTGCGTTTTCATCTTCTGGACAGCCGCGCTCGAGGCTTGTTCCCTCTCCTGTCCTGACTCCGTGGTGCCAATGCGGTTTCCGAGGCGCATGAGGTCACGCTCCATCGCCGCGAGGCGATCCGTCAGTGCGGCTGTGGCAGGCGCATCCTCCTTCTGGGGAATGCTGGGAGGTGGCTTCTGGGAGGGTTGTGGTTGCTGCGTCTTCTGGGGAATCGTAAGATCTGGAACCGCGTCCTTGTACTGTAAGCCCAGATAATCTGCCTGTCGTTTCCAGAACGTGGGGATCACTCTCTGGTCTGGAGGAATCAGCAGAAAGACCAGAGCTGTGTCTCTCAGAAGGTCGAAGATCTTCTCCGGAAGAACGCCAAAGCCTCGGCTTGCATCTCCGTAGATTCGGAGTGCCTCCAGCTCCTCCACAGTGGGCCAGTTGTAGATCTTCGGGCCATCCTCCTTCCATCCACGGAAACTTGCATCCTTCAGGACTGTCTCCAGCTTCATCTTCACGCTTGTGTACAGGGCTGAGTTCGCAGGCTGTTGGTGTGGCTGTATCTCGGCCAAGTGCTTCAGGACTGCTCTCAGGCTGGTATGTCTTCCAGGAGGGAAGTATGAAATGAGCTTCCTCCAATACGTTCGTGGCTCCGTGGCGCCACCAACAATCGTTCCATCTTCGTCATAGTAGCCTCTGACCTTGCTGCTTCCCGTCTGTGTGCAGAACCCAGCAAACGTCTCAGGGAAAGGTAACGCCGGGCGTGTCGTTCCATCCGCTCTGGTGACCGTTACAGTGCTGTGTTCAATATGATACTGAATCAGCGCTTTTCTCTCCTTCTGGGTCGTAGCCCTTTCTGCATCCCCCCCAAACCAAAATGCGCGGTTTGGGAACGGTACCAACGTCTCGTCCTTTCTCCTTGGAGATGGTTGGGCCACTCCCATCTTTCCAGCACGTTTCTGGGCCATCTTCACACGTGTGGGTGATGTCTGGTCTCGGTGTGTCTCGATGCCGGTGTTTTCTCCTGGAGGAGTCGTCTCGGGGCAAGGTGGTGGAGTGCGTATGTATATTTTGCAAACAGAAAAATTTTTTTTGTTTTGATGTGTCCCCAGAAAACAAACACGTCTCTCAGCCTCCTCCTGTACAATCCACCCACGGGGCAACCATCCGGTTTTCTTCCACCACAATCTCAGTATTTCTTTCCATGACAATCTCACCAACCTAGTAATTCTCCTTTTTCCTTCTTGTAGTCATGTTTGTCCTTTTCTCTTCTACTTAACGTTCCGGCCCCGATCTCTCCCCGAAAGCGCTGCCCTCAGCGCCTGGTCCGGCGTTTCCTTGGCCTTCTCAGATTTTGGTTCAGAGGCAGAACCAGGTCATCGGGCTGTCTCAAGTAGCCCTTCCGGGGAACGAAAAGCTTCAAGCTATCCTCATGGTAATCATATCGGGAGTGTCGCATTCCGGTGCCGTCCAAGTTCTCCAGTTTGAATGATGCTCTTCCGACGCGTTCCTTGACCCGGAATGGTCCTCTCCATTTCGCCACCATCTTCGGAGGCTTACCCTCCTGGAAAGTAAATACAAGGTCTCCTGGTGCGATAGCTGGGCGACGGACATCGTGTCTATGTTTCCGAATGATCCGCTCTGCTTCTCTCTCCGTGAAAACCGTCTCCCTGCAGTACTGTACTCGTGCCATGTGGTTCAGGATCGCCTGCTCCAGGTCCTCCTTCTCTGGGAGCTCCATCATTTCAGCTGCTCTCCTCACCTCCACATGGCTGTTTGGAGGAAATGCGGCCTCCAGAGCGCCTCGTGGGAGATATCCATGCATGATCTCAAACGGACTCCATCCCATGGTTCTCATTTGTCGAGAGTTCATCTCTCGGAACACCTCCGGCAGCTTGGATGGCCATTCCCGATCTTCTCCATTCCCTCCCAGAGTCTTGTTGAGGATGGATTGGAAGATCCTGTTGGTCACTTCCACCAGTCCGACGGCTTTGTGAGCCTTTGCAGGAGCATTAATGACTTCCACCTTTTGCCTTCTCATGTCTTGGTGAAATTCTTCGGATACGAATGCACTCCCCGGATCGACGTACACCACCACTGGGATGGTTCCGGTGCTTTCTCTCCACCTCCTGAATGCCTCCCTGGCTTCTTCAGTTCCCTGACTTATTGTAGGAAAGCCCCAGGAGTATCTTGAGAAGTAACACACGATCACACACGCATACTTGTATCCTTGGGCCTCTGGGAACGGTCCCACGAAATCCATTGCGAGCACCTGATTTGGTTCCCAGACCGAGATTGGTTGTGGGGGAGCTCCCGGCTTGGCTGGACCAAACCATCCACATTCCACACATCCCAAGTAGTGCTCCTTCATGTCGGATGCCATGGATGGCCAGTACACGACCTGGTTCAGTCTCTGTAAAGTGATGGACGGAGAGAAGTGTCCCCCCTGGTCATGAGCCTTCCTCAATACTGCAGCCACGTCTTTCCGACAAATGCATGTCCTCCAGATACCCCCTCGGTGGTGTTCCAGTCGGTTTCCTGAGAGGCGGAAGGCCTTCGCACGGTCACGAATGCATTGGTTCCGAATCCTGTCCCAGCGTGGAAGTCGACCATCTTTCAGGTACTGGTACACGTCGTGATACCATGGCTCCCTTTCATACCTCTCTGTGGAGGATCCGTTCTCCGGATCTACCTCTGGTTGTGTCATGGCTGTTGAAAGGAACATTCCCTGGAGGTCGTGGTGCCCCCGCAATGCCCTCCAATTCTGTTCCTCAGAGACGTCATCACTCCATCTCCAGATTGACATGAATTTCGCTTCTGCCGACATCCCTTCCTGTGGATGTACTGGTTTCTCCATTGCCTTCAGGAGACGCTCGTACCCTCCTGGGCCATCCTTCCAGACCCACTCCCCTTCCGGCGAAACGCATCCCATCTCGGTCAGTTTGGGTTCCTCCTGACAGTCTTCACTCGCGAAGATGGTCCTCGACAGTGCATCTGCGACTCTGTTCTTCTCCCCGGAGACATACTCCAGCCGCACATTTACCACCTGTAATTCGCCAGCCCAGCGTGCATATATTCCCTCCACGTTCGGGGAATCAATGAAAAATGTCAAGGGCTTGTGGTCTGTGTATATAATTGATTGTGCTGTTGCCTGGAAGTATGTGACATGCCGTCTCACGAACTCCACGATGGCACAGAGCTCCCTCTTGTACGTTCCGTAGTTTCTCTGAGTCTTCGTGAACAGGAAACTGTCGTACAGGATTGGCTTTGGGACGTCGCGTTGAATCTGCGTCACCAGGAAACCTGCCCCGTATCCTGATGCGTCTGAGTAGGCCTTGACCGGAAGCTCTCCGTCGTGACCGTGCATGTCCACCGTATCTGCTGCTTTCTCCTTGAGGATGGAAAATGACGTTGCCTCTGCCGCTCCCCAAGAGAACGACACATTTCCGGTCAATCGGGCCAACGGTCTTCCGATCTCTGAGAAATTCTTGATCCATCGGCGCGTGGGTCCAATCGCTCCGAGGAAGGCTCGAACTCCCGTCTGGTCAGTCGGGACCGGCCATTCCCTCAGCTTTTCGCTCCTGACCTTCTTTACAGCAATCCTTCCTCCGATCTTGTGGGTCACCCCCACCGCCAGTACTTCATCGTATCCTAGGAACATCTTCTTCAGGGATAATCGTAAGCCTGCCCATGCAAGCCGTGGGAAGAGTTCGTCACGGATGAACGACCATTGCTCCCGGAAGTCAACATGCATTACGAAGATGTCATCCATGTACTTGAGGAGCTTCCGTAGATCGTGGGGGTTCGTCCGAGCTGTCAAGGATGGTTCTGGGAATGGTGCAGGAATCGATCCGGTTACGGTGTCCATCAGTTCCTTGAAAGAATAAGGCGAAGTCCTGCTCCCTTGTGGCATTCGTGTGGGTTGCATCTGGGGAAACCCTTCTACATCGAATGCGAAGTAGTGTCTGTCTAGAGGGTGGATCGGGATACACCAGTATCCGTGCTTTAGGTCGAAGGACGAATAGGAACCAATCCTGGGATCTGACAGGTCCTTGTGTATGTCGGCCAGAAGCGGAATAAACGTTCCAGGCATTTCTTCTTCAATCTTTCGGAAGTTGAACGTCAGTCGTGGCTCCTCCCATGGATCTGGATGTTCCGCGTCTCTGTCCTTGGCCACCAACACTGGCTGGCTGCTCCAGTCTGAGAGCTTCCCATTTGCGGCCATCGTAGACTCGTACATACCCGCGTCAATTCCCTCCTGGAGTAATTTGTCTAGCCAATACTTCTGTGGAGTAGTCCATGATTTCCGTTTTGACTGGAAGGGTTTTGCGTCATCGCGCATCCTCACTCGATGAACGTACAGGTCCGTCGGAGGGATATCTTCCAGTTTCGTTGCAAACAAGTCTTTATAAGTGAAGCACACCCTCTTGATTTCGTCTTTTAAGTCCTCCGGGACCAATGGTCCGAGGTTCACTTTGGCATTCTTCCAAAATTCATCGACAGTCTCTCTCGGAACACTGGTGTAAGTTGATATTTCTCTCCTGACAACCCTCCTGGATGTAGGGAACGCAGCTCTTTCAAATGGATGCCTCTCCTGTGCTTGTTGCATCTGTTCAGCTTTCTCAGGGACCAACAAAGTTCCCTGGGGAACCTCTTCTGGGGCAATAGTTGTACTGTAGCTCATCAAGCCCCGGTATAGCATCTTGTTAACGGCTGTTGCTGTGATTCTGGGAGCGTGTGCATGACTCCAGTACTGTACCGAGTAGACCGAAGTGTCCATGTCCGCAATCTTCCCCAATGAGTCCTCCAGACAGGGAGGGTCTTCCAAGAATGGATAGGAATGTTCAGACGGACGCAGTTTTCCGACGTGCCCTGGTCGTGATGGGAGATTCAGTTTCCCGACTCTCCCTCTGAGTTCTCTGAGTCTGTATCGCTGTCCCCGGATGAATCCTCCGTCGCTGACTCGGTGTCCGACGCCACCGCCATCAGGTCTAGGGCAGGAGAGCCGGGCTTGGTGGTCAACGCCAGCTTGTGCCCTGCAGCCCAACTCAGGATGGGTCCCTTCAGGGAGACCACTCGTTCTCCCTCCTGAGCGTCTCCTATGGTAAGCGAGCTTTGTCGGATATCGAATACACCGTTGACGTCCCACAACCACGGGAGTCCCAGGAGCAGTTTCGTGTCTCCAGGAATTTGTGGGATTTTTATCTCTGGCCTGACAATTGCCCATACAGAGCGCCAGATTCCCTGGACGCCCACGTTAAAAACCACGAACTCAGTAACGGGGCTAGCCTGGCTCGTGGACGTGATAATGAACAATTGTTCGATGCCAATGTCCTTCAACAGGCGGCGCTTGATTCCCGCTTTCTGGACGAGGTCCGAGGAGACGAAATTGATGTCGGAACCCTGATCCGCCTGCGTGGCCTTCTCTCCCACAGCGTGAGACACCGTCTTTCCGTTTGTTCCCAGGAACTTCAGCACCACATCCATGCGGTAGGCCTTCACTGGTTGGATCGCGGTGGCTGACTTGCTCTCAATAACCGTCTGGAGACCTCTGGTCTTCTGCGCCTTCTTCCTGGTCTTCTCGCTAACTCTCGTGGAGTAGTACTTCGCGTTCCTGGCACAGTCGGGGCTTGCTTGGAATAAATCCATCAGACTGAACTCCACCTTTATATCCTGGAAGATCCTTTCCCAGTTCAGTGGACCCATTCCCTCTCTGCCCTTGATTTCACTCATTGGAGCTGGAGGTCCCTCTCTCCTTGGTGCTCGGGCCTTCTTCTTGGTAGCGGTCTTCTCCCTTTCCTCTGGGTTCAGCATTGACTCCACAGGGATGGTCCGTCCCTCTTCCCGGCGGCGGTAATGTCTCTCTCGGTATTCCCGATCTCTTCCACGGCGATCTCCTCTTCCCGGGCTTCGAGACCGGCGATCTGTGGCCGATGACAGCAAGCTCTTCAGCATCAGGACCTCATCCTGCAGATCCTCGCTCATTTGCGTCTCCTCTGCAGCAACTTCGCTCACTGTCAAACTTCTCACCTCAGCGGAACTCTGGACTGCACTTTCCAGCGCTCCCTGAGAGATGATCTCTGCTTCCACAGAAGGGGTATCTGTGCCTGGGTGGCCTTCCTCAGCTGGGATGACCCCCATATCCACCAGGAAGTTGTCATAGTACAGCTGCGCGGTCTGAGAGAAAGCAACTCCTTTCTGGTCATCAGGGAATATCAAAGCTCTCAGGTATGATCTCTCCCAAGGCAGGAGTTTCTCCTCTGACTCACAAGCCGGCTGGAAGTGTCCAACCTTCCCGCATCCGAAACATACGCGTTTCCCCGCAATGGATTCCGATCCGTTCACGAATGGGTTCTTCGACTGGCTCCTTGGAGGTAGCTGCACTCTGCTGTTACTGTTCCCAACTCTTGCAGTATACGCGCCTCCATACCCACCTCGGAGACCTCCTCGGAAGCCGCCTCGTCCGGGCATCCCGTTGGATCTGGTAGGAGGGGTGTTCTGGAAAGGGGCGATGTTTGGGGTTTGGGCGTGTCGGGCATCCTGACTGGACAGTTGGTTCGCTCCCTGGGAGACAGTCGCATTCGTCGGAGGCTGACCAGTCTCCCGGACTCTGGCCGTGCTCTGTGGAGGGGGAAGGGCCGAGACGCTGGACGTCATCATCCATGGACTCTGTGCATGCATCGCCAGTGAAGTCAGATTCGATGGGAGGCCTGCCGGAGTTCCCTGAAAGGCGAATTGCCATCCCGGGTATGCCTTCATGATCGCTTGGTCCACGGACAATCCCGTGTTGTCCTTGACGATGCTTTCCAGCATCTGTAATCGCATCTTGTCGGCTGCCTGTTTCTGTAACTCCTCTCTGGACTCTATGACTCGCTGGCACTCCCTCAGTCCCTCATAGCACTGCCACAAGGCTCCTGTGGTACCAAGGCTCCTGGAGATCGCCTCCTGTTTGAGCTGAGCATCTTCCAGTCCCTGGACGAACTTGTCAATGACTGTTTTCAGGCTGAATGTCTCCAGGGCTGAAAGCGGGTTTGCTTGGAATGCTGTGACGTCTCTCGGAGCGTCCCTGGCTCCCATTCGTCTCAGGAGATTCTGTGCTCTATTGTAGTATGCCGCTAGTGCCTCATTCTTCTCCTGAGTGAGCGACTTCCACTCCTCGGAGGGTTGTACCGTTGACTCATCAACAAGTTGGGCTGGGAATCGGTCTCTCAGAGCTTGGTCCAGTGCCTCAATATCCTGGGACAGTGCACCTCCCTCCTCAGCTCGTCGCAAGATGGCTTGCAGGGTCGGGTCGCTGTCCAGGAACGTAGCAACACTTCCCTCCGCTTGCATGTTCACCACCTGGATATATTCAGATGGGGGAGGCATGACGTGTCCAGCCTTTCGGAACTGCCACTTCAGTCTGGCCAACCACCGTGCTGCGGACTCCTTTCCGTCGAAGCGGCCGCATGCTCCCAGATCGGGCATCTCCATCTTGTCCGTCTCAGAATGCCCCCCGGGAAGTGCTTTCGATGACTCAGGGTTGTGAACCGGGATCGGACTCCGAGGAGAACCAGCGTTCCGCAGACTCGGTCTCTCTCCTTGAACGGCTTCTGGGAGGTGTCTTGAATTGTCCGGTCGAGCTTGGGAGGTGGCGAACGAAGTTTCAGGATGTTGAATATCAGGGAACGAGAATAGAAAGCTCTCCTCTTGACTCTGAGAGGCTCTGCACTCCTCTCTCTCAACCCACGAATTTCCCAAGAAGGACAAAGGGTTCAAGAGGCTCGTTTCTGGGTGCATCCACTTCCCAGAGCCACTTCCTTTGGATTCTCCCTGAGTCCTTCCCCCAATGATTGCTGTTCTTTCCGAATCTATAGTCAGGTGTTCCAGGGCAGTCGTGATCTCCACTATCTCTGCAGGAGGCGATACGTCATCCGCTCCTGGAGTGCAGCTTCCCGCGGCCCCAACGTGTTCACGATCTCTCTGGATGGGCGTGTGTTGTTTTGAAGTGTCGTGAGGTCCCAGATCAGTGAGATGTTCGGCGTTGTGTGGGAAAACACCGCTTCCTGTAGCCAACCACGTCTCCAGGCGACTCCGGTGTCTCTCCGCACGTTCCGGGGAGAGCGGGTTGTGGTATATTGCCTCAGTACCGGAAGTGGAGTCGGTTTCCGGAGATCCACTCCTCAGCATCTCCTCTCGAGAGAGCTCGTCAGGTTCCCGGAGAGTTCCGAAATGCTCAGGATGGTAACTTAGTAACTTAGAAAGGGTTTTCAAAACTTAGAACGGGTTTTTCCGGGTTCGCAAAGCTCAGACGCCTGGCCGAGGACACCAGAAAAGCCTTGGAAGCGGAACTTAGTAGAGGAATTTGATGCATGTACTCCTAAGAGTCTATCTAGCTTCCCAGGAGTGGGGAAGGAAATTAAAGTACACCAAGTGCACTAGGTGCACGCCCAGGAGTCCATCTGCTGGTGGGTGGTGGCCTGGGTGGTGGCCTGGGTGCAGGTGGTGGTGGTGGAGGGGCCCCAGGGCATGCGTGGGAACGAACCAACGGCCACTGCTCGGTGGCCCGCGGGACTGGTAGGCTTTGGGCTGGCTGGGCTGGCTGGGTCCGTGTCCGTGCCCGTGTCCACGTCCACGTCCACGCGCGCGCGCCCAGGTTTCTCTCCTTCAGTTGGTGCGACTTCTGATTGTGCTGGTAAGCGCGCAGTGCCGAAGATCTGACTGGTTGCCCCGATGCGGCTTACCTGGAGGTACGTATGTATCCAATGTATGTATATATGTCCTCATGCAGACCAGAAAGCGAGATTGACGAGTCAGCGCCAGTCCAACGTGCAGCCGTGCCGGTTCATCTGTGAAGCCAACGGTCGCACGTCGAAGCGTCTCGGTGCTGATCAGTCTCCGAGTTCATGTATTGTTCTGTACTTGGTGTGTCCAGTGTCGTGAATGTTGGACCGAGTAGCAGCACGAAGAACCAGTCGCCGCTACCACAGCTAACCCCCTGCATGTGCAGCAATGACAATGGGTGGTCTCAAATATTGTTGCGGCCTCACTTTCTTTGTCTGTCTTCTTGATTGAGATCTGAACAGCGAGGTGGAGGGAGGGAGGATTCTCCCCATCATCTTACGTGACCTACAAGTAGCTCTGATATTCCGGGACGCGGGGGGTTTCGCAGCACCCGACTCTATCTTAGGTCCACCACCCACTTTCAGCATCGGACATGCGCCATGCACCAGGGCCTTGCCGCTTTTGCTTCAAGGTTGACAGGCAACCTTGGAAGGGGACGGGATGGCAGCCTCCCACCCAACTTAGGATGTGCATGACAAGTTCTGCTCAGTGCAGCAGCTGGCCTGATTTGACGTCCAGGTTCCAGGCTGCTTCCAAGCTGCTTGGCCGCTTGGATGGCCATGAGGCTCCAGTCGTGCGAAAATAGCAACTCACTCGCAAGTGTTCCCATGTGGTCCCGATCCGTCATCTGTGCGTAGTTGCACCAGGACCTTGTGCAAATCTCGAATCGTCTCAACTATCCGGTAGGGGTGTCTCGGATTCAATACCATCCAGCACGTACAGGTTCGGTCGTAACCAGAACAACTTGAGGCATGGATCAGACCAGCTTACCGTGATGCTATACCTATGTACCCTCTACTATGTATCTTACGTAGGCTCATAGTAAATAGCCGTGCCTCCATAACAAAAGTCCCATCGCTTCTCAGGGTCCGGTTCAACCTGCCGCGACCTCACAGCGTCAGGGGACGTCTTCTGCCAACATCTTATCCATGCATGGGAGGGGTTCTGTAAGTAACAGCATTTCCTCCCGCACATGTTTCCTCGGGATCGACGAGAACCCCGCTACATGGCAGACTTGGGATCGCGTTTGGGTCCCACGTTACGTACGTAATGCATTCTTCTGGTAGCACCCTGATTTCCATCTTCACAATACACGTCCTCAATGTGATGATATCGGGCGTCATAAAGAAAGACGGCCAAGGGCAAAGTGGGTGGTCTATCAGGCTAGAAGCACAAAAGACTGTACACATACCGATGCACATATGGATGGCTCGGCCAGCCCGCGATCATCGACTGAGTATGTCTGCCACAGCTCCGTTGCTCTCTCCCGTGCATCTACCATCTACCTCAACACCGGTCTTGCCTCTGCGAGTGGACACGCCACGATGCATATGTAGTCTTGCATAAGGGTGAAACGAGACACACGTGATATTCACCTGCTGCTGCTGCAGTCCGTCATTGGTCATCCGTAACAAGAACCAATGTTGACGCCCTCCGCATCTCCCTCAAGTTAGAGTCTTCGATGATGAGGGGTGGCACATGCATTGGTGGGTGCTACGGCGTGTTATGTGCTATGTCTACTGCAACGGGCCCGAGTGTGGCTCTCTGAAGCACCGCGGGGCTGACCCTGATCTGATGTGTCCAATATGATGTCCTCCACAGTTTTTGTGCATCCAATGTACATAGGCAGTCTCTGGTCAGCTAGATCCGTGAGATTGGCCACAGAACAAGAAGGAGTGCACCAAAACTTTTGTCCAGGGTTGATAGGCAAGCGTAAGAGGGCTCAAAAGTCAAAATCACGAACTACCTTGGGTATTCTTACCTGGCAAGATACGCCGCTGTCATTGGATGTGCAACTCTTGGCACCCATGTAAGTTCACAACCACCTCCATCTTGCCGTTGACCTGGGTGTTCTTTATTCTATTTCTGGACCTCCGCACAGGCACAGGGCACACACCGGCCCCAGTGGTAGTTAGATGTCCATGGCAGCTTTTCTCGGCCACATCGGGCCTAGCGCCGATGCCGCTTTTACTCAGGCTCGGCTCAGTCAATTGTCAGGCACGTGCCCTGATCAGTGTAACGAATATCCAACTTCTAGCGGTAAACCGTAGAGTTCAGATACAGGTACTGAGGTTTATGCTATCAGGATACGATAGTCAAGAATAACTGAGCAATGAAGTAGTCAAGTGACAATAGTGTTCCGAAGAGATTGATGAGAATAGTCGTCAAGGCTTGATAGGCCTCACCTATGGGTAAGATAGATGCTTAGATTGATCACTGAGGTAATGACTGTCTATGTAGCTAGGAAATCCCTTCCAATATATATCCATTCATCCCCTCATTGACCTGTTGGCTGGATCACCATTCCAGAGGTGATCCTTTGTCCTGGATCACTTGGATCACCGTGATCCTGGTGATCCCCGTGTTGGCTCACGCGCCAAGACCGTGATCCAAGTCACGTGACCTTGAGTCTGTCTGGTCTGTGCTGCCTTCGTCAGCCGCCAGACCTGGCTCTTGGATAATTGGTCAAGGGGCCCCGCCTTCTTGCGTCGGGCCACCTCTCGAGGCCATGTTCGTAACAATTACCGCGCAGCAGTGCGATGACGCCAATTTTGAAATAGAATCCGTGGGCCCCTAAGCCTATTTCTTTACCATTTTCTTTACCGCGTGTTTCGAGTCTACTTCGCTAGGGTTTTCGAGAATGCTGCGATTAAAACCAGGCTTCCGTATAATCTTAAACAGCTCCAGAATATTCTTATTCACCTCGCGGTTATGCTTCTCCCTGTTCTTGGACCACGCCGTAAACGCCTCGATATCGGATCTTGCTTGTTAATACTTCGTCTCTAGATCCTCGACGCGTTTGATAAGTAGCTGATTCTGGGTGTAAAGCGAGGTTTGACCTAGATCGAACGACGACGATGGAGGGTTGTTCGTCGGAGCGTAGTCCCACGACATACTGGAGTTGGCGAGAAAGTCCATATTTGCCGGGTCCGACGTAGCCATAGGGACATCTACACCTGACGCATTAAGACAGAAGGGACTGAGGTTTTGGATATCTCCTTCGAAAGACGACCACTGAAAGTCTTCGAGCGGAGGGAGGGAGTCCCAGTCGATAGGCGCAACGCTAATGCCCTGCGCTTCCGAGCTGGTACACGGTGATTCGGAAGGTGGCAAGGGAATGTCTGCAGGATTGATCGTGTTGGACATGGTGGGAGACGAAGTCTGTGCAGGAGAGGATGTACGATTTCAGAGGGCTTAATGAAGGTTGAAGGTGATGTTGCTATTCATTTCAGGCTTCGGACACGGGCAGCATTTAAATAGAGAAGTCGCTATGAGGGTTTCCTTTTGAGTCCTAAATTTAGCATAACTTTTTCGAGTCCCAGAGTTAGGATACCTTTGAGTCCCAAATTTGGATTAACTTCTCTCGAGTCCCAAATTTGGGATACCAGGTGGAAGGTGTGACCATCCCTTGCTTACAAGTCAGCGGCCGGCAACGAACTCGTCCGGTCTTCACATCGATCATGTAGGGCTGAAAAGGCCCATCATTCGTTACCCGACGGGTTGGTAAAGAGGCACAGGATAACCGCACTCCCCTCCCAACAGCATTGCCCCAACACCAACGCATGCTCGCGAAGACACGCACTGTGAAGTGAGGTCACGATCTCCATACCGCGCACAGTCAAGAATTATTCAGAACACTGTGAACTGGAAATGGGCCAACACGCGCCCGAAAATAAACACGCTGTATAGTAACTAGCAATTCTTGCGTCTCTGAAACAGACGTTGTGGCTCAGTCCGGTGCACATCGAAAGGATCCGGCTGGAAACGGCACACGTTCATTTTGGCCGTTCGTCCATTACTGTACAGCAAGAGATGGGCCATATCGAGATATCGTGTATATGAAGGACGCTTCCGTCCACATGCAGATGGTTGAATTCCGAAGAGCACCACCCACTATAACCAACCGACCGAAAGCCACGCGTAAGGGAGGAGGCAAAACATCGCACCGCAAAAAGCCTTCACGAAGAGCACCACCGTCTAGGAAAAGCGCTCTGAAGGTTATGCGGAAGAGACGAGGCGGAACGTTGCACGGCAAGATCCTCGAATATGCGGACCTCTTCAATTTAGACGTCATCCTTATGGCACATGATAGGAATAGTGGAGAATACGAAGTGTTTAAGCCGAATGAGAATTGGCTTTATATAAAAGATATCGTAAGTCGGCGCGATGAAGTTCGGGTAAAGTAGCTAATCGAAGTAGAAACCCGCGATTGTCCATACTCGTAAGGCGGAGGAGGTCGGTCAAGATCTTGAGTCGGCACTGCAGCGGTTGGAGAAGCTAGTTATGCAAGTAAGAGTACCGAAACCACCGTAGCCCCGCGTGTTGCAATCCTAGAATGTACACAGTTCGATAGAGGGAGGCGGGCGTTAGGAGATGGAACCGTTCTATTCAAGATATGCCAATGCTAAATAATAAAGACTATGTTGTCGTACAGGTCACGCGCAACGTGCATCATGCGAGTTCCCGATCTGGGTGAGGTGAAGAAGGAAAGTTTAACAAGCAACTTTTATTTGTTCTCTACGGTCTCGACTGCCTAGCGAACCCGGCAAGCATAATAAGTGATGGCTCAAGTTAGCGCGGGAAAGATAGGCCTAGGTTCCAGCATCTTCTTCCCCATACGCCGCGGCCTTGTACCTGATGGCGTCCTCCCCGCTTTATTTTCCGGCAGGCGCTTCTGTTCTGCCTGCATCAAGTTTCGAGAAGGAGATGCAGGATGATTGTAGTCGAGCAAGCCTCTATCCTTTGTTGTGACCGAAGTCGCTGAGAGGGCAACTGGCGAATTTCGATAAAAATTATCAGCCGGCATAATATAAGCTCCAGTGCCGACGTTAGCAAGGTAGTTTCCGTGGAATGGGATTTCTTGCGGAAGCCCGTTCGAATTCATACACATGGAGGGCGGGCAGCTCGGTGGATCGCCGACCTAAGGTAAGTTAGGCGCAACCGCTCCGTGATAGACCGGAATCGGTGCTGGCGGAACGCCAATAGATGCATCGCGGCGGCCCCAGACGGGTCCGCCCTGCTCCGATTCGATCTGCACTTTACGCGCCCAGCTCCGACTCTACCGCGAGAACAAGGACCGGTCCACGTCGGCTCGTAAGCCTAACCACCAGGGACGCCGGATCTGCAGGGCTTGAACACACCAGAGAGTGAAATTGGTGTCGAAATTGAGTTGGTGAGGACAGGGTGGTGAAGGTTGAGCCAATGCGTTCGGCTGGATGACAATATCCTTGTCCGCATGAGGGGTCCATTGCTTCGAGAGATCGGGCATCCACTAAAACATGACTCTCGCATCGCAACCGAATAGAATAACGATACGGTCTTTGATCAGTAGAATATCATAGCTTGCGCATGGTCCTTGCGTCGCCATCTTTTCTCCTTCTGGCACATAGGGAACGAAGTTCGTCTGCTCGTCGCGAAAGACATTTAAGGCGTTTGCAAAGTGGGCAGAAGACATCTGGCCGATTTCGTATCTGTTCCTTTTTTTAGGAGCATATCTATTAATAGTAGGTGATGACTTGTGGAAATGGCTGTAGTCGGCTCGCAACGTCGCTATCCAGTGCCGGAAGCCCTGAATGGTTTTATTGTAGAATAAAGGATCACGAGCCACCAGATAACAGAGCAAAATGATTAAGAGGATTGGACAACAAAAAAAGAGACGAAGAACTGGTGACACCACAGCTAGTCAGATACCATGAAGATTGATATAACCGAGCCAAAATCAAGACATTCCCTAGTAACCTTGCAAAAGATGAAGATACTAGGGGGGGTAAAGGGAAAAAATACCCTGATGACTTAAGGGAAATCGTACATGAACTGTGATCCAACTGATAAGATGTTGTGGCTACAAGAAAATATCCTGGTGACCTGAGGAATTACTACGCAAACAAAGAAGATTCCGGAAACGAACCAACAAGCAAGGTATTCGAATTATCCCATGATCCGACAAATCTTCTGTTGTAACAAGTGAACAAAGAAAACGCCGGGGGAAAAACCAACAAATACATCATTAACTGATCCAACAAATTATCTCCATGCATATGACATATTAGCCTTGAGTCACACTTTGCTCAAATGAGCTTACATACAAAGAAACCAGAAGAAACATGTTAATGTTAAACATGGGGATGACCTTAACTCGTTATATTGGGAAATACGTATATGGCTGGAATGAAATCAATATATAAAGGGCAGTGCGCTCAGTATATGCTTCCATGCCCATTAGTATCACATAACTTCTTCTTCACACTGTTCTATACTATAGAACTGTTACTGCCATCTTCTATATCAAGCCAATTTGAATGAAATTATCAGTATGTTTATATCCTTATTTATTTTAGAACTGGTCGGCGTTTCTATATTAACAAACACAGATATGTGCTGGCGATATAAGTACGTATACATTTGTGGCCACGGTTATTACTATGGGCCGAAGTAAATCGAACACGATCCTCGTTGTCGGATTATCCGGTCCGACCGCGTTACCATTGGGCGTTGCAATGCCCCCGGATGCAACACTCCTCTATAATCAGTTTCATACTAACAGTTGGGGTCTTCTGGATTCCAGTGGCGATGAGGCTTGCCAACTCTCGGTCTATTTAATGCGAAAGCATCAAGAACTACAGTTCTTGGTGCAACGGGGGATTATTCATGGAGGCGGCATTCTTCCTTTGCTGATTATCTGCAGTTGGAACTCAGGGTTGCACAGGTATTGAGCTATGTCATTCGTTTTGGAGTTAAGATTGCGTTTTGGTCTTTTGCATTTCGTTACAAGTTGCAATCGAGTATTAGGACGTTTTTGTTGGGGGTAAGATCATTGCTTTGTGGTTTCCCGTTTTGAAGCTCAGTCTTTAGTTTACATATCCGCTCTTTAAATCAAACAACCGGTTCAAATAGACCTCCCTCATTTTAACATCTGATAACGTGGACTTAGAACTTCTTGTTGGCAAGTGCTGTGGTAGTTCAGGCCAGAAGTGTTAACAGGAAAGAGCATCTATATTTTATAGATGGAAAGGCACGTTTACCACACGTAAGCTAGTTTGACCTCATCTTTACATTCTCTTTCGAGAGTGAGTAAGAGCGTGTGATCACTATCTAGCTTCTAGTTAATCAATCCTCGTGATGTTACAAACATGGTATCACTTCCAACTTCCTCTTACCTGCACTTAGTGTGCACTCTCTTTTGCCACACTTCTTAGATATATTGATACTTCACCACATTGTTCGTTCCAGGGAAAAAACAACTCATTGTATTCTTCCTTAATCATGTCATCAACCCTCGAGGGCATTGCGCCTGTGCTGTATAACGTCAAATACCTATCATTAGACTAAGGACAATAGGAGTATTTACCATGGTCTGTCTTTATCCCAAATAATTATACCGGGACGACAAATATCAGCCTGTAAGTCTTAAAGTTAGCAATTGGCCAAAAGAGAGAAAGTTGCACGGTATATAAGTAAACTGTATGAAACATGTCTCGAACTCAAAGAGGTGACGAAAAGGGTAGAGAATAAATCTAAAAGTTGCTTGCCACAATCTGTTTCACCGGAACGTCGGCGCGAATCGACAACAGGATGCTGGCCTCATCTGCCATCAAAAATACCTCTGGGTCGTCCAGAACATGAAACCCAAACGTTTCTAAAACATGTTTGTCCGCTTGTTCGTATAACGGGTCCTGTACATAACACCCGCCATGAGGTAAACATGATTGGAGCGTTAAAAGTAACGCGTGCTGGATCATAGGCCGGTCATCTAATTCGGAGTTCAAAGTCAGAGGTCCGCATCCAAAGGCAACCACCTTATTTAATTTGAGTGGTACTGCGGCTGCAGTAATGACTCGTTGAATCTCTTCGTGATGCTGACTCATCCTCCACTGGCGTACCACATCCTGAAATAATCCATGTAAACCCTTCGTGGAGATAGTAGGCCGATCCTCCCAGTTCAGGTCTTGGTTGTCCTCTAGTTCTGTGGTGCAAGATGTAATCTGCATCGGTAGGAATGCAGTTTGAGGATTGAAAGAACATATGTCGCGTTTGACGGTGAGCTCCTCTATGGAAGAGTAATGAATGATCCTGATAGATTGATCAAAACAAAATTCATATAGACGACAAGTTTACTGACGCATAAACATATGGACAAAGGTATGAAGGTAGAAAATTCAACTTACCATCTAGGCGCCGAGAAAGATGCGCCATCATCTGATAAGCTCGCAGGATCGAGAGAAAGCTCGACGTCCTCGCCATTGATGCCAGTATGTGTAATTTTGCGAGGTACTGACAGTCCCTTCCGGAGAACACCGAGTTCCTCGCCTAACTTTTGCATTGCATCTTTTGTAAAAAGTGGCTTGCCTGCGTTATAAATTGCCTGAATCTCGTGCACCACCGAGTTCCTTTGCGTAACGAAATTCCGAGATAGCGTACTTTCAGTCGTGATTTGGTCAACATGTTCTGACCCGACGCCTTTTGTCGAGGTGGTCGTCATCAGTCACAAGCGACTTGCTGGTTTATTACCGGAGGACTTTTAGGTTTAGGTGGAGGAATATAAAGGTTAGTACTAAAAGTAAATAGTAATATTAAATGATGCTCCAGCTGTAATTTGCGATCAGCAGGCCCGGCCTCGGATTATTAGTCATGCCGACCCAGGTACGTTCATTGGGGGCCAAGCTCAGGCCAAGCTCCGGCCAGGCTCAGGCTTAAAGCGGCACGGCTCAGGTCCCGATGTGGCACCCAGACCCCTATGGACATTCTACTTGCCCGGTAGCTCAGCTTACCGTGCGTGCTGTGGTGGCCCTTATCGCTATCGCTTCCAGGCGCGTGCTCCCCCGTACGGCTCCACTTTGATTCCATTGCGCTGCAGCTGTAGAACTTGACCGCCCAACCGGCAGCCAAGCGGGCCGCCCCTGGGTTTTCGTCTCGCAGTTCACATTTTCCTGTAACTGCACTTGTCTTCACTCCGTCATTCCGTCACCACCACAACACAACGCACCATCCACGGATTGCGCTCCCACGACTGGCACGCGTCATTGCCATGGGACCGCTCCGTACATTCCAAGCAGTCTGAGGCTAGTGATCAGATCTGCCTCTCGACGCTTGCGAGTGAAGCTCGAGCACAGCCGTGTTGGCAAAGAGCAGTCGCTGGCTACAAGGTACGTCGACCAAGCTGTCTCGTTGAGTGCGCGACTCGCGCCTCACAGCCCTTCCCTTCCCCCTAGCAGTAACATGATGATACTCTTTATTGGAGCTGTCTTACCTTTCCCATGGTGACACCATTATAATTACGCAACAAAATCTGAACTTGTCCGCAAACAATCCCAGTCTCCGATTGATCTCTTCGTTTGCCCTTGGCCATACTGACGTTCTACCTGGCCAGCCTCTCTGCCGCCTCCCCTCCCCGTTGAGACGAGCATGCCAAGGTTAGCGTCTGCGCCTACTGTCTTCTAGTCATTCATTCACGGCGTGTTTGATTGCCTGCGTTCGTCGTCACCATGGAGGCCCCCAATGGAACTGTTGCGCCCACGCAAACCGGCGATCGACCGGATCCGGGTGGCTACAAGCTGAAGTTTTGCACTGTGTGCGCCAGCAACCAGAACCGGTAAGTTCTCAACGTGGGCCACGGGCCTACTGTCATCGCCTAACGAAGGAAATTGACAAGAAATAGGTCAATGGAAGCTCACCTACAGCTATCCAAGGCCCATTATCCCGTTATCTCCTTTGGCACTGGATCGTTGGTCCGACTTCCGGGGCCCACCATCCAGCAGCCCAACGTTTACCAATTCAACAAGACGTCGTATGATAGCATGTTTAAAGAGTTGAGCGAAAAGGATGAAGATCTCTACACCCGCAACGGCCTGCTCAACATGCTGAACAGGAACCGAGGCGTAAAATGGGGCCCTGAAAGATGGCAGGACTGGCAAGTCGGCATCCCGCGTCTTGAGCATGCCTCTGACCGGGGAAGCGTTGGTACAGAGGGAGGCGTGGCCGACGTGGTCTTCACCTGTGAGGAGCGCTGCTGGGATGCCGTCATTGATGACTTGCACAATCGGGGTGCTCCTTTGAACAGACCAGTCCATGTGATCAACGTAGACATCAGGGATAACCATGAGGAAGCCTCTATCGGAGGCAGAGGTATCCTGGACCTTGCAGATTCCCTCAACAACGCAGCTAAGGAGGAACGAGACGCCGTCGGCTCAGCCACGTTCGATATGGCCACTGCAGCAAGCCGGGCAACTTTTGATGAGAGGGTTCCCGAGATCTTGGGCGAGTGGCAGGAGAGGTGGCCTAACCTCCCAGCCACTTGGACCTTGGCTTGGTTCTAGTCCGTAGAGGTCAATGAACTATGGGCCACCAAGCAAGTACTGTGAAAGTGGCCAGCGAGAAACCTTCAGGATGAATAATGTTTCTTAACTCAGATGCTGTGCTCAAAAAGAACAAGGTCTGCTTTAATACACATCGGAGCCAGGCACGATACAAGAATGATGATTCTCCTCCCTGCAGCAGACCAGGGCCGGTCAGCTGCCTGTCGATGTTGGTGTATGACTCCGAGCTATCTTTCTGTTTCTGACATAAGTCGCATCCTTTGATGTCCTCACTAGCAACTCTAGTGGTTCATAACGGTGAATAAGACATCCCAATATTTCGGGGTGTTCTCCCATACGTCGTAGGCGTACCTAAACGCCCCTGAGTACTAACCCATCTTGTGTGCCTAGACGCGACCTCCCTGGGGGCTACGTTATTCCCCCTTATGGTCAACACATTTCTACATCTGCCGAGGCAGAGAAGAGAAATCACGTGGGTATGGAAGATAAGCCATTCACGCCTGGCTTATAGGCATGGACTGTGTGTCAGTGTAGCTGTTGCCAAAGACTGCGAATGTTGAAGGTCCCAAAGCCAGTGTAGAGGCAGTCAGCATTCCTACCAGCACGGAGAAAATAACACATGGATTGTGACGAGACATCACGACTACACAGTATAATCGAAATATTTCATTCCACATGTCCAAGATGTTGGGTACTACCCTACAAGATCGTGCCTTGGGTCTAGGCTGTTCGTCGTGCAACTGCGATAATTATTCACTATAAGCCTCTCGGTGATATCGACTGAATGTGATGGTGATGGGCACACGGATCAAACGTTCTCAGAGTGCTATGCCTGAGACTGGTGAGCTTATAATGTGCCAAAGCAAGATGCTGCTAAGTTGAAAGCGAGGCTAAGGAGTAGTCATGTCCGGAACGTTTGTATGGACACACACATGCTTCGAATCGGCCAACAATGCTTGGTATTCAAGCTACGTGACTGCTTTCCTGCGTGTCGTATAATATAGCAGAACAAATGTTGTCACACGGTGCGGTGTAAGATGTCAGTGATGGTAAACTTCAAAGCCGAAGTGACTTTATGACGCCCAGATTCTCCTCACCATGTCCAAGCTAAGGAAATTGGAAAACCGGTAGGTTTGTTATATAATAGTGTACGCTCATAGCATGCCCAAATATTCATACTGAAACATCACCTCACAAGGCTTGTCTTTGCGGCTTGCCAAAGCTCGCTGTAGCCACACTCGGCATATTGCTTCGTACTGCCTCTAGATTTAATGTTGAACTGTGATGCATTGGCAGAGACTCGATCCGTACCATGCGTGAACAATAGAGACCGTCTCTGGTGGTAAACGGTCAAACTCGGGAGCTGATTTGTCAACGAAGATCGAACAGCCAGCATGGCAATCCTACATGAAGAAAAAAAAGAAAAGAAAAGGAGAAAAAAAAAAAAGGTCGCTGCTGCCGGTGAAGGCCTCCGCTATCACAAAAGTGTGAAGTGTGATACTTGCAATTAGTCCCTCTGTCTAGCCATGGATCTTGAAAATAAAAGGACGAATTCTACTTGCTGCTCACATGTATCATATCCCGGAGGGAAAGTGATACAACCTGAGTGTACTCTATAGTGAAAAAAAAAAAATAAACTAAAAAAAAAAAAAAAAAAAAACCATAGAATCTGCCTGCCAGTTGGATGGGACCATATCATCAAAGCTATGGAGCACCAGCTCTCTCACTTTCACGCGGCACTCTTGACGGCCTCTTTTCTTTGTGGCCTCCTTTACTTGGCAAGGACTCTTCAATTCAGGAACAAAATTGCAAACTTCTAGAAATCACCTTGCGTTGTGCTCCGTGGAGTTGCACGCAAGACTAGTGCTTGAACTGATCTTTGCTGGACCCAGCACATACCTTGTCTTTTCGTTGGTCGTTCGTACGGCGCAGGGTTCTCGGCGCAGAATGGGCGGTCAGGAGGCTCCTTTGTGTCCATGCTACTACCGATTCTTCTTAAATGTTCCCAGCAGTGAACAATGGCACCTAGCTATGCGTGGTGCAACAGCTATCGCTGGATAATTGCATAAACCTCGATGCACGAGCTGGATGAGACGGTCTTTCCTACGTCACACAGGTTTCCCCCTTGCAGTGTGTGCCGCAGCAGCAGCCAACAACAGTGTATCGTCGTTTTCCTCGCGCACCAACGTGAACAATCGTGTCATCCAATCTGTAATAGCTCCAGAAACTGGGACTGGAGACGTGATTCCCACCGCGCTCTCCTTTGTTCTCCAACTCTGAGATCTATGTGACGTTTGCGACAACCAGATCACCGGCGACTTCTTCTTCGAGAACAATACAGTCTGATAATATACTTTGTGACAGGACTGTTCACGATGAGAGCTCAGCCCGCAATAATCCAGCGGCATGTGGCGGTTCAGCACCTCCCTGACGTCGGGACTGATGTCTATGTCAACGAACAGTATGCAATCTAGCTTATAGAAACCGACGACCCTGGTGTTCAAGTGGTGTTGTTAACGGGTGACATCTACAACAGGCCCTTGACCGCCCAACCAAGCGGGCGAGCCGTCTTCGGAGGCCTACTCATCGCGCAAGCCATTTCGGCAGCCAGTGCAACCGTGGCGCCGGACCTCCACGTCTACTCCTCGCACTCCACTTTCCTTCGCCCGGTAACCGCCACGGCGAGGGAGAGGGTCGTCTACCAGGTGGACCGCACGGCTGACGGACAATCCTATGCAACTCGTTTAGTCCGGGCAGCCCAGGGAGACAGCGGGAGGGGCGTTTATATTGCAACCATTTCCTTCCAAAGCAGCAAGGTCCCGGTCGCTAATGCCCTGGACTACGGCCCTCCCATGCCCGACCTAGAGGGCCTTGGACCCCTAGAAATCCCAGAGGACCTCAACCGCATAATGTTAGCCGCGGCATCCAGCCCTGGTTCGCCATTGCAGCCAGTCAGTTCTGAGGTCGAAGCGTCCGACCGTCGTCCATTTGGGTTTGTGTTGGCAAACAAGCCTGGAGATTGCCGCGTCCGCAGTTTCGTCCGCTCACAGCAGCCCTTGAATGTCAAGTCCGTGTCGGTGCACCAGGCTGCTTTGGCTTACATGTCGGACGAGATACTCTTAGGAATGGCCATATATGCAAATCCCGACATAGTTGGAGACGCAACACAGAACGTCACGATGGGTGCCACTCTCAACCACATGATTCACTTTCATGATTCTACCGCCCGGGTGGACGACTGGCTAGTTATCGAGCGAACAACTTCCTGGGGCGGTAATGGCAGGGTACTTCTGCATGAGAACACGTGGGATCTGAAGACTGGCCGCCTTGTCATGACGTGCATACAAGAAGCCCTAATCCGGCTCAAGGACGAAGACTCTAAGCTGTAACTCATCCCCATCTTTTAAACTCGTATCGAGCGATTTATAGGGGTGAGAGCGGGAAGAATCGCTGTTGGTTTGTTGAGAGGGCTCAGAGATCTGGTCTACCTCGTTGCAAAGGTCTCGGCATCGACAGCTGGACTTGGATGGACTGGGTAACTTGCCACAAGCTCTGAGATGTTCGAGCCTCCCTGATTGGTCGGATGTTGGTTTTTGATATACCGCATCACACTTACCAAAGCGTGTACCGTAGTTAGAGGCTTGCATCGGGAAATATGTCCAATCCCTCAGTAGGAGATATATTGACCACAGACCCCATCTGTCGTGCACTTTGCACGTTATTTCCAATCTATGTACGCATTTCTGACTATGGATAATTGTCAATGTGCTAGCCGCTACTGCTACGCAGGACGAAGCAGCCTCTTTCTCCCCGTTCTCATGGTTGTGAGTGTACGGAGGCCAGGTAATAGATCCGTACCTTAAGTGCTTAAGTATGTTTCAAAAGAGCGTGTTGGGTGCTGTTATGTTGCTTTGCGGAACGTGCATATAACAACAATTCTGATCCTTGTACCAGACAACGTACCCCACTCACTCAGGTTGACCGAGACTTCCCTCACACCCCTCTGTTGACTGTTTGAAAGCAGCCTTCCTGCTGTCTTTGAGATTGTCTGGTTTGAAGTCTGACATTCAACTGCAGTCATGGCATCGTGGCAAGAATCCGCATCCAGGAAGCGGGAGTCGGTGCTTGCAAAGATCCCGGAACAATGGCGTTTATCGGAGTCGTTCTGTGCAGTTCCAATAACTCCAAATTCGCTGAGCCGCAATGTGACGACAGATGCGTTTCTGCAGACTCTTCCAAGCGCGGCGCGGCTCAGCCAGAGGGAGCTTGAAATTACGTCCGAGACCCGCATTAGCGAAATCTTGAAGAATTATGAGTCTCAGCACTGGACCGCTGAGGAAGTAATAACAGCTTTTTGCCACCGAGCCGCCATCAGCCATCAAATGACGGAGTCTCTATCAGAAATAAGGTTCGTTGAAGCGGTTAACGAGGCCAAGGCGCACGACAACTATCTTCGGGCCAATAATAAACTGATCGGGCCACTCCATGGTATCCCCGTCAGCCTTAAAGATCAGTTCCGGGTTGAAGGTCTCGAAACTGCGATGGCCTACATCGGCTGGCTGGGAAATGTAGAAACAAATCAAACGGAGAGTTTACTCACGAAACAAATCAAATCTCTGGGTGGAATTATCGTTGCAAAGGCGAGTATGAAGCTTACTAAACCACCTATTAATTGTGCTTGAGCTAATCTTGACTACGAAAGACTCGCGTGCCCCAAACTCTAATGGTGGCAGAGACAGTATCGAACCTACAGCCTCCAGGACTGAACCCATATAACAGGCTTCTATCCCCGGGCGGAAGTTCTGGTGGAGAAGGTTCGTTACTCGCATTTCGTGGCTCAGTTCTCGGGGTTGGTACGGATATGGGCGGATCAATTCGAATACCATCTGCCTTCAATCATCTATTCGGGCTGAAGCCAAGCCATGGCCGTATCTCGTACAAAGACCTTGCCAATTCGCTGGCTGGTAAGCCGGTGGTCCCGAGCGTAGCTGGGCCAATGTCGACAACCCTACAAAACCTGATTCATTTCACCAAAGCCATCATCGAAAGTGAAGGGTGCGGAGTGGACCCAGCTCTTATTAACATGCCATGGCGGCAATCGAAATTCGACCAAGTTCGAATTGATGCAGCTGCGGGTGGGCTTTGTTTCGCAACCTTTCCACACGATGGAGTAGTAAAACCGCATCCTACGATTTCCCGGGGGGTAGATTCCGCCATCGATGCAATACGACAAGCTGGACATAAGGTTATTGGATGGGACCCTCCTAGCCATTTAGAAGGCTCTCGAATCTACGCTGGTATCGTTTTCGCAGATGTCCATGACGTTCATGACGCGATCAGGCTGAGTGGTGAGCCTCTTATGACTGCCCTCGAGCCACTATTTGGGAAGGATGAACCACGCAAATCTATGGACATGAAAGATTACTACGCTCTGGTCCTAAGATTCAGAAAATACCAGGAGCAGTATGCTGAGTACTGGGAGTCTACTAAAACGCTCACAGGCACTGGTGAGTCCCCCAGCACCAGCTCTGGAGGATTCGCCTGCTTCATTCTAACCAGCGACTAGGACGCCCCGTGGATGGCATCATCACCCCAGTAGCAGCGCATGCTGCCGTGCGACACAACTCGTTTTTCTCCTATAGTAAGTGCCCAGGAGTCCAATGGCTTACGCATAGTTAACATGCTAGATTATACGATTGTGTATAATATCCTTGACTACGCTGCTGTGACGGTACCGGTCACTTTTGCCGACAAGAATATTGACATTGCTAGACCTTATCCTGAACCTCTCAATGATACCGACGAGAAGAACTGGAATGCTTGTAGGTAGACTATACACTATTTCGACAAATTAACTAATAGTCGAGTACAGATGATCCTGAAATGTATCATGGTGCCCCTATTGGAATTCAGATAGTGGGTCGCAGGTTGGAAGAGGAAAAGGTATTGGCACTAGCTGAGGTGCTCTCAGGTGTACTCCGTGTCACGTCTTCGTAATGTTTGGCTTGGGGTATGTTCAGGGTAGAGCGATCGCCATCAGAAAGTTAGACCTTGCTCAAGCATGAAACTCTTACTATTCTTCAGTTCTATTCTTTCTATCACATTACATGCGAAACAAAGGTATATTGTAGCAACAATGTTTGCTTCCGGTTAAGACTAGGCTTATTAACGCCGAGTAATCTGACCTTCAAGGCCATGATTACTACAAACCCTCGTTCCTTCGTTTGCTTTGTCATGCATAGCCTTCAGCGCCAGTCATTACTCGTAGCTCGATACAGCAAGTGGTAAAAGAATTCTTTTAAAAATATAAAAAGAAGTTTGAAAAAAAAAAAAAAAAAAAAAAAAAAGGATACGCGTGGACTATTATCTAGAATTTGTTCCCGCAGTAGCGTCACTTAGATGTTCGATTGGTACCTCAGGAGGTATAAGTCCCGGCTGCGGACTCTGAAGCCATAATGCCTCTAATTTACCAGTATAGGCTAGTAGCTTTGTTAATGATTCGCATTCGAATCAACCTTTGTTCATCGTAGAATCATTTGACGGACGTGCTAAGTGTTCCATCCTATGGTATTCCCATTGAATCAGATACAAAAGCTTCATAAGTTCGGCGTATTAGATCGGCTTGGCTCCAGCCGAATGTCGTCCATGTCTATAGCCCTACAATAAACCTAGTAAGTTGTCCAATGGTCTTGATGGAAATATGAGGCCACATTCCGCCGGCAATGAATGGTCTTCCGAGAAAATTCGGTTACGCGCAATCATAGAACCCTTCGTGGATTCTCTGTGTGCCACACCCTACCCACCGCCCCTTACCGTATCGTTATGTGAAGGGTTGCCACCACATTGACGTTGAATGCCTACTCAATTGCAATGTCACCATCTCATATAGTATATTGATCTTAGCACGCGAAATAAAGCAATTGTTTGTGTTGGCTCTTGCCAGACAGAAGTGATCGAGTCCGGAAGTTCGTATTTACTCCTATGGTACTAGTACATGTGACGCCAATCATGTACGGTCTGGAATGCGACAGCCCTAGATGGGACATATCCTCCGTGCCAGCCTCAATTCAAATATTTGTTATGTTATTCCTCTAAATTCCTCGCTCAGCTTGTTTTCACTAGACCTCTTCTACCATGATTACCGAGCTACTTTGGCCGCTTCATCCCTCCTGACTTTTCGCGTTGTCATCCGACGTACGCGACATCTGGGCATAAAGGTTAGTAGAGGTACGAAGAAGTCCAATTGGAAAACATATCTAGGAATCCTAACGAAGAATTAGCAGACATGAAGGCAAAAGTCGTCTGGTTCATGTTGCTGTCGGGGTTGGAGGCCGTCGTGGCCATCGCTCCTAGATGCGAAGCTCCTGCGTCATCGTGCCAGGTGGTTCCAGCCTCATCCTCCCAGATATGCTCTTCAATCATTGGTAAGCTAGAGGTGTTGGGTCCTCTGAATTGTTTTAATTATAATGAACTGAATTGGAATTTTTGCAGCGGCCCGAGCCACTTCTTTTGTGACTTGTGAAGCCGCACGCGAGACCATCACGAGCTTCTCCACCATTACAGAAACGCCCATCATCACGCTTACCACAGTTGCTCAGAACGCTGTCGTCACCTCCTCCAACACGGTGACTCTAACTGTTATAGTGCCCCCGTAAGTTGTCTGTTGACTCTCTTCTCTGTGTCTAGTTATCTGCAGTGCTGACTTGCATATGCTTGGATCAAAGGACTCACACAGATACCGCGGTTCTATGGAACACAGCATCGACAACAGTTGTACTTGCATCCACGGAGACTAATATTGGAACAACTACCGTGACTGTTACATCGGTGAAAACAAACACGGCTGCAACCACTATCATCTCGTGAGTCTCCTACTCGTCTCCATAGTCTGGAACATATTCCTGCTAAACTCGCGCGTTATAGGAGAAGTACCTCCACCAGCACAGTCAGCTGGGCTCCAGAAACGTGCCCAACTGCTGTGAAGCGTTCAGGTCGTTGCCGCGGAGTGGCCATTCCACGCGATTGTTGTACGTCTCTCTTGTCCTGCGGCCTTCTTGGACAATGAGGTTAGAACTGATTTTGATCTTCTTCTCAGCCTGCTTCCTCACGTCGACCGTCAGCACCCAGCCAACGAGCACCGAACTTCTCACCGTCACAGCAACGGCTGCAGTTCAGACCGTTCCCTACACTGCCACGCCAACTGATGCAGCCTCGAGGATCGACGTGACGCTAACCATAGTTGAATCTGTTACTGCTTCGGCACCGACGCAGACAGTAACGAGCACCACGACTACAACCTTTACGGAGACGGCAGTTGCCACCACCACAATAACGGTGACTCTGACTGCCTCTGCCGACGCCACGGCGCTTGTCAACCAGACGGCGACGGCGACCACGGTCGCGGCAACGACCAGGACCGAGGACCCATGCGACGCCACCAACGTGTCGAAGTACCTCGTGGCGGGGATCCCATCGAACGAGAACGTCGTCTGGGGCTTTCGAGGGGATGGGTTCAACGACCTCGGAAATTGCTGCTTTAATTGCAACATCAACAGCGACTGCGCGTACTGGCGTCTTAGTAACGACGGCTCGATCTGCGAAACCTACTTTGTCAGGTTCAACACACCGGCGGAGGGCTGTACCACGACCAGGTGTTCTCGGGGTCATCCGGTCCTGGCAATCAGCCCCGGCAATGATGGGTGGACCTATGGCATGGGATTTTGTGGCAATTTCGGGTCTACGTGGATGGGTTGAGCGCTCTAATACGTTGTTGCTCTTTAGTCCACCTGACTCATTAATGGAAACGCAGGAATGGAGGGCCGTGTTCATTTCATACTGTCGTGAGCGACATGAGACTCAAGTCAAAATGTTACCATATATGAAATACGTCATAAATGTCGGGCGGTCACCAATGTTAAACAAAAAGTCTCGCTCTTGGAATTGATCTAGTTTGATATCATCCCCTACCGTCGCATCTACTCGGCTACCTCTCAAACTCGCCATCCGAGAAGTACCTGTCTGGCATATCCGTATCCCACAGAGGTCGCTCAACAAGGGCGACCTCCAGAGGTTTGCGTCCATCGCCGTTCCCGAGTGGTGTTACAACATCATCATCGGCTATTTCCGACTCTTCGAGATGCTCCAGAGAAACGATCCCGAGAATCGGCCGGTACTTCAGCGTGTGCCAGAAGCCAGTGCCTTGGTTTGGTTGGGCATCCGGACCTTTCTTGCCTTCGGCTCTCCGGCGAGATGCAAGTTCACCTTGTAGCTCTTCGTCAGAGTCCTCGCTCTCACTGTCATCCTCGGGTGCACTAGTTCCGTCCGTGTCCATGGGATCAGGGCCATCCATATTGAGCTCCTCGACAGGCTCGCCTTCCACGTAGCGCTCGACCTTGGTAGGTCCGGTAGCGCCGATCTGCATCTTGTTTCCAGCGCCAGTATCGCCTCCTCTCTTTCTTTTCTTCGGTTTGGCTGGCTGGCCGTCAAGAGGTACTAGGGAGGACGAGGGGTTCGCCAGGTCCTCGGCAATGTCCTTGGACATGTCAAGCATGGCTAGGAAAGTATTGCCGTACATCCACAGACGGTCACCCGCCCACAATGCGCCCTTGACAAGATCACGAATGTTGCGGAATTCGACGGGGAATCGCTGCACTGGATTGCGCCTTGACCATGGAGTTATAGAGCCAATAGTCGGGTGAAGGGTCAGGATCTGTGGCCTTGCAGTGATGGCGAGGAGGACGTAGTCATCCATGTCCGCATCATCGTCAGCAGGGGCGGCACGGGACTTGGATGACGGAATGTGGTCCGAGAAGGAGAGGATGGTGGGTGCGTAGTTCAGTTTGGGCAATAGTGAGCCGTTGGGATTACGGAGCCAGCGAGCAGCAGTGGGGTCTTCGTCCTCGTTTTCACTGTCAGAAGTGTCGCTGGCCGAAGACTCGGCGCCGTCGTGGCTGTTGGCTCCATTCTGAACTAGATTGGAATCCTGGTAAATCCAGGTGTCGATGTATCCAGCCATATCTGCCACAGCAAGCATTCTGGTGTCTGGAGAAAAGGCGATCTGGGTAATGCTTCTGTCATATTGCCCAAGCCCTCCAAAGGTAATATGCTTGGGTATGTTCCGCCGTAATCGATTCAACTTGACCGCTCTGGAATGAAGAACAGGTCGATTGCCGTCCTCTGGATCTTGTGACACCTCCAAGAGGGATGCTCTACTTCCATCTTGAGCCAAACAAACCCATCTGCCATCGGGAGAGATTTTCAGGTGCGTGGCTCCCAGGGCGGCAGTGGCAGCAGGGACATCCACCTTGGAAACCTTGAGCTCGTCCTTCCAACCATCGCCTCGCGATTTCAGGAAAAAGGCCTTGACGTCTGACGTTGTGGAGACCAGCAGCAATGAGCCATCGTTGCTGACCGAGGCCGAGGTGATGTTGGCCTCGCCCTTTATAAGAATTCTTGCCAGGAGCTTGCGGTTCTTGCTGGTCTCTGAGTCGACACTGGCGCCGTTGACAATCTCATTGAGAGGCTTCTGAAGGCGCCAGATGTGGACTTCGCGATCCCACCAGCTCACGATCAGTCTTGCGCGGGAGGCGCTCTGGAGGGGAACGCTCTGTGGCAGGTTCGACAGCGATCGGTGGTTCTCCAAGCCGGCCTCCCGCAATGGCAACACAATCGGCTGCGCATCGGGTCCTGTTCAATGAGTTAGTGCCATGGAGAAAGCGGGTGTTTGAGCGACCAAGATAGACAAACCTCCTGAGACTACCACACTCATGCCAGCGCCCTCGAAGGAGGACATGGTTTTGACGTCGTGGCTGTGATACCGCCTGTGCCAGACCTTGCCCCATCGGGAGCCGGAGCCAGACGTCTTCCTGTACAGGATACTCCTCTTGTCCATACCTCCACTAACAATGGTCGACCCGTCGGCGCTAACAGCCAACGACAGGACATCCTGCTTATGGCTCTGTAGCCGTTGGGCCTGGGAGTAGGTCTTGCCATCCCAGATGCAAACCTGGCCCGTGGAGTCGCCCGAGACGATGTCGCCATCGTTCATGCACTTGACGGACCAGACAATGATTTCCTTGGTGCCGCCGGCCAGGTCGGAGCCGAGCGTCATCTTGCGCAGCAGATTGCCGTTGCGCATGTCGTAGACGCGGATGGCGCTGTCGGAGCAGCCAACGACGGCGATGTGTCGGTTCTGGAAGGCGATGCTGACCATCTTGGTCTTCTTGCTGGTGGACTTGACGAGCACGCGGTCGAATCGTAGGTCGCCGTCGTCGATCGAGTAGAGGGCGAGACTGCCGTCGATGGTGCCGGCGACCAGTCGGCGGCCGGACTCGGCCATCTTGGGCGGCTGGCCCTTCTTGCCGGGGATCTCAAAGGGCTGGACGGCGAGACACCATATGTCGCCATGCATGCCGCTCGCCTGCTTCTTGGGGCGTCGCTTCTCGAGATCCCACTCGGTGACGGTGCTGGTGTAGCCGATGCTGAACAGCCTGGACTTGCCGACGAGCACGTTGCCGTCGTGCAGGACCTGGTCGGGCTCGTTGACCCAGACCAGGCCGTCGATGCTCCTGTCCTTGCCGCCGTGGAGGATGGTCTCCTGGTGCCATTGGCCGTTCAGAGGGTTCCAGATCTCGATGTCGCCATTGGAGCGGCCGATGGCCAGGCGTGCCAGGCCGGCCTTCTTCTTGCTGGTGACATGGGCGTAGGAAAAGGCGACAGCATTGATGGCAGAAGGGGGGTATGGCACAAAGCGACAACGGTGAATGTCCATGGTTGCGGCCTTGATCTCGACCCGTCGGCAGGAGATGTTGAGGCTAGACGCGCAGACGAGACTTCGGTCTGCACTGTTGGAACTTTTTTTTTTTTCTCTGGAGACCGTCAAGCCTCGCCTCAACCTTTTTTTTCTGCCGCCTCTAACTTACCAATTAACTATGGCCGCCGGCCCTGCAGGCTCAGAAATTTAAGGTATGGTCTGTGCCGCTGGGCCCCCCACATCGCGCCGCTGAAGCAACTGGCGAATCCCACGTCGCCCTGGGAGAAGGCTTCTGTAGCTCCCAATCACCGTACCGCTGTAACTCCCGGGTAGGATAGCTAGAGAGAGGCTGAGGGGCCAAGGCCAGAGCAGAGCGCCGCAAGAGCCTGGGCAGCAGACGAGGTACAGAGGTACCTTCCAGAGGGTCGGCCCCAGGCAGCCAGCCCTTGAGCCCCCCCCCCCAAAAGGCCCCCAGTAGCCTCACTGTAACGGGAAGGAGGGGCAGCGACACTGCGACACTGATGCGCTCCGGCGGCAACGGCGACATGCTGCCCCACCATTCCATGACGACGCCTACGGTAGCTACACCCCGCGCCGACGAAACAACCCGCTGGAGCAGCCAGAGTGCGGCCGTGAGACATGGCAATGGCTTCGAACAGGCGGAGGAAAAGCCGCGTCGTGTCCGCTCGACTGTCCTTCTGGTGAATGTACCGGAGATAAATCCCAAGTCTCGCACGTAGTCCTTTGTGCTACCCTGGCAGACCCGAGCCCTTCTTGCTCATTATTTATTTACAGCCAGGCAGACCCTCGAAGCAACTCGCCCGTCTGTCTAGCTCCGCTTTTCAGCTTCTGGCCCCGGTGCAGCCGCTTGCGACGTGCGAGATCGTGAAACTGCTTTGAGTCATAAATTGCTGCCTCTCCCCCGTGCTCTTCACAAGAGTCTTGGGCTACCTTGCGTGAAATTCTGCCAGTACGCCAGGTTGGCCACATCTGGTACCAAAGAGCCCGTCTTATACATCACCTTCCCAGCCATCTCCATCCGTCGTTCATCAGCGATTCACCAGCGCGACTGCGACTGTCTTGGTACAGAGTAGAGTCTGCCGGAACAAGCCACGAGCTCAGTCGTATTCCCGCGTCGCCCAAGATGGACTTCGACTGGTCGACACCCTTCCCGGAGGGTGTCATTTCCTTCCTCGACACCGATCTGTACAAGCTGACGATGCAATGTGCTGTCTTCAAGTACTACCGCGCCGTCCCCGTCACCTACGCCTTCACGAACCGCACCCACGAGAAGAAACTCTCGAGAAAGGCCTTCAAGTGGCTAGAGCTGCAAATCAGCAAGCTGGGGAACATTTCGCTTTCCGACGACGAGCTGCGATACCTCCAGACTCACTGCAAATACCTCTCTTCCGACTACCTCGACTTTCTCTCCGAGTTCCGACTGTCCCCGCGGGAGCAGATCGTCACGACATTCAAGCCGGTCGGCGAGGACACCGGGGCCGACGACGATCTCGGCGATGTCGATATCCAGATTCGCGGCACATGGGTTGACACCATCCTCTACGAAATTCCCCTGCTCGCTCTCACCTCCGAAGCCTACTTCAAGTTCATGGACAAGGACTGGAACTACGACGGCCAGGAGGAAAAGGCGTTTGAGAAGGGGATCAAGTTGCTGGAAGCTGGCTGTATCACCTCAGAGTTCGGCACCCGCCGGCGCAGAGACTACCATACCCAGGCACTGGTCTTCCGAGGTTTCGTCAAGGCAAGCAAGGCTGGCCTGGAGCGCGGCCTGCCCGGCAAAATCTCTGGCACGAGCAACGTCCACCTGGCAATGCGCTTCAACCTGCCCCCTGTCGGTACCGTGGCGCACGAGTGGTTTATGGGCATTGCCGCCATCACCGATGACTACGTGAATGCAACAGAGGAGGCTTTACGGAGGTGGGTCGGATGCTTTGGCGAGGGCACACTAGGGATCGCCTTGACCGACACTTTTGGCACAAGGGCGTTCCTGGAAGCCTTCAAGAAGCCTATCAAGTACCTGCCGGGCACCCCCAATGTCCCGTTAGCAAACGGAGATGTGGTCTCTACTCGCACATATGCGGAAGTGTTCAATGGTGTACGCCAGGACTCCGGGGACCCGGCCGAATTTGTGAAGATGATGCGCAAGTTTTACGACGAGCAGGGCATAAAGGAGAAGACGGTTGTCTTCTCGGACTCGCTGGACATTGAGAAATGTATTGAGTACAAGAGAGTCTCGGAGGATGCTGGGCTCCAGCCGACCTTCGGCGTCGGCACCTTTCTCACAAATGACTTCATTCAGCTGAGCACGGGCAAGAAGTCAGTTCCGTTGAATATCGTCATCAAGTTGAGCTCGGCAGCCGGCAACCCGGCCATCAAGATCAGCGACAACGCCGGAAAGAACACAGGGTTGGCAGCCAAGGTCACCGAGGTCAAGAAGATCTTGGGCTACGAGGAGCGAGAATGGGCAGGCGGTGATGAGACCTCGAGATGGGGCAAATGATCGTCGCCAACACCAGCCTGGCATTTCTCTCGGTATTTGCGTTGGGGAGGGAGTTCTCATAGAGGCTTGGACAGGTGTGGCGACATTGAATTTTGATTGATACCAGAGAAGGACCTATACCAAGTTCTCTTCAGTTCTCCTTAAATTCTCGTACGCTCTACGTTGCTACGTGTTCTCCCAGCAATCGTAAATTGTGACACAGACCTTGTCAAAACAACGAACTGGGAACCTTGGGCCCTTCGTTCTTCAATCACTCTAATCGCATCGGGTAACTTATTTGTCGCCATAGAGTCTCGAAATTAGGTAGCAAGCAGGTCTAAACATTCCTTTCCGCTTTCCTCTGGAGTTTAGACTCGCGCGGCAAGTGCCCCCTTGCGTAAAGGCGCCGTAAGGGATTGTGCGAAGCACAAAAAGCAGCCTCTCGAGACGTCATCAGGCGATTGTACAACAGATGATGGCATCTCTCGACTTTGAACCATCTCTCGGCGAGAAAACTCATCTCTTACCGTATGCCATGGACCCCGTCACCATCGTCACCACCGCGGCCACCGTCGTCGGGACGGCCATCAAGGTCTCCAAGTCGCTGTACGACGCGGTCGAGGCGCTCAAGGACGCGCCGGCCGACGTGCGCTCGCTGTGCGCCACTGTCAACAGCGTCAAGAGCGCCGTCGGAAGGCTGGTTGGCTTCATGCGGAGCAGAGACTGCGACTGGCCCGACGGGTGGCTCGAGGGCGTCGCGCAGAACGTCGAGGCTATCGGCGACGAGCTGACTGAGGTAGAAAAGCTCGTCGCGGACTGGAACTCCTCCAAGGTTATAGGAAAGATAGGCGCTACTTGGCGGAGCTTCAACTAGTACTTCAATGCGGATCAGATTGCCAAGTCGACGAGGAGGCTCCGGGATGCCAATGCAGACTTGTTGATGCAGGTTTCGCTCATACAAGTGTGGGTGACATGGCTCCGCCAAAGTCAGTTTCGAGAGCATGTACTGATCCAAGTCAAGCTCTACCACGGCCAAGACCAGTCAGGATTTGGGTGCAGTGAAAAATGCCGTGAGCTTCATCAAGGAGGAGCTGACGGAGAGAACATCTGGTTACAATGGCAATGCATTCAGTGCTGACCTTGCTGCATTCGCCGAGCAGATGTCTTCTCTGAAGGGAGTGCTTTCGATGATGAATTCGCAGCACGTTTCTTTGGATGGTGGCCACCAATTGAATTTCATATCAGAAAAGGGGCGTGATGCTCCACACAACTCCTTCATATCAGAAACTTCTGAGCCTTCATCTCCGATACTATCTCCGCTTGCGGCCTTGAACCAGCAGGCCTACTTGCAGAACCAGCAGCTTTCTAACCTCCAGTTGGAATCCGAGTCCAAGCCACTCAACGTATCTGCTCTTGGACTTAAACTCAGCGAATTACAGCGAAAGCATGAGATCATCCTGCATCATTGCTTCGTAGCTCAGGAGCGCATCATGTGGCTCGAAGAACTGCAAAGAGCTGGGGATGACACCATTGGCCAATTGAGCCTGAAGCTCAGCGAACTGCAAGCGGAGAAGGAGGCAGGCTGCTGGAACAAAATGGCAAGCTTTTTGGATGGCGACCTCAAGGCAACACTGCTCAGCCGGGAAGAGCTTGAAGACCGCGATGCTATCATCACCACGCTGCAAGCCCAGAACGAAGGTCTTCAGGATATGATTAACCAGAGGATTACGTTGGTCGGCTACGAGGACGGTGCAAAGCACGTATATGAAGCCGAGAAGAAGCTGCTCAAGAAGGGCGCGGAGTCGAACAGGTTGCAGGAGGAAGTCGACCTACTTCGGTGGAGACTGAAGGGTGTCGAATCATCACTTAGGGAGCAGCTGAAGGTCAACCAGCTCCTGGGCGATGAGGTGAAAGTGCTGAAAAGCCGACGCGGACCTACAATTGGTGACGAAAGTCGGAAAGAGCTTCTTACTCCTGATTCGTGCGAAACTTACCCGTCAAGTTCGCCCATGTCGGGTCTGGCTCGAAATCGCACACCATCAGGGGCGTCCACGAAGTCTTATACGCACCGTTGGGATTCGAGCTTCTTGCAGACGACAGAAATGCACACTACGATGGCAGCCAAGGAGCGATCATAAACCACCACCAAACGGACCGAAGCCAGTATCGTTAACAATGTCGAAGTTTGGATGAAATATTGAACGGTTCGTTTTAAAATAGTGACAAATTTGCCTAAGACCACCTTCTATCTTAGTATACTGGAAACAAGACAAAAACGCATCTTTAATTCTCTGCTCCATTTTTGCGTACATTCACCCTACGTCTCCCTTTGCAGCGTTTCGTCTGCACGCCCATATAATGTCGCAGAAACTGATCCACCTTGTGTACGGCTTAATTGAATGGCTTTACTGAATTACCAATTGTACCTCCAATAGCTATTCCGCGCGAATGCTGTTGTTGCATTTTGACAGCTAGGGCTATAATGGTCTTCAACGTTGCCGAACGGCCACATGGCGACGAAGCACACCTCGTCTACCTGGCAAGCTCCGCATAGCTTCCACTCTGGCCATCGCAGGGTGTCCATCAAATCCTGTGCCATACGGACAGCTGTCTGCACTGATGACTCATCGGCGGACGGGTTTTCCACCACCAGTGCATGGGCTTCAAACAGCGTTTCACAGATCAGCTTGGCGGTGCTGTCAATCCCGGCGTGCATGAGGTTCTCTTCCGGCGTGACTGGGGCAAAACCATCAAGGTAATGCCTCCTACATCGTTGCTGAGCCGCGTGTAGATCAAAGCCATCGTCCTGGCGATGAATATATCCATCAAGCAGATGACTGAGCAATAGCTTCATGTCTTTGATGGACTTCGTTGCGGCCATCAGCGACAGTCTGTCAGAATACCGAGTCACAATCATGTCCGTTACTCCTTGCCAGTCGACGGCCGACTTTACACCCTCCCAGCTTCTAATTACTGTCCGTTCAACGTGGCCTTTGATTGCCGCCAGTTCCGACTCTGTCGCAAACACAAGCCTCGGGTGCTCGGATCGAGTCGCATTGGGATTAGTGAGGTTCACCGGGTAGAAGAAGGCAGAGACCATTGAAGAATAGTCAACCTGAACTCTGTTACCGCCGATGCCACGGTACCGCTTGGAAGCCGCCTGTATCCATTCGAACATCTTGAATATTAGGTACTCCTTCGACCCATCTATGGGTCCACGTCGATTTGCCGCAACCTGAAGCAGCCCGCCGTCGTGGAAGTCGCAGTATATGACCTCAAAGCCTGGCTCCATACGAATGAGGCCATCGACGCCCCACTGCTTCGACCAGGTGCACAGATCTGCCGCACGTATGTAGTCCTCGTAGCCGCCACGACTCTTATTGCTGCTGAGGATGAAGTCTTCGGCATCGTTCGTCCCCATGTTCGTCTTGCCGGCGGCCATGCCATCCAGGTAAAGTACATTTAGCGGCCGAACAGCTTGATAAATATGGAAGTAACCCGGTTCCCATGCGGGTTCGTTTCCATGCCACCCGTCATCAAAGACGTGGGCCATGGAAGATGACCGGAAGGTCACATACTCTTCTTTCTCGGAATGTGCCCAATTCTGAAGGGGTCTTTGTCCATTCTCTTGCGACTGTGCGAAACCCCGAGTCTGGTTTGGTCGCCGATACCCGCGAGCGAAGTTCTCTGCATGCTCAACCTCGAAAGCGAGCCATTCAAGTGTGTCTGGTATTTTCGGCGTAGTTGCACCATGGTAGAGCATAGTCCCTGCCGGGATGGTCGCAGGGAAGAAGGACATGCCATTGTGGTGCAACGAAGAGCCAAACTGTCGCATGGCATTATGGATCGCATTGAAGATCTGAGGCGCATTTTGGCGTGCTGACTCCAGGCTTGGCCCGAAGGGATCCCGCGACGGCGGCGCTGCTGTCGAACAACTTACCAACAGCAACGCCGCGATCGCATGGACCGACCGGCTTACCATCGTAGCAAAGAAAGCTTCAAAGCCGTCAATATATAACACCTCGGAGCATAGACGGGTTTGCTAGAAGAGTACTGGTGCGGCCGCAATCCAACATGGGCGATTGCGCAGGTCGTTATCTCGGGCTACGCCTGATCAGGCAGCCACATGAATGCACGTCTGCCATTTGCTGAGCGATCAGTCAGACGGCAAAACAGGTGGCCGTGCCGCTCGGTGGCATCTCAGAGCTTAGCTTTATAGAACACTGTTGGTAGAATGGCCAACCTGGTTCGATTGATATTAACTTGTTGGGCAACGCTCCAGTTCAGGAACTTAAGTCTTGATTACGAAATTCGGTAGCGTCGTCTTGGTCAAAGAAACAGTAACTTCGACGCTTAATATATAGTTTTTAAACTCTGGTCTTCGATAAGCTTCTTACACGCCTATAGCCTCCTCGAAGGAGCACTGAAGATTCTTTCAAACTTTCAATAAATTCAATATATGGCTATATGCCAGAAACTCAAGATATACGTTGATCCTCTCCTAATTTCGATACTCATTTTAAGTCCTTTTTTTTTTTTTTTTTCATTTACATAATTATTATTTCTTGTCTCTCCGCCTCCGTGTCTACAGTGACTTCTTCAACTCTATGATCTTCTGCCGCCGTACTACCGATGTCCAATGCCAATAAAATTGCGGTGGCCGATAACTCAGGCTACGGAAGTTTGCCATGGTCAGGGAAACTTTGACTAGAACTATCGAAAGTTGCCGTACTGATCTTCTTGGCTACCACGCTCTGCCTTTTTCTAGACTTGTATACATAGTACCGGAAGAGACACAGCATCATGACCAAAGTAACAGCGCCAATGACGCCGCCCACAACAGGACCCGCCCCTCTAATCTGTGCCTCGGAGTTCAGCGATGATGTATTGCTGGATACGGCCCCAGTGCCAAGACTCGAGGTAGAGGGTTGATAGCTCGGAGCAACCACAGCGACAGTTGACGTTCTGCTGGATGTAAGAGTTGTGGTGACGACTGAGGTAATGGTGATCAGAGTTGTTAGATTTAAGCTTTCTTGACTTATTGGATACAATGATGTTGAGGCACTCCTGGATGTAGCGGAAGGGGTATTGGTCGTGGCTGGTCCAGGGGTATAATGGTCGTTTGGATAACATCCAGAGATGTCTTTTAAAATTGCAGCCGCCATAGCGGCAAAAAATCGATCTTCTGAAGCTTCTGTCTCCTTAAACTGGTGCGTAAGCTGAACACAAGACTCAACAGGGTGATCCTTGTTCTTGCAGTCAGCTTCCGCATCGCAATGTTTCGCGGCCGTGATGCTATACTCACTTCTGATGACTGGCAATATTGCAATATATTCATGAACGTGGCTGCCCCATTTAGACAATTGCCTTTTAAAGTCATATTGTTTGCTTGTTTTGCAAGTTCCTCCGCGTCACTGGCGATATCGTTTGCCTTCGTCGCAAGCTCATTTGCTATCTTCGCGTTCTGCCAGGCGAGAACAGTGAATGCGCCGAACAAGGCTGCTAGAGCGAGGCCCAGTATCTCCAATATGCCGGTGTAAATCCATTCGGAGGCGATTGGCTCCCTTGCAGTTGCTATCTGTCCCTGAAACTCGACGAGTATCTTGAGCTGGTGGAGGATATTCTCTTGCAAAATCTCCAGTTGCAATGCTTCCACTGGGCGTGCGCTGCTTGCGAGGATCGCATGTGGTGGAAACGGGCTGTTATTGGAGCTTCCCATACTGATTCTTGAGTTCTGATCCATTTCCCCTGAGATCTGACACTAGGTCTAGGCGCCTGGTTTAGAAATCGTACGCGCTCTAATGCATAATGAAATTCTTCCATGTTTTCAAGATTTGTCTTCGAGGGGACTTTTCTCTTAAGTGTGTCCTGTGCGCCACATCTGAATTGCGTTCGGCCCTCGCAGCAAACCTGCGGCGCAATGTCTTCTCGGCCCCCCAGTCTTCACCGACACATACGACGCAGCAAAACCCCCAATTTTAAAATTAGAGCACTGAACCGAATGAGCAAAGCTGCAATTGTTAATGGATTGAGACAGCTTGTGACCATCCGTCGGGAAAATCTATATATATCTAGCATCAGTAACGAGGCTACTTGACAGTCTGATCTACCAGCTCGTGCCTTTTCAAAATAGCATGAGGCACTCTGGCAGCACCAACCATTTCGTGTGGCATCAGCAATATCATTCCCGTAATTTTACCCATACAGGATGACAGCCTCTTGAGAGTTACCTCGTCAAGTAGTACGCGACACTCAGATTGCCAAAATAGTCATTGGGACTGTCCTTACCTCCAAAATCACGGGAAATAATGTTGACAATCTAATACATGTGTCATAGAAAGCATTATACCATGAAATTTGTAGTTTTGCTAAGGTTTCAGCATGAGTCCATACTCAAGCTCTTGGCTAGCGGGAGTACAACACACTTTGACTATTACGGCGTATTGTTGATCAGGTTCAGAAATGAGCATTTCTTACAGAGGTATCTTACTATGAAGGTTTCTTTAGTTATTGGGACAAGTAACACAACCAACGTTGATGGGATGTCACTTATTCCTCTGTAAATAGTGACTACTGTATTGATGCAGAACATCACTTTTTTAGTGAACTAACACTCGATTCTTCCCAAATAATGTTCTCTGGCTTGATGCTTGCGAAGGACTTTCCAAAGCCGAGAAGAATGTGACAAGTCAAAACGACTTATTCTCAGCCGTTGAGTTGAATGGTTCAGCATGTTGGATATCAGCTTCAAATTCTTCACTGAAATGTCGATGGCCTCATCTTAATGAGCCAACCAACAACAGGGCATTTTGGCCTGGAGAGACTATATGGCTGACTATAAAAGGGACTTTTACATGGCACCAAAGATGAATGATGTGGTGTTTTGTTCTGATACTATGCACCTGATATTTCTTTTCATCATCCCACAATCATGAGTCCAGTGCACAGAGATACTCCGACTGTGGCCACCACTCAACTAAGTCATTCAACTTAGATCCAGGGCGTTTAGCTTCACACCGATTCACCGGTACCATGGAACCGTGATTCTTCTATCTACTCACATGATCTATGCCTTCACGTAAGAAATCACTTTACTCCTTGACCAAACTACTCTAAATTGGGACTCTTTGAAGTAGCTGTAAAGTTCACGCTACTCAAGTCTGGGCAGCTGCTGGCACCGCGCATACTCCCTAAATCGTATCCACAAGAAAACTGTATGGCGTTAAGAATGATGGAAGCGCAAATGGTACCTGAAATGGATTGGTCATGTATCGGAAGCTGGAAGTCTAGATCTTGTGCATGCAAGCTACAGTCAAAATATTTCAAAGGCATTTTAAAGGCAAGTACTAAAAATAGAGCATACAATTGGTTATTCCGCAGGCATGAGAGAACGCTATTTTAGCATTATCGTGATTGAAATACTCATGCTATTGGTGTTGCAAGACCTCGATGCACTTCCTCAGCCGTATTTGTAAGATCAGTAATTGCGGCATAGTGAAGACAGCACTGATTGATTACTGCATGCTTAGAATTGAAAGTGGATGGAAATAGAACCTGCTCCCGAACTGGCTTGTTTATCGTTGTAGCACAACAGTAGGAGATATTTCGGGATCCAACGGGTTGTGATGTCTGACTGTGTCAGGTTGCGGAGCTATGATTGCGTGATCTGCGCCGGCACCGCCGTCAGAGATCACGACACCGATGATCTCGGACCAAAGGAATAACTATATAAGAGGAAAGTTCCTGGCTGATTTCTTCCCAACTAATCTTCATACAATAGTAAATGACTTTCTCCAGTACAGAACATGGCTGATTCCCCCAGTTACGACGCAGTTGTTGTTGGAGCTGGCTTCGCTGGTGTCTACGCACTGTACAAGCTGAGGCAATTGAACCTGCATGTTCTATTGATCGACAACGCAGAAGACGTTGGTGGGACCTAGTTCTGGAACCGCTACCCTGGCGCATCATCGGACGTGCATTCCGTTGTCTTTCGCTACTCTTTTGATAAAGACGACCTACGCAGCTATCCCTGGCCGAACCACTATGTTACACAACCAGAGGTGAAAGCCTACCTCGGCAACGTTGTCGACAAGTATGATCTCAGGAAACACATTCAATTCAAAACGACCCTACTTGAAGCTGAGTTTGACGAATTGAAGAGCCTGTGGAATATTAAAGCTTCAGATGGTATTACACTCTCGGCACGATACCTCGTGACTGGTGTAGGACAACTCAGCAAGAAGAATATTCCTGATATCAAGAACTTCGGCTCCTTTAGAGGCGACATATACCATACGGCAGCATGGCCAGAGCATCATGACTTTCACGGCAAAAGAGTCGGCGTCATCGGGAATGGCTCAACGGGCAGTCAGGTCCTGATCGAGCTGGCCAAAGAGGCGAAGCACGTTACTAGCTTCCAACGCAACCCGCAGTGGAATGTGCCCAACGGCAATAGACTCGTGACCGAGGAAGAGCGTGCACACATCAACGAACAGTATGATGAAATCTGGGACCGCGTCAAAAAATCTGCTTTCGGATTCAACTTCCTTGAAAGCACGACCCCCACTTTCAGCGTCTCGGACGAAGAGCGCAAGAATATCTTTCAGAAAGCATGGGACGAAGGCAATGGATTCAATTTCATGTTCGGAACTTTCTCAGACATCACGACTGATGAGGAAGCCAATAAGGCTGCCACGGACTTCATCAAGAGCAAGATACTGGAGACTGTCAAGGATCCTCAGACAGCTCGCAAGTTGATTCCCACTGAGCTGTACGCCAGAAGGCCGATATGCAACAACGGGTACTATGAGGTCTTCAACCAGGACAATGTGAGCTTGGTTTCGTTAAAGGAGACACCGTTTACGGAACTAACGCCTACTGGGGCTGTTACATCCGACGGTGTTGAACACCCGCTTGATGCGTTGGTGCTTGCGACCGGCTTCGACGCTGTCACTGGGAGCTACACGAAGATCAACATCCGAGGGCGCGGTGGCCAGACCCTCCAGGAGTATTGGGGAGACAACCCTAGATCGTACCTGGGCCTGGCTGTTCCCAACTTCCCAAATCTATTCACGATCTCTGGCCCCAACCATCCGTTCACTAATGCACCACCTCAGACCGAGGCGCAAGTCGACTTTCTCGCCAGTGTCATTGAGCGTGCCGGGACTCGAGGCACTGCGGAGGCCACCCTAGAAGCGGAAAAGGAGTGGACTGATCTGAGTAACAAGATCGCCGAGGGAAGTTTGTTCCACAAGACTGGTGGTTGGATCTTTGGGGATAACATTCCTGGCAAGAAGCACAATGTTCTGTTCTTTTTCGGGGGGTTGAAGGACTATCACGAGCGACAGGCTGCGATCATTGCAGATGGGTATAGAGGCTTCATTATTACCCCACTCACTTAGCTCGGTTGTGAATAGAGAATCGTTCTAGAAGCAGCAAGCCGTCTGAACAAGCTTTGGATGGGCAGCTTTGATAACACTTTGCGAAATTGATGCATGAGGTGAACTGATATGGAATCAATGCGGGTACCGGTCCGGTAGAGCATGGGCGCGCCGCCCTCAGCGTTAAGAGTCAGTTGCCTGTTCAGGATAGAGCCGCCCGCCGCGATACCACTTACAGGGCGTTTACATCCCTGAGGGCACGGGCCCAGAAGCGTGAAACGTTCTCTCTTGGGCGATCGAGCGGCAATGCCTTCCCTGCGAAGAATAGATTGGCCATTACGGTCGCTTGGAAGGACGGATAATATGTAGAGTTTAACCACTCATTAATTTGATGCCAAGCCTGAATCGCGGGTGGATATGCTCACACGTGTCTGGAAAAGCAAGAGACATCTCAAAGCCATTTATCTCGTTCGTGCATCCCACTAAAGCCAGACAACGGGCTGATGCGCTGTTCTCCACATACGGAACGGTGAGCCCAGCTATCTCGGATATCACAGATCACTATGCCGGCCCTACCCAAGATGATGTGGTCGTGGGCCATCCACCAAAACGGCACGCCCCGTGAGGCCCTAACATTGTCGCAAGTCCCAGTACCAGCAACGCCGCCTGCGGGTACCAATCTCTTGATACGCGTAACACATGCTGCTGTAAACCCAGCCGACATATCGCTGTTCACGGCATGGATACCGTTCCGTGGCCGCCCGGGTTTTGACTTCATTGGCACAGTGGTGGGCGTTGGCCCCAAGGTGCCCGTGCAGATCAAGCGACTGATGTCAGGCATGGAAGTTGTAGGGGCATTAGGCCTTAGCCAGATCCTCTGGGGTGCCGGTACTTTGGCCGAATATGTGCAGATCCCTGCCGAATTGGTGGCCCTGAAGCCACCGAACCTCACGACAGAGCAGGCGCTGGGCTGCGGAATCGCGGGTCAGACGGCCGTAATGGTAATGCGCGAAGCTGCAGTGGAAGTTGGTTGGAGGGTCCTCGTGAACGGGGCTAGCGGTGGTGTTGGAACAATCCTAATCCAGATACTCAAGGCCAGGGGCGCGCTTGTCGTAGGGGTCTGCTCCCGAAGAAACGAAGACATTGTCAAGAGATTAGGAGCTGACGAGGTGAGTCGTTCCTGATGCCTGCTGAACGAGGGGAACGGCAAGGCTGATGCAGTGGAACAGGTTATCGACTATACAACGCACGAGGATCTACATGCATACTTGACAGAGAAATATGCAGGAGATCAGCTGGATCTGATTATCGACTGCGTTGGCGATGATGTATTGTTCACGAAATCACCCGCATATCTCCAGCCTAAGGGCAAGTTCATTGAGATCGTCGGTGGAAGGACACAAGGCATATTGCCGTTCATAATGAACCAACTCAGACCAGTCATTCTCGGCGGCACGCCACGCAATTACAAGATACTCGGACTTGCGCCTTCGGGGAAATATGCGCATGAGTTGGCCCAGTGGATTGAGGATGGAATGGTCAAGGAGGTTCTGATTGATTCTGAATATGACATGAAAGACGTGATCCAGGCGTATGAGAAGTTGATGACAAGAAGAGCGAGAGGGAAGATAGTAGTGAAGATTCAGGATTGATGACTGGTAGTGGCTGTATTGGCTGTACGTGTTCTTATATTTAGCTAGCTATGCTGATTTTAACGTGATGGAGATGGAGCCGCCATGGGTTCCGATTTGCACCTGCTACGACGATCATAAAAGAGAACAAATAGATCTTAATGATGGACAACTTTCAAAAGAGTGAAACGTTTCATGCTAATAATATCCAGGGTATGTCAAGCGCGATGATGCCTTCAGGGCGCCACAGAAGAGCTCTGTGCTATCCCTGGGTATACATGAACGGCCGCACTGCGTTGAATAGGGGAACTCGCAGCCATGTACGATACTGCTGAAGCGATGACTCCCCAATCAAGGATCAGGCCAACTTCACTTATACTGAGACAAGTTGATAAGACGAGTTGATTCTCAGGCAGAATAAGTTGGCTCCCAATAAGGCCGACAATGCATTTGCAGAGCGACCAAGTCGTTGGATAGATGATACCAACCGTCCGTCAGCGGGCAACCGATGAGGGACTATTCGAAATCCAGGCGGGGGAGGGTATAACATATTAACGGACCCGAAATTTCAGCCCATGCAGCTGTTTCGCAATATAAAAGGCCAGATCTTACGATCAGTAGCGTTAGCCACCACTTAGACGACAGAGCCTGTGTATGAGAGCACCTACTGTCTGCCGCTCTTGGGTAACGTCGAGGGAGGGAGTCTCGTGCAATGCTTCTCCAATCTCTGTGGACGCCAGGTCGCTTGCTCTCCTAGATCAACAGCGACGTATGGCCTAGCACGCTTAAACAGGAAGCAATGTCCCACGTGTCTGCATCAAGGCAGGTTCGGTGTTCCCACACGGCGCTCATGATTTTCAGAGCTTCTCTCAACGTTCCAAACTCATGCATTGCGCCCATGTTGCTTACCAGGTCCCGGAAAATCTCTTCTTGATTCGACAAACACAGACAACCTGTCACCGCAAACGGCCACACAAACGTACGCAAACAAAGAGGGCTCGCCATATTGCGGAAAAGATCTATGGTAGCCGAGACGTTGTTTTGGATGTCAGGCAAAGCTGGTTGAAACCCAGAGACTACTACAGCAAGATAAGTGAGAGCTGCCTTTGCCCATATCTTGGTGTGAAACGCTTTCGATGGGGTTGAGTGTTGTTGGCCGACTTCCGTGACCACCTCTAAGCCGAAGTCATAGAAAGGCTGATCAGGCGCACGAGCGGAAGGGTCGAACATCGTATGCATCGGCACTTTGTCCAATTCCTCGATACCAGCTCGTAGTCTCCTCTCAATGCACGTTGCCCGCGTTACGAGCTCAACCATGGATAAAACGCCGGCATTTCGCATTTCTTTCTTCCATGCATCAAGGCCTGCAATCTCGCCAATGGTCAAGATCACCCAATTATGACATCCAAGGAAGTCTTGGATAGGAAGTTCAGGGGTTGGGCCATCAATAAGCTCAGGGTGGAATTTTTGAAGCCGTGGAGCTTGGGCTAGGGCTGTTGATGCAATGACATCCGACCATAACAAATTGACCGTGAGAAAGCGAAAAGATGCTTGTTCGCTAGCCCATGGACGTCCGCCTGTGGGAAACTGAACCTCCATAACCCTAGGTTCTATTCGAGCCAGGACAGACCACCAGGGCTTGATATCGTTAGTTGCGTGGTGTTCAATGATTTGCTCAAATAGAAATAAAGCTGCGTTCAGGTGCGTCTGGCTATTGCTCGTGTTTCCGATCAGAGTCTCGAACGACAACAGCTGGGCGACTCCTTCCAAGCACTGCATACTTTGACGGAAGCAAAACTGCACGCCACGAGAAGTCAAGCACTCCATACTGCCTTGAAGTGCTTTGATCGAGAGCTCCTGGTGCTTCTGGAGCTCATCCCAATTATGCGTCTTGCACTCTTCATGGCCGTCGAGGGAAGACCCTAACATGACCGCGAAGAAGTAGGATGCCACAGATAGAGCCGTGTGATACAGTGGTTTGTTTCTCAGGAGCACGACTAGGAGCCAACCTCGTCCACCTTCAAGCAATGGTGGGCGGTAGAACGGTGATGTGTATGGAAACACGTAGTCCAGATACACCATGGAAAAGTTCAGTTCCCGTTCTGATTCCGGGTCGGGGAAGCTTGCTGTATGATACGGGGTCATACGAACGCCTTGATGAGTGGCATTTGCCATCTGTGCAGAAGCTGGCTGGAAGGGCTGCAGACCGGTCAACGTTGGCTGGCTCTCTGTAGGCAAACCACCTGGACTGGGTGATTCCTTGCTAATGCTAGTTGTGGGCGTATACACTGAGCCACCGCTGGTATCAGCGGACTCGTGCTCCGTGCTTGAGTCCAAGGTCATGGTATTTTCCATACTGACTGCTAACGCAGCGTCGTTATCGTCGGAAACACCTTGGGCTGTCTCATCATTGTCAGTAAGAATGCCGATTGCCCATTTCCTCTCCCGGCGCTCGTTAGCTTTGACCTTGACCATGGCCTTAAGACGATCAGCCATCTGCTTTTCACGATCGCCGCCGTCCATCCATTCAGGCTTCTTATCACTGAAGTGGCATGTGATCTCCAGAACACCGCATGTGGAGCAGACGGGTTTACGCTCATCGCACTTCTTTCTTCTTAAACGGCAGGTCCAGCAGCCCTCTATGTCAAATGACATTAGCTGCGAAGCACATAACGGGCAACAGGCGTGGACTGACGTGAGCTTCTGATTTTCACCGGTGCTGGCATCTTCCTCGTATCCAATCCACCACAAGAGTTTAGAGCTTAGATCGTCACCAAAATCCGTGTTCAAGTTGTAGGGTTCACGAGTTGATCATTTCGCTGTGTTGTATTAATTCTCAGCATGTTGCATGGAGGCAGGAATGGAGGTTGGCCATCGTCCTAGCAGGTGGGTAGGTAGTGATCAGGTAGATTTGTAATCCCGGCCGGCAGCCTTGGCGGCCTGGAATGGTCACTTTGGGCACTCTAACGTGCGGGCTTAGCCACCCAGAGCCACTAGCTTCAAGGTTCTTTAATAGGGCTGACAGATCTGCGATCTAGCCTCCCTCAGCGCATACGTGTCGTGTCCCACTGTATTCCGTACTCCAATTATCATGTGGCTGCTCGCAACTACAAGCATGCAAACCAATATGCGAGGCTGGCCATCAAGCCGGAGCTGTGTGGTCATCGTTCAATCAGCTGGACATATCTGTAATGGGCAGGGAACTTAAGGTGCTGGGCTATTCTCGATGTCTGGGCTGAACGCAACTCTGTCCATATGGCGCGTGGTTTCTTCTCACCTGATTGGGCGAACATTCTGATGTTTAACACGGTATTGAGATAAGTTGGACAATCAAGCTTGAAACACACATGCGGTTTCTTTACTTAGTTATGAAGGTGTACGTGACGGACGAAAAGCCTATTCACAACCCTACTCGCCTACTGACTTGGAACATCAATCTTTATGATACAACACACAACCACCGACCCATAGACTACCCACAACATCCTGTCTGGTCGGCGTGACCATCGGGCACGGATGCGTGTGGCCCTCCCATCCTCTCCCACTGAAAAATGTAGGTCCCGATAAACGCACCAAGTATAATACAGATGATGATATAGCCGTTGTAGTACATAGCCAGCAACATAATCCAATAGCTCACCGCAAACTGCATAGTGCGGATGAGCGCTCGAATAGCCTGCTGCCAGAGATTCGGTCGGAATGATGCCATCGGCGAAGAATTATGAGCACTCTTAGCTATCAAATGTCCGTTCGTTTCGGTCGATGGATTATGTGCAGCTTGCGTGGCTAAAGCGACTGCTTTCACTTGATGCAAGCGGACGAGTCGCTTGTCGTAGAACTTGGCTGCCCAACCCAATGCCTGGAGCAGAAGTACCAGGAGGATCACACCGATACAAAGGCCTGCAAAGCCGCCGCCCGAATGAATCTTCCATGACGATGACAGGAAACAGGTGCCGACCGTGTACCAATTCCACAACATCTAGGGAAGCGTTAGCCCGATGCAAGAACACATGCAGTATGTGAAGTGGAAGCTGTTGCTAAAACGTACAGAGATCTTACACCCATCCATCGTCATTCCACTCATGTTTGCACCCAACGCTGCGGTGGATGTCGATGTGGAAGTCGTCAACATTGATGTGGCTGTCGACTTCGTTGTGACGTCTGGCATATCCATGCCAGACATCATCGGCATTGACATGGAGTCCATAGCTTCTTGGTTGAATTACAGAAGCATGTTCGTTTGACAGACAGCGGCTAACTCGCGCGACGGGGTGGGATCCTGAAGATATTGCTATTTGACGGGCAAGCTTTGATGCAGGGTCTGTGGCGTCACAGAACAAAAGACTCGGAATTTCATGATGATTGGCGTGCCTCGACATTGTGCATTTCTGTTCAAAGGCTGTCGTGACAAAGAGAAGTCGCGAGGAATGGCGTCTAGCTTATTTCAAAAGCGCCTTCCAAATCTATTTTTATCGCAAAGAAATAAGGCCTTGCCACAAGTGACGATCAGCATCGATGTCATCCAAGAGTTGTACCAAGAAAGGAGGAGGAGGCTCTATTATGCCACGGGGATCAAGGCGGATGGACCGACCCATTATGCCGCTGAACTTGGAACTTGCTTTCAGTCTCCAGTCTTTCAACATGTGTTTTCTCTCCGGGGGAAGGGTTTCCCACCACTTCCCTTGTATGAAATGTATCTCCAAGGGGATTGGCGCTCAAGAGGTTCCAAAGCGATCAGCGTGTGCAAACGTGTCTGGTGATGACTACATGTACTGTAAGGAAGGCCCATGAACTATGTTTGAGGACTCCAAGTCGCAGTGCCAGCTCATTTACCGAAGCAGAGTACAAGCATACACACAAGGCACAACCCGCGCTCGGGGACTTATGTAGCTAATGAACAAGACAGAAAACATTCTCAAGTTCCATTCCCACGATTGATCCTCGTTTTTCACTTTAAAAACAGGTAGGCTGTCGCTAGTTACGTGCCTCTGAAGTCTGCCGCTCGGTTTGGGCGGTGTCAGACCTGCTCAGGGATGCCCAGAGCCCTCCTGCTATCGATAGCTGTAGCTTACCCCCGAAGCGCATCGGACACTCGGGCATTACCTTGCATAACACCCCTGAACTTGCCGCCATGGTGGCCCCAAAAGGTCCAATCAGGCGGCGCCATTAATCAGCAGTACCGCGGGAGAGCTTCCCGACTCTGCCCCCCAGCGGGCACTAGACAGCTGCTATCGCATGTCGTCGTATGAGGTGCTGGAAGCTTGCTGGCGAAGCCGTCGAGAAGTGAATGCCGTGAGTGACACCAAATAGATAACCTGGTCCCGCCCGCCTCTTCCCCCTCGAGCCTCACGATGGATCCTCCTACGAAGTATAAGCCGCGACGAGGGGTGCTTGGCAACCCTCTGTACATTGCCATTCCCATCCTGATCGGTCTCTTCTTCACGCGATCACCATACATGACCATGACGGCTACCACACCCACCGAGGGCAAGCCGTGGGCAGATGCCCCGATCAAGCTTATCACCACTCCGCAGTATGAGACCAAACAGGTACGATGTCCCCCATCCTTCCACACCCGCCGAGCCGTCAGAACGTCGTGCGTGACTCGGGCAAGGTCTGCTGCTGACACGGTGCTTGCCTTATACAGACCGATATATTTACCACCGGTGCGACGCACATGGCCTTGCTGCATAACGCAATCTTTCGGGGCTACAACTCGATCTACCAACAAGCTCCCCACGTGAAGCCCGAAGACAAGAGCGACTTTGTTGGATACTCGTTGACGTGGCACAAGTTTGTCAAGTCGCATCATGACGATGAGGAAGAGAACCTATTCACCAAGGTTGAAGAGGTTCTGGGGGATAAGAACATCTGGGCTGAGACTCTCAAGGAACACGGTAGGTTCTGGTCCTAGTCGTAATAGCTATACTCGGCTCGGCTGCTGATGCTCTATATGTAGAAGCCTTCCTCGGCGGCCTCGTGGAGTTCCACTCATACTTGACCTCCCTCAAGTCCCACCAGGATTTCTCTGGGACTGAACTGCAACGCATCATGTCAAGCTTCCAAGAGCCCTTCGATTCACACTTCCACCACGAGATCGCAACGATTGCGGCATTGAAGGACCACTCAAATGCCCCCAAGCCAGGCTCACCAGAAGAGGCCAAGGCTTCGGCGACCTTCAAGACTTGGGGCAAAAAGACAGTCACTCAGGCCGGGACTCTCGATGTAGTTCCATTCTTCCTGTTGAACCTAGACGGCACCAGGGAAGATGGCATGTGGGCAAATTGGCCCCCTATCCCGGCACCCATCAAGTGGGGGCTCGTCAATATTGGCGGTGCTTATTACAGCAGTTGGTGGAAGTTTAGCTCTTGCTCCAATGGCAAGCCAAAGGAGTTGTATGCACTATAAGAGTGTGTTGTTTCAGCAGCTTCACGTCAGTTTTCGGAGTCCTGGTGTCTTTGTACGTTGTAATGGCGTTTCTTACGTAATGCTTGGAGGAATGAGAGTAATGCACGGGGATGTTATGAATGATGCTTGATCTTGAGTATCTAGAAATGTACAGATAATGCTCCAAACCCTGTATGCGGTATCCTTTCTACACTTCGATCGTGGTTTCCTGAAGCCAACCAGATACGTTATACATCGTCCAGAGGAGAACACCCACAACAAAGAGCCAAGAAGAAACACCAGAAATCACATGTCTCTGCCAAACCTTCTCGGCCTCGGTCTTGCTGTTGTTGTGAGGGAAAGGTACATCGGGAATTGGCACATTTAGAATCTTGCATAGTGGCCCCCATCCCTCGCTGACATTGTACCAGAAGAGCTTCTCAGGAGGGACGACCTGCCTTATGTGTTCTTCGTGGATGGCCTTGGTGGGCTCGCGGATACCTTCAGAGCCGTACCTCCACTTGCTAAGAGCCTGGAACTTGAACCCCCATTCACCATAGCCCTGAGCTATTCTGAGCCACATCACAATGACGGGCAGGTACCATGTCGACATCATGCCGTTCATGTTCTTCATACTCTTCCACCAAGACGCTTGCTCACGGGTCGTCACTAGGACGATAGCCTCAGGATAAGCACGCATGATCTCGGGAACCAATGACGCGGCTGGGCAATCCATCGTGGCTACGTAGCCGTCGAAGATTGATTGGATCATCCAGCTCATCTTCTCTTCGTCCTCAGGTGTATGCTGCCTCGGGGCAAGATCCATAATATCTAACCAGGTCTTGATTTCGTGTTTACTTCCTCCCAACGACTGAATACCCGAGTCGTGGCATGGTCCGTCAAGGAGAATACTCAGAGCCTCGTTTAGTGTCTTTGTTCCTGTACGACACCTGTCATTGGTGTCAGTCATGTGGAATGCTCGAGCCGCGGGCTACTCGGAGCCTTCGCACGTTGAAGAGTACCCACATTCCAGCCCCGATCACCCGGAATTGGGCGCCCTTCTTGGGCCTCGAAGGAAGTTGGCCCATTTTGAGGCTCTGCTTAAACTGTTTACCAAGGAAAGATGACGGAATCAAGCCACTTGCTGTGACTTTAAGTTTCCCTTGACCCGCCAGAGGAGAACAGTGCCATTCACTAGACAGCTAAAACCCGGAGAATGCTGCCTACCGCAGCTTTATATCAAGGGCGACCACCTCGATGCACTTACAGTGCAAGCCAGCATGTGCGATGCCAAGAGCCCTCAAGATAAACGCCCTGGGTCTGATGGTCGGTCTTCTGCGACTGAGTTCCATCAAAACGGCGGCCTTGGCCTGAAACGGACATGTAAGCATTGCGTTCTTTCTGGAAGCTCGTTCGCAGTTTGGTATCTCGAGGGGAAGATCAATTCTCCTGCCATTATGAGAAGCTCTCAGAGTCTCCACAAGTGCAAGAACCCCCTGTTCGGCACATGGTACAGAGGCATATCAGGACGAATGGGTGCTACCTGAGGTAACGGGTGGCCGACACTGGTGTCTGGGTATCCCATGCAACTTCTGCGGATCCGACTTGGCGAGTATCGGCACCCAATGAAGGCGAATTGCCCTGAGCTTGTTTTGAAATTCCTTAAAGGGGCGGCACTTCACATGTTCAATCCGCAACCAGTTCCCCGCAACCTTCCTGATTTGTCACGCGCGGCCGGGGTCTGAGCGGTTGGCATGCAGGAACGGTGATCCGCTAACTTATAGCGACTTCAACAATCAGGTAATCAGACAGCTTCATGATCGGGACCGAGTGCCGTCGCGACGACGGCCGACTGACGGACGGCACAGCGGTACATGCCCTGAGTGCGAAGAAAGATCGACGAGTCGTGACGAGCGGCAGCGAAGTGCTTGGCTTTTGGCTAGCCCGCCCAAATGCTACCATGGGGATCGCTGCGGGCATCGATCATACATAGGATTTTGTTGTTTCATTTAGACGCAAGAAGCTAGGATAACGACTGAAGTTCGTTATCGTTAATGCATATCGATCAAGTGTTGCGCAGCTTCGATTGACTTTGAAACTGCCAAGCCCTGAGCCAGCGCTCTGAGCAAAAGCACTTGGCCTTTTTATTTCCGATGCTTCGCTTTATGGCGCCGCCATTCATTTTTGGCAGCAGTCTGACTACATAGCGATTTGAGATTATTTATTTAGAAATGCGAGAGGACCATATCAGTCCCAGTCATGTAAATAATTGTGTTATGAACTCCACTAGAGGACAGGAACTGGTAAAGAGCCTCCTTGTCTATAGCAGCCGTCTGACTACCAACGCCCATGGACTCAACTTGGCCAGAGTCCATAACGCTCCACGACGTCTCTTTCAGTCCTAAACTTCTGTCACATATACACGTTGGCGCATAGCGGACCTAGCTCTAGTTTCACTAAGCATACGTAGTGAAGCAATAATTCTGCATCTCCAGCTAGTCGTCTTGCTAGATTTGCGGCGAACAAGACAAGCCACCTCGGCAACCAGCCCTGATAGATTCAAGTTTCTGGAACCACTGCAACAGATTTTGGGCCCTTTGAAGACTCTCCCTGGGCAGGCTGAGCATCTGGTTGGTCGTCCCCGGTCTTCGTTCCTTCAATGATTGTTGCATGAAACGCCTCTCGCTTAGGTCTAATCAAATTAATGAACATCTTCAAGCAGAGAGACACAGCTCCAGATTGACTTACTTGAGAAACTTCACATCGATGTATCGCAACAGACAAGTCATCAAAATGACAAGCACCCAGAGGGCTATCGAGGATTGCCAACCGTATTTATCTATCAAAAGTCAGATATCTCACATGGCGCTTTATTTGAATACACTTACAATACGGGGCCTGAACGGCAGGCCATACCAACACTTGAGACCACGCCGAGACGCCATAGTACAGGGCAATAGCCACTCCAACAATCAGAGTACGAGCCTCTGGGTCTTGGGGTAGTCTGAAACTTTTGTTAGAATTGCGAAGTATTTGGGCCTTGGAAGACTCACAGATCAGAAAGCCAAGCGAATATCAAGGGAGCCGTTCCAAGGCATATGAATGAGATGAAGTAGCTCGCATATGCCGTGGCTAGCGATGTGGTATCGGGATGCGAGGTCCAGACACTCAGCGCAATGCAAGGTACCAGGCCAATAACCGCTGTCGTTCTGTTAATATAGCCCACTACACAACGCCATGTGAGGCAATCTCTAACCTTGCGTGACGATAAGAACCCATCTCGTTCTTAGCAGGTCGGACAAAATTGCCCATATCCAGACTGCGGTCACATATGAGAAGATTTACGCTACAACGACTCGGAACAACTTACCAAATACCACGTTGATCGCACCTCCGGCGATTGGAATAGCGTTGACCTCAGACGTCGTCCATCTTGCTGTCCCATCCGGATTCTTCAGACTCTTCAAGAACAAGTTGAAGTAAGCGTAACCCCATGAAGCCAAGACTGTAGATATGTATAGGACCGAGACAAAGTAAACAACCCAGTTAGAGAATGTTCGCCTATGCTTGCGTTAGCGAATGGCATCGTTGCATGAAACAACCGACATACTTGGCTCCTGCCCACGTCATTTTCTTGGGCTCGGCACGTCCATGGCGTTCTAGACGTTCCATGGCCAACTGTGCATGACCTTTCTTGAACCAGAAAGCTCTTGGGTTGACACGATTGGGAAGATCAGGCAGCATGACAAAACCAAGCATGCCAACGACGACAGTCATGATCGCATTCACGACGAATAGCCACCTCCAGCCAGCTATGCCGTGGCTACCGTGGAGGGTGTTGGTTATTGCCACTTGGAGTGCACCAGACATCATGGAACCAATAGCTTGACAGGAGTGGTAGAACCCCATCCTTTTGGCAAGCTCAGATGGAGTATACCAATGCACTGCTGCGGTTAGTTCTATGCCACCAATTCTGGTTTTTGTGTGGCTACCACGTGTAGAAAGATGAGATAATCCACTTACTAAAAAGAGTCATCATTCCAGGCCAAGCGGAGCTCTCGCAAAGGCCTAGGAACACCCGCAAGACATAGACTTGATTTGCATTTTTGGTAAGTGCGATCAATCCAGTCACTATTCCCCAGCAGATTTCGAGGCCTGGCAGCCAGTAGCTTGGCCGTACGTAGGTCAGAATGATTTGTGATGGTATAAGCATGATGCAGTACGCAACATTGAAATATGTTTGGAAACTAAACACATAGAGTCAGCACCATTCGTACGCATTTCAGAGCCATACTTACTAGTTGAGTTCATTCCCATTTAACCCCAGGTCTTCCTTCATCCCTGATACGTAGGCATTGCTGATGTTTTGCTGGTCGAGGTCTAATGATCACTATGTGAGCACTTACGAACCATCCGGTCGTCCCGGGCTGCTACTCACACTTGATGACTTGATTTCGCGCCGCATGTTAGCTTCCCCTCGTATGGATTGGCTTTAGGAAACATACCTTGGGAGATGCAACCGAAAGTCATCAGAAAAATGTCCAGTCTTCTGACAAGGTCACGCTCATCTGGCGAGCGCTCGTGGCGCTGCGCAAAGGCCAGGCTTCCGAACCGCATCTTCGAATGTCCAATAACTGGAGTACAACTAGATATACAGTATTTCAATGTTATCGCACCAGCGGTCGCTGATGCGCGATGGGAGACGCAAAGATATAGTCGTCGCGTTATCTGCTCCGACACCCCAATACCCCGCAGAGATAGGCCTCTCGTCTGACTCGAGTGAGGTGGAATGCGACGCCCGTAATCACGAAGTCAAGCAAAGAGAAACACGTAACAGGTACGAGCGGACGGGTCGGGGGTCAAGTAATCTAACCCTTAGATATCTGTGCACTAAGTCGCTATCAGTAATTTCCTACTACAGAATGCGACAATCCATCGGCTCTATTAATGCGCGGAAGGCTATCTGGGACTGATAGGATTGGACATATCAGTGATGTTTGCCATCGTGGCTCCACAGAATCGGCCTTGTCCGACTCCGTGCAGATCCTAAACTTGTCGGGGTCGAGGCCGAAGACGACTCCCCCGCAGCGAGCTCCTAAGACGGAATAGATAATAGGGGCCTGCGTCAGTCCACGACTTTTAATGTAACTTGGCATAGAAGGTCAAATCCCTAACATTCACAGCCTGGAACTGCAAATGACAGAATAGCAACATGGGGTCGCTTGGTAACAAATCTTCTCTACCGGTGGCGAACCCGGGCCTTTCTTTCTGGCAACAAACTACGAGGTCGTTCCCGTACTTGAATGTCAATAGAAGCGAACCGGCCCCCAAAAAGTCAGAGTACGTCGTAATCGGCTCCGGTATCTCAGGGGCGCTGACGACGTTTGAGTTGATCGAGGGAGGCGTATCGCCAGAAAATATTGTCATTTTGGAGGCTAGAGAGGCAGCAAGTGGAGCAAGCTCTCGAAATGCTGGCCATGTTCGTCCTGGTGAGTGTTCTGTCCCATATCTGACATATTGATGCTGATGCAAGTGCGTAGACGCATTCCGCGGGTTTCAAGTCTACCAGAAGGTGCTTGGCAAAGAGCAGGCACTCAAGATCATTGCCAATGAAAAGCTTGTGTTCGAGAAGGTAGACGAGTTCGTGAAAAAGCACAACGTCGAGTGCGATTTCAACCCTACTACCACCTTCGATGTTTGTCTGACGCAGGAGTTCGCAGACTTCAATGCTCAGAGCTTGAGGGAATATAAAGAGGCAGGGGGTGATACTGGTCATATCAAATTTTACGAAGGCAAAGAAGCTAAGCAGAAGACACGAATTGCTCAGACAGTCACCGCATATGAATGGCCAGCAGGATCAAGTCATCCTGCAAAGCTTGCACAATGGCTGCTCACGCAATCAATCAACAAGGGGTCGGCGCTTTTCACTCATTGCCCGGCCATGTCTATCAAGAAATCACCCCGTTCCAGTTCTGAGGAAACGCTATGGGAAGTCACAACACCAAGAGGAACTATCACGACATCGACAATTATCCATTGCACGAATGCGTTCGCGCCGCACCTGCTTCCACAGCTTGCTGCCTTTGTAACTCCAAACCGAGCGCAGGCGCATGCTTTCGTTCCACCATCAGCTCTGAATGGTGCAAATGTATTGCCCAGTACTATGTCTTTGAGGCACAGTCTGAAGCACTTTTATTCCGTTGCTCAGCGAAAACCAGATGGTGTCATCATACTCGGAGCCCCGCGAACGAATCCAAACATCAGCCAGGCTGCTTTGGATAGCCGGCTACTCCCTGACGACAGTGCATTCAATGACGAGGTCAGGGACGACACGCTAGCCAACTTTGCGTCTTGCTTCCCAGAGTGTAGTCCGAAACAGCTGAACCATGGAGAGGGCCTATGGCATTCCTGGACCGGCATCATCGCCATGACACCAGATTCTGTTCCTTTTGTCGGACAGCTACCTGATATGCAAGGCCAGTGGGTGTGTGCAGGATTCAATGGCCACGGTAAGTTTCGGTCTTCTTGGTAGGCTATGTTTTCCTGTCATATGTACTAAACACTCGTATTCAGGAATGGCAAGAATTTTTACCTGCGCCCCAGGTTTGGCCAAATTAGTACTCGGAGGAACATGGGCAGAAACTGGGTTGCCAGAATGCTTTGAGTCAACAGAGGCTAGACTCGAGGGCCTAAGCAATGGCGTTGCAGGGTCGGTCTTTTAAAAGTATCGCAATGAGTTATGATGAGGTGTTAAATGACGTCGGGGCATTTAACAGTAACATCCTGTCTTTCTTCGAATCTCATACAGACGGAGCATATAGGTCTAGAATATGGTGATATTTAGGATACGTATCGTATGATTTGCCCAGTGAGACATGGACGGTATGACATGAAAGTTCGAACAGAATAGAGGTTCCGAGGATAAATATGTCAAATATTGCAGAATGGTGCTGTATAAATCGTCGTTAAAATTGATGTCTTAATTGCACGCGTCACCGATATAAAACCCACCTTTTGGCAAGAAATCTAGTCATGTAACAGGCGATGTAGCTGTACTAAGTAAAGCAAGCCTTTTGGAGTCGTTCACCTACATTTTACTCACTTAATTGTGTACGTTGCATTGCCCATGGAGCCTTCCGGTAGAACTGGAGAAAAACCGGTCCATTGCAGGGGTGGTACCATAGTCGGCGAATACGAAACGCCGTCCTATCCTGGAATCGAAAGCATCTGGGGACGTTCTTGTGCTATCTCAGACTATGATACGGGACTCTGCAAGCAATCACCGGATGGTGATAATTTGGGCCACTTACCTACGCAGATATGGCAATTCTTAACGCTGTTTATCACGAGAAGTAACGATTACTTCTGCCGTTATGAAGAGCGTATAGCCAAGCAGTCGTGATGTACTTAGACCTTACGTGAGACCTAGGAGGTGTATGTGGCACCATCTCAAGATCAAGAGACTATCGTGCCATATTAACTTAGTATTGCATGTAGTTCCGCCTACGGAAACTTGAGCTGCACTCATATTGAACCCCTTTGAGCTCATTGAACGACCAACCGAGCGGGTAAGCCCTATGGCTCCGAAACTTCTCTGTAGCCTCACGTCTAGTGAAATCTTTTTATTTATGATGCTTGACAAGCCGCACTGGCATAAGGGCCCCTGCGGAAGCTGAGAGGTTTAAGATTTCCAAAGCCAAGAAACCTTACAATCTTAACTGAATGCACATAAGAAGCCACCATTGGTCTTTCAGCACAAAGTGGCCAAGGCTAATTCTTTTGAAGATGGGGTGACGGACCTCGTTGAAGGAATACATTTGCCAAGAATTTGCATTTGGAAGGGATTATACGGTAAGGTAAGCACCTCATTCCCTTGCTGAGGAAGCAAACTATGTACCTACTTTCCCCACGCTTGCGACGCGTTAGCGCCCACCTCCGCTTTCAATACACTTGCGCTACTCCTTCCATTTTAGTGCTATCGTAAGAAAATAGGTAGGAGTGCCAGCTCGATTATATACATGGCAGGCATAGCAGAGCTTTTGTCGCCCAAGTTTGGCGATCTCCCCACCGCTACGATACTAGTGTATCGGAACACACGGAGGCAAGGGAGGTTGCTGCAGGTGCGGGACCGTTGCTGTGCGGAACCTTCTGACCCACTGATATGGAGAGGGTGGTAGTCTGAAGACGATTGGTCATTGGTCGTTTGCCTTGACGCACTTGGTCGTCTGCACTGACGCAGTGGAATACAGATTTCCGAATCCCGTGGCTAAACGATACTGTAAGTGGATCAGTGATAAAACCCCCATTCCCATGTCCTCTTGAATTATCTAGTCTTGGCAATCTTCGCCCGTTGCTGGTATACCACGATAACATTGAAACCAAGATTGATCCTGCCTGCAGTGCGTTTCAGCCTTTCAACATGGGAGGCTTGCAATCAACAGGCCTCAGCGAGGTTTATGGTGCAGTAATTCCCGAAAAGTTTCGTTCGAAACAAGAGATGTTTCTCGATGCAGTCAAAAAATACCCGGAGAACCTCGCACTGGCTTGTGTACACCAGCCCAACGACCTGTTCGGCATTCCAAGCCAACCGCTAGACGAGGAGACATATCATAAGCAGCCATATCTACGATGGACGTTTCGGGAACTTAGCGCTGCGGTGTTCCGGTGCGCGGCAGGCTTTAGGGCTGCAGGAATTAGACCTGGAATGCCCTTCTTCACTTTCAACACCAACGGTGCGGAGCATGTGATATCCTAGTAAGTGGCGGCTTTAAGAATCATTACTGGACACAGGATTGCTGATTGGTAGTGGGAAGTTGGGCTTTGGTCGACATAGGTTGTATATTCGTTCCGATCAATCCTCGCAATCTCGTAAATAGGGCAGAAGTTGTGCATATGATCAACACAGCCCTATCTTTGGCACCAGAGGCAAGGCCAGTCGTGATGGTTTCAAGTCCTGACTTGGCGGCATCTATTGATGAGCTAGGGGTCTTCAACCACGGTATCCGGATTGCTGTTACCAGTTCGGCGGCAAGCAAAGGTTGGATCCCTTTCGAAAGCTTGATGTGCTCGGGGTATCCTACCGTGAAATCCGAGGAGGATACCGAGCCAGCGAATAGAGTCATCGATGGTGTGGTACTGTTCACTAGCGGCACAACATCTATGCCAAAGGGCTGTTACAGAGAGCATCCCCAATGGAGCATCTACATCCACGCCGCACAGTGTGTTACCACTGAGGATTCGATAGTGGCCGGGTCCAGCTTTTGTGGAGTACTGCCAAACAATCACGCCATGGGCCATCTTTGCTTGGTGTTCGCCCAGACTGCTGGCGCTGCAATGGTATACCCAGGGCCAACATTCCAGGCCGATACGATGCTACAGACTCTGTTCGTTGAAAAGATTACACAGGTATGGAAGGATACCACTACAACCAAGTTGAAAGCCGTGAAACGCTGACTCATTTTCTTTATAGTATGCATTGACACAAACTCCCTAATTACGATGAAGCATAAAGTCAAGCTGACTTAAGGATTATAGTACTGCACTTGTACCTACGCTTGTTCACGCTCTCACTGGTCTCAAGGCATCGCTTGGGCATAGACTCACTCATCTCAAGTTAGTAATGTTTGGAGGTGCTGTTCTCACGCCGGAAAACCTCCAAACTTGTATTGATGAACTTGGGGCCCAGCGCGTTGAGAATGCATTTGGAATGACCGAGGGGTTACTTATTAGATCTGGCGGCCAATCCGAACTATCAAAAATCGTCGATGGCGACCATGTCGCTGTTGGATGGACACAACCTGGCACAGCTATCCGAATCGCGGACCCAGAAACTAACCAGGTCTTGCCCCGTAACAGGCTTGGTGAGCTTCAATGTTCAGCCCTTTCAGTTTCTCCATACATCGGAGGAGTCAGTGATGATAGTTTTTACAATGATAAAGGCGGTCGTCTGTGGTTCAAAACAGGTGATCAAGCAAGGATGGATGAAACAGGACGTCTTTTCATAACCGGAAGATACAAGGACATGTAAGTTCAAGCAATACCAGAACACGATACCCCATAGGGCAGTAGCTAAAATAAACAGGATCATTCGTGGAGGCGAAAACATGTCACCTACTGCTATCGAGGCTGCCATCTCAAAGGATCCAAAGCTTGCCGCCCTCAACCCACAGGTTGTGGCATTATCAGACCAAATTGCGGGAGAAGTTCCCGTAGCTGTCGTTCTCGGACCTGCTACCGCGGATATAAAGGACGCAATACAGGCTGCCGTCACGGTTAACATGGGAACATTGTACACCCCAGACGATGTCGTGTCATTGCAAGACCTGGGACTATCGGACTACCCTCGTACCATGGCCGGCAAAATTCAGAAAACGAAACTTGCTGCGCTTGTAAAGAAGTGGCATGATGACGAGGAAAAGCGCAATGCTATAGTTGGTACCGAGGAGCTCGCTGTGGAAGTGAGGGACATATGGGCGAAGGCCGTTGGACTTGATCCTGCTCGTTTATCATTTGATTCACAGATTGGAGAGTTTGCCGACAGCATAACGGTCATGAGGGTGAGGGATACAGTAAGAAGAAAAACAGGCAAATTACTATCCATGGTAGATATGGCAAAGGTCGATACCATTTCTGGGCATATTGCGTTGCTCCAAGCGCAAACAACCCCTATTGAAGTGGGGGAGAACCGACGTATTGTCAGGCAAGGCCCGCCTGAGGTGGGAGACATGTCGCATCTCACTGCGGATCCGGATCTATTTGAGCCCACCAAGGAGCTCATTTCGAGAGTCATTCGACCACATGGGCTCTCATGGGAGGATGTTGAGGATGTGATACCGGCCTACGATTTTGCCAACATGCTGGCGGAAACGAGACTTTTCGATAGCTGGGGCTTCAAGTTCTCTATACTTTTCAATAAGAGAAGCAAGGAGGTGAGTAAAACGAGGCTGAAATGCGACTGCGCCTTTATTGATAAACTCTTTCAGGAAGTTAGAAGCGCTATGGAGAGGCTGCTTAAAAATAATCGGATGCTGGCATCCTTCCTCGTCGCTGACCCAGATGTTCTCGGATCTACAGACTCTCTGCATGTGGCCATTCGCCATAGCAAGAAGCTTTTTGATATAATTTTCGAAGATGGAGGGAACCTGAAGACCGTCGATGAGCTCAAATGTCTGGCATTGGACTATAAGGACCAGGTCACATATCCTGGACCGCTGAGCCGTGCAGTTCTGTACAACATCGAGGAAACAAGTGAAGTTGGCGTTGTTTTCTGTGTTGACCATGCTACCATAGATGCGTCGACAGGGCTCATCTTCAATGCTGATTTGGACAAGGCTTTGAAGAGTACCTCACCGCTGTCCGAGCACGTCGACTATAAGCTCTGGGCCGATTCGTACCATAATCAGCGCACATCCTTGGAAGCGAAAGCTGCGACAAAGTGGCATGTCAAGCGGTTGGAGGGCTTAAAAGACCACCGAAAAGCGCTTTGGCCTGAGTTCCAGATGCCCAAGGAGGCAGATGATTATATCGTGGCGAGCTCCGAGGAAGAGGCCGTCTACCACAACTTCGACGCCCCAGAAATTCATGAGTTCCGCAGACAGCATCCTCGTATCACGGCTAACATCGTCATTAAGACAGCTTTGGTCTTGTTGAATCTCCACCGCAACGACTACACGCACGCTCTGTTCGCAAATCTGGAAGCCGCTCGAACAACGTTCCCTTTCCTCCCCAAAGCGGTTGAGGCAACAGGGCACTTCGAGGCTACCGATGTGTCAGGTCCCACAATCCAGGCGGTTATCAACTTCGTTAAGTTCGACCCGGAAGAAACTGTCATATCGCTACTGGAAAGAGTCCAAGAAGACCAGAACAATCTGACAAAATATGCTTCGGCACCCCTTCAAGAAATCATTTCATCCCTGGGCGATGTTGGCAAGATAATACCAGAAACTATAGGCCATCAGATTTACAACTGGACACCTGGTATGGGCACTACGGGTACAAATCCTCACGAGAATTTCACGGTCCTGAATTCGGTGGTAAGAAACCGCTTGGGTTTATCATGGAACGCTGGCCTCGGTGGCCGTAACACCGACATGTTCTTTACTTCCGTCAGAGGTATCAGCTTTGATCGTGAACAGCAGAAGACGCTAGTGCAGGACTGGGAGAAGATCACCCTCTGGCTGCTTCGAAGAGAGAACTGGGATGTGGCAGTGAGAGGATACGACAGTTCATTGGACTAAATTAGGGAATAGGGTCAACATGATTTAAATCGTTGATGCAAGGTAGTCAGTAATGGCCACAGTCAAGTGCTGCCGGTATGGCTTTTGCATTATCAGCGGGTAACATTAAGCCATATAGAACAATGAGCTAGAAATGGACCTGTGTTCTCGTCGCCACATGACTCTAACGGGCCACCAAGGATGGCCCTTTGGAATTCGAAGGACACGATTCGTTGGTGGTTGGCAAAAATTATCACTTGGCAAGATTTTATTCATAATTTCAAGTCGGAATCGACCACAGTGAACTACAGTCTTGCCCTGCCTTTACCACCGTTATCACATCAGGTATTACATTTGCCTCACTGACTATGTTTCCTGCCGTGATGCCCAAGCTTCTTCCCTGGCATGCTATCTGTCTGTTGCTTTTTCTTCTTCAGGAATTCCTCCTCTTCCGCTTGGATCTCGGCATCAATCTTGGCACCTCGAGACGGTTCGTTACCATGCAGCATAGCCTTGCTGGTATGTCAGCCTTTAGGAATAGCAAGGATCGGGTATGCCGTGAACTCACAGGGTACGTCGGGTCTCGTTTGAGCCTCTCTTGTACTTGGTCTTGGATCTGAGATTTGTATCAGTACGCCCATAAAATAACAGAGGATCAGACCCTACATCTTCCTCCCGCATCTGGTTCATAGCTTCCAATTTCCCCTCTGCAGTTGCTCAGCTTTGGTATCACGTTGCATTGCAGACACATGTACGTACTTTTCATATAACCATCGAAGTTCTCTCGGTGGTGCTGATTCTCGTTGTGGAAGGCTTCCTCCTTGAAAGTTCTTTGATCTCCATCTTCGTAAATGTAATGCGCACCCACTTTGGAAGAACTGGCGTTATGTCGACCACTCATGTTTGCTGGGATGTCTTCTCGGGTGTTTGATCGAATTGTGTTGATAAGCTCACAATTTGCAATAGGACGTATGAAAAGATGTACGGGAGCTCCCGCTTACATATTGGTGTTCTTAGTTTAGGTGCAGCTACGGTGTCGTAATGCATCATGCGGGCGTCATCGTTGGTGAGCGTAGAAGTTTAAGACATGCACGATGACAGAACACGTGGAGAGGTGGAAGTTACCTGGTAGACCACTGCCTTTCAGCTCCTCATTTGGTCAGGGTATCCCAAGCTCAGCTTGTATGGGATTTAGTGTTTCCCGAGCTCTGTGCTGGGGATCGCACCGGCCAGCGCGGTGCTTTGGTCACGCCATACCGTGGACAGGAGGCCTATACTATGTACAATATGGTGGAATCGTTTGGCCAGGGGCCTAGACAACTCGAAACCCCAGTTAGCACTCACACTTCCTCTACTAAAGTTGCTGGAATTGACATTCTTTAACTGTCCTCAATGGTATAGCAACTGGTAAACCCTAACACAAGGTCAGAAAAGATTCGGCGCTTTTTAGTTTACTATAACTTATAGGCGGTCACAATTATCCACACGCTGATAGCTTTACGGGCCGGGCAAGTAGTGCCGGCGGTGGCATTGAGGTTACACCGCAATTCGAAGCCATTCGGAGGCTTAGACGGAGTGCAGTGCAGTAACACGTGCTCCACCCGATGCTCCAGCATCATTCGTCATGACGTCAGATCCTGTACTTTAGCCGGTATCATCACAGGATGGACATGGACACCTGACTAGCTTGGGACGCTCTCTGGAGGGTCCGGCCATCTATCCACAAAAGTAAAGATATCTAGGCGAGCGCAGGAGTCGCCGGACGCAGCAAGATGGCCACGCAAATGCACGAGAAAAAGAAATTACATTTTATAATCGTGAGCCGGCACCTAATGCCAGTGTAGATATTGTCACAGAACTGCGGCTGACGAATCATTAGGTCGGTGGCTCTCTTGGCGGTTTAGCTGCTGGGTTGGCCTTGAAAGCCATAGGACATGATACGACTATCTTGGAACGAAACCCTACTCCGGTTCTAGAAGAACAAGGGGCTGGGATCGTTGCCGGCGGTGACACGCTGCAGTTTTTCAAAAAGTACAACCGGTGTGACAGGCCCATCGCAGTCACCTCCCACCGTCGTCAGTACCTTGACAGGGACGGCAATGTCGTCCACAAGGAGGATATGGAGCAAAACATGACTTCAGTAAGGCGAGCCTGTTGTTCATTCAGCTGAGTATTGTGAATTTGATATAACTTTCACTAACAACTCCTGATGCTGACTCGTCATATCGAAGTGGGACCTTGCTTACTTCCTCATGCGCGCAAACTATGATGGTATCAATAGCGAGCATTGTAAGGCACCGAGTCCCGAGGCAACTGACGGAATGGCGATTCACCTTCATGATCATAACGTTACAGAAATCAAGGAGGATGGACAGGGCGTACGGGTCTTCTGGAAAACAAGTCGCGGTGAAGAGGGTAGCATTGTAGGTGACATTATCATAGGGGCTGACGGACCAAGTTCGACTGTGCGGAAGCTCTTGCAACCGGGTGTAGAGAGGGCGTATGCGGGGTACTGCGCTCTGCGCGGGACAATACGCGAAGACAGTGTCAGTGAAGCCACCAGAGAGACGTTCAGCGAGCGATTCACCTTTTTCCATTGTCGCGGGGTTCAGATCCTGGCATACCTCATACCGGGGAGGAACGGCAGTGTGGATCGAGGGCAGCGACTGATTAACTTTGTCTACTACACCAACTTCCCCGAAGGATCGCCTGAGCTCGAAGAGATCATGACGGACAAGCACGGCAAAAGGCGGCTGATCACGATGCCTCCGGGCATGACGGACCCAAATGCTTGGGAGAAGCAGCGCCAGGTTGCCAGAGAGCGTCTGCCTCAGCCATTTGCAGAGATCGTCTGCGGAACCAAGACACCCTTCGTCCAAGCTGTGACGGACGTGATTAGCCCGACCAACGAGTATCTCAACGGGAAGGTTGTCCTTATCGGCGATTCCCTTGCTGGATTCCGTCCTCACACTGTAGCGTCGACCTCGCAAGCTGCCTTTGATGCCATGATCTTCGCCGACTACATCGAGGGCAAGGTGTCAAAGGGGAAGTGGAAGAAAGAGACGATGGGATTTGCTCGATACATCCAGAAGAGAGGCGTGGATATGGGCAACAGAAGTCAGCACGAGGACTTGCCGCTGGAGGAACATATCCACGATCGTAATGTAGCTTCGACACCAAGGGAGAAGGAGGTGTATCCGGATTGGGCGACAGCCATATGAACGGGCTACGAGCCAGGCACCGGGTCGGCAGAGCTTCTAGTCAAGGCGTCAAGCGTAAGGTGTATGTTAAGGCTCCAAGAGAGATGAACCGCTTGGTTGGGATGATAGGTTGGCGAGTGTCTTGTCTTACTTATCGTTTGGCGCGTAAATCCGACCTCGAGTGATCTGTGGGTACACACTACGTAGATGGATGTTATTGTCAAAACAAGCTTGCCAAGTTAGTGAGGCTCTAGCGTTAGTGTGCCGACGGCATGGTGGCGGAAGGTCCTGCACGTTGGCCTGCACGTTGGCCTGCAAACGGCCCTACCTCAGCGACTGCAATCTCGGCTGTCAACGCCGAACGCCCCTTACTTCCGCGCCCAAGTTAACTCCTAGTGAGAAAGCTAGCCAACTGGTTGAATTCCCGACGTAAACGCCGTTCGTGGTGACTGCATGAAGTGATTAAAACCTGGCCATTTCCGTAGCGCGCCATTTCTTCTTGTTCTTGGTTCCACGCGCCTCATCCTGTTGTTTCTTCTGTCGCTCGCTCCTCGATTCCATAGTACCGCATACTTTGGACAATGACGACCTCTATCACGAAAATCCTCCTGCTCGACACGGATTCCGACCAAACCCTAGTTGCCGATGTGCTGGCAGCGGACCCAACTGCGACAACTTTTCTCCTCAACTGCCCCCCAGGAACTGACAGCAATGATTGCGGTACCTACAATGAGAGCGTGATAGTTGGCCCGTGGGCGAAACCGACACCTCCACCAGATGCAACGACTGGAATTTATGATGTAGACATCTCCATGCCAGATGAGAGCTGGTCCTTTCACATCCACTGTGATATGAGCCTGACCGTCCCTGTGCAATGCACGACAACAAATCTCGGAGGCAATGACGACGGCCACCCAACTGCTACATTCACCGTTGCCAGCGACGACATGAGCATGGGCTGGGGTTATATCCCAGTCACCATTACTGCTGGGCTGGAGAAGTTGGCCAGCGCTACCGACTCGGCTGGATCCGTGGTCACGGGCGGTTCAGGCACTGCTGGTACGACGACTCTATCCGGCACCGCCTCGAATACGCAGAGCGCTACGTCGGCGACTGGCACGAATGCAGCTGTGCTTGGCCGTGGAGATCCATTGACTGGCACCCTGGCACTGGCGGCGCTTGCATTTGGGTGGTTGCTACAGTAGATCCTGATCTTTGCACTCACAAGCCCTCATCAACATATACGACTAATAGCTCATTAATCACTTGATATACAGGACTTAATATATAAGCCTAACGGGCTCTAGTTGTTCCCAACGAGTCTTTGTGATTTCTCTTCGCTGGTTCTGTATTCCCAGGTGCGATATTCTTGGGCCGAGTTACTGTCCTGTGATGTAACATCGTGAACTATGTCGGCCGTTTCACAAACCCTACTTAAGTAGGTTAAAAATAACCGATGAAGTCAAGTTCAAAGGAGCTGAGACGACAAGTCGGGTTGATATTCGGGTTATCCATGTACAGGAAGCCCATTCACTCGTATGGCCAATCGTATCACATCCTTCCTATGTGGGGCTCGCTGGGTTACCACAGGTAGTATCACGTCGTTCTACTTCGTCCTTGCGCGATCCGATTACACAGCATCGTACTACAACGCCCCAGCACACATTCCATCGAATCCATCGGACTACCTACACTGGACTCTAAGAAATGCTTCCACTCACAATCAGAAGCAGATTGTTGCAATGAACGAAAGCCCGTTCACAGAAATCCCGACTATCGATTTGTCCTTAGCTGGGGACCCCGCATCATCACCTAAACTACTGGTAGACCTACGCCAAGCTCTTACTCAAGTCGGCTTTTTGTACATATCAAACCACGGCGTTGACGAAAAATATATAAGCGCATTGATTGATGCCCTACCGAAGCTTTTTGGCCTTCGACCAGAAATGAAACAAGCGATTGCGCTCGAAAATTCGCCCCATTTCCTCGGCTATAGTGGCACAGGTAGTGAGAGCACTGGCGGCCAATCTGATCAACGCGAACAAGTAGAATTCGCAACAGAGCTAGATGCAATATGGCAGGAGGGGATGCCCCTATATGAGCGACTACGAGGGCCCAATCAGGTGTGTCATGACCGGTATCTTGTTTCCCGACTGGATTTTAATTCCTGACTTTCAGTGGCCGGAGGCTTTCCCAGAATTAAGGAAGGTTGTGAACGACTACGTACAGGCCATGGCCAGACTGGGCGAGACATTTCTGGGACTCGTAGCTCAGGCACTCTCGCTATCTCCCGAAACCCTCCTATCTTTCTTGTCAGATCAGCACCGTCTAAAATTAGTTCATTATCCAGCCTCAAAGCCTGGTGATACGGGAGCAGCGTCCGCCCAGGGAGTCGGACCACACAAGGACTCCTCAGGGTGGTGGACTTTTCTCCTCCAAGCTTCACCACCAGAAGTAAAGGGCCTGCAGGCATTGAATAAGGCTGGCCAATGGGTCGACATTCCTGTGAAGCCGGGCACATTTGTGGTCAACATCGGCCAAGCTTTCGAGGTTGTTACGGCTGGGGTCTGCAAAGCAACCACTCATCGAGTATTGTCTGGCCTTCAAGAGCGTTACAGCGTCCCTTTCTTCCAAGGAGTACGGCGAGACCTTACCAGAACGGAAGCACGGGCTTTGAGTCCCCATTTTGCGTCCTTTGAGGAGGGCATAGAACCTGACCAAGCCCGGGAGATTGACTCTGCTTTCCTGCATGGAAAGTACGACACGTGGGGAGAAACTCAGCTCCGGACCAAGATTCGAAGCCACCGGGACAATGGGAGGATATTCTATCCAGAGGTTTTTGAAGACTACATTAAGGATGGAAACTGAGAGAATTCTCCTATCCTAGCATTTACTATGTCGTATAACTTGTTTTTACCCTCACACATCGCCTAATCATAATACTTTGCCGACTTTCCGCCAATTATGGTTTGCTCAGACACCTCGCTCCTAGGCTTCTCTTTGGCAACACCTTTGGCTACTCGTGCCTTCACCCACTCACCCGCGGTAATTCCAATAGCGGAGCCATCAGTCGTCTTGTTGTACCCAAGCCGCTCCAGAACACTACTCTCCACAGGCCGAAGCTCGAGAGTGTCTTCGGGGCGTACAAAGTATAGCACCCCCAGACGGTCTACCTCAGCCTGGTCGGGAGGCGGAGCGACCACGCGGTGAATACTACTCTTCAAGAACCCGTTGGTCAGAAACTCAAGAGAGTCTGCGATGTTGACTGTGATGCTCCCCGGGTATGGCTTAACCCATTTCCAGTTGCCCTCCGGAGTGCGGACTTGCAACGCAGCAACTGGCTGGCGGAAAAGTAGGGTCAAGCTTCCAAAATCAGTGTGACCTTTCACCCATACGTTCTCCAACGTTTGGTTTTGCTCTGGCGTTCGGTGATGGTACTTCATATATCGCAAGTGGCAGTCGCTCCTCTCATCATATCGGTGGCGCTGGAGAAAGAAATCTTCCGGCAGCTCAAGGATGATGGCAAACAGAACAAGCAGCTTTCCTACCACATGGTCGTGGATGTGACGAGCAAACCCCTCGATTTCTTGCCGGTTCTCATTGATGATGTCCGGGTGCGACCGTTCAAGTTCCGGAATGAACTTTGGGATCTAAGGCAAAATAAGTCATTTCTCATATTCGTTGGATTCCTCGCAAATCCAATGATAAATGGCTTACATTGTATATCTCAGTGTTGTCATTGACCCCAGGTCTCACCTCCTAGTAGTTTCCGAGAGCGTTAGTAACAAGACCGGCGAACATGACATAGCATACGACCAGTGTGGGGATATACGTACCCGAAGGCCTAAGGGTTTGTATCCATTGTAACCACCATTTTCAAGATCAGCCCTGTACTTCAGTTTCTCATCTGTGGATAGCTGGAAAACTTGTTTGCCGATGGCGAATTGGCGATCCACTTGGTCTTGGGCAAGACCGAAGTTGGTGATATAGAAAAAGCCTTTGGCAGGTTTGATTAGCCACACACCAAATTCCCGCTGGCTGCAGTCAATTGAACTGACTAACCAATCTTCTGGATTGCATCAAAAAGTTGATTTGCCAGACGCTCTTTGCCCCCGGGTTGATCAAACAACGAAAGATCCAGGGTGGCTAAGTCAGCCCAATCGACTATAGAAATTTCAGCTCAATCGTCTCCATTGGAGCAATGGGCATACTGACGTTCATATTTGGTCTCAGGTATCTGATGATACGTGGGAATTGACGATGTGGAATCAGGTACGGACGATGCAACTACTGCAGCCATTATAAGACTTATTGCAATCCTCTTTCACTAAGATAAATTGATCTTGCTTGAATTTTCCAAGAGCGAAAGGTTTGTCCGACTGCTGAAGATATTACGACGATGATTAAGGGACGCAACCCCAGTCCCAGCCCTACGTCTAATATGCATGCAATCAACTAGTTCCGTCGGAAATAAGTCCGACGAGCCTATGTGCGGGGATACATGGGTTCAGTTCAGGACACAGGTAAGCAACTTCGTCCAATATTGGAGCTGAAAGGTGTCGCGATGCTAGGGGACGATGGCGAGATTGGAGACACTACCGCATCTGGTTGGCTGAGAGCAGTGGACCCGGTACTACCACGGTCTGCAACGGGCTTTCATCAAGGAACTCAGTGAGTCTTCAGCCAACGTAGAGCACTCCCTAGACTGAGTGCCGCGGCGCCATGCCTGTGGTAATGGGATCTCTCTTCCAGAGCCCCACGATTCGTGATCCTGGTGGGTGATGGTGCTATAATCCGGCATCATGCCAAGAGTCTAGCTATCAGCGGGGATAGGCTGCGGAAGCTTAAGAATTTAGTACAAAGCTTCGTAGAGCCTCAAGATGATGCCAAGTTCCCCAAGTGATATACGCTGGTAACAATTGCCATCTCAGTCTGATGTCGTCGGTCAAATTACCGGTCGCGGCTTCCAGCCGGGCAGGTGAGTTCAGTGAAGACAGCGATGGGAAGCTACCAAACACCGAAAATACAGTCGCGGATGAACAGAGCACAGTCGAATCAGCCGAAGAAATCCGAAGACAAGCTTTATCTGCATTGACTCCTGAGGAGGAAAAGAAATTGTTGAGGCGCATTGATTGGCACTTGATGCCACTCTGTTCGTTAATCTTCATGTTCAAAAACCTCGATGTCGACAATGTGAGAATTTCCTGGATGCTGGAACATTCGCACGAAATTCTAATTTTTTTCATACAGGTGTCTAATGCTCGTATTATGAATCGTGGGACAAACCAGAACATAATGACACAGCTTGGAATGACGGCAGATGATTATAACCTCGTGACGGTTCTATACTATGTGAGTGCCTCTTTTCGACGAAAGAAACAGAGTGCTTACCTCTATGTGAGATTCCCTACATCATCGGTGAAGCTCCTTCAAACCTGCTCCTCAAGAGATTTTCACCTTCCAAATGGCAATCGCGAATCATGATTACGTGGGGGGTCGTACTCGCTTGCCACTGCGCTGTTACAAACAAGGGCGGGCTATACGCTGCGAGATTCTTCCTAGGACTGGTAGGTTCCCCACCATATGCTTCTATGGCTCTTACCCACCAGTATTATAGGCCGAGGCAGGTCAGTTCCCTGGAGTTATCCTGCAGATGTGTTACTGGTATCGTCCAGATGAGATGTCTCTTAGATTGTTATACTTTTGTGAGCCTAATTAAGCCGATCAGTCTCGCATTTCTTCTTCTAATATCATACTATTAGACATATGCGGCAATCTTTCAGGCATTTTTAGTGGTATCCTGGCCTTTGCTTTCGACCACGCATCTGGCGCATGTGGTCTCTCAGGATGGCAATGGTGAGACATCGCAACTCTACTCGTCTTCACTGCGTCTAACCTCTCTTAGGCTGATGCTGGCAGAAGCCATAGCAACTATAGTTGTCGGTTTTGCTATATGGTTTCTCCTTCCAGATTGTACATTGCCCACTTTCTGCACGCATTTCTTAGACTAATCCATGCACAGTTCCCGAGACAGCGTCATGGCTCTCTGACAGGGAGAAGGCGTTTATACAAGCCAGACTGCCGCCAAATGCGCCACGTGCAGCTGAACAGAACTTCAATTGGGGAGAGATCGTGCAGTCGCTCAAAGATATACGTTTGTGGCTATTCACTCTCGTTTGGGCATTCTACACAGTTGGAACAAGTGGCGTCAGGTTCTACCAATCCACCGTGATTGCAGACCTCGGATTCACGTGAGTCCATTGACAATCCCTATATCAAGTCCCAACCGTGACTAATTCAGTCTATAGGAGCATTGCAACCGCCCAGTTGCTGAACCTGCCAATCACTCTACTCGGTCTATTTGTTATTGCTGTTACAGGAATATTCGCAGACAACGGCCGTCTACCCAGACCCTTATATCCGCTTTCCTTCCTAGTCATTATATTGGCTTGCTATTCCGTGATGGTCATCTACCCGAATACAGGTGGTGTTTATGCGGCAACTATGATCGGTAATGCCGTGACTGCAGCCTGTAAGTCACCCAACGCAAACGGGCATAGGCTGCCTAGTGATACCGCGCAGCCATCATGTCTAGTCTGCCGTTATACTAACACCATGACCAGGGTTTCCTACGATGTGGCCGTGGCGCGTACAGACTACAAGTAGAGCCACCGGGTCAGCCTTCTCGATAGGCTTCGTGAATTCATACGGCCAAATTGGTGGGGCTATAGGCCCACAACTGTTCCGGGCTGCATATGCGCCACGATACCAGATATCTTTCGGCGTCGCCATGGCACTTGTGGGCTGCTGCATGATCACCACGCTGATTACGTGGTGGGTTACTAGAGACACGGAGAGGAACACGAGGAAGTCAAAGTTGGCCAAACTAGCAGCTGCAAAGAGGGGTGAAACTGCCTTTGAAGATGTCATCGATGAAGATCTGAGGAAGCGGCACAGCGTCCCTCAGCAGCGCTAGGGGAAAGATTCGCCTTGTTGCACCCTGTTAGCAGGCCAAGCCGAAATGCCTGCAAGGCATAACAAGGCCATCGCTCAATCCAACGTAGCACCATTCTCAGGACGAACAACAAGCGGCGCTATGTGGGTGATCATTCAATTGCCGAAAGTGAAGGTTGAAAATACTGCTTGTCAGCCTTGATACCAATCTGCAAAACACGCAGGTATAGCTGCAAAGCAGGCAGGCCTGGCAGATGCCTTGCCGGGTCATTGCGCACAGCTGCACATATTCCTAGCCGTGTTCAGCAATGGATCCACGCGCCTTGGACCCGCTTGACTGGCCCACTGGGTGAGACCTTCACCACTGCAAGACGAAGTTGGGCACAGACAACACTGCCACCGCCGAGCAACGGTTCAGCCGATTCATCCGGAAGGCGGTTGGGCGGACTCGTTGGCAAAGCTGTGCCCGGCGACGAATGCCCCACAAATCCGGGAGAGCGGCCGGTGAGAACCCACTTAACGGTTCCACACAACTGGATCCTTAGAATCCTTCGACCGCTCTTGGACAATGACTCGCCGTCTTGGACTGCTAGGCAGAGGTGTTTGCGCTGTCTGATTCGCAATAAGCATCTTGGCCGGCGTCATCTTCAATCAATGTAGAGCTGCCGTCTACGATGACCCACTATTCTCACACCGATGCAAGGGAGGCAACAACTGAATCGTTTGAGTTTCGGATGTTGCGCTGGTCTAGAAGTTTGTTATAAGAAGGCTTGTAGAATCTGCTGTGTACCATTTAGCACACGGCCCGTAGCCTATGTTACCGTCCTCGAGCTCATCTTGTTCTACCTTTTTCTCAAATACAAACTTGATTTTCATCTTGGACAATCATGTACGCTGAATCGATTCTCGTTGTCCTGGTTGGCTTCGCATCCACAGCCAGTGCTGCTTACGACCCTCGAGCACTCAACGGGATTCAAAACCTCAAGCCCGGGGTTGCGGTGCGACAGGAGGGCACCGCATGCACCGCATCCGCCTTGTCCATCGCCGCCAGCATTCCGACTCCGACCGGGGAACTGTTGTCACTTCTCTCATCCTACGCCGCAACAGCTGATGTGACCAACCCAACTCAAGCCTGCGAGATCACCGCAGCCATTCCTTCATCGCTCTCTTCGCAGTACTCGTCTTACGACTCTGCGGTGTCGTCGTGGTACGATGGCGAGAGCTCGAACATTGCAGACTTGATCTCGAAATGTTCTAGTGATCCTCTTGCGCAGACGATCTCTTCCGCGATTGGAGATTTAAATGCATACACAGCGAGCGGATGCAGTGGGCTCACAGCGACTAGCACTCAGTCGGTACAGAGCGAGACTGGAAGCGCTTCCTCAGTTCCATCGACGACGACCCCTGCAACCGCTGGCGTGCCAAAGCCGACAGCTGCGATAGCCGGCGCGGCTGCGGCTGCTGGATTCATCGGAGCGGTGGCAATGCTGTAGAGACACAAGAGAAGGATACGAAGTCGAGGAACGGGACATGTGGTGCCGAAGGAAGGAAGGAAGAATTGCCCCATCCCTTACGGGGATGGTCGAGGTCATTGTCCACTTTGCATTGATACACCCTGAGAAGCACAGAGTCATATACATATACCCCATACTCCAGAATCTAAACTGATTAGCTGCATCGGTTCTCACCGTGCTTTGCAAATTTTCTACTAAAAACATGGTAATGTGAGATGATGAGTGCATATGACCCTGGCCATTGCGGGCAAGAATATTATGCTTGCGATGATACCAGGAGAGTCCTACACTAGTCGGGACTATCGACATAGTATCCCGAATGATCCTGGGCCATCTCGTTTCATATCCTTGTGACCGGGAGGCTGCCAATTGGCCATTTATACCCTAGTCGGATTCTGATCGATTGCGTTTGCTACCGTACCACTCAATTGTGATAGCCAATGGTCTTACAAAGTTCAGTCCCGCTTGTTTTGGCACAACTCCTTCCAACTTTGCCGTCTGTGAAACTGAGTATACTGCACCTTCCCCCACATAGAGTATAACATGACACGCAAACTGGCCCACAGAGCCCTTCGAGCATTCAATGGCCAAGGTAATGCAGTGGCTGTACCCGTTATTTTCACGTCGCTCACTTCGTTGCCTTCGAGCTGGAGCTGATACTGTGGATGCATTGTCTCGGACTGGTACCCAGTTGAGGTTATGCTTCACTTTATATCTCACCTTTCGTTGCTAGAATGTTCTCTTCTATAAAGACACGAAAGCACAACGAGCAGCGGTGCCATAGTCTCAAGGCCGAAAAGAGCCTAAAAAAATATGTCTGTTTATTTCCTCACGTGCTTCTCAGAGATCAGAATGATACTGATACTACTGTTAATGATGATCATCGATGCTTAAAGGCTCAACAGTGACCAGGTCATCATCGTTGTCATGCATTTGGATGCCGCCCCAACTCTCCTCCTCATCGTCTGTATGATTATCATGATCGTCCGTAGCCGTGTAGCTTGGTGGTGGTGGCCGGTTGTCCTTATGACCCAGTGTACTCCATGCCTGCGTCGAGGGCGTCGAGCTGGAGCCTACGTTGGTGTTCCAGCTGGTCAGAGGGTCATTTGCCTCAGGGAGCGGCGATGGCGTCTTCGCGGCTGAGTTCGCCTTATGCGCTTCCGCAACCTTGTCTCCCATCAGCTTCGCATCCTTCACGACTGGGTCGCTCTTTTGTTCTTGGACGTTCTTTACCCTAGGGTCGAATTTCTCGTTTGCCATGTCTTGAGCATTGTGCTTCGAAGGCCCCAACTTCTTCTTACCGCTGTCGTCGAAGTCGATCAGGTTGCCCGTCTCGGCATAATCGTCGTTGCGCAGCTTGATGTGGGCTTCCTCCTTCTCGATTTTGTTGTCACCACCCTTGACATTGTTGAACCCACAGCGAGCCAGAATTTGGGCGATGAGTCCAGGGTATCTAAGATGACCTTCTACCTCCTCACTGAGGTTGAGATTCTCAACGCCATCGACCTCATCAATGATGGGTTGGAGACCGGCAATGCCCAATTGAGCGCTTGTGGCTCTGTAGAGAAAGGCGAGGATATAGTCGTTCTCACTGTACACGTTGAAGAGTTTTCCGGTGACAACCGTTCTCATCATCTGCCAATGTCCGGGGTTTGAGGGGACGGGTGATCCGATGAGAACAACAGTATCCACAAGTCCGAATGCCTTTCGCTCAGCCAACTCTCTCAGACAATAGTAGATCACGCGGGCACCGAGAGAATAACCGATGAGGGTCACGGGACGTTCGCCTTGGACCCTATTGATCAAAGCATCGGCAAGGATCTTTCCTGCCTTCTCTGACCTGTTTCGTGCGAGACTGAAGGGATTATCGATTTTCGAAGCCATCATGACGAGGTGGATCGGCCACATAGCTCCCCATAGGGTTGCCAAAACTGTGCGCTTCAAGATCTCTGATTTGATGGCGCTCCAAGCATACGAAGCCACGAGCTCTTCAAGCGAGACCCCAAGGGCGAGTAGGCTCTGCATTTCGTATCTCAGCGCGAAGACCTCAGACTCATCCCCAAGGGGACGCCAGTACTTGGTGACATCTCCCTCTTCTTGCAGCCAGCCGTTCACTCCAATAGTGACCCGCAATCTTCTTGCTTCTGGTCCATTCTTCTTAGAGTGTGGGCCCCATTCTTCTTTCAGAGGTAGGAAGCGAAAATCTTCAACCTCCTTGGCATACTGATCGATCATCTCGCCTGTCATCTTGGCCCCAAATGCTCCGAAGAGTGTACCGACCAGAGCCCCGTTCATCCAGAAGATACCTAAGAAGCTTGCTAGACCACCCAGTCCGACGCTTCCCATCAGACCTCCTACGGCACCTGCAACGAGTGGCGCCGCGAGTCCGCCAGTGACACCAATGATCGCGGCACCAGCCACTGATGCCAGACCAACCTTCCAAAAACGACCGGCCTTCCCAGACTCGGCGCGCTTTTGAGCCTCGGCATCAGCAGACATACCGCTCTTCTTCTGCTCATCGGCCTTTTGCGCCGACTCAACCATGGTGGTGGCAATCTCAACTTCCTCATGGTCGAGGAACTTGGGCGATACCTCCAAGGCCGAGGACAAATAGCAAATCAAGGTTCTTGAGTAAGCGGAATAGTTGCCAGTGCTTAGCAATAGCAGCAACACGCTGCTCAAGACCTCTTGGCGGTCCTCGAGGGGTATGGTCGTAAGTCTGGTAGGTATAGGATGGTACAGACTCTGGATGGACTCTAGTTGCTTCTGCGCACTTTGGTTGCTTGATCCAGGGGTGTCGCCAAAGCTCAGCAAATCTTCACCCTCGCTCGGCTGTTCAGCCTTCTTCTTTGCGATGATCTCATTTCGTTTCCTGCGCGCATCCAGGACCTTTTGATCGTCCGGTGCGGAGACGATTTCCTTGAGTTTTCCAAGCACCTCATCTCTCCATGAGTCAAAGTGCTTCAGTGCCGCCTTGCGCAGTTTGATCAGTGCCAAAGGGGGAGGACTTGGGCCCAAGGGCTGCTGCTGCTGTTGCTGCCCCGTCGGGCTCTGGGGCGTACCAGGGCCCTCGCTGCGGGGCGAGAAGAGCGGTGCATCACCTGTTCCAGAACTCTCGCTGGGGTTTCGCGACGGGAGAGGCGGAGGAGAGTCGTCTGGAGATTGTGATATTTCTAGCTGGGTACGCATGTAGGCCACGATCTCGGCAATGAGCCCATACAGCGCCTTGCGCCGGGCGACGTTGAGCGTCACCAGAATTAGGCGGGGATCAGTGCTTAGGGGCGCCATGTTCCCTTCAGGTGCAGCGAAAGGCTGAAAGGGTTGACTCCCGAAGTCCTTCGGGCGCTCGCTCTAAATGCTGGTCTTTACGGAAAACAATGAATGCCACGATGTCCTTTACTCATGACGTAAGACGCCGATCGATGTATGTTATGAAAAGCGAGAAAGGAATACGCGCTGCACCCGCTGGGGCGCCTGTCTAGATGAAAAGCTACTGGGCTTAGGCAGCCGCCGGATTGCTGTGTGGTACTCGAAGGATTCTGTGCCGCACTAATAAATGCTGGTTTGTGAAACACGGAGCAGATTGATGGCACTGTGTAGCAGGCATTTGCCATCAAGGCATGAGATTCTAATGAATGAATGTGATGAGTCCTAACTTAGCAGCGTCCAACTTCCATGTCTTAGACATCCATATATAGACAAACTCAATCGGTCATCTCTCGTCGCAACATTTTCGTGATCAATTCATTCTCGACGTCATCGCCTGCAACACAATCTGTTCCTTGAAGTCGCTGGCAGCTCTCCAAGGCAGCTCTTCCCATTGCAGCATCAAATCACCAATTTGGTAATTTCTGATCCGCTCAGGGACTCGGCTTCGGCTCCAGGAGTCGGCGGTGCCAGATTTTCAGTCTTGGTCATGATCCAGCAGGAAGCGTACATGTTGACGCGGTCAATGCAGGCCTTGCCCTCTCTGGCCCCCATGCATTTGGCGACGAAGCCCAGCTTCTCGAACTCATTGATATACCATGGCTTCAGACCAGCTGAGCGTAGCATCACGCGCCCGCCCATCTTTAGAGCGCGATTGAGCTTCGTGATCTGGGCACCTGCTGCGTTAGATCCAGGATCAAACCAGTCCATGCTGTCCATGACAACGGCGACGGTCAGTGTACCTGGCGTGATGCGGGCAATGACCTCGTCGATCTCGTCAGTGTGGATGCGCAGCCCGTCGAAGGCATTGGACCGTGACAGACGGGCATGGGCCTGCGGTGAGAGATAATCCGGATGACAACGGCGTGTGAACTTGCCTTCCAAACAGACCAAGTAGTATGGGTTGTCGGCGGCGATGTGAGTCGTCTCAACAACGGGATCCAGTGTGTTGACCATGTACTCCCAGATAGCGTGAGACCTGGTGTTCTTGGCGGTTGGGTTTGCACCACACACAGCATCGGAGGTAGCATGGTCTTCCTCAAGAATTGCCAGTTGGTTCTTGGGGACACCGAGGGCTGTCCAAAGGAATGACTCCTGACTGACAACAAACTTGGATACCAGGCGTGAGAGCAGGGCAGGACGGATCTTGTTGCGCCAGATCTCACGTTGCTCATTCAATGTTTTTGCAGAGAGGAGTGCCTTAACAGCAGACCTGCAACCAAAGACGCGTGTGATCCAGCGGAAGATGCGTATACCGTGCTTTGAGCCACCAGTGTCATACAATCCCCCCTTGGACTTTGTGAAGATGTGATGGTTGTTCAGCCAGTACTGGAAAGCTCGGCTGGACAGATGGGGAGACATCTTTGAGATCAGCAGCGATCGGAAGTCTGGGTGCTTCCCATCTCCGAATATCTTCCAAAAATCCTCGTAAGGAAGCGAAGAATAAGCAGCAACCTTGAGCTCAAGCAAGTGGCTTTGGGTAGGGTTCAGGTCCACCGCATGGATTCTGGCGGGACTTTGCAGAGCATAAGACAGTATGTTGTCACCAGCACTGCAAATGGCCAGAACTACATCATCAGACTTGAGCTTGAGGATGCGCTCATCCACGCGGGTATCTTCCCAGGTGAAAGCATAGATGTACTCATCGTTGAACTGCGTGTGCTTCTTGAGCTGATCGTCATAATAGATGCGCCAGTGGTGATTCTGATAGAAGAACGAGGGGAGGGGCAAGTTAGCCGAGAGGTTGACAACGGCTGCATCAAAAGCTTTCGAGCGGATCTCTGGTGCAGCTCTCTCAACGGCACGTGACAAAGCATTCGAGTGGTTCTTCGGATGCAAGTAAGGAGACTCTGTAACAAGAGCATCGACCTTCTCCACGATTTCATGGGGAAGGGCTGAGGACATTGGCCTTTTGTGACAACCGAGCCAGACGTAATACGGAATCGCGCCAAGCGTGTAGTTTCGGCTGTTGACGTTGAGAACAGTTCCGAAGCGATACTCAAGATAGTCACGTCGACCTGGCTCTAGGGCAACGCGGTCGATGTCAAACCACGCACGCCAGAAGGTGCGCTGAAGGAAGTTGACGTGGCGATTGATGAGGCCACCTGTATAATTCCGGAAGCTGACATCGACCTCGGATTGGACATAGAAATCAACAACGCCCATGATACCATTGGGCGCCAGCAGAGATGGAAGCGTATCGATGACGGAGTAATAGTCAGGCTATGAGAAGTCAGTCTTGGCGAAGGCCTATGGCAATGTTTTCTGGGCAGCTCACAATCATCGAAAGGCTGTAAGACATGGTGATCAGGTCGACACCACCGTGTTCAGGGCGCTTCTGTGAGAAGTAGCTTATATGAGGAGAGCTGGGAGCTCGCCCGCCGTCGAGGACTGGTTCATGGTCCTCCAAGCGGAACTTCCTAGCATCCTGGCATACAACCTTCACATTGTCCCATCCCAACCGAGCGAACCGTTTCCGGGCGACCTCACATAGGGACGGCGAGAAATCGACGAGGTAGACACTGGAGAAGAATCGAGGCACGTCGACGAACTGGGCCATAGCTTCAATATTGAAGCCTGTGCCACCACCGACCTCGGTCATGTTAGTGCGTTCCGAAAGAGAGATCAGAAAAGCCGGGTACTTACATCAACCCAAATCCTCCTTTTGTTCTGGGACAATTGGCCATCTTTGACTGATCTGTGCTCCAGCTGTGCGGCAGCTAGAGCCAACATGTCTTCACGGCCTTTGAGAAGCGCGCTCCTGGTGGTATCGTACGCACCGGCTTGGCTTTTGTAGAAGCTCTCAAGAGCATCCTGCTGAGTTCCCTGCTTGTCGCCCTCATGAGGCTTGAGGAAGCAGGAGTAGACGAAATACCACAATGCCCGGAGCAAACTTGGGTTGTCATTCGTCTTCGTAGATTTTACGAGAAGCGTAGAAAAGCAGAAGCCTACGACGAGGACGACTGCTACTCCAGCGAGATAGATTTGAGCCTGAGGTCCCAGGGGTAAAACGTTACCACCAAGAGAAGCCATGGTACTCTCTCATTGCTGTATGAAGCAAGAGCAAGTTGTTGAAGCGAGCTTTACTGTGTTGAAACACGACGAATAACAGAGTAATGCACAAAAGGGAGGGAGGGGCATTGTGTTGAGACAAGGCGCAGGAGATATATACTGGGCCATGTCTGGGCTAGGGTCAGGTGCTCGGGCAGCCGATAGGAGCACATGGTCGAACTTGCATTACTATTAGCCCGTAGCCGCCCATCATCCAAGCATATCTCACCCAAGGGCAAACGCTGCAGACGGACGCGCGACTGGATGTCTGTTGTCTCGATGAGACCCTGAATCTACAAACCCCACCAGGCTGTCAACCCCACTATAAGCGATACTAGCTGGGTGCTGGCACCTTGACACAATGGAGCCTCCCAGCCAATCAATTTACCCACGAGTTGAGGTATATGGGGAACAACGCACCCGGCTTAAATCAGGGTCTAGTATGAGATCACCGCGTTTAGAGTCCGTTGAGAATACTTGAGAGCTGGGAGACGAGTGGAGCACGTGTTAGCTAAGATTGGCCTCTGGAGGCAATCCGGAAGGAGAGAAGGCGATGAATGAACGTGCTAAGTCGCGCTCCGAACCAGTCAGCCATGGATTGGGTTGGGTGTAAGTGACACCGAATTCAGAACACTACTGGTTGATGGGAGTGCTGAGCGCGATGTGTTTCGCCGTGTGATATCAATGTCGCATTTGAAGAGTCACCATCATAAGAGATTCAGCATGAGCGTGAGTCGGCTAGAAAAGGAAGCAAAGACAGCCAAGTGCATTGCATGTAGGTTCGACACGTTGAGCTGCAGAAGTCCAGGAGGGAGTGCAGCGTCATGCCACCGCACGATAGTGAATTTCGCACGGTAACTAGGTAGCCATGACTTGAAGGCTGCGGGCTGCCAAAGATCATTTTTCCACCGGTGATCCCCAAGATACAGTATGCTGCTTGCGTTGAGAGCTATTGTGGGTACCCAAAGCTTCATTGACCCTTGCTTAGCCTTTTGGTGGCCGGGTGTTAAATGTGTATACCAATGAGATGGCTTCGCTCAAGCACATGGATACCACTTGATCGTCAAGTTGAGCAGCAGCCCAGAATCACCGACAGGCTTGTTGGATGACAGCTGCGAGCGCAACGTGAAGCGGCTAGATAATGCGATTCATGGTTAGAAAATGCTGGTTGCGTCGATCTCCATCTTCACAATACAGTTCGATTTCAAGATAGAAAGGGTAGGACAAACATCGAAGCGCCATTAGTCCAAGTTTCTCAACTCGTTCGGTCCAGCAACCGCTCATTGGGGTCCTCGAGGAGGTATGTAGGACTAGAACTACGTGTCTTTACGATCAGAATCGTGAACCCGTCACTTATAAGTTATGGACCTTCATTGTTTCGTTCGAAAGGAATGCAGCTTGATTCGATGCTCTGTACTTCCACTTAAAGTACGTTTTCCTCTGACGAACCGAAATGTTGAAAAGATCTCGCAAGGCGTGAATCCGGGGCGTTTCAGTACTACGCTTAGAGAGGACACGAATAAGGAGCTGCAGTTTTCAAAAGAGCTGGCTATCCCCAATACAAAGCCGAGTTGTTTTTGTTACGGAGCCCAGTCTTCCCAGAGAATGAGAGAGATCGCAGACGATGCGGAGCCCCGTACTCAGTCATGCAGCGATTCGAGTGTGCGGATCTTGAAGTTGTGGTGATGGTCACGTTGCTCCAAGCGGCTGTCGTGTTAACCTTGTTTGATGTTGATATCGCGGCACGAGCATCGCGGCACACATCAGTGATGAAGACAAGACGGCAGTATGTACAAATAGTTCACTGTAGATTGGCAGACATCAGCCCTGCAACGAGACAAGCCGGTGGCTACAGAGCCACGCTTGGGTAGGGGCGGAGATCAACAGCCTGCGTCCACTCTGTGCCCACTCTGCGCGGGGAGTCTCGAGGTTGTGGGTCAGAGCTTCCAAGGACTGGACTGCCTCCGTGCCTCCGTGCCTCCCTGTTGCCCTGTGCCTGGGAGCCCAGAGAGACGTAGCGCATTAGAGTTATTCCGGCATCGTCGTACGTGGATGTGGGTGGGCCCCTTGCGCCCAGGCGGAAATGTCGCTCAATCGATCGCAGTGGAGGCGCAGAGGCGCCAGCCGTAGGCAGGGGGGACGCACGCAGGGAGAGGGAGAGAGAGGGAGGGACAGGGAGAGAGAGAGTGTGAGAACCGCCGGGGTCGCTTGCTGGTTCCATGGTTCCAAGGTTCCAAGGCTTGCCCCAAGGCAAGGTGACACAAGGCAAACGCGACCGCCGCCTAGTGGCTCTGGCTCGGCTCGTGGCCACGGCCCCCCATCGCGACCGTCTGTTAGTCAAGCTGATTCATTGACCACCACCACTTGGGGGATGCGAACGGCTGCCAACGCGACAGCTTCCATCTCAGTAGCATCTCGTGCACCACCGTCGGACGTGCGTGCGTGCTGTCGCCATCGAGTGCGCCCGTCACGATGCCTCCTGCACCCAGCCAGAAGGGCACGGGCAAGAAAGGCGCCGGGGCTGTTCGTCAGCGCAGCCGCAATACCACACCTAGCTCAGGTCCACCACCCGCCGCTACATCAGGCCTGCCGCCCGTCGAGACCATCGAGACCGAGTTTCTCGAGCTGCGACTGGAGTCCGTACGCAGCATCACGTACGAGGACCTGGCCGACTGCAGCCCCTCCAATGCCCTCATCCCCGAGTCCAAAACCCTCGACACCCTCATCACCCGTCTGGGCAAGCTGCATGATATCACCGAGCGCCGCGGCTCCTTTTGCGACCGGGGCATGCGCCTGGTAGCCTCCCAGAGAAAGCTGCACTTTGACGAGATGGCCGCCAGCGGAAGAGACGACGAGAGATCTCGCGGCGATGATGCCGACAAGAAGGCCAATAAGAAGAAGAGAAAGGCAAACGACAGTCTCGCACCCAAAGACGCCAATACTGGTAAGCACCACCACCCTTCCCATTCCCAACCCATCCCATCCCATCCCGTATACACCAACACCACAACCACCACCCACCACTCCGCTTCTCCATTTTCACACTCGCCATGCACCCGTCTTGTATTCCTACTGGGGACCAAGATATGAAGGTGCACTTCCCCCAGAGTTTTGATTTCCTCTGTCTGCCCAAACTCTTCCTGTTCTGAACGTGAAGTTTTTTTTTTTTTACTCCCCGGGGGGCTTTTGGCTCCTGGTCGACGCTGGGTCTCCTCGGCCACCAGTGAATTTTCTGCGCTGTCAAAGGCAGAAAGAGAAACCGCAAAACACTTTCTCTTCCGCGATCTCCTCTCACAGCAATTATTGCGTGCGATTGCCCTAACCCTTTGCTCAATGCAGATCGTGCATCACCTCTGCGTGACCCGAGCAGCAAACCTCGAAAACTCTCACGAGACAACGACTCCGCTAGCTCATCACTCTCCCCCGTTGCGAAGGAGACGCCCGGCGCCATGGAGGTAGACGAGAAGCCCAAGACGGACGAGAAGGAGGAGGACGAGGAAGAGAGCTCCGAGGACGAAGGCGCACCCCCAAGACGCGAGGCTCCCCAGTTCCAGACCTTTGGCGAGGATCCTTCTACATTCCCTGACCCTACCGTCTACGAGATCCGCGAAGTTACACCAGACATGACGCCAGACGAGCGCAGGGAAATCTACTCTGTGGCCGTCTATCCATACACCGACCTAGCCGATCAGATCGCCGGTGATCCTCCGGACAAGGACTACACCTCCGCCAAACCATCGAACCAGATTGCCTTCAACACTTTCTCGACATATGTTGAACCCTACTTCCGGCCCTTCAACGAGGAGGATCTTGCATTCCTCAGGGAGCGAGGCGATCGCGTCAATCCATTTGTCATGCCCAAGCGTGGCAAGCGCCATTACTCGGAGATCTGGGCGGAAGAGGACGGTGCCATGTCAATTGATTCTACACCTCCCGGCCGTGACAAATTAGCTCCCAATCAAGCACGTGGGAACATCGACAACATCGACGACGACGTCGCCGAGACCGACAAGCTCTCCGTTGGCCCTATCCTGGCACGACTGCTCCAGGCTATGCGGCCTGAAGCACGCGCCCAACCCAGCGAAGACAAGCCCATGACCAACGGCATCAACGGCGACGCCGAAGCTAAGCCTGAGACCAATGGCGACGCTAATGGAACCACCGGCGAGGAAGATGGGAAGAGCCTCCCACCTGCGTCTTGCATGCCCGAGTCTAGTAGTGAAGCCTGGAAGAAAGCAACTCATCCCAAGCTGGATTATACTCAAGTCGACGAGCGTATCAAGCAAGAGCTTCGCCACATCGGGTTCCTACCTCAGGATGGATTTGATGGTGATTACGATGGGCACTACGACGACGAGGTCGCAGCGCGTCTACGGCTTCTCCAAGACCGTTTGCGAGATCAGATTCTCATCAATGGCGCCCGCAAGGCACGACTGACCGAACTAGTCAAGGAGCGCATGGCACATCAAGAATATCAGACCATTCTCGAGGATCTCGACACCCAGGTCCAAGGCGCTTACTTGAAGAGAACCCGCACGATGGGCAAATCCAAGAAGGCTAAGCGACCTGGAGGTGCTGGTGGTGGAAGCCACGCCGTTGGTAATGCTGCGGCGGGTATGGCCCGACCTGGTATCGGCGATGTGGCCAAGACGTTGATGGAACGTCGGCGCCGCTGGATCGACAATATTGGCACAGTCTTTGACGACCCCAACTTGAGTAAAGTACCGCGCGTTTCAGATCCGAACAGCACCATCTTCCGACCAGAAGTAATGCAGAAGTTGATGAAGGATGAACGCCAGGCGTGGGACGAAGAAGTCGAGGAAGAGTAAAGTCAAACCTTCCTCGGCATACTGTATTTTTCATTCACGGAAAGTGTCGGTTCGGAAAGCCGCACAATGATACCCACGATCTGGCGTTCGGAGTTCATCAAAGAGAGGCGACAATTAGAGTAGTTCGCCGGCATATTGCATCGAGAGGGGATAATGGACCAGCAGGCCAAGCTGGCCTATTTTATAGCCCATAGCTGAGCAAAGCTCACGATTCTCTACTAAGCTTTGATTCCCGTACTACTGTGCTGTGCTTGTATTAGTACGTTGTGCTGTAATGCCATGATCTGTCCGCGTTGTAGGTAAGCAGGCGCGCGTATATTCCTCGCTTTGGCCGCGTTCATGCACCTGATCTTTGTGAACAGCCGTCGCGTCTCGAAGTACGACAAGAACAGAAAGGCATCTTCTTTACAAGTACAAACACTTAGAAATGTATAGTTCGATTCCCGACTGGAGTTCGAGTCTCGATACCCTCAGCTCATCTTCTGGGAGTTTCGCCCTACTGGTCTCGCCAGACGGTTGTGCGTTACGAGGCTTCTGTGTGGTTCGAGTCAAATTGTTTCTTGCGCAGACGCAGACCGTTGCTAGAAAGCATGAACGCGTCGCACGACGTGTTGGAAGGATAACGATGAGGGAGCGTATGATGAGACTGTTTAACCCGAGTGAACTACTGCTGGGTAGTACTTCGCACAACTTTGTGTTGATTTTATTCCGCTAATATGCGTGTCTTTGCAATTGAATGTTCCTCTAGTCCCTCGCGAACATCGCAGGTTTGAGGCAGACGGGAGGAGCACCTGGGCATTCGCTGCGTGAGAGTTAGCATGCAGCCTGAGCTGTATACCAGCATCGACTTCCAAAGAGGCCAGCCCTATTCCACATGTTCCTCTTACGCAGGCGGGTTAGGTACATGCGACAGCCTTGAACCTTCATTGGGCAATTCCAGCATCGCTATCAGCGGTGGTTATCGCTAGATTGCGGGGTATCCGCAAGCTCCCGCAAGCCGGCGAAACGCGAAGTATCAGTGAGGATAGGCGGCAGGCCCTTAGTGATTTATCTGCTTGCAGACTGGAGATCGTGAAGATGCGATTGATGTAGTTGCCGACTGTCACAAATATTTAGATCGACCGACTAGCTTCGCAACACGCGAGTCGTTGTGCAGAGATGCATCTCGTGCCGAAAGAGGTTCGTAACACGCACCCCGGCTGCTGGGATCGCGGTACACCACGTGCCGCAGCCTGTTTACTATGACAAAGAGAAAATGCACCTGGAGCTTGGCTGACACTTCAGTACCACAACACAGCTTGACAAGCTTGTCATCTCGCAGCTGGGATTCATAGCCCAGAAGAGACTGGCAAGGGGCGTGAAACTGAATCATTCCGAGGCCACTGTAGGTCGCTCTGTATCCCGCCTCGACGAGACCAGGCCTGCTCACAAGTAAACACAGGCGCTCATCGCCAGTAACCTCCAGGAACTCATTCGCGATGGTGCCCATACGGTTGCGGACCTGATGACCCTCGGGTCGACCATGCTTGGGCGCCGGCATGTGCTCCCGTCCGTCACGTCCACCCTGCACGAGATCCAGGTCGAGGGCACGTTCCCGACGGGCACCTACCTTGTCACCGTGCACAATCCCATTGCTACGGAGGATGGAGACCTGGCCCGGGCCCTTTACGGCTCGTTCCTTCCCGTACCGGACCCGGATCTGTTCCCTCCCGCCGAGGCTGCGGCCTACGAGGGCCCGAACCAGCCCGGCGCCGTGGTGGCCGTCAGGGGCAAGGTCGCGCTCAACGAGGGACGCAGGAGGGTCCGGCTCAGGGTGACCAGCAAGGGTGACCGGCCCATCCAAGTTGGCAGTCACTACCACTTTATTGAGACGAACCCTCTCTTGGAGTTCGATCGGAAGCAGGCCTATGGGTTCCGCCTCGATATCCCCGCGGGCACGTCCGTGCGGTTTGAGCCTGGTGACACGAAGACCGTTACTCTCGTAGAAATCGGCGGTAACAAGGTTATCCAGGGCGGCAACAACCTTGCGTCAGGCAAGGTCGACTTGTCAAGGGCGGACGAGATCATCGAAAAATTGCAGAAGGCTGGGTTTGCTCACCGCCCTGAACCTGTGGGTGACGCAAGCTTGATCAGCACTTACGAGATCGATCGCAGCGCGTACCTCACCATGTTTGGCCCAACGACAGGCGATCGCGTCAGGTTAGGCAGCACTGATCTCTGGATCAAGGTCGAGAAGGACCTCACCACCTACGGGGATGAGTGTAAGTTCGGCGGAGGCAAGACGCTACGTGAAGGCATGGGCCAAGCAACTGGAAGATCGGATAAGGAGGTTCTGGATATGGTTGTCACGAACGCTTTGATTGTCGACTACACTGGTATCTACAAGGCAGACATTGGTGTCCAGGATGGCGTTATTGTGGGCATTGGAAAAGCTGGCAACCCAGACGTTATGGATAACGTCACTGAGGGCATGATAGTGGGAAGCTGCACCGATGTCATTGCTGGTGAAGGGAAGATCATTACAGCCGGAGGATTGGATTCTCACATCCACTTCATTTGCCCCCAGCAGGCTTATGAGTCGATTGCTAGTGGTATCACTACCATGCTTGGAGGTGGCGTCGGGCCCAGGTACGTTGAAGTTCCCATGTTCAACTTTGTTGCATTATCAACTAACAGCTCTCGAGTGCTGGAACGAGCGCTACTACTTGTACACCCGGTGCCAACTACACCCGACAGATGTTACAGGCCTGTGACGAGCTGCCGCTGAACATCGGTATCACTGGAAAAGGCAACGACAGTGCCCCTGGTGCTCTACGTGAACAGATCATTGCAGGCGCTTGCGGTCTCAAGCTCCACGAGGATTGGGGAACCACGCCAGCAGCCATCGACTCCTGCCTCACTGTCTGCGATGAGCTTGATGTGCAGTGCCTGATTCATACAGACACACTCAATGAGTCCGGCTACGTTGAGTCAACGATTGCGGCCTTCAAGAACCGGGTGATCCACACATACCACACGGAAGGTGCGGGCGGTGGCCACGCCCCTGATATCATCAGCGTTGTTGAGCATCCGAATGTTCTCCCGTCATCGACCAACCCGACTAGACCATTTACGAGAAATACCCTAGACGAACATCTGGACATGTTGATGGTTTGCCACCACCTGTCCAAGAACATCCCCGAGGATGTGGCCTTTGCGGAGTCTCGTATTCGTGCTGAGACCATCGCCGCAGAAGACGTCTTGCATGACCTGGGCGCCATCAGTATGATGTCTTCAGACTCCCAGGCTATGGGCCGCTGTGGTGAGGTGATACTGCGCACATGGAATACGGCACACAAGAACAAGGTGCAACGAGGTACATTGAAGGAAGACGAGGGCACAGGCGCCGACAACTTCAGGGTCAAACGATACGTGAGCAAGTACACGGTCAACCCAGCCGTCGCCCAGGGCATGGGGCACTTGATTGGCAGTATACAAGTTGGGAAACTGGCTGACCTCGTGGTGTGGGATCCGGCGTGGTTCGGTACCAAGCCGAGCCTGGTTGTGAAGAGTGGGCTGATCGCATATGCACAGATGGTAAGTTGCGTCGATGCTTCCTAGGTTCCCGTGTAAGCATGTGCGTATGCTGTCTATCCACTAACAATGTCTCAGGGTGACCCTAATGCCTCCATCCCGACCGTGCAGCCCATCATTGCACGCCCCATGTTTGCGCCCATGGTCCCGCAGACAAGCATACTCTTCGTCTCCGAGGCGTCGATCTCGTCGGGAACCGTAGGCAAGTACGGGCTGCGCAAGCGCGTCGAGGCTGTCAAGAATTGCCGCAACATCAGCAAGAGGGACATGCAGTTCAACGATATCATGCCGAAGATGAAGGTCGACCCCGAGAAGTATGTCGTTGAGGCCGATGGCATGGTCTGTACGGCCGAACCCGCAGAGAGCCTGCCGCTGAGCCAGCAGTTCTATGTCTATTAAACCCCGGGGGCAAAGAGCGTGGGGGAGGCGAAGTAGCACAGCGAGATTGTTGTTCATAATTCAAGGGGGTTGGCCGTAATGCCATTTAGCCCCCAAAGCCGAGAATAGTATATATATATATTCACATCTTGAGAGAAAATCGTCGTTAGTCGTTCATGATCTAGTTGCTGCTATAGAGTACTTTTGCCGTGTTCCGCAGCGCTTGGCCAGCTGCCGCACCTGAAATTTATACTTGGTAGCTGCGCCACAGGATTGCCTACAGTGGACCTCTGGGGCCTAGTATTTCGATGTGTTATAGACTCTTATACAAGTGCTGGGGCCCCTGCAACCCAGCGAGTGGGGCCTGCGGGATACAGCCTGGGAGGTCAGTTAGGCATGGAGAGAGGTGCATATACTTACTCTACACAGTTTACACTTCTGTCTCTGGCACGCGAGATAGCAAGGCACCATCATTGGCGCGAATTGTTAGCAGTAGTAAGAGACTTCCGATGTTTGCGGCCCTTAAAAACTGAGTTAGCAGGCTCCAAGACGTTCGGCTGACCACATGGCAAGGCGGACCTGGTTGAGCCGTCCGTGGTCCTTAGACATCAAGGGCTTCGTCACCAGGGATCCTATGATGGGCCCAACGAAGGCACTGCTTCTCATAAAGTCGTGCATTCTAGATGTCCCAACTATGACGGAACATTTGTACGGTCACAAGCGCGTACCAGTCAAGTCTCAAGTTTCGGTTCAGTTTTTTTGTGCAAAACACTATATAGTACTGCCCGGTACCATTCACACTAGATGAAAATTCCTTGTGAACTCCCAACCCTTTGTGCCTCCAAGAGCTGCAGAAAGAAAGACAGCGTCCAAATATATTCGCCATTGCAGCCTGCCTCGTGAAATCATACAAGCAATGTAAAACAGCCAGATCCCGAGACCCCAGAGCCTCCCCTATCACTAACGATTCATGTTCGCATTATGTGACGGACAACGCACCAAAGACCTGCCGGCAACACCGTGAGATTCATGAACACGGAAGTGGTATCTTCGTAAGACAACAGGAAAGAAGAAGAGACAACAAAACGTCCAAGGCATCGCTTAGGCGCTCTTCTTCTTGCGTGCGGACTTCTTAGGTTCCTCAGACGCGGGCTCTGCTGCCTTGGACTGTCGCTTGCGCTTCTTCTCGGGGCTGGCGGGCGTCGCGGCTGCGGTCTTAACTGCGCTCGCCTCACCCTCCTCCGGTCCGTCAGCTGCAGTGCTCTTTCGCTTGCGTGTAGCCTTGGGCTTGGGAGTCTTAGTCACCTCCTCAGGCACAGCAGGAGCAGCAATCGGAGCAGACATCTGGAGCTGTTCTACTATGGCATCCTGGTCGTTGTGGCCAGCGCCGGCCTCTTCAATACCAGCAAGGGTGGGCTGGGCAATCTGGTTGGCGTCGGCGTAGGTAAGAGCATCCTGATCGCTCATATCCCTGGCAGAGACGTTGCCGGCCTTGTACGAGTGCACACGTGCATTGTACAGACGCAAGTTGAACTGGTAAGCGTTGTTCCATGCCTGGTACAATTAGCTCCATGAACCATCTCAGCCACGGTTGAGTTTGGTACTTACGTTCTTCTCCAGAGGAGTCATGGCAGCCCAGCGGCGCTGGCCCTCTTCCTGAACAGCGCCCTTGGGGGCATCCTGGCCAAGATCATTTGCGATGATAGGGCGAGCGGTCTGCATGTACAGGAAGTAAGGGGTCAAGGGTCGCTTGGGAGCGTTGGGGTCATGCTGGCGCTTCTTGCGCTCCTTCTTCTCCTCAATCTGGGGAACGGCCTCAATGGGCGGCGGCGCGAAACCCAGGGCAGCGTGGTCGAGTCTAGCGAGAGCGCCGAGACTGGGGACGCTGTCCAGAGAGGTCGGCTCACCCAGCAGAAGATTGCTCTGGCGGAGGTAGTCTGCGGCAAAATCCCTGAGGAGCTCCTGGATGGTAGAGAGACGAGCGTGAACCTTCTGGCGGTTAGTCGACTATCCCAAGCAGCATCCACAGGCGAGCAAAAGGGATCCGAGTGCTACGGTGTAAAGAAAACATGGATACTGATCGCAGGCTATAGTCTCACAAGGCAGGCTGCCGGGTTGGAGGTCATAGCTCCTGGACCCTTGTCCGCGGTAACGCGGGGTCAGAGGTCAGGATGTAAACATGGTGCGCAGTATAGACGCGTTGCGTCTTCCCACTTGGGGCAGAAAAGAGATGACCAGTCCCAAAAGGGAGACAAGAAAAAGCCATATGAACTATGGATGGTCTCCGGTTTGTAGTAGTTATGAGGGGTTGCCGTCATGACAAAGTATCGTGAGTTTGGGCATGTGCGGTGAACGGGCGTGGAAAACAATGCACGCGATGAAATGTCACAAAGCGCGAGGGCCAGACGATGGGTTGGGGTTTGGTGGGCGGCGAGATGATCTTGGGGTGGTGGTGCGTAGGGTAGAGTGGATGAGGTGCAGAGCGTGCCTGGCGTGGGAGACCATGAATGGGCGCTCAAGAGCAGCGCAGCATCGCGCGGCCTTGGGAGGTAGAGAATGCGATGACACTTACCGAGTCTCGAAGTCGAGCGTAGTCGGCCTTGTTGATGACCAGAGTGCCAGCGCTGCCGTCTGGCATGGCCTGGGGCATGGCGGGCGGAGGAGGTGCCTGGGCAAGCAGTTGCGGCGCGACAGGGACGGCCGGGACAGGCACGACGGGCTTCTGGTCCTTCTTAGGTCGAGCCATTGCGAATGTGCGGTGCTGAGGCGCTGATGGAGGTGTTGCGACAATTGATTTGGGCGGACCTAAACTGGTTCTGAATCGCGACGGATTCAGGTGGATTCCTGGGGCTTGAGACGGGCTTCTGCTGTGGTGCAGCGAATCTTTAGTGGGAGTGGGAAGAAGGGGAGATTGGGCAGCGCGAATGAATCGCCTGAGGTTGGGGGGCTTCGCATTTAAGTGGCGGGTCGCCTGGGCGCTGATTGTGCTGGATCAGCCGCCGTCAAGAGCGGGCGCGCGCAATTTTTTCGATTTTCTGCTGCCAGCCCAGCCCAGGCACCACAGCACCTGCCCCCTCTTGCCCTCCTCACGTCCTCCACCCTCACCTGGGCGGCATGTCCACCCACCATCCACCATCCACCACTGGCTCCTTGCCCCAGCTCAGGGCCGGGTCGGGTACCTCTCGCAGCCCTGGAGCAGGTAGCCAGCGCCTACTGCGACGAACGACAGGCGCCGTGGAGGCTCACAACACGCGACTGCGACTGACTGCCATGCAGCGCAAGCGCCACTAGTAGTCTTGAGGCAAAGGGCGTTCAAGGATCATCATCTTCACATCCTGTGGTCCTGCATCGCGAACATAAAAGGACTTGCAGCAGATGTACTGTGGACAGCGCGTTGGGTTGGGCTGGGGCAGTGAGAGGGCGCTCCCCTCCCAAGGCCCCGTCCAGGCCGTCCTCAGTTCTCGTACGAGCAGTTGGTAAAAACAGCAGCAAGGCGCCAGACCAGGGCCTGCAACTCCCTGGCGCCCCGGTACTTGCCCTCGCGTTTTGTGCAGGTCGACACATAATGGCCACGAGATGTTATGCAGCCTGCCTCTTTTCGCACGATGGAAACGCCTTCATCTGCCTGTGCAAAATCCATCATCTGGCAGCTCCGGCATCGTTTCCTGTGGTTTTCTGCTGAGAGCGGTGCGCTGGTGCCGTGCTATGGTCGGCGAGAATTCGATTCGTGTTTAAAAGGTTCATGGCCCATGGGAGCTCTGAAGTCGCGTTTTGTGGTGTTCAGGCGCTGTCATGCAGGGCTCCATTGGGTGATACCAGTCGGCGACGATCACTGGCTGATTCCCCGGCGCTGCTGCACTGATTGCCCAGCTGGTCCTCGCGCTGTCTAAAGCGGCGCCAACTTCTCGTCTGGATTTCACTGGCCCCCCAGCCTTCCCCCTTCCAGCACTCCCGTTGGGCGGGCGCGGAGGAGCGAGCTGCTGCCCCCATGATGGGACCTTGGGAGTCTGGGACTGATTGCCTGCCCCCCAGTTCCAGCACTTTTGGTGTTCCCTAGGTGCTCCCCTCTCTTCATCCCAACAGCCCCGGGATCACTCTCTCGCGACGAGATCGCCCAGGCGAGGCCAGCGAGTCCAGCGAGTCCAGTCTGGCACATGACACTTCACCAACCAAAGCGCCCACCGGCCTGGGCCTCCTGCACCCTGCGTTAAGGTACCTCTAGTCACTGCGAAATAAGGGCGTACTATCCGGCGGCTCGCCGGCTTCGACTGCAATCGAGGTCTTCTGAATCCGTGCACCTTGTGCCTCTTGAGGCCACGCTCCGATCCCCACGCGGTGCAGGACTGGCCTGACTGGAGCTGCCTTGCCCCAAGCTGACTCCTGCTGGTCGGCCTCCTGGTGGCCTGCACATAAAAAAGAAATCCACATCACTGAACGAGTTCCAACTACTTACTGATGCGACAGACCCCAAGCTCCACCGACCCAGTACCGGGCGTTTGCGTCCCCCGACGCAATGCTCATCGCCGCCTACCTAGCCTCCCAATTGCCCTCGTAGACAGATTGCATTGCAGCCGGTTGCTCACCGTACCGGCATCGCTAAAAGTCCGCTGACTCTGACCGTATCCCCAGGCCACAAAGCATTCTCATCATTCCCTACATCGTACCGCCCCTGCACACTACCTCTGGGCCCGAACACACCACTACTCTCCCCAAGCCCTGGCCTTGAGTACAACACTACAAAGATGTCTCGCTCATGTTAACGTCCACCACCTCACGGTCAGTGTTGGATTTTAGTATGCTACACCCTGACAAGACTGGTGAGCCACATCTTGATAGTCTGAATCGGCGCGGTACCCGCTGCCAATGATCAGTAAAGCCAACATCGAACTGCTCTACAGTGGCCTATGCAAGAATACACGTTGATGAGCATAATCTGCCATATCAAGGCTGGCATCTATGGCCGTACAGCTTACATATACCTCTACACAAAGCACTGTTATGTCTTGAGGAGACCTCTCCCATAATACTGGCAACCAGTCATGCAACTTACACCACATGTGATATAGGGCTATAGCGTGTCATGTTCCCTCTACTGACAAGATATGAGTCTAAACAGCGAAGTATACTCTCCCTCCCGGTGAATGGTTGATAATTGTATTTAGATCAGAGACAAGCCTGCGCGGCTTTGCAATTCACTTCTCCTTGCAGGCTTCTTGACAAGTCGCATCTTGCTACGTCCTGAGTGCGACTGTTTTGGAAGCCATGAAATGCTCAAGCCTGTCTTGAAGCAATGTACGCTCCTCACGCGACACCTGGTACGCATCTACTGGACCAGGTAAGTGAGGTAGTCAAGGACGCTGAGATGGAGTCGAGATGGTGTGTCCCGATCGCGAATGGCATTCGGCGCGGTCCATAGCGAAAACAGAACCCGCTGAACATGCTAATTTGTTGACGCGATCCTTGATTTCCAGGGCCCTCTCCGTCCCGCCTTCCCGCTGTCGGTCGGGACTCTGCTGCGCAGCCCGCTTAGTCCGCTCAATCTCGAGCCCGCCATCTGCATAGGGGTCTAAAATAGTACCTAGGTAGCTTGTATGATAGTTCTCTTTAGCTCCAGAGCTGCGCGCTCTTAGCTGAGAGGCCTCTCACATGTCGAGGCGGGCCTGGCGGGGTGCCATGAGCTACATAGCACAACAATGGCGGCTTCTCCTATGTTTCTATCCTCGCTTTCGAGCGGTCCAATGGGCACGGCACCACATCGCGTTTATTGTGCGTAGCCTCTTGTTGATATTGACCAAAAGCCAACAAATCGCTTCGTTCGGGCTCCGCCGTGAAATTTGTCGTGTTACCCTCTGCTAACATTGGACCCCTGCCTATTTGCCGAGCTACCGCCAGACCGTTCAAAGCGTTTCACCTTCGTTCCTCCACAACACTCACACATGGATCCAGCAGCCCAATGAGAGGACGGAGGCTTGCACATCGTGGTCTTGGCAGTTCTGAATCAAGGTGATCCCCTCCTTGGGCCAGGGTGAGCTTTCATGCTGCCCCTCCAACACACGTCACACAGGGGACCGATTTCAGCTGCGGACGTCCTCTCCTGATTTCTTCCTTCCTCACCTACAATTGCAGTCGAGACCCCTCCCATTCTCTCGCTACTCTCTGCATCTTATTTACACACTAGAATTTCAAATATCGATTCAGACAGCCTAGAAGGACATCTGAAGCTGGCCACGATGTTCACTTTCAAGCCCTACCCCGCCATGCTGGCGTTGGTGGTTTTGCTGGTCTATGCACGACCAGCGCTGGCGTTTGGTGCTGGTAACATTGCCTCGATCTCCAAGGTCGAGGGCCAGAACTGTGAGTTCCCCCGGAGGCCTCACTCAAGTTATGGTCCAGTAACTTACTTTCTATCGTAGGGCGTCATGGCGATATCGAGGACGTTCTACTGACCCTTCTCATGGCCCGAGCCGCCGGCGGCAAGAAGTTCGACAAGCTCAACGTGTCTCGCGTCTACTTTGGCAACTGGCTTCGTGACTACTCTCAGGCAATCGATGTTGGCACCGTCAAATCGGTTTCCGCCGAGGCTATCCGACTCTTGCTGTCCATCCTTGGATTCTTGACTTTCGGCTACGGCTCAAAGGAGTTTGAAGTCACTGCTGACCGCCTTGGATGCTATCGTCCCGAAGACCACATCGGTGAGCCCTCTTTCTTCTTTTATAAGCAGTCCCTTGGGCCTGCAAGAGCCGGGCTCGACTGGCCCGGTATCAAAATGCTGCTCGAAAAATGGCACTGCAATGCCCTCAGTAGCCATAGCGCCAACCTGCAGTAACTAACCAATGTTTCTAGATAACCCCAAGGGATACCCTGCCCCTGGAGTAGATGCTCGCCAATATGACAGACGCCTTCGTGGCCCCGTTGACGAGCGCGTTGAGCTGGCCATTGACGAGCGTACTGGTCTCAAGAACTACATTGCCAATGAGAACATCAACATCATGACTACAGCTCTTCACATCAGGAAGCTGTTCGGTCGTTGCATTGAGCTCGGACGTGACTACAACCGCAGAAAGAACAAGGATGACCTGTACGAGGCTCTGAGACTTATGGGCACCGGCCTGCACGCCTGTGAAGGTATGTGATGCCGCTTGGAGGACTACGCTACATTTCCCGTGGTATCCTAACACATGTTGCAAACAGACTTCCTCGCTCACAGCAACTATACCGAGCTGGCTCTCATCGAACTAGGTGAACGTGATATCTTCCCCCATGTTGGTCGCAACACCAAGGTTCGCATTGAGGGTGCGCGCGGTGAAGTTTACCCTTGCGTCACCGGCACCTTTGGTGGTGTAGATTTCTTGCACTCTGTCACCGGCGAAGGTAGGAAGTTATGAAACTACATACTTGACTTGGCTAATATGACGTCTAGTCTCCGATAAGTTGACCCAGAATGAAATCGATGAGCTCGAAGGAACTCTCCAGAACAACTCTCGCAATGACACTAGCATCATCGAGGGCCTCTTGGACAAGATCCCCGATGGCCTTATCGGTGGTGGCGACAAGAAACAACAGCTGCACGAGATCCAGGACAATGCTTCAGCCTCGCAGGTCCAGAACATGTCTGTCTCCCCTCGCGAGCCTGAGGAGTACACTCGATATGTCCAGGATATTTTCAAGCAGATTATGCCCGCAATTGAGTTCCACGATGAGCTCCTGAAGAGCATCAGCGAAGCCATCGAGAAGATTCCCGTTCTGCCCAAGATTGTTGAGCAGTTGGAGGAGCAAATGTCCGTCTGGGTTTTCTCGATCATGGCACCTCTCGTCGTACCCGTTCTTCAGCAGGTCAAGAACGAGCTTCGCACCGGTTCCGCAGAGATTATTCAGAGCAGCGAAAATGAGCAACACATCGTTTTCAACGATGATGAGTGCTCAGACCCAACTCACTCTATGTTGTCCAAGGACCATTTCTCCAACGTAAGTCGACATACTTGTCAATTTCCCCTCGAGAGGCCAAGTTCTAACCGTGAGACCAGATCCTGAACGAAGCTGCTGGCAAGACTGCCAGCAAGGTCGTCGCCTGGGTTGTACCTCAGCTCATGGAGGCTTGGGATGACGATAATGTCGACATCGAGCGAACCATGAACCGGATCATCAATGGTGTCATGCACCACCCGGCACAGCGCGACATGGGTGAAGATGGCGCCAGAGATTGCCGCAAGATCATGATCCGCTCTGTTGAGGAGTGGTGGAACCAAATGGATGACCGTGAAAAGGACGAGTACCGTCGCAAGCTTTCTCGCGAGGGCGTCCAGAACGGCGAGAACCACAAGGAAGGTGTTCACGACACTGGACACGGTTGCGGTAAGCCCCTTGGTATGCACAAAAACTTTGCCAAGGGCGGTACCTTCGAGGACAAGATCGCCGGTGCAGCTGCGGATGCCATCGTCGGTGGAATCACTGGCGGCATTTCTGACGTTGTCAGCTCTCAGACCGGCATCAATCTTCCTTCCACCGGCGGTGGACGACGTCAAGAGGAGTCTGGTGAGGGTGGCTTCGGTGGCTTCCTCAACAAGGTCGGTGGCTCCCTTCTGTCCGGCTTCAAGGATGAGGAGAAGGAGTCGTACGGAGGCCGCCGTCAGGATAATGAGTCTTCCACGGAGACCCGCACCGAGTATGGCCATTCCGGTGGACGCTATGGTCAAGCAGAGCAGTCGCGGACCGAGTACTCTGGCGGAGGTCAATCTGAGACCTACCGTCGATATGAACAAGACGAAGACGGTCGGGGTAACACCCAGAGCTATGAACGTGAGGAGCGCCGAACCGAAACTTACCAAGGTGGCTACCAACAGAGCTTCGAAAGCCGACAGGAGAGCTCCTATGGGGGCGGCCGCTCCGAACGATTTGGTAAGTAATAATGGAAATTATTTCCTTCTGCACATCCCGTACCCCAGAGTCTGTGGATGAGTCCATAGAAGCTGCACTTCAGAAAACGCCCCAGCTTGCAGCAGACAGTGGGCTACGTATACACCAAAACCTCGCGGTATCGTTCATTGGAGATTTGCTAACTGCCAAACTCGCAGAACGTCGTGACGAGGATGAATATGGCGGCGGACGTCGCGAGGAGCGTCGTGAAGAGTATGGCGGTGGACGTGAGGAGTATGGCGGTGGACGTCGTGAAGAGTACGGTGGTGGGCGTCGTGAAGAGTACGGTGGTGGGCGTGAAGAGTATGGCGGAGGCCGTAACGAATACGGTGGCGGACGCAACGAATACGGTGAGTAACTGGAATACATCCCTCAGTCTGGAGATGGCTAACATGCCGTGTGACAGAGCGTCGCGATGAGGGCTTTGGCGGTGGACGACGTGATGACGAGCGTGAAGAGAGACGCGATCAGGGCCCTGACGAGCTTGTCGAAGGGGCTCTTGACATGGCAGGAAAGTTCTTTGGTGGAGGTGATCGTCGCCAAGATGACGGCGAGCGTCGTGGTGGCGGTTGGGGCTTCTAAGCCGACTTGGGTCATCAGGTCACTATAGTACCTTCAGATCCTATTCTCGCTGGTTCTCAGAGACTTGGGGTTCACTAGAAATACAACAAGAATCAAGAAATTGTTACTTCCTATTGTTTATATGATGTAATCCACGCGATATCGGTCATAATGTGGCGCCCTTTCCCATCTACCTAGCTATGATACTTGGGTGATTCGCTTCGGCTCCCGGTGCTTCATCTAAGTCAGGCTCTTTCCAGGATTTTGCTTCTAGAAACAAGACCGGAATATACCATGTTATGTATCACAAATGTAACGTTCATCAATTGCAACATAGTAGCAGTAGTCAATTTCCCCACAGATATAATGCGGGGGGCGGGAAGCTGAGACTCCAGGGCTCTGCCGTTCCTGGCAAGGTCACTCCGGCGCGAGCTTTCCGACGGTTGAGTGAAGAATGCCTTTTTCCAAATGGAGTCATATATTTGCCAGCCTTCGCAGGATCCACTTGACGTCGTCTTCTCGGTCCAGCGATGCTCGTACACCACATAGCAGCTATCAAGGTACACGGGCCGCTGGAGGTCATGTATAGGGTGCCTACACCAGTCCAATGCCTGAGCTGCATTGGCTGATCAGCGGCCGTCATGAGAGAGACACGACCCGCCTGCCGTACCGTTTGCTCTGGGAAGCGTAGACTAGCCCGGTTCCCATGCTGCACATAAGTCCATTGGCCCCCTGCGTTCCGCCTTGGAGCACGCATCTCCTTTGATATCGCTTTTTACGGCTCACCCTCGACAAATTACAGGCTTCTCGGTTTCAAATATGCAGTTCCCCCTACTTTTCCTTGCGGCGTTGGCCCCCTTGGCTAGCGCTCAGGCTTCCGGCTCAGGTCGGACAACACGGTGTAAGTGTTGTACATAACCCTACATATCTCGAGAAGCCGCAGACCCTCTCAAAGGTCAATTGAAGTGCTCGCCTATTCTGGAAGAAACTATCCGGCTGTCAATGGAAAAGTACGAGGTGTTGCTATGAGACTATCATGACAAGCTGGAAAGAATAAAAGTGAGAAACTAACTCCTATTTCTCTCTTTCAGACTGGGACTGCTGCAAGCCATCCTGCGGTTGGGGCTTGAAGACCAACAGCGGAAAGTACATTGGAACATGCGACAAGTCGGACAATCCAATATCCTCGTCTGATACCAAGAGCGGCTGCGACAATGGAGGCGGCGCCTACATGTGCTCCAATCAAAGCCCCTGGGCCGTCAATGAGACCGTTGCATACGGTTGGGCTGCTGTCAAACTTGCTGGCAGCAACGAACAGACTTGGTGCTGTGCGTGTTACGAGCTGACGTTCACGAGCGGAGAGGTTCAGGGGAAGAAGATGATCGTCCAGGCCAGCAACACGGGTGGTGACCTGGGTCAGAACCACTTTGATCTTGCCGTAAGTCACAGCCACAGCGAATGAATGCTCCCCGTTGCGGTGATATCTACTAACACGAGGCTCTCCCAGATGCCCGGCGGGGGCGTGGGTCTCTTTAACGCCTGCACAAACCAGTATGGCGCTCCTCCCCAGGGCTGGGGCAAGCAGTACGGCGGTATCTCGTCTCGATCCGAATGCGATTCGTTCCCGGCCAAGCTCAAGGAAGGCTGCTACTGGCGCTTTGACTGGTTCAAGGGCGCGGACAACCCCGACGTCACCTTCAAGCAGGTCGCCTGCCCGGCAGCCCTCACGGCCAAGAGCGGGTGCGTCAGGAACAAGGATTCGATCGATGAGACACCCACGGGTCCCAGTAGTGTCAGCACCTGGACACCATCAGCGACAGCTGCGTAGGATCCAGGTGCTCCCGGGTCTCGATGGTTGCAAACCCGTCCAGGTCCAGACGGAATTTCAAGGACGTCGATAGTCTGTACATAAACGGATTCAAGGCTTCATTTCGCGTTGTATATAAGCAATGGTATACTACTCGTTGGCTGAAACCCAGAGCGTCTACCTTATGTGCATCTCACCCAGATACTGTCCAGGATCTAACCTCAGCAAAGGATCGTTTCAAAGTTATACATTTCGATCTTTTGTATACTGCTGGTAGTTGCCCAGAAGAGTGTGAGCCTAATCGACTTGCTTGTACTTAATAAGAGGGCCCAGAGTGTCATTGACCCACGATGAGCCAAGACAGGAACATACATTTGTTGCTTGTGGTTGGGAATCCATAATGGTGCTGCTGTGTTAGGCAGTGCGAATGGTCTGTAAATTCATGACGTGCCTCTGCGCTTTTCTACGTTGGTGAGAACACAAAAAGCCAGGTAAACCAAAAACTTCATTGGGCAGGGGACTACTTGCTATAGACAAGCAGAATTCCAGAGAGACAGATGTGAGTTAGGCTTTGACACGCGTGAGAGCTTCCCCCAGTGGACGGAACAAATTGGCCAATGAGACACTTGTGCCTTGTTTGTCTTGGCATCTAAGTCGTGGCCCTCACCTGACTACGCTAGGGGACACCCCTGTCAGCGGTGGCCCCTGTGGCCCCTGTGGCCCTCCCCCGGAGTCAACCGGGTGCTGGAATCCACAGCGACAACGGGAAATCCCTCTCCTGGTATGTGGACTACGGACACCAAGACCCCTAAGGAGATTGCTAATCCGTTGGTTATCTGTTGTCTGGGGCCCAACTCCTTCGATGTTTTGGGTTTCCAAACACGAGACATTCATACAATAATGCAAACGCCCAAACCCAGATACTATTACGCAAGGTTTTAACAGCGGCGCGCGAACTTTTACTCTGCATGGGACCATCATTAGCGGCCGCATCCTGCGACTGAGACCACGGCATTGATTTAGTACGAGCTATTCCTCCCATGCTCGTCGACAATGCCGCGTGGTTCGACTACACCAACTACTCGACCACGGCCGCCCTCTTCCGTCGCCCCATACGACTGCTGTCCCTGCTCGGCGGCATTGCCATCTTCTACATCCTCGTGATATTCGTACCCAAGGCGCCCGAGACGCTATATGGCTTCAAATACGTCAAGAGCAGCTATGACTGGTCCGCGCTGCCCCAGGCGCATCCCGTCGCCGAGTTGACTCCACTACCGACCGGCACGCCGCGATCCATACCTCAGGTTCAGTACGACTTCGCTACCCACTACCGGCCGAATAGCACGAGGCTCGATGTGCTCGCGGAAAGGCGTCAAGCCGTCAAGGACGCCTGCCGGAAGAGCTGGGACAGCTACAAGAAGTACGCATGGATGAAGGACGAGCTCAAGCCAGTCTCCGGCGGAAGCAAGACAACGCTGGCCGGTTGGGCAGCGACCTTGGTGGACTCGCTGGACACGTTGTGGATTATGGATATGAAGGACGACTTCTACGAAGCCACGGCGGCTGCGGTGACCATCGACTGGGAAACTAACGAGACCTCGTTCAACACGTTCGAGACTACAATTCGGCATCTGGGGGGTCTGCTAGCTGCTTACGACCTCAGTAAGGAGAGAACATTGTTACAAAAGGCCATTGAGCTTGGAGACATGCTATACGCCGGGTTCGACACGCCGAACCGGATGCCGGTGTTCTGGATGGACTTCAACCAAGCCAAACGTGGCAAGCTCCAGCCCAATGTGCACGATCCGACCTCGTCGGTGACTTCCTCCGGGCCAGAGTTTACGAGGCTGGCGCAGTTGACGGGCGACAGTAAATATTACGATGCAATTGACCGAGTTGCACGCTTCCTCCAGCGGACCCAGAACACAACCAAGGTGCCTGGCCTGTGGCCGACTTTTCTGGACATGGAGTTCGGGGACCTGACGCTGGAGAACGATTTCACCCTCGGCGCACTTGCAGACTCGACGTACGAATACCTCGCCAAGATGCATGTGATAGTAGGAGGGCTAGAGCCCATGTACGAGACTATGTATCGCCAAGCCATGGCCACCGTCATTGATAACCTCCTGTTTCGACCGATGTTGCCCGAACAAGATGATATACTCTTTACCGGCGACCTCTCCGTCGACGCTGCGACTGGCGAGAAGACGCTCCCAGGTGACAGCCAGCACCTCGCATGCTTTGCCGGTGGTCTATTCGGACTTGGCGGTAAGATATTCGGCATCCAGGAGCACGTCGACATCGGGGGGAAGATCGCCAAGGGCTGTGCCTGGGCGTACGACGCCATGCCCACCGGCGTCATGCCCGAGCTCTTCAGCCTGTTCCCGTGCACCAGCCTCGACGGGTGCGCCTGGGACGAGGACAAGTGGGAGCTCAAGGGCAACGCGACGCTGGCCCGGGGGTTCCAGAACGTGGACGACGCCCGGTACCTGCTGCGGCCCGAGGCGATAGAGAGCATCTTCGTCATGTACCGCATCACCGGGGACGAGCAGTACCAGGAGACGGCCTGGCGCATGTTCCAGAGCATCCGCAACGCCACCGAGACGGACCTCGCCTTCTCGTCCATCAGCGCCGTCACGACGGCCGGCGGGACGGCAAAGATCGACTCCATGGAGAGCTTCTGGACCGCCGAGACGCTGAAGTACTTTTATTTGGTATTCGCACCGCCAGACCTTATCAGCCTGGACCAGTATGTCCTGAACACAGAGGCACATCCGCTGTTGCGCCCGACTGGGGCTACTGGATCATGATTGTAATGCAGTAATAATGAAATATACCCCTTGGATGAAGAGCCTCGGATTGGCCTAGTGGGGGAAGAGAGCCTTCGGGCCAGCTTTGAACCATTCGATTAGAAGTTTTGTGTAGCAAGATAGCAAGGGCGTTTAGGCTGGCTTTAGGGATCCAAATCCCAGAATCTGTTTTGTTTGTTAGGTAGGGTGCACCCTACAAAGCTGGTAGATACCCGCCTGTCTCTATGGTGGATAGTGGCAATGGAAAGGACATTATAATACTAAACCGCGCCTATGTATCCCCTGTAGACGTGCACTATGTCCCCAATGAAACACACTGTTTACACCCAGCAAGCTTATTACGCTTATTTAACTCAGGGATTTTCAGTATAACAAGACCATTCGAGGCCATCTAATCAGTTGACTCCTTCAACTATCTGCAACAAGCTATGCAAAGCATCCAATCCATGTAATGGGGTATATCCAAACCATAAAACTCCAGACCTTTCTCTACGGGTCATTTGCAAAACCCTGACCCAACCGATGCTGCTGACAATAATCATGACCTCATGCAAAGACCTCACTCGTCATAAGTCCAATCAATCCCAAGCACCAATGTATAAATACCAGCAATTCTGGTCATGCAATAATGAGTTTTGTGATACCAGGTTCATAAATGACGTTCGTCACAGATCAGGGCCAGGGGAAGACCTTGGCGACTGCACGTTTCCCTGCAGCTGTATGTTAGACTGGAAAGATCACAAACAACGCGGAGCATAAACCACTCACATGGAGGATTGCCATCGTCACTACGATCGTCGATCGGATCGGCAAGCTCTCGCATTCGCTGGCGTGCAGTCTCGGGGTCTTTGGCCCTCTCAGGCAACTCGATCACTGGGTGTTTCGAAAGCGTTGGGGAGCTTGGGGCGCTGCGAAGGTGCCTCTTCACCGTGCTGCCCCAGGAGTCGACTCGCTGACGAGGTTCTTCAGAGGTCGCCGGGGCGACAATGCGCGGCCTCAATCGACGGGTTGCTCGTTCTCGTCTCACCATCCCGTTTGTGATCTTCGGAGCATACCCTCTAGGCAGCATGGACTTTTTACATATAGGACATAGTGAACTGATTTCGCCAAGAAACTCGTCGATGCATTCCGGGTGGAAGATATGTCCACATGTCAGCTCCCGGATGATGGTCACCTTGGACTCGAAGTCGTCCAAGCAGATGTGACATTTAGGTTGGTAATCAGTGGGTAATATAGATCCTCTTGGGAAGGCTCCGTGGCTACTGGTGGCAGTATAAGCAGCTTTGACATCCTCTGGATACGGTGATGTCGGCGACATGGGTGAGGTCGGTGGGTCGTAATTGTACGTGAAGAGAGGGAAATTCAGTATGTGCTCGGGCGGGACAGTCAACCTCTTGACGCCAAGGGCCTCCAGGTCAACCTCGCCACTCTTTACACGGCGGCGCAATGATGCCCGGCGGCGATTTTGAATCCAATGCATCATTAAAGAGGTGCTTCCCAGTATCAAGAGTACCACGCCGCAGATGATCAAAACATACGCCCATATGGGCAACGGGGTATTGTCGAATGATACCCTCAATTCGGTCCATATTCGCACGTAATCTGCAGAGTCGGGGTGGTATAGCTCCGTGATGTTGGCTCCGTATGGGACCTGCGTCAAGTTGCCAGAATACAAGCTGAGCTCGTGCATCATTCTGGAGCCGGTGGCACTCGGAACAACATAGATCGGATAGCGGTATTTCGCTATCCAAGAGTTGCCCGTGCTGCTGTTATCAAGCTTCCATACTGCATCGTCGGCGCCTGGGGGCTGCGACGTATCATTGCCCGGCAGATAGAATATAAAGGCACGGAGCTGGTCGGCCCGTGTGGACGTCAACAACGAGTAGGTGCAGTCCGGGTCTATCCATGGCGCCAGGGCGATGAGGTTATATGATGTGGGTGGGAGGTTTTCTTGCTTCGTGGCATTGTTCGGGATGTACTGGCTAGCTCTCGCGCTGCATGGGTCATCAGGGTCAATGTCGGGCGTGTAGAGTAGACCCTGGATGATGCCGTCGCTGGCAGCATAGTTCGTGGAGAGTGTTGTAATGTTCTCCGTTATGCGATCGGAGTATGCTATCGCGCTCTACAACAGGATTCGTCAGTAGACTGCCCGCACTACGTCCTCGTGTTGAGCGAGGAAGATGCAGACAAACTCACGGAAAGCGACGTGATGTTGCGCAGGATGGTGCTGGAGCCTCTGATCCCGCCCAACCATGGATTGCTGAACAGAAGCCTGTGCGACAGTTAGCACTCATGCACCCTTGGTACCAGACGTCATGATCGTCTCTTGATGGCGTGTAGGCAAGGACGGCCTCGATCAGAAGCCATGACTGTCAAGCATCCACCAAGACTCCACGTAGCAAGCAAGATACGGTCATCACGCGGGAGCCACGCAGTCGTGCGCCAAGAGCTGGGCAGCCCCACGACACGGCGACATGTCTCATCGGCAACGGTATCTGCATTTGCGCCCAGGACAACGGACTAAGGGAAGCATGGTGAAAGTATACTCATCACGTACACGACATTCCGGACCTGGGTGAGTGCTGTGAGACGTCAGTTGGGATCGCCAAGACACGGGCATTGGCGCCAAGATTTGCCAATGTCGACGGGTATTCTGGAACCTCGCGGGGAAGACAGCGACTCGGGACGGCCAGGAAAGCCAAGAAATCAGACTTACACATGCTCGAGGCTCATATTTGGCGGTCTCTGGGGCTTTCGCTTCGCACGAAAGACATGGCCAGCCTGGTGGAAAACCCTGAGGACCACCTCTGTCGACGTTGCTGCAACCGCACGCGAGCAGGGAGTTATGAAATTGGGAAGAGCGTTTAATTGCAACCAAGGCCACGGGTAAGGAGCCCAGAAAGGGATCCACGGATACAGAGGCGCTGCGGGCAAGATTGGGGCGCGCTGGGGGGAAGGGCTCGCATCGATCTGTGCAGTGCCAAGAGAAAAATGCCAAGAGAAAGACGAGAAGCCGGGGACGGGGCGAAGGGGGGCACGCTCGAAGGACATTAGGAGCGGTTCGTCGCCCGTCGGGCGTCACGGGGGGGCCGTCCACCCGTCAGCCCCATGCCCATGCCCATGCCCATGCCCATGCCCATTACGCACGCTGGGCTTTGGGGGGGCTGTTGGCTGGAAGCCCGTGGCACCATTTCCCCCCCGTCATCGTCCCAGGATCCCGGGGGCATCCAAGGGCCGCAAGTGAGCGAGGCCCAGAGGGAGCGACAGAGTCTGTGTGGTTGCTGCCGCAGCCAAACGATCGACGGCCAGGGCGTTGGCCCGTCCTAACCAGGGGCCGATACCTGCAAAATGGGTGGTGGGCATGATGCATTGACGAATGTGGCCTGCCGCCGGACCAACTGACGAGTCAGGTTTCGCACTGACGAGACCGGCCAATGCTAGCCCGACGATCCAGCTGCTGGTCTCGTCGCTGATGCGGCCGATGGGTCCCAACTCGCCAAGCATGCTGGCATGCCGCCCGAAAAGCTTGTCTTGAAAGCTTGTCTTCGACGTCGGCCTTATCATCGAGACCACCCAGACGACCACATTGATTATCCATCCGTCGAACCCGACTGCGGCTTTTACATGATGATCGTCACCGGCCTTGGGCCCCTGAAGAGGCCTGTGGCACGTCGGTATTCTCTCTTGTGGCCTCTGAAATTGGATGTGAAACGGTCGGACCCAGCTTTGACGCTTAGTTCCTCTCGTCCTAACTGACAGCCTGTGCTTGGAACTATGTATGGATCTGGGAACGCACCGTGGTACAACCTACCAACCAACCAGCAGCAGATTCTCCCCGCTTCCTTTTCACATAACAGAGTGATGTCAAATGATCGAAGTCCCCGCCGCAAGACGAAATCACTCTCGCAGCTGTCCGGGGGCTTGTCGACGTCAAAGACGCGTGGGGTGGTGGCATCGGATCCCGCAGTGTTCTATCGAAACTCAATCCTTACAAGGGGCAATCTGCCGGAAAACCTTCGCAGCTGCGAGAGCCGATACAAGTCTGAGGAATTGTCACACTTGCGCGCTCCAAGACCCACTACTCCAGTATCGTAGTGGACCATCAATCTCTTGACACGACGACGTGCGCAACCCAGGCTAGCTCATATCAGAGTTGCAGGTCCACTTCCACTTGCTTTCCGGGATGCACGTGAGTTGATTTCAGACAATGTGCAGGTATCACTGCGCAGAGTTCCAGGACATACTTTTCCAGCAGCTACAAAGCACAGCCTGCGCTGCATGCCATCAAATCGGGGTCATTTACTCCTCAGCAAGAGTTGGCAATGATGCCTTCAAGTGATCAAGTCATCCGACAGGGTTGAAGAGTATGTTCGATTCCGACAGGGGCTCATCAGGTATCTCTTGCCTGTAAATAAGAACCGAAAAGCAGGGTTGAATGAAAAAGAAACCGCCTGTTCCAACGCCGATATCGTGGCCTTGTTTTCGGCAATTGGTTGCGTGGCAGCCTGACTTGCAAAATGCTCCTTCACCCGAGAAGACCTTCGTGCTCTCTTAATACCGCTTCCCTAATACGGCAGTCATCCGACCCTCTCGTGATACGCCACGCAAAGTTGCAAGCGTCCATCCTACAGGTACTCGTCAGAGCTGGCAATGCCTCGTAGCTGGACCTACCTACCATGTATCGTAGGGACCAGAAAGTAGCAAAGCACGAATAAGCTTATAAGCCACACCTTAATCAAGAATCCACTATAACTCGAATGATGTACTAGGAGTGATCTTTTTCATTAGCGAGTGTCTCCTTGAACTCTGAGAAGGAGGAAACATCCAGGTTGCAAAGGGATAGTACATTCGTATCAGGTGACTATTGTTCTCCCACAGACTACTTTTGTTTGGGTGATCGGCTCTTATCAGAACGAGTATTCAAGTTCCTTACCAGCCGACATACGTGTGGCCATTTCACAGGAATGGCTAGCTACAGTCTGTGGCTGGCGAACGAATACATCCATGCGGGCGAGTGGCGTAGATCATAAGAGTCAAGGGATGCCCCCCGGATCAAACGGCATCTCTCCCACAAGTTTGCCTGCACGTCCTGATCACCTTCCGATTCGGGACTTAGGGACCTCAAACTTGTGCCATAACCAAATTAATGGAACCAAATACCAACGAAGTAGGCAGACGTATTTGGAAAATTGACGCTTTGTACCTAACCGCAGTGGGTTCTTCCTTTAACGAAACGATGGATTGAACTCATGAATAACAGTGGTAGGCGACTCGCCGTGTATATATGTTTATTATGCGACGTTTAATAGGAGTCGCACACTTAAGTGGTGTCATTTAGCGTCGCTGAGTTCAGACTCGTTGCTTTGATCTCGTGGTTTGAGCTCTACCCACGCAGAATAAATGGAAAAAGGACACTTCCCCGGTTACCTGACAGTCACTTCTTCAGAAGCATCTCCCCTGAGACATACGCGTCAACTTGTTCTACGGTACCAGAAAATCTTTTGAGGCGCCGATACCGCAGACCTTGGAGTATGCACCATCTCGTCAGTCAACTTGTGGGACGTTTCTCACCTGACCTCCCCGCGTAAGCTCCAGTAAACCAATGGACATAATTGCACGAACAGCACTACGAGTGATACTAAGAAGCATATTATTATAGTTAATCTTCGCCTAAGGAATAAAAAAACAATCTCTTCTTTTTTTCTTACGAGGTAGGCCTACCTCGCGACTACAGGGTACTGAGCCACTGGAATGGAATAATTGCATAGTCAGCTCTTCGCTGTTATATCAGTGGACATGATCAGTGTTGTAAGTAAATAATATCTCGCTCATTATACCCTTATATCGAGGGAACTGTTACTACATGTGCTGATATCGAGCTTGCAGCACTTAAGGTCAAATGCAAAACCGAAGGCATAAGGTCTGTCATTTGTAGCTCTAGTGGGGGAACTGATTCGAAGGGAGACCAAATATAAACCACAGCGCCTATTTTCCCGCATCATGCTCGCAACATTCCTTTCCGAGCTTGGAACCCACAGAAATCAAAGGAACGTACTGTCAAACGTGAAGTTCAACCATCCCAGACCAAAGATTACCGCATCGACCCTGTCAAGTAGGAAAGGGCCCTCGTAAGAAGAGGTGCAAAACGGCGAAGATCGGCTAGAGTTGTCAGTGTACCGATGACTGTTGACACAATTCTCAGCTCTGATATAGATTAACTTGTCTGCTTGGTGTGCAAGGACTTCTATGACTCCGACGCGCGTGGTGTTGATTGTTGTTTGACGGTACGAAGTTGTCCAGCTCGCCGCCTGCACAGGTGTATTGAGATATTGGGCACCCTGGACTCTTGTGGGCAATAGTGCGTATGTGAAACTAGGTCGTCGTCTTGACAAAGACTGATATCTTGGTGAGTACATTGGGGAGCTACTATCTCTTGGTAGTCCTATCGATAGTTTGTACGCCTTCGTAGATCGAGACATTTCTCACGTGGATGCAAGTACACACGATAACCTGACAAGGGTCTTTAACGACTCCTACGAACCGAATGTCGATATCTGAGATGACATGATTGGTGGCCGCAGATGCATGGTATTCCAGGCAAAACGTGATATCGAGGCAGACGAGCAATTTTTCGTCGACTATGGTGCAGACTATTTCCATGCCAACATTATCTTATGTATGTGTAGGTGAAAATTGCAAGTATAGTCAGCTAGATGCGGTGTTTGGTAGTATCCATGTGCCGACTGACCCCACCAAGTAAGACAACGTAGCTTAATGAGTCCATTTCTTCTGTGTATTATTCAATCGTCCAACAGTCAGTGCTTGATAACGAACTTCAAACCTATTGTTTTCTTTCTCCTGATTAATCTAATCTAAGCTAGTGTTAAATCAGTGTAGGTAAATAGAGAAACACAAGTCTTCAGTACTCATGCCAGGGAGACTTGATAGTCTAATGCCAACATGTTGCTTTGTGGAGAGGCACGAAACACACTGTGTGCCGCACCCTACCAACCGCTCCGTGGCGCATCGTATACTTGAGATTGGATTGCTGGTTCCTTAGGCTGTTTATTGACCCATAGTGCATCGTTTCCTCTTACTTCCTTCCGGCAGGCGCTTCCTCGACGGCCACCAGCACTCAAGACTAGCCAGCGATCAGACCGCAGTCAATGCAACCTCCAGTTACGCGAACTATCTAACAAGTGACATACCACGCTGAACGGCATGTCAAATCACTTTGCTCGCAAGTATGGATTTCATGGCGACACGATCTCTTATAGGGTGCGACGTGTATTGTATTGAACAAAGATGGAGAATGCATGTATCCATGGCACGAACCAAAGTGTACTTCCACAGAACTAGCTCACAGTATCTCCTTGTCTATCTATCTACCAGCTGGAACAGCTATCTATGTGCATAGCCCCTCTACCAAGACGTATCAATGTCAGTGTGATTGCAATCTATCAGGATGTGGCTGTCTTTTCTCAACCATGGGTCCAGTGTATATGTCTGTCAGCCCAGCTGTCTGCTTCAGTCTCTCAAAAAATTCGAATATCTTTGGATATGTTTTGCGCATTTCTGCATCCACATATGCAAAGTACAGGGCAAACACTGTTCCACCAACAGTCAAATCCGCAAGACTCGGCCCTGCCCCATCGGCATTGACGAACCACTGCCTATCTGACAGATGCAACTCATAGTAATCTAACCATCTCACCAAGTCTTTCGCAGCAGCTTCCTCTTTCTTTGCATCATAATCTTCAATCTCCATGCGCCATGCCGCCAACGTGTAAAGAGTTCCCTCGACGTGCAACTCGTTGAAGAGAATCCATTGCTGATTTTTCGCACGATCTTCCGGGTTTGCGCCCAGTAATTGTTCGCCTTTGGGACCATGTCCCGCAATATATGATGCGATGGCAGAGCTCTCAGCCAACTTGAAGCCCTCTAATGTTTCAAATGCTGGAATCTTGCCTAGCGGGAACTTTTTCAAGAACTCCAGTGTTCTGTTGGTCTCGCCTGGCTCGAAACCCCCTGGTACTTGAAGCTCGAGACTGTTCAATCTAGCTGCGGCAAAGATCTGTTTGCAAAAAAAGACTGTTAGTGGATGTCTTCGTACCCAATAGGAATACCAACCTTCCTAGTTCTTGGGTGGAAGCGTCCTGGGACGGTATAAAGGGTCCCAATCAGAGTCATCGTGAAGTTAGGGTACTGATACACTAATTGATGTAGTTGTATGTAAGCCCGACTAGGCGTAAAGTAAGAAGAAAGAGAAGTTGTAGATGTTACTATCTTGCGCGGGGTATAAGGCGGTGGTATTCTACCAATTCCACTCTGTCCACGCCTAAGAGAGACTAATGTTGGTTTGTCAGCTATTGTTAGAATTAGCAGGACCGAGATAACTAGATAGTGCTCAGAGAAACACCTACCGCATGGGTGTATTAAATAGACCCCAAGCTCAGCTAGTCCAAGTTCAATCTAGGCAAGCGAACAATGTCCAATGACAATTATCATTTGTGGACTGACTCCCTGCCAACAATATAAGCGCTAGGATCGATGTGCGCATTCCAAGAACCTATCATTAGATAAACTTGTTGTATCTCCATAGCTTCAGATTTGCTAGCCAATCCCAACCAAGAATGAAAACATAGATCAGTCATTCATGGGGCATCAGTCGGAGTATGATCGCTGAAGAATATACCAGCAACACCTTGTAATAGTACGTTGTGTGATGTTGGAGTCGTGGTATGAGACATCTTGCCCGCTGCTTTCATTCACACAGTGACAAGGCTACCCTGGGAACTTGCAGGGATCCTATAGGTCAAACTCGCCAGGGTCGCTAATGCAGCAGCAATTCGTCGTTGCGACGCGGAAGAGGTAAGTTTTGGGACTCAAAGCTTACTCGGAACTTTACTCCATTGAACGGACCAAGAAAAAGCCGTTCGAGGTCTTGAGTACCTTCCATGACTAACTAGTATAACGCAAGATACTTCTCCGTGCACCAACTAACGATTATAGTACATAAGACCATGAAAAGAACGGGTAATCGTCAATCGAACGTCGAGCGCATTGCATTCTGGACTCCGCAATCCAGGCATGCGGCTGGATCTGGCTGCCTTGATCACCTGGTGTGCGGCCAATACCCAGACTGGAATTGTAGCAAGCCACCGTCCGCTGGACCGATTTCACCTATGCCCCAGCAAATCCCACCTCCCCCGCCAGGCATCACTCTTTCCGTCCCAAACCACACCACAAGAAAAGCCAGCCAGCCAGCTAGCTCAGCAGCTCGTTCCTTCGAATCTGGATTCTAGCGAGCTTCAACGAAGCTTACTATGTGACAGCCCCGTCCACTCCGCTTCACCTACGACAGAGCTAGCCGACAGCCGACCATACGAGGGACCTTATTCATTCGTCTATAGTCCGTCGATGGTAGGATTGCTTTAGGCCTGTCAGAATCAAATGCATCTTCCCGCCGCTCTCGCTCTATCCCGGTGAACGCGAACCGCCTATGCAAGAACGTATCGTCGCCATGCCATGCACCAATGATGCTGTCAAGATCCGGCAAGACTCAAGAACAAGCTCGAGTATATGGTCATCACCAAGGCTCACTTTCCGGAGCTCAACGGTGCCGACAACAAGAAGCTCGTTCACTACGTCAGGACCTGGGCGACGGGTCAACACAATCATCCATTCAAAAGGAGCGACTCCAGGCTATATCCAGCAGCGAGTGAAAGGATACAATCTGAAATGGCCGACATTACGAGAATGGCTGATTCGCCACTTTGTGGACCACCCAGAACTAGAGGCCAGTCTCCTTCACACGCAGGTATGTCATCAGAACTGCTGGCTCACGACCCAAGAAGCTACAAAGGCCAACTAACAGCGCGCAGGGGTGTGTGCAGGACAACTATTACTTCTGGATACCCTCTGTCCTGAATGAGGTTTGTTTACCCCGGGGATTGTCGGGAACTCAACGTCGAACAGTAGAATCTAACTTTGCCAGACGGACTTCCATGAGATCGATGCCCTCAGAGTCAAGAACACAGCAGTAACGAATCGCGACATCCACCGTCCTTACACGCCCGACCACAACCCAGACGATTCCGGCGATGATGCATAGATATTCCTGCGAAGATCCTTAACTAGCCTGCTACGGGGTGGGCTGCGCAATTATGCTACACTGCAAATCTACCCACCGACTGTCCTGATCTACGATGCGTGCCACGAACGCAGACGGACAATGGTCGGTTGTGGGGTAATAATCCAGCAAGTCGCTGTCCACACCAACACGTTGAAGCGTGGAGCCCGGTCTATACCAGAGGAAGACCGTTGATGCGGCGTCGAGGGAATGCATGGAGCAGATTCGTGCCGAACAGGAGGACGCGGCGTTGGAAAAGGGAAGGGTCACGCCTTCTTATGGATACGAGCTTAATGGAAGGCCACTATAAGAGTTACATCGACTTGCAGCAGTCGTTTGCCTTGAGAAGGCGATTGACCGCCGATGGATTTCTAGAAAGCCAAGTCCTACGGGGCAATGCCATCAATGAACCCAGCCGAGTCTGGGTAGAAGGAATGATGGACCGTCAACGTGGGCTAGGTGTGAATGGACAAACTGTCCACTCAAAGTTGACATGTGTATCTATCAGCTGTGCACGGAAGGCTTAGTGGAATTTTGCCCCTGCAATGAATCATTTACACATTGGAAGCCATCCATGGATGGGTACGCACAATAATGCCGGCTTACAGCAGGCACTCGCTGACAGTAGACCTCCGGACTGACCCACGATTCAGTGCCTGGAGGCTGGAGGCCTCGAATTCTGCCCATTGGGCTGAGCTGAGCCCTGTCAGCCCGCCGGGCGGTAAGCACGTGCCACGTGCCCCACAAGGCACTTGCCAACAGGAGTCTGAGTATGCCTTGCGGATATGCACCTGCGGCCCGCCCATACGCATATCTCATCCATCCCTCGCACGATAGAATCTCACAGCGAGCATCAATGCAGACCTCGCGCAGCTATCAGAATGAACCTCCAGAGCCTAGACAGTGACTTCCTGGATTCTTATGCAAGTTTCGAGAAATATCCAAGGAAGCTAGTGCTGAAGGATGTATACGGCGCTTCGAGGCTCAGATCGGTTCGCAACCGGCTTCAAGATCGGCAAGCAAACCTTTTTGTGGAAGAAGACAGCACGTTACTGGCAGTGAAAGACGTAAGTGCAGATGGGAGAGCGGAGAAGAGAAATCTCTACTCCGATCAGGAGATTAAGAATTGGCTTGGGGATACCTCAAGTGCAGATCCACTCGACCCAAGCAGGATTCTGGGAAGTGTGGCCACTAGAAAAGATCCAGTATGCCGATTTGTGTAAGTCAACCCCGATTAAGGTAGCATGGACGCATGCTGAAAGAATACAAGTTTCCTCCTTGCGGATTCGGTCACTTCGCCCTTGAATATATCCGCGAAGAGTATACTTAGACTTTTGAGTTACCATCAAGTTTCACCTAACTTCTTCGACTTCCTCGACGTCTACGGATCACCGACTGCTGACGACAGAGAACTGCGTTTCAATGGCTTTAAATCAGAGATATGTTTATCCAACCCAGCACCAGGTGCCATCCTACCTGACTTAGGGAGAAGCGGACGATGCTTTCAGTTAAGCTACAATCTCAAGACCGTCGCGCTCAAAGACAAAAGCTCGACAGGCACAGTCCCCAGCTCATGGAAGATACGCCAAGCGGCTATACACCACCAATTTGACGTGGGAAGTGGGACTGAGCTATGGATCTACGGCGATCCTCATGGGTCTATGAAAGACAGGATCGCTGAGATCGTGTCAGATCAGAAAAACCACCGAGACAAATTCAGCACAGTTTCTAACTCCTTCCAATCCAGTCTAAACATACACATACAGGCAGCTAGATGGTCTACCGAAGGATGGAGACAATATATCTTGTCCCTTGAGGACACGGTCGAGAGATTGGTAAGGACCACTTGTAATAGAGCAAAATATGTTGCTCACCATCCATACAGACATCGCACTTCATACTTATGAAGAGCAGCCGAGAGTCGCGACTTGAGACTGACGATCTGTTCCGAGTGCAAGAGTGTGAGGACAAGATCAATGAATGCGTCATGACTCTCGAGTCTGTGGCCAATAACCTCGAGGCCCTTATCAATTTCTACACAGAATTAGTGGAAGACGAATCTTTCCCTGCATCGGAGAAACGGACGTGCAAACTTTCAGTCAATAAATTTGCCAAGCAGATTGGTGAGCTCATATACGATATCAACATGCAGGCACGGCGTGCGACAGTGCTTGCCAAGATTAAAGCTGATCGCAAAGCCATGGTATGTTCTGTAAAGCAAAACATTCAGGGATATAGATGGAGATGACTAATTTATTACAGTTCATCCAGTTGCTTCAAGCTCAGGCTGCAAGTCGCGCTGAACAACTCTCAACAACAATGTGGCGCCAGGCGGAAAGGACTTCCTACGAAGCTATTGCTATGCGTGTCATCACAGTCATAACATTGCTTTACTTACCGCCAACTTTTGTATCAGTGAGTAGCAAATCTGCCAGCATCGACCCGCAAAGAAACTTGAGTTGACGGTCCGTAGACCTTGTTTAGCACGGACATAGTCAAGTATCAGGGCGAAAATGGTGACGCTGGACAAGACCTTTTTTCGTCTCTAGCACTAGAGAGATTCCTTGAAGTATCATTGCCGTTGATGCTATTGACCCTCGCGGTGGCATTCGGATGGATGTGGTATGAGAGAAGTAACGGCAAAAAGAAGGTTTCAATGCTAGAGCTAGAGCACCCTGATCTTTTCGGCAAAGTAAGCATGTCGGATTCATGGTGAAATAGTGTGCACTAGGTAAACCAAGGTAAAAAAAAACCCCTTGGACCCCTTGCGGGTGCGCGGACGACCTGTGGAGGATGCAATCACGTTTGTAGACAGGTAGTGGTCAGATATGGCACCAATCCCGTCTCGTCCTGTCTACTCGTAGAGTTGGGCCTCCCCAGTAAATTGCTATATGCACATTATCCCGTATTTATATATGTAAATCTTTCACGTGTTGCTGGTCGTCTCTCAGGTCGATTGACTCTTGCGCAGCCAGCCTGTGATGCACAAGTCGCGTCGAGTGGTGTACAACGTGGGGGCGGTACTGGGAGTTAGCCCCCACAGCAGTCTGCTACACAAACCTCTCCTGATTGCTTCATTCTCAGGTAACTTAAGACAGATGGTCCTCTCAAGGACCAGCGAATTGACCAACGCCTGTCATGAGACAGGGTTTTTGAATAAAGGGACTTTCTGGCAGGAGCAACCGAAAAAATTCACAAAAGGGTTTGCAACGACATACCAAGATTGCCACACTACAATTGCAAACCTCGAGAGGATGGGGGGCTACATTTATGCCCCAGCGCAAGGCTACGGCGGTGGATGCCGTGTGGTGTCATTGTGTCACCACAACAGCCCCCATAGCTTCAGCCTGCATGCATAGTGCTGTGCACTGCCACCAAGGCTGCACGGCCTGGGCTATACGCCGCAGACCCTCCCTCCTCTCTTCGCCCCCCCTTCCCCCAAACAGTTTAAACCCGCCGAGCGCCTTACATAGACTGAACAATCTAGATCCTCAATCATACGCATCAGTGACAATTCAAACAGATGGCCTATTCGGCTCGCCTTGATTGACTACTCACCATCAGCACGGACATATCGTATTCGTCCGAGAAGGCGATATACATACACCCACCATGGCTGAATCAACGCGCAGCTCTGCCCACTTCGACTTTGCTAGTGAATACAACGAGGCTGTGAAAGATTTCAAAATCCTGCGAGGTAATCATACGAAGACTGCCATTGATAACCGCGAGTTCGTCCTTGTGGATAGAATAACGCGGCACCTCGAAAGCTCGAAGCCATGCACAGGCAACTTCGCCAATAATCTCGAACGTCTGCTCGTGTCGGCTCACCATTCTTATCACACCCACCCTCCCGATATCCCAGTGACTGAACTCAAAGCGTACCTAGCAGTTTTCTTCATCCTGATTGAACTAGATCATGCCCACTACATCCACCTTTTTAGAGAACAAGGTTTGGACGACAAGCAGCTACCATTCACTCAGGAGCAACTCAAGAGGATCAGAGTCAACGAGACGAGAAATGTGGACAAGCTACTCGATGATTTCTTAACGCATCAGTATGCTTGGTGTCCGATGGTATTCAACCTCGATATGGGAGAATACCATGGCAAGCAAGTCATTCCCTTGTGCAGCAAGTTTCAAGTCGAGGTTCATCGAGATGGATACTTGCCTCTGGGAAACGATGCAAAGGTCTGGAGAATTGAGGTACCAGCGGACCTCGTTAGCCCAAGCCTTCAAAAGAAATCACAACACACCAAAACACAGCATGCAGCCGGCACGGATCAAGCAGAAGAACAGCCGGCTGAGGATGTGAGCATTCCCTAAGCGTGACACGATATCTCTTCTAATTGGAAATTTATAGTATTACCAGTTCGTTTTGAAGGAATTTGGACTGTCGAAGAAGCCATCATTCGATCGAGAAATGATAATGAGCAGAGCACTCAAAGACGCATATGGCATTCTTCAATATATTGGATGGTATGAGGCCACTGCAATAGATGGCTCTCCATCATTCAGCATTATACTGGAATTAGGAGACGAGGACTTCTACACAACTGTCAGAACTCAGCTTCCACCTGTATCACCGCAAGAGATTCTCCTGTTCTGGGAAAAGATGGTTGATCTTTCTTGTGGATTGGTCCATATCCACAAGTTGATTGTGGGAAACATTCAGTATGATATGTATGTATGGTGTATTTGTAAAAAGGTTAACCGGCTAATATCATTAGGTGCCATGGAGACATTAAGCCGGAAAATATTGTGCTGGCAAATGGTCGCTTCAAGTTTGCAGATCCGGCTGAGGCAGGCATTGAGGTGTCCATTCCATCAGACACCCCAAAAACAGCGCTGACAGGAGGCACTGTCACATATGGTAGGTTCAATGACGCGCCGCAATGTATTTCTTTATGCTCGAGTCAAGGACCAAGAAGAATAGACTGATGTATATTGAAATCACAGCATCCCCGGAGAAGAGCAGACTTTTACAAGGTAGCACAAGCAGCATCGCCAGTTCATCGCGACAGGTTCCTTTGAAAAGTGATGTTTGGTCCCTTGGTTGCGTTTTCTCTGTGGCTGCCACATACGTGGTTTTGGGAAGCCAAGGTGTTCGCCAGTACGACCGACTTCGTGTTGCGATACATCGACTACGGAGAAAAATCCCGAACGACAGCTTCCACGATGGCGAGAGAGTCTTGCCAGAGGTCACTGCGTGGCACAGGTACTTACGTGCGACTGCACGAGGTACCGACAAGCTCACGGCATTGGTCCTTGATCTTGTGGATGAGCGTATGCTTGTTGGGGATCTAGATTCGAGAGACGGGGCAGATGGCATTTTCAAACTGATGTCTGATGCTGTGCATGCTCGAAATATCGCGGACGCATCAACCGTTCCCCGGGGTATACAAGTATTCCTCGAAAATCTTGAAGTAGGCGATATGCATTCCGATGCATTCGCTGATGACGATGACCTTGAAAGCGCCATCGCCTTCCCTGATACACCTCCTTGGGTACCCGAACAGGTCGAGTCAGACATCATCAGTACTCATGAGCTTCTTTCGGAACCGCTCGCCCGAACTTCCCAACGTTACCAACAATACCAGATGAGAAGATCCGGCTCCAGACCTCAATCTCTTCGACACGAGTTGCTCTCTCAACTAAGCATACCATCTTATGGGGCTCATCTGCTGGAGGAAAGAAGGTCTTCTATGTTTAACGATCTTCCAACAATGGAATTGCAAGGCGTTACCGACATGTGGATGGTTGAAGCTGATTTGGAACGGCTACAAACACCATCCAGGCTCGCAACACGCATCCCTTTCAGAAAACCAAGAGAACAATCCGTGAAAGAGAAGAAGCAGCTCGCGAGGGAGGACGAATTACAGGACTTCTTCAAAAATAGGGACATTGTAAGTACTGGGGCGAAGTTTCTATCCACTGTACCAGCTGAATACTTACTACGTTGGCAGGTTTATCTCGTCGACAATGGTTCATCTATGTATCAGCATTGGTCTCACGCCTCCTATCTCATCCGAATACTAACATGGCGTGCTCTTGGATACGACGAAGATGGAATGGAGCTGTACTTTACCAACCCAACAACCACGGAGTGTGTCAGACAGAAAAAAGACCAAGATGTCAATGAGTTTGTTGACGCAATGAAGCGGGCAAAGCCAACCTCCAAAACAGTCTGTCACCAGACTGGCATTCTCACAGCACTTTCGAAAATTCTGTACAACCGGCCACCGGTGAGAGCCCGGCCCAAGACAATTCTGATCTTGACAGATGGCAAATGGGATGGGATTTCTAGTGAAACTAGCGTAGACGAACTCATCAAACGCCATATTGATCAGCTTGACTGCAGCGTGGCGGGAACCGCTAGTCACCTCTCAGTTGAGCGACCTATCACGTTCCAATTTATCAGCTTCGGCTACGACAAAGAAGGCATTGAACGGTTGCGGCGCCTTGATGATGACATGAGTCGCGAAGGATATCCGTAGGTTACCCTGCTTCTGAAGTGCTCGAGATCGTACTTTGCTGACTCTTCACAAATAGTGACCTTGTCGATACGGAGCCCGCGACCGGTGATATTTACAAGATGTTCACGGGAAGCCTCTCAGATGACATGGACCAGGCCACGTACTTCTGTCAGCGCTGCGCCGCCAACAACCTAACGACGCCTACGGCCGCTAGCCCTATGTCTGCCATATCTGCCATGTCTGCATCAACCGTATCGCCGACTTTCGATCTCGCTCTAACGAGGACTCCCCCATACTCGCGGTGAAACTGGGGAATATCTCTGACTGCTATATCCTTTCCTTTGGAGTAAATCGGGCTATTTTCTTGGCTCTATGTATAACATAAGCTATACTCACTTGTTCCAAGCGTTTCTCCTCCGCACGGTCAAATTGAATGGTCATTCAACGCTGTTGCTTTTCGAAATATCCTGTATTTATAGGAGCAAGGAAATACTCATATTATAAGAGCTGAATCCCGCCAGTCACTGTGTGCTGGACTGGTCTGCCAGATGAGTAAATGAATATACCCGTGAGGAACTAGCGCAGGTTTCATATGTCAATTCTCATTGACGTCACACCTTTGACTCTTGAGCTTTCTCGCTGGAAATATCTCCCTGAGATGCGACTTCATCGTTTTGAGCGATTGAAGAGGTATCACTGGTTTGAGAACGCTTTTTGTCTATTCTAAGCATCACTTGAATGGCAGCGCATACCACGACTGAGAAGTGTTAGTGAATCGACAGGGACACTTTGAAATATGTTATGCTTAGGCAACTTACTAGTCAAGACTTGGAGTACTGCTGTGAAAAGGTAACCCTTTTGAGCTGCAGGGAAATCCACCGTTGCCCAGACGAAATTTGGAGCCTTACAGTTCATTAACATCTGACGCCAAAATTCATGAAGGTCATAGACTCACGATGGCTTGTACAACATAAGCAAGATCATTCGCCATGGCAATCAATAAGGCTCTCTTTTCTGTGTCGTGCGAGCAGATCTCGTTGATCCAACTCAGGATAAGTGGCCCAGCTCCCATCTATATAGGTGTTAGTTGGGTCCAGTCGGAGATTTATCCCGGTAACTTACACCAATGTTACTCAGCCAGTAGACTATCTTTCTATCGTTCACATTCTCATAAAGTGGCATCTGGCGAAGTAGAACAATAAAGATGAGCTGTGAAGGGTCGAACATGAGTTCAAGACTGGGTGAGTTGAGGGTTTGAAACTTACCGATATGATAGCACCTGCGTAGATGAATGGCCATCTCAACCTTTTGAATGGTCCATCTGAAAGCCAACCCCAAACAAGGGCCATGCCGACGAATATTCCAGTTGTGGGAATTGGCACTTGACATTGTGTCAGTATTGTACTTCCAATGACTCAAGTCAAAAACAAACTCACAGTTGTTGATTTCCGGCACCGTAAACGAAGTCCCCGGTAGAGGGGGCGGATTTGAATTGAAGCTCTTTAGCCAATAGCCCATGCCAGCCTGGGGAACGGCATTGTTCCATACGACGTAGAGTAATGCTACTGTAATATTAGCTGCTGTGGAGTTGGGTAGTTTGGACCGAGGTTGGTTGAACGTACGCAAAAGGTAGAACTCCCAACTAAGCACGAGTTTCTTCACTTTTTGCCTGGTCCACTTGGACTTTCCAGCCCGTCCGATAGCTTGCATTCGCTGAACCGAAAGGATATGCTCCTCTTCAGTCGTCCACCAGGTCCTCTTACCGCTCTGTGGCAGGTTTGGAAAGAAAAAGAAGCCTAGCAGCGCAAGAGGTATGGTGATGATCCCATCAACGATGAAAAGCCAGCGCCAGCCTGCGTGTCCATGGACGCCATTTAAGTTTGTATATGCAGCGGCTTGAAGGAATCCGCTGAACATGTTGCCAATGGAGCCGGCTAGCCAGAAGATCATGGCCCGCTTGCCGATCTCTTGAGGAGTGTACCATGAGCCAAGAAGGTAGTGAATACCAGGATAGAAGCCAGACCTAGATAGATCAGCATGAATAGACGAAAAACTAATAGATAGAAACGTACTCAAACAGGCCAACGAGGAATCGCAAAGCGTACAAGGATCGGTAGGACTGGACTGATGCAGTGCAGATAGTGGCTATACCCCAACCTACTTCAAGCTGCGTCTCAGAGTTAGTCAACTTCAAAAGGATATTCAGGCATGGGCCATAGGAAACAGGTCCTACATACTGCTGGGATAACCCATCGAGGAGAAACTCTTGTAAGTATCAGGTTAGAGGGAATCTGTCCAATAACGTATCCAACAGTCCAAATCGAGGTGCTAGTAACGAGTTCATTGCCGTACATCGACAGGTCCTCCTTCATACCACTGAGGAATGCATTGTTGATATTCGTCTGGTCGATGTTCTAGAGAAAGTAGTCAGTACCCACTACCGTTAGATATGGTTGCGGCGATCCGTGGACCGGTTGTTGTACCTTCAGAAAATAGCCAATCTGCACCAACTACGTTAGCCAAGAATAGTCGACACGAGATCATGTGTGTGGTACCAACCGAGGCAAATGTGAGTACGAAAGCATCAACCTTGAAGAGCAACCTGCGCTGGTCCGAAGGAAGATCCCATGTGTCCCATAGGTATCCTTTCCATGTCTTGATAGGTTTTACCAGCTCTTCCCGAGACTCGGTCAGCCCGGAGTCGGCATCCGTGCCTCGACCGACCGCAAGGGTGGACGTGTCGATCTCACTCTTCTGTCCCATGGTTAAATGAAACAATAACAATGATTTGTGCCACACAATACGCAGCTCGTCACTACCTATTGGGCATGTCGGGCTTATAGCTTGGATTTGTGCGCTACTTATCACAACCTCGTGTGGGGCCAATTCTCTCATCAAGCCTAGTAATCACGTCAACTCACGAATGTGGGCTTCCTGAATTACGGCATTTTCGACCAACCAAGACCAATCTACCACCTGATTCTGGCCGAACGCGCCTTCAAAGTGGCGCTCGCCAGTGGTTGAAGAAGTCCAATTCGAGATAAGGGCGACTGTTGGCAGCGTGCTTCGTAAGCTTGGCTTGTGCTTGACCTGAGAAGAGTCGTTCAATTGGCTGCTTAACACTGGAACTCTGTTCCGATAACGACCGTACGATGACTTGGCAATGTCTCGGGGTCCGTCGACCATCCTAGCTCTTCATAAGGCATAGCTGGTCCTTCCACGGTGGCTTTATATGAGGCTCGTCCCGGGCTCAGACTCGTTCCGGTAATTGGCAACAGAGAAATATCAAATTTACGCAGCTTGGCGAGACTGAATATACTAGTAATCAAGTGCGCAGGAGTGATAGTTTTGCCCGATGCCGTCGTATACTAGAACGTACTGAGATGTGTTTGGAAATTTGACACAGGCTAAGCCGGGCAGCCACAACGATGATGCAACAAGCTTGAAAGATAACAACAAATCAAACCACTAGCGCCCGCTTTGAAGAGAAAATATGATATATCCTGAGGTGTTTATTTTGTAGAGAATAGGAAACAGGCCTCCGTCTCTGTTCGTTGGGTTAAGATGGAATACCTTGCCTTGCCCGCATTACGGGCTCTATGCAACTGGCCACACCAACCCTCCTACCACTCTTGGGCGTTCCTCAGAATTTGCCTTGTAGCAGTAGCTGCAAATTCGGGCAGTTGCTAAATCCTGGATATTTGCGGGCAAAACCGAGTTATGATTAACGCTGTTGAAAGTAACATGTTGACGGCGTAAGCAGGGCTTTTTTCTTCTTCCTAATTACATCTGCGCGTCCCTTCACCAAGACCAATCACATTTTGGTTCCCTGCTGCCTAACTCAGTCGCGCCCCGCGCAGGCGAACCTATAACGTTTCGCACGGGCCATAATGGATTATAGTTGCATTTACCAAGCCTGCCATGGCCCGTTCTTATCATTTCCCACTAACATTCATTTCCCCGCACGTTGGCGTCTTACTGAAAGAACGATAGCTTCAAGCGATGGACGAATGAATTGCAAGAATGTTAAATTATTTGCTAGGCAGCAGTCAGGTGATTTCGTGAATTGCCTGCGTTCCTTCAGCCCTGATCATCTGAAGGGCGCGCGTATCTGGCCTATTTGTTCCCACCAGATCTCCAAGCGTTACCTGTCTCTTTTACCTTAGCATTCTTTCCCATCTCACATCTCCAAAGCAAGCTCTTGAAGCTCATCGTCCCCACTGATGGCGGGTAACGTAAATGAAACCAGGACCGTGGAAGCACAATGCTACTGCAAGTCTCTCCACTACAAGCTCACGCTGAAGGCCTCAAACCTCCCGCTTGGCGTTCACATGTGTCATTGCAGCGTCTGTCGGTGGACGCATGGGACACTGACCATCTTCCATGCCGAATTACCCAAAGGAGTTGCGCCTGAGTTCATTGAGCCTTCCGGTTTGGACAAGCTCACTGCGTACCAAGGTCCTCAGGGAAAGCGATACTTCTGCTCGACGTGCGGGTGTCACATGGGCGACGTCTCCCTGGACGGCAAGGATTGGGTCATCTCAACGTCGCTGTTCGCTAAAGACGAGACCGTCTTCCAGATCCGTACTCATGTGTTCACCGAGTCAGCCTCTGGTGGTGGGCTGAATGAGTGGCTTCCTCGGATTGGGGACAGAGAGCTGAAGATCTGGAACCCCAAAGATGGTTCTGCGGCGCCTAAGGAGTCCAAGGCCGAATATGGACTTAAGGGAGAAGATCGTCTGAGGGCAGAATGCCATTGTGGAGGTGTCTCGTTCACTATTCCTCGTCCAACAGAGGAGGTGATCAATGACCCAGTCATGAGCAAATTCGTCTCCCCAGTGGACAAGAGCAAATGGATCGCAACCATCGATGCCTGTGATGATTGCCGTTTGACAAGTGGCGTGCACGTGATATCTTGGACGTTTGTTCCGCTGGACCAGTTGGAGCCGAAAATCAAGCCCGACCTCCTGATCGGCACCATGAAGACTTTTGTGTCTTCGCCTGGCGTCTTACGGTCCTTCTGCGGGGTGTGTGGTGCCACAGTGTTCTATGCTTGCGATGACAGATGCCCTACGGTGCAGCAGAATATTGTGGATGTTGCGGTAGGGATCCTAAGAGCACCAGAAGGCATCCGGGCTGAGAATTGGTTGACGTGGAGGGCTGGAGCGGTTGGATGGGAAGCCAGCGGCTTGCAATACGACGAGGAGCTCACCAAATCATTGGGCCAAGGCTGCAAGGATTGGAGCTTGAAAAAGTATGGCCATGCTGGCACTCAAGAGATATGAAGGGGATTTGGGAAATTTCCACACTCGGTTCGAAGAAAAGTCGAAGAAACAGTACTAGGAGAAACAGGTGCAGAACGTGAGTTTCGTTGGCATTGAAGCTTGTTACCTTGTCGAAGCATAGGTTATCTCGTGGCAAGTGTTGTCTGTAGCGCAAAATTATGAACAGAGCACAACATTCCTACCAGCAATGAGAACAGGGCGAGTGCCGTTGGCTCGCTCAACCAGCGAATATACTATTCTTTAGTTCTATGCTGGAAAATGCGAACTCCCAAGGAGGCCTTGGCTCCAATCAGTCGAGTCACAGCAAAGGCCCAGCAGCGAGCCAGCAGTGGCAAAGGGCTACTCGATCAAAGACTAAGTTGAGAAGCAGAAGAAGAAAGCGTGAGGGCCATAGACTAGACGGCAACGGTGTAATAGATGGGCCCTGCGTCGACGTTGCAAAGACGATGGATGACCTCTGCTATTCCGGCTATTCCGCTCGGGTTTATTCTCTAAACGGGCGCCAGGGCGTTCCCCACTGTAGCCTGTGCTAACGCGGCTAAGCCACAGTGGGGATGGGACTCGGAGATCTCTGTGGCTGTCCGACCCATTCCCCCATTGCCAGCCGATTCCGATCGACTTTTAGCGAGTCCCCTTTTCTCCCAGGGCACGTGCCATTTCATTTCAGACTTCGAAGGATTGTCGCGTCTCCTCCGTAGTTGAAGCCAGGGTCGGTCGGGTCGTTGAGCAGACGGTCGACATACACCCACCGTTGCCATCTCTGCAATCTTGCACGCCCCGATTCCGCTCGCTACCCTTCGATTCATACATCAATCTACCGATACAGATCGCCTTGCCGCTTCTCGCCAGCGTTGTCACCGCAGCCACCTTCTGCTATCGGCAAGGCACGCCCACGCCCACGCCCCCGTCCCCGTCCAGCCGATCAACCGCCGCCACCATGGAATACCGTCGCAAGAACGATGAGCCCTCGTCCGCTCTCCAGCGCCTAGGTCGCTGGTTTCGCCTCAAGCAGTACCAGGTCGAGGTCACCTTTGCCGTCTACATGTTCACACCCACCGAGAAGTTCGTCTTCTGGTCCGTCGTGTTCCTGCTCTTTTCCATGACCACCATTGCCGCCGCCCTGTACCTCCCTCAGCACATCGCCTTCCTCATCGGCCGTGCCTGGTTCTACGTCAACGGCAGAGACGGCAGCGCCGCCGCTTCCAATGTCTTCGCCCACGTCAACAAGGACGCTCTGTCGCTCTCTGTCGCGTCGCTAGGGGAGGCCACCGCAAAGGCAGCAGCCGCAGCAACCAAGACCGTGGGGAGCACCTTTCGAGAGCTGTGATCACCATTACGACTACATTTGAAGATGACCACCTAAGAAGAAGGGGCAACACGTAATTTAATCATATATGGGAACGGATCCGTGGCGAGGGCGTTTGGCGCAATGATAGACCTCGGATATCTGATTTGGGATGGTCAGGTCAGGCATAGCTGCGTCGACCTTTAATATTTGGCAGGATTTCGCTGGGCGGCCATCAAACACAGCTCTAGTAATTCTCCTTTATGAGACATGGTTTATGGCTCTCCGTGCCATGGATGGTAGTGTTTGCAGCAATCGTAGCATTTGAAAAGACAAAAATGTAAGACTATTTGCCTCCATCGTTTAGCATACCGCCTGCAGCTGCTGAAAGTCTCCTGCGTGTATATGATGTTTTCATAGGCCAAAGGGAGCTTCAATTACTGTATATCTGTGGCTGGACGGCATGCTTCGCCCCCTGCTGGAAAGACCCATGATTGAGCTGCTCTTTGCAATGGACAGTGTCTCGATGCTTTCTGTTTGCTATTGCACAGGCACGATCCTCTGCTTCGTTCAATGGGCTCAATGGAGGCGCTACAAATCAGCATGAATCCGCACCTGAATTTTTGAATGCTTTGAGATATTTAGAGTTCTTGGTAAACCCCAGCCGAGCAAGAATATGAGATAAAGCGTCTGCCCATGTCAGTAGAACCGTACTGTTAGAAAACTCAGTTGTGGCATATGTGCTGATATTATCTATCAACGTCAGCTCATTCGGACACACATCAAAATACCTATTTAAGTGAACGTCATGCCGTCGATCTTTCTTGTGTCGTGATGCTCTTTAACAATCGCAGTCCAACTCTTGCCCAAAGCGCGGCATCTCAATCTCCATAATGACTCGCGAAACTTTATCAAACCAACTCCATCAAAGCACTCGCGACGTGCGTACACCTTTAAATGAGGAACTGTACCATATTATCTTCCGTCGCGCCCGGCGAATCCTTAATTCGTTCCTGGCCACACGCAACTACATGTTCATCATGTGTATCACAGCTCCTGACGGCAACGGCGCTCCACAAGTTCTCACCATTTTCGTCGCCCCTGCGTTATACGAATCTATCTGGCAGCCAATCGTCTGGGCTATCCAGCAATACGTGGATAACCTCCCGTGCCGACTAAGGGTCCAAATGCAGAATATGAATCCCGACCAGGGCTTACTGTGTTGCGATCTGTTTGATCTGCCATGGGATTATTGTCAACTTGGATGATGCCGGCCAGAGACTTTGCTTTACCTCCGACTCATGCCATTGAGTTAGATTAGCTATATCTAGAGAAAAGGGTGGCGTACGAGACGTCGAAGTGAATACTGCGGTATCTCTATCTCTTCAATCCCTGGGAAGCAGGCCATGGGACTTTTCCATTTCGATAACCCCGACGTTGTCCCGGAAAAATGCGTGGGAAAGTAATAACGAGTTTCGCTTATGCAGCACGTTGAATTCAAGAAGTCTTCAGCCAAAGAACAGAGTTGTATCATGCCTTTCTCAATCAATAACAGATGAAGTGTGGCTAGTCTGGAAGAAATCATTCCTAACCATAATTGCGTTCCACAAATCATTTAGGCGAGCCACAAGTCCTGCGGCTCCAACTTCCCCCAAAATCTCTTCAACAATGTCCTTCGCCGAATTTCAAATCCATGATCACTCTCTTCTTCTGACCTCCGCGACAGATAACTACGGGTTGCTCTGAAAAGTCCCAGCCGCGTGTAGGGATCATTAGTCGTCTTACCCTGCAGCAGTATTAAGCCAGCCGGGTCACGCTCAGCATGCGCCACGACCAGTAGACAAACGGGCCGAGGGTATTCGGGGAATTCCCCCGTCTCTATATCAGGATACATCTCGTCGGAGTAGTCGAAGAGCGGGCTGAGTGACTCTCGCGGTAGGTGCTCAGGGTCATAAATTGACGGTTCAGCCCACGAATTGATCTTCTTTGCCCCGTACTCCTGATCCAATAACACTTTCGTGTTGACACGAGCAAGATACCCAAGCACTTTGAGCAGACCAGATTCGGCGGCTCCATACGGAGATTCTGGATGAGTGTGCTGAGCTCGGAAGTCTAGAATTGCAATATCCGCGTCTGCTAATGCTCCAGGATACAGTTTGGCCACAAAATTGCTACCAACTATTCCGTTGAAGCCAGCCCAGCTCCAAGATGGTCCAATGTAACTACTCGAGCGTCCTTGGTTAGAAACGGCCATCCAGAGCAACTCCAAGGGCAGGTTGGACCTCCAATTCCCACACATATATTCATCTTGTAAGTGAGAGGCAAATATCTCGGCGATCCCTGCAACGACTGGCAAACGACCAACGTTGAAGGCGAGTGAACGTGCCGTTGCCATATTGATCAGTCTATACCAGTCTTTTAGACAAGCTGCTCGTCTCTCTAGTGCAGACATGCTTTCTACTGCGTCGGGATCACTTGGAAGACTGGACTCAACGCTTCTGATGAGTGTGCCAACGTGCTCCTTGGTCACATTGTCTGTGACATCTGCGGATAGCTCCACAGTCTCTATAGTTGGTCGAGACATGTACCACCCATCTTGAACATTCCTCACCGTCCTGGCAAATCCAACTCGTCTGCAGCTTCCCGAATTTGAGGGTACGGCGGGAGAGTAGTCGTTCCTGTAGTGTCCAGGCTCTAAGATCCCAAGGCTCAGGTACCTCGTTGTAGTATCGAACCCCTCCCGATAGCTGCTCTTCAAGAGGTGGGACTAGAATCAGACTTCCTTCTGACTGTTTTTTGTCTTGTCGAGAGAGTGGGATCTCGAACACGTAATGTCGCCTCTCTGCTCCAAGTGGAGTTCGATCGGTCAAGAACCCCTCGGCGACGGACGAGGCACGCGACGCCACTATCGTCAGCGCTGCATTTGAGTATATCGTCGTCATCCTGGCGATTTCTTCTGCCTTGTCGTCGCTGCTATCCTGCATGATGCACAAAGCATCAATCCAGATATAGGAGAAGCCCATTTGCTCGGCGGTATGTACTGCGTCTCGAATTGTCGGATCAAATTCGATCAGCGGTTTACCATGCCGTAGGCCGTTCAGGGTAGCCGCGTTCAAGAGTATTTTCTGCGATTTCGGGCCCCAACAATATGACAGCGCGACATAAGGTCTGCGTAGGTTTTCGCTCTCCACAAGTCTTATCAACTCGGGGATGCCTGACGCCTTTCTTATCTCTAGAAGCCGTCGAGGTGAAGATTCAGGTAGATCATGAATGGTACACGCGTGCTCTGAACTACAGCGTTCTAGCCAGGTGTGCCAAAGTGAGAAGGACTTTTCGGAGCCTGGGCGCGTATTGACGGGATAGACTCCAAGTGAGGTTCGCTCATGTTGACTTTCTTTTTCACTCGGCATGGCTCTAGTTAGCAAGCTCTGCGCAGATTTATCATTCGCAGAATTGCTCACCTGGACGTCTGACAGCGAGAAAAGTAACCCAATTCTCGGCGTATTCATAAACTTCCGAACGCACTATGCCCAGTGTGACCCTGAAGCAGATCAGATCTGCGGAGTGTCTAATAAACTCTGTTTTGATTTCTGCAACATCAGGGTCACTTGTTGATTTGGTACGGGATACGCCCTCCCAAAGAATAGCCGTGTCATCAGATACACCAGTCCCAGGCACCTTGTCGTTTTCAGCCGCCAAATCCCCTCGTATTTCTCTCTGAATCTTACGATGTATCATTTCCCAGAACAAACATCCATCGTTCGAATGCTCTTCGATTATAGGGATCCGGACCTCGATAGTTCTGCAGTGCGTTGTGTTCCATTGCGGGGACGGGTTCAAGATCTCACTTAATGAATCCGGCTCTGCAGCACGAATTACGCGGCAATGTTGACATGAGTGGGGTCGACATACTCCATCAGTGACCAGGTCAGCTAATGAGACACAGGACAATGTTACTTCATCCAAACTCCTACTCATCATTGCGGCATTCTGGATAGGGTCAATACTGGATCTTGAAATGCGGAAAAGTATAGTAGCGTATTGAAGTCAGATCAAGGCGGGGTAAAGGTTGCCTTATCATGTCCTAGCATATTTTCTGGCATAAGCAGTACCCGCTTGAGACAGCGGTCAATTAATGTGTATTTGGCCGTAGTCAACAGGTCAGGCACGACAGTCGTCCAGGAAATTGCCACACCGACTTCTACAGTTAGATAATTCAATGCAGCTATTTCACTTCTCTGCCTGTGTAGCGGCAACGTGACAGAATTCCCGTATTATATGTCTGTTATTAGGTTAACATGCAGGAATAATAGCGCCACTACTATATTTCCCGAGAGTTATAGTTACTGGACTGGAGTAGTGCTCCGGAAATATATAGGCCATGCAGCACTTCCTCAGCACGTGGTACAGGCGAGGCGGTACGGAGGCCGCCAAGAGCAGCAGAAACCAAAATGGGCGGACGGGTAAGCCCGCAAGTGTGATCCGCGTCATTCTTTTTGCACCTTTTAAAGCATTTTTGAAGTCGTAGCTTATGAGCCTGGCCCTATTTACACTACCGAAAGCCCAAGAAGGTCTCACCCCTTCTCACGGAGGTGGTAGTTCTATCGTACCGCTCTTCCACGAACTCGGCAGCCTATTGCCACTTCGAGAGACGAATAAAGCTTAAGCGTTATCTGCCTATGTCTCAACAGATATCAGAAGAAAGTGCTAGGCTTGAGCAGTACGAGAAAATGTATCAGAAGTACCGAGATGAGGCTTCGATGCAGCACTGTAGAGTTTGTCAGCGAATCGAGTCGGTACCTCCGATGCGTATGTAATGACGGATGGCACCCTTAGTTTCCTGAATATAGAATATACTTGGGAACTTCCAGGCGAAAACTAACAGTTTCCGGAAGAAATTGTGAGCAATTGATTCGACAATTCAACAGCCATTTGTAATCTCTAGGTGCGTTTTGACGCAATGTCTCCCCATGTCTCGAACCGGTTCCTTCATATGAATATGGTTTCGTAATCAAACGATCAAGTTACCATACATGGACCAAGCTAGGTTGTAATTAGGTTATTAATCTACGCTACCTATTGGAAGCTGCAAATCCGGGTCTAGTTTGAGCAATCTTAGCATTATGAGGCTGGGTCTAGACCCTGGACCGACATCGGAAAGCTTTGTCAGTCCGTGATTGTTCTATTGATAGCTCCGATATGATGTGTTAAAAAATCCCATAAACTGAAACCAGTCTCTCGAATCAATTCATTCATCGGCCATTTTTGTATCAAGTGTCATTGCATGGTCTTTTGGATCCCCATTGAGAGGGTGTAAGGTTCACGCATCAGTCAGCGTGGCCGGTCTTGTGTGTGCTCAGCATTGACGTTATCATTGGACATTTCCCAAGTTGCGAAATGTCGGTGGCGTCTTAAGTAGTGTCCTCAGCCGCGAGATGATACGAGCTAAAAGCTAGATTTCACTATAGCGGAACGTGGTTCGGGTGGAGGCCACCTGTCAGCCCTTCCCAGGGTGCAAGATCAACATTATCAACCTTGGATGGGTGGTTGTCTATGTAGCATCTGATTCATAAACAGTCGGCTGTTGTTCAAGTATGCAAAACATAATTCTTGAATCAGATCTTCTTTTTTTGTCCCTAATATATAGCGACTCAGCGTGGACTTGAGCTTTGCCACACCCACACAGCGGTAGGGGTAAATATACGTCGTGCAGCGCAGTGATCTGCATGCCAGCGTCGGAGGCGCTGATATGCACGAGAGTACTAGGCCTGGCCTGTGGTCTGCCAAAGTGAAGGTAAGTAGCCCACGACAATGGTGCGACGTAGTTAGTTGTGTAGTGAATATTCACCATGTTTTCTCCTTAGCCGAAGAAGACGCCAGGGGCTGCATGCTTTCGGAAGCGGTCTGTGCGGCACATAACACTAGCCCACAACGGTCCGGAGTGCGCTCGACTATACACCGATTGAGACCAATCCTCCGAGAACGCCAAGTGATAGACGGCATCTGAATTCGGGGCGGACTGAAGTTTAATGGGTCCAGACCTGGATGCAGGGCTATTTGGCGCCACTTCCAGTGTTTCTGGCCCGTCTCCTCCCACTAGACGGCGCAATTGACCACCCCGCCTCCCGAAGCTTGACATTATAGAGTAGTGAATCTACCCGCTTGACATTTCTTGGCTCTCAGCAATGGTCCAGCAGGCTCGGGGTGAGTATTGCTTTCAGCCACCTAGACCGTGAGTTCGCACATCATTGGGTGGTGGGCGATTCTTGCCACGACAGCTTCCAAAGCTGGCCAGGAGGCTGGATGCAGCAAGAAGATAGCACATTATCATACATCAAGGTAACTCCTTCATGAAAGAAATATTATATCTATTGAAGATGGCTGAGTGTAGCGCCACCTTCTACTTTCATATCATCGCGAGGGTGGCTAGTATCGACTTGATCCGCTTATCTCTGTTCTCTAATAGAGAACCCCACCACGTGGTATGCAGCCGCTTGGACGTTGAAGAACGACCAGGTGACGGCATACCAGGGATTTGGGAATATTGACCCACCCATCGACTCCAAACCTCCGGGGATTGGCATCGGTTTCGTCTGATACTGGTATAGACACCTCCGATTCACCGATTTCATGATGGCTGTACTGCGGAGAATATCTGTGAACCCCTGGGCTTCCACGGCAGTTTCCCGCCTCTCGATTGTTGAGTCTATCTGGCCGATTATGCACATGCGCAACGGTAGCCCGATGTGCATTGTACAAATCTCCACCAAGAATTATGTATAAGTGGCGGTTACATCCCGCTGACCTTAACGAGATATCCTATACCCTGGTGTTACCACACGTCTATTAAGCCCCTACCAACTGGCGAGCTGGCTCAGCCTCTTACGAAATAATACATCGATCGCCGACTAGCTGGCTCGCTTGCATCTTCCCTACTGCAGGAGTTTAGAGAAATGCTACCTTGGCGAAGGTCCACCGCCCTGGCGGCTTGGGGTGCGTGCCAGGTTGCACTGGGCCAGGCCTCATCACCCGAAGTCAATGCGTCAAACTTTCTGGAGTTACTCCCGGAGTGTGCGGTATGAGAATAACTGCCATAATGCCTTGCGGCTCGGTCAGAACCTCGCTAACACTGTGCTAACCGCCACAGGTAACATGCTATTCCGCCGTTCTTGAATCAGCGAATTGCGCCTTGGACAATGAGCTTCTCTTGGCGGATTGCATGTGCACTAATGGTGCATTGCGGACAAATCTACTTGCCTGCTCCCAAGCTAGCTGCGCACCAGGTGATGGGATCCGTAAGTTGGCTCGTGCAAGCCGCACCTGGACCCGACGAGCAACCTGCTTACACGTTCTATCACAGCTGCGCTTCTGGTCGTGGATGCTATTTGCCAACCGTACCCCAAAGAGTCCCGCGGCACCGAGGCCAACATCGCCGCAGCTCTCACCTTCGTTATTGCGATACCAGTCCTCGTTGCCCGATGTGCCGCGAGGCTCAAGTTTTCACGTAGACTATGGTCCGATGACTACATGTCTATAGCAGCAACCGTACGAGCCCAGCAATGATAACAGCTCTCGACGAGCATCTTGCTAACATGCCTTTGGGCAGGTTTTCTTGCTTGTGCTCGCGATCACGCAGATAATTTCGGTCGAAAAGGGGTTCGGAATGCATCAATGGGAATCCGAAATCGTGGAGAATAGCACCTTTCTTCTGTTGGTGAGCACAACATCCCCGGTAGAGTTCACAAACCGCTGCTAATTTAGAAAAAAGATACTTTTCGTATCGCAGATTCTCTACATCCTCGTCCAATGTATCGCCAAACTAGCGGTTCTCCTCCTCTATCAGCGCATCTTCAGCCTCGGCGCCGCTCGGTGGTTCCGGCTGACCGTCAAGGGGTTCATCGGCTTGAGCTTTGTCATGGCTATACTGTTTACGTTTCTCATACTCTTTCAGTGCTGGCCAGTCCAGGCAGCTTGGGACCTGTGAGTATCTCTAGGATTTGTCTTCGAATCACTTTCAGAATATCAGGTTCTGCAAGCGATCTAAAGAGAATCCCATTGACTTGTTGATTCTGCAGTACCATCCCCGATGCAAAGTGTCTGAACTTCGCACCGCTCCTCTTCGCTGGTTCTTTGGCCGGCATATTAACAGACATAATATTGATCCTTCTGCCGATTACCGAATTGCGCAAGCTTCAGATCAGTGGAAAGAAAAGAATTGGCGTAAGCATTATGTTCGCCATTGCCTTATTGTAAGCCACCCCACCCCGCATCCGTAGCAACACTTTCAAGGACTGACCACTATTTCGTGTTGTAGGGGAGTAGTCGCAAGCGTTGTCCGACTGCAATACCTGGTGCGTCTTAACTGGTCGTACGATCTTTTCTGTGAGTAGCACTCAACTTTGTTCGTGACATCGCGCTGAGATGTCCCCTTGACTAACAACTTCTTCAAAGGGGACGAGATCGATGTCGTTATTTGGAGTCTTATCGAGCTGCTTTGTATTGTCGTCTGCGGAAGCCTCCCTGCACTAAGGCCCTTCATTGGCGCCTTGCTTCCCAAGGTCACTGCAACGTTGCAAAGATCCTCCTGGAGCCTCAAGAGGTCGACCTTTTCTGGCGGGCGCTCTAATGCCGGCAAACCCACTGAGGAGGATGCCAAAGAGCTTGCACCTCGTAGTCCTTCGAGTCCCCTGTCTCTGTATCCACTGCATTCCGTTGGGAGTGATGGAGAATGGACTCAATGGAGTAAGCTCCCGGCGGGCAACACCTCCCCGACATGGCCAAGGCCAGCTAGGCTTCCTAAATCTCTGTAGTAGGTATGCGAGAGGATTTGTGCCAAGATACATTTTACGGCTGCTGCTCGCTAGCTTCTCTTTGAGAAATCAAGCTCATGCAAGCTATAGGGTGCTCATATGCACCGATGACCTGAACTAGATCTAGACTAGAGATTTAAGTGGCCTGTGCCAAATGGATTATGAAGAGTTTCTCCCAACTTGCCGTGATCCTAACTTCCCCGGCTCATGTGGCTCAGATCTGAGTAGGGAGTCTCAGGTCCACATAATGCCACTGTGCTGTCAATAGTTGACCTGATTTCGAGCCTCGAAGCCATGAGCCGGTGCCACTGCTAGCCCGAGATAACCGCATGAACTTTGGGCCAACCGCGACATCCAACGAAAAGGGAACGGGCTCAAGGGTACGGAGCGGCAAGTTTATTAGACGGAGCAAATCGTTACAGGGATATAGACACCACCCACTCCACTGCTCAGCGGTAACATAATACAACAACAGTCCTGTGGTTCTTAGACCAAGCGTGGTCATCATTAGAGTTGATGAAACATCATGATGTTCTTTCCATTCATTCTAGTATTGCTCTTGGCTGTCCTTAAAGACAGACTAGCGGGTATTGACCCAACAGATAAAAGCTCTCTCGTCAGCTTGGCGTCAATATTATCGGCGACGTGGATCGCCCCAGATGGACGGCTTCCACATAATAGAATATCGGTCAATGTAAACGAATCATTCTGACACGCCTCGCTTTTGTCTAACCTCCACAGAGTCTCTGTAGACCGTACATATAAAACTTTACTCATCATCATCCACATCGCTCTCATTCTCTTCCCCTTGTCTGAAAATGGTCTTCTCGCAAAGCTGCAACGTCTTCCGCACGGGTAGGCCCACGACGTTGTCGACGCTGCCCTCGACCTTCTCGACCAGCACCATGCCGGCCATGCCCTGGATGGCGTACCCGCCGGCCTTGTCGACGCCCTCGCGCGTGCGGACGTAGCTCTCGATGACGTCGTCCGGCAGGCCGTCGCTCTCCTTGGCGAAGAAGACCTTGGTCTCCTCGGTGTAGGCGGCGAGCTCGTAGCCGGGGTGGGTGGCGTCGGCCTTGGGCGCGGCGCAGCAGACGGCCGTGAGGACCTTGTGGAAGCGCGTGTCCCGGAGGTGCTTCAGCATCTTGATATGGGCCTGTTCGCTCGGGGGCTTCTCGAGGACGCGGCCGTCACGCGTGACGATGACAGTGTCGGCGGCGATGACGATGTCGGGTTCCTTGCCCTCGGCGATGGCGGTGGCGTAGACGTCGAGGCACTTTTGGCGGGCGGTGGCGTTGACATACTCGTAAGGGCCCAGGGCGTCCTTGGGCAGGTTCTCGGGCTTGGTGGAGGGCTGGATCTCGATGTTGGTGATGCCGAGCTGGGCGAGCAGGGCTTTGCGGCGGGGGCTGGCCGAGGCCAGGATGACGCGGTGCGTCTTGAGGTACTTGATGATGGGGACGTCAAGGGGCTGGGGGCCCTTGCGGATCGGGGCCGACTGCCGCAGCGGGATGCCGTGCTCGCGTGCGGCCGTGATGTAGTCCGGCGGAGGGTAGTTCGGAGTCTCCTCCTTGTCGGACTGGAGGGGCGTCTTCTCCGACATTGGGGGCGACGGAAGATGGCACTGTATGGCTCGTTGCTTCTTTCTTCATCTCTTCTCTGGAGTAGGCAACACCAGACCCTAGGAGCGTTGAGCTTGAAGACTGTCCTTCAATTCGAGCAGGCCGACGGACAGTGGTTGCGGTCTGTTGTAGTCATTTGGTGGGGCAGATGCAGGTACGTCACTCCGTCACAAGTAGATCCCCTCCCCTCCCCTCCCCAGGACCCTCCAGTGGCCGGCCCAGGTGGCAGTCAACGCTAAAAACTGGTTCCCCCAGGCCGGCCGGCGATGAAACCTCGACAGATCTGGCAGAGCCGCATCTAGGTCGTCAACTTAGCCTAAGCGTTAGACTGCTTCTGACTCATCACTTTCCATCTCTTATTTTCCCCCTGGCCTGACCTGACCTGGCCTGACCGAGACCGAGTTGTCCTCGGCTTGAGTCCGACCGCGCGCGCAGGGCAGTTTTTTGACGCGCACTCGCTCCAGCTTCCCTTCCTGCCGGCGTCGTCGTCGTCGCCTCTGCAGGGGTTCCACCTCGAGACTAGATCTGGAAAGCGGGGCAGTTTCACATGTGACGACGCCTATCAGACGCTCGTGATGGTCATCTCAGCACTGAACCCCGAACCCAGTTGCGAACGAAGAGCGTAGCGCGCATGCCCCCTGGGGCTGGTCTTTTTTTGACTTGCATCCTTTTACTCTATAATACAATCTCATACGGTGTCGCTTCGGAGCAAACATCAGTGTCCTGCCATTATGTCTTCGAACTCTGGTAGCCCCGGCGCAAACGGTGCCGGAGCGGATGAGAAGCCTCGCTTGACCGAGACGGAAAAGAAGCAGAATCACATCGCGTCAGGTGAGTGCTATCGCCCCCCCAGCCCAGCATGCTGCCCACATGTGCTTGCGCAGAACAAAAGCGTCGCGAAGCCATCAGATCCGGGTTCGACCGGCTGTGCGAGCTGATACCCGGGCTCGAGGGCCAAGGGCGCTCCGAAGGTCTTGTCCTGAAGCGCACCGTCGAGTACATCCGCGAGCAACTCGAGACAAGGCGGCAGCTGGTACAGGAGCGCGAGGCCCGCGGCGAGATAGTGGACGAAAAGCTCAAGGAGTATGTACAATCACCCAGTAGCACATGTCGCCATGGCATTACTAATCACCCACATCCACACCCAGGCCCCTCAAGATCCTCGAGAAACTCGAGGAGGCAGACAAACACAAGGTATTTCAGGAGGGTGATGAGGACGAGTTGTGACCGGCGGCCGCTACTCGTATGAGTCTATCTTGGACTTTAGTAAATCCAATAATTCTTGAGGCGTCATCTCCTTGTGGGACTGGGAGGCTCCTGCGTCCTGATCAAGTCCATTCATCTCGATGGTGACAGTACCTTTACCCAGCTGCCTGGGGCCCACCGTGACAATGACGCCGTAGCCCTTTGCTTTCGCTTCTCGGACTTTGGCGCCGAGACTAGTCTTCCTTTCATCGATGTCGACGGAAATCTGCGTCGCATTGGACACCGGCCCGTCGTCGGTGATCTGCGAGCCCGCGACCCCCAACAGATGGTCACGGGCCGACCTCGCCATATCTAGCACAGGCTCGCTGTCATTGACAGTGAGAATAACCACCTGTCTCGGGTTGAGCCAGAAAGGCCATTTGCCGTTGTAATGCTCGATCAGCAAGGCCATCAGCCTCTCAACGGAGCCAAGTACGGCTCGGTGGATGAGCACGGGGGTAACAGGCCCGGATTCGGCCAGCTTGTCGGCGTCCGCCGTGCTCTCTCCCCTCCGCTCTAGTTCTGGGGCCGGGGCCTGGTATTCTAACTCGAAACGCTTTGGTAGCTGAAAATCCAACTGGATGGTAGCGGTCTGGTGTTCTTTGCCGTCCGAATCCCTCAGGATAATGTCGATTTTGGGACCGTAAAAGGCCCCATCTCCCTCGTTCACGGTCCAGTCCTGCCCAGAGGCGTCGAGTGCCCTTTTGAGGGCGCCCTCGGCTCCTTCCCAATCCTCAGCAGTGCCAATATAGTGATCTGTGGGCCGTGTTGACAAGGTCAGCCGGTAGGGGCCGAGTTTGAAGACCTTGTAAGCGATGCGCACGAAATCCAACGTCTTCTTGATCTCTTCCTCGATCTGCGACGGTCGGCAGAAGATATGCCCATCGTCCTGGTGGAAGCGACGGACGCGGGTCAGTCCACTCAGTGCCCCGGATATCTCATTTCGGTGCAGCGGCGAGAAGTCGGCGTAACGGATGGGAAGGTCTCGGTAGCTTCGCCGCTGAGAGGCGAAGATGAGACAGTGCCCAGGGCAGTTCATGGGTTTGAGGCCGTACTCGTCCTCCTCCCCATTCTCGGCGGTATCCCTTCTCGACGGAGACGTGCTCGTCACGGTGAACATGTCGTCGGCGTAGTTCTCGAGATGACCGGACTTTGCCCAGAGAGCCTTCTTGTAGATGGTGGGAGTGATGACTTCTTGAAAGCCATAACGGATGTACTGCTTGCGGAGAAACTCGACGAGGCGATTGAAGATTCTTGCACCGTTCGGTAGCAGAATAGGCGAGCCGGGGCTATATACCGACGTCGTAAAGAGCTCCTGCTGGACGCCAAGTTGTCGGTGGTCCGCTGTCGGCTTGGGCGGTGTTTGGGTGGTCGCACACGACGCGCAAGCTCTGTGAGGCCATAATCTCCGAGGAGTGTTGGGATTCGCAAGGCCTGAGGTGATGGCCCGAGTCGGGCGTGTCACCGCTATCCTCCGCAGTAACATTCCGTCGTTGCGCCGACTACCAATCCCACGGCAGTTCGTCGTCCAGACTCTCAAGAAAAGCTGCGACAGGCGTTCGAAAGACGACAGCCAGGACGTGTCAAGCTCGTTTCCCCAAGTGGACTAGCGTCTGTGTCGCCTCGTGCCACTAGTGTGCAAAGAGAAAAGCGTTTCCCAGGCAGGCATGACAGGCATGACACGCGGGGGCCATGTGACAGGGATACGCTAGTCACCCGGCGCCTGGACGTCATCTCGATAACGAACGAACGAGTTCCAGCAAGCGACAGCTCGTTCATTCATTCTATTTGCATCTCAACGTCCAGAGGCAACCAGACCCTGCCTATTCGACGCAGGCCGGTCGCGAATACATATACACTAGACTTCATACTTATGAGTCACCGGCTTCCCCTGTGAACGGCAAGCCCCGCAACTGAGGCCAGGGTTTCTGGTAGATCGACATATAAATACGGCTCTCTGCCCTGGACTCAAAAGCCCATCCATCCCTTTCTCGCCACCTGAGCGCGCACGCTTTTTACTGCTCGTACACGGAAGCCTGCATCGCTCAGCCGTCGTAGTTGCTGGATGCTCCACGTGGCTCAGAGGAGGCGGCGAACTTCTTTTGAAGATATGAGAGCCTCCAGAGACAGTTAGCACTGCTATTAGACGCTGCCTAATCATTATGTCACCAAGTAAACAAGACCGGCACGCACGTCTGCCCGTGGAAAGTTCCTGGCGCATGGTCGAGGGGAGCGAGAACGATAGTTTCGATACCTCTATTGTACAAGAACCGTACGACGACGATATCATCATCTCGAGTGGGCCGTCGCAAGGCACCATCTCCTCCCAAGACTTCAGTATAGGGTCTCAGGACAGCATTCGTGACTTTGCCACCAACGCAGACGAGGACCAGGTCATCCTGAGATCTCCATTCCAGCCCTCCTTGGCGTCAACACGTCACGCGTCCGTGGACAAGGAGCTCACACCCGTGCCCGAGTTCTATATGCCCAAGGTAGAGATTGATAGTCCGCGTCGCAGCAACCGGTCATCAAGGACAATACGGCCCCACATGGAGGAGCCGCAAGGGGTTCGCCGAAGAGGCTTCTATCAACAAACGAGTGATACAAGCCCCCAGAAGCGGCAGTACACAGGATACGAGAGGTTGAGGAGATACGATTCCAATGACTCAGCTCAGGGACGTCCTCCTTCTTCGTGGGAGAGGTTCTCTACAGCCGTGCCCGACGCCTTGTTCGAGACGGCCGCCTGGAGTTTCTCGGTTCTAGGCATGGCTCTACGCTATGCAAAATGGCCGCTGGCCTTGGTCTTGGCGGTCTACATGACTATTGGGGCAGGTATGATCGCAAAGAACATGATCACGGACTCCATCTCAACATCGCTTTCGCCATTATGTCGGATTCCAGGAGCATCGTTGCTCGACCTACCATTCTGCCCGGACTTGCCGCCAGTCCCCGGAAAGAATGGGAGTCGCCCAGTCGAGTTTGACGAGCTCATGAACGTCCAGTCCGATTTCGAGAAAGTGCTCGAGAGCTCTGCCTCGGGGGTGTCGTTGCCAATGGAGATGAAGCGGTCCGAGGCAGCCGTGCGCGATCTGCGCACCGTCATCAAGTTCGCGAAGGACCTGCCAGCACGGGAGGAGCTCTTGTACGAATTCGACGGCTACATAAACTCTATGAGGGACATCTCCAACGACCTCCTCACATTCAACACACACGTGGGCAGCGCCGTGGACTCGGTGATCTCGATCAACCGTTGGACATCGCGCTACATCGACTCCATATCGATGGCGCAAGCAGCTCACGACAATGTCCTATCACGATGGACCGACTGGATCTTCTCGCCCTTCCAGCCGGCCGTGTTTGACGAGCGCATGCTTCTTGACAAATACGTGGAGCACACGGCTCTCGTGTCGGACAAGATTGCGAACCTGATCGTTGAGGCCCAAGGCGTCCTGCGACTCCTCACCCAGGCGGAGAATCACCTGCAGCTGATCAATGAGCACGTTGTTCGCAGCGGCAATGATGTCAAGGATAAACAGAGCGAGGTGTTCTGGACGTTGTGGACGCTGGTTGGCGCTAATACTCGCCGGCTGCACAACCTCAGAGCCCAGTTGAGTCTCCTGCGCCAGGTCGAGTCACAGCGGACCTCAGCCGTGCAGCAGCTTGTTGGGCTCGTACATGATCTCGGCGATATTCAGGGCAAGCTGAGCGACCTTCGAGATCGAGTTGCCGCGCCGGAGCTGTTGGCCGACCAAGCAAGCATTCCACTAAGTGTGCACATCGAGACGATCAACGCAGGAGTTGAGCGGTTGGAGACAGCGAGGAGTAGAATCAGAGCGGAGGAGAACGACAGGATTCAACAGGCGCTGGCTAGAGCAAGGGACGATGATCGGTTGATCGACGGATAAATCAGTGCTTGACGATAATGGTGTAGCAATATACATATAGGTATATTCGCTTGGAGTTCTGGAGTTGTCTTGTCCGATTTTGGCCTAAATTTACGTTTCTTTCCACACTCGAGATGCCCCAAGGGGTAAACAGATGTATACCTAGGTCGTCATAGTTTCGTGGGTCGATGAAGGACATACTCTGGAACACAAAGGACCATGAAATTAAACAACTTTTCTCAATGAGATATCCACCAAGATTGTTGTAGGCTTCCTGTGTTGTCTACTATATGAACCGGCGGCGGATACCAGTAGATCCACAGTAACTCCGCCATCGCTACTGCCACTACTGCTACAAACATCGACAATTATCGTCTGACAAAACCTCGCGACTTCAGCAGCTCGGTCATCTTCGTACTGAGGGCTCTGAATTTCTCCTCTTGCTCCCTGTCCCACTTCTCGCTCTGCTTCAGGATCGCGTCGGTATCGTCGGTATCATCGGTGCACTCAACCTCCTTCTCCTGCGCGGCAGGCTGTGTGCGCCGCGCAGGAAGCTGCCTGTCTGGAAAGACCTCGGCAAGCTTCCCCCTGATCGACTCGACCCTGGCATCGGCCTGCTTCGCCCAAGCCCCATCCTCTTCCAGAAACTTCTTGATGCCGTCCGAAATGCCAGCGTCCTCCTCTTGGGTGGGATACTTCACGCAGGGACGAAATGGCAGCGTCGGCAGCACTTGGCCGGTGGTCGTTGTCTGGAGGCCGCCAATGGTAATCTCGAAGAGCATGTGCCGGTCGACCCCAATCTCCTTGGCGATGGCTATGGAGCGTGCCTCCTGCGCGGCGGTGAACGGCCGCTTCTTCTGGTTTATGATCACGGCCCACTCGTCGAACAGGCCAATCGTGTAGTCCCTTGTCCGGATTCGCTCGCGCTCACAGGCGTCGGTCCATACCTTGGTCGCATGGATGCGAGCCTCCCTTCGCTGCGGCTCCAGCTCGAGAGACACGATACGGCTGTCTTTCAAATTGTACTGAGAGCCCATCAAGAGCCGGTGGTGGGGATCTTCACCGTATCTTCGAAGCACGTTGGCCTCCGCTGGATATATGTGTACCTCGTGGCCGACAACGATGTCGCAGTGGGGCGGGCAGTACAACTTGATGATGCCGAAGACGGTGACGTGGTCCAACTCTCCGGCGTTCTCCACGAAGCTAACTTCAGACAGAGCATTGTCAACGTTGGCCGTCTGGTCCGGAGGGTAGTAGAAGCGAATGCCCTTGAATTCGACACACTCCTCCTCATAAGGTGTCAACATGCGGGGGCAATGCCTGCAATGGCGCGGTGCCTGATCGATAGCCTGTTCAAGGTCCGGGAGCGCATTCTGCTTAGCGGGCTCAGGCTTGAAGCAGAACAGGAGGCTGTCGCCACGGAATCTGACCTCCATATCCTCTCTGTAACGCGCTGTTATGTAGCCGCCGGAAGGAAGTGGGAAAGCTGCTACGTGTTGAAGGAGCCCAGGGAAGTCAATCTCGGTGCCGTGGATTTCCGGGGCGGCGTCAGTTGGAAAGTTGACGTGAAAGCCCTTGAGCGTCAAGAGTCTCTCATCCGGGACTGACATGGGGTGAAGGGGCGCTCTGGGGCACGATGCGCTGAAGGTGATCTGTCCGCCGGCCAGAGCGCAGGCAGATTGGCGCGCCGCGATATCCCCCTCGTCGCTCTCTGTGACGGCTGCATGCTGAACGTCTCGAACAAGCTGAACTCCGCACTCGTGATCTTGAATGGTCCAGCCCAGAGGATGTACCAGGGCAACGTATCCTTTGGAGGTTGGAACCCTTGACTTCTTTCTGCCAGCACCAGGGAAGCGGAGTTTGTTATCACTTAGAAGTGTAGGCTTCATTCCGGTGGTAAAATAGATGTTCTTGCCATTGATAGTGACGAAGTTCTGCGCGACATGATCTCTCGCCTAGAGGGACGCAGTCAGTCGAGAACTTTGCCTGTTCCGTATCACCACTTACATTTTTGGAGCTCTCAGCAGGTCTCTCGGCCCTGGTGTTGTCAGCAGAGATAATCTCCTGTGACTTCATGATGATGGCGTGCTCCGCAAACGCCTCGGGGGTCATGGTTTTTGCAAACGTCCATAGCTTACGATCGGAGACCGTGTTGACGTCAAAGCGTTTTGTCTCCCCAACGACCTCTATCTTGTCGAGGATCCCCAGCTCACAAGGGTAGATATGAACCTTGCGTCCTTCGAAAACAATGTCAGTGTGCGGGAGAGGCCATAAGGTCAAGTTTGTGTCCAAGGGGACTGGCAGCTGTGTGCCTTCGAACAGAACATCCGTTGACGTAACGATTGGCGTACGAAGAGCAACAGGGTAGTATATTGTGAGGTCGTTCACGGTGACCCATTTCTCCCACTAGAAGGAAAGGGTGCCATTTCGACAAGCGGCGCGAACCTTGTCAGCGGAGGTGTTGACTGCAGGATCTGCTGGTTCCTCGGCCATCGTAGCTGTATCGGAAATCATCTCGTTCTGGTTGTCGTCCTGGCTATGTTTTGTTGTGTAGTGGGCGATCGTCAAGCCATCCACCGAAGTCGAGGTGAATTGTGTTTGACTTGAGGCAGAACGCGGGATCCACATGCACGAACTTGTGCTGCCTAACAAGAAACCAGGGGGTTTCGATCTTCCATCACATAACGTTACAAGGTTTCATCTGTAGTCTTGCACATCGAGTACCGTGCTAAAGCCTTTCACTTTGTTGGTTTCATGTACTTGATATGTATGCAATGGAGGCATTGTCTGAGAGTTGTGTTTCTTCAAGTCAATCGCGTTGCTCCATTTGATATCTGGCTGTTTGTCGAGTCTCAACCTTTTCGTTGACAGATTTTTACCTGCATTATCACATACAACGATTTGCATCCAGTATTTGATCCCTTCTTTGGAAACGGATGCTGCCCGATGACCAGGAAAGACTCAGGTGGCATCCAAAGAACGTACATTGGATCCGGTTAAGCATTCACTTGGGATCTTGAAGTCCCTACAGCCGAGTATTTCGTTGAACCTTCTTGAACAGAAAGAAGCAGGACTCAAATCATGTACGCAGAAGAGTACGGCAATACGTTAACTAGGATTATCATTGCTGGCCCGATGTTATGACCTCCAAGGCACGAAGCTGAAACGTCAGAAAATGATGTACCGCCATAGTTGAACGGACGTCTTTGTTATAGTGGCGGTTATCATGCACGTGCGATTGAGATATTTTTGCTAGCTGTAAGCTGATGCGGTCGTTCTTCTCGCTCTTAGCGTCGAGGCTGGACAAGGGAGCATTTTTGCAGCCGAATGCTTAGGTTTCCGGCAACCAGTGAGATTGATTATCTGGACACCCAAACTGAAGGGCAGCGTCAAGTCTCACCTAAAAGGGACTTTTAATGCATGTCATGCCATAGCCACACCGCAGATACCAGCTAACCCCCTGAATAGATGACACGGTGTTGCTTGTCGCCCTGAACTCTAGAGTTCTTAATTTCTTCGCGTTGAAAATACTACGAAGATATGTCAAGACGTCTTGGCCCGATACGTAGACATCGTGGTGCGGAACCATCCCCATGGGTCGAAGGAAGAGGCTATGCTGCGTACATATCCACCGCAATCTTGCTGCATATATCGAGTTGAGACACTTTTACGAGCATCATGGCAAGCGAGTTTTTCGTACCATTTTACGGACATCAGCCAAACGGCCATCAATTGACTGCCTGCAGCGAGTATTCATGTGTAGGCAGCCTGTTCACCGTTAGGAGAGGCACCCGTAATGCTTGAGCTCAGGGATCGACCTTGTATTTAGTGCCTTGCTGAGCGAAATCAAGGCGATTCGAGACTGGGAGACCCTAACAGCGATTGGTACTAGTGCATCAGGCAGGTATTGAGAGGTTACCCCGTCGCCATGGACGGCAGTAATGTGTGCGAGCTTGTGCGTGCGTTGGTCCGCTGGCATGCGCTTGTTGATAGGATGGATAAATGCCGTCTCTGCACCACTCGTATGTGTCTTGCCCTGAGAACGCTGTTGAGGACTTGGCACCCGTTGCCACATGCGATAAGGCAAGCAAGGCAAGGGCCCTGTTACTGCGCTGCGGAATGATGGCCGCGAAATGCAAAAGACCTCAACCACCCCTAGTGATGCAATCCATACACTATGGTACACCCGACTTTGCCGACACTTGGTTGTGGCTGCTCAGAAGGTTGCATGTTGTTATTGTTACTGTAGCTAACTCGCATGTTTTGAAGGGAAACATTCCGCGCGATCGAGGTCGAAATAGACATATAGATAAGCTTGGTTTTTGGAGCGGAAGCGCCTAGGCCCTAGTGAGAGTGATCCACCTTGCAGGCTGCCAGGACAGGCGGGCAGTGGACACGGCGGGTACCAAGCCGATGGTTCGAAGCTTGTTGACGAAAATGTCAACCCATTAGCCTCAGAGCCTAATGGATCCGAGTCAAAAACTATAGCGTGCAGATTATACAGGCAAAGTGTGTCTAGTCAATCAGTCCATGAGTGTCTCTTCTGAAGATTTAGGTAGGTTCAGCCCTATCGCCCACAATCACTGTATCTAGCCAAGGTACTGCAACAGACTAAGATAGGCTGTTCCTGCGCAACCCGAAGCAGGAATGATCGTGATGGCCAACTTCGTATTTTCTGCGGTCCAACGGTCTTCAGGCGACCTGCACGGGATGCTGCGCCTCACCCAATGCGGAGAAGCCTGATCCCTTGGGCGGGCCCCCAGCCCAGGTCACCAAACTTGGCAGCTGATCCTACACGGGCGGCACAGCTCATTTCGCCTCAGTGAATGGGATGAGACGTCAGATTACAGGCACAGGTTTGCTGCTTACGCAAAAAGATCCCACCGTCCCGCAATCCCGACACTTTGGCTCGTCACTCCAGTCTCTCGTTGCAAACAGGATTGTATCGCGAGGCGACTGCTGCGTTGATTGATGCTGTCATGATCAATACGCACCATTCGCTCTAAAAATTCTCTTCCACGGGTCGCAACCTCGCGACACCTGGTAAATCCCCTCGTTACTCAAATCGCGGCACCAACCAAACGGGCGCCGTCGCGATCGCCCGTCCACTCGTTCCACCCTCGATCACCCACCGTGCTGTACTCTAGTGGTTATTTCCCCCGACATCTCTTGGATTGGGAACCTGTGCGCGAGATCCAGATCCGGACAGACCTTGAGGCCCGACTCGCCTCTTTCTAGCCTGTTGCTCCCAAACTGCAATTTGGGCTAAGCAGCGCTGAGAGCGCCAAGGCCTATCATCATGAGGCTTCCGACATCGATCGCCCTCCCCTTCTTCGGGGTCCTGGTCGCTGGTCAATCGGTGTTGCGATCCACCAGTCTCAACAGTTGCCAGGATGTCTCTGGTTTCGAAGCCAGCAAATTTGATGTCGTCTTCACGCCTAACAACAACACCATTGCTGTGAGAATGGTTGCGTCATCTTCTATCGAGGAGTCTGTGGTTTTCGATGCTTCTGGATACGCCTACGGCTACGAATTTCTTCACAAGGTCATCAACCCGTGTGAAGTCGGTCTGGCCGGGTTCTGCCGTGAGCTCCTCAATCCATTTCCCATTCACCGTCTACGGGACTTTTACTCACTGGTATACAGCCATGCAACCTGGAGATACCAGTAACAGGCCATTCTCTATTACGCTTTCTCCTGAGGCAGGTGCAGCAAGTCAGTTTACCTGCCCACTTGAATTAAACTGCATTAAAAAATTGACACCTTTGAACAGTTCCGCAATTGGCCTACCAATTCCCAGACCTGGACGCCAGGATCAAGGTTTTTATCAACTCGTCGACGACTGGGGCAAGCTTAGCTTGCTTGGAAGCTAGAATTTCGAATTCGAAAACAGTTGATCTCATCGGGGTCAAGTGGGCTGCCGCGCTGGTAGTGGGGTTCGCGTTACTATCCAGTGCCGTCATCAGCGGTCTCGGTCATGCGAATGCAGCTTCGCATATTGCTGCTAATGCAGTGGCACTGTGCAGTTACTTCCAAGCCCAAGCTATGATTGGACTCACGGGTGTTACCTTGCCTCCTGCGGCACAAGCCTGGACTCAGGATTTTCAATGGAGTATTGGCATCATAAGGATCGACTGGATGTAAGTCACTGTTCCTTTCCCATTGCTTCGGAAGAAGAAGCCATCCTAGTAAGGGAGTTAAGACATCAGAATCTTGGGTTTCGAACTCTTCTTGCTTGAGTTCGTCCTGAGAATCAAGAAGTCTTCATCGCGGTTGCAAAATACTGATTCATCCCCGGTAACAGGCAGAGGATTTTTACCTGGTACCAGCGAGCTACTGGCGGTACCCCTTCTCAACTCTTTTTCTCGCTTGGGACGGTATCCGTACAAGTCTCGAAACGATCACTCCAGCCAGCCTATGGGCTTGCCAAACGTGCGGCAGCCATGATGCCAGCGTCTTTCTTGGAGCACGCGACGAAGTTGCAACGACGTGGAAATGTGAAGAATTCATCCGGTAGCTATGTCGTCACAGGCATTCAACGGGTGGCATACCGCGCTGAGATCGAGTCCACCAACCTTTTCCTGACGGGCTTTACCTTTTTCTGCATTGCCCTAGTTTTCACTGCAATAGTGGTTTCGCTGTGCAAAGCCTTCTGCGAGCTGGCAGCCAAAATGAAGTGGATTAAGGGCGATACATTCGTGGACTTCCGCAACGGTTGGCGCGTAATTATGAAAGGCATCCTTTATCGCATAACCCTGATGGGATATCCGGCAGTGACGCTACTTGCTTTTTGGGAGTTTACCCAGAACGATTCACCAGCAGAAATGGTCCTGGCTGTATTCTTTCTGTGAGTAACAATACCAGCTGCCCAAGATTGGGGTTTATCTGTGACTATCCCATGATCAGAGGATGCTAACATGCATAAAATACAGAATATACACTACTGGCGCTCTAGGTTGGGCCTCGTGGAAGGTCATACAAATTTCTCGAAGATCCGTTTCTCTTCACCAGACTCCAGCCTACATTCTTTTCTCCGACCCGCACACCCTGAACAAATGGGGTTTTCTGTACATCCCGTTCAGAGCCTCTGCGTATTATTACGTCGTGCCTCTGCTTGCCTACCATTTGGTTAAGGGCATGTTCATTGGCTTGGCACAAAACTCCGGAATTGCACAAGCAATTGCCTTCATTCTAATTGAGGCTGGTGCGCTAATTGCGGCCTCTGTGCTCAGGCCCTGGATGGACAAGAAACTTAACAGCTTCAACATTTCTATTGCGGTCGTCAACTTCTTGAACGCAATTTGCTTACTGATTTTCACGAACGTCTTTGGACAAGTAAGTCATGCAAAACCCCCTGTCCCTCAGATCGCTACCTTCAGTGCACCCATAGCCCAGTTACCATTCAGCAAGCTAAGAAATAGTAATGCTGACTTCACATCTCACAGCCGGCCCTGGTAAATGGCGTAGTTGGTGTCGTTTTGTGGCTATTGAATGCCATCACCACTCTGGTTCTTTTGATCTTCTGCATCTGCAGCACTGCCTTCGTGTTCTTCCGTGAGAACCCAGATGGCCGCTATCGATTCATGAGCGATGAGCGTGCATCGTTCATGAAGTCTACGCACTCCCTTTCTGCAGCGAATCAACTGGATGCTCTCGCCAGCACGGCGCGTGGTGAGAAGACCCATGGCATCGGTCTTGACGATGACGAAGGCGACCGATCTGCATCCTCACAGTCCCTCCAGCGCCGACCCGAGTCAATGGCGAGACCGTCCACGGGCACATCAGCCGGCCACAACTCATGGAGGGACTCCCGGTCTCGCATTGCCCCCACGCTACCATTCGCTGGGAACGGGCATGGGGCCAGTCCCTTGAATCCCGGAAGTGGCCGCAACTCGCCAATCAAGCAACTACATGTCCAGTCTCCCCCTGCAGCGAGTACGCACAGCGGTCCTCCCTCACCAGCCTATCGCTCTCAAAACAACTCTAGCCCCTGGCAGCGGGGAGCTGGGTATGACCACGCATCGTGAGCCTCGCGAGGGCAACTTTTCTTGTATATTCGTTCGCATGCCAGCCTTGTGAAGGCGGTGCAAATCTAGGGCCATTAAGCTACTTGGAGTTTCGTGGAGCGAGGCAATTTGACTTGGTTGACATTTGTATCTACTTGCAAGGCCGACAGGGGTTTGGAGCGCCATAGCATTTGTCCATCTGAAGCACTGATGGGCCTACGGAGTTGAGCTTACTCTTTCCTTGATAATTGATAATGACGGGATCTCCAATAGATGCCCATTCTCCCGCTCGACAAAGAACTGGCAAAACTAGTAAGCAGTGATCTTCCGAGCTTCCTCTATTCTTTTGATCTCATCGAGCTTCATACGCTCTTTGTCGTCCCACATCCGTGGCCTGATTGCCTCCCTTGGTTGGGTGATCTTCCAGCCCCTGAACCTGTCTTCTCCGCCAACGCTCTGCATAGTCGTCTGCTCTACCAGGCTATAATTTCCATCGGGTCGGTCAAAACAATGGGGCTCTCTTAGGCTGACCGGTGGGTTCGTGATGATCCTCACATCCCTGAGTGCGTTATTTGTGGCACTATGGAGCATCAGGGGATGTAGCAGAAACACATCACCGACGCTCCCTGTAACTTCAACAAACGTCTTGCTTCTCTTCGCAAGCTCATTGAACCACTGATTATCATCCTTTCTCTTGTAATCTACAACCGAGAAATCCGCACTTGCACGCGTGCGCATCATGGGTGACACGCCTTCCGGATGGTCATACAGGTAGTTGGCGACCCTAGGTATCCCGTCGGGGCAGATCATCGTACCACCGCCTCCGGGTCGAATGTCCGTAAACAGGGGGATTACCAGCAATGCCTGCTCGGGGCTGTCGAGGTAGTGCACAAAGAAGTCTCCGTCTACGTGCCACTCAGTCAGCTCCCGCGGCGGTACCACGCGGCCAGCGGCCTCGGGCATGCCCAGGTTCACGATAAAGCTGTCCCGCCACTGCCGCGAGGCCGGGTTGATGCGATCCTCGCCGCCGCAGAGCTCACAGATGGCCGCCCAGGCCCGAGGTGCGAACTCGGCGCTGTCGAAGGACCAGTGCGACGGCATGTGGATCTTGTTCTGGGTCCAGGTGTTCTTGTCGTCGGCAGACATGCCGAGACGGGTCCAGACATCCTTGGTCTTCTCGGCTGCCGCCTCTGCTGTGAAGCAGTTGGTCAGCTTCAGCCAGCCGTGCTGGAGGAAGTGCTCCTTCTGGGCTGGCGTAAGGGCTTCTGATGCTGCTAACATAGTGTTGGGAATACAAGCTGCAAATCGCAAAAAGTCACGGTAAAGACCTAACAGACAGACAGACGTTTTCAATTGTGTAGATCGAGGTCGGGTGTCCTTAAATACCTGGGTTGTGTTGGTAATCAAGAAACTGTGATGGCACGAGGCTAACGAAAATCTACCAAGGCTGGCTTACTCTCAAGAAACAGACAGGTGGGAGGTCTGAGGTCTCCTATAAAACCAAGAACAAGGATTGGGCAGGTAATCGGGACAAGTCCGCATCTAAACTCCGCACCCTCGGGGTTGAATCTCTGCGTGCTACGGATTTCCGGGCCGAGTGGGATCTGCGGGATGATGGCGGCCACACGATCAGTAGGGTGATAAGCAGAAATAATGCGAAGTCTAGGAAGTTTAGATTATGCAACAGTATTTCCTTTAGCGCCACATGTTAATGAAAATTTCCTCGGCTTACATTTAGTGAAACAAGACGTGGCGACTAATTGTAGGGAAAGTCTTGAAATGTGTGTGAACAGCGATTTATACACCGATATGTTTGAACAGGATACACTAAAGGGCATTTATCATCGACTTACCTGACCCGTATAACTTGCCTTATTCATACGACCTCCCTAAGTTAGAACTTAGATTGTTTCAGCGACCTCTATAGATGCTCCTGACATGTCCGCGTAGATTAGTGTCTCCAGGCGATCGATATGACCCCTAAACTCGAGCAATCGCTCGCGGAAAACCTGGTTTCCACTCGCAAGGTGGTCTGTCATGGCTGCAAACACCTTGATCTTATTGGGATCCACGTAGGGGGGGTTGTCGTTCAGATGCCGGACCTGCTCTAGCCAATTTACGCGCCATGACCTGGCATCCTCTGTAAGGGTAGCGGCGAATGTTCTGGTGTTTTTGATAAGCTGGCAAATTTCATCGTGAAATTCCGACCTGTCCCCTTCAGGGGTCTCTTCTGAGTAATCCTCAACTTGCTCCGGAAGCCGCTCTGCTAAGAACTGGACGTGCTCTCTGAACATGGGCTGTATGTTGTCCGCTCCAGAACTGAGCAGCTGCTTCACCTCGGCCATAGGCAGATCCTTGCGAACATCTTTAATTAGCGATAAAGAGTCCACCATAGTGATAAGAGCATCCATGTCTGGGGTCCAGTCGTCGATAGGCAAGTCTAGAAGCTCACAGAGTCGATCAACTGTAATGCGGTAGCCGATCCACTCTTTGTCCAATCCACAGAACTCCTTTGTCTAAGTGTCGCCCTTGACACGCGAGCCTGCAGAATTGCATTTGCCCAATCGATGCCGAGACGCACTGTGGGCAAGTCAAATGACGTATTTGTTGAGAGAATTTTCTTCAAGGCTTTAAAAGGCCTTCGAGTATTCCAGATACGTAAGAGTGCGAAGGCCATGCGAGTGTACAGCTTGTCGATTGGGAACTTCTGAGGGTTCATCCTACTGCGCCACCAGTCAATCTCTGCGAGACACCAAAGGGATTCGGCACGAAGCCGATTCTGTTGATGTGCCGACATATCTTCACTTACATTAGCATGGTAGAACCAGCTGCGAAGGAAGGCCATGAGGAGGTCGTAGTACTTGTTCGCATGGATATGCGCCGGGCACGGGGCGAACGTCAAGGTGTCGCCGTTCTCAAGATATCCAGTTGATCCCATTTCGAGCCAAAGATCGTGGACAAGGCCCCTCTGAGGGTCTGTTCTGAATGTGGTTCCATCACAAAGGCAGCTTTTGCTGTCTGGGTCTTCCCGGTCCATGAACAAAAAGCGAAATGGCTTCGGTCGCTCCGTCATCGTGATTTTAGATTTTATTACCTTTCTTTGGATTAGGAAACAATTTTGCTTGAGTATCACTAGACATAGCTGGATAGTATAGACTATATAGACTTGAAGCCGAATCCACAACTTTGGTCCACTTTGGTCCAGGTTCTTTGGTGGATTACAATGTCATTGTGTCTTTCACTCGCGTGAAGACTCTATCATGTTAAAGCGCTAAGGACTCCGTTGATAACAAAGAAAAGAGGAGAAGACGAGGTATTCGGGACAAGACATGAAGCATGATACGTCGCGGGCAACCAGCATAGCCGCGCCTCTGCTTGAATGTGGGCCTGCGCCTTCTGGCCCAGAGAACCTAGGCACCGCAGCCAAAAGATTGCAAATGAGACGCCATGTTACTGAAGGCAGCTAGGTTACAAGAAACAAGGAGAATGTATGCTTTTGTGCGCATTTTGTGTGCAGTCCTGTGCGTCGTCTTTCATGATCAGAGGCAAAACGATGGACTCTGTCACTGGACTTGATTAACACCAAAGCATCGTGTGCCTGCATATGGTGAGCATGTACCGGCGCCTCTTCCACGTATGGCCACCTTTGAGACACCCACTTGGGGAGGTCTTCTGCAAACACGACAAGCCTCGAGATCATCATGGAACAACACTGCAATTTTCGCCCCGACAGGTGCCCATTGCAGGTATACCTAGGTGACACAGGTACACACATAGGTAGTACCTAGGTACTTAGATCTGTGTTAGGGGGCGCACGAGCCACAGCGCCAGTCCGACCCACTTTAAAAGTTCCTAATCGCAATCACCTTATCGCACCTCAGTCTTTTCTCAGGCAGTGTCGAGCGGTAGAACCTCTCACCCCACCACGAACGTCAGCACAACGCTCCCCCGGAGGGCCAAGCAGATCGTCATGTCTTCGCTACGAAATGCCGTCAATCGGCGTGTACACAGAGAGCGGGCGCAGCCCCAAGAGCGCTCTCGCCTGGGTCTCCTGGAGAAACACAAGGCAAGTCCGCCCCATTCTGGCATCCAGCCGCCCGTCCTTCTTTGGCCTGGCGACGGCAAGCCTCACACTCGTTTCGAGCAGTCCTCAAACTGTCCATAGGTATCCAACACAAGTCGCCATTTGCTAATTCTTCGCTCCCCCGTCTCCAGGACTACAAACTCCGTGCCCAAGACCACAACCGCAAGAAGCGCACGCTCAAGAACCTAAAAGCCAAGGTTGCCGAACGAAACGAAGATGAGTTCTTCTTCGGCATGTTGTCGCGGTCCGGCCCCCAGGGCGTACTTTCCAAGGGCAAGCGGTGGACTGGAACCGTTGACGGCGACAGAGGAAACAAGGCGCTCGACGTTGACACCGTGCGGTTACTCAAGACCCAGGACATTGCCTACCTGAGGACGGTGCGCAACACGGCAGCCAAAGAAGTCCGCCAGCTCGAGGAGAGGGTCGTAGGGCTAGGCGGTAGCCTGGATGGGGGCGTGCGGGAAGAGGTCGACGACGAAGACGAGGATGACTGGATGGACGAGGACGAAGGTCCCGCGAGGAAGAAGCCGAGAAAGATTGTCTTCGCCGATGGCGTCGAGGAGCGGGAGGACCGGATAGCCCTCGAGGACGGCAGCGAACCCGACGAGGACGATGATCATGACGATGACCAGAAAGACGGCAAAGAGGACCCCGAAAAGCTGAGGGCAGAGCAACGGCAGCTGCTGCTCCTCAAGCTGCAACGCCGGCTCGCGAATTCCCGGAAGAAGCTCAAAGCACTGTCGACAGCGGAGAACCAGCTGGAGATGCAGAAAGCGCGCATGGCCAAGACACAGACAGTCGGGGGCGTCACAAAATCGGGCAAGAAGTTCAAGGTCCGCGAAAGAAAGCGGTAGACTGTAATATCATATATACCGAAAATTCCTCTGTATTTTTTGGTTGGCTCGATGCGGCCCGGCGTTTAGGAGCATGGCTACCGGCGAGCGCTATGCGATACCCGAGAAATAAATCTAAATATACACAAGCCCCCCCAGCATCTCTGCAGCTCCCTGGGCTGCTTTGGGGCTATGACGGTCCATAAAGAAAAAATAAATCCAAGAAGAGAAACCGTTGGTTGCACGGTCTTTGGTATCCAAAATAGTGCCACAGAGCCCGTCTATATTGCTTGCTCCTCCCAAGGAAACAATATGTCCACTGTCCATCATTATATCATAATCAGGTGTGATTACCGCCCTATAATTTCTCGCTTGTCAAACACTTGCTCAGCCCAGCCACCACGGCGACCACAGCCTTGAACGCAAGCGTCAGCGCCCAGATGAAGCACTTGAACGCGAACGTGATCAGCTTGATCACCGTCCGCGTCGTGCCAGGCAGCTTGTCCTTGTCCTTGACGTCCAGCTGCTTGCCCAGGCTGCTTGTCTGGCTCTCGAGGTCCAGCTCCATGGCCTCGAGCTTGGCGCGCCTCTTGCGCTTCTTGTCCTCCTTCTTGCCGCCGCCGCCCATCAGCTTGGACGTGAAGCTGCTCCGGCTCTCACGGCCCTCGCCGCGGAAGTGGGCGGGCGCCGGGAACGCGGGCGGCGGCGGCTCGAACGTCTCGACGTGGTGGTTCTTCTCGTCCAGGTTGGCGACGATGAGCAGCGCGCACACGGCCACGTCCAGGATGTAGTGCGCCTCGATGCGGCCCGCGATCAGTGTGTCCAGCTCCATCCAGCCCTCGCCCGTGCCGTCGCGCGTCAGCTTGGCCAGGTGCTGCGGCGACTCGATGTGCTCGAGCGTGTACTCGGTCCGGCTCCAGGCCTGGTTCCGCTCGACAGTGATGCAGAATGGCGTTGCCAGTGCGGGGTGCACCAGGAAGTAGTTTTGGCTGTCCTCGTCCCAGACGAGACGGGCGCACTCACGCTCGGCCATCATGACGGCCTGGATGTCGCCAGGCTTGTCGAGAGCCATCTTCGTGGCGGCACAGGGGAAGAGCAGAGCCACTAGCCCGTCCTCAGGGGGCAAGCGCCGCGATTCTTCCTCTAGGGTCGTGGTGATGGCTTCGTGCCACGTCTTTGACTTCTCCGATTCCCGCAGGGCTGCTAGGATACCCTGCGGCCTTGCGTCCGCATTAGGATCGCGCTCCTTGAACGGCTTGGTAGGATCATGCCGACTCAGCGTTATGTAGGCCGACGCCGATGTAGGGTTAATTCGCATATGGTAGAAGGGTTGGGTCGTGGAAGATAAGTAGTAAATTGGCGTGTCCTTTTCCGGCTCCAGTTTCATGCAGTAACTTCGGCCTTCGGTCGACGTCGCTTTCCATCCATTCGCTGCTTTCCAATAGTCCCTCAGATCATCCGTCGTGTTCACTGGCGGGATGACGGGCGGCTCCTGTTGCCGCCGGGGCCACCTCTGGGTTGAGTCTATACTGAGCGGACTCCTTACAGGGCTTCGTACCGGCGGACTGCGGGTTTCTGATACCTGCGGCACGTGTGATTGTCTGCTGATGACCTGCCTGGGGATGTGCGTAGGGCTCGTCTGCGTCGGGAAGTACTCCTGACGGTCGAATGGCAGGCCATGGTCGTACTGTGGAAATATCGAGCGAAAGGCAGTTGCTCCTGCATGTGGTGACTCTGGCGTCTCGTCAAGGGGCCGCTTCGCAATTGAGCTTCTGGAACGGGTGCTGTTGCCTCGTACGAGTGTGGTGGCCCCAGAAAACGCCGTGTCCGTCCGTTGCGGTGCGTCTGCCAGAGGGACAGGTTGAGACACAGGTAATTCCTCCGAATACTGTCGAGAGTGGCCGGCTAAGGCTGACGGAGTTCCATCGATCACATATCTCGACAAGTCTTCTGGTGTACGAGCCCCGTTCCGGGGTGGTGTCATCTCGATGGATGGGCCTCCCTCGCGTATGGAAGACTGAGGAGTGGCGGCACGAGGTCGAGGCGTCGTTTTCCTCGACGGCGGCTTCGTCGAGCTGGTGTTGGGGAACAGAGAAAACCCTCCAGAGGGCCCGGCGGTGGGAGACATGTTCTCCAAATCTCCTCTGCTGTATCAAACACGAGTGCGTATATACGGCGATCCCGACCTGCCCTTGCGTAGTACGGCTCTAATAATAAACGCGGGAAAACGAAACTGTCTCGACGGCAAGATACAGTTGCTACCGGCGCATGGTCTCTCGAAGGGATACACAGATTAGGGGGCGAACAAGCGACGCAACCAGGGATTTCCAACGCATGAGAGACACAACTTCAAGGAGCTTCCAAACAGCAGATGGAACCAACAAGACGGGAGGAAGAGTCTTCCCTCACTTCGTATACCAGGGGCGGGACGAGGTGCAGACAGAAATGTATATACCGCCTCCGCTGGCCCTACTAAGCGCAGCGCTGGGAAAGCATCCCCCAACCCCAAGTCAGGGCCTGCATCGTGCGCGCGCTGACTGGCTACTTTCCAAGGTCGCATCTCGCGGGCCTCATCAGCGAGGATCTGTAGCCAGCCCATCAGCATGCTTGCGCGCTCCGGGAGGGCATGTGGTTGGTGGGGGACTGCATGCGATCACTCAACCGCCTGCAGTGCAAGTTAGCACGCGCGAGGAGGGGCTCTCATCCTGGAAGCCAAGGCGTACTCCTATTTGCCGAGGCCGAAAATAGCACAACAACCTTTCACTATCGACCCGGCATGCGCTTCTGCTGGATGGGCTAGAGGGCGCGTAGATGCTGTGATGCCGGCGCTGATTCGTTCGTCCGCCAAGGCACCTGCAAGCCGTGGTTGGCCGTTGAGCGCCACCCCTGTCGCATTGGACATGTTTGGGCGGCAACTGAGGTTTGTGGGCCGATCGATTCTTCTTCACCGTCAAAGGCTGGCCGCAATTGACAATACTGTGGTAAAGAGCTGATGAATCTTACCATACCGTCTCATTCAAAGAAGCACCACCCGGGGTCTCGTCGGCTTCAGGAAAGATCTACAATCGCACTGAAGTCCACCTTGATTGGTCACGGCTGGGAAACCAGCGTCTAGATGGGATTACTTCGAAGAACATTATGAGTTGCTGCTTCTTTGCTTGCCATGATTACCAGCCTCCTCTGGTTTGGTTTCCGGCGCTTTTCTCGGTCGGTAGTAGTCCTGATTCGTTCTCAGAGTCGGTATAGCACCCATGTCAAAGCTTGCCTCTGTACAACCATTTGCATCAGCATGTCTGCAACACACCATTCCACAATGCCTAGTATATACCTTACTCCAACTAGGTAAGTCGTATGTGCAGATGCATCAACTCATCTATAATGCACTGGTTCTGTTGAGCCAATGGTTTGGCGTATCTTGCTGGAAAGAGGTTTGGCCCTCTTCCAATGTATGGGACACGATTCCTGAGCTCAAAGTGAGCCTTGGGAAGTCAAATTGACTGAACACCAGACCCTCTCTGCCCGTGCCCATAGCCAAGCAGCAGATGACTTGAACTTGCAAATTTCCTTGTGTTTATTCTTGACGTACAGTAGATTAGAAAAGCGCCGGAGCCGATATCTCGGGGTGTCATTTCGTCATGTCGGCCGAAGCTAAAGCCCCACCTGATTCCGATTGTCGGGCAACAATTAGCGCTCAATGTCCTGCTTGACGTGTAGTTCATAAGTCTCAACTGATTACATTCATACGTGATTGCAGTCGAGAACTATTGAATTCAAGCCAGTGCAAGTGAACTATTTTGACCACGAACCATTCTGACCACCAGCCATCCTTGCACGTTCGTTAAACGAGCATCAAGTCAAATCAGGGAACCCTCTATCACTGGTAACTGGGAGTGACTAAGATGGCGAACATAGTTATCCTAGGGTATAGTAATTTCATCCCAATGTTCTACGGGGAAAAAAGCTCACGCAGATAACAGGGCCGGTGTGGTTGGGTTGAGCTCTGCATTGAGGCTCCAAGCTGATGGGCACAGAGTCACTATAGTCGCGCGAGACGTCCCAGGCCCGTCCGAGACTATTGACCCTAGACTACAGATCAACTACACCTCACCATGGGGAGGAGCGCATAACCGTTGGGTGCCTCCTACAAATCAAAGTGAAGAGCGTGAACACGCAATGGCCTTGAAGACGTTTGCGGAGATGGGGGCCATACAACGGAGCAACCCCGAGGCCGGCATCACATTCATGCCGGGTATTGAGTACCTCGAAGCCCCGAGTGCTGTATACAAGGCTTTGACGGAGGCAAAGGCGAAAGAGATGGGCATGGTTGGGTTTCGTCTATTGAAACCTAAGGAGCTTCCCGACTCGAAGGTCAAACTTGGGTTCACGTACGACAGCTGGTGCGTCAATCCAATGATGTATTGCAGTTTTCTGATGAGAAGATTTGGCTTTCGGGGCGGCAAAGTACTGAAGGTGGAAGTTCGGGACCCTTCAGAGGTCTTTGAAATCAAGGAACTTGGCAATGTCGACGTAGTGGTCAACTGCTCAGGGGTTGGTTTCAACGACGACAAGGTCTTCATCACTAGAGGTCGGTCGCTCTGAACATCAATGGAAACCAGTGGACGGCGCTGACAGAACACCTACAGGCCAGACTTGCCTTGTTGCAAATACATGCGATGCCACAGTAACACGCCAGAACGCCGATGGATCGTGGGCCTTCTGCGTGCCTCGAAACTTTGAGGGCGGGACGATCATCGGGGGGACGAAAGAGCCCAATGATTGGAATCCAGCCCCATCAGAGCAAGTACGTCGGTCGCTTCTCGACAAATTCGCGGCATCATATCCGTCCATTCTCGGCAGCGAGGGCAAGTTCGTCGTCCTGAAAGATATTGTGGGGAGAAGACCTACACGGAAGGGAGGCATGAGACTAGAGAAAGAGCAAGTCGTGGGGGGCAAGTGTGTCATTCACGCCTATGGTCTAGGCGGAAGGGGATACGAGCTAAGTTGGGGCGTTGCTGAAGGAGTTGCGACCTTGCTTGCAGAGCATCTCGCACCAGGACACGGGAGAATCGCCTCCTCAAAGCTATAGGCTACTATATCCAAGGAAGCCGAGGAGACTGTGCAATTAGCGGCGGTAATGATCCGACATTCTTAAACACCAAGGGGCCATCGACATCTCATTTCAGGTTTTACCGGGCGTGTGTCGAGGATAACCTTGAGAGCTGTATGCATTTGGAGAAGCTACGAGCCCTGAGAGATATCTGGCCACGTTCTTTCCTAAAGAGCGGTCCCCTTCTGTTTCGAAGCACCGCCTTGGTTCCCGTCCATATTAATTGTCACCTTCTCATCCTCTTCGCCCGGCTCTCCATCTCTCTGGTTCATCTTCTCACCTTTGTCCTGCTCGCTTCAACCCCCCCCTTGATCAACGTCCTTTTCAGTGCAATCGATCGATTCTCCAATCTTGACTTTCAAAGCACCCAACGTTGAACGCTGTCAGGATGAAGCTCTTCGCCATCGCTGCCTCCTTCATTGCCGCTCTGGCGGGCGTTTCGGCCAGTCCTTACCTCGAGTTCTGTGATCTACTGGACGTTCAGAGCGTCGGCGCTCAAGGCGTCGTAATTCAGGCCGCCTGTGAGGGCAAGTGTCAGCAACTCAACATTGTCCCTTGCTTTGCCAATTCCTACGGTACTCTCGTGTCCGCAGGTACTACGTGAGTCCTCTCTATCCCTCTCCGTGTTGGCAGCCTTGAACAATGATTCCGAAGTGCGTGCCACTGATTGTAAGCGCATCCCAGAAACGGCAACTTCAACAATACTTGCAGCGGTTGCACTCTGGGAACCTCCAAGAATGACACTGAGACGTACGGACTTCTCTCTTGCTTCTGCTCAAATGGAGCAGCCGACGTCGTGGTCAGCACTTCTTATCAGACCGGTAAGCTAGCTCTCGAGCTCCGCCAAGCGCTGGGCTGATGATCATCTCCAGGAAATGCTCTTCGATTCGAAACTGAGTTGGGCATCACTTGCCCCTACGGCAACGGCAGAGCAGTTCGATCGGTTGACTGCGGTACTACAACCTTCAAGCATGACTCCGTCATCCATAATAATTCGGTCGCTGGGAACAAGCGTGGCCGTAAGGTCCGCCGCTCCATGCGAAACACCAATGCCTGGAAGACCTAGGTACTTCTTAAGGACCTGACGCGAAAGTCGAATACGCATACCCATTAGCTACCTGCGATCACTTGGAGGGTACCTTTTACGATCGGTGACGGTGCGTTACAAATGAGTAGGATTATTTCTGTGGTGATCGCTGCAATTTTATAGAATGGTAACTTCGCAATGGGCAAGCTCTCTCCTAGGTTCGTCCATCTAAATCTTGGCCACCGTTGCATAGTTATTCGACTAGTTAGTTCCGTAGCCAACCAACGCCAATATCAGGTCATCAACCCAATGTATCTTTGATGTGGTGTTCACTTGTTACAGTCAGAAGTCTTCGCATTGGATACTGTTCATGTTCTCGCTGCTACCGAAGGACTAAGTCTAGACTTATTCGACAACGCCTTGGTTCCATTCGTCGAAGCTTCATTATGATTACTATCCTTTTTGCAGCGCAATGATTACTTAGAGCTTATTATTGACGTTAGATGGAAGGGCACCATTCCTTTCATCTTCTCAGAGAGGATCTAGATCGTTCATTATCTTCAAGGCTTCACTGTAAAGTGGAGGAAACTCCTGTCCAAAATCAAAACAGAGAACAACATACAGGATGCAAGTCGAAATTTTCAGGTATATTTTATAAACCAAAACACAATGGCCCCAATTATTCCAGGGAAACTTCGCGCAAGCGCGGTATTACAGCTTTGTCAAGCATCAAACCCTCATATAACAGCTAAAGAGAGACTAAGGCGGCCCCATCTATAACGTCGGGATCGCCAAGAGTTGCCATAGAAGACGTGCATGATCTTGATTACTTGACCTACGACAGTATCATGGACGCGCTCAGCCATCTGCTTGAGATTCCTGTGGCCTTTCCTGAGAGGCTTCCCCATCGGAATCAACAGGCAGAAGAATTGGGTGTACCGTATACAGAAGTTCAGTGTGAGCATTGGTGCCTAGTCTGGGTAATCCCCTTGTTGAAGGAGGCAATCAAGTGCGTGGGGCGATCCATTTTATTGACTCCGAGTTGAAGGATGAGATTCCAGGTTTTTTACTGTCAGGCCTGGAGAGCTGAATGGTAAGTGCGAGCCTGACATGAGAGCGGTATGGGTGAATACTGTCTTTGGCTCTAAGGCAAAGGTGAAGATCTGGGTTCTAGTTGCCGACGCGAAGCTCGCGAACTCGTTCGACTTCCTCGTTCGACTTCGAGGACAGAAGGAGACGGAAGTGTGAAACAGGGCTTGTGAAATCTATTTGGCCTTGCCGCCAACTGGCTGCATACGGTAGGCTGGCCAAGACGCAAAGAGCTATCTTTCTTACGCCCAAAGGGGTGACTTTCTGCCAGCTCAGTGACGAGAGGCGCGAGCAACTTATGGGCACAAAAACAAAAAAACAAAAACAAAAAGGAACCCCAAGACCAGGAGTATGGGAGGCAGTGCCTCCACAAAGCCTTCTTTCTTAGATATGTTTCTATGCTTAGCGACTCGTAGGTGGAGGTTTGACGTCTCATGAAGGAGCTTTAGGGTACTCTACTTCTGGGATACAAGATTGAACGCCAACTGCAACAGAACAAAGGAGACCTTTGGGCAAAAGAAGCTCCACCTGGTTTGGCCTTGCTTGTTCAGGTCTGGTCAAGTTTCCTTTTTTTCATCAATCCTGCCATTCTCTTGGTTGCTTCCCAAGCCTGCAAGGTTGAAGAACTGTCCCAAAGAGAATCAAGCTGGCATGAATTTGACGCGTCGAAAGACATGTATATGAGACAAAATAGTAAGCAATTCTAACAGATGAGAAACTCTTTATGGTACAACTAAGTGTGCGGTATCTGATACACTCTATGACCGTGTGGTTTTCCTCTCCCCAAAGACGCTGGACAAGCCCTCTTTATTAGACACCCACAGCCCAGCTTAGAAGTTCCGGCTCATGTCGTTTCTAATTCTCTGGTAGTCGAGCAGACCCTCGATGCTGCCGACGGCGCTGACGGCAATATCCTGATCCCACAGCTTCTTGTTGGCAAACTCCATAACGTCCTTCTCAGTGATGCGGTCGATGGTACGCTCGATCTCGCCGGGGCTCATGCGGCGACCAGTGGTGACGAGCTGGCGGCCGATGTCCTCGGCAACGGCGGATGTGCTGTCAAGCGACAGCAGTATCGAGGCCTTCAGCTGTGCCTTGGCGCGCTCAACCTCGGACTCGGTGACGCTGCCAGCCAGACGGGACCATTCGCGGAGGGTGAAGTGGACGAGGTCGTCGAGGCGGGTGATCTTGTCAGAGACAAGGTAGATACCCCAGAGACTATGGCGGCAGAGGTCAGCGCTGTGATTGTGAATTCTGGTGAACCCTACGATTTACTTACCCAGTATCGCTGTAGCTGGTGGAGAAGCTCATGAAGCTGTTGGCCAGGTCGTTCTGGTGCACAAAGCCGCTGAGCTTGCTTCCCTGGTGAGGAGCGCTGCCCATGGCCTTGTCGTAGTTGCCGACGATGGCCTGGGTGACGAGAGCGGTGAAGTAGTCCTCGTCGTTCCAGCTGACACCCTCGACAGCAATGGCGATGTGAGCGGCGGGGATAGTGTCGTCACGGACGCGCAGGTCGGAGCCGATGAAGGCGGGCTTGCGCTTGGACAGCAGGTAGGCCGAGTTCTGGGGCGAGGTGGTGGGCAGGCCGGAGAAGTGCTTCTCGGCCAGGTCGACGAGCTGCTCGTGGGGGACGCCGCCAGCGCCGACAAGGACCATGCGGTCAGCCGTGTAGTTGGTCTTGATGTAGTTGGTGAGCTCGGAGCGGGTGATGTCGCGGATGTTCTGCTTGGGGCCGAGGATGGTGCGGCCGAGGGGCTGGTGCTGGTAGGCGGTGGCGTGCAGGTGGTCGAAGACGACCTCGTCGAGCTGCTTCTCGACCTCCTCGGACTCGCGCAGGATGACGTCGCGTTCCCTCTCGATGGCCGAGGGCTCGAGCTTGGAGTTCTGCAGGATGTCGGCCAGGATGTCGACGGATTGCGGGACATCGGCGTTGAATGCTCGGGAGAAGTAGACGGTGTTCTCACGCTGGACAGGGGGTGAATGTCAGTCAGTCAGTCAGTCAGTCGAGGGGGGCCATTGGGCGGTCGTGATGCGGGAGAGCTGATATTTCACGCACCGATGTGTAGGCGTTCAGGTGGCCACCCATGTTCTCGATCTCGAGCTCCAATTGCTGCTGCGTCCTCTTGGCGGTGCCCTGGTTGTCTGGTTAGTATCGTCTGCGGGCGTGCCTGTGCCTGTCGCTGGCAGGCAGAGGGGGGGTGCGCGTCGTACCTTGAAGGCAAGGTGCTCGAGGAAGTGTGCGGTGCCATTGGTCTCATCGGTCTCGGATCTCGAACCGGCGTCGATCCAGACTCCCACCGTCGACGTCTGGGCCCAGGGCGAGTACTCAGTAGCGACCTGCGGGATGACGCGGGGTTAGACAAAAGCTCGTGAGGCGGGCGAGGGCGATTGACGGCCGCGTGGGCGTGGCCGGGGCAAGGGGGACGGCGGACTCACGGTCAGGCCATTCTTGAGGGTGGTGGTCTGGGTCTTCGCGCCGGCGGGCGACGACACGGGGGTCGCAAAACCTCGCTTCAGGGCGCTCAGGGCGGGTGCAGCCTGGCGGCTGCGGATGCCCTGGGCGAGGTTCAGAGCGAGTCTCCGGGAGGCCATCGGGACTGTGATGGGTGGTGCGTAGGGGGCGGATTGAGTGGTTTGATGTGAGGGTCGTCACAGTCTCGAGCGAGTGACTTCGGCTTTTTGCTGAGCACGGCAAGCTTCTCTTGATTCGTTCGATTGGCCGGTGCTCTGATCAAATTTGTTGGCGCCTGGGATCTCAGGCACGCAGACGAAAATAAGCTGGTCTTGGGCGACGCCCATTGGCTGGATGGGTGGATGTGGATGAGTGGGTGAGGTTGTCCCAGACTTGCACTTCCGCTAGCTGCCGAAGCCGAAGAATCAGAACAGAATCTCACGCAACACGCGCACAGTCTGCTGCTGTGGCTTGCCTTCTGTTAGCTCCCAGCACTCGCCCACCTACCTAGGTGCTGCCTAGGTACTGCAGGTAAGCTCGAGCGACTCTGTACTGTGGCTTGTTTGTAATTTGTAACTCACTTACCCGACCAACCCCGACCGACCAGCCAGCCCGCTCTCCCGTCGTCCGTTCCCAGTCTTTGTCTGCAGGTGCTGTCAGGCTTTGGCCTCTCCACTGTGTAACTCGAGTTAGGCTGTTGCTCGCTGACCACTCCAGGTGTCCCGTCTGTCATGGTAAACAAGTGCGGACCACAATTCCTGCATCACATCGTCATTCTGAACCCACACTGATTGGTGTTGCACCTGATGCAAGTGCACCAGCTTGGGATGCGGATAGCTCCCCGATTTGCACTCAACACAGCACCCATAAGTTGCTGTCATTCAGTCAGGTCTCCGTGCATCAACCTACTGTGCCTACTTGCCTAGGCACGCTGTACATACCGGCCGGCATCGCTGCTCACCTGCCCACCGCATACCTAGTACGTACAAGTCAGGCGCCTCATCAGTATCCAACCCCTTTGACCTCCATGTGAAATCATGTTCCTCCTTTATTAGTATATCAATTGAAACTCTAGTTGCACCATCATCTCCGTGTCCTCCCACAGATCGTAACCCCATACTGTCCATCGTAACCATGAGTGACGAACCCTACGATTTCGAGAAGGAATTCCAGGCCGTCTTCATCCCGAAGCAGAAACCCCCGCCTCAACCCACCGTCTCTGGCGAAATGGGCGCTACAGTATCTTGCTATCCGCCACTCGGCCAGGTAACCCAACTCAAGAGCGGAATTATCGACTTCATCGTGCTTCTGGAAGTTGAAGAGAAGGATGCAAACGACCCTTGGGAGATTGTCCTATGGCAGTCGGCCGACGGCAAGGACTGGGTTGAAACTGACCTGTCTCGTATGAAAGATGGTTCTGCCCCGAGTTCCCTCCAGATCGCGCCAGCTCACAAGTCCCGACTATATTTCAGTGCTTCTCTCGCGGTAGCCTCCGCACTGAACTTCACGCTCAAGTTTCGCAACAACTCCGACAAGCCGTGGAGATGGGCGAGAGACGAACAGAGTATTGGTGATGGGACCATCATTATCAATGCCGAGAAGACGAGTGCCAAGGCATTGACCAGCTTCACTGATATTGTCAAGAACCTGAACCCAGATCTGACCATTGCAAGAGCCTCAAGCCAATGCCCCGGCACAGAGCTCTGGGTCATTGAAGCACCTGTGAATGCGGCGAACGGCGAGGACTCTACTCGCGCCGATTACAGGTTAGGTGTACCCTGGGGAGGGTATTTGAGGTAGGCTGGCATATCATGCACCCTGAGATCGAAAGTCCGTGTTGCTGATTCCAGGTAGATGGTTCGCTTTGGTCCGTATCTGGACTCCATGGCTTGCCCCCCGGCATGGGAAGACCGAGTTTGGTCTCGACAAAGATGCCATTATGGTAGCGTTCCTGAGCCCCCAAGGCAAGCATCTGGTGCTGCTCGGCGTCAGTGGAGTCAACGATGTCATAACCGTGTTTCGACACTCGGAGTCTGGAGAGCCTTCTATACATGTCAGTCTATTCTGCCTGGTCTTGAATCTTTCTCAAGTCTGACTCACAACCTTTGCCAGTTGCGCAACGATGGCGAGAACTCCACATCTGGAATTGTCCTGGCTGCTATTGGCGACAATTTTGAGAGTGCTCTGGCGGCCGTCATGTACCACTCTAGGAATGTGGTTTATGCTGCGAAGCAAGTCAACAACGAGTTGGAAGTTGAGCTTGAAGCCCTTAGAGACGGGGTAAAACCTGAATGGATGGAAAATTGGTACGATGGACTGGGGTACTGTAAGTAGGCCGCGACCCCGACGTGCCTCAACTCCCATGCTGACTGATCTTTAGGTACTTGGAATGCCCTCGGACAAGACCTTACTGATGAAAAGGTCTTCAAGGCCGTTGACACGCTCGCGGAAAACAACATCAACGTCACGAGTCTCATCATCGATGACAACTGGCAGGATATTGACTACACACATGACAGTCAATTTCAGCGTGGATGGAAGAGTTTCGAAGCAGATCCCAAGACATTTCCGAACGGCCTCAAAAATACAGTCCAGCGCATACGCTCGAAGCACCCTAACATTCAGCATATCGCTGTATGGCACGCGCTCCTGGGGTACTGGGGCGGCATTGCGCCAGAAGGCAAACTGGCTACGACTTACAAGACGGTAGTCGTTGACCGAGAAGACGCAAAGAGGCGAAATCTGCCCTTGGGAGGACCCATGACGGTAATTGCCAAGGAAGACGTGGATACGTTCTATGATGACTTCTATAAGTTCCTCTCGGACTGTGGCATCGATGGCGTCAAGACGGATGCGCAGTTTATGATCGACACTTGGGAATCGGCAAAGCACCGTAGAGAGCTCACAAACACCTACCTTGATGCCTGGATGATATCGTCGCTGCGACATTTTAGCATCAAGGCCATCTCCTGCATGTCGCAGACGCCTCACATCTTGTTCTATTCTCAGCTTCCGCGGAACCGTCCTGCGGTACTGGTCCGCAATTCGGATGACTTCTTTCCGGCCATTCCCAAGTCGCACCCTTGGCACATCTGGACGAACGCCCACAACAGCTTGCTAACGCAGCATCTCAATATTCTGCCAGATTGGGACATGTTCCAGACAGTGCACGACTACTCAGGCTTTCACGCCGCCGCTCGATGTGTTAGCGGTGGTCCAATCTACATCACCGACGCGCCCGGGCACCACAATCTTGATCTTATATATCAGATGACTGGCCCAACACCTCGGGGCAAGACCGTTATCTTCCGACCCAGTGTCCTCGGCCGTTCTATCGATCAGTATGCCGGCTATGATGACGATGCCATCCTCAAAGTTGGCTGTTATCATGGTCGCGCTGTGACTGGCACGCCTATCATCGGCGTCTTCAATATATCCGCCCGACCCTTGACTGAACTCATTCCTCTGTCACGTTTCTCTGGAGTCGTACCATCCTTGAATTACATCGTGAGGGCGCATAGCAGCGGGGTTGTGTCTCCCATCGTCAAGCCTAGCTCATCTTCAGCATTGATACCAGTTTCACTCGAGGTCAGGGGCTACGATATCTTCTCTGCGTTCCCGCTGTCGCAGTTCGACAGCGAGTCCATCGGACGCGTGTACGCAGGCAACCTAGGGCTCCTTGGTAAGATGACAGGCGCAGCAGCCATCACGTCGTCTGAGTTTGAGTTGCTGCATAACGGCCGAGTATTACTAGATACAAGACTCAAGGCCCTAGGTATCCTTGGTAGGTCCCATGCCGAACCGGGCCCTTTCTTAGCCCATCGATTATGTATAGCAGTACACTAACAGTCTCAAGGTGTATATCTTTCAACCCTGCCCCAGATGACTATTGAGGACGACTTCTTGGTCACAATCCAGGGGCAGACGATACCGCCTCACACCGTGTCCATCAACCAAGCAGATAAGCATGTGCTGGAGATTGACGTGGAGCGTGCGTGGAATGAAATGGGACTCAAGGCTGGCTGGAGTAATGAAGTCGAGGTCAAGGCCTATTTTACCATCGAGCATTGATAACAAGCTAGAGGCGAGATAAACTTGGAACTATACAGGCTGTCATAGTGTAGGTGGCGAGGTAGGCAATACCAGGCTCCAGTACCTTGAAACCATCATTTTCTGTTATAACATGTGCTCGCCTCTTGCGTAAATGATAAAACTCTCCGCATTAACTACTTTCTGAAAACGTGCTTCCCTGTGATTACGTTTTCGACGCAGTGGCTTGGGTTTACTTACCTAAGTTAGGTGCTGGAGTGTGGGGTACCTAGGTGCCCCAGCCAGCTCTATTCTTGCGCTGCACATGGACAAAATAGGCAAGTGTTGAAGTTGGAACCCGGCAGCCGAGAAGTTCGACATGATCTCATTACTAATGGTCTGGTGCACAGATTCCTTTCTTTGGCGTTCGGTTTATTCAACTTTCCGTTATACCTTGGCAATATTCCATTCTCCCTCTCAACTTGCGACCCTAGACCTTGCCTTGAGGGGTCAACTTGACGAATCCCCATCCACAGACAAACGACCATGACTCCGAAGATCTTCCTGTAAGCCTACCCATGAGCCCCCATGCACCCGGGCGTCCACAGCTCATTTCTTTATAGAACCGGCGTAACTGGTGAGATCGATGCCCATCTGTCCGCAAGAGTCCAGTTTGAGAACTGAGCTTCATATTAGGCTACGTCGGCGGTGAGGCCTTTTCCCAGCTGTACTCGAATCATCCCGAGTACGAGTATAGGCTGCTCGTTCGAAACGAGGAAAAGGCAAAGTTGGTGTCGGCGAAGTATCCGTCTACTGAGCGGCTCCAACTAGTGGTCGGTAGCCTTGAAGATGAGGACATCATCGAAAAGGAAGCTACGGCCGCTGATATCGTCGTCCGTACGTATCACGCATTGTGCGAGCCCCCCGACAAAGTAATTATGTACTTAACGCATTGATTACTGCGAACAGACACGGCCGACTCTGCTGACAACGAGCCGTCCGCGCGTGCCATCACCAGAGGCCTCGCCAGCGGTCACACGGCTGAGAAGCCGGGCTACTGGATTCACGTGTCGGGCACCATGCTAATCGCTGGGCTCGACAAAGCTGAGGAGGACTGGCTCCGGCGTGACACGTTCCACGACATCGACGACGTGGCCCTGCTCACGGACCAGCTGCCGGACCACTGCCCACACCGGCCTATTGACAAGCTGGTGCTCGCGGCCAACGACAAGCCCAGCGTGCGCACCCTCGTCGTCTGCCCGCCGACCATCTACGGCCGCGGCCGCGGGCCCGTCAACCAGCGCAGCATGCAGGTGTACAACCTGACGCGTTTCACGCTGCAGAATGGCTTCGCGCCCGTGATCCCGCCCGGCACGGCACGCTGGGACAACGTGCACGTGGCGGACCTGGGGGCGTTCCTGGGGCTCGCGGTCGGGGCGGCGCTGGACCCGGGCAAGCGCAGCGACCCGGCCGTCTTCGGCCGCCACGCCTACTTCTTCCTCGAGCACGCCGCGCACGTCTGGTCCGACGTCGCGCGCGCCGTCGCCGCCGAGGCCGAGCGCCAGGGCCGCCTCGGCGACGGCACGCGGCCCCACGTGCGCGAGCGCTCCGCCGAGGAGCTCGGCAACCCGAGCTGGGCCCTCCACGAGCACGGCGTCGCGGCGCGCGCTAGGAAGTTTCTAGGGTGGAAGCCCGTTGGCCCGAGTCTGGAGGAGACGATCCCGGAGATTGTTGAGTCGGAGGCGGCGCGGCTGTAGGCGCGCTGAGGTCGTATAAGTCGCTGTTGCGCGTCACCTGCCGCTGTTTCGTTATATCGTGATTAGTATAAGGGCATGATGAAAAGTTCCGTGAGAAAAGCCCGGATTTTTAGAAGGTACATTAATACATCAATCAAGTTCTGGATTGTCGACCGAAAAGGGGGCACATGAATGATTTTACAAATTCAGAGTCAAGGCTAGCAATCTGCAGTAGCTTTACACAAGGGTTCCCATTTTTTAAGAACCATGATCAACTCGACGACTCCCCTCCATAGTGACTGCTTCATTTCTTAGCCTCATCAATCCACTCATGGGGGTCCTTGAGGTACTTGTACGCCCTCAGATCACCCGATCTTGCGTGGCCCTCAAAGTTCTCCGCTCTCGAGCAGCGACCGCAGAGACGGCCGATCTCGCCGGATGCCTTTTCGCTTACGACCTCCTGGTACGTCTGCGTCTTGAGGTACTTGCCGACCCACAGACCTCCCGTGTACCGGCCGGCGTGCCGGGTGGGCAGGACGTGATTCGTACCGATGCACTAGGCGAAGAGTTAGTATGAGATGCCGCGAAGGGATGCAGAAATTGGAAAAGGACTCACCTTGTCACCGTAGCTGACACATGTCTTCTCGCCCAGGAAGAGGGCACCATAGTTGGTCATCTTGTCGAGCGCCTCGCGGGGGTTCTGGGTGAAGATCTGAACGTGCTCGCTGGCGAAGACGTCCGCGAGCTCGTAGGCCTCGTCCAGGCTGTCGACGACGATGACCTCGCCGTAGTCGCGCCACGAGGTGCCGGCCAGCTCGCGCGTCGGCATCTTCTTGAGGATCTCGTCGGCGAAGCGGATCGACTCCTTGCCGACCTGCTCGCTGGTGGTGATCAGCACGGCAGGTGTGTCCGGGCCGTGCTCGGCCTGCGAGAGTAGGTCCGTGGCGATGGTGAAGGGGTCCGCGTGGTCGTCGGCCACGACCAGCACCTCGGTCGGGCCCGCCAGGAGGTCGATGCCGATCTCACCGAAGAGCTGGCGCTTGGCCTCGGCCACGAAGGCATTACCGGGCCCGGCAATGAAGTCGACCTTCTTGATGGTCTCGGTGCCGAGCGCCATGGCGGCGATGGCCTGGGTGCCGCCCAGGAGGAAGATCTCGTCGGCGCCAGCAAAGTGGGCCGCTGCTACGGTAGCGTACGGGATCTCGCCAGCGATAGGGGGTGTGCAGGCAATCACGTGCTTGACACCTGCAACCTTGGCCGTGATAATGGTCATGTGTGCAGAGGCGAGTAAGGGGTATCGGCCTCCAGGAATGTATCTAATGGCAATGTTAACAAGTTGCACAAAGGGCGGCTGTACTGGATCATCGGCACTCACGCTCCGGCTCTGTCGATTGGGTTGTTTCGGTGGCCGAGAAATACACCTGGCTGAATCTCAATCTCGACATCTGTGATGGTGGCCCTCTGAGCCTCGGCGAATGTCCTGACATTCTTCTGTGCCTCCTTGATGTCGGCAACGGTCTGGGCTGGGACCTTGGCGATGATGTCCTGAATTTGGGATTCTGACAGCTTGAAGGACTCGGGGGACCACTTGTCAAACTTTTCTGAATATGATCGCACCGCCTTGTCGCCGTTTGCCTTGATGTCATCAATGACCCCTTTTACTATGTCGGTGACCTTCTGGTTGGTGGCCACGTTGGCCGTCAACGCCGCCGTCTTGAGATGTCTGGCACCCATGTTTCTTTATATTCCTGAAGTTGATGCGGGATAGTGATGGGTTCAACGCGGTGGACAGCAATGTCTTTGGCTTCAAACTCAAACATGACAATAATTCATCGACGACTCCAAGTTATTATATGAACTCCTGAGCAGTATAGACACGGCACTTTGTGGGCAGCCGGAACCATCGTGTAAGTGTTGCCGGGAAGTGGAGAGAGACAATGCGGAGGGTGGGCGGGGGAGGGGGCAGATGCGGGTATAGTCGACCCAAACTCATGACTATGGTAATTAGATACTGCCCAAGCTTATTGGCAGGAGCCTGGCCAGCGATGGCAAATTGATTCACGGCGCAGCTGTGCGACATGAATTGCACCACTGGCAGTCGTGTGTCTTCCGACAAGCGCGGTTCCCAAAGGTCACTAGCCTGCCGAGCAAAGTGCCGACTCGGACTTCTCTCCGAGGAAGAGAGACGCTAAAGGTGGGCTCTCTCTAGCGGTAGTGGGACATAGTTCCCCTAGATGGACATATTGTGCTTCGAGAGCCAGTTTGAAATGACTTTCTCAAACCGAGCCAAGGGACCCATCGTGTTAGACATCGGGGCCGATCTCAGTACGGACAGTCTAGATCAAGAGCGGTACTGCAGCCGGCCGGAGGGGGTGGAGGAGAGTGCGTGACACGCAAACATTTTGCCCGAGGGCTGGGAGTCGTCACAGAAGATATTGGGCCTGACTAACACGACTGAGATCATGTGAAAAGCCTGGAACGCTCGAGGCACCTTGGTACAAGCAAATGTCGCTCGGTATCAAGTCCGGGCTCCCTGCCTGCCATATTGCCTAGGTAGGCGGTGACGAACTCCTACAATCAAGACTGCCGTTGAACTCGATCTCACGATCGCTGCCCAAGTTACGCGATGCGTGACTTGGCAGTTTGGCACCGAAGGGGGCTGCCGGGGAAATATTCTGCGTTAGGCCAGACCATGCCTACTCAGCTTCGTTGACACATCTCCCAAACCACCCCAGACACGGCCATGTGGCTCTGGTTGTACGGTGTAAGAGGATTATTGATCGCGCCGGCTCCGCCCGTGTCCGCAGAGGCTGTCAGCCGAGTTGCTTTCCATGCCGGGCGATCCAATGTCTGTCGGTTCCGGTGGTTGTCGGATGCGGACGCCGGGGCTCTCAAGGCCCAACGGCCGACAGCATGGCCGAGTGGGTCCCGAGGTCTGTTTTCTTTGTTTCTGGGGGGTTGCAGGGGTGCAGGTTGCAGGGCGGCACCACTGGGCAGCCCCGGCCAACCGGCCATAGCCGCCAACCTCAGGCCTGAAGGTTCCACGGTTAGAGAGGGTCGGCCAAACGTTTCAGCGGGTGCGTGGCACGGATCCAACGCCCAATTGGCGCCCGCCGGTGGGCCGGGCTGGCGGCGCCAAGGCCAAGCGCCTGCCAGGTGCCGCCGCCGCCTTGTGCAAATCCGGATCTTGATCTCAACCGCCATCACGAGACGAGAGCCTCTCTTCCCGCGAGTGAGCCCTCCGTCATCCCTCTGACCGCCACCCAGACACCCACCTCTCCCACCGCGCCCTCGCACACCTGGGAGTCATGTTGCCCTCATCGGTGCGGCGGGTTGTGTCCGCTGCACCTCAGACCTCCCTGCTGTCCAGCCTGGCGCCCTCCGCAGCCCGCGCAACCGCTGCTGCCGCCGTCTCCTTCCCATACAACCCGCGCAACCAGCAAAGGCGGCGCTACTCGTCCTCGAAACCCTCGAGCCCCAGCGACTCGCCCAAGGGACTGCCCGCCGGCCAGGTCGCCGCATCGCCCGCCCAGTCCTCCAAGTCGGCCGAGAAGCCCACCGGCGAGAAGCGCAAGCGCAAGGCCAAGGATGCGAGCGACGCGCTGGGCAAGCTTCCCAGCGTTCCCAGCACACAGAATGTGCCGCAAGAAGGTAAGTGGCATGCCCAGGAAGGCCGCAGCTCCTCGACTATCGTATTAACGGGTGCTCGCCCGCAGCTCTCGCCTTATCTACCTTCTTCTCCCTGCATCGGCCCATGTCCGTTACCCAGGGCTTCCCCCGGACCGTGACCGACGACGCCTTCGCCCAGATCTTCGCGCCCCGAAGCAAAAGCGACAAGTTCAACGATGTCATGTCTACTCTGTCCCGGACGGTGGACGAGCTCGAGCAACCCATGCAGGGGTTGAGTGTCAGCGGTCAACAGGACTCGGCTGCCGCCGATGCCCTCAATGACCACATGGCCAAGATCGAGGTCCGACCCATGGACGGCTTCGAGGGCGACATCCAACTCCAGCTCAACGCCATGGCTGGCCAGTTTCTGCCCTTCCGACCGCCGCCCGCACCGCAACCTGAATCCGCCACCGCCGAAACCGGAGCTCAGGAACACCAGGCGGTCGAGGCCCAGCCTCAGCACCGCGTCTACAAGGCCATCTTCACCCTCGAGGAGACCACCGAGCCCAACGGCCAAGTCCGGATTCTGGCCCACAGCCCGACCTTGGTCGAGGACGACACGGTGCCGCGCACTTTCTTGGAGCGCATGGCCCTGCGACAGCTGCGCCGGGAAGAGGTTCGCGGTCGCCCCGATAGCATGATGGCCATCAGCGTCAAGAGGCAACGGAAGCTCAAGATGAAGAAGAAGAAGTACAAGAAGCTTATGAAGCGCACACGCAATGAGCGTCGCAAGTTGGATAGGGTGTAAGGAGGTCATTCTCCTTGTGTACATATAGGCAGTGGCAGCGGCCACGCGAATCAATGCGTCCTGAGTTATGGGGCTGCATCCGAGCGGATCATTGGTAATACGGTGTACGGGATGCATATTTCGAATCATTCTGCTTGGGAAGACATGGCATGCATCATGCTCCTGTTACTGCGAGCACCATTTATAGACATCTCATTACCCCCATCCCAATGTTTGCATTTGATCCACTACCATGTTTGATATCCATCTGTGCATGTGGTTTTGGATATGGTCTCCTCAATCAGCGAGTGACTTGACAGGAGTTTCGACCATAAGTTCGAGCAAGGAGAAGGCCACTTCCGCCGCAGCTAAAACTGTCGTTTCCCCCGGGTTGTCGTAGATCGGCGCGACCTCTACCACATCTGCTCCAACAACTTCGAGCCCAATCAGGCCGTCCAGGATGGTGAGTAGCTCTCTGGTCGACCACCCGCCAGGCTCCGCCGTACCAGTGGCTGTCTACTATCAGCCGTGGTCGCCCGGCGGCCTGTAAGCCATGGTTGAGGACAGGCGGGGAAACTCACCGGGAGCGAAGGCGGGATCCAGCACATCGATGTCCACGCTTATGTAGACCTTGGAGTCGCCCACTCGCTCCTTGATCTGCGAGATGACGCCAGCGGCTCCGATGCGGTCAAGGTCCCGCGCCTTGATGGTGTGGAAGCCGCAACGCAAGTCATTGCGCATGTCACCTTTAGCTCGCGACAAGGGGGCGCGGATCCCGGCGTGGATCGAGCTGTTGAGGATGAGGTTCTGTCTGAGGCGTGAGCCGTGCGTCAAGGACCACCCCAGGTTCAGATAATTGATTGAACTGAAAGCGAAGGGGGAGACGAGGAAAAAAAATTTTTTTTTATCAGCTTACCAAGAACTTTCGGATCCCAGGTATCTGCATGTCATCAGAAAACAGATCGTATCTAGTGAGAGGGATACTGCACTTACCAAGATGGCTATCAAAATGCACAACAGAGACAGGGCCCCAACTTTCGTGCGTAGACCGCAGCGCCGACAGCGTGGTCGTGTGGTCCCCGCCCAGCGTGATGATGCGCGGCGTCACGGAGTAGCTGGTGTTGGCCGCTTTTCGTCCGGACACCACCCGGTGGGCCTTGTCCAACTGCTTGATTGCGACGGTGTTATCGAGCCATACCAGCGGCGCATCGCCGCAGTCCACAACAGTGGCCCATGACTTGAGAGGGTTTCTCCCTGTCGCAGTTTCAGCCTCGGTCCACGAGAATGGCTGCCAGCAGAAGTCGAGGCGGTGGGGAGGGGGCTGGCATTATATCTAGGGTTTTACCGGTGTAGACACTCCAAGCAAACTCTGCGCCCATCCTCTGACTACCCGTGCGGATGCCTCCGGGACCGTACCGGGCCCCAGGGCGAGCGGTGACTCCCTTCAAGACGTATGGGTTATCAATCTGATCTTATCTCTGATGGGGCCACTTGCTCAGAGCCAACACGGGCATACCGTATCGAATGGTGCACCCATAAAGGCAATATCAAAAGCCTCAGGGGCACTCGCACCATCTCCAGAGAAGCAGTGCACATATGGCAGATTCGCAAACGTCTTGAGGCCGTAGAAGCGGCTCCCAGTGACGATATCTACGTCATCCGAGCTGTCCAGGTGGAAAGGCTTCTGGCCGGCAGCCAGCTTGGGTATATGCGAAAACTCGCGTGCCAATGTGAGCGGGAGTAATCGCAGAAGCAATGGGCGGAACATGATGATTTGTTGGTATGGTCCCACGGATGTGATGACGGGAAGTATAGAGGATTGCGCGGCTTCAGAAGAGATACTATAGATCGGCACCGACGCCAAAGGTGGAGAAACCGAGGGGAGCTAACTCGGTCGGAGTATCTGCTTTCACGACTCGTAGAAGTCCTCTGTTCCAAACTCAAGACAGTATCTCGAATAAAGTACGGAAACTGTGGATGGATAGCCGCCATATTATTGTTGTAGCTGAAATTGCCAACGTAGGAAAGAAATAATGCGATTTGGCGGATGGGGGGTTCCTGATCTACACGGTCTCCGTTGCCCAGTTCCTAGCCCGGGTGATGCTACGGTATTGACTCTCAGCCGCCCACCAAAATAGCCGGGTCTAAAGAGGTCCGTAGACAGATTCGAACCTCTAGACTAAGCCGATTTCGACGATGGGCTCAGGAGGAAGTTACAAACCATTTGAGCCATAGCTTAGTCGTTCACATTGTCTGCGCGTACTTGCGTTCAATCTCGTACGTGGACTCGAACTCAATTCAATAGTCCTAGGTGTCAAAGCCGTAGCTATTTAACCTCTGCTATGTATGTTTGCTATCGGCGGCGCCTCGTCTTTTGATGTAGACTGGCCATCCTCCGGGAACGACCGTGACGTAAGGCTTATACGACCACTCCTGATTGGGGTTGACCTGTTCGACGTCAAAATCGCGTACTAGGGTCGGTAATATCTTTGACAACTCAATCCTGGCGAGATTTTGCCCAGCACAGGAGTTGTAACCCAGGCCGAACTATGTGTTCATTAGTGCGTCCACTTCAACCTACTCTGTAGGATTGGTCACAACTCACAGGGATGAAGTACTTCTCCAATGCAGCCGAGTCCGCATCCATCCATCTCTCGGGCCGAAAGGACTCTGCATCTTTTCCCCAGATGTCTTTGGACAACATGATACCCGGTAGATACAAGGACAGCATTGTACCTGCAGCGAATGTTCGCTCCCCGATGGTGATCCCTCCCTCGGGAACGACCCTCGGGAGCCCTATAGACGCAGGCACGAAGATACGTAAACTCTCTTTGATACATGCCTGCAGGTAGGGCAATTTCTGTGCATCTGCGAATGAGATCACGTCACCTTGGCAGTGTCCTTCTTTCATAGCCTCGGCTATCTCATCTCTAACACGCTGCCAGGCTGTTGGATGCCGGATGGCGTGATACACGAAGGATTGTAGGGCGCAGGAGACGGTGTCCGCACCGGCGCTGACCAATAGTTTCAGTGAGCAAAGTTCAAGAGGCTTGTAGTGGGACAGTTAGACGATACCTGACATTAGTTGTGACAGCAGCCTGAACATCTTTGGCTGTCAGCCTGTCCGGGTGCTTCTGATGTGTTTTGAGCCAGTGGGCGACGTAATCGTAGCGGGCATCTGGGTTTGATTTTCGCTCATTGAGAGCATTGATGGATCTTCTTACGATAAAGTTGAACGGCAGGAGCTCTAGCGAAGCTATTCTAGGACTGACGAGTATCCTCTGGAGCCAGGGGAAGTAAGGAAGAATTGCGGCATAGGAACCAAACTCTAGCCCTTGACGAAGCGAGTCTTCGATGTCGGAACCCTGTTCAAGGAATCCAAAGGGCTTTGAGAACATGACCTCGCCTGGCCAAGGTTAACTAGTGCTACGAGAAGGAGATTTTAAGAAGTCCGCCTGATCCCTTCATTGGGTAGAGAGAAATGGCTTACCCATAATGTCGTATGCAGTGAATGTAAAGAACTCTGAGAGTTGCATGGGCTTGGACGATGCAGCATAATTCCCCATCCACTTGAGTAACGATTCAATCTGTCTATCAAGGGCCTGCTCAGAATGCAGAATACTTGAGGTCGCGTATGCGGATGCCAACAACCTAGATCTCTCGTTCTTCTCCTTGACATCAACGATCGAGATCGCCGGGCGATATGTAGAATCCGGAAACGTCAGTGTTTCATACCAATAGCCCTAGAGAAACATTAGTCGTATGCTTCGCGAACGATTTGGGGCCGGACCTTGCGCAGTGGATCAATGAGGAGCTTTCGGACACCTTCAGGATGCGTGACGCTGACTTCGTCCGGTGCAATTCTCACAAAGGGCCCAAGCTTGTCATGTAACTTCAATATGGAATCCATCTGGCGGCCATCTCTGATCTGCTTCGCGTGCCAGAGGCGAGTAACTGAAGCCCAGAAGGGCCCTGGGATATCGGACAGAGCGACAAAACGCTGCCAGGCTACCCAGCCTAGCACTATGCACAAGAGGTGGCCGAGAATGAGAGATATCAAGGTCCCATCATGTATAAACCCCATTATTGCTCAAGGTAGAAGGAAATTGTTTGTTGTGCGGTTCGTATGGTACTTATCAATAAGGAGGGGTAGTCGGAATAAGTCGTTCAAAAGGGTTTCAGGGAACAGTCGAATGCAGGAAAACGAGGGAGTCGTCCGGTTGAAGATGTTGGTCGGCGCCAAGTTGTACAGGACGGAAGGATGCATGTCGGTGCAACCCAATCCAGATGTTCACCTCCGCAAGGTCTCCACTTATACAGTGATCGAATTCATGGGATTCTGGCAATCGTGGGTGTTTTAATTTTTATTCTCTTTACCAGGCTTATAGTCTGACAGATCATTGGCCCTCAGATCTGAGATCGGGAAATACACCCCATCGTGACACAATGACCTCGGAAGCCTACCCGATGACTGTGTTGGGTGCTTTTTTTCGAATCTACCGAACACCACCGTACCTAGTGCAACTGGTAATTCGTTTGTACCTTTTCTTTCGGTGATATCCGAAATTACATGGGGCCAATAACTGGACTGATGCTGCGTCAACGTCGACTCTCACAGCTCAAAGTCATGATGGTCCAATGCCGTGGCTCGCGACAGAACTTCGAAAGCCTGGCATCAAGCGGAATGGTCTTCGGGACAATCACTGTAGATGGACTATATACAAGAAATTGAGTAGAGAAGAGGTGAAGAGGTCAACATGGTTGGCCATAGAGTTGGCGACCTGGGCCGGCTAGTGGACAACATCATCGATGGAGGCCCCCCAGCGTCCGGGTACGAAATGCCCAAATATATAGCGGTTAAATTACTGCCAAAGTACGAAGTCACTGGAACAAGACTGAGACGACCGGATGAAAAGGCTTGCAATAGTTGAATCCTCCATAGGTCGCGTCAATTCACAGGGCGCTCGTTCGTAGCCAAACCCAGATGACTGCGGGCAACCCTGCCTTGCGCATGGTTAAGTAGATTCAGGACCCGCGTGTCCTGAGATGAATATGCGCCCGCACATTCCGCATCTCCGCCATCACCAAGTTTGGCTCCAACAAAGCTCAGATTGGTCAGCTGTGGTGTATCCGAGTGTGGGAAGACCGATTCATTATACCCGGCGGTAGCCTTTCAACAGGGCACTTATCAGATCCGGCCTCGGGAGAAACTATCAAGGAGGTTTGATAGCTGGCAGCTGCTGGTAGTTGGTGGTGGTCTTGGGGAGGGGTAGCTGCCCCACCAACGCCGCAATGGAGTACAGAGGCTCTGTTCTGCATGTGCAATTACGACATGGACGCCATACACGTCCCTGCGTTAGGTGACTACCACGGTACATCATCTAAGGGTGTGATTCCGTCATTCCACCAAGCTGGGACGGATTGGAGAGCAGTACTTAGATAAAGACCAAAAGACTCTCCCTCTGCCCACGACTTCTCGAGCTGTTCGACTACTTCTGCCCTTTGCCACGCACCAACGCTTACCCGACAAACCATCCCAAGAGAACCCCCACTTGACCGACGATGGCTGTCCCTCCCAAGTTCGCTGGCCAAAAGCTGCAATTCGCGAAGGCGCAGTCACCCGCGACGGCAGGCGTGGCCGCATCGGTACACACGCTCGAGCTCTACCTGGATTACGTATGTCCTTTCTCGGCGAAGCAATTCAACACACTCTACCACACCGTAGTGCCCCTCGTCCGGGAAAGCAACGAGTGGTCACAAGGACTCGAGATCGTGTTCCGACAGCAGGTCCAGCCATGGCACCCAAGCTCGACCCTGACCCACGAGGCTGCGGTCGCCGTCCTCAAGCTTGCGCCTGAGAAATACTGGGAGTTCAGCGACGCGTTGTTCAAGCAGCAGAAGGACTTCTTCGATGTCAACGTCGTCAACGAGACCCGCAACAACACCTACAAGAGACTAGCCAAGATTGCCGCGAGCGTTGGCGTTGACGAGGCCAAGGTCTACGATCTACTCGTCATCAGCGATAAGCCAGCCGAGGATGGAAGCTTGAACAGCGGCAACAAGGTCACCAACGATTTCAAGGTGCTCGTCAAGATGGCCCGACTAGTTGGTGTCCATGTCAGTCCGACTGCCATCTTTGACGGCGTAGTCGCCAATGACGTTAGCTCCAGCTGGGGCAAGCAGGAGTGGGCAGACTGGTTGACCAAGAACGTGGTGTAAGCTTGCAGAATGCCGCGTAACGTGCACGATGTTGTAACTCAATGAGACCAGACTAGATACTCACAAGAGTAGGACAAGTTCAAAACTATAATCATGTTGTATGTTGTTCATCGGGTCATTTAAACGAGGTTGGAAGCCTGTCACAACCCTCTTGGCTCACTAAAGGCTCGACCGGGCTCGTGGTGATTGTCGAGCACAGGCCAACGCTAAGAAATAACCCGACAGAATTGGAAGCGCATCTTCTTGACACGCTCCTTTGAACTGAGCTTCACCTATGTATAATTGCCATGCTGGTCGCATTCTTCCGGAGGTCCCTTTCGAGACCATTGGCGCCCCGTTTCCTTTCGCACAAGACCTTGTCGTCTAGTTCGCGGCAGAATGCCATTCAACTCTGTCGGAGGTTAGCCTCAAACCTGACCAAGACCACCGCCAAGGAGACAAATGCACCTGGTAAACATTGTACGCTACTTGACCCCGACAACAAAATGAAAATATCGGCTCACTAAAGATAGTATATCCCGAGAGACTGTGTATATACCATGCCGGGGTCACCAGGATTACCTTCCTGGCATGCGTCAAGCTGTCTACCATTTTCATTTTCGTCTTTTTCACCTTCGTGGTAACCCCGAAGTACTACGAAAAGGAAGGATGGAGCCCTACGACGATTCGCAGTGAGTTCCTTGGCAGCATTTCCATTACAAGTCTGGAGCTAACTATCGCAGCCGCTCTCTCCGGGGTAGTGCCGCTGCTGTTCGTCGCGTGGACGACGTCGCCGTTCGTCATGTTCATGCACGTCCGCCTGCCCCCCTTCGCGCGACAATCTGAGCAGATGCTGCGCCAGTATCTCAAGAAGCTTCCTCGGGACGCCGAACTGGCCGTCACTACCATGAGTCCCATCGCTAAAGCTCGCGCGAGCAAGTTGCGGGTCTCTGAGCTTCGGCAGGACAACCAGAGGCTTGGCATCGTGAACTATGTCAGGGACACCACGGCGGAGGACGCTACGCGCAAGTGGTATAACTATCGTGCTGTTGGCAAGTTCAGCTTCCAGGCCAACAAGGCACCGCGTGTTCCGTGGGCTTGGGATGAGTTGGCGAAGACGATTCCACAGAAGCAAAAGGCTTGATCGGACCGGATGGCATGATATCTATCTAGCCCAAAATCTCTCAGGTAGAAAAGTGTCTTGCAATAATATACTCTGTATTCCTAGCACCATGTACCAATAGGACCGGTATATCGTGTTTCATCAATGACTAGAAACTTAGGAGGCAAGCGAGAAGCTTACCGTCGACCATAGTCTTGTGCCGATAAAGGATAGATATGTGAGACCTTTTGGAGCGTGAATTGCAATTTATTGACGGAGAATGTTGTAATTATCCACGATATCCAGGGAGAAATATTCACCACAGTGTTTGAGAGTCAACGTGAAGCCATGTGCCATTTTCGTCCTGCCTCAAAATGTGCGATTCTTTGTCGAAAGTATAGTCGACATCATGGGTGGTAGAGAGTTTTCGGCAATATGATAGAAACCTCATTTGCAATCAAATATCGCAGACGGGCGCAGACAGACGATATCTACCCACGCCAAAGCACCCAGGAACTGAACCATGGTGGCCACCACTTGGACGCCAGAAAGCTGAGGAGAGTTTCCTCGGTCTTAGTACTGAGTATAAGTCTAGCATCACGATTCGTTATGTCATACAATAATCCGCGTGGAGAACACGACGTTGTGTTGTCAGTCCGGGAGGCGCTGCTATCTGGCGCAATACAGGCGGTGACGAACTGCGCATAGTAATGCACCTAGGAGTGCAAGAGCTTCCAAACGCCTCTTTCATGCTTCGAGCAAGCGATGAGCACATGGCGAGTATACTACTCAGCTTCTGTAAGATTGGGACAAGGTTTTTAGAAGCTGTTCTGACAGGCCTCCCGGGTTGATCTTCTTGATCAATGAATGCGAACTCATGATCGAACGATGTTAAAGTTTCCGACTTATAGTAGCTCAATATGTCTAGGCCATATGCAGAATTGACAGTATTTCTCACAATCTACGGCTTGTCCATTTTCTCGTGGCCCGATGTGTATTGCGAGCTCCAGCACAGATAATGCAGTGCACTTTGGCTCTGGGCTTCTTTCCGGTCCTCAGGCTTTCGACATTATTGCCTTTTCCGCAGGCTCGAAAGCAAAGCCCACTTGGTCAAGCGCGCCACCTTCAAGATACGTCTTAGACATCCAGCACTAGGATGAGGACGACGCCATCATTGACAAATGGATCTGTTACCATGTCTCAAGCCCAAGGAATGCCCTTGGAACAGCAAGCGGGTAACTAGGGTGAGGACTGGCGTCTTGGTTGGGATTCTAAATGTCTACGGCGTTGAGTATCTAAACATCGCTTGCATGTAGCTCTTGCTAACATTGTTGCACATATGAATGCCACGGCGTTGGTTATTGGTGAGAAGGCAGCAAACGGCTTCATCCGTAGGCTTGACCTATAGTTGGCCGAGACTTGGAGTTTCTTGTTAGTTGCAGATATCCGACTCTACCTGAATGTGTTTGAACTTGCCATACATGTGTAAGGAATCCATTCGAGTACATCAAGCTGTTTCTAGCAAATACAAATAGCCTTTTGGTCTTCACTTCTTCATTTTTCTTGAATAAACTTACTATCTTCTCATGCATACAGCACTACTGTGTCGGCGCTATCACATATCAATGATTGCACTTAGGCCTTGTTTAAGGTAAAGTAAAAAGTATATTTCAGCATAAGGGGTCCATTTATCTTTCTCTTTCCCCTTACTTACACATTGACACGAATGCAGAAAGTGTTTTGACCACAGCCTACATTTCGGCGAGAGTCAAGAGTAAGGCCAGTCGTCAAAGTCAGATCTGCATGGACAAGGAAGATCCCAATGGGAAGAGTACGCTGAGTGAAGTCCCCTTTCTTCTTCGGTGGCTTCAGAGGCCTTTGTGACGTACTGATCTCACACAGATAGAACATTGGAAGCTGGGAGGATACGACAGAGATCGCTCAGGAACACATAATCGTCGTGGAAAATGCTGTTGATGCAATGAAAGTCCATACTTTGAGGGAATCAACAACGAGATTCTGCATAGATACCCTCGCAACAGTTTCTAGAACAGTCTACAATGAACAGCTATGAGGGTGTCGATACTACAATATTGAATTACACAGTATTTACATAGCAGCGAATGATCACGTTCCATTAGATATCGAGATGAAGCCAGATCCAAAACGCGGAGGGATCACTAGAAGAGTTTTGCGAAGCTGCCTGCTTGTCGGTAGATGTGACAGAACTATGCCAAACACGATCCGACCAGGCTACAGCCTCATTAGGTATCTAGGTTTTGTGCGCTTAACCCGGGCGCACCAGGTACCTGACAGGGGTACACATATTATGAAATTCCATCGAGATCACTATCCTAACAGTCCGGAGAGGAATAAGATAAGCGACATTGTTCTATGGCCAGTCTCTTGATTATATAGCCCGTTTCCCGCCCGGCTGCTCCGATTTTCACTGTTTCACGATAGAGGCCGCAGTTCTTGAACAAGCAAGAAGGCTTGACAGACTCCTCTTCCTGCTTGTCAGACAGGTTGGGCATTGCTGAATCGTAATTGGCGATACCAAAAGGAACAGGCTCTTGGAAAGGGAGTACGGCAGCTTATTTTGTGTACTACGGATCTGACTTTCCTTTCTTCTTTTGTTAGAGAGAGGGTGGGAAGAGGAGGGGGGACGGAACCGCGGTCGTACCACTGGCTGTCTGTGATGGGAGCAAGGCAGAAATCCTTTCTGCGAGCCCCTGTAGCAGCACATATTCAAAAGTAGCACCCTAGAGGAAAATTGCGTACTCGTATCTCGAAGAGACTTCCTACCGAGTGCTACACAGGAATCCTGCAGCAGCATACACTGCAGCTCTGCGGCGCGGATCATTCCTTCGCATCTCACACCATGAATACATAGCCGTGGAGCAGAGGCGACACCAGACTGTGACTCCTTCTCGTGCATTGTGGCATCGCTATGATCATCAACCTGCAGCCTGAGGGATTCTATTGCTGGGCACAACGGTTGCATGTGGGTACACTTTTTCAGATGCCAGCAGCCTTTTTGTCGGTCTATGTGCCGCATTACGGCAGTTTGGTACGACATTTGTACGCTTCACGTTTCGTTCTGAATGGCTAGGATTCCTTCTCAACCAGAAGTTGCCCTGTCAAGCTCCCCGATGGATGTCCGCCAATTCCCCTTAATTGGAGGTCGTACATTGCCTTGATTATGCGGGCAGTGTGTTGTGAATTTCGTGAAATGCAGCATTTCGCATAGACTGCAGAATCTGGCTTCTGAGCAGTTCGGTGAGCCAACGCCACTCAGTTACCCCACGTCGGCCAGATGGGCGGCATGGAACCGCTGATTGGGTAATAGTTTATGAACGACACAAACTGCAACATGCCGATGCTGAACCGCCCTTGCATTGGCACTTTTGAGGCCGATCTTAAGGTTTAGGTCTATTGATCTGGACGCTACGGTTAAGAGAAGTCTAATGACCCCCGAATCCACCGTTATAAGGCAATCTCTAATCATGACTTCTGCAGCGTCATCCTAAACCCCTTAATGCCCAGGTGTTTGATATAAAGGAATGTCTTGTATCGTAGCGTATCAGCAGTAGGAGCAGATCGACGCCAGCTTCGCCTTACTCGGGACGCTCGCACTCAATTACGCTCTCAATTCCGTTAGCAACGGTATAAGTATTGACAATCTTGAGCCCGCATTTGTTCTCCAGTAGCTCAGACCACTGTGCCACACTACGCTCCTTGCCCCCGAAGCCTGTCATCATGATAAGATCCAAGGCTGTCTGTTCGTAATCTTGCTTCATGGGCTGTATCACGTGCTCATGAATGAGGAATTTGCTGTAACCAGGCTTCATTGCCTCTCTGACGCGGCTAGCGATCTTAACAGCATCCTCATCTGGCCAGTCGTGGAGGACAAAATGCGTGTAGTAAGCACGTGCACCTAGTGTCAAGTCTTTGGTTAGTGAACCCAAAGGATAAATAGGATCGAGGGACAAGTGATGCGGCAAACTAGTGCTGCATCGAGAAACCCACCTTTTACAGGCTGCTCTGTAAAGAAGTCATATTCCATTCTCTCAATGCGCGAGTCAAGTCCTTGTATTTGTCCAAGTACAACGGGCAAGTCTTGCAAGATCAGTCGTCCAGGGGCATCCGGGAACTTGGATCGAAATTGGTCAGTGTAGTGGCCCATGCCGCCGGCGATGTCAACAAGCAAGACGGCGTCTTTTTTGTCTGCATCAAATCCATCAAGGAGTCGTTCCTTCACCGGAAAGAACCCGCTATCACTCCATGGCGGGCGCCCCAGGAGGTAGCCGGCCATGTGGTCGTTGAACATCTGTCCATGCGGCGGCCGGGACTGCATGTCCTCAAACCAGTGAAGCTTAGTTTTATGAGCTACCTGATAGGCTGTGTCGAACTTGTCTGTTGGGACCTTGTAACCTCTACCCTTGAGCCAGTCGTGGGCTTCGAGGAAAGTGGGATTGAGAGTCGGCGGACTAGTTCAAAGCTCATTAGACACCAGTAAGATCGAATTTTGAGCGCAAGTCTTACCCAGTGTAGTAACCACTGTACATGACTGGAAGAGATAGAGACTTGCTGAAGCTGTTTGGCGTGTACTCGTCAGGGGCTGTCATATTCAGGTAACCAGAAGCTGCTACATGTCGCATCATGCGCTGTAAGAGCTCTTCTTGCAAGCCAATCTGCTTGGCCAGGTCGGATACCTTCTGAGGGCCATCTCCATTCTGTGCCATAGTAGTCCACAGGTTTGTGTAGACGCCAAACGAGATGGCCATGACATTAGAAGGCTTAGCTCAGTTAGCCCTGCTGTTAATTGTCAGAAGATTCTCAACTAGCCTGCGCCCAGACATGCTGGATCATCATTTCACGAGGAGTTTCGAGCGCGCGTGCGAGCTCTCGCGCCTTCTCAAGTAGCTCAAGCCGTGGCGCTAGAGAATCATCGCCTGCCTTCGAAAGAGCATCGCCGGCAGAGGCTACCTCTGCCAGCAGGTTGGGGACCGCATCAATGTTGGAGGGGGCGATAGCCGATTCCAGGCCTATAGGAGCCATGGTAACTCAAGGACGGTGAAGATCTTATGTATGGGAACTGGAACACTTTGACAAGAAAGAGCAGCGGTAGTGAAAAAAGGTGTTTAATTTTGACGGGGTGCTGTATCATGATTTGCAAATCTTTATGATTGCGGGGGGAGCTCCTTGCATGAGTTTTCAAGTCTGCAGGTCTCGCTCACGCCTCACATAAACGTTTGTGCTCCCTTACTGCTTACCGATGTAGCCACGATATAAGACCATACGACGTCGGGGCTTACTGGTACCGTTGGAATATAGAAGCAGTAGCATTGACATAATGCGACCCCATCCATTTTCCAGATCCATGCAAGGATCCTACCCATAAAGCTCATTATCGCAATCTGGGAAGGGGACCCTTGATGGTGGGAAGGATTCGACGGGAAGGCTACTGCAGGTTGCGGTACAGTTGCAGTATCCAAGTTGGGTTGCGGCCGTTACGTAGGACGATTGGATGATTGGACAACCGAACAAAGCACCCGGGTAGGATTGTCGCACATGAATCACGAGTTTCTGACTTGCATAAAAAGACCCCCCAAAAGCAAATCCATCTTCGTGTTCGACGGCATTGCCATGAGTTGCTAGAACCTCCTAACATAAACTGAAAATACAATCCAAAAGACATGCAAAAGACAGCACCATCATCCATGGTATTACCTTCATCTGTTGCGATAATAGTGGCGACCAGACATCATGGCAACGCCACCAACCCCCTTAGATCCGATTTATGCGGGAGAAAACAGCGGACCACATGTTGTCGCCTCCATCATCATCGTCGCGTCTCTTAGCACCCTGTTCGCCGCTGCTAGGCTATACGTTCGACTTCACATAGTACGCAAGTTCCAGTTCGACGACTACATGATTGTGTTATCAGTCGTAAGTGGTGATATGATCGTTCTGTGGCGCACAAAATATAGTATTGACAGTGTATAAGGTTTGTAGCTGGATGAGTGTGGGATTCTCTACGGCTGCAGTGCACTCGGGAAGTGGCCGACATATCCAAACGCTCAGCGGCAAGCAGATATCAGGAGCTATTCAGTTTACCTTGTTCGGCTTCGTGCCTGGGATCCTCTCATACGTTCTACCTAAAATGACGGTCGTGACCCTCCTAGCCAGGCTGCTGAACCCTTCTCGGTGGCACCTTGTGTGGCTGTGGTCGATGTGTATCATCTGCCTAATCACTATGATGGGCTCTGTCGCCATTGCTTTCGCCCAATGTCAACCAACAAAATCTCAATGGGATCTCTCGGTCAAGCCAGACTTCTGTTGGTCGAAATGGATCTTGGTCAAATACTCCTGGGGCTCCTGCGGTCAGTACTACATTGGGTTGCTTTATCATTATATTTCCCTTCGCCATGCTTACAGCTTCTGAACAGCGTTTTCGGCCTTTGTGGACCTGTACCTCTCTATATATCCTGCGGTGGTACTGTATAAAATCCAGCTGCCAAGGAGGAAGAAAATTGGACTTAGCATAGCACTCGGGGTGGGCTCAATGTAAGTGGCTTTTGCCGTGTTCTTTATATGCTGGACGGCGTTTTCTGATGCCAAATGCAGTTCTACAGTTGTTGCTATATATAAAATTACCGTACTCAAAGGCCTTGCCAGTCCTGACTTTACGTGTAAGTAGCTCTGAGGACCCGTTGCGGTATCTACTGATTTCCATAGTCGACAGTTGCAATCTAACTATCTGGACTATGTGAGTGTCAAGCAAGACATGACATTGCACTGGTGCTACTGATAACCCGTAAGGCTGACTCCTGAATAGCGTCGAGGGTAGTGTCATCATTATTGCAGCTTGCATACCACTGCTACAGCCTCTTCTTGAGAAAATTCGGAAACGGTCCTGGTCTTCGAATAGAAAGTCACAAAGCCTTTACTTGACGCCAAAGAATGCGAGCGGCCATCACAAAGGTTACGCTGATGTCGAATTGTCTAACGACAAGTCTCGTATTCGGAAGGCGCGCCGCCAGTTCGATATGGAGAGCATTCTCGAAACTAGGAACTACGACGATCACTTGGGGGCCCAACCGGTACCAGCAGGAAGCCAAGAGCGAATTCTGGAAGAAGACGAGACTGGATTGGTGACGCAAACCTCTAGAAGGCAAATACAAAACAAAAACATACCACCTGACCCACACAATGGGATTCATCGAACGGACGAGATACGTATTAGTTACGCCGAAGATAACGGAAATACTTCAAATTCCCATCGTCATCAAGACAGCTGGTCATGAAGGGTTGATATTAGTTGGAGTACAATTTAACAGCAATTTTCTTTCTCACACTCCTCGTTGGAGGACGCGCTAGTGGCCCATTATGTAGTCGTTAAAATGAGAAAGATTCTGCGCACAGAAGTTGGATCAAGTTCACAAGATGGCGGTCTTATCAGAGGCAGGGCATTGTTCTAATTGCAAGACACCATTTCATCGAACACAAATTTGGCAGCGCACTGTTGAAGTAATTTCCAGCTATTATCAAGCAATCTGAAGCATGGAAAAATTCCACTTCGGGGTTCGTGTATTGCATCTATCTCTCATGATAGTGTCACGCATCAGTGTGGACGGACAGCAGCAAGCCAACGGAAGCCAAGAACTCTACAGAACTGGCCACCTGGATCAATTGGCTCCCGCGGCTTAGCAGTTGCACTTCTTAGACCTGACATTCATAGCAATCGGGAGAAGGGATTTGCATGAGCAAAGCAATCAGAAATAGCGGAGGCGAAAAGTTTGGTCTGGCCAATTCAGGAGAGCCATAGCTTCAATACATCAGAAATGTGCCTGCTGGCTACACAAAGCCCGTACCAGAGAGGTATGGGCACTGAAGATCTGCCAGAAGTGGCGGGCACTTTGATTCACCGGCAATGTGATGGGTTGCCACATCGCATAGAGGTGCCTACATCATTAGTAAGGGCGCGCCTCACACGGTGCTACATGATATTCATGTGACGTTAAACCCAGCCGACCATCCTGATTCGTTACACTTGATGAACAACCGATTGTAGTTATTGCCTCGCAGATCAACCAAAGAATTCGCGATCCTATATATGTATGCTTGTGTAATAATGGCGTAGCCGCTAGTACGTATCTAGAACAGGCTTCAGCAGCCTTGCCAACATAGTCCGAACACAACAGATGCAGAATCACACAGTACTATGTAGGCGCTGTTTAGTCGGTGAACCTTGAACTGTGACTAGAGAAATAAATCAGGCAAGTACTGGGCGGATCATCTGCACGTACTATGTAGGCTGTTACTGGACTTTTCATACCGCATGCACCCGGTTGGAAGGATCATGCGGCTTTCCGTCGACCATCATGCTGCGCCGCTTCACTTGCCCCTTTTCCAACCAGAGGTTGGCAAAGAGGTTTTGTTCGAACTGAGCAATTAATTAAACGCGTGGAGGACATTTACAATTGCATTTCAGTTCTTGCAGTGATTAAGTACGAGACTGATTATAAAATGCATCAGGTAGCTAACGTACAACATGCTCTCTTCACGGCTTTCTCTGACCCATACAACCGGATAATAGATAACATGAGCTGCAAGACGCCAGGCACCGACTAAGCAGCTTGGGAAGTCTGGATGCTTATTGCTAAATGTAACCCCCGCAAGGCGGCTGGTTCCGTAACGGGGAGACGACAAGATGCGGACAGGCGGATGTGCTCCACCGAGTCCCATGTCATCTTCTCATGCCAAAAGTAGTAGTATGTTGCGCTCGACGAGTGGCTCGTAGCCGATGGAAAAACGTGCCAAACTTGTGTCAGCTTCCAAGGACTTGCGGGTGTCCGTCTATCCCTGCTGACTCATCCACTTGCTGCAAGACTCACTAGTTACCTGCTAGCCAGGGGTCAATAGGTCCCAATGTGACGAGCCGAGCTTCCGCGCGATCGTAATGCAGTCAGCGACACGACTGCGTAACGCCCGCCGTAAGCACTTGAGGTGACGGTGCAAACCAAGATCTTGTGGGGGAATTGATAGTCTGACCGCAATTTTCCATTTGTCAAGAAACGAAGACGAAATATGGAATTTTGCTGATATGCTGGCCTACAGTCGATGCAGGTACTGATGGGTGTACCCCAGCGGCCACTGCGTGACATGGTCCTCAATCTGTTTTCGATGCCATGCACCAGTGCGACTCATATTACCCTTCGTTCCAAGGGGGGTTTCCATCATTATCATCAATCGTTGAATGCGTTACAACATCAGCACCGCTTTGCTATTTCACTATACTAATTTCGATTGTGATAGAAGGATCTAGATCCCGGATAGCAGCCTGTAGCCGACATTGTCCCTGGAGGGTGTGGTCCCATCCGATTGTGAGGCTTTTTTTTTCTTTGCTTTTCTTTTTTTTTCCCCTGCCCCCCATCCTACCCCGGGGATAACATGTATCTTTGGATCGACGCCTAGTCACAGTTGCGCTAAAAATGCAGCTAGTCGTCAGTTCGAGAAGTATATCCAGCTGACGTTAGTTACATGATATGGTCTATTTCTTGTGCCATCTCTCGTGATATCTGTATTTCAGCTATTTCTGGGCGCTTATTAAAGTCAAAACACCATACGAAACTTGTGACAACCCTATTGGAAGCTCAGCTCCTTCGTTATCCTTCCGACGTTGCATTAGGATGCCCAGCTGAGACGAAGACCCTTTACCTTGCGTCGAAAGGAGTGGAGACTTGATCACACGTCGAGCCCGAACACTATGGCTAGTCGCACACCAAAGGGTCCAAGGTGACTGATTGATATGGCAGTACGTGGTGGCTCTGATGGGCTGTACCACTCCTTCTCCGTCCCACTTGGATCTTAAGATGCTCGCGGGTTTTGTAAATGGATGCCAAGATAGACGCAAGACCCTGCGGCACTCAGAAGAGTTCTACAGCCTCGACATACTTATATTGATATGAACCTTTGAAGTTTTGCGGGATATGGACCTATAAGCTATTTCCCATCATAAAGCAAGCAAAACAAATTTTGCCTCCAAGTAGAACATGCTTTCTACGTTTTCAACTTTCTCTGACGCGATGAATGCCTTTTGGCAGCGCTTAATTCAATACTTGTCATCAATATGGTCCTATTTCCCTACGATCGTGGCCGCCCAGGCCCGCACGGGTGCCTTTATTCTACCGCCTCGACAACAACCCAGCACGCCAACTCGACATACGCAGAAGGGCCTCTTATTAAGGGAAGCCTATAGTGATGAGCCAAAGGCCCAAGACATCAGAGACCCTCCGCAGATCTATTGGTATAGAACAGCAGGACATGTCCTAGATGCTCTAATGCAGGGGGCTAACTACTCCCGTCCGGCCCATGATTATGTTATGTCTTTCTTCAAAGATACCGTGGCCCCATTTCTTGGGCCCACCGACCAGCCTAGCTTCAAGAGATGGGAAAGCTTCATGACTGACGACCACTCACCCATCGAAATTAGCTGGGACTGGCGTGGGTCTGCCGACGAGCCCGTCATCCGGTTCTCAATAGAGCCGATCGGGTTGCATGGAGGCACTTCTGTTGATCCGATGAACGCAGTTGGGCCCGAGTCATTCAAACGCACGATACTTGAAACACTGCCGAAAATACATACGTCCTGGTTTGACCATTTCGACTTGTTTTTTAACGGGCGAGCAACCCAAGCTAGCACAGAGGAAAGCCACCCATCTCGTATCTTCTGGGGGTTTGACTTGAAAGGAAGTTGCATCACTGCCAAAGCTTACTTCTTTCCCGGTCCATCGGCACGCTCAATGGGTACATCCAACTTTCACACAATCGCCCAAGCTATAGTCTGTGCGCCGTACTGTACACCCGACAAGATCCAGGCCTTTGACAAGCTTGCCACGTTCGCTGACGGTCCCGGCACTGAAGCACTAGAGTTCGAAATGCTTGCTATAGACATGGTGGATCCTCTGGAATCACGATTTAAAATCTACTTCCGAGATCGTAGCACTAGATTCAGTTCAGTCTGTGATGCGATCACTTTGAAGGGGCAGAAGACTGGAGTCCACATAGATAGGGGGCTTCGAAGCCTCGAGCAGCTATGGTGTTCCCTTTTTGATCTGTCTGATGTATCTGAAGATGCGGAACTACAACTGAATGAGCACCGAACGGCTGGAATTCTGTACAATGCCGAGTTTCGTCTTGGAAGCAGGTACCCGGATGTCAAGATCTACATACCAGTTCGCCACTATTCGAGCAGTGACCAGAACGTCATGGATAGAGTGGAGGAATTTATAGACAACCAGAGGCAGGGAATCCATCTGGTAAGGAGAAGCGCGTCTGAGGTACCGAGTTCAGCGTATGCTGAGGCCATGAAGCGTATCTTGTAGGTGATTCAACCCTGGTTTTATCATCATCAGTATCAGCTAACAATACAAAGCAAGCCACAGGCTCTAGAAAACGGTTTAGGGCTACACACGTATATTGGATGCTCCATTAAAGGGGATGGCTCTCTTAGAGTAGTGTTGTACGTCAACCCCCAGGCAGAGAAGTTCAAGTAGATACAGAAATCAATTTGAGAACGTAAATAAACCCATTTAATCCGCTTAACATGATCCTTCATTGTATTGGTTTTCATTTCATGATTTACCTTTTCCATCCAATACAATGTGGTTGATATGTGTTACTGAGGATTTCTGTCACACAATGTGCAAGTGTGCGTTTTGGGCGCTAGTATGGGGGATATCTCATTTTAGTGGGGTGGGCTATGCAAGAGAGACGGTGTTTGGTTATTTTCACGCCCCCTCCACTACCATCACTCGGTCGGACATATAATAATAGTTCTTGTTGCCAGGACGTAGCATCCGAGGAAGCTATCTCGTTGATTGTGATATGCTTCCACTTTCTGATTATTCTTCAGTGGCCACGCCCATCAAGACTGTCTGCGTATAGGTGAAAGAAATTTGAATCTTCAGTTATTCTCTCGTACCATCTCAATTCCTGCCTCTATTTATGCACCATGGACCCAGCTGAGAAAGATGCCATCCACAATGAACGGTTTGTCAGAATTATCTGCATTGGTGCTGGGGCGTCAGGCATTTGCTTAGCTTACAAGCTGAATCGATCGTTCACTAAGTTTTCGTTGACGGTATATTACCCCCTCCCCACCTAAAATGCTACTGATGGCTCAATAATCCTCTTTAGGTATACGAAAAGAATCCCGGGATCGGGGGAACCTGGTATGAGAACCGTTACCCAGGCTGTGCATGCGATGTCCCTTCCCATAATTACACTTTTTCCTTCGACCCCAAGCCCGACTTCTCATCCGTCTATGCTGGCTCAAATGAGATCAGGTCCTACTTTGAGGACTTTGTCTCTAAACATGGCTTAAGCCATCTTATTCACATGTCGCATCTTGTCACCAGAGCGACGTGGGATGAGGAAAAGGGCGAGTGGACAGTAGAGGCCAAAAACTTGGCGACAGGCCAGACGGTGGAGAGCGTCTGCGACATTCTTGTCCATGCCACCGGTTATTTGAACAAGCCAGCCTGGCCGCATGTAAGCGGTCTAGAAAATTTCAAGGGTATCAAAGCACATAGCGCCGACTATGACGAAACCATTGACCTCAAGGGCCGGGATGTGTTGATCATTGGCGGCGGATCCTCCGCGGTACAGATTCTTCCTGCAATCCAGCCTATCGTCCGAAGCGCGAAGATCATCATTCGTACACCGTCCTGGATGTTGCCGGACATCAGTACTGAGACATCCACGTTCACATCTCACCAAATTGAAGAGTTTGTCAACAAGCCCGAATTGTTGATGGCGCTCCGTCAAGAGAATGAACGGACGATGAATAGTATTTTCAGTATGTTCTACCAATCGAATTATATTCTGCGGCTTACTGACAGGTCTTCAAAGCGGTCTACATGAAAAACAGCGTATTGCAGAACCAAGCCAAAGCCCTTCTCAAGTCGGCTACGAAGGACATTTTGAGGGAGTATGACAGTGTAGACGCACTTATTCCTGAGTTCTCTGTTGGATGCAAACGGGTGATACCGTCAGGATTCCGATTCTTACGAGTAAGTCCGTACAAGCTACGACGAGGCAAGTCTCTCCATCTCACGTTTAAAATAGACTTTAAAAGAAGCGAATGTCAATGTCATCCACTCATCTGCTTCTTCTTTCAACAGTTCCGGATGCATCACAGAGGATGGGCAATATCATGAAGCGGATGTCATTATATGTGCAACTGGTTTCGATACATCCTATGTACCACGATACCCTGTGATAGCATCGGGGCTAAACTTGCAGAGTGAATGGAGCCGGTCAATCATGGGTTATATGGGAGTGGGCATTTCGGGATTTCCCAACACTTTCACGCTGCTAGGCCCTTACACTCCTTACTCAAATGGGCCCACTCTTATCGCAGCTGAGGCTCAGGCGGACTACATATGCTCCTTTATCGATCGCTACCAGACGGAGCCCATTCATAGCATGACTATCCGGCCCAGTGTTTGCAAGGAGTTCACAGAGCAGGTAGCCACAGTCATGGAAAAGCTTGTATGGACAGACAATTGCCGGAACACGCACAACAATAGCCGCGTGGGCAGTCGCGTGCCGACGACCTGGCCAGGATCGACTTTGCATTACCTTGAAGCCATCCGAGAGCCTCGATGGAACGACTGGGACTTTCAATATCGGGGCAATCGCTTCGCATGGATGGGCAATGGGGTCTCCCAGGCGGAATGGGATCCCACAACAGACCTAGCCTACTATATTCGACAGCATGATGACAGCCCTCACCTTGGCCGAAAGGCGAGAAACCTGGCCATCGCAAAGTCGGGTACTAGGCCAGCCCGAGAACTCCACCGGCAGGCGAAATTAGGTCCTGTTAAGGCGGAGACAATGGCCTATGGGGAAGTCGGCATTGAAGCCAACGAGATGCTGATAGATCAGGATTGAGACACGTAAGCGTTACGCACAATGTGACCATTGCAAGTAAGAGGCCTTCGGTTCTGTCGATATCAGCGCACGCCTCGATCATTTTCTATGATATTTTTCCTCATATGGCATGTGCGGTTAACAAAGATTGAAAGATTGGGTCATCCGAAAGCTTACCACGATCAATATAGTTGGACAGAGAACATGTCCTCCAATGGTTTCAGCACTTAGTTCAAAGAATAGATTCGGTAAACGCCAAAGAATGAACATTTCAATCAGCGCCTTGTTCTGTAACTCCGCACAATCCTTGTATCTTTCCAGAGAACCGTTTCATTCATTATCAGCGAAGTTTGCTTTCTCTACAACGAGGAAAAGCTCCTCAAACACTCAATGACATGATAATAGGAAGGAGAGACTGCAACACATCTCTCAGGTGCTGTTTGTGCTGTTTCCCGGAGGAAAGACAAGTATACAACACATAAGAAGACTCAATCACATGCAGGAGGCTTTTCTACCCGCCAACCCCCACGCCTCCGTCTCCTTGAGCTTTCATACAACCCCCCGGATACATCGCCACGCATGTCGTTCTTGCGGAACTGTCCAAGTCTAGAATGTTCCCACCCGGTCACGCGTGAGAGTGATGAATAGGCAAGCCTGCCTATACGTGAGAAGATGACTATGAGACAGCGACTCACGTATCCCATAGATCCCCTACCATCAGGGAGAAGAAGGCTCGGGATATCTAAAAGTCCAGGCTATAAGGGAGGAAAACATCATAGTGAATCGTAGTCGTTGACTCTCGCAGATGTCCTGTGTAAAATTTACCATTCTCTCGAAGGATATCCCTGCATAGCATACAACGTTGAGTAGCCGGTGTTGGGTGCTCATATGTGCGCAGCCTAGGTCTTATCGAGTGTGATCGGTCCTGTCGTCTTTCTCGACTGAACTGATGCTTAACATTCTCGAAAAGGGTTTGAAGATGATGTATAAATCATAGTATCTCTCTCTGTCTACATTTGCATTGCTTGCGAAAGGAAGAGGCTTCGCCATACCGGCGTTTTCAGGTTTCGCTATGTATAAGAGTTTGGACAAGGGTTGATAAACATTGCATGACTTAGTGATGTAATTCCTAACACGGCTGACTTCCCTGTATTGCAGCGTTCCAAAGAAGAAAGCATGGAAAATACGATTAATAACATAAATGTGCGCAGTTTGAGAAATGAGCATGCCCAAGTGAACTATTCCTAGACCTTGTGTCGTGGTAAATTACTTCAATCGCTAGAGTGCTACCTAGGTCCGAAGTCGGAAAAGTGGGCTGAATTCCGAGCCTTAGAATTTCAAAGCTTCCCCAGACAACGAGCTGCCACGATGACATGATCACCATTCCACTCGGGATGCATCATGTATCTCGGCGCATCAGCTTGTTCACTGCCCCCACATGCAGCTTGAGGAGTGCGACTTGGATCTTTAGCCGCACAATGGCGTCGCAGGGTGGCACAACCTACAACGTACGTAACAACCCCGCAGCCACCTGCTGGACGCCCACGGATGCGACTTGCATGTCTGACAGCGCAGTTATGAGATAGGACGCAATCGATGCCCTGAACTCCCTCCAGACTCCCTTCGCCATAATCGAGGCCCGCCGGAAGGCCGGAATCCGTCCCGATGCAGCGTCCATCGCAGAGATGCGTGCGTACCTCCGGCGCATCGGTCTGGCGCCATCGGACCTCGACCGGTTGAACATTATCCACGTCGCCGGAACAAAGGGGAAAGGCAGTACCTGCGCGTTCGCGGCCTCGATCCTGCAGCAGTACCAGAAGGCGCACGGAGTCCCGCGCAAGATTGGCTTGTTCACCAGCCCGCACCTGATCGCGGTGAGGGAGAGAATACGGATCAACGGCGCCCCGATTGCGGAGGACTTGTTCGCCAAGTACTTCTTCGAGGTCTGGGACCTGCTAGGGAAGGCGGAAGAGGCGGAAAAGGCCCAGGGTGAGGACCCTGTGTCGGAGGGTGAGAGGGGCGGCGTGCCGATGGCTACGAGGCCCATCTATGCGCGGTACTTGACACTCATGAGCTACCACGTCTACCTCAAAGAAGGCGTCGACGTTGCTGTTTACGAGACTGGTATCGGAGGCGAGTATGACGCCACCAATATTGTCGAGCGACCCGTGGCCGCTGGAATCAGCACTTTGGGCATCGATCATGTCTTTGCCCTTGGAGATACGGTTGACAAGATTGCTTGGCACAAGGCTGGCATCATGAAACTGGGCAGCGCTGCCTTCACCATTGAGCAAGTTCCGGAGGCTGCAGAGGTACTCCAGAAGCGCGCAAATGAGAAGAAGGTCGAACTTAAAGTCTTGGGAGTCGACTCAAGACTTAAAGGGGTTGATGTCCGACCGGATGCTTTGTTCCAGAAGAAGAATGCAAGTCTGGGGGTTGCGCTAGCCGAGGCAGCGCTTCAGAAGCTCGACCCGAGCTTCAAACAAAACTTGGACCAGTTGCCAAAGGAATTCGTTGACGGACTGGAGCAAGTTATTTGGAGAGGCAGGTGCGAAGTCAAGACTGAAGGACCGCTCGTCTGGCATGTCGATGGTGCGCATACCGTCGATAGTCTCAAGATGGCCACGAAGTGGTTTGCTGGCGAGTGTGCTAGCAGACAAGGACCGAAAGCCTTGATTTTCAACCAGCAAGGTCGAACGGAAGCCGTGGACTTTCTTGATGGGATGGTCGCGGCACTCAAGTCTCAGGGTCAAGGCTCATTTGACCATGTGGTTTTCTGCACAAACGTTACCTACGCTGTCACGGGGTATAAGCGTGACTTTGTAAATCATCAGTACGACCCAGCGGCCATTGAGAAGCTCACGGCGCAGCATCAGTTCGCGGAGAAATGGTCTGCCCTGGACCCGAACGCGAAAGTGGTGGTATTGCCAACCATTGAGGATGCAATCAATCACGTCAGAGATTTGGCCAAGGATGTAGACGGCCAAGAGACAGTGCAGGCGCTCATAACCGGCAGTCTTCACCTGGTAGGTGGCGCATTGGGAATACTAGAAAAGGCAGACGCACTATGACTGGCAACGGTCGGGATTAGAGGGAACACGGGTATACCCTTGGTATTTGGATATAATTCAACATCATATCGGAGCTTCTGGCTCCAGGATTCGCAATAAAGCGCCTACAAGATGTAAGCTTCCCGTGACGAGCACCATCTTCTTCTGTGAATGTGCATCTTGCGTGTCGGTCGATTCCGCAAATTCCACTGCTCCAGTGACATTATCAAAGATGGCAGCCTCCTTCCCAGGGCACATCTCCTTGAATGCCTCAGCGGCTGCCTTCTGAACAGATAGATCTCTTTCTGGTTCTTCGCCTGCTCTTGTGTCCAACTCATTTCTGGTAAACACTGCTCTGTCAAAGATTTTGGAACCCAAAGCACCATTCTCCGCGATGCTACTGAGCAGGACCTGTAGTAGCCTTCCCGCCTCGCGTTGCTGCTGGTTGAACATCAAGATCATTTGGCTGCCCGGGGTCGCCGTTCTTTTCGAGGCATACCATTTTGCAACTTCCTGTAGACTTTCAGCAGTATGTGCGCCGTCGATGAGCCAAGTGATGTTGCCGTCCTCCCTCGTCTCACATCTGCCTCGAAGTCTTGCATGCTGCAGCCCCTGGTTGACCTCTGACGGTAGATCATCGAAAACTTTCGACGTAGTGAATGGTGCCTTGAGTTGAGCAAGATGTTCATTGGCTGCCGCCACGGCAAGCGCCTGGTTGTATTTCTGGAACGACCCTTCGAGGCCACCAATGCCTTCAGCTTTTACGCCTCCCCAAGTCTCCACGTCCTGGTCGGCAACCTCAACCAGCTCAGCCCCAATCTCTTGAGCTCGATTCCTGATGACTTCCATAGTCCTCGCGCCCGTCTCACCTCTTAGGTTTCGCGTAAAGCACTTTCGCCCTAGCTTGGCAACGCCCATTTTATGCCAAGCGATCTCCGGAAGAGTGCCGCCCAGCATTCCCACATGGTCGATGCCCAACTGCGTGACCACACTGGCAGTAATTGCTGCCGCTGGGAGTACGTTGGTGGAATCATACTCGCCGCCGATGCCGCACTCAACGACAGCACTCCGCACACCTTCCCGTAGGAAAACATGGAATGCCATAATTGTCAAGAAGCGGAAATAGAAAGGCTTCGTCGCCGGACCCTGGAGTTCGGCCTCGGTAGCGGTATCTAATTTTGTGGCAGCTGGTTTATCGCCATTCTGACGATGAAACTCGGCTCGAGCTGAAGCGGTGAAGGCATCCCAGACCTCAAAGAAATACTTGGTGAACAGTTCTTGACTGATAGGTTGGCCGTCCAGCATGATGCGCTCGCGCACTGTGACGAGATGTGGCGAGGTATACGTCCCCACCCTCCCTGCTACAGATCGGAAAGGAGACTGCGTCAGAATCGACGTCAGGTAAGCGCAAACAGAGCCCTTGCCCTTTGTACCGGCCACGTGGATACACTTGAGCTTGGCTAAGTCGGACGTTGCGAGACCTGCTCTGCCAAGCCAGGCAAGCATCTCTGGGATGGCCAAGGCGTTAAGATCCTGGGTTTTGCCTGGAGAGACATCTGAGGCGCTGAGAGCGGGAGGCCCAAAGAGGGAGTGCACGGCAAAATTGGACTGCAGCGCAGAAAGCTGCGACAGCGCACTATCGTATGTGCGTGCCATGCTTGATGAAGGCTTCTGACCACACTTCAATAGCGTGAGAGGATTTATGATGGCGTGCGATGTCGCTCTTCTGACAGCTAAGTGGAAAGCACCGATCGCAGCAGTCGAACCATAGAAAACCTTTGAGCTCATTCTCATGGCATCGCCATTGTGGAATCGACCGTCAACAGGCAGCAGATTTCGCAATTATCAAGTACAGTAAATCCCAGCGGATGAAATACTCTTGGGTTTAACGGTTGAGCGCTGGAGGTGGCAGCCCGCGCTCATGACAAGCGGCTGGCCACAGCTGCCAGCGAAATGACATCTCACTTTCATGCTTCTGGATGTTACATGTTTGGGTGAGATTCTTGCCCATGTCACTAAGTGAACGTATTGCAGAGCTGACCAAAGGTTTCATGTCTCAGTTAGTGCTGGTGAGATATCACTATTGCAATTTTGCTGACTCTACTCTAAAGGCAGCGTTCAGCTACCACAAGGCTGTCAACTGTCAAAAGGGACCGCAAGCAATAACACCCGGACTTGCTCGGAAATCTCCCAGACTTGGTTTCATGTGAGATAGCTCGCAAGCCTAAACATCATTGAGCAGTCGATTACAGTCGTGTTCCCGCTCTTGTCACTTTTGAACTCCTGCACGGTGTCAGGCTCGTACAGTGGTGGTATTAGAAAGCATTCAATTCCTACGAAGACATTGGGTCTGAAAGCAAATGCTTTTACGGACTCTGCCATCCATCTGAGATACACCAAGTTGCCCAAACGCCACTCGTACAAAGTCCATAGCGTCAGTCATACCCTCAAGCCTAAAGTTCATGCGCCGCATTCGATGCTCATCCCTTCGCTCTCCCTCAATGCATCGAGCAAGACCCTTGCTGTCTCTTGATCTCCTCTCTCGTCGTTGCCCCATGCGTTTCCGATCCAATCCGTCATGATCGTCTCTTCGCCGTCAAACAATGTGCCATCACCATCAAGATCTGAGCCCGAGCTCTGCGGCGAGTCGTTCTGAATGGAATAAGCTGCAAGAGCCTCTCCGGCTAGGCCACCCATCTCGAGTGCTGAATCGACAAAGTTATGGCTTCCAAAGTGCAAGTCATTGTTGTGATCAGGTTGTGTCTGCTGCTGCTGCTGTTGTTGTCCGGTGTTTTGTTGCTGTTTCTGTTGTTGTTGTTGCTGCTGCTGCTGTGCTGCCGGTCCGTTATGCATGGAGTAATTTCCCATGGCATGGTCATCCTGTGACCCGGGAGAATCCGAGTCTGTGTCTGAGGAAAGCGAGTGCACCGTGCCGGGCACTTGCATAACACCCATCGGCAACATGATCTGGTCGGCAGTATTCGAGTACATCTGGTATTGTGGCATAGGAGCAATGTTTGTCTTACCAGCTCCCATCAAAGCTTTGACAGAGCTGTAGCCAGCTGTGAAGAGGCCTCTCAGACTGGCCGGGAAATCCGATTCCTCAGGCAAGCGTCCTTTGCTCAAGCTCAGGTCCATGGTCATGGCCAGACGTAGATAGCAGCCTGGTTGCGATGAGAGTATGTCTTGCCAGTCCGTAATGTTGTTCGATGTTGAAGAAGGTGGGGCGGGGGTATCGAGCTGAGCCAGTGTCACAATGTGGCGGATAGTCTCGCTGACGTAGTCAACGCCGTCATATTGGGGCTGGTATGTCTTCATCGCTTCGATGAGGATGTTGAGACGATGCTGCTTCACCGCGTCCTGGGGTCTGGAAATGACAGATGTGTTGTTTTTGTTGTATGTGGAGAGCTTGACGTCGATAATATGTAACACAAGAGGCAAGGCGGTAGACGCCACACTGCATGGCTGTTAATCATCCGTTACAGCAACAGGGGAACAGTATACTCACGCGCTAATCGGCAACCATCTGGCAAGTTTCAACTGGACGAGTTCCTTTAAGCACTCTGTGACGCCTGAGGCTGCGTCTTGTAGTTCATGGCGGTTCTCGAATATGTTCGAAAACTCCCTCAGGTTGCTTGTCAAGTTGGGAGATGCGGCCGCGACTGCTGTTTGTAGGACCTCGTGATGGCTTAACGCGACTCTAGCGGAGTGATAGTACATATACATCAAATTGGTGTATAGTATCACTGAGTCGTGTTGAAACTCTTTGCCGCCAGTCACCGTCATGCGAGGTACGGCATCGCCGCCAAACATAGGAAACCTTAGCGTGGCCCCTTTGTACCAGCGTCTCAGAGCAGTCTTGCATTCCCTGATCTTCTCAGTCTCCTCAAATCCAAACTGCTTGCCCCAGCCTGGGGAGTCGTCCAGTGGGAACACGAGCATGATGAGGTCGGTCAACACCGTGCATAGTTCAATTACCTGCACAAATATTTCGATAAGACACCTCTTCGTCCCTGAGTTGTACACCCTTGATCTGTCAATCTCATCCGCCAGATCCGTGTAACCAAGCCCAGTGTTCGCGTCGAAGTCAAAGTGAGATCGGGTTATTTTCAAGCTCCGCCTGAGCCCCAAGGGAAGGATGCGATCACGCAGAATGCAGCACCACCAAAGTCGCTTGAGCACGTTTTGCTTTTTGCTTTGGATCGGGTCCACAGAAGCAGAGTACGTGGGCATTGCCGAATAGTGATGCGCCTCGGCGCTCTTCGCATTCTGAATGGCCATGCCGAGCCACATTGAGTTGGCCTTCTTGAAAGCGTGGGTGAAATTTGGTGACCAGTGGGAGAGTAGGAGCGCGGATTGTGCGAGATATACCATGGAAAACTCGCTGTCGAAGTCGTATAGCAGTTTGCACCGTCTGTATAGAGTGGCTCTGGCGGCGCGGATGCTGGGGAAGCCGAGGGCTTTGATGCTCGACTTGGACACGAAGTTGCAGGAAGAAAATATCATTGAGTAGAACACCAGGAGTGGCATTTTGTCACCCGATCCACCATGCCCACAATGCCCGTATATGTCCCAGAAGTCGCCTTCGTTCAACATGGGTAACATGGGGTGAATGTGTAGAAAATATTGCTGGACAAACTCGTCGAGAATCTCGCGGGTCGGTACTCGGAAACATCCTTGGGATTCTAGGTAGTTGACGTCTTGTGGCATGATGTTATGTAGGTTGTTGACACTGAGGAATGGATAGTAGCTGTATGTGATATCGGCGTTGACCGCAACTCTCTGGTCACCAACCCATAAAGGGGTGTCAGTGGACATGTATGGTGGAATTTCTGGCACCCCGGTGGGGTTGAAGTCTACATCAGTCAGTTCGGATTCTTCGGTCGGCACGAAAATAACACTACCTTTTATAGTGGCTGGTGGCACGGGGTGCTTGTTGTATGTGTTCTGGATATTTCCGACGTTTGGCACAGGTTGAGCAGGTGGCGGCATTGATGGCTCGTCGCGCATTTCCGGCTGTGGAAGCTCTTCGTGGTGGTGGCTGTCGCAGGTATCGTGTGGGTTTTCCTGGTGAATGCCTTCGTCGTTGTTCGCTGTTGGGGATGTCGATTCCCCATTCAACCTCGACCGAACGATGTCCTCGGCCGATCTGGAATGGTCATCATTCTCCGCGTTGTATGGCGGGTATGATGCTTGAGAATTGTCGCCATTGCGTTCCGCTCGCCTGCTTCGTCGTATCATTAGCATGTGTGTTACCATTGGGCGTGGTTGACATACAACCGAGAGGCTCTCCCCGTGACGACACAAGTTTCGCTGTCCAGGTAACAGTTCATACATGGCCGGCCCCTCTGTGAGACGTCACATCTGACCTTCCTCGCTCGGCATGATAAACACGCTTTCGGCGCTCTCTTGCGGACCTTGCCCGTCGGTTTCGCTGCCTTTGGTTCGCCCTGAGTGTGCTCAATGTTTACAGACGACGACATGGTTCCAAGTTGATGTTGGGCAACGTCCCTGTGACAGTGAGAGAGCCTGGAAGAATGACAAGGACTTAAAGCCAGGAAACACGGAAAGTTGGAGAAGGGATCGTGGGGCGGTGGGGTATACTCCAAGACGGCATTGCCTCTCACAGACTAGAAGAATCTGGGGTCTGGAGACACGGAGCCATTGCCATTGGCAGCTCCACACACCACTGCCCAACTAGGTGCGCATGAGAGCGTACTAGCAAGCATGGCATTCCTCAGGAGATTACTAGTTGCCTCATGAAGAGGGCCCCGAAACCATTTCTATGGGTCTCGCCCCCCGGTTTGGGTGGCCTGGAGGACACCGTCAATCCTGGGGAGATCCAGGGCGGAACGAAGAAGTCACGGAGCCTAGGGAGGCTATAATGACGCTGACTTTGCGGGGTGCAGCTTGCTTGCCTGCCTCAATGGATTGATCACCAACTAATCGCACGAGGATAAGACCTAATTACTCGCAGGCGTGGCAAGTCACTTCTCATGGTTCTAGCAGACTTGACGGATCGGGTTGAACATCGTCATATCAGGCCAACAGCGGAAATGACTCGGGAAAAACGTGTCAAAACGGGCGCTAGGACAGCGATTCAGTCGTCAGGGTTCCCATTGCGGAAACAATTCCGTGATGCCGGTGAGCAAGGGGTTGGGAAAGTCAGGCAGTTTGGCAATCGCGCGTACCCATGCTTGCTAACGATGCGCCATTCGCGATCACTTGATTTGACTTAGAAAAATAACCCTCAGAAATAGCGCCTGGATCGATCGAGGTAGAACGCATACTGTACCCATGCTGCCATGGCGTCGAGCTGTGTCAGGCGCGACGTGTCAGACATTTATCGTTAAGCGCAAGCTGCCCTTGCTGCGTTGCGAATTGCCGGAAATTGTTAACCGAAAATTGCCGGAGCTGCCGGCATAGACTCTCGGTACACCAACCAGCACGCGATGCAAGCGAGAGTGATACGCACCGTTCATACTAGAGCACTACAACGCCAAATGCCTCTGTGTCCGCACCGACTAAAAGCCACTTGGCTGAACAATTCCAGAAACGCTCTAGTCAACACCAGTCTAAGCCAGAATCGCGAGCCGGGTGACTACGAGTCAACCGGCTCTCGCTAATCCACGCTTGTCGCTATGTGTTGAGACGTTCACGCAGTTCAGCTGATTGAGATTTCGCACACTGACACGCCTCTCGCAAGCCACTTGAGCAGGCGACGAGTCCCCGGGTTTTTAGTACAATTCAATCTTGTCATTTCGGTGCAAAGGGTAAACTTCTATAGTAACTATTCACTGTAAGCATGCACGCAAGGATAATGTGATCAACGTCCTAAAACTCCTCGTCACTAGAATCTGTTATGACAAGCTGCCGGCGCTTCACTTGTCGTTGTGGCAACTTGAACAACCATTGCCCGTTCTGCCTTCGGACCAGTTCCACCTGTGTTCGTCCAATTTGATCATTCAAACCTCCTGGTCTATCCATCCCATCGCGAACGACTTCGTGGATGCCCTTGTCAATGTGGGCGAACAGCATCGGCAAGGAGTCTCCCTTCCATGCAGCGACTTGATCACGAGCGGTTCTCCACACAGTTTGCGCCAGATATAAGAAGGCGAGGACCATGAGTGAGATTGGGTATACCACCCATCGCCATTCCACCTGGATGTAAGGTGCTTGGACGTAAGCTATGCCAGTGTACTGATACTGGCTCTGTCTGTTGTTGTGGTCCGTAGAACCGGAAAGCCTTATATCGTTGGTCATGCTTAGTGTCAAACGGGACATCCAGGCTGATAGATCAGAAGAGGCATTCTGCATGGCTTGCACCCAGTCCGAGGAGTAATCTGCTTGGTTATCGACATTTGACGAGTTCCCTAGCATCTTGGACGCCATAAAACTTCCTAGCACCTCGATAGATTCCATCGAGACACTGTACCGAGTGCCAGGACTGACATTCATCTTGGACGGAATATCAGTGAAGTAATACTCATCATTGTGAGAGCTGCTTGCGGCTGAGAACTCAGCCTTAGACCAATTGCCAAGCAACACGGTGGTTTGTTGCCCGTTGATCACCGTGACTTGATAAGTGTGTAGGCAGAACCAGAGCGCACATTGATAAGCTTCGACTGACGCCGAGGTGTGACTTTTGGAAACTGACATGATGTCGAACGAAGAAAAGTACGATTGTGTCGCAGTGTCAGGCCCATCGGCAGAGGTGTTCGTCGGCGCAACAGTGAAACGATATCCAGTTGAGCCACCGCTGGGGGATACGACAGAAGTCCCTGAAGCTGTGGAGTACGTGCAAGAGTTTGACGTCGAACAGGATTGCTGGTAGTGGGTCTCTGAGCAGTTACCGCAGACGGCCAATGTTGGGAAGACTGGCCATGTGCAATTCGCCGTACCACAAAACACAGGCAAGTCGGAAATGGCACTTGCCATGATGCCGTCGTAGAAGGCAGCTTTGGTTGATAGGCCTAGGTCTTGGTCTACCCGAATATTAGCACTCATTATAGTGATTGGACCCATGTCTCAACCTACCTCCTCCGAACCCCTTGGCAACGATGTTGTTCCAGGTCTCACTTCTTGCCGGCGGCGGAGCAAGTGAGTTGGTCAGATTGATCATCGGAGTTGGCTGCTCAGCGTATGTGACCATTTCTTGCGAGAATGTTTCGAATCCATGAATCAATACAATTATACCAGCTCCCACACAAGCAAGATGGCTAGTAACCAGGTCAGCTCCTCAACAACTCCCTTCAGAATTGATGTAACGTACGTTCCGCGAAGACGCCATACAAGACTCAGGCTGCCTAGGAGTCCTCGCGAAGCCTCGTCAAACATCTTGAAGTCCTCCAGGCGAGCGGGCTCGGTCTTCTTGCGGCGTTGTCGAGCTGCGGACACCCATATCCAGGCACCCTGGCTGAGCGCAGTTTCGACAATAGCACTGAGCGCGACACGGAAAACTGTCATGATTGCGATGACGACTGTGCTCAGCTCCAGGCCGGCTCCCAACTTTGGTTCCACCTCTCCGTCGTACCTCCAAAGCAATATGATGAGCCCGGTAGCAGCGGCAAGACAAAGCGCGCAGTATAGGTACTCTTCCTTCCACTAGCCTAGGGTCGAGCGTATGGTCTCTTCGAGGTCGCTAACGGATGGTATGGAATCGGAATCGTACACGACCGCTGGGACTCTCTGAGGTTCGACTTCACGCCGGTAAACATCATGCTGATACGATGATTCCATGTTGCTGTCCCTGGGGGGGGGGAATGCACTAAAAGCCGGACAGGTCAGGTCGTTGGGGTCCCGGTGAACGAGCAGATGCAAGGAGGCAAGGAGAAATGAGCGCATCGAGGACCAAATGGGCGATGGAGTATCAGATCAAGGTAAGGTACCTAGGTAGGTACTAATGCTATTCTCTAATTAGTACGGCTTGAAAAAAAAAAAAAAAAAAAGCATGCCTCACCGAGTTGGTGGCTGTGCACCTACCGAGGAGAAGAGTAGATAGAGATAAGAATGGACATAGATCGAAGGAGGTTCTTCGGAATATGTCGTTCTTCAACGGTGCTGGCCTCGATTCGCCCGCACTCCTGAGTGCTTGCCCAGATACTACGCATCATCGTCCGGCTACGCCTTCTATTTTCGCCAGAGGAAGCTATTACACCATGACACCATGGTGTCATATGTGCACCATTGAGTTTGGAAGAAAACCTCACCTTCGATTGCGTGTCTAATTGAGAATGAGATGGCAATCCGTCAACTGAATAGCTACCTAAGTATATCGTTGTAAACAAAAATAGTAGTCCACAAGCCTGAGTGTCCTATCAGTAGGCTCCGCAGGTTCGCCTTTTTGCATCCCCTGCCATCCCGACAATATACCTGAGCAGCCGACTAAGGAAAGTAACCATAGAGATTCTCGTATTGCATCATACTACCAGTCATTCTCTTGTCCGATGACACACGGTTTGATGAGAGGAACACATGGTCGGCCTCATTCTTGTATCGAACTCTCTGCCTCAAAATAGTGATTCTTCAATAAAACCAGTCTGCAGGCATTCTCTGGTGGGTCTCATCATCACCTTGAGCTAGATCTCCGCCAGCATTATCATTAGTCTCGAGGGTCGCTCAGAACCTCGTAGCATGACGCTTCTCGGGGGAAAGGGTCGGGCTTACCACTAAAAATGACTGCATCCCTGGCCATATGCTGAATACTTCAAGTAGCGGCCGCTGACTACCTCCAAAGCCGAGAAGCACCACAATCGTATCGACAATATCATCTATGTCTTCGAATGTGACCCAGAAGGGCCTGGTGTCGTTTTCAACCGTGTAAATGAGACTGTGAAGGAAATGCCGAACTACGTCTTCTGTCAATACCGCCGCCACCCGATCGTGATCTAAAATTATCAGATAAATGAAGCAACGTGATCTGTCGTAGGAGCAACAGTCCTCCAGGAGCTGGTACAACTGAGATTTCCCGGCGCCTTGCTTGGGGTGAGCGTTAGTAGGCTGATGGGTAAGCATGCAAGCCAGCTTATGATGGTCATCGGCCCACATAGCGCCTAGAACAGGGCTATGAGAGAAACTCGTGCTCGACGGAGCCTGGCGCTGCATAGATGTCGCACCCTGAATCCAGCAAAATCTGTGTCGTTGGATTTCCATTGCTGAAGTCCATTGCCGAGAAGGTGTTATCATAGTGACGAAGGGGATCGGCACCCAGGGAAAGAAGCTTCCGAGAAATCTCGATGAGTCCTTGGGAACACGTGTAGAAGAGAGGTGTGCGGCCAATATCGTCAGGAGTATTGAAAGCGGCACCGCGATGCAAGAGCAGGAAACAGAGAGCACTTGGGTCATCCTTGTATATCAGTTTGTGCTCTCCGAACTCACCTTTCCACTCTTTCGGTTGAAGTCAACGGCAGATGATCTGGTAATCCTGAAGCAGGACATTATGCTTATCCTGGCCGAGAACCCATTCAAGGCATCGCACTCCTTTACCACGAGTTATTCGAGCGAACATCGTTCATATTTCTTCGGTTTTCTCATCCACAGTCGCGTCGGGCCAGTAATGCAGAATAGAGTCTAGTATCTGGTCCTCGCCATGGTCGAGACAGCGTAAAATCAGGGCACCGGCCTGCTTCCTGAGTTCGTTGCTTTTGTGGAAATGCGCAAGTATAGTCTTAGCAATTGTGAACAGCTGGCGCGTACCACGACGGTGCTTAAGCACCTGGGTCAGCGCTCGCAAACCTTGAGATACGTCAGCTGTATCAGAAGGGGACATCTTGCTCCATATATGCTCGATAATGGTCAAGGAAGGTCCGTGTTTCTTGTCTCTCAACCTGCACGCGATTGAAAAACACGTGGCGCCTTCCACATCTTCGGCCAATATGTCACCCCCAGCTTCTATCAGTAGTTTTACCACCCGCAAATTGCGGCTAGATGTTGCCCTAATCAGTGGAGTTGCGCCGTCGAAATCGCTACTACAGTCAAGGTCTGCCCCGAGACTCAAGAAACGTTAGATCAAGTGCAGTTGGGGTGCTTTTCTCTTCTCCTAGCATCAACCCCGGGCCAGGAGCAGCATCCGAGGAATGCATGCGTTGTCAGTGTAGCGCCCAAGATTCACAAGTGTCATTGTCGGCCGAAAGCACATCCTCGTTTTGATTTCGCGCTTTCTGCCAAAGGTGGGTTTCAGGTCTCTTTGGAACCGGCGGTTTGTCGTATTCGAAGAATGACGAGCCAAACGGAAGCGTGATGAGTGCGTTAACCGTGCCACCTACCTACAATACCCTTTCCAGAGCCCCATATTTACCGGCAGCGATGGCCCAGAATATTATTCTAGTTAACGCTCCGACGCCTGCTCTCTTACGGAGCAGTGGTTGGGCAACGCTGCAGAAACGATGATCCACCAACAGGCATGCAAATCGGTCGTAATGCCCGTCGAGGCATCCTACAATTTGTACCAGGATCTCGTTGGGCAAGCTTGATATCGAAGCTATCCGTAGTGACGCTGTCACAAGGTCATCTTTGGCAGAGTTGTCAGGTTGTGTTATATAGAGAAAAGGAGTTGGGCGGGTCAGGTTGACATGAGGCAAAGCCCCTGAAAGTTAGGTCCTACTATGTACATTGGTTGGGGTGACTGCTCGGCGTGCTACGGTAAGAACATGTCTTGGATGTGCGCGTACTCCGCAGTAGCTCGTCTTTATTCAACCCTATCAGACCGTGTTCTTTGCAATAATGCCTCTCGCAAATTCGCCAAAAGTAATCTTCTGATCCAGGTCGACCTCATCCTCGAGATTCGGCTGCGTGAAGACGGCAAGGGTGTTGCGCGCCACTCCCTTAGCGTATGCGCCCCGCACCGAATGCTCCACGGCCTTGAACTTGCCCCGTGTTATCCTCTCCAGAGCCTCGCCCGTCTGAAAAGCAATACAATCCCTCGGGATTTTCACCTGAACAGGATGGCCTTTTCGGGATTTTATCCATAGTCCAGCCTGTGGGTCTGGCGACTGAGGCAGTTCCTCAAGAATCGGCAAGGACTCTGGGACCTTGTCACCGAAAGCTGGGACTTTGGCGTTGATTTTCTCCTCGTCAATGAACATGGCCGAGGTCAGCCCCGTCAAGCAGCCATGGTCCTTGTGCACTGCACACCAGTTGTCTTCTTCGCCGCCTCTGGCCATGATCTCTTCTGTCATGGGATAGTAGTGCAGTAGACGAGCCTTGGTGGTGGAAGACGTCTTTACGACAGTCTCCAGGTATGACTTGGGGTATCCCGGAATCTCCTTCTCGGCGAATCTGTCACAGGCTCTCGCCACGAGCACCGCGGTATCGATGATCACAGTGCAAAGCTCTTCCAGCGTAGGCCTGAAGCCCGGGAGCATCTCCTTGGGCGGCCATGAGTTTGGCGCCAGATACTCGGGGAAGTCCTTGAGCGTGAAAAGCTCAGTGGGCGTTGCAGCCTCGCGGGTAGGGTCAACGTAAAATGCGCAGTTGGCATAGAAGGATCCTTTCAGATCATCTGCTCCACCATTCTTGAGCTGCTCACGGCCCTTGGACCACCCGACCAAGTACTTGGCCGCCTCATTGGTAAACTTGTCTAATACTGCGTCAGCCACATCTTTTACATTCTGTGACGAGCTTCATACCAAAATCCTCTTCATTGAGGTTGCCCATATAGGACGCATAGGATAGCAGCTTGCGCCTCAAACTAGCAAACTCTTGGGGCACATCTTTCACAACCAGGATGCCCAAAGAATCGGGGCCGAACGCCTCCTGCAGAGTTTCGAATGATATTGCCCCTATAAAGTGTAAGTACCATATGAAGTGGCAGGGTTAAAGGCATCATACCACTCTTGAGGTCATGCAGGGAAACTACTACCGGTTGTGCCGTCGCCATACTGCCGTTTGTATACTTTGAAGGATATGGATTTGTGAATCAAATTGACCCTTTGGTGGTACTGTATATTTCAAGGGTTGAAATTGTGAAGACTCCTCAAAATGTTACGATGTTTCGAGTTATGAGCCATAGGAAACCGTCGGCTTTGGCCCAGCCTTAGGCCGGAGCCTTCCGTGCCCCGTGACAGAGAAGGGATCCGCAGTAACGACAGAGCCTCAGCCTCGACTAGAGTTATCGCCCCGGGGCTCGGAATGACGAGTCACCACGGGACAGAAGCATCCATTTGGGAACACACCTATAGTACAGTACTACACATGATTATCAATCGCACAACGGCGAGTATGTAGCTGACAGGAGCGCGCACAGGTCTGATGCGATTGCATAATTGGACGAGGGCCATGCAATTACCAGATATTCAACCTCGCTAGCATGCAACGCAAGCTGCACGCTCCTTTAACTAGCCTGTAACCACCTAACTTTGGCGCCTTGAGTGCATGCCCCAGGTACCTACGGATAGGTAGGGTACCTAAGCTTAATCAACACCCTGCCACCCACGAAGACGTCCACAGCCGGTGGATTGCACGCTTCGGGCACGGCAGCTGTCATGGTCAAGCCACTATCGTTCAAGGGCGACAAGAAGCCCAAGAAGAGAAAGAGGACCGAAGGCGAATCGTCGGCCACAGTGGAAGCCGGATCCAGCGAGGTTGTCAAAGCTCCAGCAGACGATGCAGCCGATGACGACAGTTGGGTGTCTGCCGAGGCAGTAGGCGACGTAGTCGGCCCCGTCATGTTCGTTCTGCCGTCAGAACCGCCTACTTGCCTTGCCTGCGACGCCAATGGCAGCGTCTTCGCCGATCCGGTGGTGAACATCGTCGACGCGAATCCATCGACGTCAGAGCCGCATGATGTCCGGCAGGTGTGGGTTGCGAACAAGATTGCGGGGACGGAGAACTTCCGCTTCAAGGGGCGTTACGGGAAGTGAGTAGTACCGTGTCTGCCGGCTCCTGCGCATGTTGCTGACCGGCCACCAACTAGGTATCTAAGCTGCGACAAGTACGGCATCCTCGGCGCCACATCCGAAGCCGTCTCGCCTCTAGAGACCTGGACTGTGATCCCTACGTCCGACACACCGGGAACGTTCCAACTACAAACGCTGCGCGAGACATTCCTCACCGTCAAGGAGTCCTCCAAAGTTAACGCAGGCCCGGAAGCACGAGGCGACGCGACCGAGATCAGCTTCGATACCACATGCCGCATCCGCATGCAAGCCCGTTTCAAGCCGAAGCTTAAGGCCTCCAAAGAGGAGAAGGCCAAGGAGAAGATCAGCAGGAAAGAGTTGGAAGAAGCAGTGGGCCGCCGTCTTGAGGAGGAAGAAGTCAGAACGTTGAAGAGGGCTAGGCGCGAGGGTGATTATCACGAACAGCTCCTAGTGCTCAAGGTCAAGGGGAAGCATGATAAGTACGGCTGATATTGGTCTATCAATTTGAAGGCTCATGCGCCCGGTTTCCAAGCCTTGATATAACCGTCTTCACCAACGCTGAACACCATCTGGGCCTCGTCATAGAAACAGAAGCTCCTGACAATCTCGGAGGAATGAGCACCTGGCAGACCGACGCTGTTAGCCCTGTCCAAGGCCCACTCCGTCGTCCCTTTGGACAGGTGAACGAGTTCAAACATCTGTTGACTGTTGGACAGGGGTTAGCAAGAACACAGACAGCGGCATACGGGCTAGCATCACTTACTCATGGGTACCCGCTCCAATGACGGCGCCGGCACCGTTGGCCTTGGCGGAGACGTTTGCGATATATTGGCAGCCCAGGATCTCTCTCATGTTGCCAAAATTTGTCAAGGCAGAACCTTTCTCTTGGTCCTCGGCCATGCTATACACGGCAAACCTCTCGTCGTGTGATACTGCAAACACATCTGTGTCGTTGAGGAACGCGGCATGGTGTATGGATGCGTCATGATTGAAGGTCTGGATGATTACCTCGTCCTCATCAGTGATGCGCGTATCATAGACGTTGACGAGACCGTCCGTGGACCCGGACAGGAGAATATTCGGGTCACTTGGGTGGAAGTTCAGTTCACAAATGTCGTCACTATGAACCTCTTGGTATTTATGACGCGGCGTAGGATTCGAACGAACGTCCCTTCAGAGAGAGGGTCAACACAGTCCGAAGCAACGAGTGTGTGACTTGTCACTGAACTTACCAGATCAGGATCGACGCTTGACTTTGGCGCAGTTCGGTGCCAGCAACGACGGAATACCCACTACTTGAACAGGCCAACGACAGGACAGGTGCCTGGTTATCTGGGGAAGAGATCAGTGTCGTGACGCTTATCGCTGCTGCTCGAAACAGGCCATACCTGTCATCCGAGCCACCTCTGCGCGGCTGCCGTCTTGCCGCAAGTCCCACATGGAGATGCTCCCATCCTCTCCCGCAGTAGCGACGACGGCACTATTCACATCGTATGCCTTTGCGCATGTGAGGTTGCCATGGTTGGTGTGAAACTCCTTGACTGGGCCGGGCCGTAGACCAAGAGGGTTAAACAGGCAAAGTTTCTGATCTGAAGATATCGCAGCTGGTCCTTGGGTGAGCGGGATCAAATCAAGAACGTAGACTTCATCCAACCCCGGGTACCTAAACCCATCCACACAAGCGAGATTGAACATGTTTGACTGGTCTGGTGTCTTATGGCTGGGGCCCCAGACGTCGAGATTCTTGTATAACCCAGCTGTGAGACGGCTTGTGCAATGCACAGAAGACCTTGGCGTGCACTGCTTCGAGGATGAGGATGCGAGCGCAGGCTACTCTGGCCGAAATTGCCTCTCCCGCTTCCGAGGTTCTCTTGAGACAAGTAGCAGCTCAACAACCCAAGATCAGGCCCAGCTCTGACGGCGAATGGTTGTTGGCCTTGTGCATTTCACGAAGCCCGAATCCTGGGCTTTGCCGCCGCCAAAATCCCATCCATGCGAATTCCGCTTTGGGCCCCCACATCGAAGCTCGCCGCCAATCACAGGTGGGCGTGGCCCCCTGTCGCTCGTCATCTCTGGAGCTGTCGATTGACGCTGTCGTTTCCTTTGAGGCCAGCTTGCGTCGCCCGGCTGTAAGGGACTGGACGTCGAGCAGCAGCGAGCACCACAAACGACCACCACTGCCGTATACAAACGAACGACCCTTGGACGTCCTGCTCGAGTGCTATGATGCCAGAATCACAGCTCAGAATCTCTTGCCAGTAGCGCTTTTCCCATCATGAGGCGTTGCATCGTCTCCGCGCTCCGTAGGTCCTATCCTGTCCTGGCTCGTCGTCGTCTCGCACCCCCAGCGGATGGGGACTGCTGTTGTATCTGGGCCACCACGGCTGACTTCCGACTAACTTCTGGGGCCAACAGTGCTATTACAGGTTGTCGCAGTTTCATGTGCTAGTGAACAGAAGGTCTTCGCAGCAGATAACCCCACGGACGATGTTGCGACACCCGAACCTGCGGTTGAGGTCGAGCCCGCCGCGCTCTCAGGCGGGTGGACGCCGTACCAAAATGGTAGGACGGCGAAGCATCACCACCGCACTGCCTTGAAAACATATACTGACCGACCAAAGGCTGGGAACTCGTCGATGCCGCCAGAGCCGAACTCCGAAAGATCAAGACGCCGCCGTCGCGGAAGAGCAAGAAGCCGGGTGGCCTGTTTGGGACAGTCTTCCGATACGCCTTGAAGGCGCTGCCGAGTCTGCGCGTCAGCGCCCCTCCCGAGGAACATGCCGCACCCGTCATCAGCGGGCCCCTTCTCGAAGGCGTAAGGCTCTTGCAACAGGCGGCCGATCTGGACAACACGGACGCAATCTACCTGCTGGGAGAGCTGAACTTTTACGGCAACTACAGCCACCCGAGGAACTTCAAGGCAGCCTTCGACCACTACAACAGGCTGGCCTCGGTGACTGGAAACAGCTCGGCGCAGTTCATGGTCGGGTTCATGTACGCCACTGGAGTGGGCGACGCAGTAGAAAGAGACCAGGCCAAGGCCTTGCTATACCACACGTTCGCCGCGAACCAGGGACACACCAGGTCGGAGATGACTGTCGGCGCTCGTTACGTCAGCGGAATCGGCGTCCCTAAGAGCTGCGACATGGCTTGCAAATACTACAAGAGGGTAGCCGACAAGGCCATCGCGTGGATCCGCTCTGGACCCCCTGGAGGCATGCACCTCGTACCCGAGGCATACAGGCTGGCCGATGAAGTCGGCGGTGTATATGGCGAAGGTGCAAGCGTAGTCAGCTCGGGCATTCACGCTTTTCGATACAGCCCCAACTCGGATGCGTACGCAGCCATTGACGATGTTATCGAGTACCTCGATTTGATGTCTCAGAAGGGCGATTACAAGGCTGCATTCAACCTCGGCAGGCTCTACTACGAGGGCCAGCGCGAGCTTGAGAGAGACGTCGAGTTGGCTAGACACTACTTCCTCAGTGTCGCCACAAAGTTTTGGCGTGTTAAGGACGGCCGCCCCAACGACAACGTGAAGCCGGGACTAGAAAAGTATGCTGCCAAATCCGCTGGCTATATTGGCCGCATGTGGTTGAGAGGCGAGGGTGTGAAGCAGAATTTTGGCAACGCCAAGAAGTGGTTTGAACGCGGCATCCAGTATGGCGATTCCCAGTCGCAATGGGGCCTTGGCCTCATGTCCCTAAAGGGCTATGGTGTAGCTCATAATTTCCAAAGAGCCACAGAGCTCTTCAAAGCCGCAGCAGACCAAGACTTCGGAACTGCTCAGGTTGCCCTCGGCGCCCTATATCTGGACCAAGGAAACAAGGACGATCTCAAGATAGCTAACCACTACTTTGAAAGTGCGGCTCGCTATGGCAACATCGAGGCCCAGTACTACCTTGCTGAGATGATGCATTTCGGGGTCGGTCGGGACAAGACATGCCATACCGCTCTCAATTACTACAAGGTAGTCTCCGAGAAAGCCGAGCCGTTTCTATCGTCGTGGTCAGAAGCCAACCAGGCGTATGAAGATGGGGACCTAGAATTGGCTCTCTTGGATTACATAATGGCCGCTGAGCAGGGATATGAAAAGGCACAAAACAACGTGGCTTATATTCTTGATCCGTCCCAATCGCGGCTCCCTCTACCGTCATGGCTTAGGCGCCACACTCCAAAGTCGAAATTACTCCAAGACTCAGCGTTGGCACTTATCTACTGGACCCGTTCGTCTATCCAGTCAAACATAGATTCCCTGGTGAAGATGGGGGACTACTACCTCAGTGGAATTGGCACCGAGCCTGCTATTGACAAGGCAGCGCAGTGTTACACGGGGGCTTCGGAGCACTTTCAGAGCGGCCAAGCTCTATACAACCTAGGATGGATGCATGAGCATGGCGTGGGCTTGACACAGGACTTCCACCTGGCCAAACGGTATTACGATCATGCTCTGGAAACCAACGACGAGGCGTATTTACCGGTGACTATGAGTCTCATGAGGTTGCGTCTGCGAAGCGCCTGGAACACATTCACGAACGGGAAGATCAACTCCATTCAGGATGAGCCTTGTAAGTCGAAGATGTGCTGTGTCGAGTTACATTATGCTGATTAACCTTGCAGCTGAGAAAAAGGAGTGGTCATTGAGCGAATGGATCAACAATTTCCTTCAAGATGAGCGCCTCTACTACGACGACGTTTATGAAGACCTGTACGATGATGGCATAGTCGGGTCGGATGGTGAACCCATGGGCGACGACCTAGACGAGGCCGTCGTGGATAGTCTGATTATCCTGTTCGTGGCAGCAGCAATTGTGGCTCTAGTCTGGTACCGTAACGCGAGACAGCAAGCCCACAGACAAGCCGAGGAGAACGCAGCGAGAGAAGGCGGCGCCGTAGGGAGACAGCCCGCCGCACCGCAGCAAGGGGCAGCGCCTCAACCTAGGAATCCGGGAGACCAACCCTTCCAACCCTTCGGAGCAGGTGGAATAGGACACTAGCCGGGGCGGATTTTAGCCAGTTCTAGACTTGTGAATAAGCGATTTGATTACAGTTTTCCCTCTTTCGCTCATGAGATCATGGAGGAATGATTGTGTTGCGTAGTTGATAATCTGATCAATAGGTAGAAGTCTATCCGGGGTGGTGGGGGCAGATCCATCAGCATTCAGTGAGCCTCAACATGATCAGCATCGACATCAATGCAAGGGGACAGTCGTGACTACCTTCGGTCTTTCTCGGGATGCCGGAACGGTGAGGCTGATAGAGAGTTTCCAACGGGGATGCTGCTCCGCCCCAATAACGCTCTTGTTACTTGAATCTCGACGCGACGACCCGAACGACCGTTATAGGGCTGCATGATTCAGAGTGTCCTCTGGACTGGAACAGATTTGGGTTCGTCCAGCCCAGACTCCATGTGTCTGGAATTCTGTCGGGTTGTGTACCCACGGTGGAGTGTGGATGACCAATCACCAATATTTTGGGTTCAATGTAAACATTGTAATAGACTCGAGCCTATCACTCTTGGAACAGGTGCTCATTGGACAATAGTAATGGTTGCAAATCACTCATACCTCAGTCAGCCTGCTGGGTTAGCTGGTTTGGTCACAGCCCGACTCCTAGGTATGCAGTCAGCTGAGAGCATATGACTTTAAGCTCACAACTACTAATCGATGAGATGTTGCACTCTTTGCTGAAAGACCCCTATCGAGTGACTAACTTTCGTCTTTTACAGGGGCCTTGGGCCCGCCGTTCTTACTGCACCACCTGATCGAAATCAGCCTGAGCTCTGGTCTCGAGGTCAATTGGTGTCCATGCAACTGGCGGAGATTGTTGCGCAATAGCGAGGTTGCACCTGTGTTCAACTGAGCGTCAGAGACATCCCCATTATACCCAATGAGCTTTCTTTCATCGTCTTCCTTAATGGGCCAAGCTAATTTCCCGATGAACCAGTGACTACGACTCAACTGCGACCTTTAACATATTATTACTGACACTGCCACCCCCAGATCGGCATTAAGCGTGGTATTCCAACCTAAAACATCCCAGGCCCCCGAACGCTAAACGGCAACTCTATCACACAAGGAAACCCTTGTCGATCTAAACTCTATACAAGGGATACGTTTACCAACTCACTGTTGTGCGGAACGACGGATTGATCGGAACTCTATCTCAACGTTCAGCCCAGCTCCCATTTAGTCTCACTCAGCCCAACCCTCCCTTTACCAAGAATAGAACGTGGACAGCAAGCCTTCTCACCCGTCTTGGCCCGCTTGGCAAAGGCAAATATGAGTTTGACGTCGGGACACACAATGACAGCATGTGTCAACACCACTCGGCGCCGACTTCCGGGCCTTGGAGGGCTTAGCCCCGATCAAGGACCCCGAATGTCCTTTCTTGGGACGCTCCAACAAGGACCGTCCTAGGCTGTAGCTTCGTTTGGCTTTCATGCTTTCCGCATGTTTACCGCAGACTCCAGCAGTGGTTGCACCGAACAGCGAGTGAAGCCTCGCGAATCTGCGTTGTGCCGACCACCATTTGGGTCTCGCAAGGCGCTGGATGTCCAAGGTTCAGCTTCGCCCCATTGCCAGCAAGCTCACTTTAGGCTCGTGTCAACTAAGTGAACGATCCTTCTAGACTTTGGCCCGGAGATGCGGATTCCGAGCTCGTTGGAACCACTCGTAACGCTTTGGTGGGCATAGGCATGGCGGCTTAGAGTCCGTAAGCAGCGCGGAAACTCAACTGATGGTGCCGGCAATGGAGGTAAGCCTAAGTCCATCCTAGGACATTTACTTCTAATTGCGTTCCCAGTATAGATATCGAAATGGGTACTTAAGGGGAGAGTTCTTCAGCCAGAAGTTGGGAATTTTCTCTCTCCTAAATTATCATTATCACAACAATATCAAGACTTCATTCTTCATCTCATATTCTTAATCAGTCATAAACACTTCGATTTTCCTTTGTATCAACCACTCCAACATCATCAAGTCCAACCTGCCCAGACTTACATAAACACCAACATCATCAACATCTGCCACGATGGTTAACAAGTTCCTCGTCACTGCCGCCCTCTTGGCCTCCGCGGCTCTCGCCAACCCCATCCCTGGAAACAATGTCGAAGCCTTGAAGGAGCGCGGCGACTCTGTTGACATCCGTGAACCCTGGGATGGCCACTGCCACCACAGTTGGGACGATGATGCAAGTAGTCAAATACATTTGTTTTTGAGGAGTTATATACTAACTGATCTATAGTGGTGCAAGCACCACCGTCATCACAAACACCACCACCACTGCTGCAGAAGATGGAAGTGAGTAGTCCCTGAACCAGTTCAACATATATCGAACCAATACTGTGCACTACAATCTCTTCACGTCTTACTTCATAATCGTTTGTAAGCACATTTGCTGACTTCCTGTATAGGCGCGACGATGGAACAGAGATTTTTGTCAGACGCGATGATGTAAAGGATGACCACTTCAAGGGTGGAGACTACGGCCATGGTGGTTACGGAGGCAAGGGTGGCCACGAAGGCTATGGCCACGGCGGATACGGCGATAAGGGAGACCACAAGGGGTACGGAGGTTGGGGTGAGGGTCATGAGGGCAAGGACGATGGCAAGGGCAAGGTCGAGGCCCGTGACGGCTATCACCACGATCATGATGATCACCACCACCACGATGGTTACCACCACGACCATAATGAGTAAGTTATACCGAGTCTGCCTATATTGGCGATGCCCCATCTCTAACATACTCAAGTCACCACGGATATGGGGGAAACCATGGCTGGGATAAGCGCGAAGCTGAGGCTTATAACGGTGACGACAAGCACTACGGTGGCGATCGAGGAGGCCACCATGGCAACGGCGATGGCCACCGTGGCGACAGAGATGGTCACCGAGGAGACAGGGACGGCCATCGAGGTGGACATGGGGGTTCTGGCAGACACAATGGCCACGGTCGGGACTAGTTAACTCACACTGGGTAAACATCCATGTGACACATAACTGGTTTAGTTTTGATCTTGGAGTTTTGGAGGTTAATGGTTTATAGCTGGTTGCATGGAGTTATGATGGGGTATTCATTTTATCATTTCATAATACAAACTTCCATTCGTTCTCACTACTACCAAAACTTGGCTTGCGTTTCGTGATGTTGAACAAGAAGTGAAAGTCCTTACCCGGATCATACTACCAACTACACCACCTACTCTCTTACGTCCGTTTGAATCCTTGCTCGGAATCACCATAACTACCGATGAATGAACAACAAAAAATTGTCACTTGCCGGCTCAGAGGTCGTGACTACACAACATCATGTGTCGTAAAGAGACTGTGTTGGAACTGAAGCGGCTTGGAAAATGTGGTGCGGCAATCCAAACCGAGAACTAGTCAGATGTAAGTCGGTGGCGAGCACCCTTATGCCAATTTCTTCACATCCGACCAAGACTATAATCACCGCTTACCCACAAGGGCTTCGCAGTATCTTATTCCAGCATAGAAACGACTTGGCGGTGAGTAATTATGTGTCTTCGAAGTTGTTCCCATAGGAAGACATTTAGTAGACGGCGTGACAATTTCAATATTGCTGTTATAGGTGCTATTCAATTCGATAGATTATTGCACCTTCTACAGTTACAAGCTAGTGAGGGAGGACCATTTTGACAATGGTTTCCCACATAATCAACAATCAGAGCTGAATCGAGTAAGCTATTGTCCATTGTCTATTGTCGAATATCGCTCATGGCTAGATTGTAAATTGTCCCTAGTTGGATATCGCTGGTACAAACTCGACTTTTTAATCCAACGATCTAAGGACATAAGAATCTATTCTAACAAAAGCAATCTTTCCAAGTATCAACTTTTACCTGGAATTCAACTTTGGATCCAAAATTCATTCAACAGCCAACGTTAACCAAAAAGGCTCACCACAGTGATTGCAGCGCACGAACTTCCCACAAACCCCTTTTCTTTCATACTCGTGCTGTTGTTTCCTCAGATATATCTACTGTATCAGGTCATGTTGAGTTATCTTGCACGAAATGAATTTCTCCCATCGCTCGGGCGAGACGCTTGGATCATCCGATCTTATGCTAGGATTTGATGTTGGCGGGCGCTTCCTCGGCGCGCCCTCAGAGATTGATGATGACGACGACGTACGCCACCTCGACAATGTTCATTGGGAGCTGCTAAGGCACCAAGACTTCGTGCGGCACGCCTTCACAGGGAATGCCATACACAGTGACATCTGGTGGAGGATCGTGTCCTCGGGTCGATTGACCCCGAGTCTTGAGAGATTCTCATGCGGATTCTACCTCGTGTTCCGTGTGGAATTCTGGGGGAGGGGGGGTGTGGTCCCTCTGGCACCAGCAAGACATTCGTTTTCATTACTCTGACCGGTGTGTCCGTATTCACGGCACAGCGGGTTCTGGCCGTCTCGCATTCCAACCCTGCGGTCGGCAAGTGGCGCCCAAGGTACGACGTGAACTCGCGCACTGCAGAATGTCAATGATAAGAAAGCACCAGCTTGAGGCCGACGTCACGGCAATGATACTTTAGGCGAAAACCACACGTTGGGTCCATTCGACGGTGCGACCACCTGCCGAGTAACGAACAAATACTGTGTGGTGGTGCCTCAAGGCACCCGCATGCAGTATCTCACTGGAGCGTGAGGCAATCATGCTCGCTGGAAAAGTCCCACCAGCAACAAGACACCCAAGTCCTGCGTATGAACGAGCTACTCGAGGAAAGTTTTGAAACGTTGAAGGCCAAAGAGAAGTACGAACCTCGCCAAGGGTCTCCAAAACATTTGCAAAGTATATGAGAGTCCAGGCCGACTGTCAAGAGGATTGTGAGGTCAAGTATAACCAGAAGTCCAAACGTATGGTTCAATTCATGAAGAGACTGAATCTTGCCCCCTTTCAAGGAGAAGGGACAAGATGGGGATTATATAGAGGACACTGTTCGGTGTCTCACCGGACCTTCTGTAAACCTAATGCACTGCCGTGACACCGACATCATCTGCTCCAGATTGATAGAGCTCAGAAGCCAAGTAGTCGCACCGTCGATCGGTCCTCGAATGCCATTCTCGTCGACGAGACTAGTTAGATCCCACTAATTTGTGCTGGCAACATTTGGCACGAACAATTCCTATCCTTTTTGGGGAAGTGAACAGCAGCTCGGCGTTACGTGCATGACCGAACAGCCAGGGATTTGCGACAGCATCAAAAATTAGGAAGGAAGGAGGAAGGTCGCAAGGTTTGCTGCAGCTCGAGGTGAAGCAGTAGGGTCAATATGCAAGCTTGCATGGGTACATTGAGCGGAGGAGTTTCAAGTTGTAATTTTCAAAATGATAGTCTATCGTATCCTCATACATAAGTGAGCTTAATACAGCGTCTCGGGTAAGTGTCCTTGAGAATCCGTTCCCTACTTATGTACTTAGTGACGCTGTGGGTACTTTCTCAAAAGTATATAAAGTGCGAGATAGGCCGCCACACCAGTAAAGCAGAGTCCTGAGATTACACCAAAGCCCATAAGATACTTCGGTGCGCTGCTGGAGGGGAAAAGATAGGCTCCGTAAATTTCTGGGGCATCACGAGTTAGCATGTTCCTAATCTGTGCCGCTTGTAAGGCGTAATGGCTCTACCCTGAGACAGGGCCAGGCCTTTGCGGACCAAACGAATGTCAGAAAGTTAAGAAATGATTTCGACTCACGCGCAAGGTTGCCCATTGCATTTACAAAGGCCAGACTAATTCCACGGACTTCTGCAGGCATGGCTGCAAAGGTAGAGGATGCGTATGCGAGCGAGAGACCGTTGGATGCCCACAGACCAGACGCCATGATGACCAGGAGGGCGTATCGGGCGTGAAAGTCATACACCACACAAATAATGATTGAACAGACCATGGCTACCGTCATGGTACATCCAAGGACAAAGCCTCTCCAGGCGGAATAAACGTCCATGAAGTAGACCACGATGGCGGTGACAAAGCTATCTCAAGTTAGCAATCACACTAACCAGATTCCACGCTATATTACTGCAACAGGGATTGAAGAACTTACAATGCAGCCACATAAATGGGAATTGTCATATACTGAGCCACCGTAGTGCTGTACCCGAGTCCATTGACCAGTGTGGGATAGAAGTAGGACAAAGTCGAAGACCCAACAACAGCCATGTAGCCAACAACGAATAGCCAAACTCGCCAATTCGTAAGAGCCTGCTTGAGGGCTTGGAGGTGGGACAGGCGAGGGGCATCTTCGGTTTCAACACGTGCAGATCTTGCCAGGAGTCGCTTGATAGCGAGTTCGCGCTCTGGTTCGGTGAGTCGCTTCGTGTTTGCCGGGAAATCCATGAGCAGAAAGGATGCGATGATCGACCAGACTGCGGTAGCAGCGCCCTCCACAATGAACAGCCATCGCCATCCTGCCAGTCCATGAGACCCTGGAGAAATGGTCAGTCGATGTCACCACTACGAATCCCATTCCACAATGTTTCACAGCAATAACATACCATGGAGTCCACTAGTGATAGCGCCGGCAATGAGTCCGCCGAATGCACCGGAAAGAATGGCGGCGGAAATATAGACACCAAATCTCCGTGCCTGCTCTTCTGGCTTATACCAACTCGAAAGCAGCAGAAGCATACCGGGCGCAAAGCCAGCTTCGAGAAGACCGACAACAACTCTCAATCCGACAAGGGCTTCATAAGTTTGAATAAACGCCATTCCAATTGTCACACATCCCCCTAGTGGTTTCGTGTCAGCAAACTTTTGTTCATTTGTTACACGGGAGATCGGTATTGACTAACACAAGAACATGATGGCGGGTAGGAAGATCGAGGGTTTCGTTCGAGCTAGGATCATGCTACAATATGTTAACACCACCGCAAACCCAGCGTTGCTTTCTGAGAAACTTACTTGGAAGGCACCTCCCAGACAACGTAACCAACGAAGAAGACAATGAGCGCCACGGAGTATCGTCCTGAGTCGAGGCCAAGATCGTGTTCCATACCCGCGATCTTCGCGTTGCCAATACTATTCGCGTTCAGTTAGATGCTAAACTCGTAGGGATTTGCCGGTTTGTTTACTTGGTTCTGTCCATGTAACTGAGAAGATACATCAACCACATGGCTGGGAGGATATAGAGATCAATCTTTCGAACCAGCTTCCGCTCCTCCTCCGTGTCGGGCACGTAGGAGTCAATGAGCGCCTCCTGATGCTTCACATCGTCGGCCAGCTCGGGGCCCATGACCTCACGGTGCTCGCCGTGATATTTGTTCTCCATGTCAGAAACTGACGTGAAAATGATGAGCTGTGAGAGGAGGCAAATTTGAGGAGTGAGTTCGTGGCTGCAGGGCTGGAATGACTTCTGTGACCCAGAGCGTCGGGTTCAGCGTCTTTATAACAGTGGGCATCCGTGAGACTCAAAGCCTTGTATTCCCTTCTACCCCAGATGTTGCCTAAGTCACCGGTTCTCAGCCCTTTGGCATTGAACAAGACCAAGGTCCAAATTCGTTCCCGCGCCATTCCCCAGTGTCCGGACCAAGGATGTAGTTTTCTCCACGATCGGGGTAGTTAGCGCCCTCCACACTGGGGCTCCGCGTCAGACCATCAAATCAGGCGATCAATCAAGCTGATGTACTGACTCGATGCTGCGACAGGGACATTAGAGTTGCAACGAGACGGGGGTTGCCCAATGGCATACGAGCAACAATTGGGGCTCCATGTTCACAAAAGCCGGCCTGCCGGCACAGGCCAATTGTCACCGCGTCTCGAGGCAGCCTGCCTTGGTATGCAAGCTGCCGGGCCGGGTTGAGATGAAATGACCGCGAATCGAGGTACACTTGGGGTGGAACAGGGGCCCCAGGACTCATACCCCAAAACTTGTGGAAATGACGTTGCGAGACTTGCCTCGCAACTCAACGCGTGCCCGCACGCGTCCCCGTGCCGGGTTCAATACTCCCCACAACAGCCAACCCGGGTGCGGGTAATGGAGGACTTATAGCATAGTCGCCAAAATGTTGCCCGAGACGAACCTATCGATAAGAGCCCAGAGATCTTTAAAAAGGGCAAGAAGCTGTATTGACTTGCTTCTTGTTCCGCCCAGGTGCATTCCCTAATAATTGTAACGTTCATTGAGAGACTGCTAAGCTCCTCCCACCTCGTCCTCCATACTCCTACACCACCGACACACAATGACTCCCTCATCGGAAGGCTCGGCCGCGGGTTCTGCCCCCGCTGTGAACAACTACCCCTCTACTCTACCCGGGCCTGGCCACAACTGGCAGATCTCCTTGGAAGGAAAGGTGATTGCGAGTGAGTCACGCCATACGACATTGCGAACACATTGAACAGACAGCCTCTAACACCATCGTTTCCAAGTTACCGGCGCAAACCAGGGTATCGGCTTGGGTCTTGCAGAAGTTTGTCTGGCCAACTCTGCCTCGAAAGTCTTCTCGCTCGATATTAGCCAGCCCGGTGACGACTTCGCCGCCCTATCGAAGAGATATCCCGGGAAGCTTGAATACGTCAACACCGACGTTACCAGCGAAGAGTCCGTCAAGAATGCGATCGACCAAGTTGCTTCCCGGGGTGGCAGATTCGACGGCATGATTGCCAATGCCGGCGCAACAAAGCACCAGCCTGCCCTCGACTTCACCCTTGAGCAATTCGAGAGGTTATATAAACTGAACGTCACCGGCAGCTGGCTGTGCGCCACGTACGCGGCACGCAAATTCATCGAGCTGAAAACCAAGGGATCAATTGTCTTCACTGCCTCCATGACTTCCTACCGGCCCAACCGCGCAGCACCCTCCGCGCCCTATGGTGGAACCAAGGCTGCTGTCAGGAATATGACCCACACCTTGGCTATGGAATGTAAGGAGCAACCCCAGAGATTCATCACGGCCCCCCTGACTGACTCGTAAAATTAGGGTCGCAATATGGCATCCGAGTCAACAGTATCTCACCCGGTTTCGTCAAGACCGCCCTGACATACTACGTGGAAACCAGTCCCGATTGGGATACGAAGATGAAGTACTACGGTGGTATGCCGCGACTGGCGCTGCCACAAGAATTGGGTGGCGCATACGTTTACTTGTTGTCCGACACTGCAACTTACACAACCGGCATTGATATTCCCATAGCCGGTGTTGTCGGTGCTTGGTAGTGCAGGTCGCTTCGAAGTTACGAGTAATAGATATTAGACAGCGTTTGATCCCAAATACGAATGTAAAATTGTACCCAGCTCAGATTTTGAAAATAACTTGTGTTTCAATAATACTCCTCGGCGAATAGCAAGGTCCGTTATTGGTTTTGGTTGGAACAAGTTGGAGATACTGGGTTAATGGTGACTTAGACAAGACGGGGCAGGAAACCGCATAATTGAGTGGATTCTGATAGCAAAAGAATGGTTACGCCTTGGCAATCAAAGTGAAAAACCGCAGCGTTCGCCGTTGTGTGAATATAAGCAGATGTATTTAGATATCAATACTCCCGTTTTAAGTGACATCGCCGGGGATGGCGGCTATCTCTTCTTCTGTTCTTCATCGCCTCAAAGCAAATCTTGTCGTGGTTCCAATAAAACACTGATCTCTCATCGCAAAAGTATAGACGGAGTTTGCGAAGGATTCTAGCAGGCCCCTTCGAACCATCTCGAATTATTGCGTCTCAATGTTGTATTGCCAAATTTTGATACTTTGCTACTAAGAATCTAGTATACTCTGGCCAGTCAATCACTCGAGATCTCGTTATGTCCTGATGTTCCGCGACCATAACACGTTTTTTATGGTCTGGCAGTGGAGAAAAATCTAGGTTTGCTTAATTCATGGGTAATAACAGACACGCAGCTAGATAGTCATCTGAACCCAATCGATTCCAATTTATCTACTACAGGTATCCAAATCTATTTACTACAGGTATCATTGTTATTCAGTTGAGGGATCTTAAAAGAAACCTACGCCTTTCCTGTGGAACCTGTGATATCCATCTGCCACTCCATGAGCTTCTGGATCTCTTTTGTGCCCTCTTCCATAAGCGTCGTCAGACTTGTCGTGGGGGCTTTCTGCTTCAAGTATGCAAGATAATCATCCAATACCAGCTTATTCACGTTTATCTTGCTGCAGCCACCTTGCACGCACTTCTGCATTACATCGTTTGGGAAGTCGTTGGTACCGTGAAGCACGATCCGCACCCGGCCGTTGGCTTTTTGACGAATCATCGCCAGACGATCATATTCTAAAACAGGACCTCGGGTGCCATACTCTCCGTGCACATTGCCAAAAGCGGGTGCCAAGAAGTCAATGCCGGTGGCGATGAAATCTTCCACTTGGTCTTCCGTGGTCAGGGCACCCTCTAGGTCTGCTGTATCTGCGATGCCATCTTCGCCTCCCTCGATGCGCCCAGGCTCGGCTTCGGTGCAGATCTTGTGCTCGTTGCAGAGAGCCACCAGCTCTTTCGTTTTGGCCAAATTCTCCTCCATCTCATAGTGGCTCATGTCCACCATGATCGAGTCGAAAGGCAGATTGGCGGCAGCATGGCGGATGAGTTTCTCGTCTTGTGCGTGGTCGAGATGAATCGAGACAGGGACAGTTGCTTCGCGAGCAGCCTTCGCGGCAGCATGGATAAGAAGCCCGTCGCTGTAGGTAATGGCCCAGGGGAATACTTGCAGTATCAATGGTGCGCGTTTCGCTTCGGCGGCACGAATGCAACCGAGGATACACTCGATGTTGTAGCTAGGAATCCAGGAGTGAGTTGAGTTATCACAGCATTCTGGGGTGAGGGAACCTACGCGATAGGAGCTACAACACCGTAGCCTCCTTTCTCCGCGGCTGTGAGGATTTGGTATGTCTTGTTGTCTTTCTTCCACTCCATTGTATCTACGGTGTGTTGAGAAGGCTTGCTGAGATTGGCTAGAGGATATGGGACGAATGTAGATGGCAATGAAAAACCGAGTCTGTGTTGTAAGTCGGGTGATGGCCCCGAGTAAGAACTGGCTGAAGACTGACTGACTTCTTCGGCTCAAGTCAGACAAATTTGGGAGGCCTTCCTGCACAGGGTCCGCGGTCGGTAAGTTTTGAGATCTCGTGATACTTCAAAAGGACATTGAGCAGTAAAAGATTTGCTAGGCATTACGCGCGATGCCACATGGAAACCTCGACTCAAACTTGCTTCGCGAGGTTCGTGAGGGGCCATAGTAAGTTAGTGGGGTGAATTGGAGTATCCTAGCAAGTCTCCACACTCCCCGCATGAGCCTTGACGGGCCCTCGTCTCGGGGTCGAACCTGGGGAATTGCCAATAAGCGACTTGTATCATGCCTGCGGTATCAGGCAAGGGTGGCTGTCCGTTCGGATCATATTGTTCAAGAGGGTTCACGATGCGCGGCTGCACCGGCCTGCGCGTGGCTTCTGGAGTTGTAAAATAACTTGCATGTGGCGCCACCGTGAGGACTCTTAAACAGACCTGTGTTTTATTCCTCCCAAGCTTTACCCATCAACCAGCAATTGCCATACAACGCGCCAATTGCTCAAGATTCTACTAGCTATGTCTGCCGGAAAACAACTCAGAATTGCTGTTGGTGGTGATGATGCTGGCTTCGATTATAAAGCTACTCTGTCAAAAGACCTCTCGTCGGACCCGAGAGTGAGCGAGGTTATCGACGTTGGCCCAAAAGCCTCCAGTGACAAAACTGCCTATCCTCACTTCGCAATCGCCGCAGCTGAGCTCGTTGCCCGGGGGGAGGCTGACCGCGCGCTTCTCATTTGCGGCACCGGGCTGGGCGTAGCCATCAGCGCTAACAAAGTTCAGGGTGTGAGAGCTGTCACCGCCCATGACAGTTTCAGCGTCGAGCGAGCTGTATTGTCAAACGACTCCCAGGTATTATGTTTGGGGCAGCGTGTTATTGGAATCGAGCTGGCGAGGAGGTTGGTGAAAGAATGGTTGGGATACACTTTTGATCCAGTAAGCGCCCTTTGAACCCTTCGTAAAGCAATCTCATGCTAATCCCTGACAAGAAATCTGCGTCGGCCGCAAAGGTACAAGCCATAAACGATTACGACTTGAAGGCTGTGAAAGTATAGAGTGTGACATATCAAAAGGGTTGGCGTGGTGGCACGGCAAAGTTGAAGAGGCAGTGGGCTGAAGAAGCAGATAATGGCAATTCATTGGGTATCAAAGTCACAAGAATATGTGTAATGTATAATGAGAAGCCGCCCGTGGAGTGCTGGTCAGCCGACCTTTGCCCATTCTGCCCTCAGGTCATTTCTCAAAGTTTCCATAGGCCAACCGGTTCTTGCTTCGCAAGCATTGATGAGAGAAATTATAGCGTTACGCTTCACTTCATCTTGTACACAGAGTCCAGCTTTGACAGTTAGCATGGCTCGGAAGCGGGGAGTGACTGTACAAACCTCCAAAAAGGCATTGCGCCGACAGGATCTGGCTACCTTCGTCTTTCAATTCAGTAGCTATACCGCAGATTGTGGCGACAGCATCAGATAGTGTCCTCTGCACAGGGGGGGTTAGCCTTGGCAATATAACGTAGCACTCATCGCAGCGTGGTGGAGACTTACTTGAGTCTTCAGGTACCCGTCAAATCCCGAAACGGCCGGACGATGAAGCGTAATGAGAATGCAGGCGAAACTGTAGACCTGTAGGGCGACTGCAAACTGCGGTGGGTGTATCCACAGCGGCTGGAACACACTGTTTGGGTTAGTTGCGGCTGTTGGTAACGGCTGAAACTTGGGGCCAAGGTAGGACTTCCAGCGCTCCAACTCCGACATCAGAGCTTCACCGACGCGGGCTCGTTTCGCGGTCGTCTCGGGCTCAGTCGGTGATGGCTCCAATTTCGAGCAGTAGTTGACCGTCTGTGAGAGAAGGTATACGGCACGATCGGCTAGTTCATCCTGTCGTAACTCCGGGTAGTCCTTCACGGGTCGCCAGAAACTGAAGCAGCGCCTTCTTTCGCGAAACGCGGCCCATATGTCTTGGCGAAGCCAAGCCCACCAGACTGACTGTCTTAGGCCTTTTGATGCACCATTGACATCTTGTGATCGTTGTATCCAGAATACACCTTTCAAATGCCTCTTCCAGTTGCTATCCGAGGAATCAAGCATTTCATAAGTGGAGATAACCACTACTTCAAGTCAGCATGAACCAGCCCCTACGGACAAACTACTCACAAGCCGTTCCAAGAAGCTCCTCCGAGTGCGTATAGGAGTTATACTGCAAAGCACTAGATATGTAGTGCAGCGTTTCGTAATAGTATTGCACTGCCAAACTGGAGTCTACCTCGGAGGTAGCACCCATGTTAGCTTGCACAATAGCGCTGTGGCGTGCAGTCAACGCGAGGATGGCCTTCATGAGGCCGACATTTCGTAACTATCCGTGTTAGTGTATATGCTTTCTGGGGTTTAGAGGGTCATCTACTTACTGCTAGTCTAATGGCGTAAGTACCGAAATGCTTGTAAGGGTCAAATAGATCGAGCTGTTGGACGCGTCTCGAGTCAGTGCCTCTGTGCTAGTGTGCCATAAGGCTGATTGTGGCGCACTTACCCACAAGCTAGCTCTTTCAGCGAAAGTGCGGAACAGAAGTGCTTCCTGATTCGTAAGAACAATGTCCCGATCAAGCGACCATGCGTGTCTCTCTGAAGCTGCTGCAGCCGGGGTCGTTGGAATCAAGTGGGCACCTTGAACAGGCTGATTCTCGGTGCCAATGGTTCGAGGTTCTGCATAACCAGAATTGGACACCGAGTCTTCCGGCGCAGGACTTGGAGCCAAGGAAAACCCAGCATCTGCCTGGGCCGCGTCCGTTGCCAGCAAGTCCAGCCACCGATTTGATGCCATATCAGTTGTTAGCAGCTCCGAGGCCACAGTATCTGGCGAGTATGCATATTGATACGCCTCAGCTAAGGTCATTGCTGGAGCTGGTTGTGGAGCTTCCACAGGAGAAGGATACAGATTGTGCGGACTTGGCCCAGTAGTACTAGACATCGAATGTCGCGGAACTTCAGGTATGGTGGCAGGCACAACGACCTCTCTCTTGGCATGACGGCTGAAAGTAGGCGAGCCTTGACTCTGAGGTGCCGGGGCAGCTGGCCCATCTGCGTAGATGCAGTCCCGGCTCGATATTGAGCAGGGCCCGCATACGGGTTCTAACGGCCATGTAAGTCTTGATGACCGGGATTCAAAATAACTTCACGTACGCTGTTCATCACATTTTTTGTGTCGTTTCCGGCAAGTTAAACTAGAAGCACGTGTCAGTCCGGGGGCTATGATACCAGACGGACGCAGCCAGCAGGTCTACGCCACGTGGGCAGGCTGGACTTACCATCCAGTCTTGGTCCGTAACCCTCTTGACCGCGATTTGCGAACCCTCTTCGGCCTCGGTGGCTGCGATTCCGCGAGACTGCCGTGGCTCGGCGCCTCGCTGGGCTCCATGCTCGGACGACGCTCATCGGCCGATGGGGTCTGGGGAAAAGATGGGGCACGACGTGTCGATCCGGTAACCTAGCATCCGGGGGCCTGGGAACCATGGGACAGGACACGGGGCAATTGGACTGAAACAGGGCTGAGAATGAAGCAAAAAAGGAACGTGAACTTCGTCTCGAGGCCACCGAGTGATTTCTGCGAGGAAAAGATGGAGTTGGTTGCTCACCCCCAATCTCCGCCCGTTTCCTAACCCTCATACTCCACATCCGCACAGACAATCCCCGCAGACGCCTACCAGGATATGGGGTGTTTTTGGAGAAATTGCACGAGTCGTGCGCGAGACGGGCACCTCCTGGGCCTCTCGTCAGCACGTCGCATTAGCCGGTCGCCCGGGATGGCTGCAGCTAAGAAACTCTAATCTCAGAACGGCAGTCATGGGGAAATCATCGTGATCTCGACTCGTCTGGAGCGTCGGAATGTCCCAAAGCAGCATCTTAGCATAGAGGCCTGGTGGTTCGCCTACGCGCGTGGAGTCGCGGGATCATTTTGGGGGCGCTGAGGGTCCTGAGGACTCGAGACGATGGAACATATTGACGACGAGATGAGGCACACCGTAGACCCAACTTACGATGTCGTGTTCCGGGCCGGGTCACGATAGGCTTCAAATAAGGTCTTCTGGCCCAGTGCCACTGTGGAAGATGGCGCTTCAATCCCTCGTTGTCAAACATACTGCTGCTCAACATAGACCTAGGCGCTGAAGATGTCTGACAAGCATTTCTTCCCAGAGACTGCAGCCAACACACTTGTCCCCCGCTATTTGAGGGCACTGACGGCTGCGAACCCTCACCTATCTCTGATAGAGTCGGAGAGGGTCGTATACTCTACTCACCATGACCCGAGCACAGTATCAGTGATCAGTGGCGGAGGCTCTGGCCATGAGCCAGGCTGGTCTGGCTTCGTGGGCGAAGGTGCATTGTCGGCAGTAGCTTGTGGTGATATATTTGCGTCTCCAAGTACGAAGCAAGTCCTGGCAGCGATGAAAGCTGCACCCTCCACCGAAGGGACGCTGCTCATGATCACAAACTACACGGGCGATAAGCTGCACTTCGGACTGGCTGCTGAAAGGGCCAAGGCCGAGGGATTGTCCAAGAAAGTGGCTGTGATCCCTCTCACAGACGATGTGTCGCTTGGGAGGAGCAAATCCAGCGTTGTGGGCAGACGAGGCTTGCCAGGACATGTCATCCGTAAGTCTGTTTTTCGAGCCACTCCCTACTTTCTACTAACACAAAGGAAGCCATGAAAATCGTCGGTGCCGCTGCTGCGAACAAATACAGTTTCGAGCGATGCGTGGACCTTGCAAAGGCCGTGAATTCCCAAGTCGTTTCGATCGGCTCCGCCCTCGACCATTGCCATGTTCCCGGCCGTCAAAAGCACGAGAGTTTGCCTGCAGATGTTGTTGTCGTTGGCGCTGGCATTCACAATGAGCCTGGCGCGCAACGTCTTACACCATTCCCGCCTGTGGAAGACCTCATTAGCTATTGCTTGAAGCTTCTATGCGACCAGAACGATTCAGAAAGAGCCTTTGTGGAGTTCAACGCAGGAGACGAAGTTGTACTGTTGGTCAACAATTATGGGGGCCTTTCGAATCTAGAGCTGGGGGCTCTGACAGATGAGGCCATCACTCAATTAGGTTGGTGATATAATCATACCGCAGGATGATACATATTGGCTGACAGATATACAGGCTCCAAATGGAACATTAACCCAACCAGAATCCTCTCTGGTCACTTTGAGACATCACTCAACGCACCTGGATTCTCTATATCTCTCTGCAACTTAACACTAGCTTCCCAAGAGTCTTCGACCAAAGTAGCTGAGCTACTCGACCTACTTGACTCGCGAACAAGTGCTGTCCATTGGCCTAACATCTCAGCCCCCATAAAGCAGAACAACTCTTCTCCCACGTCAATAGAGACAAATGGAACTGACAGGCCGAAGTTCTTAGCAGAGGATGACATTAAAGGTAAGCCGGGGCGCCCTTTTTCCTTTTTTTTTTCTTTCGGTGTTTGTAATCTTTCTAACCAAAATCTAGCCGATCCGAATCTGCTAGACGCCATCATTCGTGCTGGCTGTAAGGCGGCCATCGCAGCCGAGCCGGATTTGACGAACTGGGATATGGTGATGGGCGACGGCGACTGCGGTGAAGCAGTCCAAGGCGTATCTGAAGGTATGTCAACCATCGCGCTGCCTCGAACCTTCTTACTGAACCTTTTCTTCAGCTATCATCAAGAATTTGGACAGCGGTATCGCCAAGAAAGGGTCTATTTTGGAATTCCTGTTCTCAACAACAGACGCTGTAGACGACATGGGCGGCAGTCTCGGAGCTATCCTGGGAATTCTGCTCTCAGCATTCACGTCGTCTTTGCAAGAACTGGTGAAAACCAAAGGCTCGCCGCCAGACTCATCCACGTATGCCCAAGCACTTGCGCAGGCGCTTACGATTCTGAAGAAATACACTGGCGCCCGTGAAGGTGACCGAACTGTCATGGATGTCCTGCTGCCCTTTTCTGACGCGTTTGCCGAGACCAGTGACTTCCACGCTGCTGTACAAGTGGCGAAGGAAAAGGCGGAGGGAACGCGTTATCTAAAGGCCAAGTTCGGACGTGCTTCATATGTCGCGGAAGCCCAAGGACAGGAGCTTCCAGATCCTGGTGCATGGGCTTTCTACGAATGGCTGAAGGGGATGTCGAGGGCAATTAAACTGTTCAATTCATGAGATAAAAGCATGTTGCCTCCGAAGTTTATCATCAGATTAGCGGCACCTTAATATAATCACGTTACACTGTGATCCAAGCCTAACGGTATGCTTGGTACGAAGATTGGTAGCAAATATATGCCTAAGCAAGGTGTCAATAATCTGTATGTTCAGAGTACGGGTCGATCAAGCCAAGACATGACTGACAGTTGTTTATGTGGTTGTTATGTAAACCTGTTACCCGGTGCTGGTGATAATCTAGTGATATAGCCCATCCCACAGAAGCATTGTGCCTGAGGAGCCCCATTGTAGTTGAGGATCACAAACGGACTGTGGATTATGATATCGTGTAGGGTGGCGCTATCAAAATGGATGGCTTGAGAGCTTGATTGGGGGGAGGAACAGTGAGGAGACCATTGTCGATAGTGCCAGAGTTAAGTAGGATGAAAGCCTATAGAAACAGAGACAGACGTTCTCGACTCCACCCTGCTATTAATTCCTAACTTCTAAATCATAAGGATATCTTATTCTACTTTTCTACTCCTAGCACTATATTCATGTCAACTAACTATTCAAGGAGTGGACCTGAAATAGTTCATGTTTTTCTGTGAATCAATCGACTCGCTCTTGCCTTTGCCGTTGTGACTGTTACCATTCAAGATAGGTGCCAAAGAATCGGGCCCACGAACACACCAGTTAGTCAGCCACTTGAAATAATACACGCTGTATACTACCAGTCGAAATGATATTATATCATATGTGCTATTGCAACTACGCGTAATCCGTGCTCCTAATTACGTCCTGCCAGTCTTGGAGTAATTTGAGTGTTGAAGTGCATTTATCCTTCATATCGTCATAAACATCTAGCCCAAGAGGCAGCCTAAAGGGGACTTCCCTTCCGTTAGCAACACCCTCTTCGCGTACCATATCTATGATGATATCCACCAGCTTTCGAGGGTCTCCTGGCTGCGTCTGGTTCTGCTCCTTCAGACGAGTTAGTAAGCCCTCGGAGAGTTCCAAGTAATCTGGAATAGCTGAAGCAATGGATTTCAGGTTTTCTTGCGAAAGAAGGTTGGTACGAAATCTCCCAGGCTCAACCAGTAACGTCCTGATACCCAGATCACAGGTCTCTTTATGTACCGCCTCGGCAAGACCTAGACAAATATATTTAGTGAAATACGGGTGATGCGGCAGCGGGCGGATAAATACCCTCAAGAGCAAACTTCGAACTTGCATATGCTCCGACACCTGGATGGCCTATCCAACCTGATAGTGAGCCGATAAATACCAGCATGCCATGATGTTGTTCTCGGAAGTAAGGCAAAACTGATTTGGTGACCTTGATTGTACCAAAAAGGTTTGTGTTGAACTGCTCCAAGAACTGCTCACAACTGTCTAACTGTAAGTGACGGTTCATCGGATAAGTGACAGCACACTTACTCAAGATCTTCGATTGTCCCAGCTGCGATGTACGCTGCATTGTTTACCAAGACATCGATCCGACCATACAACGAAACAGCTTTGGCGATGACGGCATCAATGTTGCCCTGGGTATCCGTGATATCGAGCTGCAGGGCGTCAGCACCTGTATCTTTGAGATGCTCTATCTTGCGTCGATTTCGAGCCGTGGCGATGATTTTGTCGCCTCTGGCAATAATCTTGTGAACGAAATGCTCGCCGAAGCCAGAAGAGCAGCCAGTGATTAACCACGTGAGTTGGGCCATTGGTATGATAGGAATGCAAAACCTCATGTACCAGATATGTGTTAAAATGTATTTGCAAGGAGAAGCTTGAAGAAATTTAGCTCGGCTGAGGTTGAAGGCATGGCCTTTATATACAGATCGCCGAACAAGACAGCTCTAGCACAGCTGCAACACTGAGTCATAAAGTCATGTCAGCCTCCTTGGAGATGAAAGAAAGACAGGCCTGACATATCGACCGTACTTTTGTTACCCAATCTTGAGGCGGAATTCTCAAGGCACAGCAACGAAAAGTCCGCTCTGTCCGCTCACGTGCCAATGTCAGCTAGAACGAGGTCCGCTGAGCCCCACATCCACTGTTTAGTTTGGTCATATCCCGACTTAGCCTTTGAGAGGTCAGCATTAACAAGCATTTTTTGCGAAAGTCATATAGATGGGAACACTATGACATATTCCGTGGTATCCGGTGATTGTGGATTCTCCGTCCTGTTCTTGCAAGGTCCGGATGCCTTGAAGTCTAATGATGCCGCGGAACTGGGAAGTCACTAATCGCCGCAGCGAACCTTCTTGCCCACCAAGTGACTTGAAATCTACTGGCCGTACAAAGCACCCATAGACTAAATCGGCGTCTGCGGCTAGATTTGAGGGCTTGGTCCGAGACTTTAAGTTGCTGCCCATAGTCTTTCCGCTAAATAGCAATTGTAGTTCGGCGCTGCTCGTTTGTCTATAGAGAAACCATCCACCCAGGCACGCCAGACCAACTTTGACCCCTTCTCTCGGGAGGGGGAAAACACGCTTCTTGAAGTATACAGAGTCGATTTTTGGACCCCAGAAAAAATGAGAAAAGCTTAAAGCAGCAAGAAGTCGAGCAACAAAAAACATACAACACCGGGTATTCGCTGGTGGTTACTTACCCACCTACTAATCCAGCTCTCCAAGAGATACCTTTGAGGTAAACGGTGTCCGAAAACAAACAACTAGTGTTCCAAAAATGGAGACCTCACATCTCACTTCACCCCGGTCGCCAGGATCGCTCAGCCAGCCCAGCGGCTGCCCACGACTTCGGCGATATCCAGTCCAAGTTAAGTGATCTACAATATCGCTTTGCGGTGCGAGGACTGTTGGAGGAGGATCAGACTCAATAAATACGTGCGTAGGCCGCAGAGAGTCGCTGAAGTCGTCATTAGCAAAGGACAGGCAAAACTCGTAGATGCGGTGGCGGAACTTAGCGGGAAGAAGGAAGAGCAGAGAGTTGACTTGCTTCTGCCGCCAGACAACAGCGGCCTCAGTCATTCTGGTGGCATGCAAAGTGTGTTGACGCTGCGACACGGGGATGCGTGTGCAAGGTGAGGCTCCAGGACGCGCCAACGTCTGCTGGGCCGCAGAGGGGCACACTCCTTGATTTGTTACCTTCACTTCCAAAGTTATCCAACCATACGCGTTTAACAGACGCTTTGTTTTGCCATTTGGACCATATTTCCATTATCGTTTATGACCCCTCAGATTGATCGCCTTCGCTCTTTCTGATTAGCAGAACATTTATGTCAATGTTTTTCGTTTTCCCGGGGCTACCGCCCGAGCTTCGCAGAGCGATATGGCGTCACGCTCTACCAGAGCGAGGCTCGACCTTACGCCCTTACCGAATGGGTTGTTGGCAAGCTCGACGGTGTATAGAATCAGACTTGTACGAATACAACTCGTATGTTTCTAAGTAGAATCTCATATTGGAGTTCCGTATCGAACTTCTCTAAGTAGTCCGGTTGCTAATGTATCTATAAAACAGCGGACGGAAACCCGAGTTTTCTAGAACCTACGGAGGTATTTGAGAAATTTCCGCATTGTTCTTGATGGTGTACTCAGCGTGTATCCTTCAGATCTTGGAATATGACCTCGGAGTCAACACAAGTGTTGGGAATTCTCGAGTAGGAGGCTGGTGTAAGTCTTCTTCAAAAAATGCTTGAGAATGGCTGCTTAGTGCCTCTGCATAATCTCGAGAACTTCGAGTTACAGTTCGATCGTGTTGATCAATCACATACCACTAGAGTGAAGCTGGTCATGGACAGGATAGTTAAGACATAGACGACATGAATGTAATTTGATTTACTAAGCTTTAGCCAACAAACGAGCCGTCCTTGGTAAGACGAATGAAGGAGATGCGATGAATCACATTTCCAGGGAAGCTGAATACTGCATCCAACCGTTTTTCGTACTGAACGTACGGTATACTGCTGTGGTGCGTATCTATTCACTTGGCTGACGCCCAACGCTATCTGACCATGTGCACGAACGCTCGAGCTGTCATCTCTTCGGCCGTAAATTGATTGGCCAACATCAATTCCATTAACTCCGAATCTATGCATCAATGCAATCTATGGAATAAAAATACAGTCATATCCTACATGGACTAGAGCATCTCTGGATGTGCGATGCATCATGTGCTCTATGCAAAAGCACCGACCAGAGCCATCAGAGCTGCACCGCCTATCACTGCCAAAAACGCGTGCATTCTGGTTCGGCCTTTGAGGGTCTTGTAGCTCTTCTCTGTCAGGAAGTCTTCTGCGAGCAACTGTACCAAGCCAGCAAACAGTAGCAGCCCACTAGAGATTGCGTTCATGAAACCAACCATGAGCAAACCAGTCTGACTCATGGGGTCGTACATGTTGTGTACAATCAAGCCAATGACCTGCCCGAAAGGTGTTGTCATGCCATATGCGAGAACCATGAGCCAGGGCCGGATGGAGTGTTTGGGGAACTGGATAGCAGCGATGCGGGAGCCTAGGGCCAACCCTTCGAACGTCTGGTGGAAGGCGATCGCAATCAGAAAGACAACGAAGGGCGGGCCCGTGGCGACCGAAACAGCCATGCCAATGAAGATGCTGTGGAACAGGATGCCTGCCTCTAGCAGCAGACATTGGATCATGAGCCTTTTCTGTTCTTCCGGATTAGGAATACCGGAAGCAGTCGATCCCAAAGGTGCCTGCGCAGCAGAACCTGCCAACGGCCGCGCATCATCCTCGGCAGATGGGTCCAATTCATCGAGATCAAAGTCTAGATCATCATCATCCTCATCGCCGTTCTTCCTAATCAATGGATTGCCGCTCGCGGGAGGCACCGAGCTGGGCGAGGACTCCGGAAGAGGGGAGACACCGGCCATGAGACCCTCCCTGTCGCCCAGGTCTTGCAGAGGAATATCTGCTGGTCTGTGGCTTGGCGCACGTTTGGCCGCAAGGCTCCGTGCATTACCTGCGCCGTCAGGGCGAGAATGCCCGTGGTGGCCCTGCTCGGTCCCGTCATCCGAGTCCCAAGCATGCGCGTGGTTGTGGGAATGGCCAGCACCCCTTGTTGTGAGATATGACTCCAAAGCGACGACCACTAATGCAGACACCATAGCAACAAGGCCCGGCATCGGCCGGTATCCCTGGCTGAAGACATACGGCAAGCACGGATCGTTCAACGACGTGAATGCGGTCGGCAGGAGGTGGACGAAGGCCGTGGCTAGCAGCACTCCGGTGCCGAAGTGTTGGCTGAGGAAGACTATTCGATTCGATCGGCGGCTCTGCGATGCTCGGCGCGAAAACAGTGGGAAACCACAAGCTGAAGCGTTGGAGTCAGATTAGTCTACCCAAGGCCAGAGGACACGGCAGTGGCGGGACGGGGGCAATCCACGTACCCAAGGTGCTCAAAGTCAGGATCAAGACGACGGCAAATACGTGCAGCGGCGTGTCGTATGCGCCCCTTTCTCTGCTTCCGCAGGCGGGTCTCTCACCCGGGGTGTCTGCACCCTGCCGGCGCGCGAGCTCGGCAAGCAGGACATCGGTCGATACCGAGGACCAAGAGGACCCCGAAGGTTCTGAGAGACAGAGGGGAGAGTGTCAGCGGGGCTCGCAATAGTCGTTGGCATCAATTGGGCGGCATCTCTTTCAATGCGACACTTTCTTCGTCTGCTCAGGCTGCAAGGGTCACGTACCATCCATGTCGAAGTGGTGTCAACGGAGAGCGCAGCACACCTCGTATGACATACACATTGCACGTGGAATTGGCTACAAGTCGGCCATTGTTCTATCCGCTTCCGGGCCCAGGAGATGTGCTGCTGCTGTGCATTGGCGTAATTGGTGTAGTCCCCTCTTAGAAGAGGTATGGATGTACCAAAACGTCGGCTCCCTTTGGAAGCTTGCTGGTTGCAGACACGACGACCTCAATGACGACGCATAATCCTCGGCTCAACCTACAGGACAGGTAGTCTGGCTGCCAGACGTACTGCCTGGATAGACGGGGTAACTTAGACGGGGTCGACGGGGTAGCTTGACTTCAGTTACTTAGCGCTAAAGGGAGCTATGACCCCCCCAATACCGACCCAAACGTTGTTACCTTGATAACTGAAACCGACCTTTACGGAGTACTATGTGACTGATCCCCTATCTAACCCACATACCTAGGAGGTAACAGCTTTCGCAATGCTGGCAGGCCAAGCGTGCATGTTTCATACCCACATTACGGCTTGAGTGGTGTGGCTGTTCTGTTTTCTCAACCTCCGTTCAGCTGCCGAGACATCCCGCTCCAAATCCATCAAAGCAAGGCGCTGGGCTAGTCTTTCTTTGGACCGCAGCTTGGCTGAGACATCCCAGATTCCGCACTGCCATGTCACCTTATAGAGATACCCTCAAGGTGACATTGGAGGCATGAGGAATAGCTGATTTCAGTTTGAGCTTGCGTCATCAACATACCGCGACCCTGGACGCCAGGCTCGATATTTAAGAAAATGCAACCTGGAGATGGCTGACCAAGACATATGGTGCCCATCAGGGCAGTCTTGTTTGCATTAGCTCGGTAGCAAGAATTGTCCGGTTGGTTGACCATCACAAGGGCCCCGTGGCTGTTGCGAACAGGTACAAGCATCTTTTCACATGCCAGTGGCGCGGCTGCCTTGGGCACCTAACTGAGACACAAAAGATTCATGTTGCCACTGACAATGAGATAACCAATCTACCTCTGAACCCCATGCTCCTTCGCAAAGTGCACATAGTCAAGTGTCCATCACGCAGTTACAAGTCTAGGAAGCATTCTCGAAGGTCGCGGGCTGTGGGCACTACCTATTGGAGCATTCCAATGGTACGGAGTAGTAGAGTTTAGCTATAGCGGGGCTCCAACGATGGATCCCTCTGATAAAGCTATCTATCGGTTTAGCGAGACGGCAAACCGCCGGAACTCCATTGTCACCATGCGCGGTAACCTATGGAATGTTCTGTGTGGGCTTATAGTCCTGTAGCCAACACTGTTACATCAAACTCGAGCACATCAGAGACTGGCGAATGGCGAGCGCTCCGGCTTGCGGCTTACGAATTGCTCCTTGTCATCAGTTTCCATGTCCTCAAGTTGTGTCTTTCTACCACCATATGACGATAGCACAAGACTCGCCGCACCATGCATGTAGCGTCGTATTGCTTACGCTCCCCAATCCATCTCTCGATGGAGCCTTCATCAAGAGATCCTTCTCATTCGCTCGTCTGGGACGACGCGCTCGTCCTCAATCGTTTGCATCATGGAGCCATGCAATTCCCTAACCCAGCCAGCGGAACTACCCAGATCACCTCTTCGGCTGGGTTCGAGTAAGCCTATGATGGCTCATCGTGGGGTGATGGACAAAAAGGGAAGCTGTAAAAGTCCCGGACATCATCTGAACACCCAGAGACTGACAGACTGGCATTCCCTGGCCGGGCTCGCTGACAGTGGCCTGGCTGCTTAGCTGCAACACACCCTTCAGCCGGTTCCCGAGACTGCGGTGGCTTGTTTGGTGGAGAATGATCACGCCCCCCTGCCGACAAAACATGGGGCGAGTGCCGACGCCAATAGCGCCATCGGTATGTGCTACCACCCCAATGATAAGCATTTCTTGGGTGGCTTCCACGTTCTATGGGAACTTATCTAAGCAACATCGATAGCCCAGCCAAAGGCACGGCAATAGTGTGAAGACGCTGACAGTTGATCCACTACTTAATATATCTAGCCAACGCTGTCCACACACTCAGACCGCGTGCACTAGCAGAGATTGATAACACAGGGCGTATAATCTGCATCAGACGACCCCTGCATTTAGGCGGCCCTTGGATGCAAGTGCCGGGGCACACTTAGTTCAGTACTTTTGCAACATCGTGCCCTGCAGTGCCTTGCGCGAGCCTCATCCACCTGATCTGATGCCCTTTGCTCTCCATACATTGTGCGTCCATCCATCCTTGCTTATCTGGTTAACGTTATCTGGTAAACGTAAACCAATCACTGACCTCAACTGCCCGCTCCGGGCCCGTAAGGGTGAGGAGTAGGATCCTTGACCAAAGGCTGCGGTGCTCAGTCGACTCATTATCTCCATCAAGTAAAGCTCTTTGTCAAGGCAGACTTTCGATTCCTGCAAAGAAGTTGTCCTCTTTGACTGGTTCAATGCATGCCGCCCCATGTCTTTGCCCCATGTTCCTACGCGGACGGCCCGTCTACGCCACATCCCATGTCATTCGCGGGGGAGCGCCTGTTCCTATCTTCATCGTATCTCACTCGCATCTTTTGTCCATCCACTCGACACATTTGTATAACACCTCTGCGCCCTGCAGTCGCATTGCCAAGCAAGCCAAGGCCTCACTGCGCCAAAACCCCTACATGGCGTCCAGCAAAATCAAGCTCTGGCGACAGCACCTGCCCTTTCGATGAGCTCGTGTGCCACTATTCCTCCCTAGTAAGCTGCAGAGAAGAGGGCTTGCGATGATCTCCTGCCATTTTCTGATTCGTGCCATCGACTGGGAAGTTGTTGCCTTGTGCAGCTCTTCTGCGCTGAACGCCGATCCGAAGCTCGAGGCCCTCGGACCCTTGAGACCCTTGATCAGCAGAGACGGTATCACGAGATATGGCGGAACTTCGCAAGATCAATGAGAAGACGGTATATAAATCGACTCGATGTCTCGATACTTGGGCCACTTCTTGATGAACATCAGCTGCTTGCTCTCTTAACTCTGAATCGGAATATCACAAACTCACAATGGTCAATATCCGTCGCATCGTCCTCTCCTTGACAGCTCTGCTGCCCCTTACTTCTGCAGCCCCAACTCAGAAGCAGCAGAAGCGTGAGGTCATCCCGGGAAAGTATATCGTTACCCTGAAGGACAGCGCCAGTACCAGTGATGTAGAGTCTCACTTGGGCTGGGTCCAGAGCGTCCATGCTCGTAGCTTGACTAAGAGACAAACTGCTGGCATCGAAAAGACCTACAGCATCAATTCATGGAACGCTTATGCTGGCGAGTTCGATGATGCCACCATCGAGGAGATTAAGGCCAGCGCTGATGTATGCCCTAATCACCCCCCCCTCGCCCCTTGACACAAGTGACTGATACTCTCCCAAGGTCGTGGATGTCGAAGAGGACCAAGTTTGGCACCTCTTCGATCAACCCAGCAATGTTGAGCTTGCCCCTCGTGCTCTGGTCACCCAAACAGGCGCAACCTGGGGTCTAGGGACGGTGTCCCACCGTACATCAGGCAGCACGACCTACATCTATGACTCCACCGCCGGCACTGGCACCTATGCCTATATTGTTGACACTGGTCTATTGACCACTCACAACGAGTTCGGCAGCCGCGCTTCGTATGGCTACAACGCTGTTGGCGGGTCCAACGTCGATAGTGTTGGCCACGGGACTCACGTCGCGGGTACCATTGGCGGCACGACATACGGTGTTTCCAAGTCGACAACGTTGATCGCCGTGAAGGTAATCTAGGACGGATTCAACCCAGTCAAACAAGTCCGCGACGCTAATTTCTCAAAAAGGTTTTCGAAGGGGAGTCGAGTTCGACCAGCATCATCCTTGACGGGTTCAACTGGGCTGTGAATGACATCACCAGCAAGGGCCGCGCATCCAAGTCTGCCATCTCCATGTCTCTTGGTAAGTCCCAGAGAAACTCCTTTTTTTTTCGTCTGGTTCGGCGTTAGCTAATGCCGTCGCCCTATAGGTGGGGGTTTCTCTTCGTCGTTCAACAGCGCTGTCAACTCGGCATACAGCTCTGGTGTGCTTTCGGTCGTCGCGGCCGGCAACGATGGCGCCAACGCCGCCAACTACTCACCTGCATCGGCTGCCAATGCCGTCACCGTCGGAGCCATTACCTCGACCTGGAGCCAGGCGAGCTATTCCAACTATGGCAGCGTGCTCGATGTCTACGCACCAGGTTCCAGCGTGCTCTCGGCCTGGATCGGCTCAAACACCGCCACCAATACTATTTCCGGCACCTCTATGGCGACACCTCACGTTACTGGCCTGGCTCTGTACTTGATCGCGCTCGAGGGTCTCAGCACGCCTGCCGCTGTTATCGCCAGAATTAAGGCTCTGGCTACCAGTGGCTCGATCACCAGCCTCGGCAGCGGCTCGCCCAACCTCATCCTCTACAACGGAAACGGCGCCTAGATACGTTTTCCAATTGTAATGTGATATGATTCGAACAACATGACGATGGGACTGCATGGCATTTAGCATCACCTTTGAACTAGGGTCATTTTGGGCATCCAGGGGGTGGCTTAGCATGATGGCCTGGTCAACTTCGCTTCTAGAGATATTTTCCAGAACCAGCTTGGTGAAACAAATTCTTCTCGGCGCTCTTGAATGTGATATCTACATTTGCGGTACGATGTTGCCCTGAGATTTCCGCTCATTGTGTGGCAGACTGAGCGAGCTGCCCGTGCGTTACCCCTTGCCGACCTCGAGGTATCTGAATCTTGCCCGTCTATGCATCAGTCTGAAGTACGATACACAATCACGCCTTTGGAATATTAGTTGCCCAAGGATATGTCGTTGGCATTGCAGCCCATGGGCTCAGATTATTGTAGTCGCGCGTTGTGTTCTTGCCCTGCAGAATCTTCTGGACGAACGGTAGGATATTAGTACTGCTGTTGCGTTAGACCGTCGATCCAATGCATTTACGATGATACGGAAATATACGCACAAGCCGCTCATGTCACAGTGTCCACCACTTCGAATCCCCATACCAATCTGGTCGCCAGCTCCGAGCCAGTCGTAGACCGCCTTTGCGGCCGGGTAGACGACGATCGCTGTCGCTTTGGAGTTTGTGAACTGATCTCCCTGGCCTTGGTCGATTATCAGTGCTCTTGGGGCCAGGGCTGCGGCGATAGTATGCGCGTCGTATGGTAGGTTTTCTGCGTGGTTGACGAATGTTCCCAGCGTGGAATCACTCCACCACCCTGCGCCCGACTTCGAGTTTTCGAGGGTCTCATCTTGGCCTGACATGGCGTGGTACCTGTAGGGACCCACGCCCTGCACACCGGACGACATAGGCATGGTCAGCGTGATGCGAGTATCGAACAACCCAGCGGCGAGAGCACCCTTGCCGAGTCGCGAACAACCGGTCACGCCTACTTTCGTCGGGTCGATCTCGGGCACTGTCATGTTGAGCGCATCGAGCGTCCGATGGAATCCCCATCCCCACGCCGTGAGAACGCCTGGATATGGAAAACGAGAGTCAGTGTGTGTGATGTAGTGGCTCAAGTGAGATGCGCCGATTACTGACCAATGTCTCGGCCCTTGTAAATATCCCAAAAAGCACCGGTCTTGGAGTTACTGTCAGCAGCCACGCTTGTGTAGTCGAAACCAACCACGGCTATACCAGCCTGAAGGTATGGTTGGTTCTGCATGCCTCCAATATTGATCACCACGGGAACTTTGGCGCTCGTGCTCGCACCACCCGGCAATGCCACTGTCGCCCTGAACTTCCCTGTCTTCCCGCCTGCCGTGACCTCGATGCTGACGGTTGTACCGCTCCGCGTTGCCTTGACCGTCTCCTGAGAATGGTCTGGATAGTACCCGTACTGGTATTCCTGCAACATATTCAAAATCTCTGGCTGCCTGCATTGTATCCACTCCTCTTTAGACGCAATACGTCCTGCTGCTTTACCAGACATGATGTCACTTGCCGAGTTACCGGAGTCCGTTGTCGTTTTTGAGAGTGGGAGAAAGGGGTCTGGTAGCGTGGTCTGGATCGGAAGTTGTTGCCACGTTGGGTATTTGCCAGAGGCAAATGTAGACGCACAGGAGACAGCCGCAAGAGCACCGCGGACAAGGTCTGTCTCGGGCTGTGGCAGCGCGTTGGCCAGGGCTACAAGAGCCAGAGGTCCGAGGAAAGACGATCGAATCCACATGATAATGGCCGCTAAAGTATAGTGAACCGTGTTTGGTGGTGACGAGCCAATATTCTACTTTAGAAGCATGCTGCTTATAAGAAAGTCATGGCCGAATAACCGGCGCTCAAGGGCCCGGTTAGGACCCGGACAGGGCGTGCCCGGCGGCAATATAGAATGCCCTCCATCCTGGAATTGCCGCTGCGCTGACGAAACTGCCGGATATTAGGTGCAGGTGTTATTATACCAAGGGATTGGTCTCCAGGAGGACCTTCGAGACTACTAATTGTCTTTCTCGCGCTGGGGTTGGCGCTGTTGGTGGATAACGGAGGCTTGGCGGTGATATATATTTTTTTTCGTTGAGGGTCCAGTGAACAACCGCATCTACAAATGAAGTATATGTCAAAGGAAAATTCCCAAGCAACTGATAGCGAGGCATGAGGTCTAGTTAAAGTCGACCATGATCGCCATGCCAAGCTACTTCATTAATGCCCAGGCGACTTTAGCCGACAGGTGGACAAGAACGGCAGGTAGGAAGAAGGGAAGCCCCACGTCGCAACGACCCAGGCCATCCCAATGTGCCGAACACTACATTCTTAATCGCATTGTGGGGGCTGCGTCTTGTGTAGCATATGATTATCTACCTAGACTGTTTGTCAATGGTCATATTAGAGATGCACATCTGTCGCTGCCAAGACCATAGGGTTGAGTTATGCCTTGGGGATAAACCAGGGTTCCACCGGTATGCCTGCCAAGAAGGGACAATTATTCTGGCCATCTACGACGTTCTTAGTGATATCCTCAGGATCAGGTATTATGAGCCTGTGCTCACTATCTTCGTATCAGTGGGAGCTACTACTCGTGAATGTCCAAGGTCTTGGCACTCGTTGCCCGTTCTCAAGTTAAAGCCTCAAATCAGGTCTTGTGTTGGGGCTGGTATATGAGTCTTTCTAATAGTACAGTTGAACTTGGTCAGAGACGTAGCTTATAAGTACACTCAGGCATCGGTGATCCGTGGTCCTATCTTCTCCAGAACCTCCATGCACTGTGCCCAGCAAAAGCTACTGTCGACAAGATGCCGATCCAGGCTACGCTTGCTTGGGCGACTTTGTATCGCATGAATCTGTCTCTAGCTTCCCTATCGTTTGCTCGAGGGAATGGTTTTGTGGGGACTGGCTTTCCAAGAAACCTGCAAAGTGGCTCCCAGCCAGCAGCCAGGTCCATTTCCAAGAGTTTATCTTTAGGCACCTGTTGCCTGACCCAAGCATTGTGCTTCTCCAAGAAGAGCCCATCCTGTGACTCAAGACCATGAACTCTCCACAAACTGATCGAGGTCAGCCAATAATCTCATGAACAGAAAGGGTGGCACCGTACTCTTCTTCGAATCCCTTCACTATTGAAGGAAACCATCGAGCGCCAGGTATGGGAAACAGGAGGATCTGGAGGAAGAAAGTCGCCACCGCGCTTTTGGCCGTCTCATCCCCAAATACACTGAATGACTTCCACCAGCTTTCACGATCTCTCGTGACGAGAACCACTTTAGCATCCGGATAGAGCTCCATGAGCTCAGGCAGAAAGTGAATCATGGGGCAGTCAGCACAGCCAACGAAGCCCCCAATAACCTCCTGTAGCGTTTTCATCAGTCTCACCCGATCTCCTTCGCGGCGGTATTTATACAGCAAGCTAAGTTTCCTGCAGTATGCTGCGATTCTATTAGTCGGGGCGTTGGTCAGTAGAAAGAAGTGACCCTTATCTTACCATCCTCTCGGTTGAACATCTGTGTGCCTCCATGCATCGCTGGTCCATCAAGTAATTCCTCAAAGGCCATTGCGAAAGACATGGTGGCAGTTCGTGCATAGCCCATGTCTATGACCTCCAATTTGCGGGATGTATCCCGGGGTATTGAGGGTTGAGCACCCATGTTATGACGCCCAACAGTTTTCGGCGTGTTAACTGCGATGAAGGCTGACTGTCTGTATAGAATTGAGGCGTGGAGCGCAAAGTGCAGAGTTGCACGTACTGAACGAGTCTTCCTCGCTTGAATGGATGAAGATGAGTAATTAACTTCAAAAGGACGCTGCAATGTCGTTCGATCGTTCAATCGGCTTATTAGTCATCCCGATCTTACATTCGGACTCTTCGGACTCTTACCGGAACCCTGGAACTTGGAAGCGCTAAAGCTCGCCGGGTACCCAGGTACCAGCACTGGCGCGTGCTAGGTAATCTGGAACTAAGAGTACCTAGGGCATCTAACTACATCCTTCACTACGTTCCTAGTCCCTAAGTTAGGTCCTTAGGTCGGTAGCAGCTCTGAGCTTCTTGTCTTTATGTTTCATCAAGGCATCTCTCGTTGGTGGGCATACGTTTAAGCGGCTGCATTATATGCGACTGACTCGAGCCGGCGGGAAACCCAAAAACATAACCAATATATAACTGTCACTGTTTATGCGGCACATAATCAGATTAAGATTCCAAGGTCGCTGTATGGGCGGTATATATCACACACGAGAAGCCCTCTTCCCCCCGCGCTACGACGGTTGTCGGCAATGCTGTCGACCTAACTCAGTCAACAGAGACGGAAACCAAGAGTGCATCATAGATGGGCGATCGAGGGGCTTCTTAAGAGCTCTGAAGATCTTCCTCTGGTTCTTTACCATCAAAGGAAGAAACGTTTATTAACCTCGGGGATTGTCGAAAGCCCACGGTCGCCCACAAAACGATGTTGTGAGAGCATCTCTACCGATCATGGAAGTATGCCGTTACTAGCACCGAAGTTGATGAGAATGAGTTTGTTTTCGACTTTCCATAGAGGAAGAATCGATTCTGGGTGACCAGGTGCCGAGTCTGCCCTGACTTTCGGTTTCAGCGGAGCCCTATCATTACATTTCTACCATTTCAGATCCATTGGCAGAAGAACACCCACCGTGCGTGTAGCCTGACTTCAATCACGACAGGAGACAGCCTAGGTATTACATTGTCAAAGGTAAGGAATCTCCCAGCCCAGTGGCATGATCCAAGCTAATCTGGTTATAGTACAACACGCGATTTATGGTGGGCAAAGAGCAGCAACATGCAGCTGAAGTGTAGGGTTTGCGCATCACATCCTTGGTTTCCAGGGGCTAGATGTCATTGCTAATCTTTTGGTAGGCAGCGACATCAGCAAAACCGATCCACGAAAGAAGAAAACGAAAGACTTCTCCCATGTTACGCCCTCACCTCCCAAAGCTCGTCGTCAGGATTAGTGGGAAATCCGACGGTCCCAAGGTGTATCAGGAACTTTTACGACTGTATAGCTCAAGTTGAAATCGAAGATCAAATCTCGCACTTACCACAGACCCTTGGCCTCATAACCGCCTAGGTCTGGCCAGCAAGGAACTCCGCGTACCATACAATACTGGAGTCCGAATGACTTACTTGAGAACTCCTCACGTCGTGAGCTATTTAGAGAATGGAACAATCCTGCTCCGCCCTTATTTCTTCCCTACTAGCCCGTTGGGTTGACGAGCTCGCCATCGCCTCAGTTTCAAGCCGCCGAGTTCACAGCAGCATTGGTCCAGCATCACCCTCCGCAAAATATTCCGACCCATCACGATCACATATACCAACAGTCGGTTCCATCTTGAGTGATACAAATCATTCTAGACCATTCGGCTCGGGGCACTTTCCGGCTTATCTACCAAGTTTCGGGGTTCCATGCCGGACTCAACATGTGACTTGACACCAGTGAAGGTTGAGAAGGTCCATAAAGATTAATATCGAACAGCGCGTTAGTACTAGAGATCATTGGGGGTGGCGTGGGTTTGGGGGATTGTGAAGCTGGCAAAAATGATCTCCGAAGAGTTCTGACCATTCCTGGTTCGCGCTCACCTGATACTGACATCATTGTTTCTGCTCTTTGAATGAATGTGAAGACTTCTATTGGTTACAAATGATCGCTATGAATGACTGACTGTGATGAGAAATTTGTGCTTCCTGGCCTCTCAACATATCTCTTGTTGAAGTTACAAGACCGATGGGCCTAGTGGCCGTGAAAGGCGTACGGTACGCGTATCGTGCTGGGTATACAATTCGTTTGTACTAGGCCTCAAGGCCCAACATTATGACTGTTCCGCCCAATGATTTGTTTTCCTTTTCGGCGGTGGTGACAAGCCATCCTCCAAGTCCTTCTCCTCGCTCGTTGCGGTAAAAGAGTGCGATCTCCTATCGTTGTCCGTATCGAAACTCTTTCCAGAGTGTGAGCTGTGTAAGGCTGGGCTACGTTCGTTTGACAGCGGCCACGAGTCGGAGAAATGGAAAGTCTGAATTGCTCGTTCGGTGTCCACAGCAGATAATGACCCCAACCTCTGCCAGGAATGGTCTGGCTCCTCTGGGATCTCCCTCAGGGCGATTATATCGGCTCCTTTCTTGGAGCCGTCGCTGTATGTCGAAGCAGATATTCTCTTACCAATTGTGGTTTCACGTTTGCTGACCGCCGATGCCCGTTTGCTCCCAAAAGACATGCTCCTCGTATCGCCTGTCAAAGTCGACTCCAGCTTTTTCGTTACAAGTGAAGTGTGTATCTCTTTTATGATTGTCCGCAAGATGGGGATGCATTGCACCATGATGGTTCCGGTGACCTCGGATGAGTACCTGCGATTCACAATTAGGCCTCAAGTCAGCGTCTTCGCGGGCCATTACACTTACCAGACTTGAGACACTCCATTCCGCCCTACAGATGATGCTTGTAAGTACAACGTCGAGTAGATAAGTGGGTGAATGACTGACATATATAGTAAGGGTCACGCTCATTTCCATCATCTTTCCAGCTAATCCTTACTGCCGAAACTATGGCAACGCTGCTGATAATTAGGCACAGTCGGGACCAATATAGAATTGAGGTTGTCAGATCTTACACCATCCCCAGGCTCAAGGTCACACAAAGGCCGATCTTCTCTACCTTTCGCATCTCCAGTGACCGAGTGATTAGCCACGGGAAGGACGCGAAGATGAAATCCATAATGACATTGTAAACTGGAGAGATTGTGTGTTAGTTACCCTGGCATAATTTTGCAACTCAAGTCATAAAGGATACTCACCATTGCCCCCTTCTTTGAAGTCGGCTCGGAACGTCGGTCCAATGCAAAAATTAAGTCGATACCAGTCCTGGTAATTAGATTTGCCGCAAACTTTGGCCCACTGGAAGATAACTTTGAGAACCATCCATACGTTCATTGTCGATATGCAAAACCACAGTACTCCCTGCTGCCATCTGTTACTTAGACGCAACAGAGTTACGGCGAATGCAGTCTTTGTAAGCGCTTGCCCTATCAATGTTCCGCAGGACGAAACGTTGATCAAGATGTGCATTCGATCGTCCCATGACTGTGTTGAGTCTTCCAAGATGTAGCCTGTTGCGAATTCGTAGACGATTAGGATGTTGTTTGCCAATAAGATCGTCTGATAAATGGCGAGTCAGCAGAGGCCTTTGTAACAGTTTGAGTTCTAAGTCTCGAGAAACTCCGCACACCACGCATGGAGAGCTTACCCATGATACAATAAGGATATAGTCATCGTACCATAGCCCATGTCGACGGTCTATTTTACACCAGAGCCGCAATCCCAGGAAGACGGTTGCACCTGCGAAAAGTGACCAGAGCCCAGCATTGAGCTCGTTCCAGGGCGAGATGTACGTAAAGACCGGGTCATCGTCTGAGTCGCGAGCAATGGTATTCATGATCACATTCTGTTGTGCAAGTGAAGGACGCAAGGGGCGCTGGCGGTATTGACACGACGAAGTGCAAACAAGGGAAGAACAAGTCCATAGATCACCATTGAGAACACAACAGAGCAGACCGACAGGGCAAAATACATATCACCCCCCGGCAGGCCACGATGAGGCCCCCTTAAGCGGATTGTCTGCAGGGGGTGTGAAACTTTCTCCACCAAACAGAGTTCCTCGAACAAATACCAACGGGATCGGGTCCGGCCAACTGGGAACATCCGTTCGCCGGGATGGCCTGCATGGAATGCAGTCAGCTTAGTGCAATTATTGGATGCAGTCATTGCATTCCGCCGTACCCTTCTTGGTGGTTGGCACCACCATCATCTATGGCATATAGCACAGGCACAGCATTGGCCCAAGCTACGGGACGCATGCGAGCAGCGCAACTTGTCTTTGGAGAACGCGACTTCGTATCCGGTTTCTCAAACTGAAGAGACAAGTCTTTTGGGGTTGAAACGTGGGGTAGCGTTCGTCTAGTCAGTAACAATTGCCAAACGCCTTCTAAAACCTCCGAAGCTCAGCCTCGTCACACGATATCGAGATGAGCTGCATGTGAGTAGCGTCTTTTCAGATGAGAGCTCATCCACGTTGATCGGCAAAGACTCCAGACAGGGCTAGGGTTCAGTTGCGGCCATGTCAAGGTTGGAAAATGGAGGCACGTGTAAAAGAACAAGGTCAACCAGCCTTCCTGCAGGGGTCGGAACCGAGGGGGGCTTGGCCCGCGGTGTCACTTCCACAACTGGCGACCACCGTGCGATGTGACCAGTTGGCAATAGCCAGGGGCGAAATGGTGGGCTCGGCTAAGGATCAGAATCACGTTGGACTGCGGACAATTTCCAGAAACCCGGCTTGCCTGGTCGTTGCGTGACCTGGCCAGGTTTACATGTTGTCAGAATCGGATGCAAGGGTGACGGGTACGAAGACAGGGCAGAGGTCGCTACACGCCGAGCTGGGGCGATCCCTCCACTTGTCGCATCTAGATCGGAACAGTGGAGTGCCCAAGCTTGTGGAACTCTTGGGACGAGGGCACAACTTGCTATCGATAGAGAACTGATGGCTTCGTTCGGCATGGTCTACCGCCACAGACCGGGGTTATAAATAGGACCCCATAAGTAAGGACACATCAGGGCATAAGTCGTACGTAGGACGCGTTGGGAGGGCGCAGTACTAGTGTTCGAAATAGAGAAGGGAAGAAAAATATAAAATTTGCCATGAGCCATGGCGAAGCGCAGATTGATTGAGCTGGCGGGTACGAGCCGCATGTGGTGTAGACGCGTGGAGGCCGACGTATTTGCAGCGGGGTGAGCCCTCGAACGCGGTCCAGAGCCCTGGTCTTTGTTCTGTTTCTGTTCCGCATCACGACGACGGAGCGGAAATGCCGCCAACGCTGGATCGCCGCCACCCCACCCGCTGCAAGATCCGTCATATGTGATACGCGAACATCAGCAATGTGACCGGTAGTTGAGAGATAATTGATGCTTTTTCTCCCCCCACTTCTGTCTTAGGGCGACGAAAGCTGTGTCGTTCCGTGGCCACCTGACCAAGCCCCGTGCCCTACCTAACTGGAGAAACTATAATGCGCTTATTAGAACAATCGCCCAAGCATTATAGCACCATTTGGCGGAGTGAAATTGGAGTTGGACCGCGATCGCGATCAGAACCATCCTCGCTGATATCGGGCTTGTATGACGGTTAGGGCTGTCTAATGTCAGCTTCTACGTTTGCTTACAGAGCAGCTCAGTTCTTCCTTCAATGAGATCCCGTTAGTAAATTCATTGCTCACAGATGAAGATCTATCCGTAGGGAATCAGAAGGCTTTTGTGAGGGCAGAGTGAAGTTGCAACATTGCGGTGTTCGGTAGGTCGTTCATTAGCCGGAACTTGGTGCCTATTGACTTGACGATTCGGCAAACGTCGTGAGATTTTCAACACGCATGACTATGAGGCTCCCAGATCTAACGCCAAACTTGGTCACAGCCTAGGTTTGTGGCGCTAGTAAGTTATTACTGATACAAGACTACTGCGAAGCCTGACGTTGTTATTAACCCATGTAGTCAACAGATAGCATGTAGCGAAGCAGATTTCTGTAAGCTACTCAGTGAGATTATGAAGTACAGCACAATGATCATTAAGTTCACTGCAATTCTTGCCCTTTGAGCACAATCTCCATCAGTTTCACAAATGGCACTGGGAGAGTTCCATGTAATAGAAGGCCTTGAACTGTTAATATGCATGCACAGTAAGAGTTTCGGTAGGGGGACTATTCACTACAAGAAGCGAGAGTATTAGCTGGTAGCCAGCCAAGATCGCACTGTTCAGTATCTTGCACAGAACAACATTATGGCATCTCAGCGTTGAATATCTCTCCCTTGTGGTTATTACGAAGTTCGAACTATCACCACAGCTGCATATGCTTGCCAGCTTATAATGCACTGCATTCAACAGTGTTCATCACCAAGAGTTTCCCACACGCAACGGTCATACATTTCACAGTCTATTGCACCTCTCTTGAAAGCGTATTCTACTCGGGGATGATATATGGATATTTTATGCATACCAGAGAAAGACCTCTACAATTACAATTAATACAGTACATTGATGAACCCATTGACTAACCCTTTGATTCTTGAGACAAAATGCTCAAGCGGTGTGCTGTCTACAGTTGAAGCAACACAATATGTTTTTTGACTACTCCTGTCCACATCTAGCGGTCATGAAGAGTGGCGAGACTCCTGTGGGGAACTTTGGAGAATGGGAGATAAGATCAACTAATCGTGCCGATGCCTCTGCATTGCACCGTCTTCGGGTATGGCCCGGATGTGTCACAGCCTTCATCGATAGTATGCTGACACCACGGTCAGTAAGGCTGGTGACCTATTGCCAGGGGAACCAGTCAAGAAGATGAGGGGGTCACGCCTGTCAAGATTTTAGACTCCCAGATGGAGCATAGTCCAGAGGCCTTACAGAAAGGCCTTTAGTATGGAGGCACACATTTGGACCAAGCCGCCAACTGATGTTGGACCGGCGTACTTAAGACGAAAGAAATATATTCGTGGGGATTGATCTATCAGAGCTCCATAAGCCTTCGAAGAATGCCAGTACCAGTTGCCAATGTGAACGGATTTTGAGACTAGATTGGCATATCCCCTCTGCGTTCTGGGCGATAATTCTGGAAGTCTTTTACTATATCATAACCCAGCAGATTAATGCAAATTCCATTCCAGACGAGATTCGATTAATATGTATCGCATTCCTGCATACAAAAGTTGCAATGGGTCGAACAACCGACACCGAATAGATGTAACTGACTGCGTATATTGGAATCTGATTCTACTTCTAGATAGAGCAAGCAGCGTTCCACCTCGCGTCACCATGAGTGACATTCAGAGCAGCCTGCACCGTACCTGCAGCCACAAAGTCTGCTAAGCTGCAGGATCCATAGTCGTCACTTTCACAACCTGTAGGACCTAAATCGAAGTTGGCCTCGTTGAGGAGCAACTGTATTCTCTTTTCGCCATCGCATGAAAGCCCTCTCCAGAGCATCTGCGCAGCGAAAGGGACTTGCTTCGCAGTTCGCCAAAGACGCGTAGCATTCACTGGCCCTTCCGCTGGATACTCAGAATCCGCTGCGAGCCCTAGTGCGGTGAGACCAAGGTCAATGGTTGTGTCGTGACCAAAATTGAGAGACAAGTTGGGGCCTGAATCATTCTGGAGGAAGGCAGTGATGTTGGAAACGAGAAGACTACCGATGACTGGCCCCATACCGTTTGGAAGTCCATATCCAAACGCCCCTCGCATTAGAAGATCGTATTCATATTCATGCTGCAGAATCTCTTCCGGCAGAAAGACAGGGCACCAAGGCGACGAATCGAGCCCAGATACTGCGGTGCCATATGCACAGGCGTAGAGCATTCCATGAACAAGACTTGAATTGAAGTTGACTGTCGGATAAGCAGGTTTCAGAGCCTCGTTGATACGCTTCGCCAAGGGAGGCAGGTATACAACACCCCACTGAGATACGAGGGACCCGCCGAAACTGTATTTCCACCCCTCGCAGGTGTCCATGGGCGTGATCCACGAGACTGTCACGTCGTCCTCCGCTATGCGGTTGAGTGTCGCTGTTGCATTTGCGGAGCGTCCGTAATAGCCATCCATGAACCACACAGCGGATTCGACAACACGATCCTGATCTCCGGCAAGGACGACGTCCGTGTGTAGGTCCGGATATTGTAATCTGAGCGCGACGCCATGGTCGAACAACTGTTGACGGCCTATGGCCGAGAGATCATTCGTCGTGAATGTACTGTTCCATCCTTTGGTGAGGAAGGCGAATTCAGTCGGCAGCTCAGTTTGTGGTTGTGAGAACAAGTCTGTGTTGTTATTGATGTAGTAAGATAGATTCCGAATGGCACCGATCTCGTCTGAGAGGGGATTACGCGACCCATGCCGATGAACAAGAAATGCCTTCTCGACGGAACACCCCGGTGGCGTCCCTGATTGCAGAGAGCTCGGGGTGTTGTCCGGCTTCCAATAGGGTGACAGGTTCCCCAGGTGCTCATATGGATTGAAGTGACAGGATGAGCCCGCGAGCACTGTGGCTGGCAAAGATGCAAAAGCTGGCATCAGCCAAGCAGCTTTCCTCCAGAACCCTGCCGCCATAATGACAGCCAATACCAAGAAGATGCATCTTCGATCAGCTTGGCGGCGTCGGGCCACTTTTGTACGACCGTCGTGGTCCCAGGGACTCGGCTTCCGGATCTGCGGCATGCTGCTTAAGTCGCGTTGTTTAGCGGGGACCCATGGGCCAGGTCAACAGCCCGATGGATATCGTAGAGGCACCTTCCTGATTCGGGAGAGCGTCGCGTGCGCATCTCCGACTGAATTGGTTGCTCGGGGCCCCGAGAAGTAGATAGGCAACCCGATCTCTACAGTGACGGAGGGTGAGATTATAGCGTTCCTGATATGAGGCTCTCTCTCTCTTCTGTAAGGCTCTCTGTTGTGTGCATAAGGTACAGTGGGGATTGGCAGGTCGGACCAGAGCGAAACGTGTCAGCGAGTCAGCCCTGAGCTACTGAGCCCCGCACTCAACCTCCAAGGCACCCGCACTTCTGGGAACAAACCACAATGGGGTACCGGTGTCGCAGCTTCCTATGGTCGCTTCATGGGCTGTCCCGTACAACTTCTTCACTTTCGGGAGGAGTTTCTGGGTCGAAATCCAGACCTATGTAGTGGGTGTAGCCCGATGATATTCTTTAGGGGTTATTATTCTTGGGGCTGTCTTCAACCAACTCTTGGCTCTCGAGCAAGCAACAAGGCTCGAGATACATTGACAGAGTGCAACTACCCAATGCTTCAAGCCGTCTTGCTTATTTGAGGGTAGTAATCACGGAGAAGATTCCTCATCGGCAGGAAAAGCTTTTGGCCTGAACACTCATTGTCTTGCTTCTCCTGCTGAGCCTGCCAGTCAAGTAATTCTTCCCAGCTTGTCCATCGCCACTCCTCACATTTATCGACTTCTATAACCTGTGAGCTGATCAGCAGCCCGATCCCAGGGGGGGCTTCGCGTATAGACTCACTCGTGGTTCTTGTGTAGCATCTCTCCTTGCGCATTCTACGAATATGGTGATGTAGTGCTTCCCGAGATCCTCAAAAACATCATTCGTCACCGCAACGATCTTCACGCCCTTAACCTCCAAGCCGGTCTCCTCGAGAGTCTCTCGTTCGGCGCAAGCAAAGTGTGACTCGCCGAACTCCAGGTGGCCACCAGGGACAGCCCAGGCGCCTGCAGTCAGGTCAGTAAGTCACTCAGGTGCGTAGCCTGCTTGATGTTCACCGTTGCAGCAAGAATACACTTACCTGTACCGTGGCTGGCCAGGCGTTTGCCAACGATTATTTTGCCTTGTTCATTCCTAATTAGTGCCGCTACGCCAACACGTGGGTTAGCGGAGGACTCCAGCATAATTGGGTTTGAACGGCGAAAAGCTCCCCTGAAGGCGTGAAGGCGGGAATGCTTGAGATGGGTGATTGCTCAAAATTGCACCTTGAGGCTGTAGTACAGGGGATGATTGGCCTCCCACCACCCCGCTGTTCAGTGGGTCACTCGGTGCGGCCATTGCCGGGTCCTCCTTCGTGAAAGCGATTATCTTACTAGTGGGAATCGTGCGTTAGGTACGTTTGAAGTAGACCCTAACGTCCACCCACTGCTCACAGAACACGCCTACCAAGGTAAGTTATAGACAGCGTTCATAGGAACAGATTATAGTGGAGTGCAGAGTCGTATACCTCCGATGAAGAGGAAACGCAATAACGCAGAGCAACGCTCCGTATTCATCGACGTGGTTTAGGATGGCTGCGTAAGTAAGTAAGCTTCACGTGTAACTTCGGCATGGTAGATAAAACGACAAACCGGACATGGTCGATACCTTTTCTGCGTTTGTTCCCCCTGTCAAGGCAGAAACATTTCCTAGGACAGTAGGTTTAGCTCTACCGTTGCTGCATTGCAATTGCACGGGAAACCAGAGGTGAATGTTCATTGATAAAACGAGTTATTACTCCCCCCTTTTTTTTTATCAAAGAAAAAAAAAGAGTTCATCCAGGGCTTGAACGCACGCATAGTGCCGTCAAATTGCCTGGACGATGGCAAATGATGTGCAACTTGGGTTCGATCATCATCTCATGGACGTCACACTCGGTCCTGATATCACGAAATTACTTGCTCTAAGATCAAAAATGCGCTCTTTGGGCATTTATCATCGCCAACGGAAGGCTCCTTGCTGCATAAAACTTTGAACTGTTGTCTAGAATTAATTTCCACGGTGAGTTTCCTGCGAATCTAAATGTTTACTTTCAGTGTATTTGCAATCCAACTTGTAGGGCCACGTATTCAGATAATTTGGTCATCATGAGTAAAGGCTATTTACCGCAGACTATGTTTCAACCGCGGAATTTCGACTGGCCTATTGTGTAATTAGACATTGTAGGGACTTAAGCGTTGTGAATCGTCCAGCGAATGATCGCCTCCTTCGAGGCGATCATCTGCCAAATTGCTCTGTCATCTCTTGAAGCCCGAAGAGAGCCTGATAATACAAAGGATGACAATCCATCACAAGAGTTGTTCAACCAGAAGAATTTAATTTCTGTATAGCCTAATGACTTGTATTGTATCTCATATGGATACAATATTGGTCGGCAAAATCATCATCATCAGAGCAACATGATGAACCCACCAGTCCATAGCTAGTCATGATGTTGCACCTTAGAATTGCAGAAAAAGTGTCTAGTTAGATAAGCCGCTTTCATCGCCGGCGTACAATGAATTAGCGAGCCTCGTTGGTGAGGAACTCCTCATCTTGGTCGATGTGATAGGAAGCGAACTTCCTCGCAGGAATGCCCTTCTGGAACATGAAATCCATCTCCGCAAAAGTCCTGTCCTTGGTTTCTGGAAGGCGGAAGAGTCCCCAAACCGTTGTAAGAAACGCGAGAGAACCCCAAAAGAAAGCCTATGCGCATGTCAGAAAAGATATGGAGTAAGCGTCGTATTAAGCCGGCTTACCGTCTTCCCCTTGGCATTCCAAGCTGTCGGTGACATGAATTTCGGTTCTGTTTAGCGATACTGGTCAGCTGAAGTCTTTCAAGCTCGCTGATACATCATTGGCCGCTAGTTGAGACTCTGCTCCACAGTTGATACCAACACATTGTGGAGCCTTGCGATCTTTCTAGCATAGCAGGACACAACCGCTATTCTAAAGCAGGTGACTTACGGAGTATTCCGCCAATTAAATTCCTAACAGGTACATTTAGCTCTCTATTTTCACAGTATGATAGGCAATACTCACCCAATATAATAGGTACCCCTTCCCAAAACCACCGTCTGGGTACGGAGACGAGTTGAACCAATTTCAGAGACAATTGTGTATACAATTGGGCCGACACTCATGGAATAGGCACCCAACCATACTAAACATAGGCAGGACTGTGCCCAGGCTAGTTGGATAGTTTGCTCGGGGACACAGGCCAGGATGCCGATGAGAAACAGCACGACGACCAACACGAAGAAGCCGTATAGCCAAATGGTGCGACGGCCCCATCGAGCTAGATATAGCCATGATATGACGGTTCCCATGAATGCAATGGCTGTTCCTGCTAGTCCGATTGCATACGAAGTGTCGTCACTGATGCCGGTTTGCTGGAAAAAGAAGGTTCCAGTGTAGCATAGAGCACCACCATTCGTTATTTGTGAGAGGAAAGCCATGCAAGCGATTTCGGTTCGCTTTTTATTGGTCCCTTTGAATGCATCAAATAGTGAAACACCGGCTTGTTCGTCTTTCTCAATCTTATTTGTATGAACCATCAACGCAATCGTGGCGTCATAGTCAACGTTGTGCTCCGGCTGCGAGAGTCGTTCTAATGAGCGGCGGGCTTTCTCAAGCTGTCCAGTACGGACCAGGAACCATGGCGATTCGGGCGCTAGCAGGGCAACAATGAAAAGCGGTATGGGCCAGACCCATTGAACAGCGAAAGGGATTCGATAGGACCAGTCAGTTGGATCGTTGACAAGACCCTTTAGAACGCCTGCGGAGATAAATTGCCCAATACACCAACATAGGTTGATATACGCCGTAAGGTAGCCTCTCAGGGCCATAGGGGCTACCTCGGCGGCGTAAGACGGGCCAGTGGTCGCAAAAACACCCCACTGGCGCAGGTGTTAGCTAGCGGCTCGTTTCGTGTAGTGACAATAGGGAAAATATCTCCTACTTACAGGAATATTGCACAGGAATTGGCCGACGAACTGAACCTCAATCGTTGGGGCAAAAAAAGTGATGAATATGAATGCACTAAGCAATGCGAGATTTGCCATGAGAACTACTCGATGACCATACTTGGGTGCAAGCCATCCATCTGGATAGAGAAGCTAATGTTAGTTGCAGTCATCTTTTAAGCCAAGTTTTGGGTTACAATCACCCCGCCTCAAAATAGTGCAGAGTGCAACAACAATAGATTGGAGAGATGGTACTTACTCAACAAGGCTCCTATGAGATTACCCTGGGCAAACATTAGTTAATCATTCTGGGCTGTCCCGCCAATGGACTCTCGCTGCCACCATGCCGGAAGACCATGGCATACGCGAGGCGAGGGCACGAAACTACAACTCGAGATCAGAATAGTAGCATGTGTACTTACGACAGCGCTGATACCATTGAATCCGGAAAGCCATGAGGAATCTATCTGCCATCCGTCCTTTTCGTTGATGTATGTCCCATACTTCCTCCTGAAAGCAGGGTACCCGAAGAATGAACCGAGCAGTGTCGTGTCGTAACCCTCCATAACCACCGTCAGTGAAATTACTGTTGAACACACGGTTAGACCCTTTCCTAATTCGCCATGACCTTCGCACTCACACATAGACCAGAGGGCAGCCCGCTTGTAGGTCTTGATTGCCTGCATGAAAGTCAAGTCGTGCTCGTTAGCAGTCGCCTGCCGGGCCTCGGCATTGAGGACTTTGTCGTGGCGATCTGCCTTGTCGAACTGAACATATTCGAGCTTGCCCTTCTCGATATGGTCGGGGCTAGCCGCCTTCTCTGTGGTGACCTCGTCCGCCATGTTGGTTGTCGTCAAATGTCAACCTTGATGTGCGTCAGTCGGTACTGTGTTCTTCCCAATAGTCTGTACTATCGTCTGTGAGACATGGAAAAGAAGTGAAGGAGATGCGGAGTGCCAAATAGTGCTCTTCATATGGCTGCTCTCCCGATGCACGGTGGTCTCACAAGGGGGGTGGATCCAAGTGGTGGAATTGGGGTACGAAGGCATTTCGGGCCGTTGGTCCCATTCTTGAATACGTCGTCTCGCAATCGTACAAGGCTGAGACGAGCGAAATAGCAAGACCAGCACGCTTGACGGTCTAGATTGGAGACCAAGAACCTTGCCATTCTTCTTGCTCATGTGGGGGAGGCCATCTTGGATTCGTCGGAAGCTGCAGGTCGTCGAAAGAATGGATGTGGTGATGGGGCCTCGTCTAGTTCTGTGGCTATCTGGACCGGTAACCGAATTAAAATTCCGGCCATGATCGTTCATGAGTGGTGGAAAATATGGAGATGATCCCCGACTCTGGGGTAAGTTGCTCCTGGGCCCTGGGGATGTTATAGCCCCGCAAATCAGAGTGTGGCTCCACGGAGGGTCTCGTTGGAGAATCCCAGTAAAAGCAGAGCCTAGCTAGCAAGCCACGGGATGGCCATCTCAGCTCGAAGATCACCTCGGAAAAAAGAAATATGTTTCACAACCGTTATCTTACATGAACAGACGCCGACAGAACGTCCTGGTTCCCTATTCGTTACCCAGCCTGCACCTAGACGAGTTTATCCAGGTGCTAAATGGTGCTATAATAGGCTAGTCGGGAGGTTTTGATCAAGATTAAATTTTGACTTGATTGCATGGTTCACGTATTTATCTGTACGTAAGAGACTTCTTGTTGAGACTTGAAATGTCCTGAATACGTATAAGGGTCTATAACCTGTTTCTTTCACATGCTATGGGATTAGAGGTATTCTAGCCAAACTCACGGAACAACAATTTTTTAACACTTAAAAGACATCGTGGTGGACTCCTCACAACACTCCCTCAAACATTTCGGTGATTCTAAGACGGATTAGACTGGGCTTTCCCGACTCCAAGGGTTTTTCTTACTTGTACACAAATTTTCAAGAGTAGTGGCCTAGGTCTTCGAAATGTCAAGGGGTACCTGTGGCCAATGACATCTCAGCCTTAGTCCCCAGGGCAGGTGCAGGGTTGCTGGTTGTCATCACTTTCATATAGCTGGAGTGTTCTCTACTGAGATCTAGTCTGGTATCTGGATTTGTCGGTGTTGTTGAGTGGAGTCCGCGAGCAGCGCCCTCAGAGAGGGATGCTGAGAAAAATAGCAGCAGAAGTTGCCGGTGTCGTTAGTTTCTCTTGATATTCGCATGCAGCCAGGGACGAGGTAACACGACTGTACGCCCCTGTTTCACATTGAGCAGTGCGCTACTAGCAGCAGGGTTGCGGCGGACGGGTTTTGTAGTGCCCCCAAGATTACTGCTTAGCTGATATAGTATTCCTTTTAGGCCCCCTTTCAATGAAGAACGTTAAACTTAACATCAAACCACTAATACCAGTATAAAATGCCCACATTAGATGCAACGCGTTAACGTAAGCGGCAGTGGAAGTCGAAGTTCCCTCATTACCGTGCATAACGGAAGATGCATACGACGTGAGAGAGCTCGTGCCCAACCTGCTCTGAATGAGAATGCTTCCGACAATGATGGATATGGTAGAAAAGAGGTTTCGCGTAAATGACAATGCGGACATGGCAGGTGACATATCCTCTTGCTGGATGTGAGACTGCAGGGCGATCATTGGGGCTTGGAACAGCGGGCCGGTCCCGATGCCGATGATGATCTCGTAGCATATAATCTCAGCCCAACTCTTTGAGGAGCCCAAAGCGATGAGCAGACCAGTGCCTAGTGTCATCAAGGTCGTGCCGAACCAGATGACGTAGAGAAAATTTCCGGTGCGCCTGATGAAAATGCCAGCGAAAATCGTCATACATGACAGGGGCACGACCAGGGCGAGCAGGGAGACGCCAGATATGACCGGCGTGAAGCGTAAGACAGCCTGGAAATAGAGGGGCAAGAAGTAATCGTACGAAATGAAGACAAAGCTGTGGAGGCACTGGAGCGTGAAAGCAGCGACGTTGGTTGCTGAGGAAAAGATGCGTGGCGGGATAAGAGGTTGCTTTGCGAATTTGACCTCCCATGCGCAAAACATTAGCAAAACCACCAAGCCGACGACTATAGGTGCGACCACCTTCGCATTGCTCCACGGCAGAAGGCCGCCACCGCCACTTTCCAGGCCATAGAGAAAACTAATGACACCGCCAACGATCAAAGCCAGGCCGGTCCAATCGAGTGACCGGAGGGCTGTCCACAGCGCGACCTGCGGAGCCTCCACCTGAAGAGTAAATATGATGACCATCAACGATGCAAAGCCAATGGGCAGTTGGATCCAAACTGTGGACAGCACATGGTTAGCTTTCTATCCGAGTACAGCGCAGATGCCGCGATGCCGGTTTAGGCACAACTTACAACACCATCTCCAGCCGACACTTTGTGTGAAAACACCGCCCAGGATCGGCCCGGTGGAGCTTGCGATGGCAAACACCACACCCGTCAACCCATAGTACTTGGCCCGTTCCTCAATCACAAACAAGTCGCCGATGATGATGGTAATCAGCACCATGATGCCACCGCCTCCTGCGCCTTGCAGAGCCCTTGCTGCGATCAGCATGTCTGTAGATTGTGCGAGTGCTGCGACAACGTCGCCGGCCAGGAACAGGCAGTTGGCGGTAATTAGAGCCAACTTCCGCCCGGCCACATCGGACAGCTTGGCCCAGATGGGCGTCGAAGATGTCGATGCCAGTGTATACGAACTGCCGACCCAGGCATACTGCGCTGTGTTGGCACCGAGAGTTGAGGCTATAGTCGGCAGTGCGGTTGATACAATAGTGGTATCCAGAGCCGCGAGGAAGAGAATCATAAAGAGCGATAACATTGTCACCCGGCGACGGAAGGTGGCGTGTTTCCTGGCCTGCGTGCCATTGGTCTGGGTGGGCTCGAGTTTCGACCCTGATTCACAATCTTTAGGCGTCTCGTCACTATCTGTCGGTGATGCTGTCGGCTTCGACTCGGGGCTCTCCCCGGCCGTCGTGCGTCGAGACATGTTTCCAGCGTGGGAATGTGCTCGGCCAGTTAACCTTCTCAGAAGGTGCTCATCTGATAGATCAAGTCTTCCAGCCAATTAAGAGAAGAGGCACGAGAGCCATTTCAACAACATAGAGAACTACGTACATCTTTATTAAGGCAATGGCTGCCTCCGAATCCCTGGTTGCGCCGTGGCTCGGTTCGGATCGGGCTGCCGACCGGGCCTGTTTAAGCGGTGCTCCGTACCGTAACATCACTAATGAATCGCGGCTCTGGGGCAGCGGCTGAACTACCAGGTCTACTCCACTTGGCTGCATGTAGCCAATCTGATAAATTGACCTGCCAATAGCTGTAGCTATTGATGGACTACATTCAACTTTCCAAAAGTAAACTTCGTGGGGAATCAAAGCATTGAATCCTGTTACTCGCCTCAGCTCAAACTGTGGGAACCCATTCGACATGATGCATCATTGGGTCTGTTAATGGGTAATCGTCGGAGAGACGGAGGTCACAAAACAGTGTTAGAGCTGGGCTGCTTAGCTGCCCAGGCACGTAATCATCTCGGATTGTAAGTGGTAAGAGAAGAGATGACGGCAAAAATATAAAACGATAAAAAGAAATTTGAAAAATAAGAAAACTGGCCTCACGTTATTACGTACAAGTCAAGATATATACAAGTCGGGTACCTCGATGAAACCTCATGCGGATAATAATAGTCGTGGCGATCAGAACGAAATGCGTCGCCGCTTCTCAAGAGATCCCGATGGAACACGTGTCACGTTAATGGTCACTTGTTCTCCAAATTATAATCACCAATCTCAAGCGTGAGACCATCTTTGAGTGCCTTGAAAGATAGATGGACCCATGACAATAAAAGTTAAGGGGTTTGCCTTCACATTGCAGATGTCTTCCTCGCAGCTCACATCGACCTGGCTTTGCGTTGTTTGAACATTGGGTAATAAGTATCAGTAATGCAGGCAGATTCGCGCTGCACAGGACTCGACATGCTGATCTGAAGGCAATTTTAACCAAATCATTGCTCGACTTTGAAGAAATTGCGGCCTAACGGACGACGATGCGACATATTTAGGGGCCGACGATTGTTTGGTCAGTACGGTGTGCTGCCATACTTGATGGAAGTGACATTAAATGGGTATTTTCCTTCGGCCATCCTCTTGATATTTCCTACAACAGTAAAATCTTCTGGTGTGATAAACCTATTTCACGTTACTTTAAGAGACTGCGGCAGTTATTGAAATTATCTTGGATTGTGGTTAACTCATCTTGGGCACCCGTCGAGCTCCACTCACGGGACTGTTAGGCATGACATCTTAAACTCCTCAACTCTATGGTTGACGCACTAAGTAGATATTAGGAAGACTTGTTTCGGACAAATAGACCTGCTTTTCCCACAATCATGTATCAACGGTGCCAAATCATCTAGAATCTAGGGCGAGCGCATGTTGAAAATCTTACATTTTCACTGCCGGGATGTTCTTTTAACGAGTAGATCTACCCAGAACCAGGGCCTACAGTTCAAACCTGGGTGTCGTCATTTTCAATCTGCTATGAGATATCTCGTTTTTGGTACCCTCATTTTCCGAAGCGGAAAGGTCGTGGCTGCGAATGAGAAGTAGGTCTTTCACCGGCACTACTGCTACTCCCATCACTGCTGTTGTCGCCGCCTTGAGCATGGTCCCAGTTGGTGTACCCGGCTGAGCCGCCCGAGGACGAGTTTGCTCCTACGCCAGCGCTGTACTGCGTTGAACCACTGCTGCTGTTGTTTCCTCCAGAAGCCGTTGTGCCAGTGGAGGTGCTTGCCGAAGCAGGATGCTGAGCGCTAGAGCTGCGGCTCATGGAAGGTGTGGCGCCAATACCTGAAGCACTCTCGCCAACGGCGATGGGGGAAGTAGTCCCAGTGGAGGAATGTGACTTGCTGCTTCCTGACGAGCTGGTGCCTTGGGAGGTCTTGGCAGTGTGGTAGCTGGTGTCTGAGCCGGAGGACATGATTGGTGCTTTGATTTGTTTCTATATAAGATAGCGACTTGGATTGTTTCATGGAGGGTTTCACAGGTTTCAGTGTCATATATCTACTCAGCAGAACTGAGGGTAAATATTCCAAAAGCGAGAAATCCTTGTGGATTTTATAGGATATCGACAGTAGCCATTCACGATATAAGGCTCAAATGCTCACCCCCCCCTATCATGGCAAGCGAATCATGGTTAATGAACGACATCCCACGACTCCGGGGAGTAAAGGTATAAGTTTAGAAGAAAGCATGATATATCTGCAGCGCGGAGGAAGACTCAACAAATCAAAGAAAGCCAATCAGTTTAACGGAATAGCCACACGAGGCTGGACCAAGTTGATATGCATGTTTACAGGTCGTGAATGCTGTTCTGTGCAATGCTAATCTTGGTTGCTGTTTTAAATCCATGTAGTGAATCGCACGTTTAACGTCCCATCTCACTTGTTAGAATCGCCCCGAGCGACCATGCACGCCAGGTTACTTTGTATTGATATTTGTGCTTGATTTCAAGTTGAGCAAGATCCATCATGTGTCGTCCCTCTTTAAAAAAATGAGAACCTCCATCTAGGTATTATAGAACTAGTCTATTTAGCTTGCTATCCAGAATGTTATCCAGAAATAGTTTCCATTAGTTATCTAGGTGTGCAGCACTAATGTGCCAATCAATGATGTCGCATATCGAGCCTCTTACGGAAGGGATTATAGATGTACAGCTTCCCACACTCGAACCAACAGCTGATCCGGCTAATTTCTATGGATTTCAGTCTTCACCGTTCCAGTGCCGCCGAAGAATCGCGTTGCGTCGCTATTCGACAGGCCTTCGCTTGGCGCCGCCAGCAGGAGTGACCCAGCAGCGGCATTAGCGGTAGACACAATACTTAACAAACCAGGCTTGAAAACCCCGTTTCTAGACCCTGAAGGGCCTGCTCAAGTCTTGCGTAGTATTTTTAACCATGTTTGTGTCTTGCCAAGATTTGTTCAAGCACCTAAACCGGATCTTTTCTCTCAGGCGAAAGCTTAAAAAAGTGGGAAGACCCTGCAAATTTATAAATATCTCATTCAACTATGATTCGAGTTTCCTTTTCCGAAAAGTTAAGGATTTGCGACCTTGATTAGCAATCAAGAGACAACTTGTCAAACGCTGCCTCAGTAACCTAAGGCAATGAAGTATTGCCAAGACGACTTACAAGTGCTACCTACTGCTTACACACCGTTATTGCGAGACAGGAGAAAGACCTTCAGTTTTGCAGTTAACGGACTCGTTCAGCGGAGTTCAATGCGAGCGTGAACAAATACAACGTGCGCATTTAGAGAGGATACCACAACGTGCACACTCACTCTCTCAGCAATCTTGGTATCTGTCCTCAAGGCCTGACGCTTGGAGATTCATGCGGGTATATACCTATATCCAAGCACTTAAGCTGGCCCCTCCCCAGTTGGCCAGAAATAATACAGTGCCCCCTTTTCAATGCTGACTCGCGGTTGTCGCATTAAGCGGTAGTGATCCGGGTTGGACTGAAATAATCAAGTTAGTCTGCTCCATTCTCATCTTACTCAGTCCTCGGCGCGGGGCAGCCCGTAAATCAGGGTCCCTCTGTGGCCTGATCTAGTGACGTCAGAACTTTGTGTTGTTTTTTGTGCATGATGCGAGCCTGAAATGTGCTCTTGATTGGAAACGTTTCGGATCTTAGAGACACGAAACCGTGCCTGTGGAACTGAGCTCGTAGATGGGCGAGATGATCAAGATTGCAGTACTGATCTCAGCAGGTCATGGCAGCATGGGTTTGCCTGCCAACCTGCGAACGACAAAGCCCACCAAGCACGTTAGGCTAGCTGTGAAAGTGGGGGAGGGTGGTACCGGTAATCCGCCCAGAACCCAGCCCTCCACAGCTCCCGAAGTCGTCAACGACAGAAGCGAGGGGAAACGTAGGCATTCAAGCCATCAGTGATCGTAGTATAGAACCAGGCCGTGAAGAGAAAGCCTCGTAAAAACATGTAGATCTCCGTGACAAGGGGTCGCAGCGATGCGCAGCTTTTGATCCGAGAATGAGGTGCAAGAACGCGGCCTGTAAGTTGTACTAGGAGCACATACTGTATGTATTCTACTTTTGAGATATCCGCGGAGGGTTTACTCCACCCCCCGTTACGTACTTGGACACCAGGAGACCAGGGCGGGCGCCAAATGGCAACATTGGACGCGATAGCTGCATTGTCTAATGTGGCTTTCGCGAATTGCACTGTACTGTACGTTGATCTGTGCAGATCGGACCGCAAGGAACGGGTTGGGAGCGTTGGGAAGATCAACACTGGCGAGACTGATAGGCATATCAAAGTCAATAAAATCTTTGTCTTGGTAGTAATCTCATTTGGGGCCCGGAGCATGCCCAACCCGCATCGCTCAAAGAATACAACAGATTGGGCAGCAGCAGGTCTTAGTCTACCATTTCCTCTGGTGGAGGTAGCTCGCTGCGCAAACCTGCCTCGTGGTACAAGCCCTGCTATATGCTGTGTCGCAAGCATACAGTATACACACAAAAAGCCTGCCGCATAGTAGAACCGGACATATGTCTCCCTTCCCAGACCTGCCCAAAGTACGATCTGTAGTGAGAATGAAATGACGCTGTCAATTCTCGGGGAGCCGGCTTACTGGGTAGAGATCTCGCGACCCAGGTAACTACGGCGAACCCCTGCGGGCCCTTGTGCGTCAAGCGCGTTCCGCGACCCTTTAGCGGCCACCAATTGAAAGACACGAGCCCAGGTCACTAGGCCAAGAAGGGGTTCGTCTGAAGGGGTGGACCGGCCAGGTATGACGCTGCTCCATACGTCATAATGGACCCCTCGCTAAAGCAAAGCGACGGACTCTCCAAGGACTGGAGTCATGGATGGCGACGGCAATCTGGGATCAGGTGGCACGCGGGACCGCCGGGGCAAAGGCGACAGGGAGCGGGCGGGAATTGGCATAGGGCATTCGGGTGCCCGAGGAATCTTGGCTATGGGGAGGAAAGGCCCTGTGGTGAAGAATGCCGTTTGGCAGGTCCTCATCTCAGCATGCAGGATTGAGACCCCCGCCGGCAGGGGGCCTGACGATGCGATACGAATGGAAACCGGGGGTTTGTGAACTAGGTCGTCGGGTGGAGCATCACATTCACATTCAGATTGCCTTGCCAACGTGCCCCGCGTGCTTCCACTGGACCGTATCTTGCCTGGGCAATCTTCAGCCAGCTTACTGTGTAGTCGGCTGCCCGTCTGCTTTTGTAGGGATGCCCGGCACAGGTGGACTGGCTGCGACGACTATGAATCTTGCCTGCCCCACGACGTTGCGCGGAAGTATACTTCAGATGTCTAAATCCTTCGCACTCGACAGTCAGCAGAAACTGGGCACCTAGGTACCTAGGGAATTAGTTGGCCCTGCACCGTTCTGACAATGATCCACGCTTCCATGGCGATAGACCGCCTGTACTCGGGTCCCCGGAGTGTGCTGTACCGTAGTTACAGCAGTACCTCTTCTTCAAAACAAAATGATTGGACTGGTGATGACAATGATAGCGACGATGATGAAACGCAAGCTGATCGACCTCTTTGAGCCGCAAAGAACCAGACCCCTACAGACCCCCTGACCAGCTCCATCATTCCTTGACGCGCTTTCCACTCTGTCTGCCTTATGACGACCGTGTTAAACAGGTCTCCAACTATCCGCCCCGGCTCTGGCACGCCACCCCGTGATTCGTCGCTTTGTCTGTCTCGCGCCAAATCCAGCAGTCTGTCAGCCACCTTTTCCCAGCAGCCTGCTCGCCTGCTCGCTACAATCTTGGCTGCCTTTGACCAGGGCCCAGAAGGCTAAGGTAAGGTTAGTAGGGGGTGGGCTGTCTATCCTTGGGAACGTGGGCACTACATCATCGCGCACGGCCTGAATCTCGGGCTGCCGTTTCCAGGGTCTTGGACTTGAACTTGGACTTGTCACTGGGCACACTGTCGCAATCAAATCAAGGACCAGCATCGTCACCTTTTCCTCTGCCCTCTGGTTACTCAGCTGCGGCGCCTCGCTCTCAAATCTGCACTGGCATCCACTCGCACCTCACTCTTCCCTCCTCCCTCCCCAAAGAATCCGTTCCCGTCCCTCTCATATAGACCCAAAGGCATTCACAGCGCTCCAGTCGAATTCCCGCCTGCATCAACGATAGATCTGATTGCAAAGAAGACGAAAGGGAAAAAGAAGAAGAGGAAAAAAGAACCCCGCCCTCCAGCCTACTACACCCGGCAGCCACCGCCCGCCAAGTTTTGCATCATCGCCCTCTCGAGTTCCAGGTATCGCTCGACCGTGGGACCGGACTTTTCGCAAAGCATATCGCAGCAGCAGCAGCAGCGCCCGCGACGCATAGCCAACAGACTCTCCGGGTCTGCACGACTGCGCTATTTACGGTTGATCCCAATCTTGAGAGTTTGGAGAGAGTGCCGTTTGCATTTGTCGAGTCCCTTTGCGTGTTGCAGCACACAGCCAGGCGACCAGTGAAGAGCGGAAGGTGAAAGGCGCCTCCTGTGACGTCTTTCCTGCGCGGCACAATGTCGACGATTCAGCAGCTCAAAAACTTCATTCGTCACGGTAAGTTGCGCTGCTCTGTACTCGCTCCCCTCCCCTGCTCCCCAGGCAGCTCGGTCAATCACGATCGGCTCCCGATTGTTCCCCATTGTTTTTCTTTTTTGGCTCTCTTTTCTCTCGACAGCATTGTCCTCGGTGCTGGGTGGTTTCTCATTTCCGTTGGGGGGCCCCCTGTACCACAGTACTCCGTACCTGTACCCCGGTCTTGCGTGCCGTGCCCACTGACATCATCTCTTCCCCCATCAGGCAAGCAGGCCAGGACGAACAACAACCACCAGGAGGAAACTCCACGGAAACATGATCATTCACCACCAACTGGCTCATCTGCACACAAGGCCATGGCTCATGTAACCGAACCCGCAATGTCGGTCCCCCCGCCGAAGGCCGCACAACACCATGCCCAACCCATCCCGGACGCCTACTCTGCTCAGCCCGGAGACAACCAGCACCGTGTCGCCCAGGCCAATGACGTCGCCGCACACCACGCAGAGGAGACAGTCGAGTCGGCCAAGTCCAAGAGCAAGCGCAACGACGACTCCCACGTCGCCAAGCTGATTCAGCAGGAGAATGAGAGCCGTGGCAAGTTCCCCAAGTACCCTGGGCTGGAGCGATGGGAGCTCGTCGAGAAGATGGGCGACGGCGCCTTCAGTAATGTATACCGGGCACGCGACCTGACCGGAGACGCTGGCGAGGTCGCCATCAAGGTCGTGCGGAAATTCGAAATGAACAACATGCAGGTGAGTTGCGCGAATGGTTGAGTTGATGTCGCCGACCACGTATTTTCCTCTATCTGGTTGCCGACCATCCCCTACTTCTTTTTGTCTACTCTGCCTCGTTGTTTCCTTTCCTGCGTTTTCCTCAAAAGTCTCCTATACCAACTAGGGGCCGATAATATAGGGCAACAAACATCTACATCCGGACTTTAAGAAGGTGCCGAAAGCTGCAGAGGTGCGAGATACTTTCTTTTCCTAGTGTCAAGTGTCCTACCACATCACAAACATAAGCACTACTCTCCTTCGTTTTCCTGTGTGGTGTTTTGTCACGGTGTCCTCGCCCCCCGTCAAACTTTCACATCATCGCCTACGGCTGGAAAGCCTCCAGCCTCGTTTTGATTTGACGCTAACGTGGTGATGCAGCGCGCAAACATTCTCAAGGAGGTGCAGATCATGCGCCAGCTTGACCACCCTAACATCATTAAGCTGATTGACTTTTCAGAGTCGCGGCAATATTACTACATCATACTGGAACTCGCACCTGGTGGCGAGTTATTCCACCAGATCGTGCGCTTGACATACTTCAGCGAAGACCTGTCACGCCATGTCATCACTCAAGTCGCCGAGGCATTAGAGTATCTCCACGAAGAGAGAGGTGTTGTTCATCGGTATGTACACAACTTCACCCTACACATGTTGGCGTCGATTTCGCCTATGATTGCCAAACCAACGTGGGCATTTGACATGAAATGATTTCGAATCAGCTAACGTAAGTTGGTAGTGATATCAAGCCGGAGAACATTTTGTTCAGACCCATACCAGTGGTGCCGTCCAAATCTCCAAAGCCCAAGCAGCCAGGTGACGAGGACAAGGTCGACGAAGGCGAGTACATACCCGGACATGGTGCCGGAGGTATTGGTCAAATCAAGATTGCCGATTTTGGATTGTCCAAGATCGTGTGGGACAATTCGACCATGACGCCGTGTGGTACAGTCGGCTACACCGCACCTGAAATTGTCAAGGACGAACGCTACTCCAAGTCAGTGGATATGTGGGCATTGGGTTGTGTGCTATACACATTGCTGTGCGGCTTCCCGCCATTCTACGACGAGAGTATCGAGGTTCTTACAGAAAAGGTCGCCAAGGGCCAGTACACCTTCCTGTCACCGTGGTGGGATGACATTTCGAAATCCGCTCAGGATTTGATCACCCATCTGCTGACGGTCGATCCGGAGAAACGATACACTATTACGGAGTTCTTGGCGCACCCCTGGATTCGTCAAGGTTCAGGGCCGACACCGCGTGACGAGAAGAAGGCCGCGGGTGGGGACATGCTTCGAGCTTTCGACGCCTCACGATTTGTGGACGGCGACAGACGAATGGACTTCCGTTCTCCTGGCGCCGTGAATCTGCGTGAGATCTTCGATGTGGGATACTCGGTACATCGCCAGGAAGAAGAGGCCAAGCGCAGGAAGCAAATCGGAACCAAGGGTGCTGCAATGTCTCGTCTTACGAACCTGAACGAATTGTCAGAAGACGAGGAGGAGGATAAGTCTGATCCCGAGTATGTGCACAAAACGGATGCATCGCAATTGGAACAGCGAATGCGGGACACGAATTTGGGCAAGAGCCAGGAACGTGGGCGCGACCGAGAGCGTCAAGCCGAGAAGCCTACCGAAAAGGGCTACGGGCAACATAGCGCTGCTGTAGCTCATGCGGCTCGCCAACAAGTCCGGGATCGCAACAAGCAGAAGGCCCCCTTTGAGTTGAGTCTTGACGGAGCGACATTACTTGGCCGCAGGGCCCACAAGCCCACTGCTAGTGCCGGTGGCGCTTAAGCGAATTCGCTTTGTTGGATTACTTGCATCACACACTTTAGGCCATGTGGCGGCAAACTTCACGTCGAGGTTCCATACCATGAGCCGATTCTTCATCCGTCGTCTGGGCTAGCTATGCTCAGATCTGATCTGGTATTCTCTAGGGCTATGACATGGCGTTGGTACACGAGATATGGCAAGTGTTTGACGAGGCACAGGAGGTACAATGGCGTGATTTCTTGTTTCCATACACTATTGTATGCACGACACACATAGGCCAAGGCGTTTGGAATTGACATCTGATCATCTTTATCACGAGTTCTAACTTGGGAACATATTCCCCTATGTGAATAGCGATGGTTGGTTTGGTGTGACTTTGATGACAATCTTTCAAGTTGGAGAAATGTATCCATCGGCGTCGTGAGAAAGCTACCCCTTTCAATCTTTAGAGACCCAATCATGTCGATTCCTGTGATTATGGCGCTTACGCCTTTTCAATCTTCCTGAGGAGATAGGACAATGCTGCGGCTGATGTTTTCAATACCAGGGATTCAATAAGTACCCTCAAGACAAAGATCTGCACTAATACCCAGAGTTCACTGGATCAATTGGTTCTATAAGTAAGAGGCAACACATTTCGTATCATTAAGCTTACTTTCTCATGTACCATCTCAACAATCACACACTCGCTTCATATCCCGATACGACAGATCTTGAGCTCCTGTTTACACCCTGTGGCAAGCTGCCCCTTCAAGTTGGTAATTCGTTCCGCTTGGTTGTTTCCGTCGTCCATTCCCATTTATTGATCATTTTCCACAACACATTTCAAGCATTTAAATCAATACGTCGGACATGCATTCTCTCCCAATGGCAGCAGTAGGCGTTCAAATTCTTACCCAGCTTGGTGTGCAGTACTTGCCCTCAACAGGGGCCTGCACCGTCGATATCGCCGTTGCCATCAGCCTCGGTCAATGCGGCTTCATAAACATCAACATTGATGAGCAGCACCAAGTTACCGTCCTGCCTGACCAGACATTCGTCACACCTACCATTCACACGCCGACACCTATCGAAACTCCGAGGCCCATTGATCCGCTGCGATACTCTGTTCGTCCTCCACCCGTACAGTCAACCGTTGACCAGTGTAGTCGTGTCCCATTTCCTTAGGAGAGTAATCCTGCAAAGGAAACCCCTGTGCCAGTTACTGTACCGGTGCGGTTACCACCGTATTGCAGCTCAACCACCATTGACGTCGACGTTAGAGAGATACCCACAATTGACCCCCACAATATTGAGCTGAGTCTGAAGCTCCGTGGCCTTCTGAACGTCAACCTGGGTCTCGATGTTGATCTCCGGGGTCTCTTGGGCGGCCTGTTCAGCGGCTCATCCAGGAACATCTGCCGGCCGCTGCGCAATCGGCACTCATCTACCATTACCGCCCGCAGTGCGGTGTGAGCTTCCACTAGTACCGCAGCGCGTGGCCACGACAGCCGCCAGCTACACGGAGGTCATGGATGCCTGCAAGGCGGATACATTTGGGTGGGCGCGGAAGAACCAGCTAAGAGACCGCATCAGTGCTCCCTACGCAAGGAACTTCTTTAGCCGGCCAAACTGTTGATACGTCCTCGGCGGCGAGCATGATTTGATTGATGTCAGTATGTCTGCCAAGATCACCAACTTCGATTCATTTACAATCTAGCCTTGAAGAGGAGAGTAAAGAACGACCAGGCACTCATGCTACATTCGAGGAAGATAGAGTAGCGAAATCATTCAATGTTTGGATTTGTTGGACTTGTCAATTCTATTACACAGGAGTAGAGTAGAGTTTTCACAAGATAGCAATCTATGATAAGATGTTCCTCTACGCACACGCCACTTCCCCGGGAACTCTCATTCCTGCCTTCCAAATAGCCTACCAACTCGCAGGACCGAAAGTCCCTCCATCGGGAACAGTTTGGAGCCAGGCGTCGTAGGATGCATCCTATAATTGTATTCCGGTCAGCACACTATGTTTTCTCGCGGACCTTTCTAGCTCGAGCACTTACCAGGGTATTGAAGACATCCACGTTACCCCACCACTGTGGTATTGTTACTCCTGGCAGTGTTATGGCGAAGAAGATAACAATTGTACTGATGATTAGACCTGCATCCAGTCCAGCCGCCGTAACGAAATTGTAATTGTGCCACCAACCCCTGTAGCGATTCTTTATAACGTGGTTAAACAGGAGGCCGAATAGCCCCCAGGACGAAAAGCTAAGCGGCGTGGCGGGCGGCAGCCACCCCATGGCGCCGAGCATCACAGGCGCGTTCAGGTGCCGAGCGAATCCCAGGTGGAGCTTCCGGGTGCACACCCAGATAATAAGGGGAAGGGTCGCACCGATCAGCCAGAACCAGTTGAAGTGAGAGTAGATGGAGCCTGTGCCGAACATGCGCTGGGGTCCGATGACACCCCAAACGATAGACGAGGAGAAGAACGTCTTGCCGTTCGGGCAGCTAAACTTAGCAGGTTGGTTGCTGTTTGGAGCTTTCTTTTAGTTACGATATTCTGCTGGAGATTTACATGAAAGAGGGGGATACAGATCTTACGCTGCGCAGCAATTTGGAATATTCCCTAAAGTCCAATTCATTGTAGCAATTTGGACTATTACGGCCCATATACTCGCTACTACCTGGCACCAGAAAGTCGTCTTGGGAGGAATCTTCATCTGTAAATAATGTGAGCCACCCTTTTGTTCCTAGTGCCCATTCGAATGACATCTGAGAGGCGAGTGCCTCTATAATGACTTACGTAGTGCGCCATCTTCAAGTCAGAGCTGTAGGTCTGGGCTTGCCCAAGTACGATGGTGGAGTAAACTGAACGTGTATGAGTAATGTGTATGGCTCTATATTTAGTGTGACAATGTGCTTACCCTTGAATATCATCACGCCAATGGGCCGACCAGGAATCATGAAACCGGCCAGGAACGGAGACAGAACATTCAGCGCCAGGGCTATGTTCGATATAGCCAAGACTGAGCAGGTAGGAATGACAAAGACCAGTGCCAGAATAATGGAGATGAAATATGTCCACCAAGGGAGTTGCGAGTCATATGCAAGACAGCATGCGAGGCCCATCGCAGTAGTTAATATGAACAACACAACATACCACCAGTCGGGGGCTTCTGGGTCTGTGACAGCTCTAGTTAGTAAAGCTTGAACCCAAAAACATCCGGTACTTACAGAGACTTCGCTGTTAACGAAATCGAGGACGTTTAACGAGAGTGTTGAGAAGCCTACATTTCTTCATCATCTTCAAATGCACATCCGGCTCCTGGTTACGAGCTGTCTTGTATCGGTACCAGATTTCCTTCCCGTGGAAGAGACCTGTATGAACAAGTACAGCTGTCAACGCAGCAAACGACAGTCCGTAGTTGAGTGCGAACGTAGGCGCGAGAAAGAGGGGCGAATAAGTCTTGTATTTGTCCAGATTGAAGGTATGGTCTGCATTGAGGATTCGGCTGACATTATACGCGCTTTGGGTGTTATCGTAGGTCTGAGAGGTAACCATGGGCAGGTAGTCCGCATACACCGATCCAGTATAGGTTATGCCAATAGTTGTCAAAATCACAAACACAAATAGGCCAATAAGTGTGTTTATGTGAGTGTGGACTGGGGCAAGTAGGGGATCGCCTAAATATGCGTTGACATATGTCCACTAGCAAAATCATGGGTTAGTATTGGACTTGTTTGCTACTATTTGATTTCCCGCAGCAAAACAATAGATCGAATATTTGCTTACATCGAATGTGATTGGAATCAGACTTAGGCCAGTAAAGCCTCCGAAAATCTGGTTTAGGACCACATTGTTGGGGCGTATCCTGTCGACAACTATTAGTCTGTTTGGCCAATTCAGCCACAATCTGACTTACCATGTCACGAAGGCAAATACAGATAATCCTTGCCACAATACACCTGGAATCCAGTAGTAACAGAACATTCCACAGAGGACGTAGAAGAAGTATCTATATCTGCTGATCTCCCACCCATTGGCTTGTGCCTTGTCATGTTTGCTCTTATCGTGCAGCGCATAAAACAACGCCGTGTTCGAGAAAATGCTTGGCCACATCATAGCCGATGGCCAAATCAAAAATCTCCTAAACATACCGGCAAAGGAAATGCCGATCAGCTGTGAGCTGAGCGTGAACAACAGCGCGAATCCCCAACCAAGATTGATGTCCTAGTGTGCAATGCAATGTTAGCTATCATTAGGATCTACCTGCTATAACACACTATCTCCTCCATTCAGGGCAGTCTACAACTCTCGGAAATGAGAGAAAGTTAACAAACAGGAAGTTTTAGTACTAACGTAAAAGGGTTTCCCTTGCAGCGCAAGCAGCGCGTCGGTGCTATAGGCATATCCAATGGAGACGTTCGCCATCAGCGTGATGACCACGTGCTCTTTAATGGTGAACGGGCCTGTGTTGAGTGTCCATCGGACACCGAAGGTATTGAAAACCTTGGTTGGCAAGACCTTGGCCCAGAGACATCCGATGGGATAGACGAGCAACTGCACCACCACTGACGGGAAGCTAATAGCTGGGCTTCTCATGGAGAGAAACATGTTGATTCCACTCCCAAGAGTTACAAAAACCATGCCGAGGACCCAGGCACGCACTGTGTTGGCAACTTCACCACCGTCAGTGTTGCGGACAGCGGCACGCACTTCTGCGTATGGCGAGTTCTCAGTAAAAATCGCATCGGCCTCGAGTATTTCTTCGGCGTCTCCATCGCGCAGAGCTTTCTTGACGGCATCAATATTTTCTTGCGGAAGATTGGGGTCATATTGATGAGCATGGGCAATTTTTTCTAGGTCCGCTGCCGCCTCGGAGACATCGACACCTCCAGCGGCATTATCCGCTTTCTCACTCACATCGCTTTCCGCAGGGGCGTGTACAACCTCGATTGCAGGGCCCGGACTTCGCTTGAAAGGGTTCTTCATGATGCTTGGGTTTGAGACTGATGCAGTGACTTGGCGGCAGCGATTGCCAAGGACATTGGCACAGCTTTAACTAACGAATCCATTTTCTCCAAGGGCTCCGCCTGTCCTTCATGGAGACTCAACGTATCGAACCACAGAGCTCGGCCTCCAACATTCCTATCTTCCGGGCCCAGTCGGTTGTGATCCCAGGGCGCGCAAGTGCGGGGAGTATACCAGCCTGCCGGTTATGGTTAACGTTACATGTTGATCCTTGTTCGCTTGCGTGTACGCCTCACGCCGACCTTATCAGAATGTGCGGGCCCAATGGCCCATAAGCCAAAGCTTAACCCCATTTGAGTCCGCTTTTGCTGTCTGTGGTACGACAAGTCGTCTCGCGTTTGGTGGTACAATACAATCCCCGTCAAATCTTGCTTATCAGCTCTAACTACCGGCTGTAAGCGCACTTATGTACAAATAACCTCGGCGACCATGCAATCTAGGTGGGCACGTATACCTTGTCATAGAGTTTTCTTTGATTGGTCAGATAAAGCTCGCCGGATACTGCCGACAGCACATGCGGTAATGTCGGCGATCACAACATCAGCGGAAGTGTCAGTCGCATTGACCTGGAACCTTGATATTCCTAATTCGCTTATAAGTCTCTGAGCAAATGTGTCCCTCGCATTCTTTGAGTGCCATTACGACTTACAAAAGACGTTTGTGCCGGAAGATTGTCCTTTCTTCTCATACCCATGGCGGATTCAAGGCAGCAACTAATCTAGTAACACTTTAGTGCCTTCAGCGCTGGAGACTGTCACGGTCAAAATTTGCGTTTCTGCTCCAACAGGCTCGTTTGGTATCCCTGGCGGAAGTCGAATGTTAGGGAATCGTTCCAAGATCTCTACAACGGCTAGGCTAGCCTCCATCAAGGCGTAGTCCTCTGACATGCATAGTCGTCAGCAATCAAGTCATTTTTCATAAGTAAAACTTTCCAGCTCGACAGAGTGCAGATATGAAAGGGGTCACCTACTTCCTAAGCAGACGCGTGGCCCACCATGAAAATCCACAAAACCAGCGCCGACCCTAATTTTTTGAAGCAGATCTGGTTGCAACCATCTATCAGGCCGATAGACACGAGCATCCGATCCATATATTTCTTCCGAACGGTGCATATGATAAAGAGACCAGCCGACCCCTTGCCCCTTTCGAAGCATCATTGGAGACTTCCCGTCCGGACCACCACCCCTCGGAAGGACAGTGTTACGAACAGTGAAACGTACGTTGAGTGGGAGCTGGGGATACAGTCGAAGTGCTGATCTAAGAATTAGCATCCACCCGGAGTATTGGCCTAAGCAGAGAGTGAGAGCGCGAGTATTCACTTACTCTCATTCAGACAGCATCGCAAAAAAGTCATCTTTTGGATCTGGTTACGCGTAATTTTTCGAGAATCTCCGTGTAATGTATCCGCAATCTCCTTCTTAAGCCGGACGATAACCCTAGGGTTGCGAACTAAATGGAAACTGGCATTGTACAGGATCAGTGACAAGCCATGTACAAGTCGACTAGATCATTTCGCAACTTACAACGTCCAGCTCAACAGACATGCAGTCGTATCGCGACCTGCAATCAAAACGTGCAGCAACTGATCCCGCACCAAGGACCTATCGCCCAGCTCTTGCCATAAATCAACGATGAAGGGGTATTTCTGGCCAGCAGCCTCTATGCCTTCGGTATGAAGGCAATGCAGTGCCTTATCTGCGAAGAATTGCGCCCAGTTCCGGACATTTCTGCAAGCTTTGATGAATTTAGGGGGCGTGTAAAGCCAGCATAGATTTGCAAGACGCATTCGATTGGCAGACACCTGGCTGGCGTACTCGAAATCATTGCGCAGGGCATCTCTCTCAAGTTTAGGTAAGGCGCTATGAGGCTCTCCAAAGAGCAGGTGCGTAGTGGTGTTCAGCGTGTATTCGAAGAAATGCGGCTGCAAGTCGACGACCGTGCCATTATCTATATCCTCGCCCCCGATGTTGGCCAACATGGTGTCCACATGAGCCTGCAAAGCCGCTATTCCGGCTTCCCGCACTCTCACGAACTGTTTCTGCAATATTCTGCGAGATAGTTGCCAGGCGGAGCCATCTTGTGTGAATATGCCTTCGCCTAGTAAACGGTAGAGTTGGTTGCTCCGGTCGCCAAGATGATAGTCCTCAAATCTTGTCTTTATTATGGTCTCAATGTTTTCCGGGTCTATAGTTATGAATCCTTCGCCAAGGACGTTGAATCGCACAGTTGGGGCAACTGTCAGGAATGGCGTTTGGAACTCTAGTAGGCGTTTCTTCGGCAAAGCCCGGACCTGCGTCATGACGATATCTAGCGCGAAGGGCCATCTGTAAGGAATTGTGTGTTGAACCGGGAGACACCCATTCTGGGCTGCGAAAGCGTCGTCTAGCTTCTTTGTCTTCTTGTGCCGATACCAATTGCAGATAATATACAGCAGGAAAGCTACCGCGACGCCATGGATGACTGTCCAGGGATATAAACTGTTCGTTGACTTCCCCATGTCAAATGATGTACTGGACAGCCGCAAATGAGTGGTGTGCAACATGAAAGCCATATCGATAGGAAGTTGTGGCGCGCGAGGCTACGTTGGGCTGTTATATACTTTTCCCCGTCAGCATTGGTTTGCCTAACTTGGGCATTCAGCCCCTCATGCAAGCCTTTAGTTTGTGGAGGGTGAATGATTGGCCACGCTACGGAGTATCATGCAGGGCCACCAGGAATGCTGTGGTTGGCCCCCAGCAACTGACCGACATCAAGAATGTACTTCATATCGTAGCAAACTTGCCACAAGGCCGTGTTTTGTTTGGTCGCTGGTTGGATGGAAAATAAGTAGTATCTGCATACTTCTCGGTATGAATTTAATAGCTAGAACACAGCCAACAGGCCTTTTCAAGCATGCAAAGCATGTTTTTTTTTAACCGAGCCAGGTATTACAGAATTGCACATACATAATGATTTAATCCCATAATCTCTACTTAGAAATAGATGTCTATATATTCAAATGGTTCCAGCTTAGTGCCACTTTCGTTGGCTTGTATCCGCTGGGCCAGTTGGGCCATCATTTTGTTCAGATCGTTATTGAAGATATGTTTCGCGCCGAAGCCGTGATTCCCGACTCCATGTATGCCAGCCCTGAGTTCAAGACACTTATGCATTGCCTCCTCGAATCTGTGCTGCTTCGCAAGGCAATTGATAGAAACCCACATCGCTGTGATGTGATCTACATGCTCACCATCTGGGCCTGCAGCATTAGCATATTTTGCCTTTTCTAAGGCAGGTGTGAGGAGTGTTTGAGCGCGAGCCAAATCATCAACTGTGCCTCTTTGCACGAGCGCATCGGCGAACCATGTTTTACCGGCAAGTATCAGCATATTATCAACAGGAAGTTGCCGCAAAGCAATGTTCAAGTTCTCTTCCATGTCGTTGTAAGCTTTTGCGTAACGTCTCTGCCGTGCCCAGATACGGGACAGAACTGCCCTGGCTTGCAAAGTAACCAGGTTTTCCACACCCGAAAGCCTTATTCGCTCCGCAAGGACTTCTCGCTGGAGTCTTTCTGCTGCTTCATGATATGTCGACCCCAAGCGAATTGTTGCCAATGCATATTCTTGCTTGAACATGAGGAAATCGTCCTCTGGGACCGCGTCAACTGTGCCCCGCAGCCTCTGTGCGCCTTTGTAAGCGTCTTGATGATATTTCTCGGATTTCTCATTCTCCATCTTCCAGTGATACGCTTTCCCAATCAAGTATAGACATCTCAATGTGGCTTTATGGTCGTGCCCGTACGCCCTCAGTAAGCCCTGAAGGGCTGCTTCACACAGAGCCAGCCCTTCGGTGATGCGGGTCTGGTGAAGGATACACTCGGCAAGCAGAGTCATAGTATCCAATGTGCGAGGATGTTGATGGCCTAGAGATCTCTTTTGAGACTCGTAAATCTGACTCAATAGCTCACTCTGCTCATTGCGACGGGATTGATAGAATACAGCAACGGCCAAAGCCAACTTGACGCGATGAGTGAAGTTGTGATCAGGACCCATAACACGTAGTAAATAGTCGAGCACCTCCCTAAACAGGCCTTCCGCAACTTCAAATGCACCGCAATCCAAGTAAATCTTGCCAAATCTAGCAGTTTCGGATGCTTGCAGCGGACCAAATGTGGCTCGCATGAGTTTGAATCTCCCAGGTAGCCAGGTCCAGCGGCTCTGCTGTCGCTGATTTTCAATGTCGGATTGGACCTGGGTCCAACATCTACGTGCGTGGTCTATGTGAGGTTTCAAAGGGCCGCGCTTTGCGAGCTCGTCCTTTGAGTCACCGCCTATTAATCTCGAGGCACGCGCCAGCGTCGTTTTTGCAAGCTGGCAAAACAGAGCTTGCTCTGCGATTGATCGTTGAGGCCGATGGCGAATCCACTGATGGACTAGTGGGTGTATGCGGTATGACTCGTGGCCATCCCTTCCGTGTCGGATGAGCAACGACATCGACACCAAGACCTGGAGCGAGTTCTTGAGATTCTCGCTGACTACATGCTTCAGCATCTCTCCTGTGTGGTGATCCGGACTTTTTAGAACCTCAGGCAGAACAGCGGGCGATTTCTGCCCCCAGAGCATGGCGCGAACAAGGTTATATGCGTTTGATTGCCGCGTCTGCTTGGTGTTGATATTCAATTGTTGCAATGCATGTTCCTCCTTTCTCTTTTCCTCTTGTTCTTGTGTGGCCTCCAATTCCAGGTTGACGGCAGCATCGATGAGCATTTCTAGGCGGATGTCTTGAAAATGCATATACGAGAAGACGTGGATCATTTGCAGTGCATCCTGGTACTGTCGGTTTCCTTCTGTGGCTCGAGTTTCGAGAAGATCTACTAGCATTTCGAAGGTGGCAAATATTCTACTGGTATCATCCTCGAATTGTAGGGCTAAATAATCTTTTGTTGCCACTCCTGGACTGTTTCGACGATGTCGATACCAGTCGTCACGGAGACGCTGAATCTTGCTGTCGAAGTACCGCTCGTAGCCCTTAGCAAGTGAAGGGTTCTTATGGATTGCCCGTCCTGCATATAGAATAGCAAGCGGGAGGAAATGCAAACGCTCACATATCTCCATTGCTCTTTGGCGAGATGTCTGACTGGGTTTCTCCTCGGTTGCCTGGAGAAACAGATTGATGGCATCGTCGCTTATCATATTCCCCAGCTCAAGATGTCTGCTTCCAACTGTACCGTGGCTTCTCTGGTATGGGTCCCTCGTGGTTACCAGTACGCTACCATTGATTCCTGGAGGAAAAAGGTCATCAAGGCGCACGCCATCATGTCCAGAATAATCCGCATTGTCGATGATGAGAAGCCACGATTCAGAGTGCGGACGAGCTGAGAACCAGTACTTGACGGAATTGATCTTTCCGTCAGTGCCCACCTGTTTTCCAATCTCAGCGTAAGACTGTTCAGCGTTGGCCAGGTTGCTGGCGTCAATCCAGAAAACACCCCAGTAGCCTACCGCTGAGTCCTGAGCGTATCTTAGAGCTAGCGCTGTCTTTCCTGTCCCAGGTCCTCCATAGATAACGAAACGTTTTTGTAAGTTTGCGGTTGTCGATTCGAATGCTTGACGCACAGTTTCAAGTTCACTCTCCCGACCAGTGTATATACTACTTGAAGATATTGGAACGATGTAATGTTGTATTCTCCTCCCTCGCGAGGCTGGCCTTGATGGATTGGCCTGGGGTACAGCTCTACTTGTCTCTGGAGCTTTGACTTGAGGCGCCTTTGACATCTCAATGCTCGGCGAAACTATGCTCAATAACTCCTTCGCGTATGCCGCAGCTGTGGCCGCAGCGTAAGCTTGCCACTTCTTATTCTTGTGCTCATCCGCTAATCGCATATACCTCGAAGTACAAGGCATGGGAAGTTGTTCATGAGGCCAGCGGCCTCCATCTCGAAACACATTACCCCACCGAGGCTATGGCTTATGCAATCGCGTGTTGGTCCATCCTTCATTACTTGGTTTCCAGATGCGATGTTCCCGAAAAAGAGGACTGGCTCTGGAGTGGCGCGCGGTAGTCTTTTTATGACATCGCCCCGGCAACACATACAACAGGTAGGTCCAGGGATATGGCGTGATGCTGGTGCATAAAGCGTGTCATTTTGTGGACCTGGGCAAGCGAACTTCCGGTTGCTCGACACTTTAGATAGATGTTGAGTAATTGTGGTTTTGCCCCGGATGTCGTTTGCGCGCAGTTTAGCCAGGGCGTTAAGGAGGATTGGTGGCGGCGCATTGAGACTCCCAGTCCGCGAGATCCGGCCGTTGAGGCCTGTTTTGCCAAAGTCGAACTGTATAACTCCACCGTGCTGGCCCGTAGGCTGGCTGATTACTACGTCGCCGAGGCGGATATCATATTCGCCGGACGGCACCCCACCACCGACGCCGACTAGTAGGCCAAAGCGCAAGGCAGGAAAGCTATTGCGCATTTGGCTGGCGACGACGGCAGCCTGGTTATTGCCCATCTGGCCTGCTGGGAGACACGCCGCAACTACTTGATGGACGCCGATGCGGCCGTAGGTATAGACATTTGTGTCGGTCGGTGGCGGAGGAGGCTGGGGGTCGAGGTTGTCGTATTCCTCATCCATTATCTCTGCAGCGGCGGCCAGCTCAATGGGCAAGGCGCAAACCCAACCGACTGTAAAGTCAGTCGCTTTCGGTGTGTGGCCCATTCTGTAGCCGCCACAACACTTCTAAACCAAGCAAATACGCCTGGACCAGGTGGTTTGCTGTCCCATGTATGAGGTCAAGGAGACCGTGGTCTGGGAGAAAACTCACTACAGAGCACTCAGCTTTATCATGTAAACTAATGAACTACTGGTACAGCGGTACGGTTCGTTGTCCCCTGGAAGAAGCAGCATGTGAGTCCAATCAGATCTGAACAAGTTACCCTACAGCGCGGGAGCTTACAAGTAAGATTGGGCTTTGCCGACCTACAGGTCTTACGTGGATGCGAAATTGTAGACTACCTACGTACTTTCCATGACCTCAGGAACGCAGTACATGGAACACGCCCCCGACGGGACGTCGGTGTACGTGGGGAGCGCGGCCTACAAGTGGGAACCATAGCCTTCTTGGGACGAAGCCGTCATATCCGATGTGAGAATAGGGTTCTGCTCAATACCAAGGCATTGAAGCGCAAGCAGAAGCACGAAAGACGTGGATGGAGTACTCGCCAGTCTCAATGCCTGCGAATGAACTCATGATTCCACATTCGCCCTGGGTTGAGTCAATGGGCTAGCAACCCGGTATCCAACGGCGAGAAAATTGCATAGCCCACTAATCTAACCCAACTATTGGTCGCACTGTTTTCTTGGGGGTGGCTTCTGCTGCAGGCTTCAGGCTCTCAAGCACCTGTAAGAACATGGCTGACGGGCGGGGCCGACGGTCAGGCTGAATCGAATGTTGACAAGAGTCGGTTCCAAGGTTCCCTCACGATATAGCCGGGCTTGTCGCAAGTAGCAGCTATGCTCGGTTGAGTTCAAAGTCCTTGGCTCCTCGGTGAAGAAAAGACTGGATTCCGTCATTGAACATAAGAGGCGCTGACAGGGCAGTGCGACTTGATTTTGTGTTGTTGTCCCCGCAAGCATCGCAACATTGAGACCAGTGAAAGACGATGAGTGAGACTGCGCACCTGTCGTCTGTGGCCCCCACACGTGACTGATGTCACTCATACGAGTCTCTTAGGTGTTTCTATTCTGCACTGGGCATAGTGTACATTCCCTTGTGTTTACACTAGAATGGCGGATGGCAGCGGCAGACAGCAAGCACTATTCACTAACTTTCATCCGGACGAGGCACAAGTCTGGCTTAAGTCTTGTGTGCGGTTGAAGATATGTATCATCCCTGTCAAAATCATAAGTTTCTCACGATGGCGGGTCTTTGCGAGGCTCAAAATTGAAAGTGGTCTGAAACGTGCCCATTACCTAGCAATCTATTTTAACCCAGGGTTGCATAGAAACACACTCGTTAAGAGTTTTCTTTAAAGATACATCAACGAGACCAGTGCCTACACTGATGGCCCAGTATGTGAAACCTAGGAGCACATTATTTCTCAAAGCAAGACTGCGATTATGGGGAGCAGTCTAATACACCATGCACCATGCACCAAGACGAGCACACCTGAAAGTATGTGAGACGCCAAGCTGGTCTCTATGGATGATATGGACATAATTGTAGCCAGTGGCCAATATATACAGTAGAATATGGCTTTACAGTTCCACGTTTAAGAGACAGAGATGCTGTAAGCGGTGGTCGTCAGGACGGCGTTGGAGCCGGTGAAGGGCTCGGTGCCGGCCTGGAGCGAGGTGATGTAGTAGCTGGAGGGGACACCCTGGCTGGAGGTCAGGTACTTGAAGAAGAGATTCAAGTCGCCGCTGAAGTTGGTGATGGTGCTGGATGCAACAAAGGAGTAGACCTTGGTGCTGCCGTTCAGGCCGTAAAACAGCTTGTAGCTGTTGCCGCCGATAGTGACGGTAGCAATGGGGCTTCCACTGGAAGAGATGGGACCGGCGCCGCCGTAGGCTGCGAGCCAGACCATGATCTCGTAGGCATTGGTGCCTCCCGAAGTTGGGGCAAGCCAGAGGTCGTAAGCAACATCGGCTACGAGGTTGTTTCCAGTTTGGCTGAGCAGAGTATTAGTGGCTGTAGTCTTCGTTGCGGGGTGGAATTACACTCACCTCCACTTCCAGGTGGAAGGAATCGAAGAAACTGCGGACAGCTTCTTGTTCACGTTCTCAAGAGCAACGTTCGAATAAGACTTGACGTTGTAAGAACCACCTGCCCAAGTCCAGCTGGTGTGCCAGGCGACCGAGTTGCCGTTGAGCGAGTCGAAGTAGGTGCACTGGGAGCCAGAGCTGGCGGCCGATGCACCCCAGTTGTTGTGGTAGATCACGTAGCCTCCAGTGGTAAGGGATCCCCAAGAATCACACGAGATGGTTGTGGCACGCTTGTCCAACGTCGGTGTCGGGGTTACGGGCGAGGCGAGGACGCTAGTGGCGCCCAGTACCAGCGAGAGAATGGATGAAGTGAACATCATTATGGCGATGGAAGTTGTGTATACCGGACGAGGTTTTCGATAGAGTTGTATCAACACAGGGTGAACGATCTGATGAGGTATCTACAAGTTGCCAAGAGGCCACCGGCTCTTTTTATGAGTAGACCATGGTGGAGCATAGAACCTTATACTTTTTCTGTTCTTCTTCTTTGCTCCTTCCATGACCTATTCACTCTCCATTCATACTACTGATGGGGACTCCATTGTAGTTTGTTCCACGAATGAGGGAGATCGGATGCACCCCAGTCGCTATGCCTCTGTCGACCGAGCGTTTGGAGTAAAGACGTCTAAGTGCCGCGTGTGGGGAACAATTTCCCGTCGGTGACCCTGTTCCTGGGTTGTGACCCCTGCACACTGGGGGAGCCTCTGGTCCCGGATTTCCGCTTTTGGTCCTAGGAAAAGGGTGACTGGTCACTGAAGTTGGTCATCGCTTGCTGGACAACTTACTTCGGCTCACTGTCAGTGCAGTGTTTGGTGGCATTTGAGAATTACCTGCTGGAAGATGGATCCCTAAGTGTTGCACAGGCCGGCTCAATGTTCTTCAAGTCGTATGCGGCCGACGGCGATTCACCGTTGCAGTGGAGTTGGTCGTCTCTTAAACTGGCTGGGATCTTCGGGGTGCTCTCTGTATCGCGCTTGGTGTCGTGCAACCAGACCCGTAACTCCTGGTCGACTGCCTCTAGTTCCCCTTTGGCTGGCGGAGATTTGACACATTCATTGTAATTGATGCAAAAGGGTGTTGAATTAAGCGCACATAATCTTTCTGGTTCTCAAGTTGACTGATTGACCAGGTTCCCGTCCCATGTTTTGCCCCTGCGGCGATTCGTGAAGATGCCCTCCACAGTACGTCCGATCCCAACGCCGTGTCTACCGGTGGCCAGAACCGCAACACTGCTGCTCCAAGCTCATATCCCTCTCTCAATGGCCCTGGTTCTGAGCATTGTGGTCGGCAAGCGATTGCACGTCCGCTGAAGTCGAGCCCTTCGGTGGTCTCCCACCCAGGAGTCTCGCCGGCCAAAACGTCCCTCAGTGTACTTGCATGGTAAACAGACGGCGCATATTTACCCACCTCGGCCTTCTGCACCTCCGCTGCGTCTTCTTTCGTGACTTCGCCGGCGGGCTTCCGTGCAACCTCACCGGCCTTGGCAAAGAAGTTCTGCTGCTTGTCGTGCAGGCTCTGTGCGGTGGCTGCGGATCCGCCTTTGACCACATTGGCGTCCGATACGTCGGCCTCGGGACATGCAATGGCGGAAGCTTTGGCCTGTGTGCTCGGCCGGCCTCTGGCGGCTTGCTCCTGAAGTTCGGATTTGGATAGCAGCCCGGAAGTCATTTTGTGAAGCACCTCGACAATGTCTTCTTTCAGCCGAGATGCAGTATACCAGGTTAGGAGATGGATCTCATGTCAATGAGACTGTTGTTCATTCGTTCGTACGTGACTGGTAGCTAGGTGCGGTGGCGTTATATGACTTCATATCCTGTTCCGGGCAGGGAGGGACCCACGGGATTGTCTGGCCAGTGCACCGTTGACCAATAAAGAAGGAAGCATACAACTCCGTCTGAACAGTCACTGCCATTTAAACTATACCTTCATCATCATTTGGCTTTGTATTGTCTCGAATGGCACTCTATATACATAATACTCGGAGAGGGCTTCTGTATTATGGCCATGCTCAGAAGATCAACCCGGCCTTCCTGAAAGCCTCAAACGACTCCAGCCAGCCGTCTACGGGATCTTTCTCTTCATTAAAGCCAGAGTCCCTCAATTTCTTCAAGCTCAACTGCCTGTCAAAAGTCAACCACGTCCCCACGCTGTCGAGCTGCGAGCTCCCTGCACCAACCCCAGCCTTCACAGCCCTGTGCAACCCCTTTCCGAGGAAGACGTCCTGGTGCTGAGCTATGTACTGTCCGGGCATGACTTTTTTGTCGTCATTAGATGCGTCGTCTGCAGAAGATGCCACAGGGGAGGTGCCTTCCATGCCAAACCAGGCCGCGAGCCTGGGCCATATCTCCCTGAATTTGGCCGGTTTGACGCTGTCGCCTATATTAAATAGGCGACCGCCTCCACAGTTGTTTGGGTCCATGGAAGCATGGATCGCGAAGCACGCAAGAGTTTTTGCGGAGACGGGAGTGAACTTGGATTCGTATGCAGCCTCGTTTCCTGGGAAGGGGATCGTCACCGGTGCCGCTGGCCGTTCTGTTTGTTGAGGTCTCAAGCCGTGGTTATGAGCGTATAGAGATAGATACTGCGCCCAATGGAGAGCAAGAGAGAACTGTGAGCCGTTGGGCGTGAATCCAATCTAGCCACCGTCAGTGCTGGAACACTCTGATTGGAACTCGGGATTACTCACGATAGCGTCTGGACAGATCTCACACCACGTCCAACTTTTCCCCTGACACGCCTTCGTTAACAATTCGCGGAACACCGGGTACACGACCGTCTTCGCATAGTCTGGCGGCAGATTATTCACCATGTCCTCGGCAAGAGGAGGTGTGAACGTGCCGCCAGGGGTATATATTCCGTAGCCCTACGCATGGTTTGTTAGTCTTGGTAGGAGAATAGGTCATTCTGTTCAATATTCCGGCAACGCAACGTACCCTCGTACCCCCGGGGAAGACAACAAACTTCAATGGAGCACCCAGTATCTCCAACGCGCCGATGACGTTCTCTAGCATGCGCTTGTTGACTGCCACCTCCTCAAGATGGTCCTGCAATGATGTGAATACTATATGAGCACTCCGAGTCAGCATGTATTCATTCGATACTAATCACTAGGACATTCGTGTCACTCCCAGCGTCAATCCACCGTCTCGCAACGATCCCTGCCCGCCGTGTTGTTGTGTACGTACCAAAGTAGTAGACGTGCGTGAAAGTGTGCGCATCCTCCACTCTTTCTAGTAATGTCTTTGCAAGTTCCTGCGGCCCGTTACCAGAATCACCGAGACCGTCGCACCTGAGGTCTACACCGGAGACCAATCGAAGGCTCGGCCTGCCGGTGCTCAGGCGTTCCGTGGGCCAGCAGGACTCCTCCAGGCCGACGGGGCGGTTTGTGAGCGCAGTGACTCTTGGGAAAGAACCCGGCATCGGGTAATTGGAGAGCAGCTGGTTCACAACGGACCAGCCAATGAGGCCGGATGCCCCCAGCACAAGGGCGTGGTTTGACTGGGAAGAGTCCATCATCCGTAGGGTCTGACGATCGCAGTGCTGGATCGAAATGTCGAAAAAGCGCAATCCGAACAAACGGCGGTTCGGTTAGCTCTAAGATTCTGAAGTTCTTAAGATCTAGGACTGAGTTGTTATAACTCCCGTTGAGAATCGGCTGGTGAGTCTGGCCGGCGAGCTACCCACTTCTTTCTGAGCAAGAATGATTCATAGCTGATTTGCCGAAGCTAGCTCAATTTAGCCCAGAGTAGAATATTCAATCAGTCGAGGTTGATCCAAGTTTGAAAGATTAAAGGCCCTACTAGATCAATCACCGCAAATGGAAAACAGGCACAGATACGTCGTGAATGCCATAGTTGTCTTACACGCTAACAAATTAAATATCTCTCTTTCCCACCATCTCGCAAGAAACTAGTAAAACGCACGACGGCTAGGATCTAGAAGAAGCATCTCTTATGCTCCCTTTATCCGTGCCGCGCCTCACTCCGATCTAGCCCCCCTACATGCCCAAGGCCAAAGACCAAAGATGGCACCAGACCAAGAACTCCCAGAAATGTCTTTGAAAAATCTGCCATGCCAACAAATAATCGTGACGCGGTCTAGGTGTCTATCTAATGCGGGCACGGCCGTTCCTCAAAGAGTAGGCATCATTCCCCGCTTCCCATACTAGGCGTACTGGGACCAAGTAATCGTGAATAGGGGTATCGCGGAAATTGGGACAAGCCGTGAACCAGGTATTAAGTTGAATTGTGGTTGACGGGAAGAACTCCCACAACCCATGGATTATAATGTCGTATTAAGTAGGTTGCTGGGTTGCGGGACGCAGACGATAAATGATCGCATCAAAATCATTGTTGTCGGTTTGGGTATTTGTTTGTTGCTTATCATGCAGCAGGATGTTGTTTGCTCGCCGCAGGCTTGTTGTGTAGCCTGCTTGCCTTGGACACGTTTTGTCAACCCTCAGGCGTCACGGCTCGGAGGGCATTCCCATCCCTGTAGAGTCAGGCTTCTCCGCCCCGTGCCTTGCCTCTTCTCCTGAAGAAGTCCATCACTCTCTTCGCAGCGCCGCTACTTCCCGCGTGGTCGTTCGGCCGACCATAGTCCTCTCCATCATAAGCGTCAACAAATCGCTTGTTCTTCTGGAGGCGACCTCGGCTTGCTGCCCGCCCGTCTGAGTCATATCCACCTTGATAAGGGGCGGCGTTGTGGACCGGCTTGCGTCGCGGATGATCAATCGAAGACTCGGAACCTGAGTTCAGCACTGCGCCTTGCTGCATATACGCAGGGATTGCATTTGGCCGAGAGCCTGGAGCATAGCGCTGGTGTCGTGCTGGATTTGTGGCCGAAGGCTGCGGTACCGCTCCGGATGTTTGAAGCTCATCGTCGTACGCAGCATCAGCATACTGCAGGTGGTCCCCGCGACTACGTGGCCGTTCAGCGTACTGGCTGAAGTCGTCAGTCTGCGGTGCGTCTTGCATAGGGAGATGTTGCGATGAGGACATGTCGGGGGGCGGCGAATCTGCTTCTCTGCCAAGGCCAATGGCCTTCATGAGGGAGAAACGGCGGGTATTTGGTGGCCTTTCTTGCGAGGCTTGCGAGCCAGTCATACTTCCGCTCTGCTTCTTGGATAGGCCTAACGTTTGGGAGAATGACCGCCGAGAGGCACGTGAATCCATCGATGGGCGACCAACAGGCTCGCCTGACATGGTATTCGACATGCTAACCGGAGGATATTTTCTATTGGCCTTCTCTAAAGGTTGCTGAGAATCGCGCTTCTTCCGGCCACCGAAGATGGATCCGCGCCGTCCAAAGATCTTGTCGCTAATCTCACCGATGGTGTTGGAACGCTTGTGTCCCTTGGACTCGCCACCGGAGGACTGAGGCGGTGTGTTACTAAAGCCTGAGACCTGCGCGAACTTCGCAGGGACAGCACTGATGCTCGGTCTTCCAAAGTCCAAATCCGGCTGCTCCTGGGGTATCGGGTTCGAAATCACATAGTTCTTTGCGCCGCTACTGGGTTGAGACATCCTTCCTTGAGCATTAGTACCGGCCACGGTAGGGGGTATCGGTTGACCATACGAAGCGCGTGTAGCACCGGCACCTAGTCCGTGCCGGGAGCCAGTCGACTGCATTGAGCCTCCCGTTGCCGGTCTCGGCACGTTGGCCCCGGAGATGGTCGTCATGTATTGTTCAGAAGTAGCACGAGATCCGTCACGACCGGCTCGTGCGGAATGTGTGTTTGTGTTCTTGTGGGAGCTCGGTGGTCTTGTCCGGTGGGATGGCGAGGGATTGTATGCGTCCTTGGTTACTGGAGGGTCCCTGGGGAGTGGCTTGTCGTTAGGAGACGTCTGAACCTCGACCGGTCCTCGACTTGAGGAGCGAGCACGAGTCTTCCCTCGGGGTGAAGCCTGGCTCGCTGCCTCACCACCACGCTGTGTCTGCGTGGTCGGCGCCACGTACTCAACTTGCACGGTGCGTCTCTTGTTGTCCTTCTGCTGCTTGCCTTGTGCGGGAGGCTCGTCGGGATCGACAGTGCCCTGTTTCCTGGCCAGATCACCCATGGCGGCGGCGGTTTGCTTCGATTTGGACGGCTCCCTCACAGACGCACTCCGTGCCAACCCGGACGGCTCTTCGTCATTGGCGGGGACCGTTGTATTTTGTATCTCACTCGACGTGGTGGTAGTGCTGGTGATGAGTTCCACAACATGGGCATACTCGCTCAGCCAGCTGTGTCTAGCAACCTCGAAGAGGTCGGCGCGCTTCCGAGGACTGGGAACCAATATGCGTCGCAGCAAATCTCGAGCGTGCGGCGTGACGTACTCGGGGAAAGTAAGAGGGGTGTTGACAATGTACTTGTACAAGAGGTTGATATTGTCGCCCTCAGGGTTGGCGGGATCATCGTCGAAAGGCAGGTAGCCCGCGAGCATGGCGTAGAGAATTACACCACAGCTCCACACGTCCACCTTTCGACCCGTGTATAGCGAATCGCTGACCACGAGCTCAGGCGCGGCATAGCAGGGGCTGCCACAGCTCGTCTGCATGAGGTCTCCTCTTCGTAGGCCATTGGACTTCTTTTTGTCGAGGCCGGTCCTCTTCACAAAGTCACGGTCGCCAAGGCCCAACTCTTGTTCCACGCTCAGTTCATCATGAGGGTCAAACGTATTTGCAAACCCGAAATCAGTGATAATAATGTTCCGGTTGCGGTCCAGAAGCAAGTTCTCCAGCTTCAGGTCCCTGTGCACAATGCCCTTCTTGTGAAGATACCCAACGCCAGAAATTAGTTGTGCAAACAATCTTCGCGCAGCATTGTCCTTCAAGTAGCGGTGTGTGAGGATGTAATCGAACAGTTCACCGCCTGAAGCATATTCTAGCACAATTCCAATGTGTCGTTCCGTTTCGGTCATTTCGTGTAATCGCACAATGTTGGGGTGGGCAACGCCGCGTAGGATGGATACTTCGCGGTAGATCTTAGCCAGTCGTGATGGGTTGTTACCAACACTATCACGTCGGATGAGTTTGATGGCAACCTGGAGAGCAGTTGCCCTGTCAGCATAATTTCTCGGCTCATATATCTCGAACGTTTCTGGGCACGTACCTGGACGCCACCGTCCTGTTTCCAGCCCAGCTTGACCTTGCCGAATTCGCCCTCGCCGATGGTGTGGCCCAAGTAGTAGTCGCCAAATTTGGATGCCTTCTCTCTTTTGGAGTGATCATGTCTACTTCTTCGGGTCCTGCCATCATCATGAGCCTCTCTGGCGCTAGCAATCGGCGGTGGGATGGAGTCGTCGTAGTCGTGTGATGTTTGCCCAGGTGTCACCTGGTGCGGCTGAGCTTCATCCAGCCTCTCCTGTTCTCGCTCTAGATCGTCTTCGGGCTGAGACACGATAACTCGGTTCAATACCTCACTGGCTTCCCGCGACGGTTGTTTGGATGACGTGTTCGTGTTGGTTCGGATAGGCATCGTTGTGGTCGACTGTCTGTCCCGGGAGCTGCCCCGGTTTGACGACTCTTGCTGCGCTGCCCGCCGCCTGGAGCCTGAATCCTCGTAGCCGTTCGCCACAGGTCTGCTGCTACTGCTTTCGCCGGTTGCTGCTCTCCGCGGTGAGTTTGCTGCGCGCTCTTCTGCTCGGGCAGATCTTCTGGAGCTGGACCCGCCTTGTTGGCTCGAAGACGTGCGCGGCGGGGGGACGGGCTGCTCGTTTCGCCGGCGGCTCGAGGAGGAAGTCGACGGTGTCTGGTCGCCTGTCGCTACTGGGACAGGCGACGCCAAGGCAGTGCGCGATGCCATTGTAGAGGACTGGCCGGGGTCGTGATGGGTCGCCGTGTTACGGCTTCTCCTAGACGGGCCGTTAGATGATGCAGGTGAGGCAGCGGCTTGGCTCTCTCTAGCATAATAAGCTTCTCGGCTTGGAGAGCGGTTTGAGGTGTACTGGCTGGAAATGTGAGAATCCAGTGGCGGTAGTGATGTCGGTTGGTGAGGAGCTGACTGCAAAGCGGCCGAAGACATACTTGACGCAGAAAAACGCGTGTATGGGTCGTGCTTCGTGGGCAGGGAGATAGCTGAAGTAGGAAGTTTATTGTTGTTTTGCCCTGTGCCTCGCTTATCTGTCGGTCAGCTACACTGTCGACGCCTAGGAGCCGAGGTGGCGGTCTGTAGAAGGCTCCGTACCTGTGGATTGGATTCAACAAACTGGGAAATCCAATACGTCTTTCACGTCGAGGCCGTATCTAGTCGATCGAAACCAAATAAACAAGGGCGACGACGAGGGTCCAGAGCGCGAGTGCTACCGGCCGGGAATGAGTTCTGGGCTCAGCGGCCAGAAGTGCTCCAAAGACCCGAACGCGCGGTTGACTCCAACGGAAAGGCAGATGCGATGCGGCCAAGATTGAGGGTGGCAGCGCGGATTGGGCTCGAATCGGGTGGTCCAATAAGCCAGCTCAGCATATCATGGTGGTTGCAGTTGATACGTCAGCGCTCCGGTTGCTGCGGCGCGGTGCCGAGTGAGGCGATGTGTACAAGACAATTCGAGTTCGGTGGCCTCTCAATTGCACGACACACACTTGTCCGACTCGCAGGGTCGGCGAGCGCGGGAACAAAAGTCAGAAGAAAATAAAAAGGAACGAGAGAGCGAAGTTGTTTCGCGGGCGTGTCTAGTCCCGGCTGGATCCCCTTTGGGCTGCAATTCAGACAACCCCCTTGTCCCGCGGAGGTGAGCGAGGGCAGGCCGGTCAGTCGGGTAGCGCGTCGACTGACTGCACAATGGAATGGATGACGATGAATGAGTTGAACGAGTGAAACCCTCCCGCGCGCAACAAGTCGCGACTGCAAGTGCTGGCTCTGCTGTAGCGCGTTGCGGTATCAGACAAACGTACGAGCCTGGATCAGATGCGGGAAGCGCGCACTGGGATGCTCTCCAATCCGTCCCGGCAGCGCGAGGGAAAAAGCAGCTTTCGTTCGGGGCTGGCTGCTAAAGCTTGTTGTCTGTCTCTCTTTCGCGGCGTCGGGCTACTGACTGCCAGGAGTCTAAAAGTGCTCTTGGGGTCCGGATGCACGCAGAGTAAAGGGGGGCGGGCGCTCAGGTTCAATGCAGACCAGACATGCGCGGCAGGTAGCAGGTTAAGTTGGAGGCGCATGCATCAATGATGCAGCCGCTTCAATGTGTCTGCTGGGTCTGGTGCGCGCTGGCGAATGGAAGGGGAAGCCTTGCGCTTCAGGCTCTCGGGGCAGTTAGTGACTCGTTGGCTGGCTGGCTTGGCTTGGCTACTCCCTGGGACCTTCGCCCACGACTGCGACGGCACCTCGAGAGGACCGGCTGACGGCGAGACGGGGTTCTGGGTAGGAAGGAAGAGGAAGAAGCCTCGTGCGGCGGGCCGTAGTGATGGACACCGACTGGCTTGCCTCCGGATATTCGCGATGTTTTGGCTTTGGGCGTAAGATTAGACGGGACTCGACGAGAGATCACTGGGCCTCGATGTCAGATGGGTCCCTGGGTTGATCGTAGCCGTCGACGGCCTAGCTGCTCCTCCTATTCCAAACAGGACCCAAGTTAACTTGGTCCGACCGCTGGGCTGCCCGCTGTCCAAGGTTCGGCACGTAGCTTCTGTAAGAATGAAATGTGCGTGTGTACCTACGTACAATAACACAGCGCACAACTCCAGCGGATTGCGCGCGCGCTCTCGTTCCGCTGCTCAGTTACTTCGGTTACTGTAGGTTGCCGAGACTACAGTAGCAGCTCCTTATCGCGCGGCAGGCTGGGTTGATTTGATGGCACCGGGCGGGATCTCGCGGCTGGAATGCTGGAACGCGACACCACAAAACACCTGGTCGCTGGGTATTTCCAAGAGACAGAACAGAGACGAGAAGAAAGAAATCACGTCCTAGCTATCTGGGTATCTCACATACCAGGTCCCTGCTGTGGGAAGTCGGGGGGCGGCGGGGATTTTGAGGGAAAGAGTTGCATCCCGTCCGTTTAATGCGCGTGTCTGAGCTCAGGTGGGTTCTTTGGCGAAATTGTTCACGTCTGACTGTCCTGCGCGACCTTGGATCCTTGAATCCTTAGGTCCTTTCAAAGGTCTTGCTGGCTTCGCTGCTCTCTCGCTGCTCGGTGCCCAGGCGGTCGCTCGCTCGCTCGGGTCCAGCAGGAGGAGGTCCAACAACAGGGCAGGCAAGGGGGCATGTGCAAGGTACCGGCCGACCGTGTCGTTTTGCTAGCCAGTTTGCAGTTAGACGCGACATCCAGGGGGGGCCGGCGGGCATGAGGGAAGCTGGGGTGTGGGCCACTCTCTCTATCCATGGATCTCTCTGCACCAGAATACTTGGAGCGGCATCCATGGGTCCTGTCGTTATGCAGGTACCGTGTCCGCATGTCTCGTCATCTCGCGCTCTCGTCCGTCTTGGTGCAAGATCCTCCGGTTGTGCAGTCCAACGAGTTTTCCGATGCCAAGCACCATGCTCATCTCATTCCCTTTTGCTCGTTTCGTTTGATGATTCCCATTTACAACCGTCGCAAGTGCGAACGGTGGACACCTCTAGCTTCCCTTCTACTATTTAGACCGTCATGCCGCCATCGCTCACTCCAAGGAACATCGTCGGACTCGAGAGCATGTGTGCGTGCATGGCTGCAAGGTACGGCGACGACAACAGTAACCTAGGTTCCGGAGGCAGCGCGACAGCCAGCCTTTGCTCGGACGATGCGCCAGATCTGCGCCATGCTCTGTCACTTTTCGCCAGGGACGAGATGCAGCGCAGCCGGCCGTCGAAAGATACGCTATTCCGGCCAGCTGCAGCCCCATAGAGTGCCTTGCAATCTAAAAGGCCGGCATGCGGCATTCAGGTTCCATCCATGGATGGGTACCAGTAGTCACGATGGATGGCTTCAGCTGCCCCCAAGAACCATGGAAAGCAGGCAGACCTGCGCATGAGCTACGGCAGGTACGGACGCAAGAAAAACAAAGCTGCAGGCTTCAGAAGAAACCATGCACGTCGTTGCTACGTAGTACGCGATCATCTGTCTCCAAAGGCCCGGCTCTCGTCGGTCACTTTTATCTTCCAAGTCACCGCCGACCAAATCAAGCGCTGCGGATTTGGGCAGAATTCAATTGCTCTACCTGCTGAAGTATGCAGCCTGCCCAAACACAGCACGGATGAAGGGTATCGAGACACCTCAACGACTGCTTGGACTACTTGTCCAATGACCTAGAAGCCATCATACCTAGGTGCCAAGGTCGGCAAGGTCTTGTAAGCCGTCATCCACCCTTCTGCAGGCTGGCAGGGTTGCCAGGGTCAGCAATCCCGTGGAGCAAGCTTGTTTACTGTAGTGGTATGGGTCCTCACCACTCGATGTGGACATCACGCTGGAGACGCCGAAGGTTGATGTAGCACGGGCCAGCCACTTTGCTCTATTAGGCCTTTAGGCATTGACTTCTTGGCTTGACATTTCGACGTCAACTTGCTCACGTTCCATGCCGCGTTCTTACAAGGAACTTACCTGCATCCAAAGTCCACATCCATAAACCAATTTGGCGACTCTGACTCAACCACAGCCATGACATCGGACATGCTGATCACTGGGTCGATGTCTACGAGAGTGCTCGGCTTCTTTCCTTAGTCCCAGGCTTGGGTAAAGCCAGTTCCCACTGCCGATGCGCAATCACGGTCTTGTCATTCACATGACTGGCTTGGCCACTTCCTGATTTCAGTTGTAGAGTACAACTGAGGCCTACAGACAAGGCTGAAACAGAATCAATGGCCACAAAGTTAGATGCAGCACATGTGCACACGCTTTGGGGGTCCTGACCTGAATACTAGCCATAAAGCTGCAGTAGTCTAAACTACGAGTACGCGTTGCTGCATATACAAGTCAAGCGCACGATAGTAGGTGCGCAAACTTGACACTGTAGTTACCTAGTTACTTACTCCCCGCACATCGATAAGTCGCCAGGCGCATGCCACGTTCTGATCTGCCAGATCTTGCATTGACGTCGGAGATGACGGCTCATAGCTAGGGCATGGGGTTCGTCCTTCTACACAGTAACTACTTGATCCCTGCAACGGCCCTAGAAACCTTCCAGATCGCTTTCCCAAGTTTTCGGGCGCGTCGATGGTCACGATTCACATGTTGGCGTGTGAAGGAGATCCATAGTAGTCACTCAATTTTGTCCGGCTTGCCTCACAGAACATTCGTCCTGGTGGAGGCCAAGTCTGAACTAATGTCCCAGTTGCTTGAGTTGCCAGGGAGAACCCTTGACTGAGCTGTCTATGTTCCACCATTTACATCTCGACATCGGACAAGCTCACGGCCCAAGCCTACAGACCGGCTAGTAAACCGATGTCAGTAGAGGTCCGATGCATGTCAATGGCCACTTTTCAATTACGTATCTTTGGTCAGAATCGTATTGTCACATTCCCTCTCTTCCGTCCGGAGCAAGCGATGGTGGAGAAGGCGCGCCAATGCGATGGAACTCTGCAATGCCGTCACCTTTATGCTTCTCTACTCGGCATGCCGTCGGAGCGCCCATCTGCCATTTACCATCGCGTCGCGTCCCAGACCTCTCAATGCATTAACCATATGCCGCTGTCGATTGTCAATGCGGCGCTTCATACTCTCCCCCTCCCCGTCCACTGTTCCTGGCAGGACAGCATTGGCTGGGTTTCAAAGTACCGGGCGCGTCTGGCCGGGTGTTTGGATCCAGCAGCCGCCTCTCGCCGTGGTTCTGAGGTTCTTGTCGCATACTTGGCAAGTCACAACGGCTCGGTTGTGGCAGGGTCACCATTCGATTTCAGTAAGTTTCGGTGACGCGAAACGCTCCGGACTGTTTCGCAGATCTCCGTTTCGTCTCTTTAGGCCCCATATGCCAGGCTCCCCTTGGAACAGATCCCCCATATTTTCACGTAAACGTTTCTCGCGAGGGGTTCCGGATATGTGGGTATTAGCAAAACTCACCGTGGACATAGCGTGACCTCGGACGATACGATCGCCATCTGGTACAGATCAGACGGTGCTCACTACGTGGTTTTGACTGTTCATTGAGGCCTCAGCTCGAGCGTATCTATATGTTACTTTGCTGTTCACGTTTCAGCTTGTCCTGTTACATTAGTTGGCATGGCAGACAATCCCCTGTCCTGCTCGTAGTATAGAGTAGCGAAACTCGCAAGTCGTTGTCTTATCACGTTGAAAGATAGGATCCATTGAATGTCTGAAACAGCCTGGCAACATAGGTATATTTGGTCTCGATCACTGCTGAATCAACGCATTGCATCTGCATGCCATCTGCTTTCTTCCATCCATTGGCCCCCATTCATTGTCCTATATGGGACCTGAGAAAAGTAACGATATCGTCCACACCCTCTGGCTCCACGATCCAGTGCTCTGCTGATTCGTATTCGTGCCACTCTATGGCAGGAAAATGCTGTGATAGGTAATCCCGAAGACCACGTCCATTTTCGACAGGCACAACACCATCATCCCGCGAATGTGCAAGGAACACAGACGTACTTTTGACGATCCGCTCCTCCCTGTCGAGTCCTTCCACAGCCCTGATAGCCTCGTAAGCCCTTTTCGGCATCCACGTGCAAAGTCCAATCAAACCGGCGAAGGAGTCTCTAGCCAAGAGGGCGGCCGTGATTGCAGCAGCGAACCCTTGACTGATGCCGGCGAGGAAGATTCTGTTTCGTGGCACCAGCGCCTCCTCGTTGGCAATGACGGCCTCTAGGAGCGTGACGCTCTGCCTAAGCCCTTTCACTTGGGACTCAAAGCGCTCATCCGGGCTTTCGACCGCCCACATGTCGAACCACTGGGGCTCTACAGCACCGAAGCGCTCAGAAAGAGTCTGTGGCGCAGACGGGAAGACCCACCGGACCGAGCGGAACAGCGCCGGCAGCGTCCGCGGTCCCTCTGGCACCAAGAGATCAGACGCTTCGCTTTCGAAGAGCTCGCTGGCGAACTCGTCGCAATCGCTTCCTCTGCCGTGAAGGAATATGATCGTATGCGTATGCTGGAAGTCTCCCGCGGGACCAACGACGTAAGGGCTGCGGTCCATCTCGTACCGTATAGCCTTTGCGGAACCTCGGAGGACAAGGCAACTTTGCTTTGTGTTTCTTTTGCTGCTGTTGCCGCTGTTGCTGATATATTGGAATCAGTCGTCGTGGAATGAGATGGACTCCCAAAACGATTCAATCTCGACTTGGAGGTAGCTAAAGCTGTGCTTTGTTAGAGTTACGTACGTAGAAATATTGGTCCAGGGTTCTCTTGTATAAGTGGAGGTTGATGGAGGTTGTGCAGTGGATTTGCGCCTATATATTCCGTGCTTGGGAATGTGTTGAAGTTCACTCTCATTGCGGGTCCTAGAGGCAATGCCAAATCACGTGAAACCTGGTAGCAGGAACTGGCAACGAGGTTTGAGCTACTTCTGACTGTTCATCGTTGGACCTTTCCGATGTCATGTCGAGAGATGGAATTTGCAATTGCGCGGAAGGGTTATAGTATCTCTTGCAACCACTAGAGAGAATTTTGCTATGGTGCCCACCAGAGACCAGGTCAATTAATTCATTGATGTGGTTTAATTCAGTTAAATACCCCCCTAGAGTTTGATAGAGATATTCCAAGCATCCAAGGCGACCGCGAAGCCCGAGACTACCGCAGCATATCCGACCAGAATGCCCATCGTGGCCACAGGGCCGACGTCCAATGTTGGAACCGTCATATTCACTAGGCCAGTCAAAAGGTTTGCCACCAAGAAGACCGCGAGACCATTTCTGTTGAAACCTCTCAAGACGCGGCTCGTAGCTATCTCATAAGCCTCCTTTTCAGTTCTCGCATCCTGTGCATTGTAGAATGAAGGGAAGAACAGACTGTCAATCAAGCAAAACGCGAGGATCTGCGCGTTGTTGAACGCAACAATCCAAAGGACATACGGTAGATTTGCCAGTCGACGAGAAACATCCAGTCCGGCACCACGGACTGGATTTGTGCTGAAATAGTACAGCGCCCACCAGATACCGGACCAGACAGCTATGGTAAGAAGCAGAGTGTTGCGCTGAGTCCCAGGAGTGGATGTACTGTTTGGGTTGATGCGACGAGGTAGAACGTACATCCCAGCGTCTTGACCAGCCAGGAAAATAGCCAGGTAGCCAACAAAGCTGCAAAGCCCCTCGCGGTTCATGGAGATGAGGTCTACCCGTGGGGCTAAGAGGATGTAGGACTTGAGGCTAGTACTCTCAAGAACGACCTGGTACAGAACAGCGAGCAACAACGAGAGTGTGGCATAGCTGGGAATGACTCGCAAGATGCTCTGGGACACGGCAACAAAGGGAGGGAGGAGGCCTAGCGTGAAGAAAAAGTTCCAGTGAACGCCGTACTCAGTGACGTGCTCAGCGTAGTCTAATCCCTTCACGCTCAAAAGCCGGATAACTCCCAGTACCAGGAGCGGCAACGAGTGACGCATCGAATAGACAAGTCTCTGATGGAGGGGTGTGGTCCTACTCTCTGCGCGCTCCTTCAAGACTGGACGAGCTGCGACCACACCGGCGCTGAAAACGAAGGAGCCCACGCCCAAGTCCATCAGGGAGGTGCCCCATGTTTCCACCTTGGCAAAACGACGTGGGAAGAGGCGAAAGTCAACCGCCAGTATAGCCAGGCAGGTGAGCACCATCATGGACCCCCGGTACTGTGTCAGGAAGGGTTTGAGGGACAGAACCCCCAGAGGTCCTCCTGCCCGGTCGTTGGCATTGTTGGCCTTGGAACTTGGCGGGAGCTTGACTCTCTTTTTCGTGGTCCTCTGGGGCAGCGCGTATATGAACAAAGCAGGTGCGATGATCAGTCCACTGAAGAGGAGGGGCGTCGACGACCACAGCGTTATAGCGAGGAGGGCGGCGCATACGTTGAGGAGGAAATCGACGAGGAGAGCGAATGGGGACGAGGTCTCGGTTGCGGCGTTTTTTCTGAAGAACGACTGGCGCGCCTGGAGCACCGACCAAAGGAGGACAGCCACCGGCGCAACAGAGACGACATAGGTAATCTCAGACACCGATCCGCCGGATAGGTTGGACACGAAGTCCTCCTTCAGCTGCTTGTAGCTCGTGGAGTTCGCGACCATATTCACGTAGGTCGGGCGAGGATTCGGGGAACGGTAAAGGAGTAGAATGGGTCCCGTGGCTATGGACGCATACCGAGATCGAGACTCCGCTTCGTGGCCTCGGAAAAGCCAAGCTGTCAATTCCAGGCCGACGATAGCTTCGGAAAGGCCACGAACGACGAAATATGGAGCGAGCTGCCAGCGGAAAGCCGAGAGGCTGTCCGTCCCCAGCGCCTAGAGCATGCAAACCAATCGGCAATCTTAGCGGCCGTTCGTTAGCTTGGTCCCCGCCTGCACCAGACTTCGCCGCTGTTTAGCGGCCGACCAGCCGCCAGGACCCGTGCGATCGGAACTCCTTGGAAGTGCGCCTTCAAGCCTCCAGGGCTGCTTGTGATCCGAGACATCCCACTACATCAACCACTAACTACAGGCCATATCGAAAGACAAATGAGCCAGAATCTAAAACACACACTGCCTGGAGTGATCATCTCATATACGGCACTGCTTGCATCCTTGGCCCATGGCTGGCCCTAGGCAATCGCCCCGAAGCATTCCTTGTTCTGAAGCACGCAGGCTCAGGTGCCTTTAGTGCTGCTGGTAGCTCATTTGCTCATCTGGGCCTTCTTTGTCTACCGAATGTAGTGTTTCTGGCAGTCCCGTGTCCCTTGCGCCTTTGTTATGGACAGAATGGAATTTTCCATAACAATCAGCTCTATAGCTTTGCGTATGAAGCGGCAACAATGAAACTTATTTTGTGTTGCTTTGATATTCCGTGCCTACACGACGCCTGGCGCCTTTGAACCACACACCTTTCAAAATAGTCTGAAGATTGACAGCCACTGGTCATTGACATGCCGTTGTTGATTATTAAGGTAGTTCAGGATTTCTATTCTCCTACTCTACCCATGTCAAAGTAGTGAACCAGCCGGCTTTCTGCGTCCTCGCCTTTTCCAACATAATGAGACGGTGATCCGACAGCCGCCAGCTGCTCGCGTTCTCCACTGCCCCTGCATGTTCTTTACGAGTCTAGCTGGCCTATTCACCATACTCAATGGACAGTAGGGCTTGTGTTCCAAGAAGACTAAACCTTGAGCCTTTGTGGGCGCAAGGCTACGATCTCGGCAACATACCAAAAGCCGCTTCCAGACTTGCAAGCAGCCCGGACGTAGCAACCCTTTCGTCCATCTCCCCGAAAGAGCTACCAAGCCCTTTATACCCCAATACACATGATGAAGAAATGATAAGGCGAGAACGGTCGACAGTGGACAGACTTGGCGGACAGCTTAGGCGTACCAATACTTCCATCAACTCCAAGCTCCACCCCATCCGGGAAGAAAAGTCACTGGCGAAGAGGTTTGGACAAATCAATATCAGTTCTAATATCAGCGTTACACATGGAATACCAAAAGGCTCATCAAATGTATCCCTGAGATCCCCTAGCCAGATGCAAGAACCTCTCCAGAGGTCCAAGTCGTCATATGTACATCACAGTAACTCGGGGGCCCATGCTCTGGACCGGCGAAATAGTATGGAAGCGGATTTGCGTCCGATATCGTCAATGCCTCCGACTCCCCGAGAGCAGTCAATCGTGGACCTACGTCAACAGCTTCGTACATGGGGCTATGTGTACTACGACAGCATCAAGACTGCTGATGCCTTCGTCATTGCTAGATCATTGCGGCAGCATAGTAACTCTTCTGCAGAGCTCGCAGAGCCCTTCTATCGGGGAATGCGTGATTTACCACCACACAGGTGTCCTCAACGCAAGACTATACGGGCTATTATCCGGCCTCGAGCGCTAGAACGGCGTCCATTCCTGATACAGCGCAATTTCAACATGGACGAGCTCCGCGCCACCATACCCGACAGCGCCGGACCACTTACACCATCCCAATTGATAAGTAACCGAGAACAAGATGGGACTTCTATGCTTGCGTCACCAAGACCGAGGTTTCGTAGGAGACGAAATAGTGCCAACTCTGTTGAACTTCTCTCAGGAAGGGAGTCTAGAGCTAGCATAGCCTTGGACCATGACAGCCTTATTCACAACATAACCACTGTACCAGTTCGTGAGTCTGAAATGATTTATTGACTAGTCCGAGAATTATAGTCACTGACATCTGATTGCTCAAGACCTCAAGTACTTGAAGGCATATTTGCCCATCTTAGCGGCGCTCCTCACTTCAGGACATGTTCGTGAAGGCGACATTATCTACCTCCCGATGCCTCACCCTGAATCGTGGCCGCAGACTGTCAAATACATATACACAGGCCAGGGAGAGCCGACAGCAGATATAAAAGGAAACATATTGTATCTAGCGGGTAAAGTTTGATCGTTCAGGGCGTTAGAGAGGCCCTTGTTATTCAGGATCTTACCTAGATCTCGGCAGTTAGTTATGATGACATTACGTCAACGGTGACATCTGCGAACCATATACTCGGGTCTACTAGCTTGACCAGCAGGCAAGTGGAAGACTGGCCCAAATTTGGCTCGTGTGTCAGTTGTCCGTGCAGATACTATTAACTAGCAATGCCACATAAGATGAAGTTGAAATATGAAGACCGTTTGTAGTTGGGCGTCGACTTGAACCGACCAGGAGCAAGCAAGCTACGCGGTGCGGCCTAATAGCCAGTATTATTTATTAAAATTACTCTTGTCTATCAGGCATCATCATTATCATGTTTTTCTTTTGCCTTCATCCAATCATTCCATCGTGTATCGTTTGCAACTCATGCCACAGCCGTAATCGTGTGGGGCTTGACCGGGACTGTGACCGGGGCGCACTTGACCTCTCGATCAGAGTAGATCTGCCCAATAGTCCAGTTCGGGTTTTGCCAAGTAGAATCAGTGCAGTCAAGAGTAAGATTGACTTGGCCATAGGCGTGGAACGTTGCTCTGTGAGGGTGTTAGTTCGACTTGTACACAGTGTCTGATGGCGAAGAATCACTTACGGCCATTGTGGCTCCAGGTCACTGCAGACCCATGTTTGGTTGATGTTAAGCTCTCCGTTCGCTCGGTTGAAGTCGAAGGTAGCCTTGGTGGTAGAGCCGTCAGGGACTGTGCAATTGTATGCCATGGTACCGTAGAAAAAGTCTGAGAGTTGACTGCTTGAAGCGCTGCACGATGCCTTGTACTCCAGTGCGGGGTTGGTGAGGTTGAAGTTGACATAGCCCCAGCTGTTCTGATGGGCAGGCGTCGTGAAGATATAGGATGCGTGGTAGTCAAAGTTCTCTACGGTCCATTGGAAGTCTTTTTGGGACTTGGCTTGGCATCCCGCATTACTGTCACGGGCATTGTGGCCAAATGGAGCCGCAACTGCCAGAGGCAGGATGGCAGCGAGGGTAGAAATGAGACCGTGCATTGTATTAAATAACGAGATGGGATCGTGGTATTATGGATGCTGCGACTTAAGAGGTGCTGAAGGTGCTTGTTTGAATGAGCGGCGAGCAATAATGGTGTGAGGAATAGTGGCTAGCATTTATATACCTATGAAGAGGGTTTGGGGTATCATTCGGCTGTGGTTTGCCTCCATGCCAGTGTCTAAGTGCGTGGTATCCTGATGCTGATCTCTTCGGGTCGGAGTGGTGCCAAGAGCTCGTATTGTCCTACGGGTTGCGGGGGGTTGGTGAGTGGCAGGATCCAATAGAACGCCGGCGATGCCGGCTAGGCCGGTACAACGCACGTCACACGAGGTCACCCGCTTCCCAACCCTGAAGGCCTTCTCGAATCGATACCTTGTGGTTTTTCGGCATGTCAGGTCCCGTCTCTAGCCTCGCCCGGGCTGGCTCGCTCGCCTCAGTTGCGTTAATCGGTGAGCGGTCAGAGAATGTGCACAAGCGACAGATTCCGACGGTACTATTTTTGGACCGCAGTACACGGCTAGACGGTGGTGGCCGCGGCAGTCCGTCAGTCAGCCACCTGTAAGTTATTGGTCTTATTGGTCCCCAGCGCTAGGCTGCCCGCCTGAACAGATGTCATCATAGCAGCGCTGCTAGGTGGTTGGTGGTTAAGCGCGGTCTCTACGGATTACTAACATAAGCTTAATTGACCTAGTTAGAAGCACCTTGCGCAGATCATTGGAAAATTCTCCGCTGCGCTGACTTCATACAGACTGATAGACAGTGGATACCTGTAACGTTGCCCTGTAAATGCGACAACATGATTCACTTACGCATTCCATGGCTTTCAGAACGATGCCTCGTCTCTCCCCGCTACTAACTTTGACTGGTAAGCATAGAGTTGGAAACTGCGAGCTAGCCTACGGGACAGAACAGTCATGGTGAAGTTTGAGGGTGAATAAGGCGAGATCTAGTTGAACATCCTTTCAAATCCGCCTCTTACCAATGTAGGATTTGGCGCAGCGACAAATCTCAGCCGCCCGAGACAGGACCGAGATTCCTCCAAGTCAATGCAACAGTGTATCACAACGCCGTCAACGAGCTCAGGGATGTTGCCGATCTTACGCACTGAGGGGCTTCTTGGGGCGCGTTGGGTCAAATGCCATGCATCAGGATCTGGGCAGCTCCTGTGTCTACAAGGTCAATTTGATAGATTGAATGGCCAGATCTACTGGATAGCTAGAGACCATCCATTCGCCGATCAGCGATCCATGTGGAGCTGGATGTCTATTCGCATTCAACCAGTTGGCCTCGAAGGATGAGCTCTGGACGCCAGACCCGCAAAAAGTCACATGGTCAATGATACTTTGTTGATCCTTGGCTGGATCTTCCAAGAGGACATTCGATTCATACGATGCGTGTTTATGCATGGGCAGGCTGTCAAGTACCACGGCTTTTAAACATCATTGTTCCATAGTGATGGGAGGCTAACGGTAGATTGCACTGCCATATGGGCTGTGGATTACCAGCTCAAAGCGAGATTTGAAAGCGCGCCCAGCTTTGAAGTGATCGCATATTGATACTCACTCGAGTAGAGGGTGCTTGATCAAACCAGGCCAACTTTCTGATCCTATCTTGATACTTCAAATAGCAACCCACGATCTCGGTTGGCTGTCTTGCGGGGTCAAGAGTCACTATGTAGCAAATCGAAAATCCAGTCTATACGGCTCGTCAGTTGGAATGGTTGCGTACTAGGAGTCAGCACGAGCTCACCGCTTGTTCCCTTCATCTGTAGTGGTCTTCCTGTATGTTTCTTGCTCCTCCGGAGTCATGATGTCCCATACCTTTGCCTTGGATTGATTTCTCCATCGGTAGTAGAAGTATGTAACCGGATATTGCACAAGCTTCATAACGTCAGAGATTTCAAATGGAAACAAGAGTATGCTCCTCTGACTTACACACATCCAAACACAGATTACTAGCAATCTCTTGTTTGCTTTGTAGTACCTCGGTGCGTCATCGGGTTGATAGACTGCAATATTAGCAGGCGCACTTTATGTGGGCCAGAGCGAGCACTCACTGTTCGCCCCAATCATTCCACTGACTTGAACCCACATATTGTAGAGCCTGCTAAGGTTTAGACATAGCATAAGCTGAGAGTAGAGGGAAGGACACCTACGATGCCGACACTGTACGATTTTGAATTGATCCTGCATTTCTGCTTGTCCAGGCCACCTGAATGGGATGGCTGCTATGCTTGATTAGCCTTTGAGTACCACCTCATTAATCCGCACTTACTATGGAAACGACAACAACACTGTTGAGATTGCGAAATATGCCCATGCGCTCGGGTTCGGCAAGGCTAATAAAGCCACGAAGCAAGGGAGTAACCAAGCATCTTCGGCCATGGAAACGAAACTCCTATTGTTGACCAACTCGCTGAAGGCAGTAATCAGTAACATCATGATGCTAGATCCAACGATGTTAGGGATCGAGAGAAGGTTTGTCTGAATGACGTTGAATCCTAGGCCTCGGAAGGAGAGTGTCAAGTATTGGTTGACAGGATACTTTGGTAGTCCAAACAAGAGGCCCAATATGTACAGAGGCCACATGTCGTAGTCTTTAGTACATTCCCAAATCTGCCTGACCGACAGACCTTGCCTGTTGTACATACCACCTTTCTGAGGGTCATCTCGGATGACTGAGTTGATTGTTAGATTTTATTTTCCATGTTGACCTCTGCCTGCTCCAATGACTTGCCTGCGTTTACAATGATCTTCTCTTCGTTCTCGGTGAAGTATCCTTTGGGGTGCCACCAACTCTTGGTCTTGGCGGGGCATTGTGGCATGAGGAAGAACGAGGCGATCCCAATTAAGAGTGCGAGATCATCAGTATCCCTGGTTTATGACTGATCATGCAAAGTGTGCTTACAGGTGAAAGCACCCCTGTAGATTGTTAGCAAATGACCAAAGCCTGTTCACGGTATTATAACCTACTCGATCAGGAACAACCACCGCCAGCCTTCGTAGCCCAAGATGCCACGCATTGAGACAAGACCAACAGCAGCAAAACCGACGCCAATATCAACTAAATCAGGGTGTGAGAAGGCTTGTATGTAATGTAGCTTTTGAGGCATTACCAAGCTGAGAAGACATCCAGTACCAGGCTAACCTGATCGGGAGCTGGTCAAGTCAATTTGAATGCCCAAAGAAAATAGACAGCAAAGGGTTTGGTTATTTACCGCTCTACTGGTGTACCAGTAACTCAGATACAGGATCGTGTCTCTTTGGTCAAGTCAGCGAAGGCTGAGATTTCATGTGTTCGGGACAGACCTACGGAATGAACCCGCCTTGGAATGTCGCGCTGATCTGTAAGAGAATGCTTTATTACAAGAATGGGTAGCTAAAACTTACATCAGGTACCTCGTAGCAAGGAAAGAAGCGGGACCACTGAGGAAAAATTGAGCCCCAGATATGAGACTAAAGAGACATATTTGAATGGGAATCCACAGATCCGGGCCAATCCTAACACACATCAGCAACGTTCATGTCATTCGACTAGTTCCTATCAGACCTTTTGGAAATTAGTTGGGAGGGAAGCTCAGCGACCAGAAAGCCCACTCGAGATATTGTTTGACCGAGATTCTTCATATTGTTACTAATGTGAACCTACCACGAAATAGAGGACGAAGAGAGGCACAAACTTACATAATCTGCCCGAGTAAGATCCAAATCATCAAGCATATTGTCCGAGACCGCGTTGTTGATGTTGTTTCGGTCGATGTTCAGGGATGCAAACATGATACAAACCCATACCTGGCAAGTCAACTTCATATTCCCACACTTTCAAGTGAGTCTTACCATGATCTTCCAATCGACTTTGCGCCGCACTGCTCGCTCCTCCCTCCAGGTCCATCGGAACTTCGGATCGAAAGCAGCCCAATTCTCCCATTTTGGATGGATGTAAAGCTCCTTGTATTCTTCCACATTGTCGGCATCCCAGATGCTGGATTGCGTTGCAGTCTGCTTTGCACGTCAGCGAGGACTTGTGCTCGTGATGCCTGAGTTTCTGTACGGACCGCATCAAGGTCGTACTCGTCACCCTTTGGACCCTTTCGAATTCTCAGGAAACGTAGAATAGCATCGCCAAGCGCTGCTTCCATCCGCTGTGTGTTTTCGGAGGCTAAATTTGCCACATAAGGAGGCGTTTCGTCCACTGAGCGTTGTTCACCGACTCTCGCCTTCGCATCCAGAGCGCCATTCTTTGCACTTGACGTAGGCTCGCCAGTCAAGGGGCGGTTGGATGGTTGTTGAGCGGACATTATCTTCTGCAACGTAGATTGAAGTTTATTGCAGCTCAGACGAATATGCTGCGAGGCATTCATTCAACTCATTAGTTTCTGCAAAGCCAGGAAAATTGCAGTGACAGATTTTCTTGAGAAATACGGTAATCAACATATACATTAACTAACAGGGTTCCAAATAGTGGGTTTCACAGGGCTGAACCGCGGAATGGTGGTCGAGCTTGTTAATTCAAGCCTCTAGTCGCATAGAGCTTTTGCAACGGTGGAGAGGTTCCTACGCTAGGTGTTACTATTACCGAAGATTATCTGGCTATTTCCCTCGAGAATGGCAACATTTCAAGCCCGATTGTTACTTGGATAAATGGTGCAAGGAGATATTTGTGGGCTGGAGCCAAAGTGACACGCGCCAAGCCCATCACGCCATTATAATCGCGCTTACGCCATCACAACCCAGACGTTCTCACAACTCAACGGCCCGAATGGAATTTCTATACTCCGCATATGCTCAATATTTAAGTCTATTGTGAGCTACATACATGCTGATATCCATAAACTGTTGACTACGATGCAGTCTGACTTTCCCCTCCACATTTTACGACGGGTATGATGTAGTACTTTGAGGGTATCCTGGTTGAACCCACTACCATTTGACTACTAATAAATGAGCTGCCTCTAGATGACGTACCTTCTATCCTAAAAGAGGAGTCCAAACCTAGCTTATGACGTTCAGCTATGGTTACATTGATGCAGAAGACTGGCGGGGCCGTCAGGGTTCTTCCAGATCGCTCATGCAACTTTTCTTAACCTCCATCAAGTGGATCGGTTCTTTACCCATTCTATTGGCTTCTTATGCCTAATTCAATTCAAGCAAGATGGTAGAGCTCCTTTTTGCTGGTGGGGGTACTCTCTTCGGTCACTCGATGGCTGAAAACAAAATTTCCGGAGCCTTTGATAGTAGTTATCACAAGGAGATTAGGAAATATAAGACGGTGTTTTCTTCTTGGAAAGCGCCAATACACCCGTGGCGTAGTTCTGACTTCTTTCGCTGTATTTGGCCAAGTATCTTCGCCTTCGTGGCGAGCAGACTCTGACCCCTTTTAAGAGGGCTCCTCGCTTTAATTCTTGTTTCATTTTTATAGAAGCCGCCTTCGGCGCTATGACAGGGCCTTCGGCCGCTTCTTTCGTAAAGTAATCCCGCACGCCTTTCAGGAGCCCCATAAAAGCGAATCTATAGCTCAGGAAGGTCGGGGCATGATAAGTAGTCCGTAGGACCTGACGTTGCGTCTTCCAGGTCGAAGTTGTGTCGCTGCAGTAAACGGACTTCGTGACCACACCCACACGTGTTGATATGAATTACCAGCCTCTAGCTCGAGAGCAGAACATATAAAGACGCAAGTAGCCCCTAGTCCTTCAACCTATTGACATCTGCAATTCGACTATTTGGGTATCCACTTTGAAAGCCAAGACTCCAGCTGCCAAGACAGCATGCGGCCACTGGCGAAAGCCAACATTATAGCCGTTTGCCAAGTACAAACGCCTGTTGCGACTTCCATGACATCTCCGACAATATCAAATCCTAAAAGGAGGCAGGAGCGGAGATACTGGATGTGAGTCTGAGGTATATTATTGCTTAGGATTGGGTATATAGCACAATAAGTCGATACGAGCCGCGTGAATAGATGGCTAATCAAGGAACAGAACTGCGTGTCCCAAGTCTTGTTTACAGGCTGTGTCAGGTGATTGTGTGGCAGCCACGGTGACGAAACTGAGTCTTAACACCAGCCCTAGGACAACGGTGACGGAGAACGAAGACTTCGGATAGAAGAATCTGACGGCACGTCCCATAAGGTGCAACAATGTCGCCTCGAGGTTGCTGGGTAAGGCGCGGGTGGTATCTGGGGCTTGGATTTGTCCGGTCATGAACGGCGTGGCCTCAGCTCAGTCGTGGTGCTTGTTGAACCACCCCACTTTGTTGCGAATGCGTAGCCAAAGAAGACATGGATTGTACTCACTGTAGCGAAGTAATCATGTCGGAAGGCTCGTTCCTTTGAAGGTCGGCCGCATTGATTTGACCCTGGCGGACCCCCAAGGGCTCTTCTCAGCTACGAAGAGAGCGTTATATGTATATCGAGATAGTTCAGCTGCAGGTATCGGCATTGCGGGGCAGAACAATCGACGCATGCCCACGAATCATGTGGCTGCCAGGCTGCATCTTTGAGGTGGCAAGTTGAGCCACTCGTAATACATCTACTGGAGTCATTCAGGGGTTCATACCAGCAGTCGGGTTTGATGTTATGGTCATAAACTCCTGATTGAAATGTCGTATTTGATTGGGGCGGCGCGAACTCCAGCCCCGTTATGATAGCTTCTCCGTTTTCGGCTCCCAATAAACCTCCCACGGCCAAAACACACAAGGTCTGTACGCATAGAAGACTTGACGATCCATTGTCAGGTTACCGAGAGCTCTTTTCAGTAGAAGTGTCTGGGCCAGTTCACGGCAATTCGTTCGAGAGTCTAGGTCGGGTCAGTAGATGCTTATCAGGGGCGTGGGGAGACACGTACTCGACCAGATTTCCATCGGGATCTCGAATGTAGACACTTCTCAGCTTCGACTTGGCACCAGTACGTGTGACAACTCCTCCACCCTCGAGGACCTCGATGTTCTTGCCATGCAGCCTCTTAGCAACATCGTCGACTTGGTCGTCTATCAGAAAACAGAGGTCTCCCGAGCCCGGTTGTACGTTCTGTGCCTTGGGCTCAAACTCTCTCCCACTAACGTGAAGATTGATTTTCTGCTCCCCGAATATCAAGGCGTGTCGGTCTTGGCCTCCAGAAGAGAACGACGTGTGCTTCATTCCGAGAACGTCTTCGTAGAATTTGACAGTGGCTTGAAGGTCCTTGACTGTGAGCACAAGGTGATCTAAGGATCGGACCGTTGCAATGCTAGACATCTTACGGCTGGCAGAGCCTCTTGGCGGCACTCTACAGCCTGCTAAATGGGAAGCGACGCGAGGGAGAGCGTAGAGTCGGAGATTCATGTCATTTGGTTCGTGAGCGTCGCGTGAGTTTGAACCTGCGAGGACTAGTTGACGAGTTCAAGATCGATTGCGGGGGAGCGGATGCAGCTCGGCGCTACTTAGTCAGGCTAACAGGACCTTTCGACGTCAACAAAACCCACAGATACGTCGATGCAGCATAGCAGACCACAACACAACTCAACAAAGATAAGTAGATATGATTGTCTCAGTGACTTTAGCCATCAAGACATACATCTGGATTGGATTGGATTGGAAGCTTGTCCCGAAGATTCACCCAACTACGCAACACGAAGCGGTGGAGACCACCAACGGTCTCCTTCTCTGTCAATTATGCTACGGAATGCTATCTCGGTCTCCTGAGGAGAATAAAATAAAAAGTTGGTTTGGTGAAAAATGTGCGTCCGCGAGCAGGCCAGGTGGGAATAGTTCTGGTTCGGACCTTAGTCGATTGACCAGTCCCACCCGGCACACAAGCATTGACTTCTTGATCTTGGATTTCTAGATTGCTTCTCAAGCCAGGAAAAATCTCGCAAGTCCAGTCTTGTTCGTGAAGCAACCAACCCGTGGTAATGACAAAAGACCCTGCCGGTCGGAACCTGCAGGCACGAGACCAGTCTCAGAAGAGACACGCCCATGCACCAGAGTCCGTTTTCGAACACCCCGGGCCGAGATGGCCATGGCCTCCAAACGCCCTACTAAGGAGCACGCGACTGAACACCGCAGTGAGCAGACCGGACCGGTTTGGACGCCGGAGACCACTGTTCGCTACCGCGATACCCATATCCACAACCTGGCTGCCTCTAGGTCTCAACGTGGCTGCCCGCATTACGGAGGCATACAACCACCATCTAATCTCCAGTATGAAGGGACGCTGTGCGCCAGTACCACAAAGTGTACTGGAGTCGCGGATGTTTCCATGGTACGCTCGCCTGAGGCAGAGCTCTGGGACAACACAAGTCACCCTAACGAATACCTCTCCAAGGATCGGCGTCACGCGGGCTACCTCATGGAGTGCCATTCCTCGCTGGAGGGGGGAACTATTGGCGGAGTTGATCTCTGGTGGTTGGAATGGCGGAAACCTGCCAAATCCTGAATGCCAACATATATCCAAATGCCCACAAGTGCCCACAGGTGCCCACAGCTATTCTAATGAAATGTGATACGTCTTCGGTGAAGACATGGGCAGGTGTTGAGAGGAGACGTGTTGGGGAGATGAAGCGCGAAGAGCAAATGGGATGAAGAGGAGACGGGATGGAGAGTGGATGGGATGGAGAGGTGACGGGGTGAAGAAGGGATGCGATGGGCGAGGTGGCAGAGGCTTGGGAGATGAGGTGCTGATAGGTGGATGATGGGTGGATGATGGGTGGATGATGGGTGAGGTGAAGAGTGAAGCAAAAGTCTGCAAACGTGAAGGGGAGTGGATGGATGTTTTGTTTGATGGGGATGAATGTGAGAGAGCAGGATCCTGGTGGCAGAAGAATTAAATATGGTATTGAGCACCGAAGGTCCCCGGGGGCAACGGTGGTGAGGCCCGGCAGAAAATAGAACCGGCAGAAAAATAAAATCGGCAGAAAACAAGGCGGTAGAAATGAGTGACTGGCAAACAATATCGTTGCCTGAGAGAAAGGCGTGCGCCCGTTTGTAACGAGGGGGACCGAGTATCAGTGGGCCAAGGTGAGGGTGACCTGGTGGCCGCAAAGGTCGAAACTCGTCTTCGCCTCAGGGACAAACTGGATATGGGAGATCTGGACCCGGCCCGGATGTTAGTCTAACACGACGTATCGCTGTAAAGGCTCTGCAAAACTTCGTTCGAGGATAGCTGGCCACTGGTTGACCTCGACATGGTAGCATTATGCACATTTATGTAATTTTCACGGATTAGGACGGTTGTCCTTGTTGGAAACGAGCCAGAAGAGGTACCCTCACATTTTGAAATTTGGAGAATTAAGAGCAACGTGAAGCAGTTGGGTTATCTAATTCACATTCTCACGAGCCACCGACTTCCCGTTTGCAACGTCCATCCTAGGTTGCGCCTGAACTTGCTGCACAATTTCCCGCCAAATAAATATCATTGGAGTTATACCGATAAGAGAACGCCACCATCTGAGTCATCATCATGATCATCATTGAATCAAGCGGTCTGCTCCTTGAAAGGATATGGATGGTTTGGTGTGTCGTTGATGGAGGAGGCAAAAGAATTGCCGCTGGATGGTGTGGATTGAGAGGTGTTGTCTTGAACTGCTCTAGGTTCGCCATTCAGAACCCCTGAAATGTCGTTAGAATGTCTGCAAAGTGCTAGATGATGCGAAGGAGAATACCAAGGTCCAATCGTTGGAAAGATGTCTCCACATCGACGCTATTTTCAACTCGGGTACTAATGGACAAAGTTGACTGGGTCAATCCCGTGATGGAGTCGTGGTGTCGTTTGAGGGCATTGGCTTTGCTGCTGACTTGGTTGAATACCTCCTTGCGAATAACCTTCAACATGGCGTTGAGAATATCACGCTGTGTTGGGTAACCTTCATCAGCGGTGCCATCATGCAACACCGGTGGGCCCCAGTTGAGGTAGATATTTCGATGCGTCTGGGGAACGACGCATCCGGCGGGGTGATTTTCTATATAGAGACTACAACAGTAGCATGCAGGCTTACTACAGCCAATGTAGGGATCTCCTTCAGCGTATGCCAGACCTTGCTGGTAAAAGTGTTCCAGCACTTGAATCTCTGCATGAACACAAGGTTTGAATGTTTCACTGGCGTATTGTTCCTTGACGCGCGCTCGAGGATTTCGAACTTCTGATCCATTTCTGCCAAAGACTCCACATACTTGGCCAGCATATTCGCGTTGGTTGACGATAACATTCGATTCATTATGCCCTCAAGTGTGGTGTGAGCATCTGCTTCCGGGCGTGAGACGCTAATCAATGTTGGTACTTGACCAATTTGACACTCGTCAAAAAGATGCTGGAGAGTTGAGGCATCTACAATCACCTCATTGACAGCTCGTACGTGATGGGCCAAGCGACCAAAACGATGCCTCAGAGTTGCGAAATCAGCAGCAACGCGGCTCTGTGCAGGGGTCTCGTGAACATTCCGACTCCTTTTGTTGACTTGTACCATTTCTTCGTCGTTCCTGTGCCCATACGTCCACCGACAGAGTGTTATATTATCGCGTTCAACGAACATTTGTAGCCAGGTCACCAGGCCAAGTGCTGTACAAGTGTTCGAAGTCAACAAAGGCACTGTTTACCATCATTCCAGTTGATCTTAAACTTACATGCGGAATCTGTCTCTTTGGAGAGATGATCACTACAGACTGCGATGGCCCTGTAGAGTAGTTTGGCTTCTTTGATGATCCGCGTCTTGGCGAATGCGATACATGCCTCCGTGAATTCTTCTATGGCCTCTTCTCTCTTAATAGGCGTGGCATTGAAGAGGGCCTTGAGACTTTCAATTGCGTTGCTCATGAACTTCAGCGTTTTTGTAGTTGGTCTATTGGAGGCTATCCAGAACTTGAAGCAGTCATGACGCTCCTCTAGGCCAAGGGCTGTTGTAGTTGGACCTCCCTTGTCAAAATCACAGAGATATGCTAAGTTATCCAGAAGGCGCCGGCGACTAAACTCTGGTGATTTAGGATTATGCGGAATTGGAGTATGATCGCCTCTAGTAGCACCAAGAACGTGAAGTAAAATCAGGGGCTCAAAAAACCGCGCGATGAGTTTTGGATATTGACCAAGCCTAGGACGGCCAACCGTGCCTTGAGGAGCTCCTGCTGCCATTGAGGAGCTACCAGATGCTGCTGGGCTGCGAAAGCTCTTGGAGGATTTCTTGGAGGATCGATGCATCATGGATCTGGAGATGAGGTGCACAGATCATTCAATGGGAAACCTCTCATGTGGTACTGGGCAAAAAAGAGATTCCCGATGCTGGTTTCGTGGCCTGACCCACGGGCGGTGTTCTTCCGGTAACTTTTCGAGGGCAAATCCAGATTGGACACGTACAAAAAAGACCACTCAAACTTGGCCTATCAACACGCTGCAGCCGAGAAGTATCGTCGAAGTGGAATTACTACTAAGCCTTCGCCGTTCCGCTCATTGGTGCAGCCTGCATTGGGTGGCCTCAAGCAGGACACCAGTGACCCCTCAGCCTTGTGCCAAGCAGCTTTCGGTCAGAATCCTGCCGTTGATAGGTTGTACGTGAGGATTAGACAGAATAAGTCGGACGTGACTGTGATCGGAGGTCGTTTCTCGGTCAGATTTCAAGACGCGACTGTCTCTTACCGATGTTTCTGCTCTGCATCATCGCAAGCCGTATGTCAGGGAAAGATTGATTGGGAATGGAAAGAGTGCAGTCGCCATCCAATCACAACGTGGGGGGCCGCTTGCATTCGGATGTGCATTCGGATGTGCTTGAGGCCCATCAACCGTGATCCAGATTGGCGAACCACAACACAAGAAACTCGGATGCGGAATGCCCCAAATATTAATCCCAACTTGGCCCCACCGCCTCTCGAACATCTTATTCGACTTCTGCCCGAATGACGTTCTGCAGATATTCTGTAGATAGAACCCGACAGAACTCAGAAGATAGAAGGCAACTAATCAGCTACTGAGATGGGCAATTGTCTTGCATGTTAGGCGTACCGAGTTGATGACTAGCATTTACAGCCTAGCGTGGGTGCCGAGCTTCCTAGCGGTTCTTGATTTAAAGCACAGCAAATACATGTGACAAGCGTTTTTATCTCCTTGATCCTCTGCTACTTGGGACATTTTTTATGAATGCTGTCCTACACGCGGTACAGACCCAAGCACCCGAATCACCATTTGAATTTACTCTTACCTTGTTGAGAATCGACGGAATGGCAGCACACAGCAATAATCAGGAATATTATATTACCGATCATGATGAGGAGTATGACTACTTGTCTGCAGCATCGCCCGGTCCAATACAGGGGGATTATGCCTGGCTGCCAGAAGGCACCACAACCATGGATGATGTATACATCCACGAGCAATATGCTCCACATTCCAATCCACAAGAATTATATCATGAAGGAAGTGCGGGTTCGACTTTGTAGAGCGAAGCTGCTTCACCCTATCCTTATTACAACATGGATGTATCGACCACGACGTATCCAATCGAAAACCCTTACCACTTCACCACGAACAACATGGCGCAAACACAACCTACCGCTCAGGATTATGCAACAATTGATGGCATTTACGAATTGGCACAGGAACCGAAATGGGACAGGAATTTCCAAGAAGATGAACTCCCCGATATGGAAGAATACAGAAGTAACGATGGCAAATATTACTGTAATTGGTCGGATTGCTCGCAGAATTATCAGACCTTGAGTGCAACGGACATGAAGTAAGCATATGTCTTCAATTCGATTTCTTTTCTAACTTAGCCTAGAAAACACATGAAAAAACACTTCCGGCCTGTTTACTGCCCTGTTGAATCTTGCCCACACAAAGATGTCTTCCCACGGGATATGTATCGCCACATGCAAGTGAGCCATGGCAGGTGGGCTGAGAGGCAAGGCATCAAATTCAAGACCTTTATGTGCCCAAATTGCAACAGTGAATGGACGAGGACGGACAACCTGCAGAGACACATCAGAAATTGTCGTTAAGATCTTGCTACGAAATTTTCCCCGTTATTTCACCGTGGGCAGTATCACGTTCTGTTTTAGCACATGCTTTCCACCTCAACTACTTGGCTTGGTCTTATTGGTGCGCCCGGGGGGGGGGGGGAGGGAGGGGGGAGGGGGAACACTAGGTCAGATTGTTTTCCGACTTTAGGAAATTTTTTTTTCCAATACAGGCGCCACATCTATACAGATTTCTCCCTACTGACTGGTTGTTTATCGGTAAACCAAATGTGACTAAGGCTGCTTCAATTCCAGCATCCTACTCCCTTTGTGTGTGTGTGTGTGTGTGTGTCCGATTTTGCACGAAGAAACATGGAGCCAACAAGGGATGAGTATTCTACAAGACAGTGCTCGGAGCAAGGGTGTATTACTGGGGTGGATTATTGGGTGGAGTAGTGGGCCTCCCACATATTGGAAGCGCAGTGAAATGGATGTCGAAATCTGGTCTCAATATGCGAGCTTGTCTATGGTACGTATGACGTGACTGCTCGTCTACCGGACAGCCTCGTTACGGCAATAACACAAGTCGGGGACTTTTCATTCTCGGTTTCCTTTTGGGTTCCCTACCACTCGTAATATTCATCTACTGAAATGTTTAGTACCAGATACGCCATATGCCTCAGACTTTAACACAGACCTTGGCATTATTTGCCTCAACTGATGTTAGGAATCTCTTCCACCCTGAGGAAAGACTGCAATCGCCTCAGGAAACCACTGCTGGCCATTGCAGACGTTCATGGGCTTGATGGTTCTCCAGTAGATGTCGATCAAAAGTCGCTGTCGCTATCCGGCCTATCCTTACCCACTGTTTTGTCTCGGTTGACTTCGACGTTCATCTCAACCTTGATTCCTCGCGATGGAGGGTCGATTATTCTCTCTCGACTTCCAGTAAAGGCAAACGCGTTTGACGGACTGCTATACGCCTCCTCTCTGCCTTTCCACGAACGGTCGGGGAGGGGGATGCTCCCATGCGGTACCCCTGTTCTACCACTGCGACTCTCCTTCCTGCTACTGAACGACCCAACCCAGCTTCCTAGCCAAGTCCGTATGAGAGGGAATATCAATGGCACATTCGAGGTCACAACAGCCACGAAAGTTTCTCGTACCGCCCAGGCAGAACCATCCTGGGCTCCAGTGACATCATTGGCCAAGATCAACACGCAACGCAAAATACCTGCCATCATCACAAATATTCCGCCGGAGAACAAGACAATCAGTCCGAGCTTTTTCCACAGCTTGATGTTGGCCGACCACAACATAGGGACTGGGATCGTGAGCAAGTAGATATCGGTGGCTACGTTCAATGCCAAGGTAACAAAGACGTTGATCCTTGACGATGCCGGCTGACAGTTCACTGTGAGGTTGTGAGCATGAGTATGGTTCCATGGTACTGTGGGACAAAGACTCACGACCAGGGTTGGGATTTATTTGCCAATTCTTTTCCATCGGCGTACACCCAAACAAGATGCACAAGGTGACTACGAGCCATGTCACCGAGATGAGGCCAAACCCGATAAAAATTCGTCGGCGATACGTTCCTAAGCGTTCCTGACTTAGACTTAGTAGATGTAATGCCAAAGTCAGGTTCTCTGGGTAGAGGTCTTACCGTAAGACGCAGGAACATAGTGCAAAGTGCTGCCTTGATAATCCAGAGTAGCAAAACATACATGACCCACCCAGGGACCTGTGTCTTCGACCCACCAACCCTGCGCGATCAGTTAGATATAGACTGTATCATGTATGCTTTCTACTACAATACCTTTTTCTGTACTCATCACTATCTGGATCTAGGGTGGCGCGCTCGTCATCCGTCATGCCATTGTTCGCGAGGCCATCATACTGCGTGACGACATGCGATGCGAGCACGGACTCTGCAGTGTATACGCCCTATTGTACCTAGGTCAATACAAACTGCGCGGCGCGGGATGGGTCAAGGGGATAGAGAATTACCATTGCAACAATCATGAGATAGTCGTCTGCCTCCCATCGTCTAAAACCAACTGCTTGCCATCGGGCGTATGAACGTAGTAAAATGACCCCTAGGCCGAGGCCGAGAAGGATGAAAATTTCATTGATTGCAGATTGAGCGTCTGCACCCATGGTGTATCTTTGATTAGACCAAGAAGTTATAAACAAGATCAGGGTAACTTATATTGCCCACTTGAAATCCTGCTGCAAGAACCACACTTGGACCGGAGAGGGCTGTGCGGCACTCCTGATACTTATCCCCTTGACGGTCGGCACTCACGGAAGCCGCTAATGGCCCTTGATGCAAGCCAGCTGGTGATCATAGTGTCAAGCTTGTATCAAATCACTAGCAGGATGGTGAGAAGCCGTTTCCGGACGGGTTGTTCGTCGTCTCCATGAATGACCATCAAGAAGGAAACGTGGGTCAGGATAAACCGTGTTGCGAAATTGCCACGTGCGTGGCTTCAGCAGTCGGTTCAAATCCACTCAGTAACACTTGAATGCGATATGGACCAGTACGTCTTACTCTCAAGTCAACCAACATGTACTGCTGAGTGCGGGAGGGCCTTCTTGGGTGCAATGGTGTCCGGCCCAAAGGCCATGCTTATTTCCGGTTAATATTGAACTAGCATGGTCCCCATATTCCGTGATGCCATGTAGCTGCATTTTGACAAGGAGATCAACGGGATCTGTGCGTATATTGTTCGAACGAGGCGCTGATGGGATGGGCATGACTCGGCGCGACGTTGCAAAGGATCACCCAATCGTCTCAGTCTATTCCATTTTCTCCGTAGCGTTCCACTACTTGTAACGAAAACTAGGAACATTACTATAAGCCTCCTGACAGGTGTGAATCTAAGATGCACGCTAACCAGAAATGTCATCTGAATGAGAACTTGTCAAGGTGACAACTATATGCAACGACTCATGGCGCAGCCCTACGCGAAAAACTAGCACAGGCTTAGCGTGCCCGGCTTGCCGGTTCCGTATGACCCATTCCGCACGCGGTATGAGCACTGGTCTGCATTCGACCTCGTGCAAATTAGGCGACTACATGAGGAGGTGCCAGTCCATATTCTTGGAATGAAGATATGCCCTTTAGTGTGCATTAGCTACTGGCGAACTGTACATCAAAAGCCTCCAAACCCTAGGTAAATGTAGCTTATGTCAAGTTCAACATAGAGTTACAAATATTTCTGTGAATTGCAGTATCTATTAAGTTCGCTTAGACAAGCCGTCTCACCTCTATCAATAAGCCTATCAACCGTGTAGAGACAGCGATAGCAAGCGTGTAACCCACTTTCCTCTTACCAAACAATTACGCATGTTGCCGATAAAATACACGCAAATGACACTTGGTTCAATTGGTTTGAACGAACCACGTCAAGTGTTGTCCCCTGCCATGACTTTGATGATCTGCTTTTATTGAAGGGTCAAGGAATCTCACTGGTCTTGTTCTCTCTACGTCGATTGTGTACAACCCTTGCCAATGCTGCGTAGATATGAGACCGCTAGACGGAGTTGGGAAGTAGTTTACTCAACAATGCAGGCCTAATGCGGACGTACCTTGGGACGCAAACGAGATAGCTTCAGCTCAGGAAGGATTCCGCACCTCCAATAGAACTGTTGTGGGTATTCCTCATAGCTAAGATATGGGCTGTGCGAAGTATCTTCGTCTGATTCAACACACTGGCCTTTGAAATGCTATTAAGAACGTTGCTTGTTGTTGCAGCCCAGAGCCGTTCGCCCGGAGGAACGAGCCGTGGGTTCTCGATTCCGCGGACTCACTAGAAAGTGCTCCGGCAGGTCTAGAGCCTGCTCCAACAATACAGCATGGCCGAGTCTAAACACGCAGGGGATGGCACATCTAGTGTCACAGTCAGTCAAAGAAACCCGACTTTCTGTGAAGCTTACGACTTAATTGCGATTCTGCGCCAATCATGACGATCTTATACACTGCCTAGGTAGTGAACATCGTCATCCTATCGCGACGTTGGCAGCGTTACTCGAGTCAGTAATATCCCTGCATGGCACGCGTTAGCTCTGCCACTTGCAAGTCTGACACGCGGGCGTCAAATGATGAGCAGACAAGGATGCCAAGTTTAACATGCAAATACTCAATCTTTGTTCCTGAATCGTTTTGGGGAATCGCGAGCTACTAACAGCGACTAACTTGGACGCTGGGTGGACGAAGGTAGCGACATAGGCAGGTTGGCGGACCTTTGCTATCTGGATCTGCAGCTAAGACTTCCAGATCTACCAATAAGTCAAAGTGCAAGGTTCCTCATTCCCATGCCAGCTCCAAGAAGCCAACACCTATGGCCTCCATGGACTCGCAGGGGCAACGGAAATAGATCAACTAAAGCCAGCGAGCCGCCTCAGCTGATATCCGAGGCAATGAGTTCAAACAACCTCTCGGGAAGGGGGGTTATCTCCTGACTACCATGCAAGGTGCATCATCCAACTCCAGCCGAGGCATGGGCAGGGCTGAAACCGAGGGAAAAGACAGCGGGCCATACACTTGGGGGTAGATGTAAGACAGCGGGCCATACACTTGGGGGTAGATGTTAGACATGCACTATCATGTTTAGAGAAAGGGAGGTTAAAGGGCATGGCACAGGATAATCATATGCTCATTGGCCTTTCCTGACTACGTGATCGTTCGTCTAAGTCTGCTTCTATCACCGGATGCACTGGCCCTTGAGCTCTTAGAACCTTACTACATCATGCGCAAAATACGCCAATCAAAGAGCTATCCAAAACCATCACTCTGAGTTGATATCTCGGTGCTGTTCATGAAAATGGAGCTTCGGTGCCTAGAGGCGTGCTGACATCGCTGCTATCTGGCGTCCATCCTGGAAGCCTAGAACGCACCAACCCCTTTCTGAGGTGGCCCGGCCCAGAGCTGAAGGCGGCCACTTATCTGTCTGCACATCTAAGCGTCACTGGCTCGCCTGTCCAAAGCCTCTTCGATCACTGACACCTCTTCCATTGCCTTCTTCAAGGCCTCCTGAACGGCCTCCGCAGGAGCCTCGTACGGCCGCCGGGGGCGGAACTTGGGCTCTGGGTTCTCTATGCCGGCCTTGGGCGCCGTGAAGACGGCAGCCGCGTACTTGGTCACGGCAATGCCGGCCTTGATGGACTGCTCGGCGAGAGCCTGCTTGCCCTGCAGCGCCCGGGCCTCCTGAACCTTGCCCTCGTGCCAGAGGCGGTAGACCTCGGCGACGGTGCGGGGGAAGACGTTGCCGAAGGCGCAGATGCAGCCGGCGCTGCCGACGGCGAGCCCGCCCAGCAGGAAGTCGCTCTGGCCGCCGAAGGTGGCGAAGTCGGCGGGCGGCAGCTCGGCCGCGAGGCGCGTGATCTTGGCGACGGAGCCGCAGGTCAGCTTGACGCCGACGATGCGGCGCGGGTGGCGGCGGGCCAGGCGGGCGATCAGGGCGCTGTCGAGGTCGACGCCGTTGCAGACGCCCGGGAAGTTGTAGATGACGAGGGGCAGCGGCGAGCGCGCGGCCACGTCGTCGAAGAAGCGCTCCACCACGGCCGGCGTGCTGGCCTTGCCGAAGTACGCCGGCGGCAGGAGCAGGCCGTAGTCGGCACCGGCGGCCTTGGCGTCGGCGATGAACTCCAGCACCTGCGCCGTCGAGTGCCCGGACACGCCCGCCATGATGGGGAAGTCCGGGCCGACTGCCTTCCGGGCAAGCGAGAGCAGCTGTGCGCGCTCCTCGCGCGTCAGCAGGAAGGTCTCGGCGTTGGTGCCGAGAACCACGAGCCCGGCCAAGCCACTGCGCGACAGGTGCGCATAGTACTTTGACTGGTCCTCAGGCAGCAGTGCATCGCTTTCAGGGTCAAATAGGGTCACTGCTGGAACCCAGACCCCCGACGGTGGAACTGGAGGTGACATTGTGAAGCAGAAGGTGAAGGTGAAGTCTAGCCTTTTAAGAGGAGCAGGAGGTAACTTGTAGTAGTTTGAGGAAACACGTTGTGTCAATGTTTCCGCAATATAACAGAGATTGAGGGCTGCACGTCAAACAAAGAAACGCTACTGATAGAAATATTCCAATGGCTGAGACAAATGTATAAGCGTTATTTGGGTTACGATATATAGGGCGTATATGGGCGGATCGGAGGGGGCACCCGAAGTAGCGGGGTTATCCCCCGAACAGTGGAGTTACAGGAGCGCGATCCACAACTCCCGGTCTCGGCCGTCGTTATCACGGTTATCAACGGAAGGAAATCGAACAACGTAGACAACATATCTGCATACGGTCTGCACCCGGAATGTGCAAGTGATATTCACAGGGTTCAGTCACTACCGGGCTCTAAGCGGATCATGCCTCTTCCCCCCAAACCAGGTCCATGGGGTATGCCAACTCGATGCCGGCGCCTGCTCCGTATAGTCCACTTGATCGTTAGTCCTAACCACAGATTGTACAGGCTTTCTGAATCCCACTCTATCGTCACCTGTGGTTCGATCAATACTAGCATGCGAGCTGTCAGAAGGCCGTCCCTAACGCCGATCATCGGTAGCTCCAGCAAATTTGACGCTCTTTCGCCTCTCCCGATCAATTCTATCACCAAGTTTAGCCCCTTCTGGCCCGGAACCGAAGCTGCTTGATCGTCCAGGACTGGAGCTGAGAACGCTCAATATTCCACCTGGGGCACGCGATAGCCTGGCGGGATCTTCGGCAGAGCTGCTGTCACCGATGCCCGAATTCGCGAGAGCTTCCCGCACACCTTCCACCGCCTTGCTCTGCGATACTTCGACAATATCACTTCGGACACCACCTATCACAGCAGGCGCAGATCCGGCGTACACTTCTGTGTCGTATGCTCTGCTGCGAGGATCGCCCTGTTTCAAAACTGGAAATGAATTTCTTGTTTGTTCCCGAACTGCGCGCCCAAGTTCCTCAGTGCGAGCAGTGCTCGTTTCGTTACGCCACTTGCCGGGAAGACAAGCATGCCCGCAGCCATCGAGTGGGCAGCACCCATCGCTCAAGGTCTCAGGATAAGCCCCGTCTTGTATGGCTGGGGTGCCTGGTGTTGATGTCCCGCTGCTAGATCGAGGCATTGCCACAGGTGAATGCCAGCCTTGGAGACAGGCGGCGTGACCTCCATGTCCACAGCCCGGGCAGTACCACCAGGTTGAAAGAATTACATCATCCTGTGATGCTGCAAGGTGAGCAAGGCCTTTGGCCAACGGCATGGATGGAAGGGTAGCCTGAGTCGGATCTCGGTGCCGGCATATAGCACACGGCCCCATGCTGGCGTGGCAGCGTTCACATTTCCATATACCAGGTCCATCAGCTCTGGGATCGACTTCCCGTGGCTTGTGGCACTGTGGGCATGCAAAGCTCGCAGAGACCCGTTCCTGCGCCGGCAGGAAGATAGAGCCATAGTTATCACCCCAGACGTCCAACCCCTCGGGCCAGTCCCCGACGGCCAAGTTTCGAAGTAATGCAGCTTCGACAAAGAGTCTCTGACCCATAAGTCGACTATGATGATGTCGAAGGATAGCCGTAGCCTGATGGGAGTCGATGACCCCGTCTGGAACTAGAGGCTTCAAAAGAAGGATGATTGCTGAGGCATTCAAAGCTGAATGTTTGGCTTCGAAAGACAATGCTCTAGATAGAAGCTCGTACGGCTTGAAAGGTGGCAATTTGTGCTTATTCTCTGCATCGGTGGAGATCGGAAAGGGGTAAGGGGGATCTTCAGGCCATGGCATGAAGTCAGTCTCTGTGATCGTCGTAGAGGTGTGGTCTTCAGGCCTTTCGAGAGCTAAACGTTCGTTGGATGTCTTGCGAGGCGAAGCAGGCTGCTTGACCTTTAGCTGAACTGGTGACAGTTCCAGAGACTGTTGTGAAGGCTGCTGTGACAGATCGGGATAAACCTCTATGTCACCGCTATCCGCCGTCGTCTGCGATATCATAAACACTTCTCCACTCAAGCTACCTGAGTCCTCCCTTTTCAAGGCCTTTGGTAAGTGATGTTGTGCTTCGGGTGATTCTTGGAGTTGCTTCCCACGGATGCGGCTCTGGTACTCCTCCACGGACGACTGAGTGGAACTGAGAGTCTCATCGGACTGGTTGATAACATGACGTAAACTACTGCTGAACGATCCCATTTCAGCTGTCTGCCGACTACCATCGGATATTGAGAACATCTGCGCAAAACTCTCATCCGAATCATGCCTCCCTAGTGTAATTTTTTTGCTGTTGGGAGTTTTAGGGCCGATATAGTCCAGTGAAAGCGGCTCTTTCTTCTTTGGCACGTCTATAGCTTGGGGGATGGTGTCTACCGATTCGAGATCATAGAAATCATAGCCCTCCGTGCTAGATACTTGACTCTCCTGGCTGGCGACAGAAAGCGGAGTAGAATCCAGTCTCTGCCGTAAACTTGGTCGTTCCACTTCACTCTGGAAAGCAGGCGGCAACGTGAAGCTATTGATCTCTTGGACAGGCGTGAGCGCCTTGCCAGGGAAAAATTGGTCATGTTCGGACCCATCTTCCCGCACTGGACGAGCTAGCGGTGTAGGCACATTCGACTCGCTGTCAGCTTCTGTAAGAGAAAGGAGGGACTGCCCTAGGTTGTGGTTGTTATCTGTCGTGGCGACCGAAGACGGCTTTCGCGGTGTCTCCTCGCCTCCTGCTCGGTCTCGATGCTGGATTGCTCTTTCTAGACTCAAAAGGCTCGTCCTTGATTCAGACCGGTGCTTGAGGCTGGGAGACCTGGGGGTTTTGCGTCGCATGGTACGAAATTCTAAATGATACTGTGCCCGTCTCGTCAGAAGGAGGTCGAACGCATATGCCAGGACTCGCCAGGTCTGAGCCAATCTAATTTGGCTGACATTCTCTGCTGCGCGCGCATAGTGTTCCAGTATGCCAGAAACCCGCTGGTTGAGTGGTGGCCCGCCTGGAAGGAATGGCAAATTTCTCTGAAGAGTCTCCAAGTAATGAATTGAAAGATATTGGTAAACACTCGGCTTAGCGGTTGCAGGAGCGCGGCCGATAGCCATCACCTGCTGAGGTCTAAAAGTCCCAGTAAGATTTATGGATTGCTCCAGTGGTATAACGGGTTCCTCACTCCCAGACCCAGACGGGGGCGTACTACTGAGAGCAGGGCGACTACTAGTGCCGCGCTTCTTGCTGCCGCGTCGCCTGGGGCCCAGAAAACTCCCAACCACGTCCTCCTCCGAGTCGCTGCGGCTGATGCTAAGCATCTGTGTGCTTGGACTTGAGCTATACGAGGGTGTTGGCAGAGAGTCCTGGGTGACTGCGGAGGGCCGCGACCTTTCTGGATGTACTCGTTCTTCGAGGAACATCAGCACGTCCCCACGGGGCGAGAAGTCGAGGCTTGACAGCGGCTGGCGATCGATGACCTTGGAAGCATATGCGACATCACACTGGGTGAAAAGCCCATCGCTACCCGCGGTCCAGAGCAGGTCCTGGCCGTGCCACAGTAATGAACTTGGAGAGGCATCGAACCGATCGATTTCCTTGAACGGCATCGTTGGCCGGCCAAAGTCCCAGATATGGACGGCGTTGATGCCATATCTGTTGTGCGCGCTACCAGATTCGTAGGAGACAGCAATCTGTGCTGCTCTCCTCCCTTGGGCTGTAGCAGACCACAGGGCCGGGCGCCAAGATACGACAGCCACCGGGGCGGGTGATGAGATGGTCCACTTTGGCTTCTGTTTCTTGTCCGCAGTCTTGGACATGTCCCACACATGACACTTCCCGTCCATGCCGGCGCTGATCAGGTGCTCGCCATCGGGATGCCAGGAGATGGAGGAGGTGCCCCGCGTAGGGTCGTGGGCGTTGATCCTCAGCAGGGGTTGGTTTGCCTTTCGTATATCCCATTTCAAGACGGCGCCCGACTCGGTTGCGCATGCGAAGACCATGCCGTCCTTGGGCGACCACTTGACGTCGCGGATGCCCTCGGCATTGCATTTGAAGGCTTGGAAGGTGCGGAAGGTGGCTTGGCCGCTCCTATTGGTGACAGGAGCCTTGACGTCGAAGCATCGCACTATGCCGTCCTGGCTGCCCGAGAGCAACCAGGTGCTCCGGTGGGGGTTGATATCCAACTTGTTCACCTGGCGCGAATCCTCGCGGATCTGGATGAACTCCAGCCCCGATCCTCCCGGGGTGGCAGAGCCCAGCCGACTGATGTTGTAGGTGAATATCCGGCCATTGGCGCACGCGGTGAAGAGGGTGGGCTCGCCGCTCGGGCTAGAAGCCCATTTGACGTCCTTGATGGACAGCTGATCGGATATGGTCGTTGACGTGCCGGGCTTTGTGTTCGGCTGCGACGTGATGACAGCGCGTACGTCGACACCGGCTTTGATGTTGGACCCATCGATCTGCACCGTCCTCAGCACGTGGCGGCCGCCGAGGACGGCAAAGTGGCCGTCGGCGGACTTGTCCAAGCACGCGACGGGCCCGCCCGCGGCGTAGACGGCGTCCTGGGAGGCATTGGGTCGGTAGGACAGCGGAACGGGCGAGCTGGTCGGACCGAGAGCGCCGTCGTTGGAAGTCGATTCGGTGGCCGGCCGGCCCAGCAAGCGGCGCATGATCTTGCCCTGATTATACATGTCGGAGTCGCGTGGCCTTCAGAGCCAGATAGGTGGACAACTTCATGGTTCCAATAGGACAGACGAGGCGGGCGAACGAGTAACACGTGCGCCAGTGAAAGCGACAACAGATATTGGATCCAGCGCACCCAGTTGTTCGAGTCTGCTTCGCGTGTATGAATCGGCGCAAATGGCTCCCGTCTCGGTCTCGGAGCTCGACAGTGGGTGCAGGCGAGTCCAGGCCGGGGGTTGCTGGGGCTCTGGGCCTACCTCAATTGACTAAGCTACCTAGGTAGGCTGTGGTCTCTGTGTCTGTGTTCCATCCCGGCGCTGCGCTGGACTAGGAGCCCGCGAACTGGGGACTTTCGGCCCCCTAGCTCCCCCGCCATTCTGCCGCTGACGGCCGCCCTTGGCCTTGGGGAGAGCTGGAGTGAGGGAGCTTCCCCCGAGCTTGGGCTAGTTACTGCAGCCCCCATCTTGTGATGACGTCCCAGTGCAGCCAGCCACTGGATCTCATATGCACGTCGTGCGGAAGAGAGAGAGAGAGAGAGAGACGCCCACCTACCCCCGGCGCGGCATAGGACACTCACTCACTTGCAGTCGCGACGACTCGACCTCGACCCCAACCCCACTGGAATACGGCGGGCCATTGATCGCTTGAGCCTTGGTCTCCCGCTCGTATCTCTTGTCCCCGAGACACGTTGTCGCGTCGCTGATGTGAGATACGCCGCCGCGTCCGCTGCAACCCGCGGCACGTCGCGCTCCGCCAAGTCATGTCCATGTCGATCGGGACCGAGTCCACGCGCCCGCTGCTGCTGCCTCAGAACCGGAGGATACGGCACCTCCAGGGTGTCTATCTGCGCAACCTCAGCTTTGTGCGCCCGCGAGGGAAAGCAGCCGACGACCTGGGTCTGGGGAAGGGGTCGCCAAACAAGCTGCAGTCCCTGAAGAACATTCCGCAGCTCCACCATGCCGCCTCCTCCGAATCGCTCCGGGAGCGGCCTGCCAAAGCCCGCCGACGAAGCACGAATCTTGCGAACAAGAGCCCCATCACGCGGCAGAAGCACCTGGAGCTGGCTGTTGAGGGGAGGGCGGCCCAGGTCTTCTTCTCCCTGCACGTTGGTGGCGCCGACGACCCCGTCTATATCAGCGAGGTTGCAGAACGGTCAACGGTACGAACACTTCCAGACCCCTATCATGCATGCGCGGGCCGGGACAACAGCTAAGCCAGCATTTGCCTCTACAGAACTTCAATTTCCGCTTCTTTGACCTGTCTCAGTCCAGCCCCGGCATCGCCCGCTCCCCGGAGCTCACCATCAATATCTGGGCAAAGCGACATGGAGACTGGATACATCTGATTGAACAAATCCTCGACTTGCGTCTCATGAACTTCATTGGCACCTTGCGCAACCAGCATTTCCCACCCAACTGCCTGGTTTTCCACCTCGTCGATGGCATCTATTCCCTCGAGCTCCCCGCCAAGGTCCCCGAGCCAAAGCAGGGGGCGGCATTCCCGACGTCGTCCTACAACGCGCTCATGAAGCTGTCCAATCTCGACGCTTCCATCCAGGACGCCCTGGCCACACGCGATACGATCACAGCCCAGATCAATGAGATTTTAGATCGCACCCCGCCCGATCCGGTCCCTGCGGCGAAGGACAAGGTGCAGCTGGCGAACAAGTACCTGGCAGCCGAGCAGCGCTCCCTCAAAGCCGTGCAAGCTCGCCGTGACCAACTCAAGCAGTCCATCGCTGCGCGCCGTGCTGCCATGGCAAAAGGCCAGGAGACACAAAGTCAAGCCGCCGAAGACGTGAAGCACGCCGCCGAGAAGCTCCCTGTCTCCCGTGCCTCGCTTGACGGTACGCGGGACAACATCCGCGGCCAACGCCGGCGGATATGCGAGGAGCTCAGCCAAATTTTCCCCATCACGCCGGCGGGGTCGGGCGCGCCGTTGGCATTTCAGATCTGCGGTGTCAGCTTGCCAAATACAGACTACGACCCAGCCTCCAACAAGGCGGCCGAGGACTCGCTGTCTGCGGCGTTGGGTTACGTGGCACAGCTGACCAACGAACTTCAGTACTATCTAGGCGTTGCGCTTCCCTACCCAATCACGCCTTACGGGTCGCGCAGTAGCGTCCGGGACGACATCTCTCAGATCCCCGACGCCCAGCGGTCTTTCCCGCTCTTCCTTCACGGAGGTGCTACGGCGCAGTACCGATTCGACTACGGGTGGTTCTTGCTCAACAAGGACATTGAGACGCTGTGTGCGAGCGCTGGCCTAAAGGTTGTCGACATACGGCACACGCTACCCAATCTCAAATACCTCCTCTATGTCTGCAGCGCCGGCAGTGATGAGCTCCCAGAGCGGAAACGCGGTGGCATAAGGGGCCTGTGGGCCGGGAAGCTGAAGGGCAAGGCGGGCACGTCACTGGACGACGGCGCCAGCAGTGCTGGCGGAAGCCGCCGAGGCAGTGCGGAGAGCGAGATGTCTAGCAACCAGAGGGATGAGCTTCGAAAGTCCATCGGGGCCAATGGCAACGGCAGCAGTGAGGGTCAGTTCCTACCAGGCACCACTGCTGCACGCGGCCCAAGCCCTGCGCGTCTGCCGTTTGATGAAGCTACCAAGTTCACATTGCGGACGAAGGGGTTGAGGGAAAACGCCGTCAAGTAAGATTTTCTCTGCAGTGGCTGAGACAGGGCCGCCGCATAAATGTATATAAAGCAGGTCCAGGTGTAAGAGACGCCCTACCGAGATACCCCATAATAATTCCGGTACCACGGACGAGAACAGTAAGAGATGAAATGAGGCACATGCAGGTCATACATAGTTACTACGGTACCACCCAGAAATCCACAAATGGCTACCTCATTTAGGTGTTTAAGTAACGACGACTACCTACTCCATACAGAATGAGGCCGACACAGGACAGCGCAATGTCATGAATCAAGCCAGTCGGCCGGGGCCCAAGCTCGCGCAGATAGCTATTTACAGTACAGTACAACCGTGAATGAGATTTTCTTCTGCCAGTTCTCCTAGAGCTGAAGACACTGTATGGAGCAAAGCAGCCGTTGGACTGTTTGACTCACAACAGCGTCCCTGCAAGATGGAGACCTTCATCAGATGAATGGCCACGGCTGGCACCAGTAAACAGGGCTGAGAAGCTGGAGAAAGGCTTCTGGACGTAACCCGCAAGACAGGGTCCAAGTCGAGGCGGCGAATCACCTCGAGCGGCCGTGTTTTGGGTGCTGCAGAGAGCTGCCCCCGCTGGGCCCCACCCCCTTTAAGCTTGGGCACCTGGGCAGGCTAGGCCTGCTGGGTTGTAGCTCACTGTGCCTGGCTAGCCTGGCTAGCAGCTGATTTAGCGGGTGAGCTGGTTGGCTAGCTCCCGCCGTTGCCTGGGAGACGCCGGCAAACCCACCAGCAGACGACCCCTGCCGCCCCCCCAAGCCCGGACCCAAACATTCTCTTCGGCCCATGACAACGACCTGAACGCGCACGGCAGACCAGACGCCAGTCCACTTTACGCTTGCTTCTGCATGGGAAACAACATCTGCTTCTCGGCAGCCCTCTTCTACTTGTACTTCTTCTCGCTCTCTCATTTATTTTGCACATATTCGACCACCCAGCTATTCTTCCGAGCAGCCCACCACAGCGCTGCTCCGTCACCGTCGAGACAGGTTTGTTTACTCGACGTGATTGAGGACCTGTCTGTCTAGAACAGCCAACCCGGCCTTTTCGACCCCCCGACTACCGGAACGAGGTCGCAGACGCCGCAAACTTAGAGAACAGAAACCCGAGCGACAGGAAACTCGGGTCTCCGGCCGAGAACACGCGGGGGATTACTCCAGGACAGCCAGATATCTTACAAGACCGACCAACGCTGGCCAACATGGCAATAGCAGCAGCAGCGGACCCTGGTGCATCCTCCATCACAGTCGCAGGTATGTCCAACAAGCACACGCCCAACAAGAGCCATCGGGCCAGACGAAAAGCTGACGTGATGCCTCCCCTCTCCAGTGCGAGTGCGGCCCTTCACAATCCGAGAAGCTGCACAGCTGCAGCGGGTCGACGATGGCACATTGTTCCTGGGCGACGGCTCACTGGCGGCCGCCCCGGCGCCCAAATTAAAACAGAGCGGTCTCAGGTCGATAATAAAGGTGGTGGACCACAGATGTCTGTACGTCGATACTCAACCCCCACAGCATCATTCTTGTTGTCTGCTTACTGACCGTTGCCAACCCACAGAGTCTTCGATCCGCCCGAGGACAATCCAGTCCAGAAGTTCTCGAGATCCGTCGTCCCCAACGGCAAGAAGGTCAAGGACCAGGTCTTTGCCTTCGACCGCATATTCGACGAAAACGTCTCCCAGGCAGAGGTATACGAAGGCACCACCAAGAATCTGCTGGATAGTGTCCTGGATGGCTACAATGCCACCGTCTTCGCCTACGGTGCCACCGGATGCGGCAAGACACACACCATCACCGGCACCTCCCAGATGCCCGGCATCATCTTTCTTACCATGCAGGAACTGTTTGAGAAGATTGCCGACCGCAGCGACGAGAAGCACACCGAGGTCTCGCTCTCCTACCTCGAGATCTACAACGAGACCATCAGAGACCTGCTGGTGCCCGGCGGCAGCAAGCAGGGATTGATGCTGCGCGAGGACTCCAACCAGGGCGTGAGTGTCGCCGGCCTCACCAGCTACCACCCCAAGGATGTCCAGGAGGTCATGGACATGATTGTGCGCGGCAACGAGTACCGCACCGTATCGCCCACAGAGGCCAACGCCACCTCCTCAAGATCGCACGCCGTGCTCCAGATCAACGTCGCCCAGAAGGACCGGAACGCTGCCGTCAACGAGCCGCACACCATGGCCACCCTCAGCATCATTGATCTTGCTGGTAGCGAGCGCGCCAGTGCCACCAAAAACCGGGGAGACCGTCTGCTCGAGGGTGCCAACATCAACAAGTCGCTTCTTGCCCTCGGCAGCTGCATCAACGCCCTCTGCGACCCTCGCAAGAAGAACCACGTGCCCTACCGAAACAGCAAACTGACCCGCCTGCTGAAATTTTCGCTGGGCGGCAACTGCAAGACGGTCATGATCGTCTGTGTCAGCCCCTCCAGCGCCCATTTCGACGAGACCCAGAATACACTACGGTATGCCAACCGCGCCAAGAACATCCAGACAAAGGTTACCAGAAATGTCTTCAACGTCAACCGTCACGTCAAGGACTTCTTGGTCAAGATCGACGAGCAGATGGCTCTCATCAACGAGCTCAAGGCGCAGCAAAAGGATGCAGAGCGTATTTTCTTCGCCAAGTTCCAGAAGCAGCTAGAGAAGAGAGACGTTTCCGCTCGCGAGGGAGTTCAAAGAATTCGTGCAGCCTACGAGAACTCGGCCCCTGAGCGACAGGATAAGGTTTCGCATATGAAGAAACAGCGAGCAATCGAGCGACGTATTAGCCTGCTGTCCTCCTGGATCTCATCTTTTGACACTGTCTGCGATGCCAGGGACGATGAGGATTGCATGCCTTCCAATCTGGCCGCAATGCGCAAGACTGCGCAAGGTATACTTCTGGAACTCGAGAATAGCCGCTACCACATCCACCAGAAGCTCGAGAAGACCAACTGGGAGCGTGCTATCGACTCAGCTCTCCAGCATAGCATCAGCCAGCTTCCCCTCGGGGAGGAGTGCGCCGACACTGGGGAGGTGGCATCGCTTACCCGAGAGGCCGAGCTTCTCAAGTCCAACTTCGCGAGAGAGGCTTATAGGGAGGTGTTGGAGCAGGACAAGGCTGGGGACGCTGCTATGATGCAGGTCCTGTTAACAGCACAATTCGAGATTATGGCTTCTTTGTCGGAGACACTGAACATGAGCCAGGAAGAAGCTGTGGCTCATGCCAAAAAGATCATCAACCGTCTTCTAGACACTAGCTTCGCGGCTGCATCGTCCATCGTAAAGCCCGAGGGTGGCAACCTACCGGTAGAGAAGTTCGCACCCTCTAAGCGCGGAACGCCAAAGCGAAAGAAGACCGCCAACGTATTGATCGATGGTGTCAAGCCCATTCCGAACCCGGCCTTAGCTGTGGTTGCGGCTGAGGAGCCTCAAATTTTCATGTCGCCAGCGAAGGGGTCGCCTAGAAGGCGCAAAGCTCTCAACACCAGAAAGGCCATATCCTTCACTCCGGTGAAGAAGAAGTCTCCGTCCAAGAGGGTGGTCCGATGGCGAGATGATGACGGTGAATCGGGAACATTGGCCGACTTTGAAAAGACGCCTAAAAAGTTCCAAGCGACGCTGGAACAGTCTTCGCCAGAGAAGGCCATCGAAGTCGCTCCCGTTGCATCGTATCTTAACAATGACTCCGCCGAGGAGTCGAGCCCGTCTCTTGTGATGCCGGAGACGACTTCATTGCCACTCTCGAAGCCCAACCGGTTCCAAACCGGTTTCCTGTCAAAGTCGCGCCCGTCTATTGGCGGCGTCCCCAATGGCTCGCCAGTAGCCCCCAGCTTGTCTTTGAACCTGGCATCTTCTGACGGCGACCGAGCCAGTCCGCTGCGCAATCTCGATCTATCGCGAGCTGCTAATGTCAGATCCTCGCCTATTGGGCGCAGCGCATCTGTCAGTCCGCAGCCTCCCAGAGCATCAGGCCTCCCTCAGGCACTCTCCATCCATAGTCGACAAGCACTCAGCCCCTCGAGGGATGAGAACCATCCGCCTTCCACCTCGAACTCAGACTCTGAGACTAACAGCCTCATCGATACCTCAAAACTGCGCTCTGCCCTTCACGCGACCAAACGCCGCGACAGATTGTCATCCGGAAGCGCCATATCCAGCAACGCTAGGCGTGTGAGCTCCCTGGGCTCCTACAGTGGCATTCCCGCATCGCGCGGCCTCGACGGCAGTCACAAACCCTCTAACTCCTATTCGGGCCCGCTCGCCAGCAGCACCAATGGGATCAGCCGCCTACGACGTGGCAGCGCCGAGCGGCGGAGGAGCCCGCCCATGAGCTGTTCGCCGCCCGATCTCGCTGGCATCCGAGCCTTCACTCCCGGGCAGGCGCGCCGCATGGGTATGGGGGGCAGCATGAGAGTCATGGGTAGCCCGAGCGACCGTGGACGGGACAGAGAGCGCAACGGGGGTGTCGAGAGCAAGAATCGTAGAATCACTATTGGTGGCTCTGGGCTCATGGCCGGGTCGGCACGAAAGGAGAGGGGAGGTGTGGTTTGGCGTTAAGGCAACGCTCGTCGTGTTGTATATTTCCCTTCATTGACGAGGGGAGGGAGTTTGGATTGTGGAAGACCCCGAGGGTGTCTTCCCCCTGAGGTCGGGGTGCGTTCTTCTCGGTTTGGGATGCATAAAGACTTTGTCTCCATCATTGGTTCAGATTGACTGGCGGTGTTTGGGCGTTTGAGAGGTTTATTGTATTATTCTTGTACTTCCTATTTTCTACTGCTACGGTCCACTCTGCCCCCCTTTTGCTCAAGGGGCCGATCGTATAGGGGCAGTGCGTTACGACAATGCATGATATACTTGTTCAAACCTAGGTTTTCGTGTCCTCATAATACGTGAAGGGAGAAAAAGAAAAGACGACGTAAAAAAAAAAGATCTGACAAGATTCCCAGCGTCAACAATGCCGTTAAAACAAAGGCCCCCGCGAGAGTCGTAATAGAATTGACTGAAGAACCTCGCTCTTATCATGTCGCCACAATGTATGATTTGTACCATCACTGTGCAGCCCCAGATATGGAATTAGCAACACATGTCCCTTACCAGACCAAAGTAATCCCACCTGTCCAACGCTTTCTCATACTCCCATACCAAAGTGCCATTCCCAGCCGTAGGGTGGTCACTGCAGCTGCGCGCGCTGCGCAACTGGGCTCCTCGGCGTGTTCACCGACGAGCGCCTTTTGGCGCGGCCGAGTCCGCCGCCGTTTGATGCGGTCGCTTGCGCGCTGGCGGCCTCGTCCTTGGCCATCAGGACGGCAGGCTGGTTCGACCACAGGACGCAGCCCCCGTGCAGGACCTGCACGGCGCCCTCGGAGACGGCGACGATCCGCGGGAAGAGATGCGCGCAGATGGACCGGTGCTCGTAGTTCGGCTCCGATATCGAGCCGTACACGTCCTTGTACCACCCCACCTCGGCGTCCTCCCTGCTCGCCTGCTTCGCCACGACGACGTCTCGAGCAAGCTGCGCGCGGCTGGACCACATCTCGACGGCCTCCCGGAAGAGGCCGATGAGCTCGCTCTGCAGGTCGTCCAACCTCGAGTTGGGCACCAGCTGGCCCAGGACGCTGTACGCCTCGCTGGTTGCGCGTTCGGCCACTTCCTCGCAGACCTTGGTGTCATCGAGCAGCTGGAGCAGCTGGCAGCGGTATATGTCCTGCCGCTCCTTTTCCAGGTCGAACAGCTCTAGGAGCCGCTCGGCAGCCTCAATTATGGGGCCCGCTTGGCCCACGTCGCTGGGCACATAACACAGCCGGAATACATGTTTTTGAAGCGTGTTCGCGATAACGGCGCCAGCGGCCGCACAGCGCATTAGTTTTCCTTCCTTGGAGGTAGATACTGAGAGTGGTATAACTGTACCGCCCTTCAACCCGTTCTCCGATTCAATGACAGCCTTGAGGTTCTACCCGGTGTTGGAGGATTAGTATACAGAAGATACAAGACTATGAGGAGGTTACCTACTTTGGGCACATAGTCACTTGAGAAGAAATCCAATGTCAACTGCTGGCATTTTCCTGATAGATCCTCCAATATCGAACGCCTTCGGCAAGGTCAGTACTGCACAGACATTGTCCTGGTCAAATGCGGCACACTCACAGGTAAGTCACGCTCGCCTTGTCGAGGCTTCTCAGAAAGCCCAGTCCCAGATTATCTTCGGCCTGCTTGAGAAGAGTGTCCAATTTGTCCCGTTGGGCTTCGCGTGTCTGTAGGGTGCCCCTTAGAAGCGTGTGTTCGTTTTGCAGATCACGGATTGTGCGCTCATGCTCCGCGTTCAAGTTGTTCGCATTCGCACACTTGGCTTCCAGTTGTTTTACCCTGCTCTGTAGCTTCTGATTCTCGGATTTTGCCGATTGACGGTCGGTCTTCAGCTTGGCGATCTCCTCGTTACATTTCTCCACGATGCCATCGTTCTGCTTCCAAGCTTGGTAGTGCTCTCCGAAGGAGTGAGTCAGGACTGCTCGTTCCTTCTTGGCATTGGCTTTCTCGTTTGTCAAATCTTGGTTCATCTTGGTGTGCTCCCTCTTCAACTGTTCATGCTCTTTCAGCAAATCATCATACTGTTTTTGGAGCCTCCCTCTCGCTTCCACTATCTCAGCGTACTCTTTGAATTGCTCGGTGTCAGTAGTAATGGATTTGGTCAAGTTGAGCCAGTTCATGAACTTCGAAGGCTCCTTTGCAGGTTTGGCAGCGCCATTGACATTCGACTTTGCCTTGGATTCCGCCATCTTCGATAGCATGCGTTCCTTAAAGGATCTCAATCCCATGATGTGACCGGGTTATGATAGAGAAAATGCTTTCCGGCTTTCTTATACTTCTTTCGCCGTAGCATCGCTTCAGCATGCTTGGCTGGCGAAGCCTGGTGGGCCTCTTGCATGACGCGAAAGCCTCAACTTTGGCCAGTTGTGCTGCAGCTCCAGGTCTGCAGCCGGGTCCTCTTCCGCGTGGTTGCCTTGTGAAAAGTCCCCCTGATTGGATTCATGTCAATGTCCCTGGTCTGTTCTGATGCCAGAATCTGTGGTGGGCAGCACAATGTCTGCATTACGGCGTGCTTCGTACCTATCAGGGCCCTTTGATCAGGAGATAAGACAGATATACCATGCATTCACTCTCGCTCGATCAATCACACAGCACGTCCAAGGGCGTCTCAGAGTCTTGCCCTTGATGCACCAAGCTCTATCCGCAGACGTGACGCTCGCAGAACCTGCTGCGTGGCGGGGCACGAACTGCCAATAGCATTGTCACGGCATAATGGCATTCCCCATCGGCCAATCGCTCGAGATCACGGTTCTGCATCAATCTACGGACCGCTGCCACTGTTGCAGCGTCGCTTGTCCGCGCTCCACATAGCCCGGCCCGAGAGATCAAGGGGACGTGCGTCTCGAGGTCTTTGGTGACGTTGCAGCAGCCCAACATACTCTTCGAAGTCGAGATTGCACTGGCTCAACCAGAATCCGTCATCAAGGCGTCAAGTCGAAAGTCAGCGGTTCGTGTCGCTAAAGGTAGCCCGGCAGATATGACAGTCGTCGGGAAGTCTTTGCAGATCTGCATGCTAGCCATCAGTCCACGAATCATGTTGGCTAGCACGAAACCACATTCTCTTGTTCGTGGATAGGCCGAGCGTCGTGCTATCACATGGAGTATTATACCTAGGGAGTGTAGACAGGCGGGCGAACGTGTTTCGCTGGGCGGCATACTAAACAAGAGGTTGGGATCTGATTCTAGGTCGCTCCGAAAACTCCCCGAGAATAAGCGTCAGCGTACTCCGTATGATGCCGAGCATTCTACATAACAGCTCGTGGAAGCGCCTTCAGCTGCTCGTTGGATTTCCAAACTTACCCTCTAACCTTTCCTCGAGATTTGAAATCCAACTGCAAGAATACACCAAAAATGGCCAACGGGAAGCCGACGTTGTATCACCTCAATGTTTGCCACACCAAAACCCCATGCACTGGAGGCAATGCCACTGACATGGCTCGCAGAACTCCCAGTCCCAAACCATTCTGTGGCTGCTAGAAGAGTTAGGGATTGAATATGACCTCAAGCTCTTCAACCGCATCGAGCAGCGGTCGCCGCCCGAGCTCAAAGAGACCCATCCCACTGGCAAGTCTCCGCAGCTTATGACGCCTACCGGACGCGTGATCACCGAGCGTAGTGCTATCGCGCTATATCTCATCGAGACTTACGACACGTCGTCGAAGTTCAAGATTCCGTCTCCTCCTGCCCAGGCCGATGACGACTTCTTGAAAGAAGATTCCCTCATCTCCTTCGGCAACTCTACTGTAATGCCATTGTTCATGCTACGCCTCGTCTTCATGCAGCTGGTCAAGAGAACGCCGTTCTTCCTGCGCTGGCTAGTATCCACAATCAGCAGTACCCTTGACAAGGCTTTCCTTTCTGCGGAAATTGGGTTGCACCTGAGTTATTTCGACTCTCTGTTAGAGGGCCGCGAGTACGTGATGGGAGGAGCAGAGCCAACGAGGGCCGATTTTGTCAATCTATGGTACTTTGACTGGGGAGCCCAGGGAAAGTATTATGAGGTGCCGAAGTACAAGAACATTGACGCTTGGAGGCAGAGATGTCTCAGTAGGCCGGCCTGGAAGCGAGCGCTTGAGAAGGGCAATGGTTATGACCTCAGCGAGGGGTGATGCCGGAGACCGAGGAAGACCTATCCCCTTGAGTCCTTTGGGTAACGATGGCATCTTCACCTTTCTGTTTGGTGGATATGCACTTGAATCACCCTAGTTCTCCTGACTTGTATTTTTCCTGCTCAACCATGTATAGAGCATTAACTCATCTACTCAACTGAATAGCCAACGTTGGCGCTACTCTTCAATCCGCCGCATGTATCATAGTGAAGCTCTTCTATGCTCAGCCACTTTTCATTATGATTCAGCTACAGTACAATTTGCGTCTCAAGCTCGGGTTCAGATCACCTCTGTATCAGCACAAAACAAAAATTATGGTAGTTGCATTGTGTCATGAATATAACAATGAATTGTACGTTCGTCTCACGCTTCATTCACAAGACATTCTTTTGTCATCTAAACTTTAAAGTCACATATACAGGGTGGATCAGAAATGTTAAGCGTCACTATTACTCAGCAGAGATAATCATCACACGTGATGCCGTTGTACTCGGCGTTAAGCGTGTTTCACAGAGGAGCTGCAGGTCGTGCAGGTATAGCGGGCATATGTGCTAAGGCGTTCTGCCGGGAGCCGTGGTGTTACCCAGGTGGCTAGGACGAATGTCTGCGGATAGTCTGCGGATAGTCTGCGGGAAGTGAGCGAAGGATTGCGGCGCAGCCTGAATGAGAGCAATAGGCTGCTCAAGCTGGTCAAATCGTCAGGCGACGCTGCGGAAGCAGCGGACTCCGATCTTACAGCTAAGCCACCACGCAGCGCACTGGAGTCAGCATTCAAGGCACTATTCGGCATGCGTGTACGAGGGAACTTGGCACCCCTCCACCCTCCTTCATCACCTGCAGCAGCTCTCGTATTTGTGAAGCCCATTATCAGCGCTCGTCAATAGGTGAGCCGGCTTTCTTCCCCTTCTCCAACCATCTCAAATTCTCAATTATGCATCAACGAGAACGGCCAGAATGCTTGCGCAACACCAGAAGAAACCATCTCCTTTCATGCGCGTGGCTGTGCCCGTCGCGCAGGCGCTTTTCGCCTTTTCGCTGATTTTCGCCTTCGCCGCAGCGATATTGGTTGGAGCCGGCTCTATCACAATGCCACATTGGGCGAAGAGTCTCGATCAGTATCCACCCGAGGAACGCGCTGGTTACGCAGCCGGGCTGCTAGGCGTTGTATCCTTAGTGTTTATGATATTCTTCGTGGTAGGGGTGATGAAGATGAGAAACCCCGGCTCGCCTTAGACTCGAAACGCGATAATCAGAAAGCAATCGCGACAGGCAAGAGCCAGATCACGCGGCGGAAATGTACGGGAACCCAATTGTTTTACTCGAACAGGTAGAGGCTTTTTGGGTTGTTGGGGCTCTTTAAGCCGAAATCAGCATCGCCGATGTCGATACATTATCTTGCCCGAACAGCTACCGACTGAGCAACCTGGCAGAGTGAAGGTGCATTATCATCTTCCAATTCCGGGAAACACCAAGGCTGAAGTTATCACGGCCAAGATACTATTGTCTATGCAGTTTTCCACGAGGAACCGAATCCTACTTCGAATATTCGTCCGATCGTACCATGTAGGATCTATGGATCTTATACAGAAGGGGGAAGCGAGGGCTCGGATCTATCGGAAATCGATTCGAAACAATACTACCGCTACACGAAACATTGGAAGCCATTCCGCTTGGTATAGCGCCTGCGTGTGGTTGGTATAGCCAGTCTCCAGGGCATCTACAAGAACAGCTGGATAGCCTTCGATTAATTTCATGTTACGAGCATTAGGTTATCTCAAGCACCAATGGCCGTGGGTTTCAACCCTCAATGAGAAAACTTCTAATGGGAATGGCCACTATCTGGATAAAGAGGAGCGAGTTTGTCATTTGCTGGACGGCAAGGTGGTCTTCAATGCACCACACTCGGCATGATAGGATCCAACATACATGACATCTCCGAACACGATGCCAAGGGCTTTATACAATGGATTAGCTCATCAGCAGTTGCAGACTCCTAGAAATGGCTCATTCTTGGCATTACATTCCATTATATGCGTGTGCTGTCGTCCAGGTCGTTGCAAGCACTATAGACTATATCTACAGGCGCAGAGTCTGCCTTCTATAACTACAGAGATGCAAACAAGGCAACTGCCAAGGTCAACAGTATAGTCATCTTCGTGCCCACCATTATTTTGTCTCCGCCATTTGCATCGTCTGCTCTCTCTTTCGATCCTCCGATAGCCCCTAGGACGGTGACCTGATTTGCGAAACTGGTACCGTTGAATGCGCCCTCCTGATCTCGTCCAACGAGGAAGCTCTCAGGCGGTCCAAGGTAACTTGATCTCACACCACCTAGATCCACGATGACCTTCTGGACAATTACGCTCGGTGCCAAGCCCCAGACCCGAAGCTTATAGGCACCTTCCTGGGTAACATTCCACCGCGTAGTGGTGTTATGGCTTGGATGATGACCCCACACGGAGTCACCAACTGCGTAACCCCACGATGGAGGCATGTCTAGCCCAATACTGTCCCCAATAAAGCGTACGGTTTTCGGCGTTGCCTGCGATGAACCAGCAGGGAACATGGAAACGGCAAATTGAAGAGGATTTCGATCTGATAGATAGTTCTGGGTCGGGCTCAGATACAGAGTGACATTGACGTTTGAGGCATTGGTGAAAAGATAGAGATCGTATTCCAACGCTGGACCGGAGTCGGGGGTGACAGGCTGTGCATTTTGGGGCCACAGACTAACACCACCATATGTTCTGCCGTAATTCTTCAACGTGTGATATGTAATGTTTGAGCTGGTACTGTTGGAAGGGGTGTAGATCCTCTGATAATTTGGTCCTTCGATAGAGACGTACTTGTCTGACTCCACGAACCCAGTCGAGAAGTTGGAAGGGATGGTGCGAAGATTAATGGGGAGTTGCACAGTTGGCGCCCCATACCAAGCACCAAATCCTCTGCGGCCACAGTTGGTGGTGAATTTGATGGTACTAGCGGTGTTGTTGGTAATCTGCGGGGCTGATTCCCAGTCGATAGACACGTAAACCCGGGAGTCGGTGCCGTTGCCAGGACCGACTGTGCCATTGTGCTTGGACAACTTGACCCAAGACTTATCGGCTTGTGCCGTCCAGTCACAGGCCACCGTACCGCGGGAGAATACGTCAAACCAGCGAGTGGCAGGTCCATAAGGGTCAAGGGATGGCAAGGTCAGGGAGTTTCCAGAATTTGCGTGGTACTTGTCATCACCTGGAATACTAGCATTCAGCCCTTCGACTGCAATACCAACAGCACCAGCAGTTGCTGTCACGCCGGGTTGTACGAAAGCTAAAGCCGGTCCAACATTTCGCATTGGCTGTTGCCAGTAGCCGTCGTATCCAAAATGTGTTTCTGCAGCTTTCGGTTAGTTTTTCTTAGACCAGTACCGTAAGAGTCAATTATTCTTACGATCCATAATGTTCTCCCACTTCCCGTCAAGAAGGTCATCCCATCTAGCAGTTAGATTCCCGTCATCGTTCATGTAAGAGAGAACGTCATTTGCAACGGCATTTGCTGAGCTTCGGTGTTGATTTGCGTAGACAATGTTCCTCGCGGCGCTAATTTGGATCTGGTGCACAATCTTTCCACCAAGGACCGGGTGCAAGACCATTTCAAAGAACGCAGCCTGGTAGCTGGGGTCCAGTTTGTCGTATACAGCCTGCGCATCCGCAGCGAGATCAGCCCATTGCTCAAGGATCGCATCGGCCTCATTGTAGTTGATGACCGAGTATACTTGCGGCTCGAGAAGTTCAAACTTTCTACGACCCGCATACATGCCATAGCGAGTCAGAATGTCCACGGTTTCTGCAGCAAAGTCGGAACCAAACTCTCGAGCGGCCCAGGCAGAAAGCCACACATCTACCTTATCGACTCCCCACTGCTCTGCATCGTAGGCCATGTCGAGGAAATGGCTAATTGGGAGTTCCAGGGACTTCAAGTCGCCCACGTTGACGATCCAGATGCGGTCTGCTCCATGGGTATAAGCGAGTTGCATCTGCTCCGCTGTCTTCTCGAGCTGAATAGTGTTGATCCACTTGTAGTTTCTGGGGTCTCCAACGTAATCGAAGTGGTAATAAACTCCAGCGCCACCAGCTCTGGCCGTCTCATTTTGGATGGGAACTCTTCGCACGTTGCCCCAGTTATCATCGGCCCAGAGTAGTGTGATGTCGTCAGGGACCTGAAGGCCATCAAGGAAATACGAGGCAACCTCTTTATAAAGGCACCACATCTGGGGAACATCGGTGATGTTCGTGTCAAGAACATCTTCTATGATATTCCTCTGGTGCTCCACGAGTACTTGCAGCATGTTGACAATGGCCTGTGAGCCTAGACCTTCGATAGCTGTGTCGCCAGTGCCTCGCATGCCCATTGTCCAGAGGCTGTTTCGGGCATACGGTTTAGCCCTTTGGGCGCCGTACTCAAAGTAGGTGTCTATGGTCTTGTTGTTCAAGTTGTAGGCCCAGGGCCCGAGGCCCTTGTTGATATAAAACGTGCCGAACTCATTCTGCGCACGCATCATTGGCTCTGTGTGGGAGCTTCCCAGCACTATCTCCCACGCATCAGCCAAAGGTTGATTGGCAGGATCATCAACCTCAAACATGCTGCCCCAGAGTGTTGGCCATAGGTAGTTGGCACGCAACCTCAGCAGAAGCTCGAAGACATGCGGGTAGAAGTCTCGGTTGTAACCGTCGCCATACGGTGTGTCCTTGAAGTTCCAACTCACCCATCCAGACAGACCGGGCTGTTCGTCATTCAAGAACAAACCACGATACTTGACAGATGGAGGCCCCTGTACTTTTCCGTCGGGCAGAAACCAAATATTCTTGTTCTGGCGCACAGGTACATCGGCCCAGAAATACCAGGGGCTGACACCAATCTGTTCACTGATGTCGTAGAGTCCGAAGATGGTTCCGCGTGGATCGCTGCCGGCAATTACCACGGCCTTGGGGCATCCACTGAAGGGATTGTCGACGACCTTCAGCACAAACGACTCCCAACCGTCTTGAATTCCGGAAACATCTAGCTTATTGTTCGAAACGAGCTCGTCGATGATTTTCGACTGCCCGACGGTGCCTGCGATGATGACCGTGTCTCCGGCAGACGGATTAGTGTAGTTGGGGCCGTGGAAGAATCCCGTGCCGTTGGTTGAGTACTGAAACGTATCAGCGGGGCCACCCCAAAGACACGCATGACCAGTGAGACTGGAGGATTTATACGTACTACTGTATAGTTGGCGGCGGCTGGCTGGTACTGGTAGACAGCGGAGGCGGCCCCAGCTTCGCCATTGCTCAGCGTGAGGTTCGTGCCCGTCACCCGGCCAAAGTCTGTCGCCAAATCCCCTGCAGCACGAATGACACCCCAATAGTCATTGCTCGAGACCAAGATCTGCGGTCTTGCGATAGAACCGCCAGCAAGTTGAAAAGCGCCATGGACACTGGTGAAGCTGATGACTGGTTGTTGTCCAAGACCCTCTGCCAGTCCGGCAATTGCCAGTGGCAGTAGAGACTTGACCGCGAAACGCATAATGGGAGTCTCGCAGGCTGACGATGGAGTAGCAGAGCCGTGTCCCAACCTGAGTCCTCGTACGGGAGCCCCCAGGACTGGCCACAGCGGCCGGCTGCCATAAATACACCGCCATGGTGTTCATCCGAGCTGCAATGCAATCAATGGAGGCCTACCCGAGGCCTTGGATTCTCCATATTGACCACGACGTTAGTGACGCGCTTGCAGTAGGCTACCCAGGGAGAAACGGAGAGGTGGTCCCATCAGACCAATAGCAAAAGCAGGCGGCACCATATTGCCCAGGTTGTATCAAGCACCAAGCGGCAAGGTGCCTGAACTGGGTATCCTGCAAACCTACAGCTCAACGTGCGGATCAGCGCCGCCAGGGGTCACGAGTTGGAGAAGCTTGCGCCTTTTGCGGTGGCCGGTTGGCGGGTAATTTGGAACCGATGACGCCGGACGATCGTGAGATGTCGACCGAGCCGGCATCTGTTGGAGAAGGCGGCGGCTTTGCCAACTGACTCCGCACCCTTGGCGCTGGAACTTAACCCGTTAAGCCGCTAAAGCTTGGGGTCTTAGTTGACTTTGGGTTCAAGACCTGGGGTTCAAGCCTCCCCCGCATGGGCCTAACTGGATGGCCACCCCCCGTACGACCGACCCCATAGCGCCTACAAGAGGCCATCAAGCACTGTCAAATTCCTGAGTGGCCATACTGCAGGTTTGCTTAAGACTGATACAAGACATACTGACAAGCTGAATCGGCTCCATAGTCGCGCGAGCATAACTTCGTTCCAATATTGCAGCGGCGTGTATCCCCCTGGTGGCAATGAGTTGATGGGATATATTTTTTCTTTCTTTGAGCCATAAGGTCCAGACATGCGGAGCTCACGAGCCTTGGAGAAGCCAAGGGTTTGCATTTAGCCTGAATTGCCTTGCCTATTCTGCCTCATGTCGTAGCGTTTGCTTGGGACAGGGTCACAGGGGTGATCACCGGTCCCTGGACTTACTAAGGTGTACAAACTACACCGAGAATCATTCATCTGCTCAGCGTTTCGGGCAAGACACGACTCTTTCACCTCTTACACCTCATTTGCGCCAGGTCTAAACCGGCAGATATCAGAGATTCAGACCCTCCACTTCATTCGCTGTCTTACATGGTCTTGGTGCTGTTTCTGATCCGGGTCAAGAGCTTGTCTTTCCGAGATTAGATCCCGCTTAACTACGTGTAATGATCAATCAACACTTCACCTGGCCACACTCCAAGCGCATCCCAGCTCTTCTAACCCTCCTATGCTCTGTGACACGGTGCAAGACCGCAACTTTGACACTCTCTCAATAGCTAAATGACCACAAAGATAGCTCAGTCACGTCTCTGTCGCAAAACAATGCAACGTCTTAACAGAAGATATGGCGTTGGGAGGCGCCGGTGGCAGGGCTACGCAATGGCCTTTCTCCCCCGTGTTCTTCCGATTATTGAAATGAGCAGCTGGGAAAACAACCGATAAGTTCACATGGAGCCTCATCAGAGAAACTCGCTGGCCCTCGTATATTTTCCGTTCACCATGGTACTATTTCAGGGTCATGGAGCTAAGCTAAGGCCCGACAGATCGACTCATTCATACAAATATCAATCACGCATCTCACAATTCAGGCGAGTCTCCAAAGCACTTGGCCATCATGGCTGGTGGGTAACGAGCACCTTTCGAGCCGCCAGCACTCTCAATTGCTTTCCGGATCGTAGCCTCCTCCTCCTTGGACAATTTCACATTAATTGCGGCAATGTTTTCCTCCAAGTATTTGACACGCTTCGTACCTGGGATTGGGATGAAATCTGGGTGGGTCAGCATGGTATAGTTGAAAACCTTCGTGAAAGAAAGGACCCACCTTCACCCTGAGCCAATACCCACGCGATGGCAAGCTGGCCTGGCGTGATGCTCTTCTCCTGTGCGATGTCGGCAAGGGTCTCGACGAGTTTCAAGTTATCACCGAAGTGCTCCTCTGAGAAGCGTGGGTGCTTGAACCGGGAGTCAGTTGGGTCGAGGTCGGCCCTGCTCTTGATCGAGCCTGTCAAAAATCCACGACCGAGGGGAGAGTAAGCAACAATCTTGACGCCCAGCTCTCTTGCCGTTTTCAGGAAGTTGGTCTGGTCAGACTCGATCTCGAGCGCGAACGGAGAAAACTCCATCTGGGCAGCCGCAATTGGGTGGACCTTATGAGCCCTCTGGAGTGTCCTCGCTGAGCACTCCGACAGTCCGAGGTATCGAATCTTGCCCTCCTTCTTCAGCTCTGCCATGGCCCCGACAGTCTTCTCAATCGGCGTATTGGGGTCCACGCGGTGCTGGTAATACAGATCGATGTGATCCGTTTGAAGGCGCTCCAGACTTTCCTGGCAGGCCTGCTTCACGTACTCCGGGCTTCCCAAGACTTCCATCGTTCCGTCCACCATCCTGTTGCCAAACTTAGTGGCCAGAAAGATTTCGTTCCTACGACCGGTCTCCTTGAACCACTTGCCAATCAGCTTCTCGTTGGTGAACGGACCGTAGATGTCACTAGTGTCCCAAAATGTGATTCCCAGGTCGGCAGCCTTGGTCAAGACCTTCAATGACTCCTCGTCATCGTAGCCTCCGTATGATGTATAACCAAAGCTCATTCCCATACATCCCAAGCCTTGAGAGGAGACCGAATCATCGCCGATCTTGCGCTGGGGATACTTGCTGGCCATTTTGAACCAAGTGTGATTGTGTTTCTCGATATTGCCCTGGCAATTTTTGTCTCGGTGGATTTTAATACTTTTTGGCGTAGCCGTAACGAACAGTTCAAACTTCTCGGGAGACGTTGTCTTGAAGTAGTTGGCTCAAAGGCCGAGAGGGGTGGTTACTTAACGCCTAATGCCGGTGTGAAACTCTTACCACGACTACCCCACCTGGCCATCGATTGCATCATACCATAAGGCACCGCTTGTCGCAGAGACGGCCAACGTCGACCTCGCGTTCACATTCTCGGGCTCAAGCCTTTATGTCCGATGTGATGCCATTATCTTGGCCTGCTAGGCTATATAATAGTACCTAAGACCGAGCCGATAAGGTGCATAGCGCAAAACTCAGTGGCATACTGACTAAACCGTCCTAACAAAGTTAGGCGTACTATCACGGTGGCTGAATATGGAAGAGCTTTCACGACACAATACCAATGATAGCGGCGCGGGTGTAGAAATTATAGCGCAATTGCGTTGGGGTCACATTCCTTGGCTGGCGATCTCAAGTAATAAGACCAGCCAAACTGCGTGATTGACTGACTGAAGTGGTAGCCATGGGTTGACTCGCCTTTCCGAGCCTCGGAATGCAAATCAATCGCCATCCTCCCTAAAACCACAGAAGTCCTTGTGACGAGCCTCCGGCATTCTATATTTAATTGTCCAAAATTTCCTGCAAATTTAGGGATGGTGTACATCTGTAGGTCATCTGTACCGTGCACTCTAACTTGTCCGAAGGAGCAGTCAAGTGCACCTTCAAAGGGTACTGAACGCGACGCTGAAAGCCCTGCCAAGTTGCAGCTGGGCCGACGGTGTGGCTAATAATTGAGGCTTGGAAGTCACGCACCAGAGTATCGGTCTCATTTTCTGGGTGGGTGATGATAGCATATAGGCGAGAGTTTCTTCAGGTTATTCCTTAAAGGCGCTTGTCTTGGGGTTGGCGCCGGAGGACTCTATCGACACAAGCAGAACGCTTTCCTCAGTTTCAAGCTACTAGGAAAAGCGGGGATGTATTACCCGCACTGAAGTTCTACATCAAGTCACCACTAAGTAGCATCCAGTCCGAGTCGGAGAAATGCCTTCACACGGGATTACTCTAGTTCTGTGGGCTTCTCTGATAGCCATTCGCCTTGTTCGATATCCGTCCTCCTCCTGCCTCTATCCTGACTATACTTTGACTGGGAATATGACAGCTGAGTGTCCCGGCGGAGCTCTAGTGTAAGTTTCCTGATTAACAGCCAAATTGCTGCGATCCCGGCGAATCCAACGAAAACAAAAAGCGACGCATCCATGCTGGTCACTGTATCGAGGGAGTCCTGTGCCCTTTTTACCTTGAATCCTCCCATGCCGCTGCCCGCAATTCCCCCAGGGTCATCAGACATAATGGACGGATCAGCGGGAGGAGGATTGCCCCTGCTTGCTCTGACCGCCGTATAGATGACGATGGTAAGGACCACGGTTGCAATGCAAGATGCGAGTATCGTGCCGCTCACGCATAACATTGTGTACCGCCCTCCATCAAGCGGGCGGCCTAGCAGGGGCTTTTTCTTTGGCGTGATATCTGACATTCTTGCTGGCTTTAGGAACTATTAGTGAGGATATGTTGAAGCTACAAGATTAAGTGCCAAGGTGCTGGTGTCAACAAATGGGCTTGGTCGCTAACTTGAGCAATTGAAAGATAAGTGTGCTTCCAAGTGGCAAAGAAGATGCATTTATAGAGAACGCAGTGGCGAGTGACACACCTCCCGAACAGCTCCTCACAAAGGGCAGCTAGCACGCAATCTGGAACAATGCACACAAACGTAACCGCAATAACTAGTTGATTGCTATGAGAGAGTCCGCGTGAGCACTTCCACTGGTGAGTCATGCTGATGTGAATGAACACGAAAGGGGCATCACCGTTGACTCATCGTAGGCTCCAATTTACGGATATCTCGCACGCGGGCAAACCTGGAAGCCATTCGGAAAGACCTAATGACGACTGAAGTTCTCGAAGAGTAATGTTGGCGGATAGTTTCCGTGAAGTGTTAAAGCACTGTTTGTGGTATGGCTGGGAGCCGCGCGATCTCTGGTTGCTTCGCCTGTTTACTCTTCCTGCTCCAGATCCCAACGGAGACGGTCTGGCTTCAACTGACCTTCAAGCAGATCTTGAGTACGCATGACGCACAAAAAGGCTGAGAGGGCCAGGCAAGTAGCAAGCATGACAACGGAGAAAGCCAAGAGCCCAGGCCCTTTCATGGTCTCGACAAGTTCCTGCCCTTCTCGTTTGAACTTTGAGTGGTATTGGACCGGGTTGGTCGACGAAGTTGGCAGTGATGAAGCTGGATGTGCTGGCCCTGCTGAAGTGCTCACGGAAACGGACCACGATATGAGTGCGATCAGCGTCACCATGAACAATATTGAAAGGCATCCAAGCATCTGATACTTGGTGCGACCTCGCAGACCAGACTGGCGACTGTGGGTCGGGTTTGTAGTCGCTACTGTAGCTTGCGAGATACGCTCAAGAGGGAAAAGGTCGGGTTGCCATCCACGATTAGCCTCGTAGGGTGGTGGCGGTATTTCATCTATTGCCATGATGTTTGTTTTTTGTGTTTCTGTATGCTGGTAATGTTCTCTTTTGCAGGTCGACAGCATGAACGACAGACTATTTTCCCAGGACCAAAATACCTGGCATCGGCTGTTCTTTACCAATTCAACGTCAGTGATAGAATGAGTCCTTGAGTGACATGCGGAAACCGTGAATGAGGGCAGGCCCGAAGTGAATGGGCGGGGTGCCAATACGACACACTTCGTTGTCAAAGAAGCGGCACTGACAATCCATGTCAAATTGTGAGATGTGGTCAAACATATTCCATAGACTGAGAAATGCAGGCTGTAGAAACGCTTTGCTTGAGAACATGGGCTCAGCCAAATCGATAGTCGAAGCGAATTCACACCCTCACAAATTAGCGCTGCCCGACTTGCATTTGTATCAACTTTGACATGACTATAACGCCCACAGCTGTTAGCGTAATGATGTATTACATATGGTATCTCATATAGGACTACCAACCCAAGTAACTTGAAAAACTGAAAACCCGAAATCTGAAAATCCCAACGCCTGGATTCACGTTGCCCGTGACCCGGTATCATAAAACTATAGTATTCCTACAAACCCTGACGTGAAAACAACAGGTGCTTAGAAACATTCCGTGTGTCCACAGAATGACGCTCGGCGTGCAGGCAGACTCTAATCGATGGACATCCAGCTGAAAGCACCAACAGCGCCGGCAATCATAATGGCGGTCAAGATGCCAGCACCCGCCTTATCTCCGCCTGTGATCTCCGCAAGCTGGGTAATTGTCGTCCGGTCGCTTCCCGCGTTCGGGTCACCCAGACTCGTACCTCCGGTCGTGTTTGTTAGTGGAGGGTTGGCGGCTAATAACGCCGTCAGTCCACCCAGCACGTTCATCTGCTGTCCAGCGCCAGTCCTGCCATCAAACACTCCCGTGGTCCAGTGGAATCCACAGAAGCGCCCGTTGTCGCCGCCAGTACACTGCGCAACGCCAGCAGCGACAGATTTCTTAATGACTGGCATGATAGTGTCGTAGGTAAAGGGGGCCAGCTGGGCCGTCGATCCCATCCAGCGGTGCAAGAAGCCCTTGAAGGATCGCATGTCGGCATTACAGTTACCAGGCTCGCAGGACGGTTCGAAAGCAACGCCATCGGGGAAGAAGACTGCGAGAGTACGAGTGAGAAGCCCGTTGATACGGTCAGCCCAGATCTGTTCACCGTCCGTCTAGAGTCCCGGTTAGTTCGGTACTCCAAATAGGGAATTGGGAGGTTGGACTGAAACCTACGTAGTTGTACATGAACGCGGCCCCTTGCATCAACATGGCAGCATTATATGAGAACTGGGCCTTGTTGATGTCAGTGCAGTCGGGCAAGTGGGCACCATCGTAGACATTCCAATCCTTGTCGACGTAGCCCAATCTTTCCATAATATCAAATGTTCGAGCCGCTAAGTCTGAATATGTGTTGTTGTTTGTGTACCGTGCCAAGCGGGCACCGATGTTGAAGTAACATGCGTTTGCAATAGCTGGCCACACACGTCAGTTCCTGTGTTATCACGAGGTCGGGGCCTTGCTCATACTGTTGATGTAGTCGTATCCGTTGTTTGAAGGGAACACCTGCCATCTCAATCCCCACTCGCAGTTACCTGACGGGACACGTCTATCCTCGTGGGTTTGTTCATTGAACACAGCCTGCGCCAACGATAACCATTGAGGCTCTTCTGCAGCGGGATCTGTGAAACCGGTTTCTGCCGCCGTCAGGGCTGAAAGAGCCCAAAATGCTTGATCGTCGTTACCCATCGAGGCCGACCAGTTTCGCGGCATGAAGTCCCTGTCGTCTCCAACCTGGAATAGCATCGCCGTGGAGGTTATGTCGTCGTAGGACTTGTCGCCAGTGTGATGTCTGTAGTCCATCAAGGCACCCCACATAGCACCGCCCTGCCACCAGTAGTATTCACCGTCCGGAGGAGGACCGGGAAGGATACCGGGCACCCATCCTGGTTCGTCGCCATGGTAGAACGTAAGGAGGTCTTCGGCGACTTGAGCGGCTGCTTGCTTAATTGACTCTGCCGCGCGGAATCCAGGTCAGACGAGTATCCTGCGACAACTTGTTCGGACGTCGTGACAGGAATCAACTAACCTGGTGAGTCGAGGTTGACGGTCAAGGCGGCATGCGCCGGGTAAGCCGCCAGGCCAAGACCGGCCAACAGTGACTTTGATACTCTCACCATTTTGACCACTAGGAAAGAAAAGACCTAGATCATACCCCGGGAGTAGGGAATTGGCAGACGCAAATGAGAGAAGAGGGTCAAAGAGGGAACAAAGGACGCGGATAGGAGATTAACGAGTGATACTGTACTTGGCGACAGGGTGCCAAGAGTTGGGATGCTGGGCACAGAGAGAGAGAGAGAGAGAGAATGACGACGATGAAAGAGAGAGGGACAACAAACCATCGACAGGAACCGACGAGTACGACGGCAAACTTGTTCCCCGTCCTCCCTGACAGAGGCCAAGAGCCAGGCAATACCAAGAAATGAGGGCGCCATGCCCAAGAGAGCATACACCCTGTTCGCCTGCCAGCTGGGCGCAACAACGCCGAGCTTATTCTTATGGTTAAAAAACTGGGCCAGGTCTTCTCCGTGGAGGTTTTGGTGGCATCTCCGCGTCTGAGTGGAACAAATGGGATGGAAAATGTGGGCTCGTCGTGATTCTAGGCGCCTGGGATTGACTAGCCCATCTGGCACGAGTCGTCAGGGGCCTGGACAGCAATGCCAATCGGTCGCAGCATAGCCTGCTTGCCCAGGAGCTACGTCGGCCAGCGGCTCTTGGCTCGGGCTGGGCGGATTTCAAAATGGTAGATGAGGGTGCTTGGCCAATATGCGCACACACTCTCGTCTCTGGGTGAAACCGACCGGGTGGCAACAAAATGAAGACATGTATTACGTAGCCCGCGGCTGGGCAGATGTTCGATATCCGCTTGCGACTCTGTCGCAACAACATGGTGTATTCATCCACGAGACAATAGAAAAGGGAGGTCTACAGCACCATGGAGATGATGAGGTTCAAATGAAAGAAAAGTAGAGAACCCCACACGAGCCGCTTGGCGACCCTGGCGATCTTGGCAAATGCCATCGCTAGACCAAAGGCGATCTAGCTCGTCCGTGTTTGTTGATGACTGATGGTAATAGGAGTCTGGCGTATGCCGAGGGCCCGACAAGCCAAAGTCGTTGCTTTGGTTCATTGATCAAGAATGCAAAGCCACGAGAGAGCAACGGACTGGGTGCTGCTTTCTTGACGTGGCGGCGGGAGGATCTGCACTTGTTGAACTGTGCCGCCAGATCGCAGCCTGCATATTCAGGGTCAATGCCGGGAAGGATCGCTTGCCCCATGGGGGATTTAGTCCCCCAGTGCACCGGACAGACGCACGTGCTGCTGGACAGTCATGCGAAACGGGGCCACCGTCTGTAACTACTGTCTGTACCTTAGCTACCGTGAAGCAGATCAGAATCAGAACGCCAGGCCATCCAACTAGGAGTCGTATTGGGATTGGCAGTCTGCCCAACATCTCGCAGATGTCCTCTGCGGTGCCGGTCTATGAGTGTGACCCGACCACTTGGTTGCATTCGTCCTACATGCCCCCGACCCAAAATCCTTGGAAGTTCGCTACCCAAGACCACTTACCTAGGTACATCCGTATCTACGTCCGTTAAAAGTCTAGGGGTCTTGCTTTAGTTGTACGAATCAATCTCACACAAGTCTGAGCATAAGTCGCTCTCCAGCGGCGATTTGATCGAGGAGGACGCAGTCGTCATTGTTGCCAGCTTGTTGAAGCCAGGCCCGGAATCAGGGCCTAGTCCTATATAAGCCTTTTGCCATGCATTGCTCCTCCAACTGCTGCTCGCAAAGAAACCATTGCCCGCGAAAGCCAGTGTGGATGATACCCCTTGATAAGCTAGTTGCCTCTAAGCTGATACGCAAAAATACAAAAGTTCAAACGCCGTCTGTCCTGCGGGTGTCATGAGTGAAAGTCGTGAATGCTGGATGGGTATGTCAAATGCAATATAATGATACGTCTGCCGCCCGTGTCGTCACTGTCGTGTCAGGACACGGCCTCTGAGCGATGCGGTGCGATGCTCTGTCCTGGCTATTTTCCTGTGAACACTTATTTCGGAGTGCTGTGGTCCGTGGTAGATGATGTATACAAGCAGTGCAAGCTCGGAAAGCAATGCTTTTTGGAGAGGCGTTGAAGGGATACCATGATTCGATGCGCACAAAGAGCTCAATCGTTGGCAACAGGAGAGCTAGCTCGCTGATGCTTGTGGTGGAGGAGGTGCCATGGAATCACCCGCTGCCCATACGAAGCAACCTTGTCCTGAGCCACAGTATGAAGGCCGTCCAGGCCCCGTGAGTCTTCTTCTTCGCAGTATTTGTGCGTCTGCTGGACTGGAAGGAGACATTGCGACCGCCACCAGCTTGGCTGACAAACGGTGGACTGCTGGTTTCTACTGTGTCGTGATTCCCACTTGCAGGCTTCTCGGATTCCACCGGATGCCGCATATGTGAAGTGCTTGGCCGGCCACTGCTGGTCCCGCTGATCTTTCTAGCATGCTTGCTCTTGGGTGGCATGGCCTCGGCCAGAGCAGATATCTCGTCTTGGCGTCTGGCAGCCTCCCTCTCTTTCCGTATAGCAGCAGCCCTCCGCTCAGCTTCTTGAGCTCGCTTATTGTCAGCACGCTCCCGCTGCCGGATCTCCTTCTGTGCTTGTCTTTCTTCTTTTGCTTGTTCCTTGGCTAGGACCTTGCGCCTCGCTTCGCGAAGATGTTCTGCCCTTGTGGCCGTATCGAGGTCGGACTTGGCGCGCAGCCGTGGGAATCCGACGGCCTCAAAGGACGACCGCGAAAAGGGTGACATGGACGCTACAGGACTGGTAGGTGATGCAACGCCGCGTTGGGTCGACGGTGGAGCATTTATCGAGCCTGGTGATTCCTGTTCGAGCTGCAAGTTGAGCTCTGCTTGACTGGAGACATGTGCTAGGCGTGAGGACTGCGCCGGGGTAGTAGATGTTGACCTCATCCCGGTGTTAATTCGCAGGGCATTGTGTGACTTGGCGCTATCAGAGTACGATGAAGTTCGTTGGCTTGCCAGCGACGGGCGGCGTGGATGAGTAGCGGAGCTGATCAGGCTCGGCTGAGAATGGGAGTACACAGCTGCGTTCGACGGCTGTTGCTGTTGCTGTTGCTGGTGCTGGTGCTGGGAGCTGGAAAGGATGCCGCCACTGCTATTGCCGTTATGCAAGCTATTATGGCTCGAAGGAGGGTCGAGTTCGTAATCGTCATCGTCTTGCGCCTCGGTGATTGTGGGCGAATAGTCGCGGTCAGCAAAGGAGGCCTGCGAGTTTGCGTAGGACATGGACAGTGGAGGGGTCGCGGTGCGTGGAATCTGCTGAAATGGGTGCACAAACGTCGTGCCCGTCCGAGGCCCGACTCCGCTCCCGCTGCCAGAAGTCGCGATTGAGATGTGGCTGTTCCCGCTGATGGAGCGCGAGTGGTGATATCGTCGTCCGCCGCCCACTGCCACATCGGCGTAGGCAAAGCCCACGTCCTTGGCTGAGCCCGATCTGTTGGTCACCCCTGACGCGTAGAAGGACGTGGGACCACCGTCCCATGCGCTGCTTCGATACGGCTCGTCTTGCTCATCCCATCCACGGTCCAGGTCGAGCGAGCTCCTCTCCGAGGGTGATAGTTTTTTCAGTATTGGCTTCACCACCTTGCCTCGCGGTTTCCCTGCCTTATCGGAGTCGTTGGCCTTTATCGACCTCAGGCCGCCGTAGCTCTGTAGGGACGTCATGTTGGACCAGTAGTGCTTTGTCAACGGCTACGGATCAGGATAGAATGCCCCTTCGGATCACAGGTTTTGTGAGGTCGGCTCGCTTGAGCAGGCGCGCCTATTTCAGCCCTGGCCGCGATTGGGGCGGTCTCAGGAGGCTCGCAAGCAACCGGCCTTGGATCTGTATCACCGTATTGAAGGCATTGGAATGGCAGTTCGGGGTGAAAGGCGATCTACTAGGAGGGCCTCAACAATGGCGAGGGGTCCAGGTCTTACTCAGGTCGGTAGCGGTCAGGAGCGACGGGTAATATTATCGTCGGAACAAGGTGTACAGTAGTTGCCAGGGAAAGTCGCGCACTCTACGTACGGTGTTACGCATAAGATGTATAAATCAAGGTTTGTTGTGAGTGAGAATCAATAGTCAAGCGTCGGAAGCACGGCAGAAGCGGTCGGAGGTGGAGTGTTCGTGTAAGTAATGATGGGAGGATTACGCAGCACCAAGAGGCGGAGATGTCGGCGTTGACCTAGAGATGGGGAGGGGGACCTGGACACGAAAACGGGACTGGTGGGCTTCAACTGTGGTAATGGGGCACAGCACCAAACTCTCGCCCACTCGAGGACCAGAACGGGCAGAACCACCGACCGACATGTGGCAGTGAATCGCCGGGAACAGGAGGATTGCTGAGGTCTAGGTTCAGCCTCATTCCTGTCACCACCGTAAACACGTGGGGGAAATTCCGCTACGAGTTAGTTACGGTTCACTTCAGCAGCGCGAGCATCCCACAGGCGACTCGTTCTCTCGCCAACGATAAGAGACGGTTGGAGGATTGAGGGGGAATGGCGGAGACGCGACACCAACCGGCCCAGCCGGGATCTGCACGCTATTGAATGCGGAACAAGCCATTGGGACTGAGAGACCCATCGAGGCCGTCGGGGAGTCGTGAAGCTCAGCCGACCAGAATTCTAGTCAGGACCACCAATAGGAGCCCTGGAATTGAGTTGGTGGATGCAAGATTTCCTTCAGGATCCCCTGGGAAACACGATCGGTCTGACAGATAACTAACTCGTATGGCCATTGCCCATTAGTCGTGCCTGTCTGTCTCCCTGTCAGGCAGGTGGCTTTAGATCTCGTCGACCTAGCAAAAGGGAGAGCACCCCGACGAGTCCAAGGAGTTGACAGATGCGCGGTGAGCTCGACGGTGACATCTCACAGCGTTCTCGGCATGGGGGTGTAATTCGTTGGTGCGTCCGGGCCAGGTCAGCAAATAGGCGTTCGGCCGATATCTTCCCCCGCCTTCACGTATTCTGCATGAAACATTCCGATAGATCTCGCAACGGGTGTTGTCAATTCAGGCAAGCAATATGGCGTTTCAGAGTCATCCCAAATCTCGGCAAGTAAATGAAATCAAGAAACTCGGCCGCAGACTCGCTTCAGCCAAGGTACGCAGTAACTAAGCCACACGCGTCTGTTGCTGTGTACGGGAACGTGTTGCGCAGCTACGAAAGAAACCTTTACCGACTTTCCTGACTGACTCCGAGGCCTGGCGATCTGCGGCCAGGGACATGTTGAGAGTGGGGTCGCTGTAGTTCCCCTGCCCTCTATGCTCTGTCGACAGAGCCAGCCCTTCGACGCTAAAGCCGACATATCATACTCTGTACAAGTATTGTGATTCGCTATGTATATGGTCTTTGGGTGTGTATAAAATGCCAAGGGTATAAAATAGCACGCATAGATATACATCAGCATGAAGCGCTTCACAGATTTGAGCCATGCGAGCTTGTCCATCCCTACGTCTGGAGCTGCCGATTATGACAATGCAATGAAGATCATACTTGCGCTGTGCTTCGACAACCCGGAGACACTTGGCCTAGGTGAGATGTTTTACCCTTGCGCATTCTCCGCAATATATCAAATGGCGACTGCGTCTGGACGACGGGTCTATAGCCTTTTGAACGTGCCGTACCAATCCACTTGAGGACGTAAACAGGATGGCATTTCCTTTAGTAGCGCAACACACTCGTTGATACAGCTCATCGTACGCAACACGGTGGCTTGCTGATGAGTCCGGGCGTGCATGCACCGAGGAAGACTTGCTCGATACTTTGACGAGCAGGCATAATACACAACGATACTTGGGATCCTGCATCGCTTCGGCCATGCATGTCGATAGGTTACGTTGCGCATGCGCAATGTCACGTACTTAAGACCGGGAGGGGGGAGGTTCGACTGTTTAAGGTTTCAACACACATAGCCGCTTCGCTCGGCCTGGTCGTGTCATCGATGTTCCAAAGATGACACGGCAGCCAGGTTGAAGAATCTGTCTGTAGTACCCAAGCTGGATCGACAGGTGAGTGCGCTGGGCTGTCACCGTGCTTATGTATGTGCATGTTTGCGACTAATTGACCTTGCTCAGGGCAATATGGGCGATGTCTCTATCTCCAGATTGGCTCCTTGCGGAATGTAACCACCCTTGGAAAGCACGAGAAAACCAGTGCACTGACTTGAAGCTCAAAGCGGAGGATGCCCGACCGATCGGCAGGAACAGTCGCCTGTACTTCAATAAGAGCGTGCGTGACGTGAAGCTTCGCTTAAGGACAGGGATCTGATGTCTGTTGTAGCATAGGCTACTATTCGTCAACAGGACAAAGGTGAAATACTTCATCTTGCAACACCTCATTTGTGATCTTCCAGTGATTCTTTTCTGAATGCGGAGCTTCGAGGCATGTTGTCAACAGAAGACATTACTGAAGCTATCCCAGAGGGGTCACTAAAGGTGCTGGTGTGACGCAGGCGTTTGCTTGGGCTGTCGCATATCATCACCAGCAGCCAATTTTACAGAGATCTAATTGAGGGTTGCGCTCACTGGAGAGAGGTAGAGATGCCCTTGTAATCACCAATTAGAATCGACCGATTAGAGATGTATTGATGCCAAAAGAACGAGCTTACCTGGTCAGCACTTGAAAGAATCCACTGGACGCAGAGAGGCCAGATCCTTGTCTCACGCCTCGGGCCGGCGAAGGTGACGCTCATAGCTGAACCATTGGACCTATGTATTCTCGAGCGCGCAGATATGGGCCTTGTCGAGGTCTAATTCATGTGCCAGCGCCGTGAATGCGTAAACGGTATCCTGGCCGTGTACCCCCAAGGACGATCCTTGCTATTCCATGGGTACTAGAGGCGGTGAATGATGCTGAACAAGACGGCTTCCTTGCAATTCCCGGTATTACCGCTGCAGACTGAATCCTTGAGAGCAACACTGTACTGTACCAGGACGGGCGCTGGATGCGACATCAGACGCGGGAAACGCCTAGGTCGACAACTGCCCGCAAGGTGCAATCACTCCTACCAATACCTGGCCGGTTCATAATCCACCAAAAGAGCCCGATATGTCGCCTTTGTATGTATTTCTGCAGAGATATCTCGGCGGCATTGCGGTCTCAATGCTGTAATATGTGCCATCCGGATGCTTCAGGGCCCCTGTGCTGAGGCGGCCTGGGCCCGAGGAGTTTCCCATTCACCTGGAGCCGTTATTGGGGTCGAGACAGGCGATCTATATTCCAGTGCCCGGCCTGTAGTTGGCAGTTCTTGTCCAATAAAGAACTTGTTGTTTCCGAAGATACGGACTAGAGGGGTCACTCTGGCACGCGATATGATTTCGTATGTGGCAATAGGTCGACGAAAGGCAGACTGCAGCTTCGTTTGCTAGGCATCGAGAATAGTGCTTGATATTTGTTAGTGAGGGTTCGATAACATTCCATGGGTTTCAAGGGAAAATAAAACCGTTCTGTACTTGACTGGGAGGGCTGATGACTATGACTATCCCCAGCCAGACATCAGCATCTACCTAACAGGGTGGTTATGGATCAGGGAAGGGCATCCGCCTTACCTAAAAAACATATTATAACATATAAAAACATCATATATATTTCTGAGAGAGTTCCTGTTGGCCCTATTTTCACTGAGTAAGGCCTACCATTGTTATCATTGCGCATGCTACGAGGTAAAGAGAGAAGACTGCAATTTTCGAAGGCTTGGTCAACTATACATATGGATAGGAGCCAAAGTTACGCCAAGGCATTTATTCCTTTATTCAAAGTGTAAAGATTCATCGAAAAGAATGCCGCCATAGGTTGTTTTGTATCCTGACGAAGGATGAACTTAGGCGCTCCAAGGTATGTCGTGGTGCATAAGCCTTGGCCGGTCGCCCGACCAGTTCGTCACAATTGGTCCTTGATGAAATGTTGCGTTGAACCATGTACTGCGCATTGTACAAGGTTCTGGATTCCAATAATTACCACAAAGTGACTCGGTCTGAACCGCGAATGAATGGCGAAACGTTCGAATCGACTGGCGAAGCATCGATCCATGTTACTGGTGTATGGCCGTGCAACAATGAGGGGAGGGGAAAGGGGCAATGGCTAAGCCCAACGACCTACGAAGCGAGCGAGTGCGATAGTAGGACGGATGAAAGTCCTAAAATCCTGCTCATAGCCACATCTAGGAGAAGAGCGCCTAGATCGACAAAACAGTCACCTGAGCGCTCATCATCACCCTGAAAGTGTACGTGCAAAGTACTGCTGCCGCAACAAGTAACAGTGCCGTGCCAATCGCCGGGGAACCCATATGAAGAGACAGGATGATCGTTGTGAGGTATGCGTTGTTAGACCTCAGTGACCCAGCGATGGGTTTTGAATGATCGAGGAGATCGAGGACCACCTGCAAGGGACAGTCGACGATGGAATCTCTATTGATCATTCAGCCGCGATAACTGGCGATGCTAATGGTTGAAGCTCCTCTCGATATCATCATCGCTGCAGCTAAGAAGGTAGCCCTTCCCAATGGGAACCATGCTTCCGTAGAGGGAAGTATCGGTAACGACGCCTGGTCCAGTCCGCAGTCTTGAACCCTCGAGGAGAGTCATGTAAGACTCACCGAGCCAGTGCATGACATCAGAGGTGTACTGCAATGTGGCATCTCATGTGTATAACTTGCGCTACCTGATGGTCTGGTATCGGTCAGT